AGCAACGGCCATGGCAATCTACGAGGGCAGGTTCTGGCCTGAAGTCCGCAAAGATCTCTTTACCCATGTCCCAACAAATCCTCGAAGTTCCTCGCTATTAGGACGACCGAAAGAAGGCCCGGCTGACGAGGTCGAACATGTGAATGTATACGGCGCTGGGAGAGTCGAGCTTCTGCGTCGCTCCGGTTCAAAAACTCCTATCATCTTGAGCCAGACCACGCCTCAGGATCTTATCACTGAGCTGGGCCCACCCGATGCAGTCATGCCGCGCTCCAGTCTGAATGATGATCCGCCAAATAGGGTTGCTCGCAATCGTGCATACAGCATCAATGGTCCCAACCGTGTTCCACAAATGTCACACGGTTCATATAGCTCAAACCCATCCAGCTACTCGTCTACCAACACCGACACGTATGAGACTGACTTCGATGACGATGAAGAGACCAACGGCGCGGAAGCTAGCCAGGCCAACGAGCAGCAGTACTACTGCTACTTTGAGCATGGTTTCGACATTTTACTCGGTCCGCCAGTCGACATCTCTCTGTTGCCCAAAGATGCGGATGAAGCTAGCGAGACTCCTCGATCGACCCTGACAGCAATCGATGGACACCTCACTGTCACGCAGATAATATTCCATGGTAATATCCCAGGCTCTTATCCCTTCAATCGCCATCGCAGGAGCAGATGGTCTTTGAACTACATACCATCTTGCGAGACACCCATCACTTCCGAGTCACTGTTTCCTTCATTCCACCAAACACTAGTCAAGAGCTTCTCTCATATATGGCCTGCGTCAGACATGTCGCAGGGTATGGTCATCGTACGCAGCTGGGGCGGCGACGCGGACAGCATGACCGGCTCTGCCATTCTCATCAATGGCGAAATGGACATGGAAGACGATATGGAGTTCGTGAATGGCTCCGAAGGCTGGGAGCGTGAGAAGAAGGACGAGAACGGAGATGAGCGATGGCTGCGGAACACGAAGCTCTATAAGTTCCCTGGCCTAATGTTCGAGGTCATGCACAACGGCGCTGTCAGCGCGTTGACGGTTTGCTGAATTTGGTTAGGACGGCGTTTTCCAGAGATACCCAACAATATGCATTCATGAGCAACAGTGAGGTTTCCAGAATTTCATATGTGAAACGATGGAAACGAAGCGACTAAGAGATAGGAAAGTATTCAAGATGAACAAGCGCAGAGTCGCGCAAAGACATTGGAGGCTCTTCTCCTACAGCCAAAATAAAGACGGTTCAAACCAAAAGTAAACTCGAGCTACCGAGGATCGGGTGTGAAAGGAGAGGTGTTCTCTTGTACCTACAATTCCGTAAATTAATATCCTACCTGCTTCCATTGGCCACTCTGGAACAGTGTTGCTACCTCACACCGTTCTGCGAAGTGACGAGTCCTTGTGTTTGCAAGATCATCTGCCACAACTCATTGAGTGCTACTGTAGGCTTTAGTGTGTGTTGAACTCTTTGAATACAATTCACGGGTGTGGTTCAGATTGTCTTGCAATCGTTGCCACTGAGATGCGCATCTCGAGTTTCGCTGGGACTTTTTGCTCCTTGAGAAAAGGGCGAAATGATTTCTGGTGAGCGTGTTAGTGGTGTTGATGGGGTTTGAACGGGGGTTCTCGGTAGCTCGAGTAGCCATTGGGCTAGATGTGATGGTTGAATGTTTCTGGGATCTGTTTTCAATATATGGTAAGGACGTATTTGGTATCAAGCGGAGGCAAGACGGCGACCAATTGGAGGTCCTCAGTTCCAAGGCTACTGAGATGAGACACAGCCCAAAAGCGTCAGTGGGCTTGAGCGTCTGGGCTACAGCTGGCCCACACCAAGGATGTATTTGCTTCACGTCAAACATTGTTATAACATCACATGTTGCACAGTCGGGACTGAAGTAAGGTCGTAATGCCCGAAAGAATCCATTCTAGAACGCCGCCACCAGATATGCAGAAAAGGGTATGCCAGTTGTTGTACAGTGTAGTCTTCTTTCTCGTTTCCGATCAACCTTGTCTGCAGAAGTGTCAGCCTCGTGTTGCGCCTCTCGGATGTCCAAGAGCAATACCTCTGCTTGTGCTTGGGATTCTTGCTGCAGATGATGTAGACGTATTTGCCGCCCTTTCTGCGCACACTNNCTGCAAGACTGTATCAGTATACTGTTCTCTTCCTCCAATTCTCGTGTCTTCTCCCAGCACGATCTGCTGTGACTGTGCGTACCTTGCAACCATCACACAACTTCTTGACGGAACTTCGGACCTTCATTCCTCTTGTTTGTTGGAAAGCGACCAGGCTCTTTGTGGGCGACGCGACGGGTCTGGCGAGCGACATTTGCGACATTCTCGAGATGAGCGAGTTGGCCGTGTAGGTGCTGAAGGCGGTGCGCGCGCACACGGAGACGGGGTTGCGGGCCACTGGGACTGCGCGGAGCAGCGAGCGAGTTGCTTGTGTGAACATGGTCGAGATGTGTTGCTGTGAGGGTGTTGTTATGCTCTGCGACGAGTCGCTTTCTGATAATCGTATGGGCCGTCTTCGAGATGTCGACATGTCAAAGATTTGGCGGGCTTGCTCGGCTAAAGTTGCCGATGACCCGAACAAGTGTCCCCGCTCTCGGCCATCAACATCTCGTTGTCCTTCGTTGAATCAATACGCCCTATGATTGACAAGTATTTTTGTTGCCATAAAGTCAGACTACTGTGGGATTAATCACAAGCCCGTCTTCTTGTATACTGGTTAACATCTTGTGTTATATCCGGTCGTTGATCCTACGAATCTTGTCCCGTATACCACTTCCGGTCATCCATCATGGTCCATATCAAGCCTTTTGCAGTTGAGCAGGTTAGTACTTGTCAGCCTTCTATTTTTCATACTTGCCAAAACGAAACCAAAAAGTACAATTGGCTGACCATACTANNGTGGATGGATGCTTATGAGACGACTGCAAAGTACAATATAGCAGAGACATGTGCTGCTTCCGTATCAGTGAACGAACTACGCGAGTTGTCCGAGAATAAGAGTGCCGAGATAGTGGACCTGTCTACTGTACTCAACTACGGAGACATTCGCGGCAGCGAGAAGTTGCGCTCAAACCTTGCCAGGCTATATTCTTCTAGATCAAGCAACCCTTTGCCCGCGGAAAACATCTTGATTCAGCCCGGAGCTATTGCCTCGAACGCTCTTGTACTCTACACTCTGGTCGGCCCTGGTGACCATGTCATCTGCCATTATCCTACCTATCAACAATTGTACGATTACCCGGCATCATTGGGTGCAGAGGTTGAGCTTTGGAAGGCCACACAGGAGAAGCAATGGGTACCCGACATTGAAGAGCTCAAGAGTATGATCAAGCCCAATACTAAATTGATTATCTTGAAGTAAGCACAATGACCGAGAACAGTGTCCTTGACTATCGCTAATTTCTACAGCAACCCAAACAACCCTAGTGGCGCTGTCCTCAAAAAGTCGCTGTTGCAGGAGATCGTTGAACTGGCCAGGGAGCACAACATCACTATCCTCTCAGATGAGGTGTACCGACCTCTCTTCCACGGCATCACTCCCGCCGAGAACGAGTTTCCTCCTTCAATCTTGTCCATGGGCTATGACAACACCATCTGCACGGGTTCTCTCTCAAAAGCCTACTCTCTGGCTGGTATCAGGACTGGCTGGGTCGCATCACGAAACCGAGACATTATCGAAAAGTGTGCCGAAGCTCGCGACTACACTACTATCAGTGTTGGTATCCTGGATCAGCAAGTTGCTGCCTTTGCTCTCGACCAAAACTGCATACACAGCTTGCTAGGTAGAAACATCGCTCTTGCACGCACCAACTTGGAGCTGCTAGAAAGATTCGTCATCAAGCATGATGAGTATTGCACCTGGGTCAAACCGGTGGCAGGTACGACGGCATTCATCAAGTTCAGTCGAGACGGAAAGGCTATCGATGCTAGAGAATTCTGCAAGCAGTTGCAGGAGAAGACGGGTGTCATGTTCCTTCCCGGAGATTGCTTTGGCGAGGAGTTCAAGGGCCATGTCAGAATTGGATACGTGAACAGGACAGAGGTTGTCAAGGAGGGGCTCGAGCAGGCGCGACTTTTCATGCGCAAGGAGTTTGACGATATTCCTCTTGCAAGCTGAGCGGTCAGAATAGAGGAGCTTCGCCTTGTACCACACACTCTGACACAGTAGCAGGCTCGTCTTAGGGAGAGCCCTTGTCTTCTCAAAAACGCGGCTGAAAGGGGCAGTCTCGTCGGCAGAAATACAGTATTCGGCTGAAGAGCATCTTGTCCAAGGACTTGTCGGGTTTTCTGGGCTCTTGGATTTGGTTGAAACCATTTCTTGTGTTGATCGCAAAGTTTGTCACATGTACCTGTCGCCAATACTGCAATGTAGCACCCCATCACATGCTCCAAGTGTAATACACATACAAAAATACTCGACTCTTTATGGAACGACTGATACTAAACAAAAGTAGTAGTTGATTCTGTCGTTGCTGCCTATACTACTAAAACTTCTCCTTGTTTCGCTATATATATATATGTATATGTGACAAACTTTGGCGCATGCTCAGCCCAGGCCAAGTCATCCAAAGTTTCTTGGATGACTTGGACGACCTCCCTTCCCCCACACACTGTCCCATGAGACTTGCATGTCTTGGCCACCAAGACCTACTTTTTGTCTGCTGCTTTGTATTGTCTTGTGGGACTACAGCACTGGTCAAAATCAATGGTTGCAATGACACTTCGTATTTGGCCCGATGGCTTGGCCTCTATGATATACGTTTCAATGGATGATCTCTCATGATCCGCTGCATGACTGCAGGATCAGAGGTATAAACAGAGTCACTGATCATCAGATTTTCCCTGCATCTTTTTGCATAGAATTCGGAACATATGTCCCATTTCTCACTCCAATCATGAAGTTTCCCAAAATTCACAATCCCCTTTTATCGCCGTTGTGGCTACGCTTGGTGGCATGCTCTTTGGCTTTGACATCTCGTCCATGTCAGCCATCATCCTTACAGACCAGTATAGGGACTTCTTCAACAATCCTAGTGGCGTCAGACAAGGAGCTATTGGGTCTTCGCTAGCTGCGGGATCAGTTTTTGGCTCTGCTATTGCTGGATATCTTTCTGATCGGCTTGGACGTCGTAATTCCATCTTCTACTCGTGCTTCTTCTGGATTGCTGGCACGGTGCTCCAGACTGCTACCAATGGGTTTGGCATGCTCGTTGCTGGTAGGATCCTCAATGGTAAGTACTGGCCTGTCAGGGATGGGCTTAGAGTCAAACTCCTCCAAAGGACATCGCTGATTGCACTCTCAAGGCATCACTGTCGGCATCACCAGCAGTCAGGTCCCCGTGTATCTGGCCGAAATTGCTCGCAAAGAGAAGCGTGGCTCGCTCATCATCATCCAGCAACTGGCAATCGAGGTTGGAATCCTGGTGATGTACTTTTTGGGTAGGATTAACTCAACGCCGACTCGGCTCACGAACACAGTACTGACATGAGCAGGTTACGGCTGCACGTTCATTCCTGGACCAGCTTCCTTCCGTACTGCTTGGAGTATGCAGTTTATTCCGTGCTTCTTCCTTATGATTGGGCTACCTTTCCTGCCCGAATCGCCGAGATGGCTTGCAAAGGTAGATCGATCGGAAGAGGCTGTCCAAACATTGGCAGATATCCAGGCTGGAGGTAACGTAGATGACCCCATTGTGGTTGCTGAGTGGCAAGAAATCACGACTACGCTAGCTGCCGAACGCTCTGCTCTTCCTGGCTGGCGCAAATTCGTATATAACGGCATGTGGAAACGTACGATCGCAGGCTTTAGTGTTCAGATGTGGCAGCAGAATTCAGGAGCGAATGTCATGACTTATGTGGGTGATTCGGTGCTTGCCCTTTCGTCCAGATCTGGCTGACATGATCAGTATGTTGTGTACATTTTTGGCATGGCCGGTCTGTCCAAGAATGTCAACCTGATCTCTAGTGGAGTGCAATACGCACTATTCATCATAGGTACTACCATCATGTTCTTCTATGTGGACAAAGTTGGCAGAAGACCCCTGCTGATCTACGGCGCTATCGCCATGGGTGTCTGTCATTTCATCGTTGGGGGTGTGCTCAGCACTGGCGCCTATGTGCCTGATGGCGTTGATGGTAACCCGAACATAAAGATTCTGGTAGGAGGGTCGGCTGGACATACGGTCATCGCCTTTTGCTACCTACTGATATTGTTCTATTCCATGACTCTCGCACCGGTCTGTTGGATCTACGCAGCCGAGGTGTGGTCGTTGGAGACTAGAGCGACTGGCATGGGTATCGCTGCCATTGGAAACTGGGTAAGTGAAACGGGTTAGTGTTGCCAAAAGACATACTGACTGGCTTGCAGCTCTTCAACTTCGCCTTGGGCATGTACATCCCTTCTGGCTTTCAAAACATTACTTGGAGAATGTTCATCATCTTTGGTGTCATGTGCTTCCTGGGCGCGGTACAGTTCTTCCTGACCTTTCCAGAAACATCTGGTAAGACGCTTGAGGAGGTTGAGCTTCTGTTTTCGGGCAACGTCAAGGCATGGCACACCAAGCCTGGCCATTCAAAGTTGGATGAGATGATCGACGAAGCCAGAGACAATCGCTTCACAATGTCTGAGAAGCACAAGTTTGGACATGACGAACACGTCGAGGTTGCAAGTTACGCGAAAGTCTGAAGGATGTTATGACAGGCATGATTCAGGATGTTGTTCGTGTAGCGGGTAGAGTTTCGATCATTCTAGCTTGGTCGTAGATGTTTAGTGGTCTTGTCGGTGTGAAGTGTTGTACTTGTAGATTGTGCACATGTAGCGAGGAGAGCGAATGACAGACAGCAAGAATGTGACAATTATGCGTGTTTCACAGTGAGGTGTGGATGCGGAAGATTTGAGTTGAGATTGGAACGGGGAAGTTGCGGAGATTTGGGAAGTCGCGGCCGGCATGTGCATTCTGCAGCCATCCAAGCCGTCCTGCCTTCCTTTTGCAACGCCCCAATCGTTCGACAAATCGTGCGACTTTTCGAAGGAGTCCTTGTGCAACGCCAATCTGAGACTTGTCGCCAGATAATCGATCCGCGAAACACCAGCGACCTCGAATCCTCGACTTTGTCTTCCTCCCCTGAAGACGACCAGACCACAGAGCCACTTCCATCCACCATGCCCAGCATCGGCAGCATTGTCTACTACGGCACCCACCTTGGGGAGCTGAGAAACATCATCCAATGGAAGCTCTGGCACGATGCCGTCCACGAGCGCGACGAGTCCAAGGAGAGCCCCGAGCTGAAGGAGTGCTTCAAGTACCTCAAGATGACCAGCCGCAGTTTCGCTGCCGTCATCCAGGAACTCCACCCCGAACTCCTTGTCCCCGTCTGTCTCTTCTACCTGATCCTGCGCGGTCTCGACACGATTGAAGACGACATGACCATTCCCTTCGAGACCAAGGAGCCCCTACTCCGCGACTTCCACAACATCCTCGAGCAAGACGGCTGGAACTTCGCCGGCAACGGACCCAACGAGAAGGATCGCGAGCTCTGTGTCCACTTTGACGTCGTTGTTGCTGAGTACAAGAAGATCAAGCCCGAGTACAAGGTCATCATCAAGGACATTACCGATCGCATGGGCAACGGCATGGCCGACTATGCAAAGATGGCCGACGAGGGCGGTGCTCAGAAGGTCGAGACGGTCAAGGAATACTACAAGTACTGCCACTACGTTGCCGGTCTGGTCGGCGAGGGTCTGACACGTCTGTTTGTCGAAGCCAAGTTGGCCAACCCTGCCCTTTTGGAGCGCGAGGACCTTCACGAATCCATGGGTCAATTCCTGCAGCAAACAAACATCATCCGTGATATTCGCGAGGATCACGAGGACAAGCGCTACTTCTGGCCCCGCGAGGTGTGGTCCAAGCACGTGGACCAGTTCGAAGACCTCTTCCTACCCGAGAACAAGGAGAAGGCGCTCGCCTGTAGTTCAGAGATGGTGCTGCTGGCTCTGCGACGCGCCGATGACTGCCTCTTCTACCTGGCTGGACTCAAGGAGCAAAGTGTCTTCAACTTCTGCGCCATTCCTCAGACAATGGCTATTGCAACGCTCGAGCTATGCTTCCAGAACCCCAACATCTTCGAAAAGAACGTCAAGATCACAAAAGGCTCTGCCTGCAGACTTATGGTCGACAGCACACAAAACCTCCAGGTCGCATATAACGTCTTCAAGCGTTATGCTCGCATTATCCACAAGCGCAACAACCCGCAAGATCCCAACTTCCTCGAGATCAGTCTTGCATGTGCAAAGGTAAGTTTTCATCCCCTATGAACTTCTGCGTTCATGTGTTTGGAACGACACAATGATGATAAGCACGGGCCGTATTGAGCACACAGCGCTGACGCAACAAACTCTGCANNGATTGAGCAATTCATCGAATCCATCTTCCCTACACAGACTGCTGCCACCTACCGCCAGGGCGCTCCTGCTCCCGTCGATGCGAGCGGCACAACCCTCACTCCTGAGGAGCAGGCGGCACAAAAGAAGCAGCAGGCTCAAGACAAGGAGGAGTTCTTCTACATCATGCTGGCTGTTGGAGCCACGCTGTTTGTCATTACCGCTATCATGGTACGTACATCTCTTCAGCCACCAGCTCTTCTTCACCAGCTAACAACATCTGCANNGTTCTTCACCGCTTGGATGATGGGCGCACGATTTGACATTGCCTGGCAACAGCTTCGTAACGGCAACATCTGGGCACCCAAGACCACAGATGAAGCTTTGGTCGCTCGTGATGCGTACGATGCCGCCAAGTCGACTGTTACAGCAACTGTCAAGGCCGTCACATCGAGTGTCATCTCACACGGCGAGCTGTAATGATCGCAGCTACTGCCTGCTTTTGCTTTGCCTTTTTTCACGTACGACAGCGAATACAGATGAGCCAAGAACTAACCATGCGAACGATCAAATCCCGTAATTACCTTTGGACCATCGGGTGTGCATTAGGGTCCGCACACTCGAAGCACTGGTTCTGTAGACATACTGACTACCCTTTTTCTCATTTCCAGCCAGCTTTCTTCTTTATGGATACCTCAAAATAGTTTCTTCTTCTTCTTTTTCTCCGTCCCCCATCTTCCACCACCTCTTTCATTTTTCCTCCTTTCAACCAAGCACTCATGTCAAATTGCAGCCTATGCCTATTTTCAGTGGCGACAGACTGTGCCGAAGATGTGCTGATATCAATGCCTGCGCTGGCGAGTCCGAAAGGAGACTGTTCATATCACTTCAGTGTTTTAGTTCACTGTGGTCGGCTTTGGGCAGGGGTGCATACACATATTGCTATACAACAATCAATCTGTAAATTATCTGTTCATCATGTAAAAGTTTCGCATTGGTCTGTGTATTGCGGTAGAACAACCTCGTCCTCGTCTTTAGTTGCATCTCGATTTCCTCGAGGATTATGATGCGCTACTCACCGATGACTCCTTCTGTCCCTCTTTCAACTTTTCGAATGTGATTTCACGTGCAATCGCTTCGTCCATAGACTTGAGATTGTGGTTGTTTGGCCCAGTCGATGTGTATAGTAGTGTTGTGGTGTAGTCTTCTGCAGTAGTAATCCAGATCAATTTACGAAACCCCCAAACACCTTGAACGTGGGATACATTCCACTAAGAATCAAGTATAGCATGGATCTAAAGTACGATAGACAGGCAAATCGCGCAATCGCGCAATGGGAAGTATAGATGCGTCGGTGGACGTGGTTATGTGAGGGTGTGATAGAAGTCAGGGTCATACCCCTAGCAAATTCTACTTGGGCACAATCATTGGAAGTCTCCACTACTCGAGTAAGATGCGGCCCCTAGTGAACTGGCACAGCTTTTTATCAAGTGAATTGAATCTCAGCACTATTGGCTCCGCCCTCTTCACTTCGGGGGAAGCAGTCACAGACGTCTCACTGCTGGCCCATCTAGGTAGTGAGGTCACGCGGCGCCAAACGCGTCCCCCAGTATTTACATCTAAACACAAGCTTTTGGACTTTTTGATCACAAAACCAAGAGCCATTTCATCCATTAAATCAGCACAACATCGCCTCAATGCCACCCAAGAAGGACAAGAAAGCGGCACCACCTCCTGAGGTGCCTTCGACGGTCACGACCCCTCGAGGCAAGACTTTCGATACGACAGCCGCCGCCGCAAGACCGAAGCGCGCCATTACTACCACCATGCCTCCTCCCGATCCACCGAGTCTGAAGAGAGCCAAGATAGTCGAGTCATCGTCTGCCTCTGAAGTTACTCCTCAGAGACGTGGTCGTCCACCTAAGGTCTCGACTCCTAAGACAGCTCCTGCCATCACACCCAAGGCACCTTCTACAGCTACACCCAAGAGCTTTAGAGTCGGTGAAAGACAGAGTGCTAGGCTGGCTTCAACTCCTGCCAGTGACAAAGCCCTGGAACCACTCAGAAAAAGTCGCGTCACCAAGTCAGCCATCCCACCTAAGCGTGCTAGAGGAAGACCGCCAAAGCCCAAGCAGTCTACCCTCGAAGACGGCCATGAGTCTGCGCCCGACGCTAACGACGAAGCGAGCGATGGCATTGAATACGATGATTCAACACACGATGCCAATATCACCGAGGCCACGACTATCATCCAAGCCGATCGCAGCTATTGGCTCATGAAAGCCGAGCCTGAGTCTCGCATCGAGAAGAACGCCAATGGAGACGACGTCGACGTCAAATTTACCATTGACGATCTNCGCTCTCGCGCAGAGCCTGAACCATGGGAGGGCATCCGTAACGCGCAAGCCCAAAACAACATGAAGGCCATGAAGGTCGGCGATCTTGCTTTCTTCTATGAGTCGAACTGCAAGAAGCCCGGTGTCGTTGGCATCATGGAGATTGTCACTGAAGCCAGTCCTGATCCCAATGCCTTCGACAAGAGCAGTGCCTACTATGATCCCAAATCCGATCCCGCAAAGCCCAAGTGGATGCTCGTCCACGTTGAATTTCGTCGCAAGTTCAGCGAGAAGTTCACACTCAAGGATCTCCAAAAGTTCTCTCAACCTGGAGGCGCTCTCGCTGAGATGGAGGTCTTCAAGCAGTCACGTCTCTCCGTCACCAAAGTCACCAAACCTCAGTGGGACTTTATCATGAGCCAGATCGACGAAGATGATGAGATGGAGGATTCTTTCGAGGAAGGCATGCCTGGCAGTGGTGGTGAGAACACAGATCTCGGTAATGACTTTGCCGCTGCGTTCGAAGCCCCTGCTAACCTCCATACTGCCAATGGGATCCCTGACGTTGTCAGCCAGATGTCTGCTTACGCCGTAGACGCTCCTGGTCCCTCCGCCCGAAGTGTATCCCGTGGCCGCAGAAGCAGACTCTTGTCTGTTCCAGCTGGCCAGCCTGCTGCCATGCACGATGCCGCTCTGCCTCGTCAACACGACATTGATGCCCCAGCCAACTAGGAATGAGGTGCACGGCTGCTACATGAACTCGACATCGAAGCTCCATTCGATTCGGAACGAGGCGCGCGGGCTGTCGCTGCTTATTTTACATTCCTTTTCTTTCTTTTGCTTTACAGATACCCCCATTTTGTTTTCTGTTCCTTCTTTTTTTTTTTTTTGGCATTACAACGCGACCGAGCAAGCGAGCAAGGCGTTATGGCTGCGTGTCGATGGAGGAGACTTTTTTTTGCCGGCAGGTCCATAGGAGTCGAAGTCAATGGGACCAAGTCAATGTGGACCAGGTCAATTGGGGGCCAGGCATTAGTACATAGAACAGCCAACATAGCGTGGCTCAGAAAAAGTCGACGAAATACTGTAATCGATAACAATACAATTGCACGAAACGATTGCGAATGGAGATGACATTGAAGGCGCAGGCGCATATGATCGTGAAGAGCACTTACCTGTAGACAATCTCACAAGTCTCATAAGCCTCGTGTGCCTTGTCTGTCAGACATATCTGATGGATGAGATTATAGTGCTCAGTGAGTGGAACTAGCATGAGACAAAACGATGGAAAGAGGTTCGTAAGCAACATTTGGAAACATGGATATCATTTGGAAGAGGTCTTTTTGTTAGTTTGGCAAAAGGAAAAATGCTTTTTGTGCTTCTTCTCATTTTTATGAGGCGACCTAAAAAAAAGTGTCTTTGTACCGGGGAGAAAAGTGTTCCACAGCTCCTTTTTTTTTCAGTATACCATAGACAGCACACACCCGGACATCAACACCGCTGCATGACTAGCAAGCATAGCGGCGAGACGTTTAGTAGCGCTTGCCCTGGCGGAGGACATCGGCGTACTCGTCGAGAGGGGAGCGGATGAGCTTGGTCTCCTTCCACAGGTTGGGGGTGAGGAAACCGTAGGTGTTGGTGATGGCGGTGAAGGTGGCCTTGAGGGTGTTCTCGAGGGTCTTGGTGGAACCGGACGAGGCAGAGTAGGCGTCGTTGACACCGGCAAGCTGCAACAGACGCTTGACGGCGGGCGAGGCAACGAGACCGGTACCGCGGGGAGCGGGAATAANGCTGTGGAGGGAAAGAAAAGTCAGAAGAGTCGCAAGTCGAGGTGAAGGATGTTTGCTTACTCTGACGGTGACGGAACCGCACTTGCCGCTCTCCTTGACGGGGATGGAGTGAGGCTCACCAAGGTTGGAGCCCCAGTAACCACGGCGGATGGGGACAACGGCGAGCTTGGCAATGATGATGGCGGCGCGGATGGCGGTAGCGACTTCCTTGGAGGTCTTGATACCGAGACCGACGTGACCGGCAGAGTCACCGATGACGACGACGGCCTTGAAGCGGGTACGCTGACCGGCACGGGTCTGCTTCTGGACGGGCTTGATCTGTAGGGAGAAAAGGTATGTTAGAAGCTGGCTCTTGTGCTCTTTCGTTCAATGCGCAGAGAGGAGAGGTTGCTGTTGTCGCCGTCGCTGCAGATGTGTCGCTGGTGGCTGCGAAAAAGTCTCGCTCCTCTCTGCGCATGTCGTGTGTGTGCGCACCTTCATGACCTCGTCCTTGAGGGTAGGGAGGAAGAAGTCGACAATCTGGTACTCCTTGATGGGCAGGGAGTGAAGGTAGATCTCCTCCATGGACTTGATCTTGCCGGCCTTGACGAGACGACCGAGCTTGGTGACGGGCTGCCACTCCTTCTCCTCGTTCTTGGGACCACGGCGACCACGGCCGCGACCACGGCCGCCACGGCCACGGTCACCACCACGGTCTCCTCCACGAGATGCGAATCCGCCACGGGTTGCTCCACGGTCAGCCATTGTGTTGATATGTGCTTGTTGTCGACGGAGAGATGGTCGTTGGTCGTAGTTCGCAGAGGTCGCGAGCCGGAGCCTGAGATTTCGCTTTTGCGCTTTTCGTCCGTGGGCGCCAGCGCCAGCCTTGGCTAGTGCGTCGGCTAAACCCCGCATCTTTCGCCCATCTTATCTCATCTCGACATCTGCAACATCAATCACCTTGATGATATTCAAGTATTCAAATATTCATCACTTTCAATCATTGCATTCGTGACTGGACTAACCGCCGCATCAACGCCCATTCCTCCTCCATCCGAGCCTAGCCTCTCGACCTCTATCGCCGCAAGACCCACATTGAACAGCTAGCCTATAACACCTTCCTGTCCACCATGACAAAGTTTCGGCCGTCTTCATGACCTTGCATGTCGCGTGCTCCATTCTCAAGCCGATCCCCAAGACTGATGCCATCATAACTTGCAGGGGCCTCTGATAGTTTTTACTCAACTCGCACGTCTGCACGCATGTGTGCTTCCAAGATGCTGCCTGTATTGTCTCCGAGTGCTCTTCCATCTAGACTGTCTTCCAATTCTGCCTGGTTGCTAATCGTGATTCATGTTGGCTGGCTTAACTTGTCACTTTCTCTGGAAATGGTTGGGTTGTATCCACATGTGCACCAAACCCGTGCCACATCACTATGGCAGGGCTTTCACATATGCTCCAGTCGATGCGTACATGAGCTAGTTGTTGTCTTCCAACCAGTCTAATAGCTCTGGGGGTATTGACTTGCAGGCTGCAGCACGGTCAGTGTCCTCTTTCTGGAAGCACGAGTAACGCCATTACTTACCGGACTGTTGAGCATGTTTTGACGTTCGTTTCGGCCCTTCTTGATGTGTCGCTTGAGAGCACTCGAGTCAAGTGGCTTCAGCAATTCGAAGCTGCACAGCAGCTCACCAGACACAGACATGACAGCTCCCCAGTTGTCAAACTCTCCACAATANNCTGCATTCGAATGTTAGTCAACAATGAAAAGCAGGTCTAACCATGAAATACTCACGTTTGGTGCTGAGAAGACGGTGACCAAGACTCGGTCAGTAAAGAACTCATAACCATCCTCAACCACCATGTGCGCTCTGCACACCAGGTCAAAGTCGTGCTTCGCGAGGAACTCCATGATGACCTTCTTGCCGAAACAGTAGCTTACACCTCGCTCATTGGCTTCCCAGTCATTATCCATATCTGCTGGGTCACTCCAGAGCAGATCGTTGAGCAGTCCATAATCTGGAACGTCGGTCGGTCTGGCAATGTTGCGAATGTCATCCATGTGCGAAAGACTGGGCGATAGACCTCCGTGCACACAGAAAATCTTGTTGGCGACAACAGATGCGATGGGCAAGCAGTTGAAAGTGTCGACGAATGATTTCCACACCTTGATATTACAACGACGCTTGCATTCGTCATAGAATCCATAGACACGAGTTACGTTGGCGCACTCGTGGTTGCCACGGAGGAGGAAGAAATTCTCGGGGTAGCGCAGCTTGTAGCAGAGCAGCAAGAGAATGGTTTCCAGACTTTGTTTACCACGGTCCACATAGTCACCTAGGAAGAGGTAATTTGAGTTGGGAGGGAAGCCGCACATTTCAAACATGCGCAGCAGATCAGTATACTGGCCGTGAACATCGCCGACAATCTTGACTGCAGGGGCGAGTTCCAACAGAGCAGGCTGCGACAGGAAGACCTCGCGAGCGGCCTGGCAGATGGCGAAGATTTCGGCATTCTTCAAGCAAACCGTCTTTGTGACCTTTCCGGCGTATCCTGCGTCGATCAAACGTTTGATCATGTCATCAAGATCCGACGTCTTGAGGGCACCAATGTCCATGTTGTTTGAAGCCGAGCCTTCTGAGAGGGCGAGTGCTGCGGCGGCGGCGCTCGGCTTGTGATCAGCCTTTTTCATCAAGATGGACTCGGTTGGTTCGGTAAGGTTGTTGTGTTGCAGGGTACCGGTAGGAGGAGCGTCAGAGACGTGTTCGACTTCGCCGGATCGCTGGGCCTTGGTGATGTCGGAATGGCCGTGGCCGATGGAGGATGAAAGAGTGGGAGATGGAGGAGCCTGGACTTCGTCCTCATCCTGAGCATCGTTGCTCGCTCCGCTGCTCCTGCGCGACGTTTCGGATAAGGATGGAGCGGAAGGAGAGCGCCTGTGTTTGGAAGCGGGATTGGTCTGGGTAGCGGCGGCGTCCAAGCTTGGTTCGGACTGTCTCTTAGGCGAGGCCAGCGAGGATGACGAACCGCGGATGTTTTCGGTGGATATCTTGGATGGAATCTTTGAGCGGATGGAGCCGCGGAAAGAACGTGTCGAGCCCTGCGTGTCGGACTTGGAGAAGGAGGGATAGGAGCTGAGATCAGGGCCGTCTTGCGAGCCCTTCTCGCCCTTGGACGGCTGATTACCCATGATTGCGGAGCGAAAGTCGGAACGGGGAATGCGGGTGTGTAACGAAAGAAGTGGGAATGGGACAGGCCTCTACACGATGCTGTCACGACCACGGGCACATGTGGAGCACGCTGGAGAGTCGCACGAGGCAGCGGGGTCTGGCAAGTTGCACCAGCTCGGGATCAAGACACTGTTCTGGTGGGAGAGATATGGCTTTGGATGGCGATGCGGGAGGCGGAGATAGTGGTTCGGAGGGTTGGATAGGTAGGTGTTTTCTGGTGTTTGGTGCCAGTGAGCAAGAGAGAGCGACCATGTCAGCCAAGACCGCAGGCCAGACGGAGCTGAGCCACACGCGTCCAGCCCTGTCCGTTGCCCACGGGCCTCCACCTATTCTACAACACCAGAACTCAACATCTGAGAGACTTTTGAAATCACGCACACGTTGTCATCTCCGTCTCCACTGTCTGCTTCTCATGCCTTGTGAACGGTCGCTGTGTGTCGTGTCTTGCGACGATCTGTAGCTCCTCTCACCTCCCCATGTGCAACAGACAGTCACAACCCCACGATCCACCCCTCTCCCACAATCCCCATACAGTATGTCATTATATGCCATAAGATAAGAACACTCAGCTGCTTTGCCAGATAGAGGCGTAGACATTGAGATGTCTGAATGCAACGTCTACTCGGTAGATTTTGCTGTGTTGTTTGATAGGATTGTGCATCTCTACAACTACACTGTGACTATCTCGCACATGGAAAGGCAGTGACCATCGTGAACTTCGTTGCCTTGGCCCTGCATCCCTCCACCCACGCCCCACTTCATATTCCTTGCCCATCTCTCTCTGCATCCACCTCATCTGTCTTGCAAGTTTTACTTCCTCTTCGGTTTCAACTGAATGTTCGTTGCGTCTGCCGCTTTGTCAACATGCGCTACTTTGCAACTTTGCCTTCTGCTTTCTGCATAGCTACTCAGCATCTGCTCGTGACCTTGGCCTCGTCCTCGCCTCCGTCGCAGTCGTTCCTCGGCAATGGCGATGCGCAAGTCGCCGACAAAACTCCACTTCATTCTTCTTTTGACTCGTTTGTCGACCGTCTCATGCAAGAATGGCATATCCCTGGTCTTGCTATTGCCGTAGTCCACAAGAACAAGACATGGTCCAAGGTAACACCCTTTCTCGCACTAGACATTACTCTCTTTGCGTAGTTTTTGACAGCATCACTTGATCGCTTCTATCTTCTCTGTGTTCCATCAACTCCTGTGTTGCTTTCATGTGTCTGGTCTGAAATGCTTAGACCTCGAACTGACACACANAAGGGCTATGGCTACGCAACTCTGCCTGACGTGCCATTCACTCCGCATACCCTCTTCCAGGGCGCTAGCACTACCAAATCATTTACGGCTTCTCTTACGGCTTTACTGATTCAAAATCACAATGACTTGGAATGGGATACTCCGCTCCACGACATTGTTGGCAACGATTTTGTTCTCAAGGACGACTATCTGACGACTCACGTCACCTTCCTCGATGCCATGTCTCACAGAACTGGAGTACCCAGGCATGATGCCATGTGGTATGATCAAGGTCTAGACGTCAAGACTCAGGCATATCTGATGCGTCACGTCGATACAAGCGCGAGCTTCAGGACGGTCTACCAGTACTGCAATCTGTTCTTCACTGCAGTCTCGCATGTCCTTCAAACTGTAACCGGAAAGCCGCACGCAAACCTGCTGCGTGAGTGGATCTTCGAACCACTTGGAATGAACGAATCATACTACTCTCGAGAAGACGCAGTCACTTGCCAAACATCGAATCCTCACTGCGTACTAGCCGATAGCTATCAGTGGAACAAGGAAACAGCCTCCTATCAGAAATGGGCTTTGAACCAATCCAATCCCCCAAACGGAGCTGGGGGCATTATTTCTAACGTCAACGACTATAGCAAGTGGGTCCACACCCTCATGTACGAGGCTGGTCCGGTATCCAAAGATGATCATAGCGTACTGAAGAATCCCTTATCTGTGGAAGGTATAGGGGAACCGCCTTATACAGGGCCTACCTGGTATGCACTTGGACTCGAAGGAGGGATCTATCGCAACGAGCGAGTCTTTTCGCACACGGGTGGGATTTCCGGATACGCATCAAGCTTCGCGTTCTTGCCCGATCGTAAATTCGGTCTTGTGATTTTCCAAAACTCAATGAGTACTGCTTTCGCGGCTATGCAAACGCGATTAATCGACGAGTTTTTGGGTGGCCCGGAGGATGCGTTTTACGACATGAACAAAACNATGAGTGTACACGGCATGCTCCATACGGGCTCCAACTGACAGGATACTAGGCAACGTGAGCTGACAAAGAAGCGCGAAGAAAAGCTCGAGGCTCTTCCTTCTACGCTGTACCCGCATGTACCATCTGATGTGATACAGCCACAACTTCCTTTACAAAACTATACGGGAACTTATACGAATGCTGCTTATGGAAACCTCAGCATTAGTCTCGAGGCACCTTCAGATCTGCTGAGAAAGTTAAAGAGCGATGAAATCGATTCGTCGAGTTCGCTACTCTATGCCAAATCCAAAGGCGGGAACGTGTTGTTCAGCTTTCGGCACATATATGCAGAGCATTGGCTTTTGGAGCTGCGAACTGTAATCTACGATGCGAAGGTGGCAGACGACTACAAGAAGGCTAGGTTCGAGATTGGAGCAGACGGGGTTGTACAGAGACTCGGAGTGGTCATGGAGGTAGCGGTGCTCGGGGACAAAGGATGGGCGTGGTTCGATAGAGTCGATGGTTGTTAGAGGTCAAGGGGGTGAATGTATGTCTGTCACATGTCTCGCGATGAAATACGTCAGATGCCAAGCTTAGGGCAGGTGCCTTGCGCGGCGCTTCAGGCATAATTTCCAAGTAAAGTTGCAATACAACAACTCGACGCCCAACATATTGTTTTATCACACCGGCATACCACACGTTTGTTTCCTTGTAAAACCTGGATAACTGCATCCCTCGAAGCACACCGAGTCTCGACAACCTACTCGCTGCCCAGAAACAAGACAAAAGACATTCGCGACGACCAAGATGGTCAAGGACACAGCATACTATGACGCGCTAGAAGTNGCCCCCACTGCCACCGAAGTCGAGATCAAGAAGGCATACCGCAAACTCGCCATCCGCCTGCATCCCGACAAGAACCCCGGCGACGAGACGGCCAGTGCCAAGTTCCAGGAAGTGCGTCGCCATCCCGAGCCCCCTCGCAGTGTCATGTCTTCTGACCGCTCGTCTGTCTAGATCGGCGAGGCTTATCAAGTGCTCAGCGACGAGAAACTACGCAAGCAATATGACGACTACGGCAAAGAGGGCGCAATGCCCAACACAGGCTTTGGTACGAGGCCCGACACAGATCATGAGTTGCGATAAGAGTTGACGCCCATACANGAGGATCCTTCCGAGATGTTCAACGAGATCTTTGGTGGCCACGCCTTTGCAGACTGGTAAGCATGTCAACGTCACCCACGCACCGTGCGAACTGTGGCTCAAAATATCAACAGGATCGGCGAGATCTCTATGGTTCGCGACATGGAAAAGTCTATGGAAATCACCATGCGTCACGAGGAAGAAAACGCTGCCGCCGAAGCAGAGGCCGAGGCTGCAGCCGCTACTGTCGATGAAAAGAAAGCAAGCATGGACAAGACCATTCACGAATCCGCCGCTCAGTCCCACGCCGGTGCCGCCTCCGATCTGAANGATGGTATGGCGAAGATGAACCTCGCCGAAGAAGAGCCCGCACCGCCCGCCTACTCTCAGGAAAGACCAAAGGGTGTACCCACACGTCTTGCCCTCACCGACCGTGCCGAGGAAGAGGCTCGTATGGAAGCCGCCGGCGTCACCGAAGCAGAGAAGAGCCTGCGTGCAAAGGAGAAGAAGAAGGGTGGTTTGACCAAAGAGCAAAAGGAGGAATTGGCTGCCTTTGAGGCCGAGCGGGAGCGTGCTCGTGAGGAGCGTATCGAGGACTTGTCCAAGAAGCTTATCAACCGCGTCAGTGTGTGGACCGAGACCGACAAGGGCAAGGACGTCACCACCTCGTTCCGCAAGAAGATGGAGCAAGAAGTCGAGAACCTCAAGATGGAGTCATTCGGCCTGGAGATTCTACACGCCATTGGTCAGACCTACACACAAAAAGCCGCCACTTTCATTAAGAGTCAAAAACCCATCATTGGTGGTGTCACCGGCTTCTTCTCACGCCTGAAGGACAAGGGTACGCTCGTCAAGGAGACCTGGGGAACCGTCAGCACCGCTATCAGCGCGCAGATGGAAATAGAAGAGATGGCTCGGGCAGAAGAGCGTGGAGGTGACGACTGGACCGACGAGAAGAAGGCTGACTTTGAGCGTCGCGTGACGGGCAAGATCCTAGCCGCAGCATGGCGAGGCTCCAAGTTCGAGATCCAGAGCGTGCTTCGCGACGTCTGTGACAAGGTGCTTTACGACAAGACCGTCAAGGTCGACAAGCGGGTTGAGCGTGCCCACGCTTTGCTCGTCATTGGAGATGTCTTTGCCAAAGCTGCACGCAGCGCCGACGAAGAAGGCGACCATCTCGCCTTTGAACAACTCATGGCCGAGGCTGCTCAGAAGAAGGAGAAAAAGAAGAAGGACAAGGAGCCCAAAGAACCCAAAGAAGCAAAGGAACCCAAGGCTTAGAAAGCCCCTTGATCTGCCACGGCATTCATAAAGATTCGATTCCATCCTTCACGCAATCTCCTTCAAGATCTTTGGGTAGGACAGTCGACAGCGTGTGTTTATAAGCGTTGTTTCTCCTCCTCTTTCAAGATACACTGGCGTTTTATATGGTAGATACACCCGATCAAGCCCTTTTCCGCATACGACACCTCTACGTTCACTTACCGCAAACTCCGAGCATTGCAGTTGGTTGTCGTAACTGCTCCCAACTACGGCCACACAATGTCCGTGAGAAGCTATAGGCATATACTAAGTGATACGACATAAGGACGAAGAGTTGGATGACAATAATTCATCTCACCGCAGACCGCTAGAGTTGCTGCAAGAAAGTATTCAGATCCATAGCAGATTTTCTGGTCCAATCATAAACGTACCAATGGCATCAATCCACACATTTAGGGGCGAAATCGAGGATCTACTTGAATACATGGATCACGACGCCTGACTGGTCCTTTGGGAGTCGCATTAAGTTTGCTGATATACAGAGAGCATGGCTCGTGTTGAATAGCCCGTACCTTACAAAATCTCCCTTTCGAACTTGTAAATACTCCGATCTGCTGTGATCCTTGCTGACCTGGTTGAGAGCATGCACATACTGTCCAACAGAGTTGCTGCCCTTTGTAACGGTGTGGATATTGGCATCTAGGACGTATGGACACATCATGCCAATGCCAATAGGGTGTGGTGTATCCCAGCAGGGACAGGGTTACTTTTCAGGGGGAAAACCGATTTCAAGTCTGTCGAGTTCGAGACTCGACAAACATAAGGAAGTCCGCCAGACAGAGGTGACAAGGGACAAGAGACGTACACTGTCCAAACTGCACTGCTCGTGCTGTCTTTGGCTCTCAACCTGAAAGCATGGCGCTGATCGGTGGAGGATACACGATAGACAGTTGTCTATGCATATGCATAGGCAGAGTCTAGAGCAGATCGAGTAGATAACGTCCTGAGCCTATCAACACGATAGACTGCTGACTCCAACCTGATCTTGAAATCAACAGGATGTAAACCTTCGAATCCTTGCCAATGGTGTCAGGCTCGCAGGACGTCTGCACAGCAGTTGCAGAACTGGCCGAGTCTGTCATTCAGCACGTCGTTCAGGTAAGTTTTGGTCTCCAACGGTGACTCGAGCACACAGATACTCCAGATTTCGTGACATTTGTACATCCTCAGGGAGCTTAATTCGGTGGCTCGTGGTCCAGATCTCACTTGCACATTCTTTGAGTTTGTCTCCAGTCTCCAGAGGATTCGTCGTCCTCGAGCTGAAAATTAACGCCTCGGGCAAGTACTTTTGCCTGGCTACAGGTGTCATTGGCCGTCCCATCGGCTGGCTGACGGGATGCAAGCGCATCGTGATGCGCATAAAGTTGCACGTCGTCGGCCATGTCGGCAGATTGTGTACATGCAGACTCTGGGTGTCGCTCAGCCGACGCCGAAAACCTTGAAAAAGCCGCATGTACAGTACTCACCGACGCGTACAGCTCATGCCAACACACCCCGGTCGCGGAGGGAAGCTGGACATGGACAAGATCCTGGAGTAAGTGGGTCGACGGTGGTGTGAGTGATGCCTGAACGAAATGCCATGCGCTGTTTGGGTGCCTGCAAGCTCGCTTGCTCAGGCAGCTTTCAAGTTGGTACTCGACCAATGTATACGACACATGAAAGCGCATGTGACTTGCCTCATGCGCTGTTTCTGCATGCCATGTTCTTGCAACCGCCGTACTGTACTTCGCTCGTAGCACAGCTATCGATGAGTAATAATCATACAGCAACGCAGGTTGATGTCCGTCATCGATTGGGCAAATCAATGCTTATCGTACGTTCAATATAGCGTATATTTCTCGATAGATGAACTTTTTAATGAGACGTCAGGCACGTGGTCCTGATCTCCAATGCATATGCGGCTTGCAAGTCCGTGATGAAATGGTGCGGTGTTGACCTGAGGTCCGTTTGGAGAATGGGCCAAGTCGAATATGGCAGTGGATGCGAACCCTAATTGCGAACCACACCGCGCCTGCCGCCGTTGTGGTGAGGATGCTGGTCGTCCCTACACTACTGCACATACTGTTTGGCCATCCTGCATGAACTCGGACGTTCTATGAATCATCACAGCACACTGCCTTGCCGACCTGCCTCGCATAGGAAGCTGCTCTGTTTCGTGTGCTGTCAAGTGCAGGAAAGAGCGACAAGGATTGAAGTGTTGTTCTGCCGTTGCCCAGTCAGGTTCGTATGCAAATCAGAGGAGGCTCAAGATGTCTCCACGAGTACGCAAGCCACACACCCCACCCGCCCGCCATACTCCGACGACCGAGAGGTTATTGATAGCAAAGCCAATTTTCTGTCGCCGTAAGTGGAAGTAGCTGCCTATTGTCTTGCTGCTTCCAGGAATTGGTGGACAAAGGTCCGCTAAACATTTGAAATCGTTCGCACGTGCTGCTGTGAAGGATGCTTGGATAGCAGGAAGGATCAGAGGATCAGTCAGTGCTTGGGATTATCCGATGACGAGGTCGGAAGAAGACAAATCGACCCCCTTTTCGTGCCTGCCACGTTGCGAAAAACGAACCACAAAAAGGTTGTGATACGTTTTGGCAAAGTTCAGAATCTCGTGGAGATACAGTCGATCATGGCGCGAAATCTCGATAGCAGACGGCATATCAACTTTACGCTTTCGCTCTGAAACGTTGAGGCTCTGCGGTTCTGTCATGTCCAACTATTTTTTGTTCCTGCGGTACTGCATGCATCATCGTTCGTGCTAGCGATGCTGGAACTTGGATGAAGAGAGATGATGTAGTTGCACCAATTCATGACATCTGTTGAGGCGGTTCGAAGTTGACCGGAGTTTGAAGCACAAGTGTGTTGCAGTTCATGCCGTGCCTGACGATCTCAATTGTAGAGCGACCCATCATAGCGCACCCCGAACGACTAAATGATTGAGTCAGCGATCTGCAGCAAAGCGAGAACAGCTACGGGAGACGGAAGACAATCACCTTTGTACTGAGCTTAAACATGCGACCTAGTGGGGTGAAAGAGGTAAAATCGAAATTGCGAGCTGGCCGCGTGGAGAACAAGGACACTGTGATTGGAGACAGAGTTACTGGTTTACACTTCGATGTCGAGTAAAGCCTCTCACGAGGAGCTGGAATGGACAGACAATAAATCTTGAATAACTGCAATGGTCTTTGATTGGTAAAGTAAAATTGAAAGGCGCGATTCTGTCTGCTGCCATAGGGTATAATATGTAATGCCAAAATATTCCAAGCAATAACTCCTTCATAATGATGATGCCCAAAACCGATGACCCGAAAAGATAAAAGCAAAGTTCATAAGAGCGTGTCGAAGACATGATGTCGTCGAAGAAAAGGTGTGAATATGATATACAAGACGGCCGGCCGGCCGGCGTGCATTACCCGGTTGGTGATAGCATGGAAGGACACAGGTGTTGTCTTTTTGAATGCATGCTCACGAGCAAGTGGGGCTGCCGAAGAGGGCAAGCACAAGCAAATGCCTGACGGACCGCTGATTTGCGCTGGCGGTGGGGGTGGAGCCATGCATGCTGCGCTGCGGATCATGCTTCGAATAGAAGAGGCGGGGATCCAATAAAGACAGATGCTCGAGCCCGCTTCCCAGATGCAATCAAGTCAATGCAGGTGCAATGCTGAGATGGGGCAGCTGATGGATTGAACGTTGGTGTGGTGATGTAGTTGTTTGATGTCATCCAAGTGTTTGATGGTTCACTTGGGAAGAGGAGGCAGAGGCCTGTTTGGGGGAGGGCCAGGGCAGGGAGGGAACTCGACCATGGCAGGCATTGTGGAAAAGAGTTGGTTTTCGCGTGGTGGATGATCGTTGTAGAGTAAAGTGGGTTGCAAAAGCCGAGTGTTGGTTCTTGAGAAGCTTGTGGTGTAGATGGAGGCTTTGTGATGGTTTGTGTGTGGAATGAAAAGAGCGGACAGAGTGGGAGTAGGCAGGCATCTATATATCCATCGCAATGATAGACGCCTCGAGTAATTGGCCCATGATGCAACTTGAAGCGTAGGGTGGGTGACTAACGGCCAAGCGAAAGGGCCATGGCCCGTGGGTCTGACCAGGACTGCGCACGCAAAAAGGAGACACCGGGGCTAGCTTTCGTATCCGTCCGGCAGCAAGGCTGACATGACTACTCTAATCTTGGAACCACTTGGATTGTGACGTTTCTATTCGGATGATCAGAAGGCATCGATCAATCAATCTACATCATCCTTGTTTCATGTCTGGTCTTGCAGCCTTCGCATTCCACGTTCCCTGCTGACTGTGCCGCAAGAGCAGCGGTGAAGCTCATTGTGCATCGCTGCTGCCTCCAAGGTGCCAGCTTCTAGTCAAAACCTACTGCTCGTGTCCACTGTCAGCAAAGGATGGCTTGACGGGGTGCTCAGCTAAGCAGCACGGCGGTTACCCTAAGCATGCAAGCGATCCAGGTCAAGGTTTGGTCGGTTTGAGACAAAAGCCAAAAGCACCGAACTGATCACTAACGGTCAACCGTCGACCGACAGACATGTGTCTCAAGGTGAAGACGTGGGTGCCGGGATTCGTGGCAAATTGCGCTGTCGACGATGAAAACGCTCATCAAACGATTTCCAGCCATGACTCGTCCATCCACGTCGCTGACCTGACGTCGCACCAAGCCCAATTTCTTCAGCTAAAGCATTTTCAATCTAAACAGAGGTCTAAGCGAATGATTGTCAGACCGAACGTCTGTAGAAGTTTGATGGAAGGAATTTTCCTTCGGCGATCTCGGACCACTTTATCTGACCTGGTCAGCCAAAGCAGCTGTGTTGCACGCTGTTCTTCAGAGCCCGAAATACCGGGAGCACGACGAGGTGAACGAGTCGCAATCTCGATGCATACTGCCGGAACATCTCCAAGAGATCGGCCCCTTTGAATGTGTGCTGGAGTTCCCGCACTCGCACACGTGGCTTACTCGCATACCTGTCAAAAAAATCGTCGATTATCAAGGGGGAACCCACTCTATTCCGTACCCTCGTCATAGTCATCGCAGAGCCGTATGGAGCTACTCTAAAAAGTCCGGAACATGAGTGGGCAGTAGAAACTTGGAAACGCCAGCAGGATTCCGAGTTCCTGGTTACCTTTTGCAAGACACATTTTCCCCGGATCAACAGGGGTGCACTTGCGAGCGGCACGATTTCTGCTTTTTCTGCGATTTGGCTGCATTTTCATTAGACAACGTTCCATGATCTTTCTATCCTGGTTCTGTTTCTCTTGAGTTCTGCATAGTCACACAAATGATATCTCATGGCTCAACGTGTATTCATGTCGCTCATATCCGGTCGCAATGTTCTCTCAGCTCATACGATCTTTTCGCTTCCCGGCAGCCCCGAGACTCGGGCTGCACACCCGACTTGTACAATGGTAAGGACGCAGCTCACGCAGCCTTGCTGGACAGTCATCGCATCATGCATGCCGTTGCCATCCCAGTACGCAATCATAAAATAGATAACTCTAGGAGCCGCAACTTGGTGGATCGATGGCATTTCTGCATCTTCGTTGACACTATCGGATGCGCCATGATGCAGCATTGCATTCTATGTACGATTGAAAGGAGCACAGCCTCGGCGCGCGAGGCTGCGATTTTAGAGTCTGCTGCGCGTCTCTCCTGAACTTCACCGCCAACGGCTGCGAGCTGCCTAGCCTTCACCTCTTGCTGGGCCTTTTGCAACTTTTTTGCCTTCGGACCGGACCCTTGCCCTAGAGAGTCACAGACCTTTGAAGCATCAATTCTTTTCCCCTTGACTCGTCCTCGAGAACGAAATCTTTTTCTAGTCCCTTCCACCTGGTGCAAGTAAAACCTCGCGTTTCAAATTCGATTAAGACTGCCGGTCATTTCCCCAGGTAGACCCTGAGATGGCCCGTACCGCTTGACACCTGGCTACCCAAGGCCCTTCATACCAACCCTGATAATTTTGCGCATGGCACGTGTAGGTTCACAGACCCTGTGGTGTTGTTCCAGACGAAGTCCCTGGCCATTTTGTCAGCAAGTTATTTCCGACTTAGCTGAGGAGTGAGCACCTCCAGGGACCAGATCACGAAAGCACAGAACCGACAGACGGCGCACTTCTCAAAAAAAAGAAAAGGTTGCATAACGGAAATCTATTCATGTTCTTATAGCTCATGCACAGCACGACCGCGCTGTCTCTCCATAATTCAGCTCCGGAATCATGTGCTCATGCAGCTGCGCCAGGTACCTGGTTACTGGCTTTGGAGTTTGTAGATTGCATGGTTCGAGAAGATATTGAGACGTTCAGTGATGTTGGTCGGTGCTTGCACCTCGAATGAATCCCAGTGATTTGACATTGCATGTAGATCTCTGTCCCGTGCAAGCACTGTCAGATGTTGAGATCAAATCATCCAACATGCGTACAGGCATACGAGTACGCACGAAGCATATGCATATCATTCATCCGAGCCAACACTTGTTGCGTCGCAACACTCAGTACAGTCACGTCCCCATATCGTTTCAGTTTCGAGAATCTCTGCTGTGATTGTTAGGATCTAGCTCGCCGCCGCGGAATAATTTTCTGGAAGTTCGTTGTTTCGTGGTTAAACGCCGGTCAGGCAGCCGGGACCCTGGATGAGCGTGATGAGCCTCAGCCTCCATGAATTTAGGACACTTGAAACGCCTCAGCACTTCTAGCACGACCTACTAGTTCGCTACGCATTTCTCTTCAACTATGTGCTTTGAATGTTTACGCGGGGTGAGGGCTAGATGAACACGGAGAACCCTGTCGACTACATGAAGCCCTCACCGTACTCAGTGTTTCGCGTCAACTTCCTCGTTCCCGAACGATCCTGCCCTGACTGCTATACACGGATCAAAGCAGTGGCTCACGGCACTCGAGATTTCTCGGACACACTAGGACTACCTTAGGAAATTATGTATGGCTGGACTATTTACTTGATTCGCCGATCGGGTTTCCAGACCCGGTTGAGCGATATCATATCAGGAACCTCCATCGCACCTTGTTGCACTCGACCTTCCACTTACACACATAACGATGACTCGAGTCATAGAAATCACAATATTTTGGCACTAGAGGCCTCTCCGTCGAAAGTCGTCGAGATAACGGATCTCTGGATTTCGCTTCTGGTTCGAAAATACTTTGTGGTTCTATAGCTGCAATGATACGACAGAGCTGAGCTTAGCACACCCGACGGATCAGACCCTCTAATCAACGTTGCTCCGCTGCAACAGTTCGGTTTCCGATGCCAGATGGCTAAGATACCCACTGGATGAACGGTGAAATCCTTCCAAAACGCCTTTCCAACGGTTATACTGACTCCACCATGACCTGATGCTCGAGAACCCTTGTTTTCTGACAGGAGATCAAACGAGGCAAAGATCGCTCTTGCCGAGCCCTCGCCCAGCGTACCTCTTTCCCCATGCGGACAGCTCATCGGCATACAGGCACAGCTTCAAGAACTAAAGAGGAACGTTCTTCTGCGGTACTATTCACATGACCGATCAGCAAAAACTTGGGCGCTCGCGCTTCTACGATGCACTCTACCGTGCCACACCTCAGTGAGAGCAATTCATTCGATTGAGCGCGCCTGAGCGCATGGAGACTGGCATCCAACAGCGGATCTCTAGACCCTGACCATTACCCACTTCTATGTTCACCGAACGTTTTGATGAGGCTACGACGGACCGTTCCTTGACATACATACGCAATAGAGCGCTATTATATGGAGAATGTAGCCGCAACGTCCAACCACCGGTCCCCACGAATCACTTGGATGTCTCACCAAGGCTCCCGACTCTTGACATTTGTGGATAGTCACGAGGTCTTGCCATAATCCATGTTCCAAATGGCCCTCCGTCTATGCGCGTAGCAGATTCGGCGATCAAACAAGCTCAGCAGCCAAAGCCGTGCAACGGTCTCGAACGGTATCGTCTCAGCACCGTGAAGTGCGGAGGAGCACAACGGCTTCACTATTTGACGATGGGATCCGAAACATAACGGTAACGACCCATATTATCAGTGGCATCACCCCGCTGTCTATGTTTCGTATGCCACTAGAGTCTGGCAGTACGTAAAACGTCTTGTGGAGACGCAACTGCCTCTAGAGACTAGATGTCTAAGGGCTCCAGCCTATAGTGGTCTTTTTCTTGCTACAACGCTTGTAGTGTGCGCAGATCTTGTAGGATCGTCCAACACTATCGTTTTGCATGCTGATTCGTTGCGAGTCATCCAGACAGGGTCTCAATTGTATGGCCAGGTTTTTCTGTCATGATCCAGGACCGAATAAATCACCTCTCTTAGTGGTCAGATCTACATCTTGTCACCCTAGAAAGCGGGCCTTTAATGGGATGTGGTCGGAAGTTGCTAGCTATGACACCTTGGCGCGGCATCCATGCCTATATCGACGACACACACCCATCTTACCCTACATCCTGATGTGCTATAGGGTTTTAGGGTTACAAGACTGAACTCTCCTACAGTGATATAATCCAACAATGTAAGCTGTAGAGATAGAAAACATCTACCGGAAAGGACTGGTGCTCAAGGCATACCTACAGTCGCACCTTTGGTTGACAAAGCAACTGTGCATCCGCTGGCATATGGGAAAGTAGAAATTTCTGCATCAATGGACCCAAAGATCAATCTCCAGAGCATATATGTGGATCGTGGAATGCCACTGCTCAGTACCGCAGCCGATCCTTCTAATGTACAAGGCTTTACGAGAAGCAGCAATCTCTTGAACCCTCTAAACCAGGCCTGCATAGGCTAGCATCGCTCCTCTCAGAGCAGCATACGCCATACCCAGGCGTCCTCTCTGGCCTGCTATCATAGCTGCCCCCATGCGTTCCATAAAGATGGTTCCTTCAGCCCTGCTCAAAAAGTCCATGCCAAACTCAGCAACGGCGCTCGATACCATGGTCTCATACTCCTCATCCAAGAAGTCACCAGTAACATGTGCTGAAGTGGTAACTAGGATTGTCATGATCCTTGCAAAGGCATGACACAGAGCAAGTCTGTTGTCTTCCCTGACCGCCTGCTCCAGAGTGTTGACATGGGTAGTGACTTCTGGCAATCTGAGCACGCGTACGCCATACGTGTGACAGATCTGGCATATCATCCACTGGTACTCATCTTTGGCTGATAGTGGACCGATCAGAGTGCGAGCTGGTGCTGCTTCTTCCTCTTGATCGTTGGCGTCATCTTCCAGACTCTGCCTAGATTCCGCAATCGACATACTAGGAGAAGGTTGAGCAGAAGAGTCAACGGCAGTATGGGGAGGAGTGGTGGAGTTTTCATCCGTGGAGGATCCGGTCACCGGATCCTCTTCGTCGTCCAGGGCGCCGGTACCCTGCAATCTGTCGGAACGTCGACGTGCCTGCGGAGAGTTAGCCAGAATAAAGGCACAACTATCTGTGACATACCATGCTCTGCTTTGAGCTTACGCTGCGACCAGCATCAACCTCAGTCTGGGGGCTGGGTTCAGAGCGTCTGTGTCGATTANGTCAACGTTTGCGTACTTACAAAGCCAAACTACACAGGGATGTACTTACACAGTGCGTAGAAACATGTCGGGGGACACGGTACCGTCTTCCCTCTGGAATCGATACAGATCAAAGTAATAATTGCGGCAGATGGTGATCATCTCTTGACCTTGTAGATGGAAGATGTATCCGACGAGCTATGCATTAAAGTCAGTATCTGTACAAGAAATTCATGTCACATAACTCACAAACCCGTTTGTCGAGCTGGAAAAGTTTGATTCGACAGCGATCCACTCCATCTGCAAGATCTCACCACGTGCTTTACAAAAAGCATTCGGGCAGGTTGCTTGTTTGAGGGCACGTCTGCCACGTTGCAGTTGCTGTAGAGCTTGGTTGCTGGCCTTGGTAGCGACCCCTGGAAATGCCTCCAGCCATTGAGCTCTCTTTGAGCTGTTCGCCTTTGCGTTCATAGCTTGCGATAGGTTCGCTTTTGCCTGAGCGAGAACTTGGCGGAATGTCAAGCGGCCATTGTAGCTGGTGTCCAGTTCGTTGCGGTAGCCGATCCAGACCTTGCTCTGATTGTCTGCATGGTGAGTGGCGTCGTTAGTGAAAGGCTCATTCTGGCAATTACTGTGGAGTTCGCCCTCTGGTGCGAAGCAGACGTAGGGTAGTGTGTTACGCTGACGAGGCATGTTGGCAGATGCCAGTGGATGTCGGTTGAGTTGTGGTTACGGGGAGGTGCAGGTGAAGTTCTGAGAGTAATTGGGTCGGAGGGTTATGTATAAGTGATGCTCTTTCCCAAAGAATGCGCAGTGCCGAGCAAACGACGCCTGTATGTGAACAAACGAACGAATGTCTCGGTTGTTTGGACTGAGACGATCTGAAGATGCAGAACTCACAAGCCAGGCAAGTGGTCGACGCAGAATCTGAGACCAGTATTAGGTGATGTTAACGGAAAGTGCAGTGCAGGTTACTTTTGGAGATGGTAATGACATCTGATGAGTATGTGCACTTCAACAGCCACTGCGGTGAACATGTCTATAGTCCGACTGCGTTCGAGCTGATTTCCCATAAACGGTCCTCCGCTGCCTTATCATATGCATAAGTGGCATAGCCACATCTTCCAATGCCCTCGTCCTCTGCAAGTGCTGGAGCGACTCCAACCTCCGCCAAGTACATTCCACCGTGGGTCTCGAAGTAAGGGCTCAGAGCAGCCCATACAGTGGTAGCAGCACCCTGTTGTGCATTACACTCAATCTTTCTGAAGTACTCTGGGTCACCAATGCTCTGAAGATCTTCAACCTTTTGGTGGCGCATGAGTTCAGTCGAGAGAATGACACCGGGATGGACCGAAACAGCACGAATATGCTCGCCATAGACTCTGTCAATGTAGTTGGCCATGTAGATGTTTGCTGTCTTGCTCTGTCCATAAGCGACATAGGGGTCGTAGCTTCCTTCCTTTGCAAACTCCATGTCGTCAAAGCGGACGGGGCTTATGAGATGGCCACTACTAGACAGGTTGATGACGCGAGACTTACGCTCAGGCGAAGCTGATGACAGAAGAAGAGGCTTCAGTAGCTCGAACAGCAGGAAATGGCCGAAGTGGTTGCTTCCCATGTGCGTCTCGAAACCACTAATGGTCCTTCCCTGAGGCGCTGCCATAACACCTTCATATTGTTAGCACTAGTTTTGGCAAATTTGTCTGGCATGGGCAATCAAACCTGCGTTGTTGATCAAGATATCAAGCCTGTCGCTTCGAGACTTGAATTCAGCAGCTGCTGCTCGTACACTTTCAAGATCGCCCAGGTCCAGGTTCAAGAATTCGATCGTCTGTCCAGCTGGTGCGCCTTTGGTTATAGCCTCTATAGCAACCCGGCCTTTCTTAAGGTTGCGAAATGTCAAGTAAAGCTTAGCACCAGTCAAGTACAAAGCCCTTGCAGTCTCAACTCCAAGGCCGGCAGAGCATCCGGTGATTAGAATGACAGCATTCTTGAGCGTTCCTTCAGCTTTCAGATCTTGAACAATCTCAAGAGCGGTAGGCCTGTCGTCGCCAATGCCTCTCAAGTTTGCATGTCTGGCAAGATATGGTCGAAAAAGTTCTGTGGTTGGCGACATTTGGTTGCATCGATGTGAAGGATGAAGAGATTAATGTTCTACGCACCCGCTGTATATAACCTCGAAGCATTCAGGCAGGACATGTTAAATAATGGTTTCAGATATAGTGGCTTGTTGCAGACTGACTCGCAGCGGAATGTCAGGCTGGTGGGGAGGAGTTCTGAGTACAGTCAAAAGATGATGCAGTAGGAGTTTGCAAAGGACCACCTCTTAACTTCGATCTAGCCATGGATCCAAGTATCGATACCACATTCATGCACAAGGTAGCAAGTCTAAGCCAGGGGAGTACAAAGAGAACAAAACGTACAGCAGCAGGGATTCCCACGTGGTCACCCACCGTAGTACTAATCTGCCGTTCAACTGCTTATGTATGGCAGAGCGGACGGGATGCCCAGTTTTCAGCTGACTGTGGCCGTACGTGAGTGAGGTCCGGATTTGACAAAAAATCATCTGTGCAAAAAGAGTTGGGTCCATAATGTCAACTTTAAAAGTGATCGACATGAACCAAAAATATAGATGCAGTGGCTTTTCTAGAAGAATACGACTACAAGAAGAGTCGATAGAACAACAATCGCAAGGAACAGGACCCATCCTCATAAGTAATCGTCATCATGTGTGCTTTGTCCCTTTAATAACCCGGGACTCCCGCTAACTGCAAAGAAGAAGAAGAATCGAACATCACCAAAACCAGAGTGACGGAGAAGAGAAGTTTTAGGCGGAGATCCAGATACCCTACCTTTTTCTGTAGCCATCAAGGCCAGGATCACCGAACATTTGTGCTGGGCTGTGACCCTTCGTCATGCCATCAAGCCCTGACCCAGAGTCACTCCTGAATATCTCGGACTGTGCGTATGGATCGGACTCCCAAACTTCGAGACCCTCGAGTGGTAGCGACTCTCCATAAGGTTTGTTGACACCATATTGGTGAAGCGCACCATTGATACCAGTGAGTGCCCACGCGAAGACGGCTTGATCTCGAATCGAACTCATAAAGTCATCCTGAGCAGGTCCTCCAACTCTGATATGATCAGGCTGGGCACTGAAGGGACCCAGAGATGGTGCAAAATTTGTAGCAAATGGTTGCTGTGAGCGTGCCTCCATTGGTGGTAGGATCGGTTCTGTCGCCCAGGGAGCAGCGAAAAGACCGTTGTCGTACCTTGAGCGTGTCTGTGTTGGAAGCATAGGGCGAGCCCGCCTCAAACATACAACAAGACCGTCGGACGTACAAGAAATGACTGCTTCTAGTTCAATTGGATTTCGCTGGATAGGGGGCCTGACACTTCCGTCTGGTGAGGTGGTAGACGAGGCCGAGGATTCCTCGACTATCGAGTCCCCGAAGATTGCCGAATGTGTGTCGCGTACGTCGGTGCTGCTGTGCCCTGATGTGGTTCTGGAGTTTGAAATGTGGTTTGATGAGTCGACATCCATACTCTCAGATGCTGAATGCGAGTCGTCGATATGAACGCCTCCACCAACTTCCTGATCGACGCTGCTCTCTGCTCCCATATCATCGTCGCTTTCTTCATCCATCGGTGTCGTGGCGTCTTCATCTATGCGAGGGTCGCGGAACCAGAATCTCAGGTATGCTATCGAGTCGTTTGCTTTTGCGTTCTCGAGACATTTGATAGCATCTTGGAGACAGTTCTCGGCGATACAGTAGTAAAAACTGCGACCTCTCATGTATTCGGCCGGAATGCCAATCACCTCTTCCAGGCCCGCAGTGGCGTACATGATGGTCAAAGTACGAGTAAAGCGATTCAAGAACAGAGCGGCTCGGGGCTCGTGGCTTGCCTTTGGGGCAGGTTGCTTGAACTTGCCCGAGATGTGTGACAACATGTGGTAACGGGGATCGCGTGGTGAGGACGAGAACAAGCGTCGAATGATGGGGGCTTCTTCGGCGCGNNCTCTGCAACATGTGTCAGCTGAGTGGTTGGTTGCAAGAAACCAGGTCGACTTACTCTGACTCGGTAAGCCCCTTCGATAGATGGACGTGCAAACAATCATGACATCGTAGACGACGGTAAAACAACATTCAACACCGGTCCATTGTCCTTCTTTGTTTTTTACTCTGCAGTATGACAGGACGGCAGCCTTGTCCATCTGAACACCCTTCTTGTGAAACGCTTGAGCAAAAGGCAGCTCATCTTCGCAGAAGAATTCCCAACACGAGCGATTGACGACTTCATCGGGGGTCCAGCCGAGAACGTCGACGATAGAATCCGAGGAATAAAGGACACGGGCATCGGGAGTGAGGTCNNTGTATTTGACTCAGCATAAAGAAGCAGATTGTGCGTCTGAGAGGGGCATACCGTGAATTGAGATAAAGGTCAAGTCCATGGTGGCGAAGGAAGTGGAGAAGAGTGCCAAGTGGCGGCCGGGATTGTGTTTCGTGCGTGGCCAAGGAAGAGTATGCAAGTTGCCACTATAGGGTGAGTGTCGCAGGTTCTGAGCAGTCGAGGGCTCTGCAAAGGGAGGGCTAAGGGTCCACGAGACAGGGAGTCCGGTACGGTCCAACGGGCTGACGAGCAAGAGGTCGAAGAAGAGGTCGAGGATGAGGCTGCAGATAGCGGGTCGAGTCTAGTAGCTAGGTGGGCGGCAGGAGTAATATAGGGCTGGGAGAGGCATGGGTCTCTAGGTCTTATAGTGGGCGTGGTGCAGGGTAGGCAGGCTGCAATGGCGAGTCCGGCTCGGCGGTTGACTCGGGACTGACAGGGCGAGGTCGTGGTTGCGCAACAATATATAGCCCTATCCGTGCTAGCGACGACAATGCAGTTGGCGACCTTGGGCGAAGACTCGAGATGCGACAATCACAAAGTAGCGTGGGATAAAATTGCGGCCGACAAGAGCAAGAGCCAGAGGGCACGGCTCTAAGCACCCTCGCCTCTGCCCGAGTCGAGAGTTGCACAAACTGTCGTCGACGTCACATACTTGACCTTGGCGTCCTACTCACCAAGTCGGATTCCCTACATTGCGAACCACAGCATTGGGTCCATTCCCGGAAGGAGCGGCTGTCAGTATACCTGACAGATCGCTTGTCCAATCAATTGACAACCTAGGAAAGGTCGACTTTGGAGTGGTTGTGATTGCTGTCTTTCAGAGTGCCATCAGCGGTCGGCAATTGCTCCGACTGCCCGGCCTCCAGCTCCGCTCCCTAACAAAGACCAGCAGGGTAGTGATGTGTGTGTCTGTCCTCGGCTGCCTGAGCTTGAATCGAACTTCTGGCCGCCATCGCCATCTCACCAAATCAATCACTGATCCTGGTTTCCCATCGTCGTGCTACCGATTTTTTTGCCGGTCACGTAAGAGAAACTTGTTGTAATTCGTCTGCCATATGCATGGTGATATAAATTGTAAAAGTGCCAAAACAAGCGAGAGGCCGTACGCAATTCGGTTGATTGTGAATTCGACGATCCTCTCGTGTTTATTTCGTGAGAGCAACTTCCGCCCAAGCAAACGCAGGAATTTGGCGTTGGCGCTGGCGTTGGCGTTGTTTGTGCCTTCCACCACAACACGCAGCTCTCACTGATTCATGTACATTCACTGGTCCATAACACATTCACTCTCACAGCCTCCGGTGCACAAACACTTCTGTGCTTCAAAAGTGCATTTACCCAATTTGGCCACCACCCACCCACAACGCAAACGCATCATGCAACCTCCATCCTGATAACAACCATCCGAGTGAGCCTGGCTATTTGTGGATCCCGCTCATCACTGTTCTCCAACCATGGATTTTCCACAGCTAAAGGCTTTCCTGCGATTATCCGTACGTCCAATTCCCTATTTGATCCGCAAGAAATTTGATCCTCTCGCTAAACATATTAAAAGGATGAAGGACAGGATGGTACGTACGCAGTCGTTTCAGTCGGCGACAGTTTCTTTCTCCATCGACTGAATCTCACCTGATATCGTTCTAGTCTCAATTTACGACATAAAATTTTACCCATATTCAGAGCCGGGTGAAGATCCCGTCTTTGCCGCCGTGGCAGAAAGAGAAGTAAGCATTATACAATCATCAGTCAACAAATTGCAGGGTAACCAAATTAGNATCTACATATGCAAGCCTATTGGNCAATCAGCCACCTCCAAGACTAACAGTCTGGAGGTCTTGATGGTCCTTGAGGACCCTGATGTATGTCCGCAGTGTCCTTGCAGTGCTAATTCAAGTATTGATTTTTGTGCCATAGCTGACCATCCGGTCAGNGAAGATTCTTCTCTCAACAGTGTTACATGGTCAGTAGACGTTGATACTGACGAGCCCCTCGTTTGTGTCGCTGGATCTGGATCGAAAAACATCAAAATCTGGAATGCGGTCACTGGGGAGCTGGTTCGGATTCTCTATGGACATGGCGGTGCCATAAATGATTTGACAACATCGCCAATCTCGCCACAAATTCTGGCATCCTGCTCTGCCGACTACAGCATTCGAATATGGAATCTGGGTTCTCAGTACTACAAACAGCCATGTACAGCGATATTCTCAGGGGAAGGCCACGAACAGACAATCCTTTCTATCGTGAGCGGCCCAGCCCCTGACTATGCACATCGCTGACAAGTACTGCAGGCTTTCCACGACAATGGTAAGTGGCTATTAAGTGGCGGTCAGGATACGATGATCTGCTTGGTAAGTACTGTTTCTGTTGGGAAAGGTACAGTGTCATTGCTTACCCATGCANNGTGGAGCATACCAGCCGTGCCAGACGAAGACGCAGGGACAGACAAACCGGCTGTCGTGGTATATCCTCATTTTGCCAGTATTGGCATGCACTCAGACTACGTAGATTGGTATCCAAGAACGCCTTTCTCGTCCAGTAGTCATTTCACGCTAACAGATAAANNCAGTGTTAGGTTCTGGGGTGACCTCGTCCTATCCAAAGCATCTACAGGAAACAACATCAAAGTCACGCGAGGGGAAATAATGCTCTGGAAAATCGATGGATTCTTCTCTGGCGACAACAATCCACCAGAACCACCCATGCCTGGATATGGACGAGCCGTACGATCTGCCTTCGGCCACAGCTTCCAGCGTCTATGGACTTTCGACATGACTAACATAGAGCCATTCTACATGCGCTTTGGCCTATTCAAAGAACACGGCTACCGCCCTATGCTCGTCATGGGTAATATCAAGGCTCGCTTCTCTTTCTGGGACTTGCAGAGGTTCGAGGAGCGTCGCACTACTGGCAAGAATCCAGTTCCTGTTGTCGACAAGAATCAGCGGATCAAGGACGGTGTCGAAAAAGTCTTGGAGAAGAGGAGAGCTGCAAAACAAGCCTCGGAGAAGAGGAATGCTGCCGAGCAGACCTTGAATATCAATACGCGAGCCGACAGTGCCACTGATAGTGAAGCCAACGACAAAGATCCAACTACTGTCGCTAAGAACAATAAGCGGAAAAGGGGTCTTGCGGAAAAGGTCCTCATCAACAATACAACTAGAGCTACTAGCGCTACAAGCGATCGGACGAGCACAAGCGGTCGCGGAAGCAAATATTCCGGAGGTACGTTATTTCACAAAACCAGCCGGATGATCAATACCCTAACCTATGCAAAAGCATCACCCTTACCTCGCCCTACATCAGTCTCTGGCACAACTCCCGCCATGACTCCAGATTCATTCAACACTCTCGGACCAAACTCTGATAGCGCAGATTCCAAACCAGAGAAGCCCTTTCGCAATACCAAAAACTACATTCGACAAGCCGCTCATAGATCGACGGTGGTTAACTGTCCCATCGACTTTGCATGCAGAGCCATCGATTGGAGTGTTGATGGCAAGTGGTGCGTCGGAGTGGGAGATCACGGCATGGTTGCAATATTCGGACGTTGGTTGGATAAATGACATCCGCTCTGAACATCTTTGGCTCTGGTTCAGACTCGAGCGCAAAGGATATGGAGGGCAGGATCTGCCCTTGACGGGCTGTATGTCCCGATGGTTCGTTCATATCAGTGAGCATGGGAAAGATGATCACTGCCCCTATCAGCCAAATTGTTTTATTGTCGATGATCTCGAAAATCAACACGAGGCTCCAGCAGGTTGGCATGTGATGCTAGCGGGTCATGCTTAAGAACACTAGGTCTGCTGGGAGAGCTGCATACAACTCCTCCAAGAGTGGAGCAGGCAGCAGCATGGAAGCGGTTTGATGAAGGAGAGAAGGTACATCCGACGCGTGGCTAAGTGATCAATAAGGGCTTTTAGCTTAGTGATCAACTACGTGCAGTAATACTATCTAGGTCCTTGGCCGACTAACAATAACAAAAGCACACATTTGCTTCCACTCTATCATCCTAGCCCTAGCATCCACTTCACAACCACCCAGACTATACTGACAGGCCAGAGCATCACCGCCAGCACTCTTCCGACAGCTGCTCCGATGCGCACGACAATCGCTAGACAGCACAATATCATGATTGCCCGCACAGCCATAAACGCCAAAGCTTTGATTGCCTGCCACCGCTCGATGGGCTTGGAGGCCGAATCAGATAAGATGTGGATAGCTTGAGTGAGGCCAATATGAAGGCCTTGTGAGGATCCATCACGTGTTGAAGATGTTGATTTGCAAAACACTTGGTTGATCGCCCATGCAAGGAATCCGACTAATTGGGTCTCGAGAGGAGATAACGTTTCGGCCACCGAAGTCCCAGAGACAGTGCTCGTGCTCGAGTGACTCAAGTAAGGTGGAGGCGGAGTAGATGTATACTCGCGGGGCACTGGTGCAGTCTTCTCATGTCGTCCCTTTACAGCTTGGCCGTCTGGATGAACGACACGGACTCTAGGCAGCTGTCGCAGATCTTGGAAACGAGAAGTGTTGGAGTTGGACCGCGCGCGCTCAGCCCCTCCAAGAGTAGGACTCTGACTAGGAGAATGTTGCTTTTCTCGTGTAGAGGTCGGGTTTGGTACGCTCACGCCAGAATCTCTGCGCTCGTAGCCGGGAGCCGGCGAGCACATGGATCTGCGGTCAGAACGTGGAGACTCGCAGAACTCAGGGAAAGCAGATGTTGGTGGTGAAGATTCAGCTGCCTTTTCTTTTCGTCCGGCAGGGTCCTGCTCGCTAGGCGTTGCAGAGCGAGGATTGCTAAAGTCTCGCAGGGCCTTGGTGGCTTGAGCAAACTTGCGTGGTCCAGCACCAATACTATGCATCCTGCCATTCATTCCCTCTTTGTGTGACAGGCGTAGTGCTTTGTCCTTGTAATACTGCACAGCCTTGTCTTGGTCTGCTTGTTGATACGGCTGTGGGTCTTTCGCCGTCGGCATAGGAATCACAAAGCTGTCCTCGCTTGCATTAAAGTCAGCTCTTGTGGCTGATGAGTTGGCGGTATTGGTCCTGGGAGATCCGACTTCCGTGTCTGGTTCCATGTTCCATCCCGTCGAGTCTTGACGCCACCGGCCTCTTGGACCTGCTGGTCTCGGTCTTGGGGTTGTAGTGCGCGGCTCCTCGGGCATTCGAGCTTTGGGGGAGGAGTCATGGGGTGGTGCATAATCGTTTCCAAATAATGAGAGTGCTTCGGCCGGGGACATGGGCGTTCGAGGAGTGAGGTTGGTCACGACACTCGGGCTGATCAGCCCGGTCCTTGGGTTGGCCGCCCGTGCCGTGAGATAGTCATCGGTACCTCTAACACCCATAGCTAGATTTGTGGTATGTCGTTGCGGTGTTCTAGGTGGGTTGCGAAAGGTATCTCTCAACCATACTCGTCTCTCAGGACGCTGAGGGCGATGTTGTGGGGCTGGACAATTACAAGCACTTGTCGGCGAACTTTGTTTTGGTAGAGGATTAGGGTTGTAATTTTCAGCAGACAGTCGAGCAAGTAAAGGATGAAGTCGATGGGTGACGATGTCCGTATTTCTAGCATCCATGGAAGGGAAGAGGAATGTGGTTTTGGTTGCGATGTCAACCAGCAACGGTTGGTGGTTCTCAGACGGAACCTGGGGAAGTCCTTCCGATCCGTTGCTATCTCAATCGCTGCTTCCAAGAAATCGAACCATCATTGACAGTTCATAGTCAAAAGCCGTTATACATGTGTCGCAAGCTTGCAAGTCGCAATTTCGGCCCTGGCGGACGGATTTCAGTTATCCCCAATTGCGTCGACTTCAGCGTACTGCATCCATTGGTCGTTGTTGGCTTTCTTCCAGACCTGCACAAGTCCGTCATCACCAGTAGACACTAGCAGATCGCCNNTATTAACATGGTCAGCTCATGATCTTTGTAGGATACTCGGCTTGTCCTCACCCATCTGTGAGAAACCAATCCTCCAGACCGCACCACTATGAGCAGAAAGCTCGGCTGCGAGTCTTGCTTCCTGGTTGACTCCGCCCGGGCGTCCTTGCTCCTCACTTCTACCGCTTCGTGGTCCTCCAGCGAGTCCGGCGCCAATGCCAGACTGATTAGGCTTGGAGTGTGTCGGCGATTTGAGTCCAGATGAAGCTTCTACAGTGTGTTGCAATTGTGACGCTGAAGTCTCCGAGACACCTGGAGTGTGCACCTCATAAACTCGAACGTAACCGTCTTTGCTGGCCGTCGCGATCACGTCGAAGCCGCGCATTGAGCCATTTGCCCAAGCGACGTCTCGTATCAATGCATTTGATCCTTTGAGTTCGGCGGCCGTATAGAATTTGCGGTCCTTGTCGCTGCGGAAGATCTTGACAGTATCCATGACCGAAACGGCTAGCGACAAGCTCTTCCGGTCGAGTCCAGCCATTATGGCAGGCCATGCGGGCAGCTTCTCGTGATGCCAGCTCAGACGGAACCCTGTCTCTTCTGTCCTTTGCGGGGTCTTGCACAAATGATCCTGCCACAAGATCTGCCATTCTGAGAGGTTGTCGTGATCGACTGGCTCACAGACTGTCAGCTGCCCATCACGGGAGATGACGGCCAGATATGTTTCAGTGCCGATATTCTTGAAGTCCAGAGACATGTACGGTACTCGCGTTGCCGAAGGTTGCTGGTAGATTCTTTTGAACCTACGGCCAGAGAGAGGTGCTTCAAGTACATCCTCTTGCCATATCCGTAGCAGACCGTCTTCTCCGACGCTCCCTATGATCTCGCCCACAAAGGGACCATTCCACTTAANCCTGGTGAAGGTCAGAAACAGATTCAGTGGTGTGAGTCTATAACATTGACTCACATCAGTCACCTCGGCATCGTGCGCTTTCCAGACGTCGGTCACTGTCCATCCATCGTCCTTTCTGTCCCAGACCTTCAATCGATGGTCTGACGATGCGGTCACCATGCGCGTCCCGTAGAAATTGTAGTCCACCGCTAGAACGAGATCGTGATGGCCATGGCTGAAATGATGGAAAGAGTTGTTAGTAGCCATGTTACGTCCCAGCCAAACACAAGAGCAGTGTTAATAAGCTGATACAGGTGATACAGAGTGCTTTCGCTGACTCGCGTCCGTACGTCGCAGGCGATCGATTGTATGTGGAAGTGATTTCTCTCACGAAATCGTTTCGGAGACAGCGATTCTTGAACGTGTAATCGGGTTTCAAAAGTGGAGTGAAAGTGAGTAGCTAGAGAACTATTTGAAGGTGATGCGACCACGCGTGTATCTTAGCTTCGGACATACGCGGAGTTTAGAGCCTGCCTCAATCGATGCTGTGTCTTCGGACAACACCATCGTTCTCAGCTGAATGCAAATTTGTATCACAATATTGGTAAAGTTTTAGGAAACACAATGTCATTGTAGTAAATTCGTCAATTGATCTCTTGAATGATATAAATAATATACATGAAACAGATAGTAGGCAATGTAGCCATTCGTGATATCAAAATAACCTCGAATTCAAAACTGGTATCGCTTTTTCCCATTGCATCACACTTAACTCCCATAAAAGCAGATGTTCGTTGCACTGGCGTAAAGCTCTACCACTCGAGGGGCTCGGTCTTCTCTTCACCACGGTTGGTCTTAGGAACTGGTGCGGCCTCGACCTTGACGGGACCCTTACGGTCGCGCTTGAGGTAGCCGGAGCCGTCGAGCCAAGGGGTTTCCTCGGTACGTCTGCGCTCGAACTTGACAATCTTGTCGTCCATTTGCATCGTAAGACCGATGTCATCAAGACCGTTGACGAGACAGTGCTTGCGGAACTCCTCGACATCGAAGGATGAGAGGACAGTTCCGTCGGCCTTGTTGATCTCCTGGTTCACAAGGTCGACCTCAATCTCTGAGCCAGTGCTGGCCTCGTCGAAGATGGCCTTAAGAGCCTTCTCATCGCCGATGCGGATGGGGAGCATGCCGTTCTTGAAGCAGTTGTTGAAGAAGATATCACCGAACGAGGGAGCGATGATGCAGAGGATGCCGAAGTCGAGAAGTGCCCAAGGGGCGTGCTCTCTGCTGGAGCCGCAGCCGAAGTTAGGACCCTGGACGACAAGGATCTTCGAGTCACGGTAAGGCTTCTGGTTGAGAACAAAGTCGGAGTTCTCGCTCTTGTCCTCGTTGTAGCGCCAGTCATTGAACAAAGCGGAGCCTAGACCAGAACGCTTGATGGTCTTCAAGAACTGCTTAGGGATGATGGCATCGGTGTCGACGTTCGAGCGGTCGAGAGGAGCGGCAAGCCCCTTAAGCTGGGTGAACTTGGGCATACCAGTCGAGGTGGTAGGGGCACCGCTGGAAACAGTGTTGCCCTGAGATGTCTCGTCGAGGTCCATGATCTCCTCAAGGTCGGCGTCGCTCTCGGGTGCAGCTACTTCAGGCTCAGCAGAGACCTCACGAGGAGCCTTGCCAGTGACCTGCTGGTAGCCATCGAGCTTGCGCACGTCGGCAAGCTTGCCAACAAGGGCACAAGCGGCGGCCATGGCGGGAGACATCAAGTGAGTACGACCCTGGGCACCCTGTCTGCCCTCGAAGTTGCGGTTGGAGGTGGAGGCACAACGCTCCTTGGGCGAGAGGATGTCAGGGTTCATACCAAGACACATGGAGCAACCGGCCTCTCTCCATTCGAAACCTGCATCAATAAAGATCTGGTCGAGACCCTCGGACTCGGCGCGCTGCTTGACAAGACCAGATCCAGGGACAACCATGGCGCGCTTGATGTTGGAGGCGACCTTCTTGCCCTTGACGATACCAGCGGCAGTGCGAAGATCCTCAATACGGGCGTTGGTGCAAGATCCGATAAAGACCTTGTCCAAGACAACCTCCTCCATGGGGGTGCCCGCAGTAAGACCCATGTATTCGAGAGCTCTGATGCAAGCCTTCTTTCTGTTTTCGTCCTGGAAGTCATCGGGACCGGGAACAACACCGTCGATAGGGATCACATCCTGAGGCGAGGTACCCCAGGAGACAGTGGGAGCGATGTCCTTGGCGTCGATGAAGATATCGTAGTCGAACTTGGCGCCCTCGTCGGTCTTCAATGAGGACCAGTAGGCAACGGCCTTTTTCCATTCAGGGCTGTCGACTTTGGGAGCAAGAGGCTTGCCCTTGAGGTAGTCAAAGGTGATCTGGTCGGGAGCGATCATTCCAGCTCTGGCACCTCCCTCGATTGACATGTTGCAAATGGACATTCTGGCCTCCATGGAGAGACTGCGGATGGCGGAACCACAGAACTCGATGACACACCCGGTACCACCTGCAGTACCGATCTGACCGATAACGTAGAGGACAATGTCCTTGCTGCTGACACCAGGGGCGAGCTGACCGTCGACCTGCACACGCATGTTCTTGCTGCGCTGGGTGATGAGTGTCTGGGTAGCGAGCACGTGCTCAACCTCACTGGTACCGATACCGAAGGCGAGCGAGCCGAAAGCACCGTGGGTCGAGGTGTGACTGTCACCGCAGACGACAGTGGTGCCAGGGAGGGTGAAGCCCTGCTCGGGGCCAATGATGTGAACAATTCCCTGTCTCTTGTCGCCCATACCGAAGTAGGTGAGGTTGAACTCCTTCACATTGTCCTCGAGGGTGGTGCACTGTAACCTCGAGTCGTCCTCCTCGATGAATGTGGCAGCGCTCTTGAAGTTTTTCCTTGATGACGTAGGCACGTTGTGGTCGGTCGTGACAAGAGTGCAGTCGGGTCTTCGCACTTGTCTGCTGGCGTTCCTGAGGCCCTCGAAGGCCTGAGGCGATGTGACTTCGTGGACGAGATGTCTGTCGATGTATAGCAAGATGGTGCCGTCATCTCTCTCGTTGACGATGTGGTCTTGGAAGACCTTGTCGTACAAGGTTCTGGGTCCTTTTACAACACCGGGCATTGTGAATGGCTTGGTTTCTGTGATCAATTGAGGAAGAGTAGGAAACAGATAGAGGCGTCAATACTGAGTGACTGAAGCGTGGGTATCAAAGATGAAAGGAAGAGGCAATAATGAGATTCGAAGAGATGTTTCCAACCGCCTCAACCTATACTTGTATTTCTGGCTGCTCTCGATGACCGCAGCCTCCGATCTCGACGGCCTCTGTTACAACCTGCTGCGTGTGATTGGCTTGATGATCCCCACGATGCCCGTGCCCCTCACAGCTCGCCCCCGGTTGCGGCATCGCTGCTCGCTGCGCTCCGATCTCGCCCACGACTCTCCTTCCACCTGCACCACTGTCATGTTGGTGATATGTTTACCATCAAGCTGATTCAGACAATGTCAAGAGATCTGCTTCCACCTGCCTATTTTAACATTGATTATCTTCGAACCCATACCGCAAGGTGTTGGCGTCCTGATCACACGCCTATCTAGCCTATCTCGCTGGCTGTAGTTGTTCGAGCCACCCATCTCCACTGCCGGTTCGTGCGATTACGTATGGCCTTCGCGAGTTTACCTCATCGAAACAAACTTTCAGATCTTCTCCATCGGCATCCCCGCTTTAGGGCGTGTTTAGGAACACCACTTTGTGATACAGATTATATGCAGAAGAACGGGTATTCAAATGCTAATAGGATTTCTCTATCATGTCTATTTACATATCACGGTCAAGGACTATAGGTTGTCTTGCGAGAATATGACCAAAGCAAGACGGTGTCTGACTGCGAGACCGAGGAGGCCTATAAAGGTCTGCATGGCCAAAATCTCGACCGCGAGGCGATCCTCCCTCCTGGGTCCTCTCCAAACTAGCCATAGGTTGAGAATGGTCAGATTCGTGGTAGACACGACCGTTCCCTTCTCATCCGTCTCGACACGCAACAACTTCAGGGTATCCAAGACCTTGAGGACTTCCCCCACCCATTTGTTCAAGGGCTTTTCCGGCGAGAAAGTAGCTTTTGATGGTTCCAAAAGGCCAGTGCGAGCATTAAATCGTGGTAGTCTATGGCGAGGGCAAGGGACGATGTGGAAGAGTTGAGGTGCAGAGTAAATGAAGTTGAAAACTTGAGGGATGAAAAGAAGCATTAGAGTCTTGCTGAAGTGACCCATGATGCCCACCACGGCAAAGACCATTCCAGCAAAGTAGCAGTACGTGTCTCCAACAAACACCTTGGCAGGGAACCAGTTGTGTTTGAGGAGCGCGAAAGATACTCCGAGGAACGGGAGCAAAAGGTAGACCGAGAACAAGTGCGAATCAGTCGCTGGATGCAGAGTCGGAGTCGAAGGAACCAGATAGAACGCGTCATTCAAGAGGATTAGCATGGCAATCACAATCGACTGGGCAACCTCGATGCCATTGATACCAGCAAGGATGTTGATGCTGTTAGGGCAAAAGATGGAAATGGCCGACATGTACAAGTAGTACAATGAACCCAGGTCTACGATCTCCCCTAGGTATGGCCTCAGTGGGATAGGAACCACGACGTGAGTGACGCCAAAGTCGACAAAGTACAATCCCAATATAGGGAGCGATGCGAAAGCTGGGATGAAGAATTTGTGCCTCCATCTGATGTCGAAGAAGTCATCGATGATGCCCAGAATGATAACAGTCGCAAGAGTGCCATATGCGAATCCATACGATGCAAGCTNTGGTTTGTCAGGAACATGCTACAGCATGGTGTATGATGCTGCACTCACCTTCTCGAGAGGGAATCGATGCAGGAATCTTCCTGTTTCAACTACCTGGGCTTCGATCACAACATCCTTGTTGCCGCCCCCTGAAGTTGCCGCTACGATGTCGTGCTTGAAAGCAAAGGGTAGGAAGGTGATGATGCACAACAAATAAACGAGAGCGCTAACCAAGCCCATCATCTCTGGACTGCATACCACAAGTCAGCGTAAATGTTGTTGTCTTAGAGGGCATACCGCTGACAGTTCAATGGGTTGTTTTTNTGACATATCCTTTCCTTTTCGCCCAACTCGAATGAACGCGTCTCCTGTCCATCTTATAATGGCATACGATGATGAGAATGCCAAACCGCTCAAAGCAAGCGATGCGAACACTGGTGCACCATCACTGCTCCAAGTGTTAGAGAGTACGCCAAGGCTTGCTACAGAGCAAGCCAATAGTGACCACGTCTCGGTGTTGCTGAGTTGTCCAGTCATTAGTGTGGTCGAGGTGGAGTCAGTCAGTCAGATCCATTGACTTGCTATGTCCCTGAGGAGTTGTCGCGAGGTCTTGTTGCACAGTGAGCTGTTGGAAAAGGTGTCAACTTTCACATGTTCGCAATGCTCCTGAGTCTAATGCCGCTTATGTCCGAGGCTAACGTCGATCCACTTTGATCTTTATGTCTTTATCACTCTTTGTTCAACCGACTTGGGTTATTAGAAGATGCTCCTATATACTTTCTCTCCAGGAATAGCACATACTGCATCTAGTTTCAGAGCCTTATCCCGATAAATTACCACATTGCGATACTGTTGGACGTGAGGTGGTCAACGTGAGTCCTCGTTTGACTTCAACAAAGGCTTCAGAGCAAGGCACTACTGAGCGCGGCACAATGGTCAAACGTCGATGCGAGAACCTAAACTATAATAAGACGCGCAAGTGAGTAGTTTGTGTGTATTATTCAAGCAATACACTGTCACATTGTCTTCAATATATCGGAACAGCATCAGGAGCAGGGTCATATCTACAGCGTGATGTGTCTCGAAACCTCAAACCGACGACAAATGGGCAACATAGAAGTCTCTCGGGAGCCGATGATGGAAGATTGAATGAACTCGAAGTTTGCTTGCTTATGACCTTCAAAGCAGTCCCTACTCTTACAGATTCTCGACCCGACAAACACCAAAGCCTAGTTGCTATCGACACTCCTCGTATCGCCAACCATGAGACCCAGTTTTGATATGTACCGTGCGAACAGTGAGTGGGAGGCATTCATGCCGGGCCTGTTTTATACAGCGAAAAGATCGGACCAGATATGAACACGGATGCCGACCATCTACCAACCCTGCTTTCTCATCTTGTTGACCATCTTGACAGTACCACGGAAAGCCTCCTTGAATCGTTTTCTCCAGCGCTCAGAGTGTAGACGCTTCCTCTTGAGACCGGGACGCTCGTGGAAACGCTGCTTGTTGAAATCCTGGCGGACTCTGTTTCTGCCGCAAAGTTGTTCGACCTCACGGAAAGCACGGCCAACGTCGCCGCCGTTTCTGACTTGGACGGTCTTGCCGAGAGTAGGGCCAGGAGTGAAGTCTAGGTCCCTGACAGGTCTAATCTCTGGCCTGTAGAGGCTGTTTATGGAGTTTGACGATCTGTTGGAGGGTCTCAGACTCGTAAGGAAGTCTTCCATAGAGTCCATGGGCTTGACACGGTGCTTCTCCTGAGCAGAAGGGGTAGCGAAGCGAGAGGTGCGGTGTTCGGCGACATTGGGGACACCCTTGGTGCCATCGAGGGCACTGTCCATCAAGTCGACCATTGAGGGAGTCTCATTGCGTTGTTGTGCGGGTGCCGGAGCGGATGTCGAAGCAGCGTCTTCTCCAGGGGTGGCAGAAAGGTCATGGGACCGTGTCTCTTTCTCTTCCTGTTTGAGTTGGCGGATGAAGGCGTCGGGTTGGTCTTGACGCAGCAGGCGTGTGGTGGTGAAGGAGCGGATGGCGAAGGGCGAGAGTTGGGTGCGGTATAGCGGCGACGAGTATAGCGATAGTGGACGACAGCGCGTCAGCGCCCGCGCGGCAGCTTGTGACAGTTCCATGGTGGAGGGTGTGGGAGAGAATGTCTATGTCGCTCGTGCTCGCTCGTGCTTGCCCCGGCGACTTTTCCAAAAAGGCCGCCAAGCATTGCCGACAGCGAAGGCAGTTGCGCGCAGTCTCGAACTCGATCCATCTTCGATTTGCTCTTTCCTGTTTCATCCACTCTACCATCTGCGCCATGGCTTACAACAACTATCCCCGTATGTTCTGTTTCCAACTTTGTTTCGCTCTGGCTGTATGCTAACCGTCCACAGCTCCGGGATCGTATGGCAGGCCGCCGTATGGCTTCCCGCCCAACATGGGCCCTCCGCCAGCCATGGGTACGCATTCACGAACTGTCTGTTATACACGAGCATGCACTGACTAGCCTTCTCCAGGCGCTGCGCCTGCCATGTCCCCTGCGCCAGGCATGAGCCCTGCTGCTACTCCCCTTCCCGGTCGTCCTACCTCAGTCGCTGCTCCCTTCGCTCCGCCGCAAAACTTGCCCGACATCAACTTCAACGCTCCCGTCATTCGCCTCGGTGTCAGCCAATCTGCCTCCAAGCCTTCTTCTTATGGCTACGATTCACGCGCTCCCGATAATGCTTCTGGAAACCGAAGTCGCATAGGTCTGGGCGCCGACCAAAGACTACCGCGCGAAACTGTTCAACTCGTTCCTCCCACTCTGGAAGAGGTCAGCAGAACCATCTTTATCGGAGGTCTGGTCGATGGCGTTCCCGACGATGCCCAGCTTGAGGATATCCTGGGCGCTGGAGGTCAAGGTCCCGTCAAGCTACGTCGCTGGACCCGTGTTACTGACGCCGATGGAAAGCCCTGTCGCTTCGGCTTCGCCGAGTACGAAGATGCTGGTGCCCTACAGCTTGCTACCGAAATCCTCAAGGACGTTGATGTACCTTTGCGGGAAAAGGGCAAGCTTTTGAAAGACGAGGAAGGGAATGTCAAGAAAGCTACACTCTTGGTGGTTGTAGACCAGAACTCGCTCGAATACATAGAGAAGTGGTCAAAGCCTTCTGCTGAAGAGCTTCAGTTCCGTCTGGATACCGCAAAGGACGACCTGAACCGTGTTCTGGCCCATTTGTCTTCTCAGGATTCTTTGACCAACGGTGCAGACAAGAACGGAGATGTTGCCATGGAAGATGGCCACAAGCCAGATGGTGCAGAAGTTATTACTATTCCTGTCGCTGCCGAAGACGAGCTGTCCGACATTCCCGCCGAAATGCGCGAGACGGTCGCCGCCGAGATCGCCGCTTTCAGAGACCGTAGTATTCAGCGCGACCTTGAGCGCCTACGCAAGGAGGAAGAGTTGGAGGCCGCCGAACGCAATCGATCCGCACCAAGGCCTAGTCGCCTGGCTTCCCCACCTCCTTCCGGTCCTGGAGGTGTTAATGGTGTACCTGTAGGTCCTCGTGATCGCACCGTTGCTGGAGCACCATCAGGTCCAAAGGGATACAGGGGCGCACAAATGCCCAAGGATTACATCGATGGTGTCAACTTTGTCAACGGAAAGCATGAAGACGACGACGACCCGGCTTCTGATTCGGAACTCGAACGACGTCGCGAGGAGAAGAAGAATGCAGAGTTGGAGAAGGTGTATCTGGACCAAGAAAGACGCTGGCTCAATGTGGAAAGAAGACATATTCAGGCTCTTGCACGTGCCGATGCGGAAGAAGAAGCAGAGCAAAGCGCTCGCCAGCAGCGTCGCGAGACTCTAGCGCAAAAGTATGGCGAATTTGACGACGAGGAGGAACTGCGCAGACCCACCGAGCTGTTTTACCGCGACCGTAAGGCGTGGATCCGCGCACGCAGAGACTTCAAGCATGCCGAACGCTCTAGAGACGAAAAAGATCGCGAGGACGAGAGGAAAGAACGCGCACGCGAGCAGCGCAAGATGGATGGTGCTCGCGGCATGGCCGACGATTTCCTGGCTGACGCTGGACAAGAGCTGTCGGCCCGTAGTGCAGCGAAGCCGCAACCTAGAGCATTCACCCTCAACCTGGGCAGCCTCGGCGGCAATGGCGCAACTCGCGAGGAATCGGAGGAGCCGGAAGAACAACAGAAGAGGGGTGTGGCAAAGCAGCAGACTATGGCCGAGATGGAGGGTCTACTCGACGACGAAGACGATACTACACAAGGCAGTGGAGATCGCAAGAAGGCATTGTTGCGTGCAGTCGACTTCAAGCCTCTTGCTGCTGGCGAGAAGATGAACGACGACGAACGTACAGCCGCCACTCGCGCACTCGCCGCCTCCATTCCGACATCCCTCACCGACCTTTTCGGCTGGCCCGTCAAATGGGCACACCTTCCCGACTCGGTCATCCGCGAGCAACTGCGCCCTTACGTCCAGAAGAAGATTTTCGAGTCTCTGGGTGTGCAGGAGGATATGCTTGTCGAGGTCATCGAGGGCGTTGTGCGCAGACATGGTCGTCCCGAGGAGATTGTGGAGGAATTGAGCGACACGCTCGACGAAGAGGCCGAGGGACTGGCAAGAAAAGTGTGGCGTATGGTCGTCTTTTTCTCAGAGTCCGAGGCCAGGGGTCTGGTCGTCAGAGAGTAAAAGAGACTTGCTGAAGTCAAGATATGTAGTTTTACAAAGACTTTTCTCATTTGCAAACATATGGCCCGGATGCATCTTGTGCCGTGACCTGTCGTGCAATTCCTTGTAACCATAAAAATCGTTACAACATTCAAGTATAAAACAACAAGGAAGTGAGCGATTCTTCCACCACTCCAACATTCATATATCTACAAAAAAAAAGAGACATCATCTAGACCTCCTCAGCACCCCTCGGCAAGTCAAACAACCTCCGATAATCCACCTTGACACCCCCCAAAACACCCATCCCCATCTCTTTACCCCCAAACACCGACCCTACAGCCCCTCCCTCGCCATCGCACCAAAAGTCCGCACAATTACGCATCACACCCTTGGTAAACGGATTCTCCCGTCGCTGGGCGAGCACTTCTTGAGCGCGGGAGCCGTGCAGGGCAGTAGCGACAAAGGTATCGACACCCAACAAACGTTTCCACTGTCCAAAGCAAGATTCCTTGCCAGCGGTGGGGCGAGAAGTGCCTGTTGTAGGGCCACCACCCGAAGCCCCAATGCCACCGCCTTGTTGTGAGGTAGACCCCGTAGCGAGAGCGGTGACCAGCGGGCCAGCATGGCTATTACGCATGGCTTCCCAAGTCGTCATTGCGCGGGCGATTTGCGTGAGTTGGACAAAGAGAAGCATAATCGTCCAGGTCATTTGCATACTGCCCCAGCCGTTGACGAGAAGCGTAAATGGGTCTTTGGACCATTGGGCGCAGAATTCTGCTTTTAGGACTTCGCAGTGGATGGATGAGGGTGGTGGGGTGGGGAGGAGGGTGAGGTAGGCTAGTGTGAGTTGGATGAGGAAAGCGATGCCGGTGAGCAAGAAGATTATGTAGAGGACAAAGGCTCTGTGGTTGTTGACGCCCACACAGTTGTTTAACCCTAGGAGGAAAGTAATNNGTTAGCAATTGTTGTCTTATCTGTACTCGGAAGAAAAAAAAGACTCACAAGGGCAATGGTGATCATGTCTTGCCACACAGCGATTGCACCGCCTGCAGTGCTTGCTCCGTAGTGGTTTTCTAATCAAACACATTGTGCAGAAGTGCTGTTCGTCAAATGCTTTTGCACCAATAAGCTCCTCGATGGTCGCTTTCTGTTGTCCGCGAGACGCCGAGCGAGGGATATAACCAGGATCCATGAGCATGGCTGTAAAGTAGTAGTATGCACAGAGGCCAAACGAGGCCACGAAAAATAGGTTAAGGAAGAAATGACTCGAAAAGGNTAGCTGGGAAACGTTAGCAGATGCAGAGAAGGGAACCGTGATGAAAGCCTTACTGGGCAGAATATGAGTAATGTATCTGATGCCCACCCATGCAAGAGTCGCGGCGAAAACTCCAGCCAAGAACGGCTGTTCAAGCAAAGTCAGCAACATATTTGAAGAACATAGATGACGAGCACATACCGTTTTATGCATATGATTCATGTCGCTCGGCGCCCATTTCAGCAGCTTCTGCGATGCCAATTGCAAAAGATACGACGTAATCATAGAGATGGGTAGGCCAAAGTATACCGGCATGATAGAAAGAATGTACAAGGTGACTCCAATAACGAAGAATGGCCAGCNAAAGAAGAATCTTTCCAAGAACTTTTTCGAGTCCTTGACAAAAGCCAGGGGNNGGAAGTTGCGAGGGTTCCCCGAGGGGTCGAAGCCACTATCCGAGAGGGCGCGATGCCATTGGCGTGTCGAGTTCATATCTTTTGCAGTAACCTCTGGCGTCTTGCCGTCATTGTTTGCGACGAAACGGTCGGCACCATATTCGAGGAGTTTTTGGATGCAGTTGTAGCTGCCCTTGACCAGAGCCCAGTGTAGTGCGGTAAAGCCCAGCTCATCTTTTGCGTGCACATCGGCACCCCATTTCAACAGAACGTCCAGACAGGCCGGGAAGCCCTTGTAAGCAGCCCACATGAGACTGGTGTGCCCTTGCGAGTCGGGAATGTCGACAGGTACGTCTGCCTGGTGCAGTAGAAGGATGAGCTGGAAGACATTCCCGTCGAGAGTAGCGGAATGTAGTAGGTTGTATCCTTGGTCGTCGGTCAAGAGAGGGTCTGCGCCCTGTTGAAGAAGGAGGTTTACGACATCCAGATGGCAGCGCTTAGAAGCCCATAGCACAGGGGTGGCCTCGGCGTCACCGCCTTTTGCGTTGACGTTTGCGCCGGCTTCGATCAGGTAGTGGCAGAGAGCGTAGTGCCCGTTAATAGCAGCCCNACTGTGGTGTCTCGTCAGCGCTCCTGCTGCCTGGCGCATCTAGTCGGCGAGTATGATTACATGCAAGGCTGTGATGCCTTGGGGATCTGCTGAAGTTGCTGATGCCTTGCCGCTGTCGAAAAGTTTCTGTATGGATCGCAGTTCACCCAGTCTGGCCAGAGCCATCAAGTCCTCCTGGATGGGGTGGATGGGCGACGAGGGCATATCATCGAGTTCGAGGTGTCCGTTGCCGTTGCTCGTGGGGGCAGTCGGGGTGGTGATGGCTGCGGGCCGCTCGCGACTCGACGGCGCAGAGCCTTCTTTGTTTGCCATGGCTGATTACTAGGAGACTAAGAATTATAGCCGCATGCTGGACGTATTGCAGTCTGGCATATACGGCCTCGTATGGTAGCGCGTGCTTGCTTACGCAGCCTTTAATTCTTGTGGCGCAGACCAATCTAATCTACTGTACCCTGTGGCTGAGTCGCTCTTCCGTCTTCCGCTCGGGAGTCCTTTCCGCTCGCATCGTTGTCTTGGCATCTACCTCTCCTTTTCCTTCTACAGATCATAGAAGCAGCCACGGCTCTTTCACAGACATCTCATGCCATAGTCGTAAGTTAAGTCTCCCCAAAGTTTCTGCTCGGGCAAGACTCCGTCCAAGTATTTCTCGGCGTAGTCTTCGTCTTCCATATATTTCTTCAGCGAGACCGAAGTCAAGTGACCGGTCAAACCATCTTTTGCCCATTGGCCATTGAAAAGAGCAGATAAATTAGTAATGCTACGCTTCAGTATCGCGCCAATGTCCGGTTGCAGTGTCTTGCGCATCTGCTCGTTGCTCATGCGTGCTTCACTCACGATGACTGGCTGAAGAGCGTCGACCTTCTCGGCCGCAGCGCTGATGATCTGCTTTGTCTTGGAGAGTATGTCCATCTCCTGAGCCTCGAATGCTGGAGCTGCCAGCTTGAGGACGTCCAAACCACGAGGGTGCTTGCCCACGACTTGCTGAACGAACACCTTGTTAAATTCGCGTTTAAGGCATTCGTTGAACATTGGGATTGCACGTTGCAAGTCGGTACGGTTGTCCCAAGGCTCCGAGAATGTCGACATCAGCATTGATCGAGCCCTAGAACCAAGTGGGCGCTTGTCGTCGATGCCATATGGTGTAATGCGAGTGATCTCCGTGCAGCTTGCGCTGTATGTGGCCCACTCCGTGATGGGCTTGTACCAACCGTATTGTGCTCCAGTGAAGTCAATAGCGTAAAGCTCTCCCGAGGCAAGCCGTACCTGAAGAATCTCATGAAGGAAGTCTTGGTCCCATTCATAACCAACGTAACGGGCTTTGCGGATAGGCTTGTCGACTTTCACTTTGATCTCCTTGACGTCCATGCAGANTGCCTGGTGCGAAGTGAAATTAGCATTGTTATCATGAAATGGCATCCTCCAAAATGTCTTACTTTTGAGTAGCCAGTGGTTCACCACGTACATGTGGCTCAGTGAGTCGGTGCAGTACAGCAGATTGAGACAGGTCTCTGCATCCTGCTTGTTCTTGAAGATGGCGTCTGGAAATTCACGATAGAATCCATATTCTCTCTTGGTCGGCTCGAGATCGTAGTTGCCCTCATGAATCAACAGCTCTCCGTCGACTTCCTCGGCCTTGACCACACAGTTGTCAAAGGACTCTCTGCGCACAGTGTACCAGATCTTCTGTAGCAGCCAAGCAGCCCTGAACAGCGCCTTTCTTGCCTGCAAGTTCTTGCACACACCGCGATGGGCGGGCCAATGAGCCTTCTGGCACTCTCTACTGCAGTAGCCAACACTAATCTGAGGAGTACCATCGATGTTGGGTGCTTGATGACAACCGGCACAGTAAGCCTTTGCGTCCATGTTGTCGCAGTTGGTGCATCGCTTCTTCAAGTTGACTTTGGTGGCTGGCTGGCTGACATTGGCGAGACATTCGGATTTGTCGTTGGACGGTTCAGTGTTTAAGAGATCGCGATAATCGCTAGGTGNAGATCTCGAATCTGGAAAGACCGTTGGTGATGGTGGCTGCAGCGGTCTGCAGTGGTGATGCTGTGGCAGGACTATGGTTTGTGTTAGACGTTCTGCAGGAGTGTGGAAAGATACAACTTACGCGTGGTCAGGATGGACGAGATGATCTTCTCTAGGAGAAGGGGTTGCTTCACAGAAGGCATGGTGTGCGTGTAGAAGAGAAAAGAGTGGCTAATAGATGGTAAAGGGACTTGCAAAGAAAGGATGTTCAAAGTTGTGGTGGAAGGGCCGTGACGGACTGTTGTGACGGCGACAGGAAGTGAACAACAACAAAGTGAGCTTGTGAATGGCCGAGTCTATCAACAAAACACGCCGAGGACCACCTCCGTCACACGACCGAGTACAAACTTCCTCTCAATGATCCGTTGCACCATCCTCACACCTGAACCACTCACTTCTCATCAACACATTACCCCTTGACAATCACCCTTATGTTCGGTGCAACTTCATCTTCTTCCAGCAATGGTTAGAGTTGGCCCAATCGGTATCCATCACTCATAAAATCCGTTGCGATAAAACTCCTAGAAGTCCTTGGCTCGATCCTCGGGTGTAGCGGAACATTATGTTCTTTCTCTCTTGGAAAGGTAGAATACTTTGCAGGCAGGAGGGAGTTTTTCCAGACTGGCTGTTACAGCTAGCATGGTTTTTTGCTGTTTTTCCAGTCACTCCTTTCATCTTTCGTGAATGGTGAGTCGTTCCTTCTATCTTTAGCGTCTTTTCTTGAGAGGAGGCTTTTGCTCTTNTGCCTTATCTTCCACGACTGGTTCAACATGTTGTTTGCGCAGCATCCAATATCCAAATGCAACAGCACTGTGCAGCAGATCATAGCTCAAAGTCTGGACTGCCGGGTGACTGTTCAGTGCCTCGAACAAGACTGCAGACATCTGATCCCACGGCCCCAAATCTCCAATCCTCTTGTGAGTGAGAAATTGGACAGCCATCGAAAAGGCGAACAAGCGTAGAGTTGCCACATGCTGGAATGTGTTGGGGCTGGCTCCCGGAGCTTCATGGCCTGAGCTACGTAAAGGAAGGACCAGTGGGAGAACAAGCAATACACGTGCAGCAAGGATGGTGTAGATGAGCCACTCTCCCTCCCCAGCATAATCTGGTGCTTTGCTGAGGCAGTAATTGTATAGCAAAGGCACAGAGTACCAGAAAGGCCAGTAGGACAGCAGCTGATGATTCGAGGTTGCCGGCTGTGGCTTAGTGCAAAGCATAATGTAAAACAGCGTTTGTGCAAATGAAGTAGGCAAAATCTCGAGAAGTGCAAAGAAAGCCCAGAGGTTGGGGACGTTGCATCTTCGGCCTTCGATGCCCATGTATATTGCGACTGCGAGTGTAGACCACAAGCCAGAGGAAGAAAGCAGATATCGAGGTTTGGAGGCTACGATGGCTTCACCAAAGTTTTGAAACAGCGAAGAGGTGATTGACCATTGCCACAAGTGTAGAGGTGTCCTGTTTGATCCGATCAAGGCTCCTAGAGGAACACTGTGGCGAACTGTCCATTGCTGGTAGGAGAGAATCAAAACATTGAGCATGTAGTAGGAAAGAGTAGCGAAACTGGATATGGCCAGGACTTTGAGTACAAGGGGGATCTTGGATCTGCCATTATTCTGGAGGTATGACTGTCTGATGGTGTTCAAGACAATTCCGGTGGAGGTCAGAGCAGCTGCGATATATGCCCAGAAGATCAAGGCTCCTGGGTAGTTGGTGGAAGCGTCTACATCCATCTTTGCAGATACGTGTTACCTCGAAGGTTGAAATTTAGATGGGAAGCAGAAGTTGGAAATGATGATGTTAGAATGGGCAGCGCCGATCATTTCCCTATCGAGCATTGCATTTTGTACATGTGAGAAAGTGGACACAAATGCGTGGACGGATGGATATGTACAGAAGATGAGGCGTGATAGAAAGTACAAATGGTATTTTTACAAGAAAAGAGAAAACATGGACGCTTAACCTCTGGTAGTCTTTCTCTCCTCAACGCGTCTCTTGTACCTCACTTCGGCCTTTCTTCTCTCACCACCATCGATCTTGTGACCACGCTTGATCTCCCAAAGACCCTCCTTTGCGACAATCTTTGCGGCGCCGGGCTTCTCCTTGATGGCCTCAACGAATGAACCACCAATGATGTTTGATCTGACGACTTTTGTGCCTTGGACGGGCTTGATCTTGTCGAGGGACTGTGAGGGCTTGTCCTGACCAGCAGGGACGTTGACAACAATCTTGCGCATGCCGGGAGAGCTGGTGAGGGTAGCGGTGCCAGAAGCAGCGGGCACTTCGACAATCCTCAGCTCACCAACGCCGTCCTGGACATCGGTCAAGTCACCACCAATTCCGAAAGAGCCTTGGCGGAACTTGTTGCGCCAGTGGAGTAGGTAGCGGCGACTACGAGCGGGCTCGACACCAAGTTCGCGCAGCTGTAGTGATGAGAGAGAGAAGAGAGCGTTCCAGTCGGGGATCTTTTGGGCGTGCTGGGACATTTTACGGCCAATGAGAGTGAGGAAGGTCTGGGCGTCTGGGACGAAGGGAGTAGGTCTCGGTATGTCCTTTGCGGCGACTTTTGCGTGCAGGCATCGTAGCTGTGTCTGGACGAAGGAAGTTGTGGTGGGCAGAGCCTTGACGGGGAGGGACCGCCTGGCGAACATGATTGCTCCGAGTTGTGGCGTTTGCGCAGATTGTGACGGAGAGTTTCCAGGAGCGCAAGGGCGGAGGGTTGGAGAAGGAGCGAAGGGCGAGTGGCGGGCGCAAAGGCTCTCTGCTTGGAGTGAATTCAGGTGAGCGCCTGCCAAAAAGTCGCTGTCGCTGCTGCTTGTTGCAGTTGATCCGTGTGAGCCCGGCCCGGCCCGCAGAGCCGCTCCGCATCATTCAAGCCATCGACACTCTCGACCCTCGACTCTCTCGCTCCTTCCTCCACTCGACGACTGTGAGACTAACGTGCAAGATGGGCAAGGGTCTCTCGCCCGCATCGCCTGCCATGTTTAGGCCTGAGAACGGCGCCAACATCAAGGCAGCAGTTCAGATGCAAGCTCAAACCCTCGACCCTGCCCGTTCTGCTCGACCTGCTTCTGCCACAAACATTGCCGAGCAGCTGGACGACCAAGAGCGTCGCAAATACGTCAAGGGTATGCCGCCCTCCTTGTTGCTACTCCCACAGTCACTCATCTCTCACNNAGGCAAGAAACTTGGTTCCGGTCAATACGCCGATGTCTTCTCCGCCCACCTCGTCTCGGATCCCTCCCAGCTCGTCGCCATCAAGAAGATCAAGGTCGGCCCCGAAGTCCAAGAATGGGGCATCTCACACGATTCTCTGCGCGAAATAAAGTTCCTTCAAGAGCTATCACACCCCAACATCATCCGCCTATTCTCCGTCTTTTCCACAAAGAACCAGAACCTCAATCTCGTTCTCGAACAATTGCCGCAGGGTGATCTCATGAAGCTGATCCAGGATACCACCATCGACTACAGCCCCAGCGACATCAAGGCCTGGATGAGCATGTTGTCCCGCGCTGTCTGGTTCTGCCACCAAAACTTCGTCCTGCACCGCGACATCAAGCCCAACAACTTGCTGATAGCCGCCAATGGCGAGATCAAGCTTGCCGATTTTGGTCTCGCTCGTAGTTTCGCCGATCCTCACGCTCCCATGACTTACAACGTCATCACCAAATGGTACCGTCCTCTGGAGCTCTACTACCAGGCCAACTTCTATTCGGGCGCTGTCGATATTTGGTCCGTCGGCTGCGTCTTTGCCGAACTTGTAATGCGTTACCCTTTCTTCTTCCAGAATCCCGATGGTGATCTTGCCATGATAGGAAGGATTTGTGAACAAGTCGGAACTCCTACAGAAGACAACTGGCCGGGCGTCAGCAAACTACGTGGCTACGTGCCCGTCGCAAAAGAAGACGTCAAACCGGTCAAGAAGCGCGCAGATTGGGAGGCCAACTTCGGCACCGTGGGTCCCACAGGCGCAGATTTGCTGATGCAAATGTTTTCCCTAGACCCACGCAAACGTCCGACTGCTGCACAAATCCTCGAGCACCCTTACTGGACTGCCGATCCTCGTCCTTCACGTCTCGAGCAGTTGCCCCGTCAAGGAGGAGGCCTGGATGCCATGGGCGAGGATCTCAAGAGACGTGGCGGCGAGCTGCCCGACGCTAGGGGTGACAAGGTGGCTCGAAAGATCGACTTTGGCTCTATGAAGGGCTGAGAGATGCTTTCATGCCATATGAACAACAAATCAGCCTAAGTCAGGACTTCCCTTGCCACTAACAGAGCCCTATGCAGTGGGCCGTCACGATCAGAGCAAGGCAAGCATATGAGCTATCACGAAAGAGCACTCCGGTAGTCGTCGAACTTACACGAGAGGAAGGACGTGAAGGAGTTCATGAGCCAATTCTTTGACAAGTCCGTTATGAATGGAATTGTCATTTCCTCGCCGTACCTGTCCCCGCAGCTGGCCATTCACATAAGGGGAGCCAGCAAGCATGCCTTGTTCAAGAAAATCCGAGGCTTCAACCTTCCTCCATGAATTGGACGAGGAAGGAAGGCCAATAATGCCTGACGATATTGGGGCAAGCATTGCAATGAGCGCAAAAGAAGGCAAAAACTCGAGGATATCATATAAAGCATAGACTAGGTATTAATTACGTAGGACATGAAAGCAGCAAAAGGACAAAAATCGAAAAAAAAAGAACAAATTCATCACCACCACACCATCTCATTCTCGTTCCACCCAAGCCTTCGACCCCAGGATATCATGTTCTATCGTCCACCTCCCCTCTTCAATCCTACTACACCCCATCCTTTCCCCAAGCTGTCAGCCTAAAACTCCTCTTGGAACTTGGTCTCGCGAGCCGGACTCTGAGTCTTTTGCTGTCCACCAAAGGTAGGTGGGGGAGCAAGGGTTTCGTCAAAGTGATCGCGAGCCTCTTCGAACTCGTCTTCATCGCCGCTGATGGCACTGATGCTGCTGCGTCCGCGGCGGGCGGTGGGACGTGTAGTGGGCAACTGCTCATCGCTAGATACCGAGGATATGCTGTGAAGATCCGTGTCGTGGCGGCGGAACGACGAGTCAGAAACTGCGTCGCTGGTGACGGGAGCCTCTGTTGCGACGCCAGTGGTCGATGGCTCAGAGGTCGAGAGACTCTTCTTGGCATCAGTGGCTGGGAGGGTGACAGCGGTGGTCTTGGAAGATTGGGTCTTCTCAGCGGGCTTGGATTTGCGGTTGAAGCGAGAGAAGAACCCACTCATACCCCTGGACTTGCGGCCTTCGAAGGGCACAGATTTTGCGGTCGCAGGAGCACTGTGGCCAACAGGCACCGATTCGGCGACGTTTCCAGAGGTGGCCACGACGGGAGGCAGAGCGATAGCATTGGCCGAAGCCTCGGGGACCGACAAGGGTATAGGCTTGCTGTCCACGGCCTGTGTATCGGTAGTCACGGTTTGTGTGCCGCTGGTCACAGCTGGCGCGTCTTCATCCTCATCGATGCTAGAAAGACTGAGACTGCTGCGTGCGCTCGAAGAGCTGGAGCTAACAACAGTAGAAACATGACGATCAAGCTCTGGACGAAGGCCACTCTGAGTGCTGTGGACTGTACCGCCAGTAGTGATTCTAGTCATCATGTCTGGAGAGTCGGTCTTCTCAAGAGGAGCGCCGTCGGAGGTAGCGACGTTCTCAGTGTCGACAGCAGGAGTACGGTCAGTGTCGACATCCTCTTCGGCATCCTTGACTTTGGAGTGCTCGTCAGTAACGACTGTGGCGCTGCCAGAAGTAGCTGATTTTTCAGCATCGTGGGCAGCGGCAGAAGCCTTTGTGGATTCTTCGGTTTCCCTCTTGACCTCCTTAGATCTGCGCTGGTCTTCTTTGCGGGCTTGCTTCTCCCCAGCCTTGCGACTCTTCTCGGCTTCCTTTTCAGCTCTTCTGGCGGCCTTTGCTTCGGCTTTTTCTTGATCTGGACTGTTGTCAGTAAAAGTATAGAAACAGATAGAACTTGACAGCACTCACCCTTTAGACGCTTTGTCTCAGCCTTGACTTCCTTCTCGCGCTCCTTCTCGCTCATCTGCGTGCGTCTTCTNCTGTTCTTGATCAAGACGAATTTCTTCGTCTCTGGCGCGTTTCTTCTCTGCATTATCGTTGATCTCGTCAAGAGTGGGTTGCAGTCTGCTCTGAGCAATGGCGTCCAGCTCAGACTGGTCCATGTACTTTCCACCACCGATGCTGACCTTACCGAAATTGCGCTGCCTGTCCTCGCTCTGGGCTGTAGCGCGAGCGCGAGCCTTGGCCTCCCACTCTTCCATCATCGCAGGTGTAACCTGACCTGTCTGTTGGAAGACTTGCTCGTCCATAGTGTGCATCTGAGCTTGCACTCTCTTCTCAGCGGCGGCAAGTAGAGCAGCACGGTCTTGGTTGCGCTTCTCGTCTTGCTGAGCAACCGAGTTGTTCAAAGAGGACATCTGATTGCGGATTCTACGCGATCTGAACTCGTCATCAGACGAATCGTCGTCGTTCTGGACAGGCTTGGGGTTGCTCTCGGCACGGTTTCTGCCAGTACGGTTGCGCAGGGACAAACGATTACGAGGCGACTGTTGTTCGTAGCCGTAGTGAGCGCGGTAACGAGCAGCGCCATCAGGGTCCATCTTTGCAAGACGCTCGTTGGCAAGCTTTTGAGCAGCTTCTTGAAGGTGAATGTATTGCACAGCCTGCTGGCGTAGATCGGGCTGTGTCGAGGTAGCTGAAGGTACGCGATTGTGCGAGACGGTGGCAGCGCTAGTTCCGAGACGTTCCTGGACTTCGGCGGCCTCCTGATCGCGTCTTCTCTTCTCGCTCTGGTCGTACATTTGCTTGGCCATTGAAATTGCAGAAGCACGAAGAGCGGCCTGCTTCTTCTTCTCTTCGACCTCCAGGTCGACTGGAGGAGCACCGCCGAACATCTCACGCGGCACGTTGCGACCCATGTTTTGAACACGAGCAGCGCGCATGGCGTCAGAATCGATGCGATTCGAGTCTTGTTGGGCAGGTGACTTGTTCGATGGTTTGTTAGCCATGGTAGCAGCATTGAGTGCGTTGTATGCTGAGTTGGCAGAATCGGGGTATCTAGGATGCTCGACCGGAGGTGTTCTGGTCGATTGAGACTTGCCCAAAGCACCAGTAGCAGCCATAAGGGCCTTCTTATGGCCGTCCTCAGTGTAGCCGTAGTCCAGCTTGGGACCCAGGTTACCCTTGCTCATAGCAATGCCGGCAGCAGAGTTTCCTTCAGCCGAAGCCTCAGGCTGCCAGAGGTTCAGTTTTGGGCCATCCTTGTGTGCAAGCAAAGCAGCTTTTGAGCCAGCTGCGCTCAACTCTGGTTTCCACAATGGAGCCATCTTGTAATCCTTTGCTGCCATTGCTGCGATTCCCGCATTCTTAGACGGGTCGGGCTTCCAGTGTTCAAATTGCTTGTGGCCAGAGTTTGCCAAGTTGGCAGCGGAAAAGGCGGAGTTGGTCGTCTCGATTCCAACGATAGGGTAACTGGGGAGGTCGCGAGGACTGGCATACTTGAGCGACGCTGCGGCNNACCTAGAGGTGGTCAATTTGAGTGAGGGAGGATTAGAGAGTCGACAAGACTTACTGCGCGACGAAAGCTTGTTGTTAGCGTCGAGAACATCTTCCTTCTGCTTTGAGCTTTTGCCAGTCTTGGTGACATATAGAGCAGCAGTCGAGGCCTGTTCTTGAAGCCTGGTGTCGCGATGAGCGGTGGGATCCGGGCACACGGGCAGAGGTACTTGAGAAGCAGAGGTCGTCACAGGTAGCGGGGCAGTAGTAGACAGACCAGAGGCAGAAGTCGTCACGGGCAGCGGCGGGGCAGTGCTGGAGTCGCTCATGGCGGAATTGCGGTTGGTGGCAGTCACTGGCGGAGGGAGGTCAAGGGCCTTGGAGCCGGGTCTGTAGCTGCTTCTAGCGTCGGGCTTGCTGCTGCTTGTCGTGTCGCCTTTGTCGCTGGAGGTAGTCGCCGGACCGACGGGCTTCTGACTGGAGTTGTCGGCCTGATAGACGTTGGTTGTCGTCTTGATGGGAGTGTCGCTAGTCGCCGAGGTGGCAGTGTCGCGGGTGGTCGCGGTCGAGTGATTCTCGGCGGGCTCTGTGGTGGGAGCGGTGATGTGGGCTTTGGCCGCCTCGATGGGATTGGTTTCGCTCATGGGCGCCTTCTTCTCTTCGATTGGAGTGGCTTCAGGGGTGTGTTGTTCGAGTAGGAATGCTGTGTCGCCTGTGCTTTTGACTTGCGCAGACTCCATAAATGCTAGGAATGAATGATGGACGGCGGTTAGATGGCGGAAAGACAGACAGCCAATATTGCGCCTTCCCAAAGAATGCCCATCTCCAAATATGCCCTACGTCATTCCCAACCCGTTACGTCAACAGCCTTGACTGGGAGTAAACGGTGCGACTCGACCACCAAGCCTGCCGTCTTGTCATATCTTCTCGAGACTTGTCCATAGAGTCGAGCCATTTTATTACTGTACTTATCTCCATGTGTCACTGCTCTGTTGATGAGCAAAGATTGATTGAATTGTGGTCCTCCTCTTACCCCAGTTGTGATCGACGTCTGGGTTTGTCGTCCGAGCTCCATTTGTCCAGAACTTGATTTGGGCCCATGCGTGTCCAGCTTTCTTGTTGATCAAGTGCTGCTTTATGAGGACCTCTGCCTTGCTACTAACATTGATCATTGACCTTCCAACACCAAACCTGCAGGCACCAACAGCCCACTCACACTTACTGTGCGGATATAGCCAATTCCTGGTGTTGTACGTCACGGTCGATTGACGAACCTAAACAATCATGGCACACGTCGACAAGTTCGACCGCTTGCTTAACTTCCGTGATGTCGGTGCATTCGTCAACGAGCTGACCGGCTCAACGTGAGACTCCTCATACAAGTTATTGTCTACACTCCATAACACCCTCCTTAGTAAGCTCAAGCCTGGTATGCTGTTTCGAAGCGCCAGGCCAGACGAAGCTTCAACTGAAGATCGTAGACGACTAAAGGACGACTACCATATTCAAACAATCATTGACCTGCGCACAAAGTCCGAACATATCGTTCAGGCTCAGAAACGATCCGTTCCTATACCGTCAGCCGAGCCTGTTGCTCCGTCCAACAATCAAGCTGCCGAACCAGTCAAGATCCCCGGCCTGAAATATGCCGAAATCAACTTCAACGGCTCCTCGTACTCGTTCGCACTGATCCGCCAATTGCGATACTGGTCTGCCACCAAGCTCATAGCTCTTATGGCTGCGGGATACCGCACTCAAGCCATTAGCATCCTGGGTACAGAGGTCATGTCTGAGCGTGGGCTCATTGGTCTGGCTTATGACTCGCTCGCTCATTGTACCTCCGAAGTCCTTGCCGTGTTTCGTGTTCTGGCTGATGAGAAGAGCTACCCTGTCGTAGTGCACTGTACACAAGGCAAAGATCGTACAGGCTTGAACATTCTGCTTGTTCTGTTGCTACTGCATGTCGATACGGCAGCCATCAACACTGACTACATGCGAACGCAGGAAGAGCTGGTCTCGGAACGCGAAGCTAGGATTGTTGAGATAAGAAGCATCGGTATGCCCGACTCGTTCGCTGACTGTGATCCTAAATGGGTTGACAGTGTGGCTGCTCATATCAACGAGAAGTATGGCTCGATCGAGGATTATTTGCTTCGTTGTGGTGTCAACAAGGACATGCAGCAGACTGTCAGGCGGATCTTGTTGGAATAGCCAACACAGAGCATTTCTGGCGCTTCCTCAGAATCAAACATCAACTCTTCGCATTTCCACTTGGATCCTTATTGAACACTAGATATCATCCTCTACCACAGTGTCTTGCAACGAAAAGAAAAGAGAAGCAAAATAAGGCAATCAAACATTCGTGCCAAGCCCAATTTCCAAACGCTCTTTTCCCCGGCGCGAACCCTTTTGACCCACGCAGCAAAAAAATTATCTTTTCCACCCCTTGCAAAGGGTCAAAAGGAAGGTCGTACCAGGGATCGAACTTGGATTACCGGAATCAGAATCCGATGTGCTAACCATTACACTATACAACCATTAATGGAGGGCATGTTGGTTGAAAACAACTATACCGAATCACATTACAAGAGATGAGCGGCCTGTTGAGACCCGCGAGTATCAGATCAGTAAACAAACAGTGACGAAGGCTTTGCGTATACGTGGTGATGATTTGGTGAACGGTGAACGGCATATGCTTTAAAATCATGGCCATGATTCCGAAATGTCGAACCAAAAACAAGCGCGCGCGTGTCGAGAGATCGGTCCTGTTTCATCCTCTCGATCTTGGCAGAAATCCATTCTCTTTCTGGGCTGAGCCACTAACATCCTTCTGCCTAAAGGACGAAATAGCCAAGCTATGTTTCTTTGGCCTGAGTTGTTCTCAAAGTCAGGGCTTCAATCTGAAATGCTTAGCCCGATGCCAGACTTTTCAGCGGCGTAGTCTTCAAGATCGGTGCATGTTTCAGACTCCTCTAACAGCATGGATAAAATCAATATCCTCTGAAGGACGCTCTGCCCTTCCTACAACCACAATACACAGTCATGCTTTTCAAACCTCTTTTGCTGGCTTTCCCAGTCTTAGCGTTCGCTGCGTATGAGGAACCCGTTCTGGGAATCAGCATCGGATCAAAAGATCTCACCATTGTTCAGAGCCGACCAGATGAATCCACGTCGTTGATAGCCCGTGTCTCAGCAAGCTCCGCGTAAATTAACTGGTTCGAGAAGGTGAGCAAGCTTCCTGAGCAGAAAAGGNNTCATCCCCGCCATACACCTAGACCAAACTTGATTCTAACAGAACCCTGTAGGAGCACAATTGATACTGCTGCGCTTCATGAGGCTCTACTTGCCGCACAGTATGCGGCGACTCAAGACTTACAACACAAAGCACAGTTCAACATTGCTACTTCGTCCCAGGAGGTCCGGGATCTGGTACTCGAAGCTTTCTCAGTACTCGATATGTTTGCGTTCAAGGAAGTGGGCGCCTCGAATTACATTAGACCGGAGAGTGCAATCCACTACGCCTACAAGCTGGGCACTTGCGAAGTTGTAAGGTTACCCAAAGGATGTGATCCAGAAGACATTGATGGAGAAGCACTGTGGCTGGACTTTGCCGCCGCTTCGTTAAACGTACGACTCCTGAGTTTCGAAGAGTATGGTGCAGACGCACGTGCTGGATCTATGTTCTCAGAGTTAGGAGGAGACCGCTCAGAGGTATAATAGCTCCCAAGCTGAGTTACTGAGGACCCGGGTTAACGTAGCAAATAGACACAAAACGAAGGCATAATCAATGCTCTCCAGAAGCATATCGGCGATTATCTGGATCAGAACACCGTCCTGGAAGACTTTCCGGATTGTCGTGGCGATAATTACAAACCATTGCGCTCTGATATCAAAGCCATCATTCTGTCTGGAGATCCACCNCCTGGTTCTCTTGAAGCTGTACGACTTGCCATTCACCGTCTCTCGCCTGAAACGGCGAGCCTTTACCCGGACTCTGTAGACCCAGCTTCAGCTATGGCCGCGGGAGCAGCACGACGAGCTAGACAGATATGGGATCATCCTGAAGAATTCATGGTATATCCATGTCCCCCTCTCACACTCTGGCACGACGAGTTGTAGTCTGCCCATATCTGTATGGACCGTCTCCTGAAGCCCTTCGGAGAGTACGTCATAGCCAACAGAGAACGTATTGTCAACGCTGATACGACGTTAGTGTTCACAGAGACGACATTAGCTTCGTGTATTTCCGTGAATAGTAATCAGCTGGAGAGAAGCATATGCACATGGTTTATAAATCAAATAAACATCAAGTTGAGCACATACGGCCACAGTCAGCTGAAAACTGGGCATCCCGTCCGCTCTGCCATACATAAGCAGTTGAACGGCAGATTAGTACTACGGTGGGTGACCACGTGGGAATCCCTGCTGCTGTATGTTTTACATTTTTGTTTGCCAAATTTCACTTGTCCTCGTGTCGGATCATCTTAGCACCAATTACTGTCTGCATTCTGGGCAAGAAACATTGAAGGAAAGGTTTCTTTTATGGATGCGGGTAGGAATTTTACTTCATCTTTGGAGCCGGAGGTCGCTGGAAGAGCGTATTAGACATTGATCGCGGTTCTTGATACATGTATGGCTGCTACTCAACTCCTTACTCGTAAAAGAGAGGAGCACATATGCATGAGTTCAAGTGTCTTCAAGCTATCGATTGTCTAGGCCGAAAACATAAAAGAGACATGTAATCGTAGGTCTGAACTTCTGTCCAACAATGTCTAGGAAGCGTTTGCTCATCCAAGTTGCAACTCCACACTTTCAGCACGGATCTTCTCCTCGAGCTGACTATCACCAGCCATCTCCGATAACTCTTCGTCTGTAACCTGAGATGCTGGTTTCGCCCACACGGCCTTCCACGATCCTTGCACCTGAACACGATAGACTTTGCCATCCTTTGGGATCCATGGAAACGCGAGATGGACTTCTCTGCTAGCGGTAGACTGAGGAGCAACTTCCAGCACTGTATCGCGGGGAGGAGGAAGCTTTCTGTTGACCTTCATCTGCGGCCCTGGTACTGCCTTGCCAGTCTTGGCATCCTCAAGCGTCAGAGCCCCGATGTTCAAGGCTTGTTCATCCAGAGGGGTGTCCCAAGTGAAAAGCGAAAAGGCTTGTGTTTGACTCTGATTCTCGATGGTCACTTTAAGGACTGATGGAGACGAGCCAGGCGATAGCTGGACCTTAAGATCGCGAGTCGAGCTTCGCTCGTGTGAGGACGAAGACATGTTGTAGTAGCTCAAAGCGTCGGATTTGTATATGGCGACGAATGAGAGAAAGCAGAGCAAGGACACAACAACTGTCTGAATTGCCATGGATAGGTAGATGCCCAAGCAAAGCTCCAAGTTGTTGAAACTATATCATGTGAGCTGACCTCCAGTCGATAAGGGTTTGAGATGCAGGCAAACAGAAACGGAAGGTCACATTCGTTCAATATGATAAAGCAAACATATTACTCGCCCTCATCGACTATGCATACTTGAAGTGGAAGGTCGATGGACGAATCTCAACCTGAGACCCCAGCCAAGCAGACGAGTCCTTGGCGGCGCTCTTGGCAAACGCAGGCCCGACTTCGTCTGCTGCAACTATCTACTTTACAGCCAACTACATGCCGATCGACGGCTCCTAGGTTCCAGCCTCTCGTACAGCTCTGAAGTTAATGTGATATGGACTGCAGCAGCCTCGGCATTACCGCAACCTCGGGGCTTCAAGCTCGCCAACGTTGACTCCATGGACGTGAATACAGATGCTGCATGTCACGATCTCGACCTGAACTTGAACAACACGTTGCTTCGTAAACAAACATTTCAACCATGATCATCTGTCCCACTTCACAATAGTATGCACATCACATTCACAACTCCACTACTGCTTAGATGTCTAATTGTAGAGGAAAGAGGTTGACCGGCTGGAAACCCGATGGCCACACTTCATCGATAATGGCTAAACGAGTATTAAGGTAACTAGTTCTTGGCAATTCGCCATGTGAGCGACATTCCCCTGGTTCAAGCTTCGACTTATAGGACATTCAAGCTCTCGTCAAGCGAGGCTAATGCTCCTCCTTTATCCTAATATCGCGTGTGCCGACCAATCGCTCGAATCATTTCTGGATCTGGAAATTGATGCCATACATCGCCAAATAGTCCAGCAGACGATTCGACCAATCCGGCTGCAAGGTACAGGGTCGGAAACATTTGCTTGCACTAGAACTATCCACAGATCTACAGATGAAACCAGAACATCATGCAATAACCCCTCTTCCCTCACAGGACCATGTGGGCCACGCCGCTCGTCACTGTCATTTGGACCACATGCTCTTGCGACTGCATGTTGATACCGTGCCCAACTATACTCGTCGTTTCTCGATATGCTCAAGTGGCCAATGGTGTCAACTTTACCAATCTACCAAACCTACAGCACGTAGGTAGGATCTCGCCTATGGTAGATTGCTAAGATGAGAGTTTTAGGAAGGTCAGAGGTCTTCGAATGTCTCTCTCAAGCATGCAAAGATATAAGTACGTGTATGTCCCTCGCACAAAACGTATCATCACAGCATCATCTCAACCTTCGTTCCAACTGCACTCGTTTTGCCACCATCGTTCTCGAAGCACATCAAAGCCAACAACATTCCTACATTGAACCATGAAGATCACTCTTGCCCAATTCCTTGCATTGGCAGCCACTGCCAGCTGCGCTGCTATCAACCTCGAGGCCAGAGCCACTCCTCTCGATGTCAAGCTTACCTCTCTCGGAAACTCCAAGGTCAAGGCCGTCGTGACCAACAACGGTGAAGCCAGCTACAATCTCTTCTACAAGGGTACTTTCCTCGACAGCGAGGCTCCTGTTGACAAGTTCCATGTGTCTACCGCAGGCAAGTCATACCTTAATGGAACCCCACTGGATGATATGAAATACTGATAATATGATGCAGAGACCAAGGCTCCTTTCACTGGTATCCTGCAGCGTCTGGCTTACACCCAGCTTAGCGAGGATGTCTTCAAGCCAATCATGGCCGGCCAGTCGATCGAGGTCGAAGTCGAACTCGCCGAGTTGTACGAGCTTTCTTCCAACGGAAAGTACGACGTCCTCGCTGCTGGTGCCATCCCCTACGCTGAGCTCAACTCCACCGCTCTGACCGGAAGTGCCCTTGCCTTTACCAGCAACACCCTCTCTGTTGACGTTGACGCCGCCGAGGCAGCCAAGGTCGAGAGTGCCGTCAGCAAGCTCTCCAAGCGCACTCTTATCCAGAGTGACTGCACCGGCACCCGTTTGACCGCCGTCCGCAGTGCCCTGAGCAACTGCCAGAAATTGGCAACTGCTGCCGCTACTGCTGCCACTTCTGGCTCGGCCAGCAAGTTCCAGGAGTACTTCAAGACTACTTCTTCCAGCGTCCGCAGCACTGTTGCCGCACGTCTGAGAGCCGTTGCTGCTGACTGTGGCTCCACTTCCAGCAGCAAGACCCGCACTTACTGTATGTCTCTTGCGTCGATATCACAAAGAATTATCTGACTAATCATCTCATTCGAACAGGCNACTGACGTTTACGGCGGTTGCTCGTCTGGCGTACTCGCCTACACCCTCNNCCCCTCCAACAACTACGTTGCCTACTGCCCTCTCTTCTTCAGCGACCTCCCCGGACTCACCGGCCAATGCCACGCTCAGGACCAGGCCACCACTGCCTTGCACGAGGAGACCCACGCTCCCGGCGTCTACTCCCCCGGCACTGAGGACAACGGTTACGGCTACAGCGCTGCCACCCGTCTTTCCAGCTCTGCTGCTGTCCTCAACGCTGATTCTTATGCTCTTTACGCCAACGGTATGTTTATCTCTGCTTGTTGTATGTTCGTATGCTAATGTTTTTCGTTCTTTCACAGCCATCTACTCTGGATGCTAGAGAGTCATATATGACCAAATTCTTGCTGGAGATCGCACGAGAGTCTGTCCATTGAATCATGAACTTGCGACTTGCCCCTGTTCAACACAGAATTGCCCAATCTTCTTGGTCAAGGATCCGATACTGATGCGACTTGTCGAGAAGCAGAGTGTTGACGAATGATGTTACGGGTGCATGTTGGGATGTGAAGCCCCTTATTATGAAGCTATTATTTCTTTTCTTGATCATCACAATATGAGACTACTTTTCCCCTACCGTTCGAAATGCAATTTCGTATGTTTCGTGCCCGTCATGCTTGATCCTTGGGATGGTAAGAGTGCCCCTATTAAGAGTTAGTTGAGCGTGTTTTCGAGCAACGCAAAAAAAAAAAAGATAAAAGAAAAACTCATAGCAGGTGGGCTTTAATAATCATATCAAAACGAGTTTCTAGCCTGGTCTACAGCTGAAATCCCGATCAATTGCCTGGACCAGGCAGTAATACAGCAAAGAAACGTGGTCGCGTCTGCTGCTTCCCTGTCAGAAGCCGACGCTTCAGGAAATCGATTTTGGATCCAACGCCCCTCAGCGTCTCCTTGGATTTTTTGGAAGTTACCATCCAGAAGCCGAGAACATTGTGGGGAGCAAATCGATTTTGGACTCCCAACTCGGCATCGAGTTCTTCTTCTCCGAGTTCTAACGGACAACGGACGAAAAGCTCCGCGAAACCGGTGGCTCCTACGTCATCAATTTCGGACGTATATATCTATATGCTTTCGGAGCTCTTACCTTGCTTGAGCTTGCAAACGTTCCCTCCTAATTCACACAGTCAACATCACAATAGAGTTCTCGACAGCGACTTGTTGGCCATTCTTTGCTTTCGCGGTTAGCGCCTATCTCGGCACGCACCTCATCTTTGATCCCTATCGCACCAAAAACCATGGACTTAGCAACATTGACAGCATGGGATCTTGGCTCAAGCGAACGAATGATTCTCGATGGTGGATGATATTTGCTCTACCAATGTACATGGTCCATCAATTCGAGGAGTACGGCATTGATCTCCGCGGAAGACACTTTCAATTCCAGGGTGTGCTGTGCTCTAAACTTGTAAGCAGTGCCTATTCATGGTGAACACCCATTTTTTTTTGGGTCATCATGTTCTGACGAGTAACTAGGGCTTCAACAATGTCGGCCAATGCCCTATCCGTATCTGGCATACCACTTATATCAACCTCTTCCTCGTCGTGCTTGCTGCCTCCCGTGCTCGCTTCAGTCCCTCGGCCACCGCCGGAGCTGGCGCCAACTTTTACGGCCTGGCAGCCGTCAACGGCGTCTGGCATTTCATCAACCTGGTTGCGGATGCCAAAGCGGGCAAGGAGTCTTACAATCCTGGGTTATTCACAGGACTGTTTCTTCTGATTCCGTCATGCGCCCTTGCTTTGCGTGCACTGAAGAACGACGGCGTGCTCACAAGCAGCGGTGTTGCCCGAGCCGTGGGCATGGGTGTTGTTGTGCATGCCATCCTCCTGCCTGGTTTGTTCCTCAGATCGCAGGGATATATCAACGATGTTGTCTTTGTCATCTGGATGTTCGTCGACTTTGCTGGAGTCATGTCAATCTCAACACCTCTCTAATGTCATCTAGATGCTTACGAATACAGCCCAAGTTAAGCATTTGATTTGCTGAGCTTTGATTGGCCGTCTGCTATCTTTTGAAGAGCTTTCCGGGGGCACGCAGCTGTTCCAGATACGAATTGAGAAGCAGGATATGGATGAAATATGTTACGGGTGCATGTTTGGACATTGGAGCCCCTTATTTATGAAGTCATTGTTCTCTTTTCTTGACCATAGCGATATGAGTTTTCTTTTTCTTTTCGTCTGTTTTGCGTGTCCCGACATGCTTTATCCGTGGAACCGTAAAAGTGCCCCTGATAGAAAGTATTACACACTTTGCCCATACAGAACGGAAATAAAGTGTATACCTGTCTTAAGCAACAAAAAGAGATGTCAAAACGTTCAGCAGTATGAATTTCCACGTAGTCACCCACCGTAGTACTAATCTGTCATTCAACTGCTTATATGGCAGAGCGGACGGGATGCTCAATGGACCCACTTCCGCTTCGAAACAATTGCCCTTAAAGCTTCCCGGTTTGGAGAATCAACAAACTATTCGGCCGCAACTGTTTCTAAGAAGGCTCACACTGCGAAACTTGGAATTCCGGTTCCCAATCAGCTCCGCCTAGTATCCGTGTAGTAAAGTGCGATATATATTTCTCCGTGCAGAAGTAAAGCACTTCACCGAGATTCCGACTTCCAAACCGCCATGATAAGATTGTACTGTAACCTTTTTATCTCCCTGATACACGGATCTGTCGAGTCATCATCACACCTTTCCCATCATACGTCGTCCATGCATTCTGACCTTCATGATCCAAAAGTGAACTCTGAGACCTTTGACTCTCTGGTCTGCCCATCACGACTTGACCATGCTTGATCGTGTCCAATTCAGTCATGCTGTCGATGTCCGTTTGCATAGTTCTCGCCCCGATAGTGGTCCGCGAAACTCCTCCCGATGCATTGTATTCTCTTGGGTGTGCTGACCTGGCAGCATGCTTGCTGTCAGAGCTTTGCCAGGAGGGGAGTGATGTTCTCTCCGCCACGATCTGGAACAAGGGTCTCAGCGTTCCGAGAGAAGCCGCCGTGATGGCCAATCCAGGTTCGACAATGGACACTAGACCCGTGTTGATAGCGTTGTTAAAGTAATGAGCTTGATCGGACACGCCGCTCAAAAATCCGATCCGAATGATAGAGGCAACGCAGCTCAAACCCCNCATACTCAACAGTATGCAGCACGAGATCTTGGTCTTTTTCGGCATCTGACTGTGCCAGAGGATAGTCGTAGGCAGACATGCGAACATCACATCCATCAAAGCGTTGGAGATACCCGAGACATATAGCAGCGGCGAGACTATACTGGTCGGAAGGCAGTTTCCTCTTGCAGTGTTGAGAAGTATTTCTCTGGGTGAGCCACACCGAAAAGTGGTGATGAACATGTAGGCCAGGCTGTATGCCGTGAAGATTGCCGTTGGAATTATAACAAGTCTGCGCTGCCACCGTGCGACAACGATGCGAAGGAAGAAGATGGCGAGAGATATCTTGAACAAGATTGTGGTAAGGACGTAGAGGAAGTTGTAAATCAAGGTGTACTTGTGACCAGTCAGCATAGAAACAACAACGAGACTGCTTGCTTGCAAGAGTCTGACGTCTGCCGAGTATTATCAGCAGATTCAAGATGCTCGCATCAACTACAGTAGAAGCAAAATGAAACTGCAATGGGTATGTAAAGGAAGGAAAGAAAGAGTGAAGGGTCAAGATACCTCAAGTGCCGTCGTGAGAACGTTCCAAATGCCGATGAAGTCTGATGTCGTATATGCTTCAACGACCGTTTTATTGTGACTATACTCAGCAATGACGATCAAAAATGCGGCGAAAGAGGTGAAAGACATCTGCGAAGAAATCAGTGTCAAGTCTACAGAGTCAAATATGGCATTGGGCAAGGGACTTACTGCAGCCAATATCATTATTCCATCGTCCCAGCCGAAAGCTTTCGCCATACAGACTCTGACATAGATACGAAGAACTATGGACACCCATACAGGTATAAGGAAAGCGATTGAGACGCCCTGCATCTGTGATGACCTGCTCCGCAGATCCATCACATTTGGCAGACCACTGATGTCCATCGAGGAAGCCATGGTGTCAGTACGTGTAAGTAGAAGAGGTAAAGAAAGGGTAGGTGGATTGAGGAGAGTACTTATCTTTGGATCTATGGCTTCAAACACTGTTTGATCCGACGAGTATGAGTGGCGTGGACTGCTACCGTACTGTTAGCTAGGCAATTGATCGACTCTACCGCGGGACCATCGTTGCCGTAGACGTAAGACGAGCCGCATTATTTGCCGATTGTTTCTATAGTGTCTCCATGATCAGTGATCGAGTCGTGCCATTGACGCTAGGATCACTTTCAACCCGTGTTGAAGCCTTGAAGGTGGACGAAAAGCCGTCGAAATGACTGCCGAAGGAACCAGAGACTCGTGAGGATGGCGAAATGGTAGCAACGACGTGCCCAAGCGCAGTAGGTAACAGATGCTCAAAAAGTTTTTTTGTCCATACCTTGAATCCATGTCCAGGACCACGATAGTAATCATATATCAGTTGGACGATGCTATACATGGGGTGGTACAGTACATCTACGTGCGTAATAACCTTATCGTATCATGAATCTATGGATTCATCTATCTCACTTCTCCAAGGTAGATCGTTCGGATATGGCAGTATGGTAGAGTACTCAGCTCGTGGGGAAATCTCACGACCGCGTCCGGTGCGAGGGATCTCAAAGACGCTAATCACGCCGGCGAGAGACAGCATGAATCGTTTGTGAGATGTCTGAGTCATGACATGAAACTTCGAGTGGTTATTTTGTCACCTTCCAGTTTCAATGATCGACTAGAGTAACAATAGCGTGCGACTGCTCGAGGGTTGGGAGCCAAAGTTTCGGCGGCGGGGAAGATCAAGCCCACGCACGAGGAGGAGTTTGAGACACGCTAACAGGAGCTCGTACCGTAGAAACTCGGTATCTTCGCCATGCTGAATTAGCATTTGGAAGGAAATCAATTCATGCCAAGATGGCGAATTGGCGCGAACTGTGAGGTTACCAAATACGATGGAGGAAGATAGTGTTTATCACATTCAAGACGCAGTGGCCTCAGCACCACTAACCGTCTCTTGGTCTAACTGTGTCTGAGCAGATATAAATGAAGCATCTTGCGATGATGATGCCGTCCTCGACGTCCCACTGTCCTCTGCAGCGCTACTCGTATCCTGAGATCCCTTCACATCTTTGTGGCCCGCCAACTTCTGCTGTGCCATCTGGATTGTGGCGTCTAGCTCTTTTTCCAGCTCTCTGAGCCTTTCCCCAGTCAAACCAGTGCAGCTGCCATCGAGTTTCTGCCTGTATGCTCGCAACATGCGTGATAGCTGATCTGTCGATGCTGCGATGCTTCCAAAGCCTGTTGTGCTGGCCTCTGCCTTGCTGTCTTTGTTTCCCTTATCTGTGGATGTGTTGGCAAGCATAGGCGGTACAGCGCCCACAGAAAGCCGATGTCGTCCCGGTGCACTCCTTGGATGCGTTCTCGGACTAGGCGGCAATCTAGGGCTCGGGCTGGGTGGTGTAGGACTTGGACTTCGTTGTCTATTCCTGACTGTCAGACCATTGCGCAAAGTCCCCAGCGGCGAAGGCTCTAACCTTTGCGCTGGTGGCGGTGGGCGAATGCTCAATCTGCTAGGTTTCTTCTTCAGCCCTGTGCTTGCTGTTGCAGCTGTCGCATCTGAATGTTCTGTTTCATTGGACCTGGCTCGTTGAAACCTGGCAAGCTCGCTGTGGGATATGACTTTTCGTAGCGGCTGTTCTGCAGAGACGATGCCTGGAGCAATGCTCGCGAACGAGGGCGCTGCATCTGAGGAGTCTCTTGATCGAGGTCTTTCAGGCACTGTCGCCCAGATGAATATAGTACCATCTACAGCAACGCTCACGAGTTTCATCGCTGCCAGGTCGTCAGGCGCTGCGTGCGATTTCAGCAGTGCAATGTCCGTGACGCCTTCGGTATGCCCCCAGTCTCGCGCGAGAAGGGTTCCATCCTCTGAATACATGCGCACAGACTTATCACTGCCAGCTACACCTGCGATGATGGGCGATCCTGCAGTGGAGGGTAGATGAACCAAGCCGGACATGATCACAGCGTCTCCCCCATCGGTATCGCCAGCCTTGAAGCAAGAGTTGATGCGACCAGTCCGCGTGCTGACAAGCTGGATCGTCCGATCGGTCGCAGACACTAAAAGAATGTCATCAAACAGAGACATCCTCAGACAGGTTGGCGAACTCTTGAGTGTGATCGTCCTGGTAATGATGTAAAGTGGAGGGCCAGGTCCTTGTCTCGCAGCCTCTCGAACCACTACAGATCTGTCGGCCGAACATGACAGTAATTGTTCGCCTTTCTTGGCAAAGAGAACACAAGAGACCGAACCTGCGTGTTCATCCAGGGTTTGCAGGAGGTCCAGACGGCCTGAGCTCCATGTCAAGAGTTGGATGGTACGATCTCGACTACTTGATGCGATCAGAGTGTATGTTGCATCCTCATGGATAGCAATATCAGTGATTTCTCCTGCATGAGCTCTCACTCGCGAGACGTCTTCTCCGGTATCGACATTTGATATTCTGCAGGTCGGTTAGCGCACTCTTATGTGCATTTCTGTGTCCCGGCTTANCCTCAGAACGCCATATTTGTCTCCAGATATTGCGTGGGAAACATCTGATAATGCCACAACTGTCTTGAGTTCGTTGAGAACATTGTACATGTCGACGTATTGATCCATGGACACGCAGATTGTCGATTTTGCTTCACATTCGGACGACCAGAATATAACCGTGCCATTTGCAGACCAGGTAATAAAGGCAATGTCTTGTTCGTTCGGTGCTGTGACAGCACGGACTCCAAGGACTGCATCCGAGTGTGCTGGAAGTTTCTGTACCACCGCATGGTTTGAATCATCATCACGAGATTTTGAAGCAACTTGCCGTAGCTGGATGCCGTGACTATTGTCTACGGTCACTATGGCATTTACCACCGACCCGACGGCGACAAAGCCAGAGCTTGAGGGCTTTGCGGATGTTTTGGATCCTGGCGGCGTATTTGGTGGGATAAAGCTTCTGCTGAGCTGGTCGAGATCAAGAACCTCAATACTGCCATCCAGTCCTGTGATGATTATCTTGTCATCAGGGCCGAGACACGCAGCAGTGATACTAAAGTCCACATTTGCAACCCTGATTAGTCGTTGGGCTTTGTCTTCATCGTCGAGGATGCAAACATCTCCACCATCAGTGCAAACGATGGCTTTCGTCTCAGAGAAGGATGCCACGCATGTAAATGTCGCATCGAGCAGATCACCTAACAGGGTATTTCGGCCGGCCAGCGGCTTGTGTTGGCGATTGTACAGGCCATAGCCTCGTTCCGAGTTCTCGTTGACGCTTGCTGGAAGGTCGTTTGGTCTCCAGACCTTGATAAACCTCAGTCCCACTGTCACCAAACTACAACCCATCCAGGCCATATGGCGCACATTGGTGGTACATTTGTTGCTGGCAACCAAGGTGGGTGTGCCTCCTCTTTCATCGATACTCCAGATGTATAGAAAGCCATCGTTGACGGTTCCGAGGGAAGCTAGATATCTCGAGTCTGGGCCAAAGCTTACAGATTGCACACCAAAAGTATGTTCGCATATGGAGGACACGGGCGAATCAGCGAACGACTTGTCGGCAAGCGAGAAGACCAGGACACGCGGTTTGTACCCAGTCTCGCCCACAGCGAGGAAGCGACCGTTCGGACTGAAGCTAACTGCAGTAGCAGCCTTGACACGTTCGCGTACAGCACTACTCTTGTTTCCTGCAGAAGAATCGTTCCACTCGCTGCGGTCGGTTGGCGGTAGAGGAGAGCGAAGCCTAGGATCGGCGGGTGAGGCAGCAATGGCCTGTGTGAAGTTGGGTCTCTGCAGAGGATGTGCCGGATTGGCCCTGAAGAAGCGTTGTGATATGGTTCCATCGGGGCACACGGAAGCGACAACTGCAGCGGCACCAGCGGTATAGGCAAAACTTCTTGTTTCGGGCAGGTGGTCGAAGCAGAAGACCGACTGGCATGTGGTACCAATGACGCGTTTCAGACTCAGACCCAGCTCTTGACGGTCGCGGCTGCTGAGCTTGATTGGCGAGCGAGGTCCAGTCGGGGTCGAGGTGGCATTGCTTCGAGCAAATGGGCTGTTGGCTGCTATCTGAGGAGCGACATGGCGTTGTCCTCTGGGGGTGGTGTTCATACTGTCGGCTTGTGTCTTCGTCTTCTAGCGTGCCGCGGGATTCGAGGGGAGTGCCAGCCTAGCATCAAGAGCATGTCTCAAAAGATCATGTGTGTATAGAGAGAGTATAACAGAGTCGTCGCGGGGATGTTTCAATTCCGCTGCTTCGAGGAATGTATCGGAACTAGGCAATTGGTAAGGGCGAGCTTGCCCGTTGGTTCATCGTTGAGCCTTCATCTCCTCTCGCTGCAAAGTTGGATCTTATCGTGATTGAACAAAAAATCACAAGGTCATGCACGCTGACGCGCCGAGGGGCTGTCGGCTGCAGGAAGCCGCGACGGACATGAGAGATTCCCCCACCAACTCGCCGTCACCGACCCTGTCCAACGACAATAATATCGTGTCTTGGCTCCGATCTGATTTGTGGTCTTCATCATTTCCATACTGCTTGGGGCCCGTTGAGAAGGCTGGAGAGGCAAGAGTAGCCGTTGTCACATCCATGTTCTGATTTTGGCTGATCATTTTGTTTACATCCATAACTACATAACAAATATCCAAAGACTGCTTTACGCAAAGCCCTTGAGCACACAAGCCTCTGCGTTGAGGATAGAGGATCCAGCAGCACCAATGACNNGGCTAATGAGGGTCAGTACTGGACTTGAGAAGTTCCGAAGTAGGGTATGCTTACTGTTGTGGCTCAGAGCGACAAACTTGATGTCGAAGATGCCGCTCTCGTCTTCGCGAACTCTGCCTACGCTGACAGCGTAACCTCTGTCGGTCTCTCTGTCAAGTCTGGGTTGCGGACGGTCGGGCTCGTCCATAACAACAATGGCCTTTTCAGGAGCGGAGGGGCAGCCAAGCTTCTGTGCATCCGAGACATAATCGCGCATGGCCTGCTTGACCTCTTCAGCACTGGGAGCGGGTCTTCTCTCGAAACGGAGCGAGACGCAAGCGGTGTGACCGTCCAGCACGGGGACTCTGTTGCAAGCAGCCGAGATCTTCAGATCGCTCTGGTCTGAAAATCCAGTAACGTCCGAGTTGACCTGGCCGAGAATCTTCTGGGCCTCAGTCTCGAGCTTGTCTTCTTCGCCCGAGATGAAGGGAACGACGTTGTCGATGATGTCCATGCTGCTGACACCAGGGTAGCCAGCTCCCGAAACAGCCTGCATTGTGACGACCGAGACCTGGTTGATGGGACCGAACTTGGATTGCAGGGCGGCAAAGGGGATGACAATGCCAATGACGGCGCAGTTGGAGTTGCAGACAAGGAAACCCTTGTTAAGGCCGTAGTGCTTTCTTTGGTGGTGGACGACATCCAGGTGGGGTAGGTTGACAGTAGGCACGACCAGGGGCACGAGGGGATCGCGGCGGTAGTTCTTTGCGTTGGAGAAGACGGCGAGTTCAGACTTGAGGAAGGCCATCTCGACATCGCCAGCAACGTCGCTGTCCAGACCAGAAAAGACCATGTCGCAGTCGGCGAACTGGTCGGGAGTACACTTCCTCACGACCAGCTCGCCCAGCTGCTTGGACATGGGCAGCGACTGCTTCCACTTGACGGCATCCTTGTATTTCTTGCCTGCCGAGCGCTCAGAGGCACCGACAGCATGGAGAGTAAAGTGGGGGTGAAGAGCGAGCAGGAGAATGAATCGTTGGCCGACAGAGCCAGTGGCTCCCAACACACCNNTAGCCACCAGAATGTCAGCTTGGTCCTAACCAATGGGCCTTCCAAAGCACCAACCGCACTTCTTCTTGGGAAAGTCGCGAGACTTCTCTGTGAATGTTGTCACGTCCATGTTTGCTCAATCGGAATATTGTCAAGTGAGAGAGCTCAGGAAACACCTGCCCTTCCCAATGACTCTAATCGGCCGCTCTCCAAAAATTCGACCGATGACGCGCCAGGGACAGCCACCGTCTCCGAAACCGCTGCCCGACCATCGCGTCTTGCGATTGCCTGTTTCTCAAATCTCAACTCCCAAACTACCATCCGAACTCGATCATTTGTGCATTGGTAAGCATTGACCCTTGAACAACCAGGTAATGTGAGAATCGCAAAGTGTGACTGCATTACCAGTTGTAGCTTGATGTGATGTTGAGCCAGGGTCATCCCGCTTACATCTATAAAAGTCAGTTTTTTCGTTGTGTAGACCAAGACTTGTATTCTCCCGTACTCTGTAGAACGTCATTGGTCAGGCTTTTTCCAAACTCAGCTGTGTGACCGCCATATGCTTTATGAGGGGTTGTTGGTCGAGCAGATCGTCGTTTTGTATTTCCTGAGGCTTCGTTCATCAAGTCTATCTTCACCACATCGAGACCGAGTCTGTACTTCTGAGATTGTCTATCTATCTGCAACCACGAATACCTTAATGACAGGCAGAAGAGAAACAACAAGATAGTCAATACAGCCTAGCTAGAGACATCAACGAAGGATAGAGGCATACCATGCTCCCTGTGGTATAAGATTCATTGTCAAATGCGGAAGTGAACACGAAGAAATCTTTACTCATGCATTTTTCTGCTACAATATATCCCGATTATCAAGCCAAGCACACAAGATATGGCACCAAGGCTCTTCCAGTGGTATGCTCTAGCTATACTCAAGCAGGCGGTGTGTTGGTGGGCGTTGCTGTCGCGGTTGTTTCAGTGAAACGTCAGCGAGGCTTCATTGAAGCCTCTAATCGTAATTTGATCAAAACTACATAAATTATAGTTCCCACAGGCTCTCCAATACGAGGACGCGTGGCCGAGTGGTTATGGCGCCAGATTCAAGCGATCAAAAGCTTCTCAGTTATATGAGTTTCCTGGTAACGAAAGTTGCATGGGTTCGAGTCCCATCGCGTTCAATATCGTTTTGCTCTTTTGACAAGCCGCCTGAAGCTCTGGAGCTATCGGTGGGCATCAGCCATATACCCTTGCAGCCGGATCTATCTATAGAGGGCCGAAATCTGCTTGTGGTGACTCTGATGGTGGCTGTATAGCCAGTGAAGCCTCATTTTTGTAACAGGCTTCAGCGGGACCAAAGGACGAGAAATACAATCGAATCTGCAGTTTAGGCTTTGCTCAGAGTAGAAGCGCAACTTGAAGGCTAGTCAAGAGTCACCAGGGCTTATTGCGACGTCGAGCTTTGGATTGATGCTTATAAGATCATGTTACATGACATAGGTTCAGCGTTCTCAAGGACATCATATTCTGAACTTGTGAACAGAAGCAGCGGTTTTGGTAGGATAATGGTTCATTGCTATTACATGATAATGGAACATTATCGTTTAGACATCAGCCGAAGCAGTGGCAGCAGCAGATCTCTTCGAGTTCCTCTTTGCCTTCTTCTTTGGCGCTGGTTTCTCCGCCTCTGCAGTCTCGGTATACTCTTCTTCATCCTCCACAACACGACCCTTCCTCTTCTTCTTTGCCTCTCGCGCCATGCGATCAAGAGCACTACCCATACGCTTACTACCCTGTTCGATCCTCTTTCTAGGCGCATAAGCACCAGCACCAATGCCACCATCAAAGAATGCTGTAATGTTGGCTTGTGTACCTTCCTCCTGCCTACGATTCATATCCTTGATGACAGGAACAAGGACTTCATCTGTGCGCTCAGAGTTCCAGCCAATCGTCGCCATGAGGAAACTTCGTAGGGCGCTCAAGTCGGGAACACCCCATTGGAAAGCAGATGGGTCGCTGTCGACTTCTGGTTGCAGATATGCCGTGTCCACTCTGGGGTCGGGGAAGTTGGAGGGTAGAAAGAGTTTTGTCGTTTGACGACGGAACTNTTTGCGGAAGGAATTTGCGGCGTCTTCGGATTTGGGTATCTGGTTCATCTGAACGGCATTATACCAGTCGCGGAAGTCCCTGAGATCAGGGAACTCGGATAGGATCTCGAGCGCGGTCACTGGGCCTACGCCTGGAAGACCCTCCGTGTAATCTGAGCCGAGGAGTTGGGCGATGCCGATCATCTTTTGTCGTGTCAGGTCGAACTCCTTCTCGAAGTCGGTGGTCAGGTAGCACTCGACGAATTTGGCCTGGTTGAACATATTCTTGTAGATGCGAGTGCCACCGAAAAGGAAGCAATCCGAATCATCAGTCACAATACCATCGACTAGACCAAGAGTGACAAGTTCTGCGCATTGAGCTTCGGCCTCCATTGGTGCAGTGATGTAAGGCAGACCAAATAACTTCAGCAGTTGTTGACATTCTTGAATCATGACATGTGTCACTTCATCAGCATCACGTCTGTCTTTCTTTTGCTGAGAGCGGAGCTGCTTCAATTCACGCTCATAATCTTCCACGTTCTGTTGTTGCGTCTTATTGTTGAGAGACGAAGCAAATCGAGCATGTTCTTCTGTTTCAGTGGCAAGCTGACGGAGTAACTCATCATCCTCAGAGTCCGAGTAGTACCCGAACTCGTCGGCTGCAGACTCTGCTGGAAGGTTCTGGTCTGCTGTACCAGTTACAGACCCCGGTATGTCTGCAGCTGGATTTACAGGAGACTGATCCTTTGCTGGCTGTACTTCTTCAGATTGGTCTGGGATGTCTACGTTTTCAAAGTCTGGTGATGGTGACTTGACAGCCTCTTTTTCAGCTTCTGGCGTAGGTTGCTTTGTGAGTGTTGGCGAAGGCTCTTTTGATTGAGGCCGAGTCGTTGCTGATGGTGCCTTCTCGAAGTTAGTCTGCTGACTTCCGACTTGCTCCCACTCCATGGCCTCGTCTTCTTCATCGTCGTCCTCTTCTTCTGCGAATGGATTGTTCTTCGCCGGCGCGACATCTTGCTTGGCTTGCTCTGCGACGACAGGAGTCTCATCCAGTGATGTTTCCCCTGTATCTTTGCGACTAATAACCGATGCTGCTGACGTCTCGACTTTGTCCTTTTCGGAACTGCTCAAAGTAGGAGGCACTGCTTTAACACGATCTGCTAAGTCACCCATAGCAAGACTCGTGTCTGCAGGCTCTGAAGTGATCTCCTTCTCCTCTTCCTCGTCCGAGATGTCGATGACTTGTTGACTTGTATCTTTAGATTGTGATTCTTCAAGATCGAGATCAATAACCTCACGAGATGAGTGACGGCCCAAAGGTGGTACCTCGGCAAATTGGAACTCTTCGTTGTATGCTTTGGTCTTTTGCCAATCGTCGCGTTCGAAAGCCTTTTGCTTAGCAATGTTCGCACCAAGGTCTCCGTCAAACCACGGAGGCAAAGGTTCTGATTTGTCCTTTTTGGCCGGACCTGTATCATCTCGCTCGAATCCTCCTGCCATCTCCTCTTGGGCCTTCTCCATTTTCTTTTTGCCAAGCAGGGAACTACCCAGATCTAGCTTTTCGAAGGGAAGAGGTCCTGCAAAACCAGCGGCGTTCTTAGATGCTGAAGCGGGTTTAGTATGAANCAGGGGTTCTGGTCGACTCTTCGGTGGCTGCTTAGATTGGTACTTTGACTTGCGTGACTCGGCCAGTGCAGCCTGGAAGTCCATGTCGTCTTCACTATCATCACTGTCCTCGCCAAAAGCGTTAGATTTAGGCGTGGTCTCATCGCGAGACTTTGTGAGAGCAGCTTGTAGTTCCGTGTCGTTGTTTTCACCGTTAGGGGACGACGCGACTGGTACTGCTTTGCCTGCTCGACTGTTGACGATATGTGCAATAGCTAGCCCGCCACCACGTGGGATGGGACGACTCTCATCCGCACGGGACTGCTGGAATTTGTCGAACCAGTCTTCTTTCTCTTCCTCTTCTTGCGCCTGGTCTTGTTCATGTTCGGCATCCTCATCTTGCATAGACATGGCAATAGCTCTCTGAAGCTCTTCGTCATCAGAAGCACTGCCGTCCTCGTTGTCCACCTCCATAACAGTATCCTGGTCATCTTCTACAAACAAGCCCTCGGCTTCCTCCACAGGCCTGCGAGACTGAGAAGCCTTGGTTCGCCTCCGAGGAGCGCTTCTCTTTGATCTGTAGAAAGCTTGTCTTCGTCTGGCCATCTCCGTGCCTAACGTCTTCTCTTGCTGAGTGGTCGTGGTTTTGGGCAAGCGATTCAGACCTTCGATCGGGACGTCCTCGAAGTCATCGTCCTCATCTTCATCTTGGTCTTCATTGGCTTCCTGCTCAGTCGCATCGACATCGATTGGTTTGTTTTCCACACCATCACTTTTACCCGTAACGACACCCAAGGCCCAGCCACCTTCAACACCGTCGTTCTTGACCAACACATACTCTCTACCCCTCTCACCAGCGACTCTTCCGGGAGCATCCAGGCCGTACATGAGGTCGTCGTTCATGCCGTTCAGGTTCATCAGACGTTGAGTCAAATCATTGCGCTCGGTTACTCGTTCGATTTGGAACTTGGAGAAAGCCATGCGGTCGGGAAACATTGTATCCAGCTGGTCCTTGGAGTAGCCCATTCTGAGTCTACTTCGCAGTCTAGCTGCGTTGAGGATGTTGTAGCGATCACTGGGTGGAAGACTGAGGAAGAAAGGTCCGTCAAAGTCAATCTTGGAAAAGTCATAGACGTTGATATCTTCGCCGGTATCGAATTGACGAGCGTAGTTTTCAAGCTCCTCGAGAGACATGATTCTTGGATCGTTGGGTGCACCCATCTCGGAAAGAGGCACGCCTAGGTCAGGGAGATGGTACTGGTCCTTCTTCCTGAAAGCCTTGTTCTGCTGGCGTTCCTGCGGGTTCATGAGAACCTCATCGGCATAGACCAGATTATCGGGCAGCGGTTCCTCCTCTTCTGGTGGAGCAGCATGTGTGACACGCTTGCGATTATTCTCCTCTTCCTCAGCAATACGTTGCATCTGGAGGGCAAGCAGCTTGCCGGCAGTACGGGTGGCATCCTCTCTTCTTCCTTCTCTTCTCTGCTTGCGAGCGTTGATGGTGGCACGCTTGAGGGCAGGGGCGCCGCCATCGAATACAAAGACTGGCTTGATGCCAAAGTAGAGCAGCTTGCAGATACGACGAAAGAAACCAACGACGTGACTGTTCCTCAGAGCATTGCCATCCTTGTCGCGGACGGCCTTCAAGAATTGGTAGATCCAAATGGAGGCATCGACGGCGAGTCGTTTCTTGTTCAGGGTTTCGATCTTGATAGGTCGAGCACAGGGCTGGACGACGGTCCACAGGCCAGTGACACCCATGACAACGGCAGCCTGGTGAGAAGCATGTGAGTAGCTGACAGAAGCTTGTTCGCGTGACGGAGAGTTTCAAAGAAAGTCGAGTACGACCTTGGTGACGTACACGCGCTGACCTGTCTGTGCGTCGGTAAAGGTTGACGCTTGGGCCACTTTCACATGTCTTTTGAGGGCTGCTGGTTGGATCGAGAGAAACGAGGGTCCAAAGGCACGACTGAGAGCCTCTCAAGCTCAACACCCGCATTGTCTCTCGTTCGGCTGTCAGTCTCTGCATGCATGTGATGCTCAACGCATTCCCTTCGTAGCCGCCGCCATGTCTTTATATCTAGAGAATCTGCCTAAGTCATGCTATCGTAGATTCCAGCTCTTCTTTTCTGCTTTTTTCACCAAGAATGGCTCCAGCATCACCTGTATTGCACTCTACTGACGAAGAAAACACCTCGCTTATCTATGCTGTACTGCCTCCACTTATCAAAAAGTCGATGCCAAAGGTGCCCTCTCTACGCCGTTCCCTGTCGGGTTACAACCGTGCAGCTGCATTAGTCGGTCACGTTCGAGCCTTGAGCACAGAGAGCCCGAGACCTGGCTCAGCGACCCCTCCACCGCCCTACCAAGAGCCCATCGCTTCCCTTACTTCCGTCCTGTCTGATGTTGATTTTCAAGACACTCCACCAACATCACCCAGGTCGCTACCCGTAGATACCGCCATCTTCGGCAGTGACGAACGAGCGGGTATCAAATGGGAGTTTGCACGTCAAGGTAGTTATCATGAAGCATCTTTGTTGCTCACATTCTCATATTCCTTCCTTNNAGGCCAGAGTCTTCTCCAAGGCTCATCATGTCTGTCTTCCAATCCGGACTTTAGTCGCCAGTTGTACATTGATGCAGTCAGCTATCTTCTTCGGGGCCTGCCATGCAACCTCTCTTCTGAAGAGACAATAAGGCTTCAAGCCGCTCTGCCGTCTGAAATGATACCACCGCAGCAACCTATTGACAAGGTCATCATCCGGAGCCAGTCTCATGACGATCAAGTCACGCAACAAGACGAAGACCCAACAATGCTCCATCGCATGGTGGCAATGGTTGTGCTCCAGGTCTTCCTCCTCTTCTCCTTCCTTTGGCCTTATGTCCAAACGACTTGCCGAGGTGCATACCAGTACGAACGAGAACACCACATCTCGGAGAAACTGCTCAATCAATCGTGGACGACTGCAAACGTACTGAGTAGAAACACCATGACCGTTGCCAGAACCGTGTGTAGCTGGAATGATGGTCAGGTTGGTGTGGCACTAGAAGACATGGTCTTCTGGTGGGTCCATGGCGTTACTGGCGGACTCNNCAGAGATGGTGTCAAAGATGGGATGGAGGTATTTGGCGTCAAAGCCGTAGACCACCGAGACAAGAGACCTGCCAGAGCTTGATTTCACGAACTGACACGATATAATGATGATTAGAGCATAGAACGTATAATGACTACAATGTTTCCTTTGGCTGGTTGCACTATGCACTACTGCCTACTTGTCACAATAGCCTTTGACCCTAGGATGTCACTGATTAACAGAAACGGGTAGACACCAAGACAAAAAGAAAAAAAAGAGCAATGCATCAATACATTCATTTGTATTCTTGAGCGAGAGTGTATTTATCCCCCGATCGACCCCAAGAGCGACTCCCGAAACCCTCAATTTCGCTTTGATGCCCCAAAAGAAGAAGTCGTTAAAAAGCCATCATCCTCGTCGTGAAAAAAGTAGAACATGAAGTGGAAGCCTTGATCAACAATCACAAAGAAGTGAAGGTATGGTAAAAGGAAAGCAAAAACGCCGTTGCTGATGCTTGGAAGACAAGGAAGGTGGGTAGAAAACATGTCCTGCATGCCGTGTCGTGCGAGAAAGAAAAGCAAATGCAATCTGCCACGCTGGTGACAGGAAGCTCAAACGAGAACATGGTTGTGGTGGGTCTGTCTGGCGTGGCGGCGGAGGAAGTCGCGCTTGGCCTTTGAGGAACCGCTCTGCTGGTAGACTTTGAGGTAGTTGACAGCCCAGTAGGCATCTCTGAAAGCAGAAGGGTTGGTGGCGACATATTCGACGCACGAGGAAGCAGAGCAGCCGTCGTTGGCAAAAGTCTCGCCGGCCCAGGTGCCACAGAATGTGGTGTCGAAGACGATGGCGTGGTTGTAAAAGTAGTTGTCGAGGTCGCAGCCGCGGAAGTTGGCCATAGGTTGACCGAACTTGCTGACGTCGGGCTTGCCGGACTTGATGGATGAGGGGATGTTGTTGCGAGGGAAAAACCAGACGTTGATGTGCTGGGAGGTCCACTCCATGGCGTAGACGCCGCCGCCGATGTTGTTGAAGCCCGAGCCGGCGGATGTGCTGGAAGGTGAGAGGAATGCGCAGCCAGCGCCGTCACCTGCGGACTGTAGTTTGTTAGCTTCCTGTGTCAAAATGAGAATGTGTGAAAAACATACGGAGCAGTCGGTGCCTTGGACTCTGCCGCTCTGCGAGGTGCCAGAGATGGAACAGCCGGGCATGGTGTGACCAGAGACCTTGTTCTGGTCGGCGAGGTTGGCAAACTCGATGATGTCGATCTCGCCGGACTGAGGCCAGCTGCCAGTCTGACCAAAGGTCCAGAAGGCGGGCCAGACACCGCAAGAGCTCTGAGGCATGTGCTGGATGTCGGCGATGAAGAGGCCGTGAGTGAAGGTGTCCTTGCTGGTCATGCGCAGAGATGTGCGACCGCCGTTGGAGCCATCAGCGTTCAGGTGGGTGTAGGAATCAACGCCCCAGGTGGGGATGCTCTTGTTCCAGATGAGACCGTACTCAACAGCATTGTCGTGAGACACGTAGTTGACGAAGCCCTGGGTGGGATCGGGGCCAGTGAAGAAGTCAAACTGATTGTAGAAGTTGTTGCCGGAGTAGTCCTTGACGAGGTTGTAGTTGGTAGCCGACACCAGGCCGGCGAGAAGCGAAAGGCTCAGAGAGAGTGATGAGCGCATCTTGATCAACAAGATAGAGTGTAATGAAAGTTGTGGAGAGAGGAAGAAAGGAGGCAGGAAGAACGAAGGTAAAGGAGTGACTGGGTAGAAGACTTTGAGAGATACAAAGCAAACGTTCCACTTGGTAGAAGTGAGGGAAAAGTAAAGAGTTTATAGTGACGGGTATCACATGCATACGATCACACTTGAAACACCAAGACTAAAGTGAGGGACAAACAGGAGGGAGTGCCTTTCTAGAGCCATGCTCGATGCTATGCCGTTCCAACTGGCCGTCACACGTGGCGTACTCGAACAAACCAAGGACGTCTACGAGTGGTGTCGTTTGCTGCACGATTCGCATAGCTGCATGGCACGGTGCAAACAAGCTTTTAGGCTGTGTGGAGAGGGCATTTGCAACCGCCTACCAGTTAAAAGAAGAATCTTTGCGCAACGAGTTCTGAAACCTGACTGTGAGGGTGTGGGATAGGCGCATGACAGGTTGGATCAGGGGGGAAGATGTGGGTGCACGAAGCATTCGCTATGCAGGTGCAGCTTTTGGCGGCAGGAAGAGGCTTCCTGCAGAAAGATCTCCACCTTTGGGCAGGAAAGCAACCAAAAGAAACAAAGATATCGTATGCACAGAAGGTGACGAGAAATTGGAGGGCACGAATAAGGAGGCAGGAAGCATCGGACGAACAAAGGATGTCAAACGGCAGTCTTTGGATGGTCCGGCAGCGGCTAGCTGATGGCCAATGGATGCATACTACCGGACATGCAGAGATGCATCGCGGCGACTCTAGAACAGCAGCTCCACTCGAGGCTTGACGTTTAAAGTCGGAAGTGGATAGGTGGCAAGGTCCAAGTGCCGCAGCGGCAGCAGGCAAGAAAGCGACATGTCCAAGTGCCAGGCTCCTCACCAGTTGGACAGCTGGAAGTCGGACAGCGTGGCAGTCACTTGACGTTGAAGTGGTGATGGGCAGGACGATGCGAGTCGGATCGACATTGCGCTGCGCTTGGCACGGCCGTCTCGTGGTCGGCCCGGTGCGCGTGCTCGGACAAGTTTTTGTTCTTCTTCTTCTCGACAACGACATTTCTGTACATATGCACTCGACCATGCCCAAAAGGAAAAGAGATGGCTCTGAGGCGTCTGCCAGTGACGCAGAAGGTGTAGAAGGCGCCGTCAGCATTCGCCAGCACAGAGTGCAACACAAGCTCGACTATGCCCATAAGCAACTCGCGCGTGCCTTCAAGACGGCAAAGGGCTTCGAGGCGCAAAAGTCTGGCAGGCGGCGCAAGACTGCTGGCGCAAAGAGTGACGAGAAAGAGGTCGCGCGCATAGAAGCCGAGACTGCTGCTCTGAAGGTGGGTCGTTCTTGACGTATCTCTTTCCATTTTCTTCTCCTTCTGCTCCTCGTTCCTCTCTTCCCACGTGCTCAATCTTGTCACGCTCCAGCTGTACAATGCACAGCACTGTCAACATGGCTAGTGTTGATGCACTACACTCAAGGCAACCCTAGTCTGGAAAGAGCTGTGCACCTCCAGAGCTCACATTTCCCTGACCACGAGCGTGGGAGCATCGACACATGGGAGGGCCACGCACGCTCCTCAATCCGTACCGCAACATACTCATTGCTACGTTACTCACAGACACTCGATCTCTCCGCTACCGCACGTAACTACCTTCACAAGTCCTTGATCAAGTTCAAGGCAGTCGCCGAATCGCCCGATCTGCCCAAGGCCGTATCCTCTCCTCCCCAACCCATCAGCGACACAGCAAAAGCAAACGTCATTGCCCGACTCTGCAACTCCAATCCTGTCAAGGAAGCCCTCCCTCCCTTACTCAAGGACATTCAACGCGCCCTCGGCATTGAGCCTAAAGATGTGAAAGAAGGCAAGAAGAGGCTGAGAGCCAAAGACATCGAGAAGCAGAAACAGGAGGAAGAACCAAAACAATCATCCAAGAAACCACAACCTGCCTCAGAGCCGGAGTCTGGCGATGTGAGCATGGAAGAACCCGACGCCGGAAGCGACTTTCAACAACCTACACACCGCAGAATGGCCAGTGGCAGTGAGGACGAGTTTGCAGAGTTCGACGACAGGCTTGCTGGCTCATCTGATAGCGAAGGCGATGGAGAAGAGGATGACAATGATGTAGCCCTCAAGAAGGGTAAGGCTTCGCGCGCGGCCGCACTACGAGCTGCTCTGGGCGACATTTCCCAATCAGCATCCGTGTCTCCTTCACCATCACCATCTCCCTCGCGGTCACCCTCTCCCGAACCAGACTCCCCACCAGCTAGAACCACCAAAGCCGGTACATCGGCGTTTGTGCCCTCTCTTACCATGGGCGGCTACTGGTCGGGGTCAGAATCGGAAGCAGAGGACTTTGAAGATGGGCCACCAAAGAAGAATCGAAGGGGTCAACGAGCACGTCAAGCCATTGCGGAGAAGAAGTTCGGAAAGAGCGCAAAACACTTACAGAACNNCAGGAGAAAGCAGGCAAAAACGATAGAAATGCTGGATGGGACGCGAAACGCGGAGCAACAGACAGACCACGCGGTNGTCCGTGGAGCACCAAAGGGTCGCTTCGAGAGACCTGGTCAGGACCGTGGAGCCAGACATGACGCCGCTGAGCCTCCGAAGAAGAAACACAGAGATGACCAGGGTTCGTTGCATCCCTCTTGGGAGGCCGCAAAGAAGGCCAAGGAAGCAAAGAAGGTCACGGCAGCCTTTGAAGGCAAGAAGATCTCCTTTGACTGATTCGCTAGAGTTTCTATGACAGCTGCTCGCTTCAGATCGCGTTTCCTACCATATGCACTGTCTTTTACACAATATCACAATGATGTATTTGAACAAGCCCGATAGATTGGCCTCTCACTTTGTAAGCAAGACACTGCTCACATAATCTGAGAGCTGCCAAGTCGGAAATTGAGTAGCAGGATCTTTTGTTGGGGCTCGGAACATGACTCTGACCTGAATCAGATTCCTACGGACCCCCACAAGTGTTTGAGATTGATCGCACGCGAGTTTGCATTGTGGTTGCCCAACGATAACTCCTTTTCCCGCCAACGCTTATCTCCGTTGAACTCCTTCAGGCCGCCAGAGCCCCGAGCTAATTATGCAGTAAGAGCTCGACAAGGTTTTCACAACTACTTGCGCAAAGGTGAGTAACGTTCTGCGATGCTGCGGTCGCGACTGTCTAGTGCCTTGCCATAACCCATGAGCACTAGCCATATGCAAGGGTTTACGCATCAAAGTAGGCGGTTCTTCAGGAGACAGGGTGAGAGAATCCATCCATGTTCAAAAGATTTCCTGTCGTCGTTGCTATTTTCCTTTCCGAACACTTCATGAACCAAACGCGAATAGAAAGATCCACTCTGTCAATCTCCGTTCTCTAAAATTGGGCTGAGCTTTGATATGAGGACGGGTATGTTTTATTTTAGCAAGATGCTATTCACCCGAACAACGCATGCCAAGCACTCCCCTTTCTGACAGGGATGGACGCACGGCATCGATACTGAGATTCAACAAAGGCAATCGACATCCTGAGATGCATTAAACCCTCCGATAAGTTGAAGCCTCAGATGCAATGCTGTTGTACATGTGTGTATGTATGCACTTGATATGGAGGTTGGAGAATCGCGATTCAGAGTTGGAGTAAGGCGTCAGACGCATGAATAAGACACGAGGATCATCTTGGCTTTAACGCCTCTCGTCCCGTGTGAAACTTTACTCAACGCCTTCAGCAGAAACCCTTTGTGCGACCGAAGCAAACACACATCAATATTTGCACAGACCCTGCGGAACGGACAAGAATTGGTTGACTGAGTTGCATACCTTCCAATGGAGAAACGCAGCTTAATGATACAAGTATATAGAGACACGCATTCGTGACGGCATCTTCTTAGCAAAATCACTACCGCTACTGTAGGTCTGAATAAGCTCGAATCTGATCTGCCTTCGCGCTACCTGACTTCGGCCGACGGGCACGGCTCAACAGTCGTTGAATTGGGGAGCGCTGACGTCGATATCAAAATGTGTTAGATCTGCTCGCGCATTATTCATCAGCGGCGCGCTATCCTAACTCCGTGCCATGTATCAATGCCGTACGTGCCAAATTTCTTTTTCAGCAAACCTTCTTCTCGCAAACTCACCCCGCTTGATTCTTTCTATCTTTTGGTGACGCAAGTTCCGTGACCAACGAACATCGGTCGCCATCCCTGGACACCGCAAGCGTCAGGTCGGTGTTTTCCAACTGAGATATCAAAACATCCAATCCACATTGCAAACAACCATAAGCCCCTTGCCGAACGCTCTATACCAACGCCAACATGTGGGGCAGCGGCGTAGCTGATGACCCGCGCATTGCTCGTCTGGAAAGTCAAGGGCAGAATGCCTGGCATAACCCCGCCCAGCCCCGTGCTGAACGACTACACAACGATCCTGACTCTCAATCATCCAGCTCAGAGGATGTCGATCGTAGCGGTACCTGGGGTGAACACGATGCCGGCATGCCGAACGAACTTATGGCCATGGAAGACTACAGGGCTCTAAGGAGAGAGCTCACCAATCGATCAAAAACCAGCACACGTCAATCACTTGGCCGAAAACAATCATCCAGGAGACACAGCACGGCTACCGATGATGTAGATGAAGAATCCGAGGTCGGAGGGAACACCGAGGCCCAGGAGGGCAAGGATGAGGACGACTTCGAACTTGGTGACTTTATGAGAGAAGGCCATCTCGGTCAGCGCAAGGGAGACAAGTCAGCCAAGAAGGTTGGCGTGATATACAAAAATCTCACTGTCAAGGGCGTCGGAGCTGGCGCAACCTTTGTCCGCACTCTACCTGATGCCATCTTAGGCACATTTGGACCGGATCTCTACCACATTCTTTCCAGATTCGTCCCCTTCCTTCGCTCGAAGAACGGTGATCTAAAGACACTCATCAACGACTTCTCGGGTGTTGTAAGAGATGGAGAGATGATGCTGGTCCTGGGTAGACCTGGTGCCGGCTGCACAACCTTCCTCAAAGCCATTGCCAACAACCGCGAAGGCTACGCCCAAGTCGATGGCGACGTCTCATACGGTGGTATCTCTGCCGAAAAGCAGAGGAAAATGTACCGTGGTGAGGTCAACTACAACATGGAAGATGATGTTCATTTCGCTACACTCAATGTCTGGCAAACATTCATGTTCGCTCTTCTAACCAAAACTAAGAAGAAGGCCACGGGAGATATTCCTCTAATCGCTGATGCCTTGATGAAGATGTTCGGTATCAGTCACACAAAGATGACTCTTGTCGGTGATGAATACACAAGAGGTGTGTCGGGAGGTGAGCGAAAACGTGTCTCGATCGCAGAGACTCTCGCGTCCAAGTCCACTGTGGTCTGCTGGGACAACTCAACTCGTGGACTCGATGCATCGACAGCTCTGGATTACGCAAAGTCACTTCGCATCATGACCGACGTCAGCAACAGAACCACGCTTGTAACCCTCTATCAAGCAGGTCAGGGCATCTATGATCTAATGGACAAGGTTTTGGTTATTGACCAAGGTCGTTGTATCTTCACCGGACCTGCTGGAGCGGCCAAGCAGTATTTCATCGACCTCGGGTTTGAATGTCCTGAGAGACAAACTACCGCCGACTTTTTGACTGCTATCACCGATCCTGTTGAGAGACGGTTCAGATCAGGCTGCGAGGCCAGCACTCCCAAGACCCCTGTAGAGTTGGAGCGTGCCTTCCGCGAATCTCCCTTCTTTACTCGCAATATGCAAGACGTCGACACGTACGAACAACACCTTCAGCAAACCAACCACGAAGATGCCAAAGAGTTTGAAGAAACTGTCCAGGCCGGAAAGTCGAAGACTGTTACCAAGAAATCGCCGTATACTGTCAGTTTCATTCGCCAAGTACTTGCTTGCACCAAACGTGAGTTCTGGCTGCTCTGGGGAGACACCACAACGTTGTACACGAAGGTGTTCATTATCATCTCCAACGGTCTTATCGTCGGCTCTCTCTTCTACGGACAATCCCTCAACACCGATGGCGCTTTCTCCCGTGGCGGTTCTCTTTTCTTCTCGATTCTCTTCCTTGGCTGGCTCCAACTTACTGAACTGATGAAGGCTGTCAGTGGACGCGCTGTCGTTGCTCGCCAGAAGGAATACGCTTTCTATCGCCCCTCCGCAGTCAGTGTTGCCCGTGTGGTTGCCGATTTCCCGGTCATTCTGGTTCAAGTCTGTCTCTTCACCATCATCATGTATTTCATGACAAACCTGGATGTTGATGCCGGCAAATTCTGGATCTACTTCCTGTTCGTCTACGTTAATACCATCTGTATCACCGCTCTGTATCGCATGTTTGCAAGTTTGTCGCCAACGATCGACGATGCCGTTCGTTTCTCTGGTATCGCCCTCAACTTGCTTATCATCTACACCGGCTATGTCATTCCCAAGACGCAGCTACTTAGCAAGTACATCTGGTTCGGTTGGATCTACTACATTAACCCCATCTCTTACTCGTTCGAGGCCGTTTTGACCAACGAATTCTCCGACCGCACGATGCAATGTTCGCCAGACAATTTGGTCCCCCAAGGTCCTGGTATCGATCCTGCTTTCCAGGGATGTACCCTGACTGGCGCAGCGGTAAACGCCCACTCTGTCAACGGTGCACAGTATCTCCAGACGCAATACACATACTCCCGTGCCCATCTCTGGCGCAACTTTGGAGTTGTTATTGCCTTCACCGTGCTTTACTTGCTCGTTACTATCGCTGCCACCGAACTCTTCAGCTTTGTCGGCAGTGGTGGCGGTGCTTTGGTTTTCAAGAAGTCTAAAAAGGCAAAGCAGCAAGTCAAGTCAGCTAGCCCTTCGGACGAAGAGAAAGTCGGATCCGACAGTGATACCGCTGTTGGTGGATCAACCGGCGAGAAGGAAGAGCAAGACGCCCTGGACTCAATCGTGAAGAGCGAGAGCATCTTCACTTGGAGAGATGTCGAGTACACCGTTCCCTACAACGGTGGTGAGCGCAAACTCCTCAATAAGGTTAACGGATATGCCAAACCCGGTCTCATGATCGCTCTGATGGGTGCCTCTGGTGCAGGAAAGACAACTCTTCTCAACACTCTCAGTCAAAGGCAGAAGATGGGTGTCGTCCAGGGCGAGATGTTCGTCGACGGCAGACCTCTCGGCAAAGAGTTCCAGCGTAATACTGGTTTCTGCGAACAGATGGATCTTCACGACGGCACTTCGACCATCAGAGAAGCACTCGAGTTCTCGGCTATTCTCCGCCAGGACCGCAAGGTTCCTCGTGCCGAGAAGATTGCATATGTCGACAAGGTCATTGACTTGCTTGAACTCAACGACATGCAGGATGCCATCATCTCTTCTCTCGGTGTTGAACAACGTAAGCGTCTCACCATCGGTGTCGAACTCGCAGCCAAACCCTCGTTGTTGCTCTTTTTGGACGAGCCGACCAGTGGTCTCGACTCGCAAAGTGCGTACAGCATTATTCGCTTCCTGAAGAAACTTACTGCCGCTGGCCAAGCTATTGTCTGCACCATCCATCAGCCCTCGTCTGTGCTCATTCAGCAGTTCGACATGGTTCTCGCTCTCAACCCTGGAGGTAACACCTTCTACTTTGGTCCTATCGGAGAGAACGGCAAAGATGTTATCGAATACTTCGGTGAACGTGGCGTCAAGTGTCCTCCAGAGAAGAACGTTGCAGAGTTCCTTCTCGAGACTGCCATCAAGCCCCGAAAGCGAGCAGACGGATCTAAGATTGACTGGAACGAGGAGTGGCGTAACAGTAAGGAGGCCCAAGCAGTCATCGAAGAGATCGACGGACTCAAGCGTATGAGAAGTAAGTCGGTCCACGAGAAGCAGCACGATGATGAAGCCACCGAATTTGCTGCTCCCGTATGGCTGCAGACTACCATGCTCACCAAGCGTGTCTTCACCCAATACTGGCGTGACCCTTCATACCTCTACGGCAAGCTCTTCGTCGCAGTCATCGTTGGTATCTTCAACGGTTTCACCTTCTGGCAACTCGGCAACTCGATCCAAGACATGCAGAACCGCATGTTCACAGCTTTCCTCATCCTAACCATTCCTCCTACCGTCGTCAACGCTGTCGTCCCGAAATTCTACCAGAACATGGCACTTTGGATGGCCAGAGAGCTTCCATCGCGTATCTACGGTTGGTTCGCTTTCAGTACTGCCATGGTTGTTGCCGAAATTCCTATCGCTGTTGTTAGTGCACTGGTATACTGGCTTTTGTGGTACTTCGCATCTGGACTACCGACCGACAGCTCTACTGCTGGATATGTCTTCTTTATGACGCTTTTGTTCTTCTTCTTCCAGGTGAGTCTAAGAAACAAAGAACCAAACAATTCAATAGAAATAACTGACTCTTCTCGTAGNGCATCATGGGGACAGTGGATTTGTGCCTTCGCGCCCAGTTTCACCGTCATCTCGAACGTCCTGCCTTTCTTTTTCGTCATGTTCTCGCTGTTCAACGGTGTCGTACGCCCTTATGCGTCGATCCCTGTCTTCTGGCGCTTCTGGATGTAAGTATAACATCATCGTTACATGTCGAGTAGTGGCTAATATCCAATCAAGNNGTACTATGTCAACCCCTCAACCTACTGGATCAGCGGTGTCCTCGCCAAGACTCTCGACGGCATCCGCGTCGAATGCACACCTAGCGAAACAGCCATGTTCAATGTTCCCGACGGCCAGACCTGCCAATCCTACGCCGGCGCCTTTGCAGCCTCAGCAGGTGGATACCTTCTCAACCCTGACGCTACCGCAGACTGCCAGTACTGCCCCTACGAGTATGCCAATGGCTACCTTGCCTCCNNCCTCAACATCAAGGCCAGTCAAGCATGGAGAGACCTCGGTATCTTCTGCATTTTCGTCGTGTCCAACTGGGCTTTGGTGTACTTCTTCATCTACACTGTTCGTATCAAGGGTTGGAGCTTTGGCTTTGGAAAGCTGTTCGGTGCTTTGGGTAGCTTGGTTGGAGCCATCAAGAAGCCTTTCAAGAGCAAGAAGAAGGAGTAGAGCTCTTTTTTTTCCTTTTCGTTTTCTTTTCTTCTGGCGGGGTTTCGAAAGGATTAGATTTTAGCATGGCGTTGAACGTCTTTTGTTCTTGTGCGATAGAGTTTTTAGAGAAACTGATATATTTTTCATGTTAGCACTTTGAGAGGTACAGCACATTGTGTCATGTAGTATGGTTCTACCCATGACGGAATGATCACATCTTGTTTGACCTGTTCGCCTTCAGAAAAGTGCGATGGATTTGCTGGGGCAACAGAAACTATGATAGCCTGACAGTAAAATATGGAAGGGACGATCGAGTGGTTTAGAAGACGCAAGAATGTGGATAATGAGTAAGCACAAAATATGGTGTATCTGACGGCCTGTGTCTGTGCTCTTGTTCAATCTACTTGCAGCATCCTTACGATCGTATCAGATCATGACATCGCCGCTTCTTCAGATGTTCTTGAGAATACCAGGCTGGATCTCCTCCAGCTTGGCACTCAACTCTGCCCAGACTCTCTCCTGCGTTTTCTTGCCCTCTTCGCTTCTAACAAACTTGGAAGGCGGCTCGACCAAACAGTCACTCATGTACTGGCCATGGGTGTCATGTGAAGCAAGTGCGGCAGCAACAAGTGTTCTGCTACCCACTTCTGTGGTCCTGGCCAAGAGCTTGTACATCAATTGGAAAGCAAGGCCGGTCGTCTCTCTTGACAGCTCACTGTAGCAGAAACCAGGGTTCATGGTGTTTATCGTAACTGGATACGATGGTGTGGCTTTCTCGACCAAAGCGCGAGTGCAGAAGACATCCATGAGTTTGCTGACAGGATATCTTACGCCCATTTCGGAGAGCTCGGGTGTTGCCAAGGTGTCGAAGATTGAGTCGCCCTTCTTTCGCTCTGGGAGGTCTGTCCAGTGGTGAACTTCCGAGGCGACGATTGTGAGTCTGGGTTGGATGTTGTGTTTTTGGGATGATCGCTTCAATGCGGGCAAGACAAGGAGAGCAAGAAGGAATGTCGAAATTACGTTCACTGTGATTGTGGACTCCTGGCCCTCGAACGTCTTGAAGTTTGTAGTACTAATGCNCTATAGAATGGTCAGCCTATTGATAGTCTTGCAGTAGATTCAAAGTGACATACCGGCATTTTCGATTATTGCATCAATGCGAGGCAGGGTGTCGACCTTTTTCGCAAACTCCTTGACGCTCTCGAAAGAAGACAGGTCCAAAGACCATACTTCCGCGACTCCTGTCCTCTTGGTGCTTTCTTCGATATCCTTGACTGCTGCTTCGCCTTTCTCCAGGTTTCTGCACGCGAGAATGACCTTGTCTGCTCCGAGACGCACCAGGTGACGAGCAGCCTCACGTCCTAGGCCGACATTCGCTCCGGTGACGATGTAAACCTGGCCTTTACATGACTGCTCAGGGTATTTGGGTATAACAAAGAATTGCGAGTACAAAAACGTGAGAATGGATGCGTAGTCCATTTCGTATCTGAGTTGAAGTTGGTTGATTTAGAGAGATGTTCTGCTGAGGTCTGACGTTTGTGTCGATGAAATCTGTGGTTCTAGATTGAGGGGTACAGCGATACTGATATACTTCTGCGACTTCAATGTAGTGCTTGAATACACGGCTTTATGTTTGACCGTGTCCTGGTCAACCAACTTCATGCCTGGAAGCTCGGACATAAGGGATGAGGCTGGGCCAGAGCGCGGTACTGCAGCCCCCACACCTCGAGACAGAATCTGGCCGTGAGGGTGGTTTCTCATGTGGGGGTGCTTCCACTCTTGCTGTAGCTTCCCCTCGGCCACATGGTTGCTCCGTCTCTGCCATCTCAATTCCTCAACGGTGATAAGGCCCTCGATGTCAAAATCCGATCTTGTACGCAAAAGTTCCTGGACCAAGTGACATCGTCCACACTCGATACTGGTCTGTAGTTCGGTACCTCGACTCAGAACCAAGCCAAGAAGCCATCGGATTTACAGCGCTCACAGTAATCCGGTATAGCGATCGGTCCTCTATCTTTGATCATTAGAGGTCTTTCTTTCTGTGCAGGCCATAGCTCGCATCTTCGTCCAGTTGTCCTTGCGGTATGACATTCGAGATAGTAGCGCTTAACCAGGTGGCCGCACTTCATTGACTTGACTAACTCGAACGTACACATTGTCGCTAATGCTAGTGTCGCGTGCTGAAGTTGAAAATTGGAATGACTCCAAATGAGTGATGCTTGAGCAAGATGCTCCCTATTAGAAGATCAACTCGCAACGAGGAGCCATAAGTATGTATATCATCGTCAGGTACCAACGCAGCCCTTCCATTCTGCTATGCCGTCACGCTGGCATGGTGTGATTCGCTAGCATGTTCTGGACGAATTTGTCTTGACGCGCAGTATAGTATCCAGAACAATGTTGACCAAGATCCATGAATGTGTCTTCACGCATCGGGCCGCCGGAGAAGCCCTAGACCCGCAGGTTTGGTATGCTCACCAATGCGTGGATGCGCCTGAAACACAAAGGCATGTAAGCGGCCAAGACAGCTGCTTCTCACAAACATATACTCCGCTGCTGGTAGGCTTGGGACCAGTCATACATCCAGCAGCCGATATAACTGATGACATGGTCGGGTGACAAGATTCTGGAATCTACTTGTCAGGATGACTGCATCTAGGGTTGATATTGGTCCACGCCAGATCACAATACACTCCTGTATGGATACCAGAGGGGTATAGCACGAGTCTGTTGCATTCGACCATACATAATCTATATGCAGCAAAAAGGATAAGGCAATCACTATGGACTCGAGATCAATCATCTGTCAAATCAATCACGACAGCCTTTCGTTTTCGCCCAGCGACTTGAGGTCTTCGGACTGTGTTGCAGTAGTCGTTTACGCCTCAGCGGGAGCTGCATTGGAAGCGCTCGACGACTCGACAGTAGTCTGCGTTGGTTGACTTGGTTGCTGTCGCGCAGCGGTCATAGTTATCACACTCCTCAGCGTGATAATCTCAGTGTACTTGCTTCCGAGTAGTTCCCTGAGTTGGCTTGAAGAATCCGATGTGCTCTCCTGATCTTCGAGGGAGCGGAGTGCTGCTAATGCCGACTTGGCTTTGTTTGTCCAAGTCTTGATATTTCTCTCGAAGCTCTTGCCTTGTTTGGTGACCACCATAGTCTCAATGTACCCGCGTTCGGTTACATGAGGGCAATCTGTGTATGGATCCAGCTGGGTATGTAGATGGTGTCGATGTGGTTTAGAAACGCGGAGGCTTTTCACACGATCTGAGGACTGCGTAGGAAAGCATTTAGATCCATGCAATCACGGCAATTGCACCCTACCGGATTCCTGTACCAGTTGATCTGAACGGGCTCCTGACCAACAACTCGATTGATATATCGCGAGAGACATGTTTGAAACAGCTCCTTGTCCATATCAGTCTCATCCTTTCCCTCCACTAGTCGCACGATTATGCTTTTCAAGCAGGGCAGAATGGTGTGCTCGTAGTCTTGCGGATCCATGGAAGACGTTTCGAATATGATACTGGCCACAAGCGATTGACCGTATTCGTGAAGCTGTAAATCTCTGATGTGACCTACGACGTTTGCCAATAGCCGGCCGTCTCATTGTTGCGAAACGACCAGGGGTGTTGATCTCATCGAAATACTCGTGGAGGTCTTCATCGAATCACCAGAGAGCATACTCCTTCCTTTGCAAAGAATCCGTCTTCAGACGTCGTCATGGTATCTGGCGATACTGTCACTGCGGCAGCCGTCTTGCGTTATCTTAGGTATAGTGTGCGAATGGTCCAGGTTGACGTGTTTTGGCGCGTCCAAAAAGCTGCGCGCATCATCTAGCGAGAGTTTCTTTTACCACGCCCAAAAACCCATGTTATTTGTTCTTAGCTGAAGCACGATACCTTATAGGCTGCTAGTCTTTGTTGCTCTCTACAAATTTGCTCATGAGACACATGAACAAGCTGTTTTGAGGCTGGGCGGAACGCTTTGGTATTGGCAACCGCGTACAGAACAAGTCTGATGCACGTTGGGCACGCGATGTATGCCTTCAGTAAATGCAAGTTGTCTCTTCAATTCTTGATATTCCCACTTCAGCTTAGATAGTAATCTCGCCTTTGACAAAGTTTAAGGGACGTATGATACAAAGTCATTGCAGGTGATACAGCAGACCTTCAGACGCGGTCGTCGTTGCAAAATCCGGATCGGTTTTGGTGACGTAGATTCTGGACTTTTGGCTGGGCACTGTTGACAGTCAAGCCGTCACACTCCAGCTGCCAAAAGTATACTTCACAACTTTTCAGATTTGGTCCTTGTTGTTTGCTTAACACCGGGATAACGCAATCACGAGTCTTTTGTATTCGACTGATGAGCCGAGCTCTCTTCCATCTTCGGAACATCAATAGCAAACCTATCTCGAAGCTGAGAGTAGCTACGACATCCAGAACCATGTCTTTCCGGGTCACAAAAACACTTACTTCGAACGACGGCAAGAATGGAAATGTCCCATATGGACCTTCAGTATGGTACACAGACAAACACCTCTTCACCTACGGTCATGAACTGCAACTGCCAGAAGCCCGACTCCAGAACTGGTACCCGTCGTCCTTTACCGACCCCAAGAACCCAGGCATACGCTTTCAGACAATGGAACATTATATAATGTGGAGCAAGGCCATGTGCTTCGATGACAAGGAGACAGCGGCAAGGATTCTCGAGGCAGCCACGCCAAGTGAAGCACAAGCACTTGGCCGTCAGGTCAAGAACTTCGATGGCATGAAATGGCGGAAGAGCGTGTTTGATGTCGCTGTGGAAGGAACTTGGCTCAAGTTCTCGCAAGTTTCCGAGTGCAAAGAGGCCTTGTTGGCGACAGGGGACAGGATCTTGGCGGAATCGAACCCTGCTGATAGGAACTGGGGCATCGGGTTCCGTGGAGAAGAGGCTGCAGAGAACGAGAGTGAATGGGGCACGAACTTGCTCGGCAAGGCGCAGATGGAAGTCCGAGAGAGACTCATGAAGGAAGAGAAGCAGTAGAGGCTCGCAAACGCTTGGAAAAATCAATCTTCATGGTCATGAACTTACGACTAGCACTGTGGCAGATACCATCACCCGGAGTACGATTGTACATTCGAGGGAACTGCAGATGTATTGCAACAACACATACACGTTGTTTGGCAAAGTGTCTAGATCAGCCCATACTCTGAGATGCACTTTCTAAAAAAAGCACGCCTTGTGGCACGAAACATGTTCAGAAGGAAAGCTTCCTATCGAGTTTATCCGCCGTTCGGACCACCACAGGCAATCAGTATAGCGATCCTCCCGCCGGGAGAGTGGGATAGAGAGTGGCTTACAGCCTAGCGAGAATAATGTGCCACACAGAGAAAGTTATCCCCTGAGAGCGCATGGGAAGGATGGAGCAATTCTAGGGCTTACTCTCAATTAGCCTATTTCAACTTCGCGGTTGGAAGGACGGCTATAGTTCTCAGTACTGCGCTAGCGAATCCGGATGTCCGATCCCGTAGGACAACAAGGTTGCGAGCTTGGAAGTGCCATAGCAACAGCATTCCACAATCAAACCCGCCAGATATTGGCGGAGCACAAATATGGAAGGAGAGAGACAACTGACAAGGCTGAACGACAAGACACGGCCAAGGAAACTTTCTCTGCGGGGCTTGCAAATGTGGAGGTTTTATGGCGTGACTCTGGGAATGCTAATTTAGACCTACACCCATGTGTGCATGAACGTACCTTGTACACGACAGTTCGCATCGAAGTTTGATTGTCAGATCTGACATCCCTGTCACACGAGAAGCAGTACAGGTGAACTTGATAATGAGATAGATTGTCAAATTGTTTGAACCGAGTATTAAGAGGTTTTACTGAGAATGGTGTGGGAAGATCTAAATCAGATCTTCCGGTTGAGGCTCCCCCTCAATCATTCGTGAAACCTGGGTATCCTGCAAATAGTAACAAAAACATACGAAAAGTAGTCATATGGACTTCAAAATCATGCGGCACACCATTCTCGAGTGGCCGCGAAATCCCAATATCCATAACATTGATCGTCAGGATTATCGTTTAGACCGACTCAGCGGCACGAGCAGCAGAGTTGTCAACCTTCTCGCGTCTCTCGCGACCCTTGTCAGACCAAGGGAAGTGAGCGACGGGGATGATGAAGAAGGAGTTGCTGGTGTCGGCAATACCGGCGAGGGCGTTGTACCAGGCGGCGAAAGCAGCCAGGATACCGAAAGCACCACCAGCTCTGAGACAAGGAATGTTTCCGTGCTGGAGGTATGAGATGCCCAGCATGAGGAAGGCAAGGTCGAGAGTGAAGAAGAGGAAGAAGAAGGCGACGGTCGAGCGCAGCGTGCACAGAAGTAGGATGAAGGTGAAGATGAACCAGCCNNCTAAGTAGTGGTTAGTTAGATGTACTAGTGGGCTCGAAGGTATCGTGCTTACCATCAAGTAGAACCCAAAGACGTCGTCAAACGAAGTGCCCTCGTAAGCGCTGGCGATTTCGAAGCCACCGGGGGTGAGAATGATAGCAGTGCCGATCCAGAAACCACCGTAAGACGAAAGAGCAGTAGCACCAAAGGTGTTTCCAACAGCCATTTNCCCTGCGAGATTGTTAGAGACTCACACAAACCTCGAGAATGTTTTGTTTGCATACCACATGCCAGCGAGGAGCTGGACCAGACCGCCGTATGCGAAAGCAGCACCAACAACGATGTTGGGCTCAGCAATACCGCGAGTACCAAGGTTGATCAGAGAGAGGACGAAGGTGGTGAGAGCGAAAGCACTGAGGCCGAGGGGTGCAGGGTTGGCGAACTTGCGGTCGTTGATAGGCTTGTAGAGACCAGGCTGGAATTCACCACCGAAGGCAGGAAGACGGACAGATTCACCAGTGTTGATGTGTGCCAGGGGGTTGCCGCCATAGTCGTAGGGCTTGCGCTGCTTCATGGGGGCAAGGTTGGTAGGCGCATGGTCGTAGCCATTGACACCATTAAGACCATTGGCCTCTTTGTCCATGCCAGCGTAGCCCTCGGCATTGATGGCGTTCTGCTCCTGAGCAGTAGACATGATGAAGACTTGTTAGGTTGTGAAGAAGTCGAGGAGAGGTGGAGTGGACTGCTGCCAATAAGTGGACCGAGTCGAAAGAAGAAGAGGGTTGGATGATAATGCGGAGAGATTGGAAAAAATCGAACGGCAAGGGGACCTTCATAATATACTCGGTACCACTAGCGTCAGTGACGATTATCTGGAGTTCGTGGGGAAGAGCCGTGCTCCAGCGTGGAGTTTGTTTAGCTCATGCGGCAATGTGCCGCTAATTATTTGAGAGCAGAGCCGTTGGTTGTCTTGTTACCCACCACAATTGCTTTGTCAACCCTGGAGATCATGTGGTATGATCTCTGATCTGTAGTGTGTTTCTGGGACTGTTCTTTGGTCTTTCTTGCTATGAGATTGAGCAAGCACACTCTATGATACTCGCTTGCTGTCAGTCGTCTGGGGCACCTCGAGATGAGTCCGACGAGCCGCCGTCTCCGTTAGGTCCTCGCAAACCCTGCATGAGCCATGTCTCTGGGTGTCGTGAGCTCGCTCGACAATGGCTCTCGAAACGGATTGCATATGTCATGGGACGCTCGTTGCCAACGTCAGCCCAGGCGACGATCTGAGTAGCCGCGGTATCCCACTCCCCCGCCGCGTGATCCCTCTCCTTTGCTCCTCGTTTCCAGTCTTGACGTGCGCCATCGCGAGAGCTTGTCTCCCTACGTATGCCGCTGACTTCACAGATGGATGACAGATGTCCAGAGTCTGACTTTCAGGCGTCGCAAAGCAAATAACGGAGCGCCACCAAACGTGGGCAATTTGCTTACCTCTGAAGGGCCAAGCAACGCCATCTGTGCGTGTAAAGGCTTCATCTCAACCAACTGAAGTTTCGTCTGTTCATGCCAGTCGGCCAAACAGTTGTTCACAACATCGCGCCGGCTCGCAGACATCCCCAAATTGCTGCATCTCACTTGCTGAGCTGTTCTCGGCTAATCACTCGCTGCGGCGCTCTGTCAGTCAGTCCGACCGATCTTCTCCTTCGGTGAACGATTATCCGTCGATCAATAGCCGTAGGCCGGTTGTGCAGAAGGTAAATCGGAGCCGCAGGAACTCTTTGTCAGGTAATTTGATCTTTGCGCGCCTCTTCCTCGCTGTTGTGGACACCTTCCAGATGCTGCAAGAACTCGAGCACCGAACGGTGTTTCAAGCCCTCGGACCTTGCTACTGATTCCGATTTAGTAATATCCGGTTGCATGGATCAACCATGGGCCGGCGGAGCGGAGGTCTGCTGGATAGTGTGCACGGTTATAGATCAACGAGTTCTCGCCCGCCAGCGCTATCCGAGATGCCGTGGATTACAAACACGACAGACAGGCCGTTACCGGTCAACGACTTTGGTAGTGCTGGGCCAACAACGCAGATGCTGGAACATATCCTTTTTCTGGAAGCTCATAATATGTATCCGCAAGAACAGTGAAGATACTGTGAGGTAGTGATATGTGTCGTGGTCTCGGTTCCACACTCCTGCGGGCTCGAATTCTGTAGCTCCTTACATCAATCCTGAAACATCACATGCATGTGTATAGTACGTGTTCGACATGGATGATATTCTACGCGACTCGTCTTTATTCGTGCGTTTGTGGTTCAGCTAGTGAGCGCGGAAGGATGAGAGCCTGCTCGTGGGTAAGGAGAAGCCAATCAGAAATTCTCCGAAGGGGTCAAATACGAATATCATAGAGTGCACTTAGCACTGACAATAACTTTAGCTGCAGCTACGGTTTAGAGATTCTTCACTGGGTGTGCGCTTATTCTCTGTATTACTACTCAACATATGGTTTGAAAGGTCGTTAAGCATGTTCTTCAACCTTGCACATTATCGGCGTCGAACACTGTGTGTTGCTCAGTGCCATGCCCTTCAACATATTCCGGATTGCTTCCACGCGAAACTATCCCCAATTCTGAACCGCTGACCCATATATCCCTTGATGAGGGCTTGGGTTCATGTTCCAGTCAAGAGACTGACCGTGGGTCTGTGTTGCACACATCGTATAGATCCACGCGTTGCAACAGCTACATCGTTGGTGGATTCCAGATGCTCGAACTAAGAAGCTGCGTAGCCAAGATCCGTAGCGATACAGGATCCGCTCACATTGTTCGAGGCGTCTGAGGCTAGGAACAGAACAGTCTGAGCAACCTCCTTAGGGTTGACCATGGTCACAGGCCCCTTCATCATAGTGCGGTAGCCCTCGTCGTTGATACTCGTGATGGTCTTCGAAATGTTGGTTTCCATTCCTGAAGGGAGCACAGCGTTGCATCGGATACCTTTGTCGGTGTAGAATGCAGCTGTGTTTTTCGTCAACCCCACAAGGCCATGCTTGGACGAAGTATAAGCAGCGCCTGNCAGAGAAATGTGTTAGAACGTGCTGGAGCGGATCTTCAAGATATGACACATACCAGCCGCGAATCCGCGCAGAGCGGCCACTGATCCGATATTGATGATTGAGCCTTTAATCGACTTCTCCAACATGTGGTTAACACCAAGCTTGGTAACCATCATGGGAGCAGTCAAATTGACTGCAATGATACGGTCCCAGAGGTCTTTCTCGAGCGAGCCCACCGGATCNNTACGATGACAGAAAGTTAGCAACCCATCTCAAACAGGATCAAGGCCGTCTTCGCCACGCAGTCGACAAGTCTTTGGGATTGGCTATCACTCTTACAGGACTCGACAACAGGAGAACGCAAAAGTGTCTGCCTTGTCACTGGTCTGGGATAACGTACCGAGACGATCAGTAAGTCCTGCGTTGTTGACAATGATGTCGATTTGACCAAATCGCTTGATTGTTGTTTTGAACAAATCCTGTAGGTCCTCCTCTAACGTCACATTCGCCTCAATAGCAACTGCTTTCGACTTGTCGTGAGAAGCTTCAAACTTTTGCACCAGTTCCGTGTTGATGTCGATTGCGACCACGTTTGCTCCTGCTTCCAGGAATAGGTCTGTTATGGCAAGACCCAGGCCTCCAGCGCCTCCGGTGACGACGGCGGTCTTGCCTTCGAGAGACAGAATGAGTGACATGATGAAGTTCTCTGGGGTCTTTGAATCCGAGGTTGAAGTTGTTGTATCGAGTACTTTGTATGATCGGTGGTTCAAGATATGAATATGCTTGTCGAGTTGAGGCGTGAAGTCATGTGTAATGGACTTTCATATTACGCAGCAAGCTCTAGAAAGGCGTGGAAGTCCCCGCAATCGGTGCTATCGCCTTGCTGTTGCCGACGCCATTGCAACTTGTGAGCACGCAATTAGCAATTCCTCTGCTAGATAAAACAGAGCAAAGAAGCTTCCACACGGCGATTCTACTCTGTTGATGGAATAGCATCATTGTCGACGTTCGAGTGTCACAAGGACGGTCTGTCGATATCGCTGAGCACACATCGGGTGACGTCATCGCCATGCCATTGGAGTAACCCTGGTCTGACAGGCGCTGGAGCACTTTCCTTCTACTACGTAGACGACACTTGACTGCCAGACATGAGGCTTGAAGCGGAAAACAACATGTCACCGTGTTGTGCTGGTGCCTGGATGGAAAGACGAAAATAGAAGGATCTCAGATCTAACCCCATATGGGGCGATCTCCTGCAGAGCTGCATCCTTCGATAGCTCCTTCCTCCAGTACCCCGCGCCTGGCAAGGTACCTTATCAGCTGTGTTGTCCCCTTCACTTGTGGTCCTCTAGCAATACACAAGGAGTCTCTATTTCTCTGCACGACATCACTTAGCTGAACCGATCCCACTGTCATTGACTCAGTTCTCGACCTGGAAGCCACTCTCAACGCCGAGAACACGCACCAGCAACCTTACCAACATGACAGGAGAGAACTTCGCTTCGAACCCGAGTTTCGCTAACGACACATCCAATGCCTACTTCGAACATGCCTCTGGCATTCGCGTGGACACTAATGCGGTTGTCATGGAAGCGATCCGCCGCGAGTACCCTCAACTGCATCTGACTGTCATCCCCGTGAATTCATGCAACCTTTTAGCGTTCGCTGCTTCTGGAAGAGCTGCTGCTGCTCCAATCGACAAGGAAAACGACCGCTTGTATGTTCGGGACTTCGCGCCACCGGCAAGGCGTCTCACCGGAGAAAATGGTCGTCTTGTAGACAGCGTCAAGTTTGGTAAATTCCTGATTGAGTGGGAGGGCAAGGAGTACGTCGTCTACATTGCCGAGGGTCGCGATGGCCAAGGATACTATCCGATCGTGCGCAACCAGTACGTGTTGTCGTCTTCAGTCCACGCCAGCGAAAAGCTTCTGCTTGAGGCCGGTCGATTCACCAACAGTGTGGAAGGAGCGGTGCTTGTCTTTGATCAAGGCTATTGGCAGAAGAACCACGAGCTGTGGGAGAGTATCCAAGAAGCAGAATGGAGCAATGTCATTCTTGATGAAGGCATGAAACACGACTTAATCAAAGATGTCGACAACTTCTTCGATGGCCAGGACACATACCAAAAGCTCAAGGTGCCCTGGAAGCGCGGTGTCATTTACTATGTAAGTGTGCCCCTTTTGCATGCAACCAAAGTCTTGCTCTTACCAGTTTAACAACAGGGCCCTCCAGGCAATGGCAAGACGATCAGTATCAAAGCTCTGATGCACTCGCTCTACAAACGTAAGGACCCAGTTCCTACTCTTTACGTCAAGTCACTCGTTAGGTATATATATCACTTCACCAAGTGTGCGGTCCGTCTCTGACAATTCACNAGTTACGGGGGTCCTGAGTACTCTCTCTCAATGATCTTTGGACAAGCTCGGCGCTATGCTCCATGCTTCCTCATATTCGAGGATCTCGACACCATTATCACAGAACAGACACGCTCGTACTTCCTAAACGAGGTTGATGGCTTGCGCTCGAACGATGGCATCTTTATGGTTGGATCCACGAAGTACGTAGATCGAAGACAAGGCGAGCCGGCTCCATGCAACGAAGTGCCGCATAGCCACCGCGTTTTAGCACAACCTCTGGAATTGGCTCGTCGATGGGGCGCAATATCGTAACAGGAACTTCGCTGACTATTTTCTCTTATNAGCCACCTTGATCGCCTGGATCCCGGCATTTCTAAGCGCCCCTCTCGCTTTGATCGGAAATATCTCTTTCCAAATCCGGACCACGAGCAGCGTGTCATGTACGCCCACTTCTGGCAAGGAAAACTAAAGGACAACAAGGACATAGAGTTCCCAGACAAGCTCTGTGAGGCAGTAGGCAGTATCACAGATGGTTTCTCCTTTGCATACATGCAAGAGGCTTTTGTGGCATCTCTGCTAGCTCTTGCACTCCGCGACAAGGAAGAGGGACATCATGATGCTGATCTGGACAAGCTTCCTTTGTGGCAACAGCTCAAAAAACAGATCAAGATTCTCAGAGACGAACTTAACCAAGACCCAGGAGAGGCATTGGCAGCACTCAAGGTCTAGTGACGATGGTTGCAGCATGTATTGGGTGTACAACAGCAGCTAGCCTAATTCAAGGGTCTCAATCCTTCGATGAAACAGTTTATTTGACATTTCTCGTACAACTTTGCAATATTCTGCGATGGATGAAAAAGTGGCGAGTGGGAGGCTAAGCGAGAGGATAAATCCAAGGTGATGCAAGTGTGCGAAGGAGCTTCGAGGAGAACCGGAGACTGACAGGGGTGCATCCTTTTAAGAGGGCTACACATTAGTGACGTGAAAGAGGATGCTTCGTGGACACATGAGCCAGGATGTCTAATCTTGTCTGTGGTTTTGCTTGCGCAGCGCAAATCGTGCTCGTCCAGTCGTCAGCAGCCAGATCTATCTTCATGTGACATACCGAATAGCCATGACAGTCTCTTGTACTTGTTGAATAGACCCGCGTCCACTCACATGTGAAAGGATGACGCAGGTGCTGGCGATTGTGTTTGTGACGGTGGGCACGAGATGGGTCTACACGCAGACACGCATGGCTCTCTGTGCAACGCGTTCTCGGATTCCGAGTGGGAAAGCGCATTCACCCGTTCTATTCTGATCGGGACCTCTGTCAGAGAAGGTTGTCTGAAACAGGGCACATTGGGTTTCGTGTTGGCCGCGTGCTCCCGGGCACGGGCCACCAACGTGACTTGGCATCCTTCGGACTCCATCTTTGGACCTTCACCTCAACTGCGCCGCTCTCTGATTGTAGCACCGCCTCTATTGAGACTACATCATCGAAGTCCTGACGGTGATGCTGCCATCGCATCTCGCCGTTGCATTCTGAGGGAGGTGTACAATGACGAATGTATACCCTAGGCAGCCGTTAGCCTGAGGGCGGGCTGGTGGCAGCCTAAACATGAGCTCTCTCATTGACCTACTCGTTCCTTGCATCATATCCTGAGAACCGAATTGTGCCTGGAGTACTGCAGGTACCCTCACAGACTGTGTGACACGGTCGAGATTCGAGTCTTCAGCGCTCTAGTCCTCGATCCACTGCCTTCAGCATCATGCCATTAGTCTTTCGGCCTTGCTGTCCTTGGTCTGTTGCCTTGGGACTATGACTCTTCGGTCTTGGGGCTGTGTTCTGGTAGGTCCGTGGCCGAGCAAGTCACGATGTTCGTTGCCTGGGTTGGTTTTGGCCCCCAATCCCTCACCACTGTGCGGACGCAACGGCCGTGGCCGAGGTTTGCTTGCGTCAACTCGTTCTATTTCATCATCGTGGCACACCTCGTTGCAGAGAGGGTAGGAGTACCTTGGCGGCATAGCCACTGACCTCTTGGTTGCTTTCCCTGTTCCTCTTCCTCTCTGAATATAAAAAGCCCTGTCTGCGCCGTAAGATATTGACCTTTGCTCCCTCTACCATCTACCATCCATCATCTGCCTACCGCATACCGCATACCGCATACCGCATACCAAACTTCGACACAGACCTGATACTAGGTCAACACCAGAACCAAACAGCACACAAGCACATTCAAACACCCCGTCTACATCGAACGCAGCTATGCCTTCCAACAACTCATCGTCCAAGTCTTCGAGCAACAAAACTCCGTCGACCAACTTTTCCGGCGCAAAGACACCAGTATCCAGCAGCAGGCCTTCTGTCGTAATCCACCAACATGGCCCAGGTGCCAGATATGGACCATCGGAGCCATCCTCTCGTGATGCTCTCCTTGCCAATAAATGGCGATGAAACTTCATGGTCTAAAGCCAACGCTGAAAACGACACCGACAACAAGACACCACCATAGCTATCACGGACACTTTGCACATGTTTACATTTCCTGGACCAGGGAAACATTAACGGCCGATCTCGGACNNCCCAGGCTGTGTGACTTGTGTGCTCAGCTCAAGCACCGACAATAAGATCCAAACGAGTGACTCAAGCATCCAGTTGAGCCTCAGAAAAGACACGACCAATGCACACAAAGATGAGACCNNGACTCAAGTCATGCACTGCACACANGCAACCATCACNCCTGATCACGCGTTTTGATTTATCGAATGCTCTCTGCTGCGATTTTTGGTTGGATAGCACAGCTCTTTTGACGACGGAAAATGTTTTATTTGTCAACAGAAGGCATGTGTGAAGACGGAAAGGGACGGAGGACACGAGAAAGATAGGAACAGGAAAGGCGGGAAGGGACATGAACTACATGCGAGTCAAATCTCCATTGTGTGACGGGGTTCCTAAATGGCGATTTCAAATAGGACGGCGAGCTGACACCAGAGGGGAGGGAGAGGTGGGGTTTTGCATCAAGTCGCGTTTTTTTTTCTGACAAGATCATTTGACACACCTGAAATCAAGCTTGATTCCACTCACTATCTAAGAAAGTTGTCCGCAGCACTCCAGTGTCGTATTCCCTTGATTTTGGGCCTGCTGACAAGCCCCTGCTTTCCGATAGCAGCACGACCCATTCGGTCTTGGCATATATAGAGGAGAGCAAAGCGCTGGAACAGAGCGAGCATTACACAACGTTCGGAGGCTCTCTGGCGGTCAGAGCAAATCTCAATATGTGTTCGATGCTCATTGGCGGCTTGGAGGGGTCGACATTGTGTCGTTGTAGTCTTTTGACAGGCTCGGGGATGGTGTCTACCATGTCCACATCCATATCGAGCTGTTTGTCGTCTTGCTTTTTGCCTTGTGCTCCAGCCTCGTCGTCTTCGTCCTCATCGTCGCTATCCCACAGCTTGCGACGCAGGCCGGTAACGACATTCTCGATGCCCAGCTCGTGTTCTTCGAGAGTGAAGACATCGTCAAACGCATCGACGCCCATGTCGCGAGCGATTCTGTTGCCTTCGCGGCCAGCCCATTGCCAGAGATCGGACAACTGGGTTGTGGTCAAGGGTTGTGGTTCAGAAGGAGCGGGATTGGCAGAGGAGCCGTTGGTTTGAGGGAGGTCGATGGCGGTGTTTGCAGCAGGTCGGTCCCCATTGGCGATCCAGTCTTCGACTTGTGGCTGCAACTNTTTGCGCAGCAGCTGGGTGAGCAAGTCTTCCTGGGTGCGGCCTGGGTACGAGGGCAGTGGGTAGACGTGGGCGTTGGCGAGAAGTGGCTGAGCACTGGAGAGGACCTTGTTCAGCGAGTCGAGGTTGTGGTAGAGTAGGTTGGCCGAGTTTTGCAGTGAGGNGCCTGATTTCAAGGGCTTGGGCATTAGTGAGCAGTTGGATGGGTAAGAGGGTGGCTTTGTCGCATACCACGAGGGGAGCGGGTCGTTGGCGTCCAGATCGTGCAGCAGTTTGCCGATGGTGTTGGCGAGCGTGTTTAGACGCTGGCGCACTTGCTCGAGCGAGCGCAAAGATTCGACCGACATGGCGTTGGTTGTGAGAGAGAGAAAGACGGAGTTGGTGGTTGGAGCTGATCTGATGGTTATGTTGTGATAGGGCGCATAAGTTGACACAAGTCTAATTATCCAATTATGCGTGATGCGCGATGACGCTCCTGCCTTGACCCGAGAGTCTCCAAAGTGCTCGAGCGGGTGTTGATTCGCAAACACAAGTCACCTTCTTCCTTTCGGGCTCGCTATGCTGCAGATATAATGCCGGTATCGATATAGGACCACACACCCATCTCCGCGACCGAAGCCACCCTCGCGTGACGCCTTGTAGGCCCGCAGCGCAACCATGTAGGCTTCGCAAACGATGCGACTATGGCTATAGCGACGGCCGCTTACCACGAGCAGGTTCGAAAAAGACCTCTACGCCCTCATCCGGGGCATGAGGAACCACAAGGGCAACGAGAAGGAGTACATCCAGAACAGTCTGAAGGAATGCCGCCGCGAAGTTCGCAGTCCCGACATGGACAACAAGGCCACCGCCCTGCTCAAGCTCGTCTACCTCGAGATGTTCGGCCACGACATGTCCTGGGCCTCGTTCAACGTCCTCGAGGTCATGTCCAGCCAGAAGTACCTGCAAAAGCGCGTCGGTTACCTCGCCGCTGTCCAGACCTTCCGCCCCGACACCGAGGTTCTGATGCTGGCCGAGAACCTGCTCAAGAAGGACCTGAACTCGCCGCAACTGCCTACCATCGGCCTTCCTCTGGTCACCATCCCTCATGTCGTCAACCCCTCCATGGCCAACTCGCTCCTGACCGACCTCTTACCCCGCCTTACCCACTCCTCGCCCACCATCCGCAAGAAGACTATCGTCACTCTATACCGTCTGGCCCTAGTATATCCTGAAACTCTTCGCCCGGCATGGCCAAAGATAAAAGAGCGTTTACTCGACGAGAATGAGGACTCAAGCGTCACCGCTGCCATCATCAATGTCGTGTGCGAGCTGGGCTGGAGGAGACCACACGATTTCTTGCCTCTAGCCCCTCGCTTGTTCGAACTGCTGGTCCAGGGCTCGAACAATTGGATGGCTATTAAGATTATCAAGCTTTTTGCTACTCTTGTTCCCCTAGAGCCTAGGTTGATCAAGAAGCTGCTGCCTCCCTTGACTACTTTGATCAAGACAACCCCTGCCATGAGTCTACTCTATGAGTGTATCAACGGTATCATCCAGGGCGGCATCCTAGACGGTGCAGAAGGAACTGTTGAAGGTGACGAGATTGCTCGTCTCTGCGTCAGCAAGCTCCGCGGTATGCTCGTGGTTGAGGGCGACCCTAACCTAAAATACGTCGCTCTGCTTGCTTTCAATAAGATCGTTGCTTCTCACCCCCAACTCGTCGCGTTACACTCTGACGTTGTTGTCGAATGTATCGATGACCCTGACATCTCGATTCGCACAAGAGCTCTGGATCTGGTCTCCGGAATGGTTGATTCCAACAACCTCATGCCTATTGTCGAACGTCTTCTTCGTCAGCTTAGAGAGGCCACTCCAGCTTCGGCTGCCAATGACCCAATCAACGACAGAGGCATGCATGCTGGTGTGGTTCCTTCAGGAGATTCAGACGACGAAGAGGCAACCGAGTCGTTGCGAAGACGTGAGGCGCGTTCCTCGGCATCCCCACCGCTTCCTGAAGACTATCGTCAGAGTGTGATTGACAAAATACTCGACATGTGCTCAAGAGACACATATTCCAATATCACCGATTTTGAGTGGTATGTTGGCATTTTGGTTGACCTTGTCGGTCACTGTCCAACCGTGGGCACTCAGGCCTCGGACAACTCCGCAAAATACACCAAGGACGTCGCTCACAACATTGGCCTCGAACTTCAGAACGTTGCTGTCCGCGTGAAGAGTGTGCGGCCAGAAGTGGTGGCTGCAGCCCAATCGCTCATAATAATTGAACGGAGAAGAGACATGTTCCCTGCTTCTGGTAATGGCGCACAGGCTGTCCTCGCTTCTGTAGCTTGGATGGTTGGCGAGTACCCTGATCTGCTTCCTGATCCACAAGCCGTCTTGAGTTCGTTACTCCATTCTTCGAGCGCTCAACTCCCTGCCAATATTCTTGCAATCTACGTCCAAGCTATACCCAAAGTATTTGTCCGTCTGACTTCTAATCAAGAACGATCATGGACTGCTTCCAGAAAGTCACAATCCGATCTGCTAATGGCCAGAATAATCCACTTTTTGGAACCGCTTGTACAACATCCCAATCTCGAGGTTCAGGAACGAGCTGTTGAATACCTGGAATTGATGCGTGTCACCTCTGAAGCAATTCAGGCGCATGCTGTTGAGGGCGAAGACGACGGATTCGTTGATGCTCCGCTGTTGCTCACTCAGGCCATACCCTCGCTATTTATGGGGCAAGAACTAAATCCTGTTGCCCTTGGTGCTCTCACAAAAGTGCCGCTCACCGAAGGATTGGATCTTGACACACCGATCAACGACAACCTACAAATACTTTTGTCGCAAGCAGACTACGACGACATGTCCTATCCGGATGAAGATAACGTTTCCAAGTTCTACTTCGAAAAGCCTTCAGCTTTGGCGGTCCAGCCCACGGCAGCTGCCGATTATCTGGAGCCGCAGGAAGCACAGCAGACCAGTTCTTATCAGTCCGAAGACCGCAACATCGATCCCAAGGACATTGCTAAGAAGAAGGCTGAGAGACGTGAGCGTTATCGTGATGATCCGTTCTACATCGACTCCGAGCGCGGATCCGGGACCTCAACACCATTACATAACATTCTCAAGAGCAGCAACGGTGAAGACCTGGATATCGACTCGATCCCTATCATGGATCTGCAACTTGACAGCAACAATACTGCGGCCGAGGCAGATCGCCTTCGCAAGTCCAAGGCTTCGAAAAAGTCACGCAACAAACGTGTCGAGATTGCGCAAGACGAGACTATCGGCGACGACACACCGACCACTGTAGTGGTACCTGCCAAGGCGTCTCTTCTCAGCAGACCCAAGAAGTCTCTATTGCACGTTGACAGCAGTGGACTCTCGTCTCTCTCCCTATCGGAGGACGCTTCTGCTCGCGAAACACAACTAGACTTCGAGCGCCGACAACAAGAGGAAGAAGAGATGGCGAAAGCAATCAAGGAGGTCGAGCGCGCACGTCTGGAAATGCAGCGAGCACAGGAAAGAGTAGAAGCGAGTCATATACCCGAAGAAGGCACCGTAGTCAAGCGTAAAAAGAAGAAGACGAAAACAAAGACTGAGGAAGAGAAGCCGTTAGACCAAGAAAAGGCATTAGGGGATGATGCGCAAGACACAACGGTAGTCAAAAAGAAGAAAAAGAAGAAGGTCAAGGAGGGAAACGTGGAGGACGCAGGAGAAAATGCTAGTGTAGAGGCCGAGGCAGCTACGGTCAAAACAAAGCGAAAGAAGAAGAGACAGATCAATTTTGACGAGCAAGCGGATGCGTCGGCTGCTTGAGCTGGCTGTTTGCCCTGCTCCAAGAATATGAATCGTGACTTGCTGCAAATTTCCTGTTTCATCAATCCCATTGCGTTGCGTCTCTCTTGCCGGGTTCTATATGGCTGCACCTTTCTGATTGCATCGGCTCTTCGACATCCCAATCATTGTTTCTATGTTTTTTCCTTCGGAAATTTCATCATCGTCCAATGCTCTTTCTTGGAGCTTTTGAACACAGATCTAGCTGGTCATCACATCCTTCTCTGCTTTTCCTCCCACTGTCCACATACATGCTTGTGGCCTCTATCCGAGCACCTACATACCGTGTTTCTCATTCACCCACGATCCATCGCGTCACAAGAGCAGAACTACCAATGTCTAGAGAGCGAACCACTCCAACACCACATACACATCTACCCTCATTATCCCCAGTACGCCACAAGATGCTTGTGATACTCATCAGCGACAATACGCCACGCGAAACTCTTTACTCCAATAACCTTACGAGGCTTGTGAAACTCGAAGATGGACCGTCTAAGGAGCAAACTCCCATCTGCTACTGTTGCATGGGATAAAGCCAAGACTCTCATTCATTCGAACAACAATCCAACCAACGCACACGAGCCTGGACAACAAACGTATGCCGAAAAAGCTCTCCCTCCCTCAAGCAGCAGTCACAACCAGCTGGATTTGTGGCACACTCTCAGTTCTTGAATCTGAGGATCAAGTCTACTCTTCTGCCACAACCATGTAAGTCTTTCGTCAAGCAGTGGTCGATAGTCCTGGGTGTTGCTTCAAAAGACAACCGCTTCGGCACACTTTGTAAACCCTCTGGCCCTGAGGTCCTTGGTGTGGGGTCCCTTTCTCTCTCTCCTCTTCAAGAGCAGTCCTGGCTGCGAAAGCCAAGGAAAAGGGCGAACATTTCCAAAGCCAGTCCGGGAAGGGGCAACCCTGCTGGCCAACACATGATTGAAGTAAGCTAAGAGAAGGGAACAAGACACTATACAAGCAGCACACGTGCCCTAGTGGGACTCTTCTCTGGCCATAGACAATCCTTGTCAACATGTCGAAGCTATCTGGGAAAAGCCGCATGTTTGTAGGTTAATAATTGGTGGTACGTTTCGGCAGACTTTGTCTTCACATGCAGGCACGAAACAAGAAAAAGTAAAGCAAAGGATTAGAATTATTTCTCATTGTGGTTAAAGGGGTATATAGCTCATGTGTATCGTCTCGACCCATGTACTGGTTTTTGCGAAGGTCCCCTTGCTGTATGTAAAGAATCAGAAAAAGTTGGGGTTGGGGCAAGAAGATGTAAGGAGAAAAACAAGAAGAAGAAAAGCCGAAAGAGGTCTAGAGGATGAGATGAACAGGCTGGAGCATCGTCAAGAGCATGGCAGCCAGAAGCCAGAGCCCACCTCTGCCTTCTGTCCTCCAAATGATTGATGGAGTGTCAAAAGTTCGTCTGATTCTTGTGCCTGGAAAGGGCTTTCTGTTTTAGACTTCGAGTCTGCAGATCTAGGCTGTGTGGGTGATGAATAGTAGACTCGGTACATTGGAATCGAGGCGGATGGATAAAGAGGCTGTTGTAGTTTGATCTGCAACCGGACTCGCAAGGCAGGCAAGGCGTGACCTCGAGTTGTACAATCGACTGATTGCAGGAGCGCACGTGCTAATTGTGATTGGTGTTGCCTGTTTGTACTCATGGAAGTCGGTGTTTTCCGGTAGGGATGCAAACAAGCATGCAAAGCCTCGCCTGTTGGCAAATGCTAGGCTTGCTGATCCTACGCTCAGCGTGGAGCTTCTCATCCAGAGGTTGGGTCTGATAGGAGGGCAGGATACGACAGCCCCTTCTTCCCTTCCTTTTTATACCGCATCACAGGCGGGAACGGAAATCTCCGCTCCGCAAGTGCAGACGAAGGGCTCTACTCGTCGTCTTCATCCTTGCCCTCGTGCTTGCCACCATCCTTTCTGATGGGGATCTTGATGCCCTGACCTGCAAAGCATTTGCTGAGCTCAGTGCTCTCAATTACACCAGGGAATTTCTTGGCCGAGAAGACTTGGAACGGATCAGAGAAGACGGTTGCCAGAACAGGGCGTTTGCCGGTGGACAGTTTCGAACCACCATCACTGCTTCCAGCACCAACGTCAAAGAAGCTCATCTTGAGACGGAAAACGGCCTCGGTACGGACGGAGAGATCCTGCAAGACGAACCAGTAACCTTCTTTTCCTGAGGGATCGCGCAAGTGGTTGGCGTTCACAGTCAGGCTACCGATAAGGTTGCGGGTGAACATACCGCTGCTTGGCTGTTGCTGCGGCATGGGAGGTTGATATTGGGCTGGAGGATACATTTGCGGCTGAGCACCGGGGTACTGTCCATAGCCGGGAGGCATGGAAGGTTGGGCGTAGTGGCCAGCAGGAGGAGGGGCACCTGGCATGTACATCTGCGGCATATGTGCTTGTGGGTAACCCCAAGGTCCGGGAGGGTAAGTGGGCGCGGGGCCGTAACCGGCGAATTGACCGGTACGAGGATCTGCGTAAGGTACTTGAGGAGCATAGACAGCCGGGCGTTCTGGCGGCGGAGGGTATGAAGTGGTTGTGGCTGTCGAGATGGATGTAGCGGGCGAGTTGGTGGCTGCTTTGACAATGTTCTTCTCGATTTGACCGTGCTCGTCCCACAGATCAACCTGGAGGATAAAGAAGCTGGCGTCTAGTTGACTGTCACATGTAAGCGTCAGTCGGGCTCATGTTAGACATGGTTCGGACGCCACTTACTCAGCGGGGACCTCCTTGTGTGTCTGTTCGTCAGTAACAACAAGCCGCACACATGGCGGAGGAGTGATGGGTCTGCGATCNNCTACAAATGTCTCAGATGGGTCAAATCCCGTGCCGCGGGGTGTGTTGCTCACCTTGTCACCAAAGCCACACATGCGCGCTCGGACGGGCTGCTGCACGACGACCAAGGAGAATCTCAAGCCGTCCCTGACGATTGATAATGTCTTAGCAGTTTGGGACACGGGCGCTGCCTGCATCGTCTGGCCGTTTGCTTGCAGCTGCACTTGTCGATTGTGATCGTACTGAGGATGAGGGGGTGCGGGATAACCGGGGTGGCCGCCATATACGGGCGGGAGGTTCTGTGTCTGAGCCATGTTGATGGTAGCCAAACGGTGAATTGATTCAAGAAAGCTCTGCGGTGCAAGAGAGGCTACCAATTGAAGCTCGGGAGCACGGGGACTGGAGGTTGGCGGAAGGCTATAGCCACGAGTAGGGCCTGAGGGCAGGGTTGGGTCGATTCGAGGAATCGCACACGGGAGAGCGAAGTGAAGGTTCCTCCAGTCAAGGCTGCGGTTCGTCTTTTGTCTGTGTCAAGACGAGCGCATCCAACAAGATGGCAGTCGCGCGCGCGTTACACAACCGGAGAAAAAGCGCCCACGTTGCAGCGGCCGTGCGTTTCAGAATGTGTACTGTTCAGGAGGGAGTGTGCAGCAGCGCGTGGGTCTGCCAGCCGCAGAGCAGGAAGTGTCGTCGAGTCGGCTGCGGATATGTACGAAGGCGATGGGTGAATCTAGCCGTGGACTCGTCGGACAGAGGAATGTTCGGCGGCGGGTGCGCGAGAAGCGAGTGACTCGGGTTGGGTTTTGGGAGAAAGCAAGTTGGACCTGTCACGGGCAGGCACGAGATCAATCGCGACACTTGTTCGCACAGAGTGGAGAAAAAGACAGGAAGGAGCAATGGAGCAGCGCGTCCAAGCCTTGATCAACCTGGACCTGGATCGCCCGCCATCATCTTTTGGTCGATAGAGAACCGCCACTAGGCTGGGTTCGGGCCTCTTAGTCTGTACCGAATGAGCGTACCGAAAACCTTTTGCCCGCCTGGGAACGAATCGGATGCCTCCAGACCGTTGCGCCATACTTCAATCTCTCGTGCCAGGATCCACAAGAGAGCTTAACGACTTCAATTCACGATTATTGCCATCAATCACTGACGACGGAGCTGCTCTCAAGCAATCCCCTGTGCCTCAAGCACTCTCACTCGCAAGCGATGCCTGCAATGGCTGGCCTCCCGATGCATCCCGACTGAAACCTGCAGGCACACACCAATCTGAGACAATCTTACTCCAAACACTTACGCCCCAGCAATATGGCGCAACTCTTCCCGATGACAGCCACGACGTTTCTTCATTCGGGCTTCTGGGTCGATATGCGACCTAGGTACACGGCTACGCCGCGCTTAACTACGGCAATGGCTTGCAAAGGACCGCCCACCGTTGTGCGAGGAAACCATCTCACCAGCCTTCAGTTCCCATAAACTACCATGCCGGCATTGCAGTAGCGCGACCGTCCTGATTAACGCGTCAAGACCAGTTCTCGGGACGCAATATGATGTGCTCCATATCAGTCAATCTACTCAGGAACTTGTATAGTGCTTGTTTGGTCTATCCTTATTATTCGATACTCAACGATTAATGCAAACAGCAATATGTAGTCTGCTGATAATCTCCTATGGCCAAAGACAATCTGGACGGTGGCCTAGCAGAAGCTTCAAGGCGCCAGTCGTGACAAACCTGGCAATTACAGCCTCACCACACCACAGATCTTACGTGCGTACGAGACGATGCCTCTTATACAAGATTTCCAGCCATGACTTTTCATTACACACGTCTGGCCAGAAGACAAAAGGCTGAAAGTATACGAGACGCAATCTCCGAGTCCAAGGCGTCAGCCGTGTGAACAATGCTGGTGCATGCAGTCAGACGATAGTACAAGCAGCAAGGCGTGCGAAGAGGAAAAGCATCTGCCAGAGTGCGTTCAAGAAAAGTGAATGACACGTCAACACTCGATGATATAAAAGCCATGGCGCGCCCTGCAGCAGGCATACATGATAGAAGGGGGAGCTCTTGGAGATGGCTGGTCAGGGGCTGCTGGCGCATGCCTGATGGAGTCATCAGATCCCATCGCTTCAAGAGGGACCGCGATGAGATTAAGATGTCTGAATTATGGTGTGGAGAGAGTGAAGTGAGCAGACTCGCGAGAGTTTGATGGTTCGAAGGTTTGTCAAGTCGTCGCGTGGGAGATCCCTGATTCGTGTGCGTCGCAGTGACGTAGCGCTTCGAGCCTTTCGACACGACGAACCTGGAGAAAGCACCGCCTTACCAGAGGACACATTCTTCCTAGTAACACACATTACACCGTCTAGCCACAATCATGTCAGGTATGAGAACGAGACCGTATCATTAACGCAACATGCTGACAACAGAACAGCACCGCCAGTGGATTACTACGCCGCCCTAGAGGTTGACTCCAAGGCAACACAAGAGCAAATCCGTACAGCTTACAAGAAGTACGTTACCTGCGTCTGATCAGAGGATACGCCTGACAAGTCTTCAGANCAAGCACTGAAGCACCATCCCGACCGTGTGCCCGCCGACTCACCCGAACGTGCAGCTCGCACCAGAAAGTTCCAGCAGATCAACGACGCCTACTACACTCTCTCAGATCCCACCAGACGAAGAGACTACGACGCCACACGACGCTACCATGGGTTCGGCTCTGGCTTTGGTGGATTCGGCTCGGGCTCAGGCTCAAACACAGCTCCAGGTGGCTTTGGCGATCCAGAGGAGGAGGTTCCACGACCAGAGCCTGGCAACCAGCAAGGAGGAGGAGGTTTCAGCTTCCCCTGGAGCGCCTTTGGTTTCGGAGGACAAGCAAAGACCGAGGAGGACGCGAACAAGTTTAGCAGCGAACAATTCGGCAACGTCTTCGAGGAGATGCTCAGGTATGCAGCGCCCCACTTCCTGAAACTCATGCTCTCCGATGACTGACCTTTGAATAGGGAGCAAGGTATGGCAGAGGGCGAAAACAACTCTCCTACAGGCAGGTTCTGGTCCATGATCGGCGCAGTCAGTGGAGGTGCGATGGGCTTCATCATCGCCAACGTGCCAGGCGCCATCGCAGGCACCGTGGCTGGCAACAGACTCGGTGCTGTCAGAGACAACAGGGGCAAGAGTGTCTACTCTGTCTACCAAGAACTGGACCAGCCGGCNAAGATGCGCCTACTCAGCGAGCTGGCAAGCAAGGTGTTTGCTCATGCCATTAGCTGAGCGGCATTGGAATCATGAAGCTTACGACTGGTTACTTTTGATTCAAAATACCTGATTTCGTTGTTATTTTTCCGGAGAAGACGGTCACGATGTACGCAATACCCCTATCAATGAAATGTTTTTTCCATGACGTGTGTTTCCTACATCTAGTATTGGGGGGCTGGGTATCTCGCTTGTTTTTAACTACACGTACTCTGACGGATTGAAGTGTTGGTGGATTATCGTTGAACAGATTGAGTGTCTCTGTCCAAAAGTTCCCTCGCAGCGATGAGTTCGGCTTGGTCATATCCATCCCAGCCGCGCTCACCACTCATACTACGTCTGACGATTTCCGAAAGCTTCTTGGTCGAGAGTTCTCGCAGCTTCTCGACCGAGGCCACCGAAGGAGGAGGCAGGTCACCAACTGTTGCATCTGAAGATTGCGCTTTCGGGGGTTTGCCGCTTGACTGTGACAAAGCTTCCAGGAGGCGTTGTGATGTNNCTGTGTATTGCCGAGTTAGCCAAGAGCGAAAGCAAAGCCAGAGAATGAAGAGGAGACTCACGAGTTTGAGACCGTAGTAGCCGCGGAGGTAGTCGTCGCACAGTTCAATGCTGCGGCAGAAGCTGCGTTGAGCATCTGCGAGTAGCTTGAGCTTGCCACCAGCATCGTCGGCGGCATTGGCAGATACAAAGAGCATCTCACCAAGACGAGCGTGGANTCTATCGTGCTGTCAGCAAAGCAATCTAGACAGAAGGGTTCAAGAGAGCATCAGACGCACGTTCCAAGCATTCGGCATGATGAGCAAGACTTCTTCCAAGCAAAAGACAGCCTGCGAGTGCATACTCTGCAAGAAGTACAGCTCTGCCAACTCAGCCCACGCCTCGGCGTCAATGGGCGAGCTGTCCAGCAACTCGGTCAACGTCTTTGTCGCATCGGCCAGCCTGCCCAAGCCCCTCAACAGCGCAACCTTCCTCTTCATAATGGGCACATTCGCCGGCTTCTCTTCTAGCATATCCTCATAGGCCTTTAGCACTTTCAAGAGGGCCTTTTCGTCCGTCGCCGTGGCTTCCTCGTACAGTCCGCGTAATGCTTGTACGCGCTCGTTGTCTGGTCCAAAGCGCTGAGACAGTTTATCCAGACAGATGGAAGCAGTTTCGTCGTCGCCGGTGCGCAAACAGGCGACCATTAGGTTCTCGTTGGCTTGCCATTGTTCGGCCGATTCGGAGGTGGTGAGGAGGGACAGCGGGTAGGGNNGGAGGCTGCTGGGTGCTTGGCTACGCAGCCATTTGGGCGCCAGTTGCGACAGGCGCAGAGACTCGGTTGGTGAGAGGTGTGTCGGCGGTGCTAGCAATTGATCCGTCATGTTGTTGTTGTTGTGTGGTTTGTGTCGATGTGACAGGTCGGTGGGTTGCGTGTAGCTTCTCCAGCTTGCTGGCGACATCTCCGCAATGTCCGCCAAGCACATTCAGGTCGTCACCCTGTCTATCAATGTCTGCTCTATAATGAGTATTTCCATCTTTGGTTCCTTATGGCAATTGAATCAGCACTTCAATAACATACATGTTTGATTTGTGCCTCAGAAATACTCATGTTTGTCGACAATATATACGTTCATGACTTCATGTTAAAATCGACTCGAAGCCTGATGCGCCTAATGCCAAATCCTGGACTTTTTCACCCAAACAAAACAACACCCCGGTAGAAAAGCATAACATGATCTAGACATCCTCCTTGAACTCGTCGTGACTGCCATCAGTACTAAGCATGGGAGCCCTGCCTTCTTTCTTCTCGTTATACTCGGTAGCATTGCTCTTGTTGCGAGCTGCTTGCATCGCCATGCCAGCATGAACAGAGGACGTACGTCTGACCTCTTCTTGCTCATGCTCGATGTAGGCCAGAGGACGCTTGGTGCTGATGGCCTCCTTGTGGCGGAACACCAGAGGGTCGTGGTTCTCGCGGAAGAAGCGATCCATGTCCTCAAGTGTTCGATCAGCCGTTTCTGGATACAAAAAGTACACAATAGGGATGAAACTAAAGTTAAAGACCGTCCAGATGATGTAGAACTTCCAATGGAGACTGGCAATACCGATAGGCGTGATCTCGACTACCATAAAATTCATGATCCAGTTTGTTGCAGTGCCCAAAGCAGCACCCTTGGTACGCATCGATGCAGAATTGATTTCAGCCGGGTAAAGCCAGGGAACACCTTGCCAGCCGATGCCGAAGAAGACATAGTAGAGGAAGAAGAATGCAATCGAGGCAGATGCAACTTCGTTCTGGTGAGCATAGCCGTCCTTTTCGTTGAAACGCAGGAGAATGGTGATCAGCAGGTAACAGCAACCTTGGCCAAGCGAGGCGTACAGCATCTATAGATCAAAGGTCATGTTAGCATGTTTCTTGTGCAAGGAGTGGTATGTTGCGATAAGTGTTGCATTTTACAGAGTTGCCGCAGAGGCGGAGACTACCACAGAGAGTCCGCGTTCTCGCGAGCGACAGTGAACTCTCAACGGGTATATATTCGATCCTCAAGGGAAATCTGCAACGTGATGGAGGTTTGATGACGAGACAAAATCTGAAGCCATCAGGCGGCGGTTGACTTGTGTGCATACGTACCATGTTGCGACGACCCCACCTTTCGATGTTGGGGATTGAGATGAAGGAGAATAGAAGGTACGAGACTGAATTGCAAGCTGCCAGCAAACGGGCCAGCTTCTCTGTGAGACCCACAGACTGAATCAAGACGGTGGGCAAGCTGAAAGCAGACATGAGTTAGCATAGTCCAAGGTGTGGAAGAGATACAAACTTACTAGTAGGAAGTGACATTGATTCCGCCGAGCTGTTGCATTGCTTGAGCTCCCATTCCCAGGAAGAGGCGTCGCATCGTACAGGTACCTCCCTCCTTGCCAGTCTTGCCCCTGAGAAGCTCGCCCCAGGAAGGCGAGTTTTGACGCTCGTAGTCGACAGCATACTGAATCTCGCTGCTCGCGGCGATGATGTGAGGGTCATCGTGAGTGGTCGATTCGAGTGCTGCAAGGATGTGATTGGCCTCTTCGACGCGACCTTTGCTGATGAGCCAGCGGGGCGATTCCGGCAACCATGGTACAGTGCCGTAGAGGACGATGATAAAGAGGAATTGCAGAGCCAATGGTACACGCCAGGCGACGCCTCCATCGATATACGAGAAGCCATAGGTAACCCAATTGCTGAGACTGAAACCAGCAATGTTCATGATCATCTCGATAATGACCAGTTTACCACGCCACGATGCCTTGGACGTTTCTCCTTGCCAGACTGGAGCTGTCGACGTGTTTATGCCGTTACCAATGCCAGCCACAATACGACCAACAATCATCTGAGGAACTCCAAAAGCTGTGCATTGGAGAAGCGCTCCTACCGACATGATTGTGGTTCCTAGCAGGATTGAATTCTTACGTCCAAGTGGATCACCAATCATGACTGCAGCAATGGCTCCGAAGAAACATCCAATGTCATAAATGGCGGTAATAGTTGATAGTAGACTGTTGTTGTTGGCGAGGTTAAGTTGGTCAATATAATCTTGTGTAACAACGACACCGCCGAAAACACCCTGTCAAGATGGTTAGTTGTATACTATTGATCGGACCACTCTTCTACGCACCTGGTCGTAACCAAACAGGGTCATGTCTGTGGCACAGGCGACAGTAACCCATACTGTCAACCATGTTCCGGTCATACCGAAGTATTTCGGTTTTGCCATTGTCTTTCCAGACATACTGCTGTTAAATTATCAAAGTGTGGAGAGACAACGTGGAGAAGCCGATTGTGGGAGTGCATGTTGAAGAGGGGAAAAGTCAGATCCTTATATACAAGACCTTTAGCAACTTGATCAGCCTCTTGCAGGCCAGAAGATGTCGAGATCCTTCATGGGTCGCGTGCGTGCCCGAGCATGACGTCGCGTGTGGCTGTTTTCGTACGCAGCGGTTTGGTCGCACGTAACTAGACATATGGAAGTCGTCGAAACGTGAGTATGATCTTATGGAGGCTGTTAAGCCGATCGGCATCAACGCCTACTACTGATCATCAGGCAGTCAATGCTATAACTGTTTACAAGAATAAGAAGATCCAATTCCAGAGGAGGAGTTCTTCATGGAGGATGTTTGCAGTGCTATCGAACCTCATGAGATTGAGCTAAGGCTGTCGATCTGGAGACGAAGTTGGAGTTAGCGCATCCCCGCACGCTTGCACGAGCCCTGTCAAATCGGGCCTTTACCGGAGGTGAATACGGAGGTAAATACTGTACGGTGACGGCGGGGGTGGTACCTGGATGGTCCAAACAGATGCAACTTGGAGAGCTGCGAGTTGCTGTGCTGCTGATGTGCTCAGCAGCGACCTGCCAACGCTCGAAGCTCTGATTGGATTATTTCGATATCACCCACGCTTGAGGTACACTTGAGAGCAAGCTCACACAAGGAATCAAATAAGCTCATCCGCCATGCGTCAACGGCGAGCACGTCCGCATGGGAATGGGTATGACGCATGCGGCACTTGAGGAACGCCTACTACGCAAGTCATCCCAGCGCTCGAAACGATTCTTCTGTATGAGACATAGCACACAAACTGGAGTGTTGGAACGGCAGCACTGTACGAGTTTGTATCGTTAGAAGCATGCTTGCTCACTATACTAACCAGTATACTGGATATGAGATGTTAGCTTGGCATTCCTGTACAAGAACAGAGCAACAAACCAGACATTGATCGAAAGCGAGTGTGATTTACAGCTCGAATTCGATAATTCGAATTCTGGATGTTCAGCATCTTCTTCTCATTGAATAAGGCCAAACAGCAAACGGCCCTCATACAGTTAAAGCTCCTTGTCTCCGACATATTCTTCAGCCCTAACAAGGTCAGATGTTAATTCGGCTCAAGTTTGAGCATAAGAATGGATCGAGCGGTGCCAGCTGCATGAGATTGCTCATCCCTTGTGCGCCATGAGCTTGCTGCGACCGCACTTCTTAGACATGGTATCTGTGGTAGGTCCATTTATGTTGCCCTGAGATTCATCTAGTTGTGCACGGAGCTGAGTATGCTTTATCAGACATATGCCCCTCTGAGTATGACTGAGCCACAAGGCATCCTGAGATGTCGAAAGCACGCGTGCTTTTAATATCGATCCTGGAAATCTAGTGGAAAGCGAAACAAACAGTTTATATTGCCTGAGAGGTAAGCGACGCAGCGTAATTAGCGGTCAAGAAGCGACTTCTGATTGTCCTGGAAACACGTCAACATGGGCGTCCACTGTGTCGTTGGACAAGACACGGTTTGCCCACGATGGAGCAACGACACTGAGATACAACATTGTCTCCCATGCGGCTTGCGACTGGAACGACAAGCGGCTAGCCAGCCGTTGGCAAGAGTCCGACTTGATGCAGGTGACTAAGACAGCTGGTGAATTCCGTTGCGAAAGCTCGTCCAAAGAAAATTTTCGACAGCAGAGAACCGACTGACTTCGTGAACAGATTCCAGTACAGCTGGAGAGGCAGAAGGCGCGCACCCCGAACACAGGTTGTCGAAAGGTCTTTCCAAAGCTTCAGCAACCGTTATCCTGGATACAGCACAAGACCCAAGTCTTCATCGGGTTGTTCAATCAGCTGTTCTCGCGATGGGGTAGTCCTCTGGGACGAAAAATCATCTGGATGGCCCCCCTTGGCCTTTGAGCAGGTGTGAATCCAGGTCAAAGTTGGTAGGTTGATATCAGGAAGGCATCACAACGATCCCTTCCCAGCTGAGTGCTGAGGCCATGTAGGCAACGTTCGCCAAGCCTGTTGCTGACGCCAGTCAATGACTCACGTCCCTACTATGATCCAGCATGATTCATCCAAAACAGTCATCAGCAGATCGCGCTTCAACTCATAAGCGCGCGTCTAGTCGCACGGCTAGTCCATCAGACTTCTGCATATACCAGTGGCTCTTCTCACATCATTTCCGATCATTTCAGTTCAGAAGATCAGACATTCACACAGTACCATCACCATGTCTGCTGGCTTCAAGGAGACAACTTCTTTTGAGTGCGGCAGCGAGCTGCTGAAACGCCAATTCCTGTTTTCACCTGGCTGGAAGAACTTGAACCACGGTAATGATCTGCCCTCGTCGCAAAGCATCAGTGCTTCTGGTTCTAGAAACCATACGCTTGTGTCCGTTGCCCTCGGTGCCAGGCCCACTTACACCTGTCGCGGCACCAAGATGTGAAGGATAATTTCCATGTGCCCGAATCATGCTGATCAGCCACATCCACANGGCAGCTTCGGCACTTTCCCTCGTACCGTGAGAGACGCTCTAAGACAGTCTCAAGACGAATGCGAGGCAAGACCTGATAGCTACATTCGCTTCGCCTATCCAGAAGCATTAGACGTATCGAGACAGGCCGTCGCAAATTTGGTCAATGCTCCTGTTGATACCTGCGTCTTTATTCCCAATGCCACGACTGGAGTAAACACCGTCTTACGCAGTCTGAACTTTGCAGAAGGAGACGTCATTCTTTACTTTGCCACGATTTATGGAGCATGTGAAAAGACAGTCGCTTATATCACAGAAACGACCGCTGCCGAATCGATCAGGATCGATGATCACATCTACCCTGTGTCAGATGACAAGCTATGCGACGCGTTTGAGAAGGCAATCGCTCGGACCAAAGCCTCCGGCAAGCAGCCTAAAGTAGCCATTTTCGATACCATCGTCTCTTTGCCTGGTGTACGCGTTCCATTCGAGCGTTTGGTCTCTACATGTCGGTCCCATGGCATCTTGTCGCTTATAGATGGCGCGCATAGCATAGGGCAAATTCCTCTCGATCTCGCACAGCTTGATCCAGACTTCTTCATCACAAATCTCCATAAATGGTTGTTCACGCCCAGAGGTTGCGCCTTACTCTATGTCCCCGAGAGGAACCAAGGTCTCATCCGCTCAACGTTGCCAACCAGTCACGGTTTTACCCCTTTGCCCAGCGGTGGGGCTAGGATCAACAATCCTCTGCCGCCCAGTGCGAAGAGCGCTTTTGTCGTCAACTTCGAGTTTGTCGGGACGGTGGATAACGCACCGTACATATGCGTGCCTGCTGCTCTCAAATTCAGGGAGACTATTACATGGCAAGGCAAGAGCGGTGAGGATGCAATCATCAGCTTCACGCAGCACCAAGCACGTGAGGCAGGCAAGCTAGTGGCCGAGATCCTGTCCACTGAGGTGATGGAGAACGGGGAAGGTACGTTGGGCATTTGCAATTTTGCAAATGTTCGGCTACCNCTTGACCCCACCGCTCTAGCAGGTGATGAAACTGGAAAAGCAGTGAAAATTGCTCAGTGGATCTCGGCCACGCTGGTTGAAGAGTACAACACCTTCATCGCCATCATTTTCTATGGAGGCTCTTTTTGGGTGAGGCTCAGTGCGCAGATTTACCTCACCATGGAGGACTGGGATTGGGCCGGCAAGGTTCTGAAGCAGGTCTGCGAAAGGGTCAGCAAGGGGAGGCTTCCGGATGATAACGCTAGAGTCACACGGCGCTTCCCTGTGCATCACAAGTGTCCGGCGGGACCGTCAACCAGCATGCCGCTCGGGACACGCTGAGTAACAGCGGTATACCAGGAGACACCACCATGTGGAGAGAGAAAGATTCTCAACAACATAGTTCTTCTCCACAAAAACTTTGGTATCCCGCTGGCCCCTGTGTTGTTTGAAGTGGTTATACGAGTGCCCAACGGGCCATCCCGGTGGCTGCGCAATTGACAGCTCGTCCTCTTCAATGACGAAAAGGCCAAAGATCATAGATCCTTCCATTTATCCAATAGTGCTGATCCATTGAAGGCTGTGCATATGTTTCTCTCGCTTATACTTTGTAGCATCATTCGAGATCTTTTGAGAACATTTGTCATCGCCATATTTTCTTGAGGAGTTCTCCTCAAATTCGCCAGGAGTTGACTTATGCTACAGTATGTGAAAAATTTCAGCAGATTGTGAAAGGCTAGACCACCTTCCTACAAGGTCAAACAACTAGTGAGCTTTGCAGCCATACAAGAGGGTAGGAATGAGCTATCCGAGAGCTCGCTGGCTGGCTGACGTGAAGCTGCCCAAAGGCATACGTTGGTTAAGGTTCAGTTTATTCGCTTCGTCATGAGTCAAAGGCTCCGGCAGATTACGATGTCTCGGGAGTTGTTTTGACTTCTCGGATTCTGCTTGATAGACGGCTACATACAAGGTCGATCTCCATGGCAAATGGTATACGTCTTTGACAAGCTCGTTGATTCGACTCTCCGCTACCAACATCTCACTTAGTCATCAAACACTGGGCATTCGGACTGAACAACGACCATCCCTTTGCTTGTCATCAGAGCACTCTTTCTCTGAACATCGGCCCCGCAGAAAGTCGTAATGGAATCAATTTTTGCAGCAAATTCAAGTTTTCCTCACTAAAAGTGTCACCAAGACAGACTCCACCTTTGTGAATGCGTATTCGTCTGAATCATGAAGTTCGTGTATTTCGTGCGACATGAACCTATTTCATCTAGATTGAGGTTCAAACCCTCCAACCACTCACAGCCGGAGACCTGTCCAAGCCCGGTTGATGACCCACAGCAGCTTGTCTCTAGCGTCAACTAATGCGGCTGGTGACAAAATAGAAGTGCCATCTCCGCTTCTGCCCATCCATAGTGACAAAACACCAACGACAATCGCGACTGTGAACGCTCCAGCAGGTTTGCGATATCTGTAAGCCAACAAACGAGAGTGAGCAGTCAACTTCTGAATTGTCTCCTGACGCTGAATCTGTGCTGCATGCTTTGCATGAAGATGTTCACCATCCACAAGCGTCTGCTTTGCAAGTTCATCCGGATCGCGTGTGGTCTTCAGTACGCTGTAGCTTGACACTTTGCGCCATGCACTGAACGGCAGTGTCTCTGGTGGGTGTTGCGCAAAAAGCGAGGTCGTTCTCGTGATCAGGGATTCAATATCCAGTGGCTTGGGGAGCTTGGACAAGATTGCGTACATCATATCTTCGTCGTCGGACTCGTACTCCATGAGTTCATCTTTCCGGGTCATGATGANTCTGGAACTCGGTCAGCAAGAGTGATCGTCCGGAAGAGTTGTTCCGGTATTGGCTGAACGCAGGGATGTCAGACTTACCGTTGCATACATATACACCGATATTACAGCTTCATGTGCCAGAAGGAAGTCGAACAGCCGAGAGATGCCGCCATACTCTTCGATATCGTGTGCGTAAAGGGTCAGAGTTGCAGCAATAGCAAAGTACGGCCGCAGTCCAGCCAGATGCTGGCAAAGTTTCGGATCAGTAGCATAGACTATTGCCGGCAGCAGCTGCACGTGTGATTCACTAGCCGAGAAAGTAGGAAGCATGTAGTCCCGGATTCGCAGAAGAGACAAGCGGGCCAGGAGAGATGCAGCCAGGTCAGCGCCTAACACAAGCAAAAGCACTTGCGCAATGTCGTGGAAACCCTGGAAATAGTGTAGGCACGGATGCCGACGCAGTAGACCAGTAATAAGGTCCGAGAGTTCGTGTTTACGACCCTCGATTTGCTTCTCTGATTCACCTANCTGCATGTCAGTAGACAGCATCGACCAGCGGATGCGTCCGCGGTGCTCACCAGTTGGATAATACACGAAAGCGCGGTGAACATCAAGCTTGACCTGTTCTTCGTCTTGGTGTACAGGCATTTNTTGCCAATCTTCTGTCAGGTCGGCATTGGTAGGAGAACTGCCCAGCAGGACGGGCCNCTGGCAACGATGTTGGTGATGAGAAAACACATGAGTATAAAGTTGTTACGTACAGGCGACGCGTCTAACATGGTCTTCTACGAGACCGCCCGAGGCCGTGGCAAGTGCTACTAGTTGCTGTCTGTCGTTGTTTCTGCATGCTCGGAGAATTTCCGTGACTTTTGATGTTTCGGCAGGTGTCAGAGGCTCGTCTCGCCATGAATTAGAGAACGGCTGGCCAGAGCTTGGAGCGTCGTGTTCATCACCACAATGTTCATCCAGATTCCGAGATTTGTCGTCCATCATGTTCGAATTGTATTCAGGAGGGGCGGTCGTCAATGGAGTTTACAAAATCCAGCGTTGTGGGTCATACGTGTGCGTGCAGTAGCGCAGGTCTTTGCGCGGCTGATACAGTGCGAATGTGCAACAGACAGCCCCTTCTGTATCGCAATGATACCGAGGCCTTAGATCAGGACTAGCGACTACAAAGTCTGTATCGGTCGGAGGTTGGCCATCAAGGGAGAAATTGTTTCGTAGCACCGCAGGAATGTTGTAATGTTGGCGATGGTCATCGCCGTTGGCGGCTCCGAGCGCAGGGGACGCCAAGCCGAGCCCAACTTCTGCCGTGGGTGGATGCCATCACTGAACCAACATCAACCTTGACCTCTACCTCGTCAGTCTTCTCCCCAGCTACCACTAGTCAACTCAACTAGTTCGTGGCCTATCAAATCATTTGCTCACTCTTGATTCACCATGTAGGCCAGACGCGCAAATCCGTGCCAGTTGCATGCAGTAAGCACCCGATTCAGCTTCTCGTTTTGCAGCATCAATAATCTCTCTGAACCTTATGTCTTTGGTGACAGGTCGCAGTATTACGTCCTTGCGTTGCAGACAGTGATTGCGTATCTTATGCTTCTGCAGCTCGCGTGTGTTGGCTCCCGATATAAAGTCTGTCTCGACATCGCTCTGAAGAACTGCAAAGCTTGACCCATCCCCCGTTGTCTTCTTTTTGCATTGCTATACACAAGATTCTTCGCCCTCCATGAGTCCGCAACAGCCCATACAAGATCCTTCAAAACAAAAGATCCATCACCAGATCGGTTTGTTATCAAGGACATTGGTGCCGACTCCGACTGTTCGCTCGATACTCCCCGTCCGGATCCGATCATCGACGAAAGACGATTATGTCTGTATAGGCAGAGATTTCATTCAACTCTTCGAGGTTGAGCCCGATGTTCGTGTCACTCATATCGCGACAAAGAGTGACTTTGACAGCGAGATTGGTTCGGCCAATGTTATCGGTTACTTCGATCCGTACGAAAGCGAAGACAAAGAGTCCGTCGACCACACAATTGGCAACAGCAACTGCTCTGAAACCCCTATGGGCCCGCAGATGCTTGCCTTTACCCTGATTGGCACAGCCCAGCTATTTTTCCTCACAGCCTCGGATGCTGCGGAGGGCAAAGTCATCTTCAAGGGATTGTGCATACCTATGCCTATCTTCATCAATCCGCCGCAAGTGCACGGAAATGCCATAGCGGTAGATCCCTACTCTCGAGCTGTGGCAGTGGCCATTGGCGAGCACAAAGTCTTTGTGTGTTATGCGAACCGAGCAGAACTATTGAGATCGGGGCAACAAAGATGGAACGAGGGCTTCATCCCAGTCTCTAGCTCCCAGACCATTAAGGAAGTGCCTGGTACTATCTTGCTAATGGACTTCCTTTACCCGCCGAAACACGATCAAGACCGGATCATCTTACTCATGATTGTCCTGCATGATAAAGTTGTAAGGCCAGTATTGGTTGAGTGGTCAAACTCCGAAAAGGTCGAGTCTGCGGCAATTAGGCAGGCTCACAGGATCTTCTTGCGTGAGTAACGGTTCATCACGGCGTAAGTGGCATTGCTGACTCAGATCAGCNNGGGTGAAATGCCGAATCTCCTGATACCTTTGAAAGACAACGCAGCTTTTGTACTCGCTACCGGAAGAGACCTCAAAATCTTCGAGAACATTTTGACCTCGTCGATATCCACGAGCGTTCTGGTTCTTGATCGAGAGAATCCGCCAGAGCACTATCCACCATCTTCATATAAACCGCTTTGGTCCAGGTGGGTGAGACCCAGAAGAGCCCTCGATGATGAAGATGGAGATTATATCTACCTGGTATCCGAGGATGGTAACGTCTATTATCTGGTCTTTGACCCGTACTCGCCTGGAGAAGGCGTCGTTGTCAATCCTGTTGGTAGCCTGAAATGTCATGTGGACTCAGCATGTGCGCCGTTCGGAAGGTCGAACCAAGGGGACATCCTAATCGTCCATGGTGCGTCAAGCACGGGTTGTGTCTGGATGGTGAGTGATTGGCGATCAATTCGCAAGTTTGGACAAGACTGACAAGATATCAGNACCGAGTGTCGCCAAGCTCCTGCCACTGATTCAGAGCCCAGGGGTGGTCTGCACGGCTTCGTCGTGAGCTCATTACCAAATTGGTCAGAGAATCTGGATCTGGTAGCTAAGCCCACGTCACGTAGAAGACTACCGGTTTACTCGAGGGACACTCTATTTGCACCTAGTGGTCGACAACCTTACGGTCATATCACAGAGCTACGAATGGGTCTTGAAGCCCGCATCGGCGCTCGTGTTAAAGGACACGCTCCGTTCAATATCGTGTCACATTCGTGGGTTCTTCCTCTTCTAGAAGGGGATGTGTTTTTCATGGTTCTTTCCTGCCCAGGACAGACCCATGTTTTGTCCCTACCGCATTCTCCTGAGCAGTCTAGCTTCGACGACATACAAGCCGTGAGGACCGCTGGTCTTGACATGCAGCACTCGACGCTGGCCGTAGCCATGATAGCAGGCAACTGTGTCTGCCAGATTACAGAATCTGCAATCTCGTTTAGTCGCAATGCTCAAGACAGCCTGCTTGTTGAGCAGTGGCCGTCGGGGTACAAAGCTGTCGCGGCAGCGATCGAGGATAACATACCGTGTGCAGCCATCGCACTACGCATCGAAGGAAGATCAGAGCTTCGGTTACTCAAAGTCGATGATGTTGATGACGAGACAGTGTCTGTTTCGCACCTTGGCAAACCTATACAAACAGAGAGTGAGGTCATATCTTTGGCCATCCATTCTACTCAGATGTTGACATTCGTCATCGCTGGCGACTCCAACGGCACATTGCATATTTTCAGAGTTTCTCCGAAGAACGGACTTGAGCCTTACCTGGAGCATGAGATACCCCAGAACCCAGATCACTTTGATGACCTCGAGGCCTTGAACATCTGCGAAGACATCCTTGTCCTGGGCGAGCAGGTTTCATCAGACAAGCCTGCTGATCTTATTGTCCTTTGCGGCTTGCGAGGTGGCTCAATCTATGCACTCGAGCTTCGAGTTGGTCTAGATGGTAAGTGCTGCATCCGACACGCTAAACGAGCTTACTAATCACATTCATATNNAGCATCACTACATACTAGTTCGCAAAGGCACTTTAGCTTGGGCTTGACGACGGTCAATCTGAACTCCGGGAAGAGTCATTTGTCTGCATTTGCAACTTGTGGCGATGGATTGTTCAGTATCACCATGAAAGACGCTAGGCTGAACGCCATAAACATCTCTGATGTATACCTAACAGAGGGTCCGCACTACTTTCAGCAAGATCCTGTTGCGGCCATGACAATGGTCCCGTACCATGAAATATCGACCTTGTCCGAAGCCTTTATCCTCATCTCAGGAGACTCCTGTCTCGTGACAGCGGTATCCGATAGACGACAGATGGTCCCAAATCATACAGCTGTTCCCGGGTCTCCTCATACATTGATTGAATCCAGACCACTGAACTGCCTTGTCAGCGCGTCTTCCTATGTATGGAAACGTTCGCCGACGACCAGGGCTGTACGAGATGTGGTTCAATTTAGCTCGGGTGACTGGAAATGCACCTGGGAGACAGATATTGGTTGGAAGGTTCACTCGATGACCGAGTGGTCTTTCAGAAGAACACCTGACGCTGCACGACATGTCTTGATCGCAGTTGCCGTTGGCCGGGCTACGCGCTTTGACGAGGTCGCTCCTCCCGGATCGATGAACGGCAAAATCTACCTGCTTCGACCTCCAGCTGTGGGTAAAGAGGGCAACATTCAAGTTTCACAGTCGAAGCAGTTGCAGTTCGAATCTCCCGTAACAGCAGTCACAACCTATAGCGACACTGAAATCGTCGTGTGCTCTGGGAAAAGGGTATACTTCCTCGAGTGTGACGTCGAGACGTTAAGGTCAGTATCGCGCATGGTTGTTGCTCACATTCTACAGTTTTAGGCTGACAGCACCTCCAGGTTCCGTGAAGTATGCCATTTCGTTATGCATAGTGCTGGTATGCGCGTAACTACTGCGCCACCACACATACATATCACTACCGAACGCGACTCGACGCTCACACTCCAACTGGTCAACAGTCCAAACGATTCCACTTCGAAAATACTTCGAAACGTCGCCAGGGGTGATGGAGCACGGCAATCTACTAGCCATACAACCATCGATATCTCACAAGACGATCAAACAACATTGAGCTTCAATCTTACGAGCACATTGAATGGAGAGCTTGTCGGCTTGAGGATCCCAGATCCCAGCCAACCCCCAAGAATAGCTGCCCACGACAAGCTTTTCACCGCAAAGCTCCTCCGCTCGATCATGCGTGTAGTGGAAGCCAAAGTGCGTCCACCATGGAAGCCTGTACACAAGACCCCAACCGTACTCAAAGACGACCTCGTCGGTATCACCACAGACGGAACGGTCTACGGTTTCGCGGTTCTTGATGAACGTACAGCGAATCGCCTACGATGGGTGCAGAGGCTGTGCCAGCGCAGCCCTGAGATTTGTCCCTTTACCTACGGCACACCACCGACGATTACGCAGAACGGGATCACTAAAGTAGTACCAGTAATACTGCCGCCTCTCGGTTTCGAAAATCCGTCTGATGCAACTCGCTGGAGTGGAGACATGGTGAGGAAGCTCAGGAGACACAGGGCCGGTGACATGCACGTCGACGGCGACATTTTGGCTCGTTTATTGGAGCAGGAGGACAGCGTGGAATTACTCACCACGATTCTTGATGCCGAGGCCAAGAGAAGANNGGTCCACGATCCCATCTCAAGCTGGGTTCGTGATAATCTGGAGGCGCAGAAGGCGGAGGTTAAGACACTGATTGCAGAAGCCGAGGCTGCTGTTGACCGATGGTGGTAGAATGTTCGAGAGCAAACAACTCGTGTGTATATAAGTCGGATCTCTTCTCACTGTATCGTGTTCCTCGTATTGGGTGTATCTGTATCGTGATACTTGAAGGTGTATATTGCCTGAGAGAAGCGAGAATGTTGTCATTTGTCCTGGGCTATAAGGTGACATTTTGCCAAATATGGGTTATATGTAGCACAATGCCATGATGCCGGAATGCTAGAACATGAGATTTGAGGTACTCGTATACGTCCGTTTGGTGAACCACACGACAGGGTTGCACCAGTAGCAACATGCTTGAAGAACAAGATCATAATGTGCCAGTATTTTTAGGTTTCCACGTCTTCTCTTTACAAAGGGTACTTCTTGTGCAAATCAAGCATACGTTGGAGGAGTGCTGGACTTTATGGACCCGCGTTGAGGGTTGATAGATAATGCTTTCGAACTTGAATTGTGCTTCGAACCCCTATAGACATGGCTGTTTGTAAACATCACAGGCAGTCTTTCAGAAAATGGCAGTGTTGTCTCGAACGCAGTCACGTAAGACGAATCATCAGCTTGGAAGTCCCGGAGGCACCTATAGATTAACATCAAGGATGAAATTCAAGTGCAAGGACATATTGTTCCTCCTTGAACGACGAGAATGTTTCGAGACAGGGTGACTACTAACCTTGAGGTTTGCCAAGCACACGAGAACATAGAAGGCAAGAACGAACGATGGTAGAATGATGCCATTTCCATATCTGTCTAGAAGACCGAGTGTACGCGCCATGCAAAAGAAAGGACAAGAAGATCCAACAACTGGAAAAAGATAGAAAAAAGAAGACTTTCTTTGAACGCCGCCTGCTCCACATTCAAAACCCACCCCCTAAGACTCCGTCGCAGCTTGGATGCATGTACACTCATTTCCTTATGCGCATGGCAACCGCCAGATAGTTCGAGAAGATCGAGAGCCCAGGTACCAAGCCCATATTGTGGCGGTGAATGGCGATTGGCGGGGTTCATTCTTTCTCAAGAAGAGATATATCTACAAGACAATCAATGCCGGATTGTCCGCTCATCTTCTCCGTCCGGCGGCGCGTTGCTGTGTCCTCGATGGCTTGACGACAGGTGCCGGGGCCTCATCATCGTCGGATGACTCGTCGTCTTCCTCTTCCTCGACTTCGTCACTCTCCTCGTCCTCGTCGGACAGCTCTTCGCCCTCGTCATCGGAGGTCTCTTCGGCTTCTTCGTCAAACATACCCTCTCCAGCCTCTTCCTCCTCAACATCGGACGATGCCTGGTCGGCGCCGTTGACCATGGATAAGTCACCGAGATCGCTGCCCACAGCGTTGCTGATGAGGTCGTTGTCGTCATCGGATGATAGATCGTCTTGACCCTCGACATAGATGACATCGTCGTCGACGTTGTCGCCATCATCGAATCTTCCATCTCTTGTTTCCTGAACGCTCTTGCGGAGCTCAATCTGAGCGTTGAGCATGTCGAGCTTGCCCTTGAGTGTGACGAGAGATTGAAGACCGTTGGCGCGCTCCTTGATGACGCGCGACAGTGTCTTGAGCTTCTTGAGGACGTCAGGCTGGCTGGCAAGGTATCCACCGTGAGAGACGAGCGACCATTGTACCCAGACCATGAGGTTTCCAGCACGACCAGGGCGTTTGTGTAGTCTCTCAGCCAGGCGTTGAAGAAGCGAAGCGACAAGCGGTGATTGGAGTCTCTGGATGGTTGAGCGGATACTGGGGAGGTCGGTCATCTGGAAACAAGTCTCGAGGAGGTCGCGATCGTTGGTGCGCAGAGCTTGGGTAAGGACGGTACCGAGGGAGGTGGCTGTGGGAAGGGCGAGAGAGCGATCCTGGTTCATAGGCACCAGAGCTTGAGTACCCTCTTCGCGGTCGGCGAAGGCGGACTGGACATCGATCGTCTCGGGATGTGCTGCCTGGAGCATGTCGCCGAACGACTGCCCTTCTGCGCCATCTTCCATATCCTCGTCGGCGTCGGCCATGACAGCATCAGTATCGTGGTTGCCGTTGGTAACGGGCTTGGTATCCTCTGCCTCGTCGTCGGAGCCGCTGTATACGCTCGATTCATCTCCGCTCGAAATCTCGACTACCTCTGGTGCTTCGGCCTCGTGTTGCTCGACTTGAGCTCTGGACTCGTCGACGCGGTCTGCTCGTGAGTCCTTGACGCCATTGGTGTAATTTGCGCGCAGCTTCTTTCCGGCTCGTTGATTCTCATCGGTCAGGAAGGCCAGTCCAGAACCAGGCTGCTGTGAAGTNNCTTTGCCTTTTTTCGACGGCGGCAGCGAGGGTGCTGCTCCTGCCTCTGCTTGTCTTGCTCGTGTTCGCTTTGCCGTGCTCATGGTGGAGTATTATATGGACTGGTCCGTCGTGTGCTACTTGGACTTTGGTCCTTTGCAGCTGTGAGATAAAAAATTAGGAACGCTATGCCAAAAGTTTGAGGTCTGTGCGTGTCTCCGACTATCCGCCGCTCACTGGAGCAGCGCCTGTGCCTCTTTTTCTTCACCCTCTTCTCCACCCGAGAATGTATCTAACCTGACTGTATTGCCTGGCAGCTTTGCAGCTGCGACTGACGGACCTCCTGCCATCTGAAAATCCAGTCTTCTCGCTCCTGCGCTGCTGCCTTGCATTTCCCTGTAGGCATCCGTATCCGTTTGAAGGTTTGAAAGGCGACTGCTCCAAACCAAGACTTCTGGCAAGTACGACGAAATCTGGCAGGAACGATACACTGCTTCTACACCCAGTCTCTTTCAAGGTAGTTGTATGCCCATGAGTGACTTCCCTCTTGATCTGCTGCTGTTTTGCCCTCATCCTCCGACGTCTCAAAGAAAAGAAAGGCAGTGTCGTGCCACCATAGGGAATCTTGCTCATCCAGAACCCCCTGCGTTTGCTCCTGCTCGACTCGGCAGCCTTGTGGCGACACAGCCGCACGGCGTTTTCTCGACGTCACGTGAAGCGGGCGCTAGGGGCAGCATCATAAATCTCCCAGACTTTCCAAACTTGCATCCTTTTGCGAGTTCCAATCGCGTCGAAACACGCTCCACGTCCACGTCCGGCTTTCCGATTCGCGCGACACGTTCTCCCAAAATCTTCGCCGACCAACTCCACCATCCGCAACCACTTTCCATCTCGGCTTCTGGATTTTTTATCATTTGTGCCGCGCGCATAATTTCTTCCTCTTTGTCCTGTCCAATACAACAGTAGTCCCGTCGCGCTCTTTCTCTAGATTGTCGTCGCTTGATTGTCGTTTCCCGTTCTCTTTTCGGCCGTTCACGTGCCATCTTTATCTACCACAACACTGCACAACCCATCTTCATCTCAGATGTCAGCAGAAACAGGACTACAACCGGAGATGGCAAACGTCGACCGGTGAGTCTCATCCTTTATTACTTCTGCTGCTTCCTATACCATTTCACCATCGTTTCACCTCGTTGCGTCCACTATCCTTATCCTCATCATCATCATCATCACCTTGCAGACGTCTCTCCGTTCCATCATCAGTTATCGAATGTAAATATTGAGAATTTGTTACAGACCCAATGAAGACCTGCCTGTCGCCGCTGAACAAAGTGATGATCTTTTTGGCGAGGAACCCATCGGAGATTCCGTCGACGATGTTGTCAAGGCACCTCTAGACAACACTCTCGATGGTGCTGACGCGGTGAAGCCGGCGCCGGCTGCTACTGACCTTTCCGCAAATGGCCCTCCGACCCCCGCCGATTCACAGACTGTTGACGGTCCACCTACGTCCGACGCTGCTCCAGTGACAGAACAGTCTTCCGGCATCGAAGGTGTTGCTAAGTACATTCCATCTGACGCGAACCTTGACCAGCCCGTCGTCTCACCGTCAGAGCCGCTTGGCGACGGTGAAGCGCACATCACCGAGGACACTGAGATCACTGACGCACCTTCACTTGCGACTGAGGCTGAGACTCACTCTACCACCACTGTGCCGGAACCTCAAGTGACTGAAGATTCAGGCGCCGCCGCGATCAATGGTGTTGTTGCCTCCAACCCCGACTCAAATCAAGCNCTCAACCACAGAACTTTCCAACAGTGTTGCCGACCAGTCAAAACCCGACGATCTTAAACCTGCATCGGATCTTCCCTCGCCAACGGTTCCATCTCCGACTCGACTGCGGGAGCTGGAACAGCACCCACGATGGATGCCCTCGTAGATCAGGCGCCCGCCGCGCTTCCAGTAGACACTTCAGTCGACCAAGAAATGTCAGATGCGCCTTCAGCAGGAACTGTGCGCGCACGCGAAGAAGAAGACGATGCGACTGGCGAGCCTTCCGCAAAGCGCACGAAGACTGCAGACGATGTTAGTGATGAAGCGCAAGCTGAATTCGAAAACAGCGGAGCTGTGAGCGCTGTTCAGGCTGCGCCTGTTACAACAAACGGTGGAACTAACGGTATTGCCGTCCCTGTTGTTCGCCCTCAGAACACTCCTCGCATCAGCTCTGGCCCCATCACCAAGAACCAAAAGGCTTTCTTGATCGAAAAGATGAAGAACACCAAGAAAGTCAAGTCTGCCTTCTGGTTCACCAAGCCTGTCGATTATGTGACCCTGAACATTCCCCATTACCCGACTGTTATCAAGCAACCCATGGATCTTACCACGATTGAGCAAAAACTCAAGAACGACCAATACTCATCGGTCGATGACCTTGTGTCTGACTTCGAGCTTATGGTTACCAACTGCTTTACCTTTAATGGCATTAACCATGCTGCTTCTGTTTCGGCGCAAAACCTCCGAGCTTATTTCGTGAAGCAGATGCAGATGTGTCCTACTGGAGAAGCTGCGATGCCCAAACAAAAGTCGCATGTCGTCAAAAAGTCATCACCAAAGCCTGCAGCTCTCCCTCGCCCCGAGCCAGCCAAGCCTTCTGCACCGGTCAAGTCGCCTGCTGGCGAGACTTTTGCTCTCTTGCCTGATGGAACACCAATGATCCGCCGAGACTCAACTGCTGGCAGGCCCAAGCGGGCAGTCGTCCCTCCGGCCCCACGCGATCTACCTTATTCAACGTCCAAGCCCAAGAGAAAGGAAGCTCAGACTGGTCTGAAGTTCTGCGAGCACATTTTGGAAGAGTTTCGCAAGTCAAAGTACGATCGCTTCGCCACACCATTCCGCATTCCCGTCGATCCTGTTGCCCTCAACATTCCCCAGTACTTCAGCATTATCAAGCACCCCATGGACATCTCTACGATCACCCAGAGGCTGAAGGGAGGACAGTATGCGACGGCCGAAGAGTTCAGAAGTGATTTCGAATTGATGTTCACCAACTGCTTTAGATTCAACCCTGCCGAAAACGTTGTGCACCAAATGGGCAGAGACTTCCAGGCCGAGTTCCACAGAGAGTGGGCCAAGAAGGATAGCTGGATCAAGAGACACACGCCACAATCTCAACGCGCTAGTCCCGTGTCAGATGTTTCTGATGGCGATGAGTCTGATGATGCTCACGAGGAAGACGATGAACATGACAACAATGAGGCCACGATCTCTCTGCTCAGAGAGCAACTGGCCGCCATGCAGAACATGGTTGCATCAATTTCTGGCGGCAAACGCGCATCTCCCAAGGCCTCTGGTAATAAGAAGAAGAGCAAGAGCGGCAGCAATGTTGCCAGCAAACCCAGCAAGAAGTCCGGTGGCAGCTCCAGCCTTTCTCGGCCTACCATCAAGACCAGTTCTAAGCCTAAGAAGCAACGCCTGGTTACATATGATGAGAAGCAGGAAATCAGTAGCGCTACAGAACACATGAGTGCCGAACAGGTTGAAAAGCTGACCAACATCATCACTGAGAATGTTGCTAAGTACAAGGACATGGCTGGCGACGATGTCGAGCTCGAGATTGACGATCTGCCCAATGAGGTGCAGCACAAGCTGCTACGTTACGTCCGCAGCATTTTCCCCAAGGCTGAGCCAGTCGAGATGGATGCCAACGCCATCGATGACGATTATGAGCCCGAGAAGCCGTCAGCACGTTCTGGCGGAGCTGCGAAGAAGAAGCACAAGCCCATGAAGAAGCATGAGCAAGAGGATCGCATCAGACAGCTCAAGGAGCAGATGGCTGCCATGTCTGGTGATGTCAACTCTGTTGGTGGTGGTGCAGCACCTTCAGCTCCTCACAATGCCGACAGCAGTGATGACGACGACAGCGAGAGCAGTGAAGAAGAGTAGACTCACTCTTCCGATCATTCTCCTTGCTCACCTCTGGCATGAACGCCGAGTTGCAGAATAAACACCACTCATTGTTTGTGATGGACGATAACGAGATCAAAGGCCAGAAAGCATGGGACGCGAGCAAGCAGCTGGCGAACATGATGACGAATGACAAAACACACGACTTACCCCGTTAATATCACCTCAACCATCCATTCACCAAGAACACATGCTTGCTCAAGGAATGCATTTCTTTCTTCGCACCCCACCCCTAAAAAGAGATACCCAGAGGGAGGATTGCAGGAGTCCAGGCGGTTTCTTGCTGAGGTTGATGAATGATGAGGAGGTTTGAGAAGATAATTGGCAAGACGGTGGCCTCCCCCCCTATCAAAATTCTTGTACCATAGCCCTTTTTCTTCTTGTCTCTATAAGTCAGTAGTCTTCATCATTGATGGCAACAGATTCGGGGACAGGAGCTTTTTATCGCATTCGCCTTTTCTCTGAGATGATGTTTTTGGTTGTCAGTGTCTATAGTGTGAGACTCCTTGATTATAGGTCTGGTTCCAGGTATGAACATCATTATTGATGGTAGACAATATAAACTGTTGCTTTTGAGAAGTTCTGCCCATTGATGAACTGTTGCCAACATAGTGAATGAAGATGGTCATTGCGGAGAGCGCAGAACGAGCAACTCCCGTTCCTCCTGTCCATTTGACTCCCTGCCAACAATCCCACCAAACAAAACCTGTACACAGAAAACAACACATCGACCCCCAATACAACAAGACCAAATAAACCCGAACGTGGCAAGAAAAGGACAAGGAACAAGAAATCATCAAAACATGCTGCCACAACCAGACGCAGAAACATTAGCACGAAACCCTCAATTCGCAATCCTATGGAAAGACCTGACCACCAACAAAATAACCAGAGAAGGAGTTTCCAAACCTGCTGCTCTGGACAAGGAAACCGTGACGACGAGGAATTTGCTCAAAAGCAAGCAAATCGAATGGGCGAAGAGAAAAGTGCTCGTAGATGCGGTGAGAGCTGTTGCGTTTGGAGAGAATGAAGGAGGATTGATTGGCGAGGTAAGAGTTGATTATGCTTTTTGGCGAGAGACAAAAGGGAGGAACTTACTGACGGCAATGCAGTTGAGGGAAACGGCGCAGATTGTTTCTGCGCAGTTGGATGGCAAGTTGGATGCTCAAGACAAGGATATCGTTCAAGTCGAAGTCGAGGAGTTCATGTCCAACATTGAGATTGTCAGAGCGGCGGTGGAAGCACACATGGAGCAAAATGTTATGCTGCTATGTCAAATATTGGGTATGTATTTGAATACAGAAAAGGAGAGGGTATCATTGGAAAAGTATGGAGCTATGCTAATTTCAAGTTTGTACAAAAACNNAGATCCAACACAACAGCAGCCAGACCCTTCGACACTTCCAGCACAAGTCGAGACACTGCAGAAACAGGTCGAAGAGGCGAAGTGGCAGCTTGGTGTCCAACGCATTGAGCTCGCGAGCACACTGACTCAACTCCTCAAAACCAATGCACAACTGCTACAAACAGCAATACGCATACTGGAGCAGGTGATGCATGGCAGTGTAGGACGACACACTCGGGCGCGAGCTGAACACCTTGCGACAGTCGCGCAAGGATTGGAAAAGCGATTGCTGGTTGCAAGGAAGACGGTGGCGGGGCAGGTCTACGATGGAAGAGCCGAAGAGCAGCTCGTGCGCAAAAAGGAAGAGTTGGATGCTCGAAGTGCGGGACTACGCAGAAGACTCAGGGATCGCGAGCAGTGGCTGGAGCGACTCGAGGGAGTTGCAGGGCTCAGAGAGGCGGTCGAAGAGATATCGAGGATGAAGAGCGAGATATCCAGAGTGAGGGAGGAAGTCGGACGGTTGGAGAGGGTAGGATAGGTCGAGCTCAGAAGTCGGTAACACGGCCATTGTAACTCCAGTCGCTCTGGTGACCCCATCGCAAGGGGTTGTTCTTGGGACCGCCAACCTCGCCGGTCTGAGGGTTGACATCACCCTCAAACTCTGGGGGNNGAGCACCGCGGCGGACATTTGGGTGTAGTTCTTCTCCCTTGCCGTCTGCCTTGAGAGCGGGCGACTGGTTGATCTGAGGCGATTGATTGACTTGAGGCTTGGAAGAGGCGGCTTCGGCGACGGTTTCCTCAGGGGCTTGCTGGGGAGTGCTGAAAGCACCAGTAGATTGCTTCATGAGCTTGTCGAAGACTTCCTGCTCGTCCTTGGGAAGGCGTGGCGGCGAAGGGCCGGGAGACCATGATGAGCGCACGGCTGGCGACGTGCTGATGGCGCGACGAGCAGCAGGCGAGTAGCAAGAGCGAATAGCGAGGCGGGCGAGGTTGAGCGATGACATGCTGGACGTGTTGTAGTGTGAAACGTGCAGAGGTGGACTTGGATGGTACAAAGCAATTGAATGGTGGCGGCGCATGAGCAACTCATGCATGGGGGCGCTGCTCGGGCCGACCATTTTGGCCGCTCGTCATTCTCGATTTCGATGATTCTTCCAGAAACTTTTCTGTGAGCTGCCACAACATCCAAATGTTTAGTAGAGTGGCCACTCGCTCTCGCAATGCTCTGGCAAGGAAGACGTTTGTTCGGTCTTCTGGACAGCCATTCTTCCTCCCTCTACCCCCATCACTACGCTTATTGGGTCTTGGTGCGAAACGCCTCTCTTCAACCGAGGCATCTTCTACTGCACACGACCAACATGACCTGACCCAGCGCAAGCAGAACGACACCAAGCAAAAGATACTGAAGCTACCTCTATCATGCCCAGGCTGTGGTGCTCCTAGTCAGACCGTCGCTTCCGAGGAAGCTGGTTTCTACAACTTGAGTAGGTCTGCAGTCAGGAAGTTCGTTCAGGATGATGCCAAAAAGGAGGATCTTGTCTTCCAGGCAACTCTGGACAAAGTTGACAACAAGGTCCTGCAAGAGTTAGGTCTGGACAGCCCATCTCTTGCTACCCAGGAACAACCACAAAAGCAGACTCCCATCTGCGACCGGTGCCACAACCTCTTGCACCATCACACCGGTGTTCCCATCTTCCACCCTTCCATCGACAGCATCCGTAGCATAATCGAAGACTCCCCCCACAAAAATAACCACATCTACCACATCATCGATGCCGCAGACTTTCCCATGTCGTTGATCCCCAACCTACTGAACCGCCTCGACCTTCCTTCTCTACGCACTCAAAACCGCCGTTCCAAGCACAANAAATACGTTCGCGATCGCGTTGCCGACGTCTCCTTTATCGTCACTCGTTCCGATCTCCTCGCCCCGAACAAGGAACAGGTCGACAGTCTGATGCCATATCTTCGTGAGACGCTTCGTGACGCTCTTGGTCGCACGGGAAGGAACGTCAGACTGGGCAATATGCGATGTGTGAGCGCAAAGCGTGGCTGGTGGACAAAACAGGTCAAGCAAGACATCTGGGAAAGAGGTGGTGCTGCTTGGATGGTTGGTAAGGTCAACGTGGGCAAGAGCAATCTGTTCGAGGTTGCCTTCCCCAAGGGTAGGGTGCAAGAGAAGCTTCCTACACCAGAACCTACGCATGTGCAGCTAGAGCCAGATACCCCTTCGGCTCCTGCAGATTCCACCAAGTGTCTTTCCGACTTGCCTGATGTTCAGGACGCAGGCGTTACTGCTACCGACTCGACAGGCAGTGCTTCTGATAATGCTCCGGCTGAGCATCAATCAGAAACGGTTGATCAGGATGAGCCAGACGTGTTTGACGTGGAAGAAGGTTCACTACTCCCTCCTGCTCAGGTCGAGACACCCTACCCAGTCATGCCTGTCATATCGTCTCTGCCTGGAACCACAGCTTCACCCATTCGCGTACCCTTTGGCAGCGGAAAGGGTGAGCTCATTGATCTTCCCGGCGTTTCCCGATCCAACCTTGAAGAGTTTGTTCTNCCTGAGCATCATCAGGACCTTGTCATGCGTTCGCGTGTAGTCCCCGAGCAGATGTCCATCAAGCCTGGCCAGTCATTGTTGCTAGGAGGCGGTCTTATTCGCATCACTCCCACGACGCCAGATCTGGTTTTCTTGTCGTACACCTTCCTGCCTTTACATCCTCACATTACCTCTACCGAAAAGGCTGTGGCTATCGAAAGCGGCGAAAGAGCCACTGGGCTACGCACCATCATGACCAAGGAAGCTCGCGAAAACATAGCGTCAGCAGGCACCTTCAAGCTCGAATGGGATGTTACGAGGCAACGTGCTGGCCCATTGACTTCGAAGTCCGCCGCCAAGCTAAAGCCTGAGCAGCTACCTTTCATTGTCTACTCTGCAGACATCTTGGTCGAAGGTGTTGGCTGGATCGAGCTTGTCGCACAAGTACGAAAGTCGGCCAAGAACAATTCTACCTACACGCCACCTTCGAGCAAGGCCACAGACACTAGCACACTGCCTACTTCATTAGTTTCCGAGACAACAACTTGGAAGCCATTGGGCCCGCCAGAGGAGGAAATCTCGCAGAGTCCTTTCCCACAAGTTGAAGTTTTTTCACCCAAGGGTAAATTCGTAGCTGTCAGACCTCCTATGGTCGCTTCGATACTTGGCGGCAAGAAGGCTCCGACAGCGAACACGCGTAAAAGCAGACCCAGATTGAGTATGAAGAGTCTGAAACACAGCCAGCGTGGTAGAGAAGCTCAGAAAGAGGGCTGAGATCAGTTCCAATCTCGACTCATGCCTTCGCTGCGGCGGACTTGATTCCTCGATCTCTCATTGAGAGAAACCGCATGGTTGGCCTTTGAGCCCCTAGGTGTTTCCCGTATCGCCACCGTCAACCACCTGGTCGTTCAAAGCTTCTTGTTCTTCGACCATTCTCAGAGTCTCCTCAATCACCGAGATGTCTCGAAACACGACTTCAGCCCAGTTCTGGAGATCGCCCATCTCCTTGAGTTGATCAACGCTCTGACCTATTGTCTTTTCGAGCTCTTCCGCCTGTCGTGATAGCTTTTGCGTATCTTGAACCAGAGTTCGTTTTTGGGCATCTATCGATTGCGAAGCCGAGACGATGGCTTCAGTCCGTTCAGTCAGCGGCGCGGTATGTTGTCGTAAAGTCGCAGAAACTAGTGTCGAGGTGGACTTTGAACGGGACTTGTTGTCAGGCATTTTGCGCGTTGAGAATACTCAGAGTTTTGGTTCGAAGTATGGCTGATGGCACAAATGCTATCTCTGGAGTGAAATGGGATGGGATAGATAGAGAACCACAGCGTGACAATGTACGTCGGCGCGTGACAGTCTTTCACATGCAAAGTACCAATCCATGAAGCGCGAACAATCTATCAACCGACACATCACACACCATCTTTGCCAATCAGCGAGTAATCATGCTTGCATTCTGCGTGAATTACCATGAATTGTGGGATGTGGTCGGTTGGAAAATGCCTCTGCTCGAGGTTGAGGACCCTTGGGAATGACCCTCTTGCCGAGCGATCAGCAAATGCGGAGAAGATGACGATTGCATGCATCAACAACAGGTCGTCTGTTGGTGTTTGGCACTCACGCTATGAGCATCTTGGTCCATGACTGCTTCCTTGTTTCATGTCGATAAGGACAAACGGAGAAGGGGTTGTTCCAAGCTCATTCCACTTTGACTTGATCTCTCCATTTTCTTACACCCTAATCTGGCATCTACGCTACAGCACTGATAGCGACTATCTTACTTGAAGCACATCACAAGTAAAGCAGCTTGTTCTTATCATCCCGACGAGCATCTTGAAGGTCGAAAATTCAGATATCGCACTTCAAGATGGCGTCGCTTACCAGGCGCCAAATATCGGTCATCCTGAGCGTCCTTGTAAGCCGTGTATGACACTTGGAACTGTCCTCTACTGATGCAGTATAGTATCTCGGAGCTCTGACTGCAATGGCAGCGTAGGTTGGATCTCTTGCTTGGTCGCTATCATCATCGACTGATCGACCAACATACAGATATGCCGTACACCAAACCTCGACGCTCTCCCTGCCTATTCCATCATCTCTCACGACCCTTGCACTCGCACTTCCACCTTTCGCAGGCCTGTGCATGGAGACCAGTACTGCACTCGCGTCGTCACTGGCCCAACACCCGAAGCTTCGACACCGTCACGCACGCAACTTTCCTGCCGTTCTCCTGCCCTCTACCCTGACTATCCTCGGCTTACTGGTCTACATCACCGTAGTCGCAACACTCAGCGGTACACACATCTCTCCTGTTGGAGGTCTGGGCTGTGCTCTGAGAGAGAAATGGCAGAGCATGTTCCACGAAAAGGATGCTAGCAAGATCAAAAGAATCCAGGAGGCATTCGATTGCTGCGGCTTCAGGAGCGTAAGAGACATGCCATACCCGTTTCCTGGCCATGGAATCACAGTCGACACGTGTTCGCAGCGTTTTGATCGTCAGATTGGCTGCGAGGGTGCGTGGAGAGATAAGGAGAGGACTGTGGCTGGTCTTATGATTGGCATTGCCGTGGGAGTTTTCGTCTGGGTGGTGCGTGAACCTTTTTATAGGCTATCTTTTTCGCGTTCATGCTAACATTAGTGGCAGGTCATCATCGTTGTAACGCCGGCACTGCATCCAACATGGGCTCACGAGAGCATGCGTCTTCCTCACCGTATTCTGGAAGAGGAATCCGATGCAGCCAACAGAGTCATTGAATACCCTGCTCAGCGCTACACGGACGATCCTGAAGACGCTGATACAGATACTCGCCGCGAGATTGCTGGACTGAACAACGACTCCAGACTTGCCTTGCAGGTGGAAGGCTCGAGAGATCAACCTAGTAGACTGCTGGCAGATTCGGGTGTATGGAGAGGCGAGAACGGCAGGACTTGAGTGCTAAACACTTGGTTGAGAGTGTGGAAAGCGAACTATCTAGTTCTAGTGGGCTTTTTGACGAGGCGCAACTGTTATCAAGCTGGTTTCGGACAAAATTTGCTGTGCAGAGTGAGCCACGAACTAGAACAGATGTCAAGAGACGCTCTCAGCATACATGTTGTTATGATCACGGTTCGTATACAAATCATGTGGCCAGGCTGATCGGAAGGTTTATCGAGGACAAAAGGTAAAAGATCAAGCCAGGGTTACCAAGAGCCCTTGGTCGTGACAGACGTTTCGGTATTCCCGACTTGGCCGATTCTCGGGCCGCGCTCCCCCACGCCACCCCTCCGAAGATGACCATCAACAATTTTTTCCTTGACTCTTTCAAACAAACCACCCACGCTCTACCCAAAAGACACACCTACACTCGCTAGACGCAACCTCCCCGAGCAACCACTCCATCGAAAACCCGACACCTTGACCCACCCCCAAACCCCTCTCCAATACCAAAACCTTCCGCGAAAATGGTCGACACCTCTCAAGAAAGAATCTACGACGAGATAGAAATCGAAGACATGACGTACGACCCCGTCACCCAGTTGTACACGTATCCATGCCCGTGTGGCGATCGCTTCGCAATCAACATTGAGGATCTCAGGGATGGAGAGGAGATTGCCGTGTGTCCGAGTTGTTCGTTGATGATTCGGGTGATTTATGAGGTTGAGGAATTGCCTGCTGCTGCTGCTGCTGCTTGAAGGCTGAGGGATTTTATAGGGATATGAAAATATGGGACAAAGGTGCTGGGGAGTGAGGGGGAAATAAGGGTGGTCGAGGGAATGAGCATGCGACCGACATGGCTGTTCGCTATTTGAGAGGATGTTCGTCGCAACAGCGCCAAACGAGACAAAGGCATCCTCAGGGGAACTACACGGATAAGGAGGAACGGTGGAAAGCCGAGGAACACCCCTTCTCTGCGACAAGAGGCATCGCGACAAGAAATCATCACACAGAGAGACCGCACAACGACGGATGTCAGCCATCGCTCAAGCACCACACTACTCCAGCTTCAGAGTCTTCTGATCTCCCTTCGGTCACTCTTCAGCAGTGAAACACTATCGAGATCCCGTCAGCGATCTGAAAGGACGAGAACGAGAATCGCAGGCCGCCCATTACAGAAAGATCTCCGCCTTTGGCTTGAGGTCAATGACAGGGGCTGAGATCCTACGACCAAGATTATACCAAGGGATGGTGTTCAAGATGGAGGTCACCGGCGGTGGGAACAATTCAGAGCATAGCACATTCGTCTGCTGGGAAACAAAGAGCATTGACAGCCAGTTACTGTTGCACAAAAAGCTCTACAATGCCAGTAAACTCATGTTGAAGAAAGAAAGCAAGCTTTTTAATTTCATTTCATGAACCCCCCTTTGCAGTGCCTGTTTAAATGTCGACAAAAACTCCCTACATCAAATATGTAAAAATATGCAAGGAAAACAAAATCTCTTCAAGCAATCATATCACCCTTTTCGTTCTCCAGAGTGGCGGTCTCCATGCCGGGTCTCCACTCTCTGGCCCATCTGGGCCACATGCGCTTGTACAGACTCATGCCCACGGCATCCATGGGGTTGATCTTGCCGTCAAAGGTGGCCTTGAAGTAACCGTGCGTACCCAATGACTCCTTGATGTAACCGCTGCGGCCGCGCTTGGTCCAGAGCTGGATGGCCTTGAACCAGGCCACGTCTTCCTCGTTGAAGAACATGTAGCGGATGGTGACGAGTTTCTTGTGGATCTTGTAAGGGTGGCCGGTGAGGACGGCGCGCTTGGCGATGACGCGGTTGGTGCTGGGGGCGACGGATGTGCCGGTGGCGATAAGTGTATAGAGGGGTTTGGTGACGGAGTCGTCGTCCATGGCGTCGTCGTCTTCGTTGTCCGAGTCGGCAGGGGAAGGGGGATGGTNGGAGGTGCGCTTGAGGTATAGACAAGGCACGTTGCCCCACGTTAGAGGACCGATGAAGGAGGCCATGCCTGTCTGACCGGGATGTAGGTAGCGGTCGAACTTGTGCACGTTGTTGGGCGTGTTGCCTGCTTGTGAGAACAGGGGGTTGATGATCAAGCGACGAGGACCGCATTGCATGATCAGCTCGTCCTTGGACTTGAGCGGTGCAGGGTAATCGCTGCTGAGGGTGATGCTGTGGTTGACTGAAGTACGCTTGTGCTCGTGACGCAGCAACGAGAAGATGCCTGTCGGCGTGGGAAGAGTCTTGAGAGTCTCAGGAGACGAGTCACCCAGACGAACGTAGACGTGAACGCGGGTTCCGGNGGTAACACCACCAACCAGGGCCTCGCTGACCATACGGTGCTGTGCTGCCTTGTAGTTGGCAATCTCGAGCAGACGCGACCACTCGGCAGGCTCGTGCGGCTTGTCCTCGTCTTGCTCCCAAGCACTTGTGCGCAAACTCTTGAGACCTCTGTAGCGAGCCAGTCTTTCACGAGCTGACACATTGGGATGCAGTTCAATTTCGTCTGGGAATTCGAGATCTTCCTCGGCCTCGGCCTTTCGTGACTCGCGGTAAGCAGCCAGTTGCTCGGCCTCGTCCTCAGGTGATCGGTCCAGGAACATTTCTGATTGTGGGTATTCTGAAGGAGCGTACTCTGTGGGCTCACGAGGCGCGAAGCCTTCGGTACCATCAGCAGGGACGGCGTCCTCCATAGCATCGTCCATCTCCTCGTCGGCACTCTCCAGGTCAGAACCAGAGTCTGAAACGTCTCCAACGTACCAGGCAGACTGGTATTTCGAGGTACCTCTGGGCAACTTCTTGGGTTTTGAGGCCTCCGGATCTTCGTCGTCGTCGAAGTAATGGTGGTCGTCCAGCAAAACACCCTTACGTTCCGTGGCAGCTACCGAAGGTGCAAAGTCGGTCATGGCCGTCTCTTCAGGTGCGAGATCAGCAATGTCGTCTTGGTCCTCAGAAGGAAGCTCAAGGATGTTGTCCTGTTGAGGAGCGTCGTCCATAGCCATGTCGTCGGTCGAGTGCTTCTTCTTGCTTTCCAAGGGTGCGGCAGCCATGATCTTCTCAATCTGGAAGTCACCCCAGTCTCCGACTTGAAGCAGTCTATCAGCCTTGAGGCCTCTTCCACGCACGGTTCCAGTGAAAACAACAGTGTTGGAGGCATCCTCGGGCCAGGCCATGTCGTCGACCATCATCCAGCTTCGCGCCTCTCTCCAGTGAATTCCCTTTGGCGTGGTGGTGCACAGCGAGCGTACAACGTTGGCGCAGTCCTGACGGGCATCCAGAGAGTGCACGCGCTCCTGAGTAGCGAAGAAGTGGGTGATGAAAGACTTGAGCGAGCCCAAGACCTGCGGGCGTCTCTTTGCGGGTTCAATTTGGTCGAGTCCCTGGACCAGAGTGATAACGTTCGAAACACCCTGACTCTCGATGGTACGCAGCATCTGCTCGCCCAAAGGATCCACCTCTTGATCGGCGCTCAGAACGAAGATGACAAAGTCGGCAACACGGCAGGCGTCTAGAGCATCGAGGACATCGCGACGTCCGAGGGTAATAAACTGGAGCTTTTGCTTNNGGAAGCGGGCGACGTCGACTTTCCAGAGGTTCGAGTTGGGGGCTTCCTCTTCAATGTCGACGCTACGGACGAGGTTCTGGACGGCGGTTGCGCTCGAGACGTCTTCGCAGAGAGGGATGACGGCACAAATGCGAGGAGCAGCATCCTTTCCGTGGAAGACGTTGGTCTGTCGATCGTGTTCGGCGTCCTTGACCAGGCGCCTTTGCTTGGCCTGGTTGCGGCGATCCAGTTTGGACATGATCTGCTGGTGCGGCGTCTTTCTGGTTCCGCGTTCGAAGCCTACCGACTCGACCTTGCCNNTGTATTGTGTTGGCGACTGAGATTTGACCAGAGACAGTCTCTTTCACGTACCCTTGTTCTTGTCCTTGATTGCGCCCTTGCTCATGTGCTTTGACTTGTAGGGCTTGTGCGACTGCTTGGTCGTACTCCGATGATGGTGTTCTCCCGGCGCCATGTTGGATATCTCTATGCGAAACTTCCAGACGTCGTGGTTAATTCGACAAGCAGTTGGGCGGCAACCCTCGAATAAAATTTACGACCTGCAGAAAGTCGGTATCCCGATAAGCCTTATCGCTCCTTCTTGGCGGGGAATCCGACTCGGCAGCGCCTGCCGCAAGACCAAGGCCAAGCAAGTCCAAGGGTCCTTCTCTCATGACGTTGACCTTGAACGAGCATGTGAAAGTCGAGGTCAACAACTTCCCAGCCCGACGACTGCCATTATGACTTTTGTCTTTTCCAGCAATCCCTCAACATGGACGACCCTGTGGCCGAGATCCCCTACGTGATTGCTCTCTTGACCGAGACCCCTCCATCATTACAGCTTGCCGCCGTCAACAAGTACTTCACCCCCGATGCGAGCTTCACCCATCCCTTCTGCCGCACCGGCTCCTCGGCCCATTCCCGCTACCTAGTCGAGCGCATCTATCGATGGTACAAGATCATGTCGCCGCGCATAACCGCAAAGGTTCACAGCGTCTCCTTTGACCAAAAGAACCTCGTCCTCTACGTCGGCCTTACCCAAGTCTTTGCCATCTGGGCCATCCCTACCCATCGCTCAGAAGTCTCGCTCGTCACCGTACTACATCTGTCGCCTCAGAAAGATCCCGAAGACGAAGGCAGCATCAAGTACTACATTTCCAGCCAGAACGACTTGTACCAGACAGATCAATTCATCAAGTTCATTCTGCCTTGGATCTCCATCATTGTGCCCATCTGGCAGTTTTTGGCAACCATTTTCTGTGTCATCGGCAGCTATTTGTTTATCCCCGTCACTTGGTGGGAGGAGCACTTTCAAGATCAGTTCACAAGGCCGGAGAGACCTCCCAAGTGGAGCGATGCCAGGTGATGATATCATTACACTTGATTCATTCGACTGCACTATTGATGCAGACACATTCCATGTTGGCGTATCGACGTATCTAACAACCACTTCTTTCACCAGGCTTGACACATTTCGTTCTATTTGGCACGTGAAGATTTATGTTTAAACGTTTCATTTGAAAATTGAAATGACTAACTCCTTACCTTGCATTCCCAGACCCCGGTAGATGATAGATATCAAAGTCAAAGACGGATGAGAGTAACGAGCAAGGAGATGGAAGAGGGGAAAGACTTACCGAAACGATTACTTGGGAACAAACGGATCTCTAACAAGAGATCTAGCCTCCAACGATTCAACCAGAACTCTCTTGAGAATTCGTGCATGCGTGCCTAGCGAGCCATTGTCGGAAGATTCTTCAAAAGCACCGGCGATCGAAACGTTGCTCGATGAGCGCTCACTCTCAGAGCCAGCGACACAGTCAAGCGAATTGATGCTGGGACGACGAATGATCTCGGGTTGACTGACGGGAACCGATCTAATTTGCAATGTCAGCTCGGGACGTTCAGTACGGGTGACAGAAGTCTTCCTCACAGGACCGGAAAGTTTGATAGGTTTTGCTTTTTGGAAGGAGACGGGTGTAGCAGTTCTCAATATGAAACCTTTCATGGCGGTACCGTTGACGGTGGTGGAAGACTCTTTTGTAAGAGCAGCAGGAGCAGCACTTCCAGCAGCGGCAAAGGTATCAGCGTAGGGCGTGGTAGCAAAGGCGGAAAGGTCAGTATATCCATCTAGGTACGAGTAAGTGCTCATGCGATTGATTCTGGCCTGATCAAAGTCGGGTTCAGTAGCAGTCATAGAGATCGGGCTGATTGGGGCGCTGTTATAGTCAAAATTCAAAGCTGAAGGTGAGATGGGCGAGACAGGATCAGAGGGTTGGGGCACCGCAGGAGATTGAACAAGTGGCTGAGCGGAGACAAAGGTTGAAACACCAGGAGGTAGCGGCTTTCTACGAATTGGATCGCGGATAGGCTGAGGTAGGATGTAGCTTGGAAGATCAGGAGGAGTCAGAGAACGTACAGAAGAAAGAGCCGGCATCTCAGTCTGATAACGTTTTGCCATAGGTCTTTGTGGCATGTGACTAGTTCTCGAGATCTGTGGACTTGAGTTTCTGCGTCTTGGAGGGGTTGGAGCACGACGAGGTGTGCCTGGACTAAAAGAAGGTTGAGGTTCTTGAAAGACTTGAATGTTGAGTTGACCGCGGACCTGCAGGCATCGAATGCACCCACAGGAACGAGCATGATCATTGGAGTTGCTGTCAAGACGCAGGAAGTTACAAAGTCGTGCCAATCTACCCTTTCTGCGTGTCTGCTGTTGAGATGGAGGGGCGTTTTGCGGTCCAGCCGGGATAGTGTTTTCAGATGTCCAGTACGCCATGCCAGAATTCATGAGGCGAGTGTTGGTTGCAACAGTGTCGTGCATGGTAGGAAAGATCGACTGGACTTGAAATTCGAGAGATTAGTGTATCGGGGGTTGCGAAATACGAAGCATTATTATGCCTTATAGTCCATCATAAGCTACTTGCCGTTCCAGATGCATTGTCTTGCAAAACTATGAGGTGCTCCTTTGTCTTGCTTTGTTCTGCGAGACAAGTGACAAAGCATGTCATATGCATAATGGCATACGACAATGAGGGCAGAAAATCATAGACAATGAACTTGGTGAAGTAACGGAGACCAACAATGGAGGACTGCCAACGCTGATCGATTTGCTGTGGATACCATGTCCTTCGACAGCGTGCGTCTCCAAGCTCACAACAACTTGTGGTCTTAGATGCTATCACGAGCAATACGAAGAAGAGAAAGACCTGTGTCATATTGGTGTTGATACTTGCAGTTGCTGTCACGAAGTGGAAGGAGCGATAGAGGTCGCTGAGACGGAAGGTCACGGAGCGGTGACGATGTTGCCAACTTCGTCGCAACAACCATCAACTTCTCAACAACAATGTAAACACACACATCACCTACGATCACTCAAACGCATTCCTACCTACTATCAAAATATTATCAGAACCAATCGAACACCAGCCAACTCCCACCAGAGCATCATCGAAGTTTATCAAACTGCATGCCTCGTCGGAAGTCGCTATTGATCGGCATCAACTACACTGGGAGTGACAATGAATTGAATGGATGCCACCAAGATGTCGACAACGTTACAGAATTCATCAAGTATCGAGGTTATCAGGACACTCCACAAGACCAAGTTGTTCTCCGTGATGACTTGGCCGAAGAATACGCACCGACAGGACACAACCTCCTGGCGGCGATGGACTGGCTGGTCAGTGAAGAACATACAACATGCTTCTTCCACTATTCCGGTCATGGTGGACAGATTAACGACCCGCACGGCAAACGTCCATCTGGGCTGCTCGATACCATTGTACCTGTGGACTTCGAAGATAATGGCCAGATTGACTCGGATATGCTCCATAAACATCTCGTGACCAAGTTGCCGCCAAGCAGTACTCTGTTTCTCATCCTTGACTGCTGCCACTCTGGGTCAACTCTGGAGTTGCCGTTTGTCTACCGAAGCGATGACGACGGCAATGTCCATGCACTTGACGGCTACCAAGCTGGAGTTGCGCTCCTGAAAGAAGCAAAGCAACTAATCACTGGCAATTTCAACCTTGACAGAGAAGCTCAGGCTCGAGACCTTTATGCCGGAGCAACCTCGTTCTTGCGCAGTCTGCGACACAATCGACAAATGACCGGCCTCGCTGCTTCGGACGACTTCTTTCAAGACTAGGAAGCCCCAAGGAAGACTGTCACTATGTTCTCTGGATGCAGGGACGATGAAACCAGTGCCGACGCCCAGATAAATAGTGTCACTGAAGGTGACTTGAACATGTCCTTCCACACGAATTGGAATCTGTATCTCACCATTTCATTCAATTANGGTGCCATGAGCTGGGCATTTCTCGAATCCACAAAGACCAACCCGGATCCGACTTACAAGGAGGCAAGTCATGGTCAGTGTCGTTGTTCTGATGCGTCTGACACTACATAGGCTCTGCACATGACCCGCGCCTTGCTGAAAGCATCCGAGTATACTCAAGTAACACCTTCGTTCTCTCTGGTATTTGAATCATGTGCTAATCGTTCAAAANNGGTTCCTCAGCTTTGCGTTGGAACTGAGATGGACCTGAACCAGCCGTTGATCCTCTGATTATTCCGTACTCGAAGTGGCCTAACATTACCGACACAATTTGTTGCACGCATGCGACTTCTTGGTATTGTGTGTATCCCATTCTTATCTACTGTATCTAAGCTGGTTTAGATTATATCCTGCAAGACTTCCATGGTCCTCGTCCTCTTATGTCTCTGCCTGATTCGAAACTTGCAAATTGTCTCTCATCCTTCAGTTTTGAGATGACTATACATGACCGTGCCGCAATGCATCTTCCGCAATTTTTGCTGTCGTCAGGTGAGATAAAGTAGATGAATGGAGTAGATGAGCAGCCTGACGCTCTTCGAAGCGTTGTTGCAGCAGGCGGTGTCAGTTGCTGGAAGAACCAGTTTCAGCGTGAGCCCTCGACACTTGCCTACTGACGTAAAGTCTCGTTCAGATCATGCTGTCCATATTCTTTTCTTTGTATGCATTGTTTGATGTGTTGTTTTCATTATAGAACAATCCACTTGCCATGATGACTTCTTTGTTTCTTTGTTTGATCACGACCACTGATGAAGTGATAACTAGGACCAGCTTCTTCCAACTCGCCCACAGATGAATAGGAGTAACCAACACTTTCTGCCGAAAGACACAACACTAAACTCACAACAACTCTTTGGAGAGCGCTACAGTCTACCATCCTTTTCTATACATAGCATCAAGCTCGTAAGCATTCAAGAGTCAACAAGATGAAGGGCAATACGCTTTCAGTCTTCATAGAGGCTAACCGCTTCCCTCCAGCTGTCAACGAGAATCGCTACTCTGTTCTTAGAGCTGAGACTAATGCTGTTGCTGAGCGAATGTTGATCATCGCCAACAACAAGAATCTGTCCAGAGCTTCTAACTTGTATGAAAATCCCGGCATGAACGGAATCTCTGGTAACCACATCTATGAGCTTGAAGCTAACACAATCTCTACTGGTCACCAGTCGTCTGTGTCCTCTCACTCAACTCAACCGCCTGTCCTGCCCAGAATAAGCCTCATGTCTGTATTCAACCCCTTTGACGAGCCGAACTCTTCACTATCAAGCCCTGTTCCACACGCTGGTGATGCTGGCTCCTTTCTCTCGCCTAGTTCTTCATTTTCTGAGCCGCCGACTAACTACTTACCTTTCATCGCTCCTACAGCGCCATTCGATCCCTACAAGGAGAAGTATGTGCCTCACCCTGCTGGAAACTATGGTGCTCAGAAGTTCAAAAACAGACAGACGATGAGTTCTGCACCCTTTGGCTTTGAAAGACCCGTCACACCCAGATTCTCCGATGCAAATTCGTCAAACTTTGCTCGCTTCTCTGATGCAAGTTCGTCGAAAGCTTCTGTGGTTATGGCTGGAGCTGAGAACCCTCTTCCTCAAAGTCAAACCTCCTACTCACCTCCCAGGATACCGCTGTCCAGGCCATTCAAGATCCCTCGTAAGCCACTGCCTACTNNGGGGGCAAAGCCATTTCCACCCGTCTCTTACACGCCTCCTGGCTCACCCCTCCGTCATCACTCACCTCACGACAACAGCACTGGCCCCAAGACCCTGAGCCCTGTCCCTAAACACCCTGGTCGCGCATTGCTGAACACCGCTTCCATCCGTTCGCCTCTCAAAAAGCATAGTGTTAAGAGTAAGCCATGTCCCAACATCCACAAGCCTCTTCCTCCTTCTCCTGCTCCTGCAGCAAACATGTCTCATCGTCAACGCCAACGCCCCCCTGTGCCATTGAATCATCGTGCTGGCTGGGAGCAGGAGGAGCGTGAGAGAGCTTCAAAGTCTTCCCATCGTCATGTGCGACTGAGCGACTCACACATTCCAGAGATATCCAAACCTATTGCTGCTGCTGACCGTGTGCGTAGCGGCTTGAGAGACAAGGGTTTGGACAAATGGCGCACGTTCAAGCGTACTTGAGACGGTACAATTTGCGTATAGAAATGCACGGTTATATCAGGAAACAGGGCAATATCCATTGAGAGCCTGCACCTTGGTGACTCTCCTTGGCCGCTTCTCTGCTCCGGAAGACATTTGTGCCTTTCTATAGTGCAAAACTTATTCTACGCTTTCGTGAGAAAGGGTGGAGTTAAAAAATTTTAGCATATAGGGAGGGGAGACTTTAGAGATGATGTTTGTTCTCAACCTTACTGTTTTGTAGTTGTTGTTCTAGTTGTCTGATCTGGCGCTGATGTGTCGATAATTTCTTGAATTTGACTTGTTCGCGTTGTGTGAATAAAATATCCCACCTCAGTATTGAGACTGTCGAGAAGAAGAAGAAGCTCACATCCGCCGAGCTCCGCAAGAAGAAGAAGGACCGTATGGCTCGTAGGAAGAGGGGTGAGGAGACCCTTTTATAATGATGGCTTCTAGATTTGGTGATGGTGATGCACTAGAGGCATTTGGCCAGGCGTCCCTGACTCAAAAAGGGGCTATGTTTATGACGTACTCTTTAACTATTCCCCATTGTGATTCAACCCTATAATTAAGCCTACAGATGTATACGGAAGCCCTTTTAAGGGAATGTGGTCACCTTTGATGTTCCCTATGCTTGAAATCGTTACATCTCATAGTCAATCGCTCTCTCAAGCCAAATCATAGTGCCTTGTGGTACTGAGTACACTGTAAAAATGCACAACTGCCCACATGAATATGTGCCCTATAGTCTGATGCGTCTCTTCCTTAGTTGAAGCAACAATACCGCGCAAATTAATATGCTAGCGACAATAAACATCCCACCGATCAGCGTGACAGCGTAAGTGCCATTCGAAGTATGCTCTGCCTCAAAGCCAGACGCTAGATACGTCCGAGTGGGCTGAAGATATCTGGTCACTCGTGTCTTGCTCGAAGTAGCACTCGCAGCACTCTGAGGTCCATTACCTTGAAGCGTGCTCCCAATGAAGACGACAAGCACGGCAGCGTATGCGGCCGTAGATGCAAATACATCATGTCGTCGTGCAGTGGTCAGCCAGAGAATCGAGACTGCAAAGCCCATAGTCATGACACTGAGCAGAATGAGGCGGCCGGTATTTGACTCCCAGAAAAACAAGCCCAAGATGGCACCGACGAGCCACGCTACCACAACACAAACGCTGATCCAGGTGATGACCTTGTTCAGGCGTTTCCATTTGGAGAGACTGGTCATACCGGTGGTCTTATCTTTAATCATGTTGCGGAGTTGATGCTTGCTTTCGACCAGACGAGTGAAGGGATCTCGTTCGACTTGAGGCGCCAAAGTGCAAAGGTCTTTCCGGTTTTCCCCGCAGAGATGCATTGACATTGCACCTTGTATAATAGCATGCGATTCGGCTTTGTCTTGCCAATGATCATGGTCGAAATCGTCATCATCCGGTTGGACGAATATACGGCCGTTTGTTTCAATATCATCATGCTCTGGTCTTTCGAGAGCAAGTATCTCGTTCATCAACTTCAGTGCTTCATCTATAGCCGCAGATCAGTAATGACGACTTCTAAAGCCCAGGATTGCTTCCTTACGATACTCTTTCACCTTGACCCTAATCTTCTTCACTAACTTCATCCTTGCTATCATCAACTCTTGTTTCCTAGCCTCTTCCTCTGATACATTCTCAGTTGTATCTTCTTCTGCGTATTCAGCCTCAGCCTTGAGTATAGTCCAGTCTCCTAGATGGTTGATCATCGTCTCGGGGATCAGGTCCAAGTCTAATCTTTCCACCTCGCTTTCCAACGCTGCCAGCTCGCTCTCCAGATAGAGTAGGTTGCGCATAGCTAGACGGTCGAAGCGCCGAAAGATGGTCGTAGACCGTAATGGGTCCGAGGAGATGAAATCTGAGAACAATCTGTAGCCGTCGGCTTTCTTCGCTGCGACCATGCGTTGGCCAACGGGTGTTTGTGTTCCAGACGCGATGTGAGGTGTTGGCGGAGAACTTATGGCAGAGTTGGGAGACATTGGTCGGAGTTCTGTTGTGAACGCCATGTTGTTCAGGTTCTGTCAGGACCAGAGTATGCTTCGACGCAGTGTTTGACAGAGTATGCGACTTGTCTGATGATAGATGTCGAGGACGGACTCATTCGAATACAAAAGGCAGAGTTCAGACACAAAATTGAGGCCTTCTCGTGTGCCTCAGCCTGCATGATGTAGAAAAACAATCTAGGTATATTGTAAGCGCTTGAAGTGCATCGTCTTCGTGCATGCCGATGGCTGTGTTTAGTGCTCCTTTAGCATGCACAGTCATAAGACTGAGGCGCAACTGCAGCATCACGCCCTCCCCGTGCGCCGAAGTAGGCAACGCGTGTAGTTGTAGATATTCACAGTGCTATCAAGAAACAGAGCAGTGTCCACTGAGAGCCAGCATGTGAACGGTCTCCGAGCATATGACGAAGAGTCGAATACACGCTTGACTTGCATGTGATTGCGACAGACCTGGTGCGATGGTCTCGAGAAGTCTTGAGGAGACGAGCGAATGGATGTCGAAAGCGAGTACAAAGCAGCCTCGATACGGGAAATGGTTGGTGGCTGCGTTCTCGATATTAATTGACGTCTATCAATCCTTCCCCAACAACGAGATTATTGCTCTGCATCTCGGGCGCAGCTTTGCAGTTTCCGTTCCAGGGCTGTGCAGTCGGTGCAATAAAACACAGCCGCCGTGACCAAGAAAGATGTTAGACAAGGCTGTGCCTCTCTTTGTATTGATTGGTCGGCTGCATACGCGATGCAGGCTTAGCGTGCACAAGGCTTTGTCATTCCGGCTGGAACTGCAACCACTCGAGGGAGGCGCAAACGTGAAACTATTTTGAACTTCCGGATATAGAGATTCATAAAAGGCTCACAACACGGTCAACAATCACACTTACTTTTGAACAAATTCGAAAAAATAAATCCTTCGAGCAAATCACACGAAAGCCCAAACTCCATACACAAAGAGATCATCATGATCTTGGACAAAGTCGACTTTTCGCACATCGCAAGTGCTTTCAAATTGCGTGGCTACACATACACTGGATGTGGTCCTGTCAGCTTGTCGATGCCCACTGGTNNCAAGGTTAGTTTTTTATCGCGCTGAGATACGAACAGTATGCCTAACAGATATGAAGGGCCTGATGCAGCATCCCGGGAAAGAGACATGTTCGAGCTCGCAAAACAACGACGTCGAGCGGACGCAGAACAGGCAAGATTGAAGTTGGCCAAGAAGGAAGCGCGATCGCGCATTCGACAGTTCGAGGACCAACGACAAAATCGAGACATCGACGTTCGCACTCCACAGAGATCAACAGAGATTGCCGAGAGAGATTCAGGCGTATTCGTTTTCGAGGACATGAAGACCGTTACCAGCAACGCAGAAACAGTCGCCAAAATCGTGTCCAAGTGGAGGGCAAGAGCTCGCTGGTCGAAAGCATTCAGCAAAGTCAGGAGTATGAGCTCAGGAAGCTCGCACATCTCTCCTTCGGGGCACCTTACGCGGATGCAACCCGACTTGTTATGTCCAGGCACTCCAACGAGGACTCGCGCATCTTCCACAAGCTCGTTGATGAGCCCCCGGAATTCGGACACCTCTCTCTTGAAGCACCACTCGAATGACTTGTTGTCACCGCTTGCTCCAAGGAGGGCTCGCGCGTCATCGACTGATTCTGTCAGACTGATAGTGACGTGATCAGAGATACACACTGTCAAAGTAGATCAGCAAATATAATGTAGTCAATGACAAGAACAGTCATGCTCTTCCAATCCATGGTGTAAATTCTCCCTTTGTTCAGAAAACAACGCTCCCGCACTGGCATATAGTGTTAACATATGCGACAGAAAATGCACAGTCGCTTTTGAAAAAGAGGTGTGGCCAAAGTGATGCCTAAGAATGACTTTCTCTTCGCGAATCTCGTGTATTCTGCATCGATATAGCGACACTGTGACTGTCTTTAACACGCAGAGAGGATGGGTCAATGTTTCGTTGGGCAGTGGTATTGCAGAGTGGTTTGTCGCAACCTGGAAGATTGGTTCCATTACTGACTCCATCGAAAGTGTGTATATCGATGGGCACTCAACACGAAGGCGTGACCTCTACTCTATACCCTCGAGCCTGGAAAAAGACAGTGAGCAAATGAGGCCGTTGAGAGTGAAAGACAAAGGAGCGAGACGTCTCGAGAAGGCGAGCGACTTTTTTAAACGAAATGTTCGATTGATGAACCTGAGAAAGATGGATGGATAGCGGCGTCGGGTATTCGGGAGACCGGGGTTGGAAGGCTTGGCGTCGACGTCACGTGCTTCGCAGGTGTATACCGCTCCAGGTCAAAACCCTTGGAAAGCTGTCACCATATTATGGGATGGAGGCCAAAATTTGAAAGCGAGAAAGATCTTTATTGTAGATGGAATCTATCTCTAATACGAGCGATTCACAACGGGGAATAGTTAAAGAAACGTCATAAACATAGCCCTTTTTGAGTCCGGGACGCCTGGCCAAATGCCTCTAGTGCAACAACATCACCACCTTTAGAAGTCATCCTCGTCAGAGAACACTTCCTCACCCCTCTTGCGGCGAGCCATACGATCCTTCTTCTTCTTACGGAGCTCGGCGGATGTGAGCTTCTTCTTCTTCTCGACAGTCTCGATCTTGTTGCCCATGGCGTCGAACTTCTCCTCTTCGTCACCACCCTTGGCCTCAAGTCTAGGACCGGCACCTTGACCCTGAACCCAGTTGTGACCGGAGGGGGTCATGCGACCGTTCTGGACAGCCCAAACTTCCTCAGTCAAGTCCTTGGTGAACTCGGCAGAGTGAGTGATGATGATGACACCACCCTCGAAGGACTTGATGGCCTTGGACAGAGCACCAAGGGAGTCACGGTCGAGGTAGTTGGTGGGCTCGTCGAGGACGATCAAGTGGGGACGTTGCCATGAGCAGGCGGCGAGGACAACCTTGACACGCTGGCCACCGGAGAGACCACGCATGCGCGAGTGAGAAACAAGCTCGGCGTCGAGACCGAAGTTGGCGCAGTGCTGCTCAATCTCCTTACGGACGAGAGGGCGGAACTGACCAGAGGCAAGAGCCTCCTTCTGGTCAACCTCGGCAACCATCTTCTGATGCGACTGCATGATCTCGGTACGGGGGATCCAGGCGTTGTCAGCAGTCATCATGGGTGTCCACTTCTCGTTCTTCATGCCGATGTTGTCACCGAGAGCGAACGAACACTCGTACTCGTAGGAGTTCTTGAACTTTCTACGCGAGTGGATACCAATGACGCGACGGTAGGTACCCTCGACCTTGTAGATCTTGTCCATGGCCTTCTCATCCTCGTCGGTGACGATCTTGTTGGCGCGGTCCATGGTCTCACGGTCCTCACCAGTCTGGAAACGCCACTGGATGTACTCGGAAGGAGTAGAGTCGAGGTGGTGATCGATGTGAGCGAAAGCGTGCTGCTTGATGTAGGCGATACGGATGTTCTCGTGGTGGTAGATCTCACCCTTGGTGGGGATCAGCTCACCAGTGAGGACGTTGATGAGGGTAGACTTTCCGGCACCGTTGGGACCGATGACGGCGATACGCGAGCCGAGAGAGCACTGGAAGGAGCACTCCTCAATCTGGGGCTTAGCAGTACCGGGGTACTGGAAGGAGACGTTGCTGACACGGACGATGGCCTTGGCCTTGGTCTTGACACCCTCGAGGAAACCGGGCTCGGGGAACTTGAACTCCATCTCGGAGGCACCAAGCTCGTAGTAGGACTTGGCGGAAGGAACACGCTTGACGAACTCGGAGAGCTTACCGCGGTATCTCTTCAGCTTGAAGCGCTCGTAGTGGATAACGTGCTGGATAACGTTGTCGAGGAACTTGGAGTCGTGAGAGATGATGATGGATGTGCAGGGGGAGGTAACGAGGTAGTTCTCGAGCCATGCAACGTTCTTGACGTCCAAGTGGTTGGTAGGCTCGTCGAGAAGAAGAATGTCGGGCTTCTCGAAGACGGCACGGGCAAGAGCCAACTTCATCTTCCAACCACCAGAGAGACCACCGATGGGGCCGTCAAGCTGCTCCTCAAGGAAACCGAACTCAATGAGGGTCGAGCGGACCTCGGCCTCGGGGGTCTCGACACCGACGGAAGCAAGCTTCTGCAGAGTCCAGCCAATGACGGTTCTCTCAGTGTCATCAGAGTCGAGATCGTGCTCGACGTAGACGGTCTTAACCTCATTCTGCTTGGGGAAACCCTCAACCTGCTCGTTGTTGATGGCACGCATGAGGGTGGTCTTTCCGGAACCGTTGGGACCGAGGAGACCGTAACGCTGACCACGCTTCAGGCGAAGGTGAGTCTGGTTGAGCAAGATCTTGGCACCGTAGGCCAAGTTGAATGTGCAGTTACAGAGATCCTCACCCTCCTCCTCATCAGGCTCGACATCGCGGCCGGCGGCAGCGAGGGGAGAAGCTCTNNTCTTGCGGAGCTCCTCGGCGGTGTTCTTGGCCTCATCGCCAACAATGACGGTAAGGAAAGGAACGGTGTTCTGGGCCCAAACCATGGGCTCGACGACCTTCTCGTCGACGAGCTGGCCACCGATGGCACCGATGTAGTTGACAATAGTCTCGAGCTTGTCAGCCTTGGCGCCGATGATAGACTTGAGGTGGGCAGCGACAGTGGACATGTCACCGTCCTTGGAGATCTCGGGGGCTTTGCCGTTCTGGACGTGACCAACACGGGTGAGGGTGTCAAGAGCCTGCTTGGTCTTCTCACGGGCCTCGGGGTCGGCAAGGTTGTCGTGGTTGCGGTTGAGGGCGGGCATCAGCTTGGGCAAGAAAGCGGCAACGATCTGGGGGTCCTCGACAAGCTTGCACATGTTGTCGACAATGACGGCGGACTTTCTCTTGATGGCGGTCTCACGCTCGTTAAGACCACGCTCGAGAAGGGGAACCATAATGGCGAGGGTGGGCTCGTGGACATCGGTGACGAAAGTGGTGGCACCGAGCAAGTGAATGGTCTCGGGGACGTTCTCGGGCTTAGCGATACACTTGATGAGCTCGGGAATGAAACGGTCGATATCCTTGTTGACGATCAAAGAGCAGATCTTCTCCATGGTGGAGTAGGCAGCCTTCTTGACCTCGTTCTTGGTGTCCCACATGGCCTCAGAGACGATGGGGATCAGCTCGGGAACGCGGAGAGCGGTCTGGATAGGGGAGGACTCGGACAGAGCGACAATGCACTCGAGGTCGGTCATCTTCTCCTGCCACTTCTGGGCGTTGTGGATGGACTCGACGAAGTGGGGGATGAGGGCCTTGACGGCGTTGGCGTTGGCCATGCGGGTAATGGCAAGGGCGGCGGCCTGGGCGGCGTTCTTGACGGGGACCATCTTGTCGCCGACGGCGGCAAGGACGGCAGGGAGCATGTCGACGAGGAAAGGCTCAACAGCGGAGCTGACCTCAGAGTGCGAGGCGATGGCCTTGATGGCATCGCAGGCGCGCTCACGGGCGAGGGCATCCTTCTTGTTGGAGAGGGCCTTCTTCAAGGTGGCGACGGNCCCTGAGAGCAGGTTAGACACAGTTCGACGCAGTACACACAGCAGGGCGACTCACTTGGTGGGGGCATCCTCCTCCTCAATGTCGCCGTTGATGAAGATGGCAATCTCCTGAGAGACACCGTTGATCTCATCCTGGGCCTTGGAGACGTTCAGCTTGGCCAGGAGCTCCTCGAGCACCTTCAGCGACTGCTGGTTCTCAGATTTGGCTTGTTTGCTTGCCATTTTGGTGGATGAGGAAAGAAAGGACGTCGAGGCGAGCAAGGGAGACTCAAATAGTCGACGCTGGGGAAAAAACTCTGCCGGGCTCAACATTCAGCCTTGGCATTGCATTCAGACCATCGACACCGCCCGTGCGCATGCTGTTTCCGTTGGCCGCTCTCATTCGCTAAATCCAACTCCGAGCAACAACAGTTTTTGCCTCACTTGTTGCCACCTTTCAACACACCTGGATCTTGTACGAGTACAGGGGGAAAAAAAAGAAAAGCAATAGGGGTGGCTTCACCGAGCGCTTTTCTAGAACATGCCGAGTCAACCGCAAATACCTGGCAGATGATGATCAACCTTGACGCAGCACTTTTTACTATGCATCCTCCCTCCTGTGATTAGGTTTGCAATGCGTCTGGCCGACATCTATAATCATCTTGAGCAACAACTAAGGCCTACAAGACGACTCTACGCGCATCCTTCGTCGAGTGTTGCTATATCTCACCAGAGAATCCCGATGAGAGGACTTACATACTTTGCACATGAGAATTTCGTTACTTGCGTAAGCTTACTCGACACTCACTTGACTCTTTTGAGACGCACAACATTTTTCTTGGACAATGACATGAATGGGTCAAAGAATCGTATTTTTGACAGGACCTTGGGCTCGATCTTATCTCACGTCAAGTTCATCTTGTCTTTCTTACAGGCAAAGAATTGTCTCACACTATCTACGCCCTCATGTGTAACTCGAGATTCCAGGAGTATAAGATTAGCAGTCAGAATCGACGCTCGATTATCTAGAGAAGTCGAAGAAAAGGAGTCAAGGGATGGTATAGAGAAAACTCTCGAGGAGTAACGATGGATGTGAAGAGGTAGGTGAGAAGCAAACAGTATGTGGATACTAGCATTAGTGACCATATAGAAAAAGACAATATGCCGGGTTAGGATATTCGTCGGCGGCATCGAACGCATTATTCAAGATTGAGAAAGGCTCGATACTATTGTCGCTACACCAAGCTAGAGCTGGTGGACCAGGAAGGAGTAAACAACAGTGGCATATCTATTGCATGTCCGGAGTATTCTGTAGTTACATCTACATATCCACTCTTATGACCATCTGCAGGGGAGACTTTTTGCACAATGGGACATCAAAAACGTTGTATCGCTGTTCAAATACATCCTCAATGTCTTTTCGAAAGCTCCTTGTAATGCACATGTGCAATTACTGCATATGTTAATCAACTACAGGCCACCAGTTGTACCTCTCGTGGTTATCGCAATGGATGACACCGTTCTTTAATATCCCAATGGCTACCAAGGAAGTCCGTTTGCAGAACATAGTTTCCGTGTTTTGATAGTCAGAAATGTGCCACAGGCGAGGAAGGCTTTGGTCTTGTCTGGTTGGCCCCGGATTTTGCGTGGAAGAAGGCCCACTTCTCCAGACAGCCACGGCGCTGTCTGTGCGGTCGTCATGGAGATAGACAAAGAAAATCCAGATATCACTCTGCCCAGTAGAACCATCAGACGCTGCTGGCTATGGATGTTGCACTCTTCTCGAAATGTGTGCCCTCGGGAGTTTTCCCTCGCAGCATGTGCGGAAATTACTGACACACTTTCCGAACAGTCCAGGGTGTTCGTTCGGTGATACCTCGCAGAAGTATAAACACTCGGGTGCCATAGAGCTCAAGAAGCCGAGAATGATGACCTTCGTCCTCAGTAGGTCTGAGTTTCAGTATGGAATCCTTGAAGCCGACAACAGGGAGATTCTCTATGTGCTGCAGCAAGAAGCATGTGACTTGTCGATGCTGGAAGGCGCCACGCGAGAACAGGTGATTCGTTCGCCTACAGCACAACGTCATGCTACAGCTTCCTTCGACATTACAGGACAATCACCACCACACAATCGCGTGTCTTTTCTTCATCTCAATGCTATACCCCCAAAACACTAAGAGCGTAGAACACACCCAAGCAAGATGTCGGCATCAGCACTTCTCAAGAGCCGCGTGAGGCGTCCAAGCTACCTCAAGAAGATTGCCAGAGCTGAAGACTTGATGCACCACTTTCCCAATGGCAGCTATATTGGCTAGTTCGGTTTCACTGGAGTGGGTTATCCCAAGTAAGCCACAGTCAAGCAGTCTTTCCGTGTGTCAAAGTCTATATTGCACGCTATAGAAATGCAAAGTACTTTCNNGACAAGCAGCGGAGTTTCCCTCGAGAGGCCTGCTCCCACTGGCCTTCTTCGGACAAATTATAGCTCTATGCATCCCTTTAGCTTATATGTCCAGGCTCTGATACCTTTGGAGGAGGTACAAAATAGCCATGGCTAACTCCAGCTCAGAAAGGTCCCAACAGCCATGGCCGATCACGTCGAGAAGAATGGCCTCCAAGGTCAACTCAAGTACAACCTGTTTGTTGGCGCTTCTTCAGGCGCTGAAACCGGCCTTCATGACATTACCATGACTGATCTTCCCCCTCGTCGCAAACCTTATCTGATCATGGCTCCCGAGGACCGCGTTGGCACTCCACATATCCCTATTGATCCCGAACGTGTCGTCGCTATTGTCGAGTCAGATTACCCCGACCAGACCCAGCCCAATGCCCCTGAGGACGACACCAGCAGAGCTATTGCCAGTAACCTGATCGAGTTCTTGAGGCACGAAGTCAGCAAAGGACGTCTGCCAGAAAACCTTCTGCCACTTCAATCTGGTATTGGAAATATTGCCAAGGCCGTCATTGGTGGTCTCGCCGGTGGAAATGCCGACTTCAAGAATCTCAAAGTATGGACTGAGGTGCTGCAAGACTCTTTCCTCGATCTCTTTGATTCAGGTATGTACGCGAAAACACAGATAGCACGATTCCAGCAACCAGAGGGCATTTCGAAGCGATTACTGCAGTATGCCATTCTCTATACAGAAGAAATGCTGACTGAATCCCCATTCTACNNAGGGAACCTTGACTTCGCAACTGCCACCTCTATTCGCTTCTCTCCCGATGGGTTCAAACGCTTCTACGAGAACTAGGAGCACTACTATCCCAAGCTCTTGCTTCGCAGTCAAGCAGTCTCTAATTCGCCTGAAGTAATTCGCCGCCTCGGCGTTATCGGCGTGAATACACCAGTAGAGGTCGACATCTACGCGCACGCCAACAGCACCTGCGTTCTCGGATCGCGCATGTTGGATNNTCACGGCCTGGGTGGAAGCGCCGATTTCCTACGCTCAGCCAAATACTCCATCATGCACACTCCCTCCACTCGTCCCAGCAAGACTGACCCGACAGGTGTTTCTTGCATTATCCCGATGTGTACGCATGTCGACCAAACCGAGCACGATCTGGATGTCGTTGTTACAGAGCAAGGCTTCGCCGATGTCCGTGGTCTGTCTCCTCGCGAACGTGCCCGTGTCATCATCAAGAAGTGCGCTCATCCGGATTACGTGCCTATCCTCGAGGACTACTTCAACAAGGCCGAGTTTGAATGCCTGCGCAAAGGTATGGGACATGAGCCTCATATGCTGTTCAACTCGTTCGACATGCATAAGCATCTTGTTGACTACGGTACCATGAAGATTGACAAGTGGAACTGGTACGGTTAAATGAGCTGTCTTCCCGTAATGACATATAATGAGATTACGAGGAGACGATCTGCTCCAGTAGAGACCAGATTTGTCGATGATAGCTAAATGAGAAGCCAATGGCTCTGTTGCGACTTTCTCCGTAGATTTACCCTCTAACTATGTCCTACCACCCACATCAACGTACCAGAAAAAAGAGTCTCCACCAACCCTTTCCCACCTCAAGAAGCTGTTCTAGACCCACACTCCGGATACCCAAGATTACCCAACCAAGCACCAGAATTAAACTCTGCAACAATGTTATTGATCTGCCATTTCTGCGGTCCAACACCAAAACCACCACCTTGTCCTTTGATAGCAGCTTGCACCGTAGCCACACTGATACCTTGCACCGGATAGGGTGATTGAGCAGACAGCCAACGAATAATGACCGTGTTGCATGTATTCCACAGATTGAGAATTTCAAAGGGGACATTCGGTTGAGCTCCTTGGGCGGCGAGAAAGTCTGCTTTGGAAGCAAAGGTCAGTTTGCCGAGCTGAGTGGAGGGAGGATGTTGTTAGTCGTGTCCAGGATGGAAGGAAGTCATGTTGGCTCTACTCACGTCTTGGGCTTGTAGGCCTGGTTCGTTCATCAGAGTGAGTACGCCATCAGATTGGTCGGTAAAGTTGTTGGTGAACAATTGGACTGCAATGTCTTTGGTGTAGTTTGAGATTGTGAATCCGAAGTTTGTGGCGATTAGAGAAGCGTCTGGGGCTGAGATGCATGTTGCTGAGGGTGGGCTAGGCGGAGGTGGGCCAGGAGGAGGTGGGTTAGGGGCAGAGACCGAAGGGTGAGCTGCGGCAAGAGTCACCAATGTTACAAGAATAGAGACATGCATGTCAATGTCAAGGATAGCAGTGCAGTGTATGTAAGCTAGATTGATAGGACAAGTTTCAAAGAGAGCAAGTCGGTGTGGTTGCTGTATGAGATACTTATACCTTCCTCAGCCCCACTGCGTTCAGACCAAGGCTTGCCATATCATCTTCAAGTGCCATGCGGGTCGGAAGATAGGATTATTGTTCCCCAGTCAGCTGCGGCTGCGCAGGTACATCGTGCATAACCCTTTGCTCATTTGGGATCCAACTTTCAGCCCCACGCGGTCAGGCCTCTCCAGATTCTTGAATCTATATCCAATCAGTCGGCGAATTTGCACGCCACCAGTGGAAGGGGATATATTGCAAGAGTTCATCATGGAAAACTGAGTCGCTCAAGCGTGTTGAAGGAGTGGGTCACTTCTAGAAGAACACAAAATCTGCAAACCGGTCACGGCTTACGTCTGAGCCCTCTCTTGTCGTGATATACTATATGTATGCTATGAACATGCGTAGTTGCTTTCCGACTCGGTGTGTCATTATGAAGATGCAATAAGAGGATGACACTCTGTCTGAGTGAATACCTTTCTCTCAATGAACATTGCATGCTAAGAACTTGCTGCATCCTCAGGGATGGAGTATGCGTCGAATACCGCATGTATCACCAGCTGAGCAACCTCTTTGTCGTCGGCAAAGGTCAGAGCTGCAATTGCTTGTCTGCAATCCATCCATTTCGACTCAAAGTCCTCTCCTTCTTGTTGCGTACCTCTTTCAGGCAGCTTTTGCGAGTTCACACTTCCGGCATACCAAAAGATGAGCTTCAAGCCATGGTCGCTTACACGCTGAGTCACTGCAATGGGTTCTGTATGTAGTTCGTTGCCGGATCTGTTTGTAGCGTGTGTGGGAAGCTTCAGTGGCAGGATTGTTGCAGAGTAACCAGTTTCCTCGTATGTTTCCCTCAGAGCTGCTGCTTTCAAGCATTCGTTTTCGTCTTTGCGTCCTTTTGGGAGAAGGATCTCATTAGTGGAGCGCTTCCGTACGAGTAGCACTGTTCCGTGAGTGATGTCGATAGGAACTGTTCCGCAGCTAATGACGGATCGACGTGATGGGTAAAATGCCCTGGCGAGTGTATCGGAAGACATGACGAGATGTCTTACAGGTCGAGTTGCTCTGGTAGATCCAACTCTTGGATAAAAGCTTTGATGTACGAGTGACAAAGGCTGGTGGGGTGTGTGGCTTCTACGCGACATCGACATAAGCGCCGATGTTGCGTGTGATCGAGCCATTCCTTCGAGCATGGATCAGTAGACCCTCTTGCACTCTCCAGCCAGAGAAGCCAGCTTGTCCAGCATAGTCTCTCTCTCAACCAAAGCAGTCTTCCTCTGTTCGTCGGCTTCTCTCAACTCTTTTTCTAGTGCTTGTATCCTCTGGTTCTGGTTCGCTTCACTCTCGCCAATACCAGGCAGGACAGAAATCAAATACTCAATCTGCTGTTCTTTGAGCACAAGATCTCTTGCCAGTTCCCTCAGCGCGGCTTGAAAGGTTGCAGGGTCGTCAGGACGTGGTGGTTGGTCGGGGTCTTGTTCTTGCTGTTGTTGCAGAGCAACGGCATTGGGGCCTCCTTGCTCGGCAGCAGATGCAGTTAAAGTGTCGGGGGCGGCATTTGGTTGTAGAGGTGCTGGGGCGTTGGGAGCGGTTGGATCGGACATGTCTGGCTGGTTTGGGATGCTGGCGAATTGATGGCGCGTCTGGATGTAGCGGATGGATGCGAACATTTGGGTTGCGAGCTGGTGGAGTTAGCATGTTGCGTAGCAGTGGTAGCGCATGCGAGAAAGGCAGCTCACATCATCCAGGCAGTCCTGGAGTTGCGTCAGGCGGTCGGCCATGCTGAGGTCTGTGTTTGGGGTGGGTTGCGACAAGTGAGAAGCGGAAGGTGCAATGACGAGCTTCGGCTTGAGCCTTCCCGGCAAACTTCCAAGGTGTTTTGGGGAAGTCGCGACCATCCATCTCAACCTTCCCTTCATGCACTTCCGCCATGCCCTGATCACTTTGAGTCGCCTGAGCAGACGCTCCATCCATTCAACTACCAAGTGCCCTTCGTTTAGTGATCCCTTGTCGACGCTCGTCAACCATGCCACACCCGCTATACCATCAACCCCGGACGATACTCCGCCGTTGAAGAGACGCTCCCGAAACAAAAAGGCCGATTCCATTCTCGACCATTCAAAGTCATCCATATCTCCTGTAGACTCTGACACAGCGTCGCCGAAGAGACGTGGCCGCCCGAGAAAGGTCGTCGACACCCCCGATGACACGTCCGAGGAGACCACCTTAGCACCACTGAAGAAACGCACTCGCAAACCCAAGACGCCAAACGAAGACCATCTTGCGATCACACATGGCAGTTCGCACCACACTTCCCTGTCCGAGTTCCTCAGCTATGCCGACACTGCAAACCTCTCACCCACAAGCACAGTCTACCGCGGCACCCACTACGAATATACTGTCGCAGACGCCCTTGAGCACCTGGCCTTCTCTTTGACCCGCGTTGGCCGTGCTAGCGACCTCGGTATCGACTTGCTCGGCACTTGGTCGATACCCTCTCGTTCAAAGCCTATAAATGTCCTGATACAATGTAAAGCCGAGGCACCAAAACCGAGTATGATCAGGGAACTCGAGGGTGCTGTCGTCGGTGCCCCCGTACGCTACAGAGGAGAAGGCACCATAGCTGTGCTGGCTGCCGCCAAAGAGGCTACAAAGGGTGTAAGGGATGCTGTCGTGAGGAGTCGCTTACCCATGGCTTACCTGAATATCACGACCGAGGGCAGGATCAGGCAATTTGTGTGGAATTACGCTGCTGTCGAATGTGGCCTCGAGGGTGTCGGTGTGTCTTTGAGATACTTGGCCAATGGTGAGTCTGAGGCTACCTTGACTTGGAAGGGAATGCCTTGCTCAAAATCTTCGCCAAAACCACGCCGCGTTGAATGAAAACTTTGTATCAGATGAAAGAGAGAAAGAGCTTTCCATTACTATTAACCCAACTTCCTGGTAACAATCCGCCGTATTTTTCTCTCAGTGCCTATCTCCCGCTCCCACTGCTGCCAGGTCGAGTCTTACTCAACTTCTTGCGCTCCTTCTTACTCTTCTCCTCCACGACCTCTTTCGGTGGAGGTTGATTTTCGGGAGCGAGTGCAGTAGCAGCCGCAGGCGTAGGTACGGCTGGCGCATGAGGGCCTCGAGGGTCTTGTGAATCCATAGGGTCTAACACCTGCTCTCTCATCTCTATCGCTTGGGCTCCCTGGCCCTCGTCTAACAGCAAATCTGATGCCGATCTGACAAAACTTCTTCGCGCCAATGGACTCTTGCCTGACCTGCTGCGGTTGCTTCCATGGTCATGCGCTTGTCTTGTTCTTGCAGGAACCGCCAGTACTTTTTCTGTTCCCGCTAGAGCTTTTCCATGTGCCACGCTCATGTCACTGTTCTCTGAATTCATTCTTCCGTGTCCATATGTCGTTGATTCGTCGTCGCTGGCCGATCGCACCGACACCGAGTAACCCCNCTTAAGGGTTGTTCCTGTGTCGATTCGGCTGGTCTCATGCTCTTCTTGCTCGTAGTGCAGTCCGCCGGCCGGTCTTTGCCGAGCTTGTGCGTTGTGGTACAGACTCTGATCTTCTAGTCCCATGATTGATTCAATTCGTCGGGGAAGGTAGACCGAGTTGTTGCCTGAAGTGGCTGTCACCATCGATTCCCAACTCATTCTGCGCATGGCTGGATGGTTGGCGATATCTGGAAGAGTATTTGTAGAATCGGCCGCCTGTCTGTACCATCCACCAGGCATGAGCTCGGGTGCTGCGAATTTGCCCTCGAGATGCTGGTCCGGAAGCACGTTTCTGTTCTTGACAGACTTCTTTCGTGTGATGGCCTCGACTGCTGGCTTGAAGGTTTCTGGCACCACGTTCAGATCGTCACCCGTCGCTTCTGCGTGTTCGATGGCAGCCTGCGGTGTGGTAGTAGAGTTTGCTGCGCCAGCATCGGCACGCGGTCCTCCCCAAGTTCTCTGTCCTGCAGTGAAAATGCCGTACACCATATACGCCCAGTTGAAGAAGGGATTGATGACGAACATCAAAGGATACATCATGATCTTGTATCGTCCAAGCTTGGCGCCAAAGTACAGCATCAGGACCCAATTCAGGCCGAGAGAAACAGCAATGAATCCAACAGGCAGATTGGAAATTCTCTGAGATGTCGTGATGATGGAGATAACCATAATGAAGAAGAGAAGAGCAGTGGTTCGGATGGTGTTTTGTGCAAATCGGACTAGGCAAAGAATCGGGTAGCGTCTCCAAAGACGGACGTCTGTAAGCATACATACTTCGTTGGTGATGAACCCAAGGAACCAGCGTCGACGTTGTTTGAGCAAACTTTGGTATGTCTGTACAGCCTCCGTCTTGCAGAAAGCGCCAGTGTTCATCTGGATCTGGTATTTCTCCTTGGCGCCGATCATGAAAAGATGGGTAAGCCATCTATCTTCTCCCAGATGGCATTTACCATAGTCGAACAAGTCGTCACACTGTTCCGCCTTGTCCGCAAAGTAGTACTTGGCCATTGCTCTGAAGGCAGAGAAACGCAGAACCGTCAAGGCTCCTGGCAAGCATGTAACAGCGCCACAGCCAGACTCAACCGACCGCTCGAAAAGTTGACCGTGAATATACTCCATATCTTGCAGAACCGTGATCAGACTGTTCTTTTCCGTTGTAGAGGTGATGACTCCAGTCATTGCCAGCATGTTTCTTTTGCTTCCGGGCTTCAATTCCATCTCGTACATGAAGTTTTGGATGCACACTTTGTCGAGAATGCAATCAGAGTCGATGAAGAGAACAAAGAGGTTGTCGTTGCGCTTCAGGTATTCGGCATACACCTTGTCAATCAGCTTGAATGTTCTCTTTTGGCAGTGTCGCTTGCCGCCGTGGGGGAAACGAGAGATGGTGACGCGAGTGCTTCTGTAGGTAACATCGATACTCTTAGGGTATGTGTCTAGCGTCAGGGGAACACCAAGTTGCTCGATTGTCTTGAGGTAGAGCTCGTCCTCTTGGTCTCCGTCGAAGGAAAGGAAGATATGCAGACAAGAGGNGGGATATTCACAATCAGCCAGAGAATCGACGGTTCTGAGTAAAATTTCGGGAACCTCTTTGTAGCAAGGCATGACGATGACAACCTTGGGAGCTGAATCCTCATCGAGGACGTGTTTGATGCGCTTGGTTCTTCCGACAGAGTGGGTGACGAGTTGATATACGCAGATGAGCCAAGGTATGATGAGGAGTCCAGAGAAGGACCAGAAGGCGAACCATTGTAAGAAGCTGACCATCTCTTGAGGAAAGTACCGCACGACTTGGCTGGGAAGAGGGAGAGTCACGACCATGATAGGCAAGAATATACATCNTATTCGATAGTCAACAAAATGATTTCGTGATCTTCTAACAGTGCCATACCTGAGAGCCGTGAAAGCAAACATCATTACGATTGCTAGGATTTTGATGCTGAGAGTCTCGGCCTTTTGGTAGACTTTGACTAAACAGTATAGAAAAGCAGCAACCCAGAGAAACCACTCGAGAAGGGCTGCAAGCATGACTGAACCAACAATTGCGGTATAAGCAATNNCTGTTCATGTTAGCAAGACTCCAACAACTTTCCAGAGGGTTATCCTACTCACATCCTTTGCTGGCCAAGGATCATGTATGGATGAGATGCCATTCTCATTCACCGCACGGCGGAATATCTCTGCCCACATCTCCTATATGATTAAGTGCTAGCAAGACACCAAAGCGGCCAAAGACAACGAACGAAGTAGGAAATATCCTGTAAGTAACACGTGTGTAAACGAGAATGCAAAAGTAATGCTCGAGGTAGGAGAAGGGCGGTCAAATAGGCAAAGAGGAACAAACGAGAAACAGGTGACTATCCAGAAGACGACCGTCTTTCCTTTTCCGCCCTTTGTTGGAAGTCGTGATCGCGTATGTATTGGATCAAGTTTCGTCGCTAGGATGAGAGGGGTATGATGTGCGGTTTCGGGATTGGTCAAGGTGGTACTGCAGCCAAGCGGCAGCCAGTATGCAGGCCGGGATGTGATGCGACCGGAAGGTTGGTCTGGTTTATTGGAACGAGACAAAAGAGGTTCGGTCGTGCAGACGTGGATGCTGAACATGCATTCAGAAGACGAGCTGTTGCAGAGATCGTCTGATCATGTGAATGTTGGAATGGCCGGGTTTAGGTAGGCGCCGGCGCGAGTGGAACAACTTAGGTGATTAGGTGAAAAGTGATTTTCGAATGGACAAACAGAAGAAATGTCCAACCGGGGACAAACTCAACGCAGAGAATCGAAAGGATGCCAGGCCAATGGCCAAGATCGAATAGTGAGGGAAAGGGCCATGGATATCACTGAATGACTTGTCCGACCATTCGCATGAGCCCTGACGGAACCCTGACCAGCCAGCGCTAAGGGTTTCACCATTGCCCAATTGGCTCGGTGAAACTCGTGCAGTGCATGAGAGTCGAGAGCGATTTATTTTGGGCGAGCTTGCCTACTCGAAACCAGTCTTCGCTGCCGCTTATGGTTACAGAGATGTCCGCGGCGGGCCAAGGCCTGTGTATCAAACCATAGCTTCATTCATGCTGGGGTTGGCCGCTTCGTTTTGTTGACTCGGGTACAGAGGCAACAGCCTGCAGGTTCCAAAGGAACTAAAAGACAAATGGGCGCGTTTGCATACGCAAGTTGTAAAATGATTAATACATATGGTCTTTTCCTTCTTCGCTCGATCTCAAACAAAAGAGGACTGAGCCGCCGCTGCACATGAAAAAAGTCCCAGGCCATTCCATCGCTTTTTGATGCCTGCTTCGATCGTGTTCTGGATATGTCGTCAGGAAGAGCAACATTTTCTCATAACCAGAACCTCGAGCTTCTGGACGGTGCTATCGGATGAGCTATTCGTCCCCGTGCCACCATCGCCACCTGGAGAAACAATGCGACAAAGAGAAGAAAGAAGAACGAGATCGATCTTGTGACCACATATGGCCATCGTCGTCAACCACGCGGGAGTCGCTTCCAGCGCTCCCCAAGTAACCAATGGTCTTACACCACAACGCCTATGCTGGAAATCAAATCATAATACGCGTGGCATCTTGCGCGATTGTATTAGTGACGGCGTATGTGTCGGAGGAAGGAGAAGATTGTGGACGATGTATGTCGATGCGAGAAACGTAGAAGGGTCGTCATAGTGGGTTGTGTCGGCAGGCTCCCAATTACCAGCAAGTAGCTAAGCCGTATCTTATAGGATTCCTGAATCCTTCAATGCGTTCTGTAGAATCGTCTCTTTTACAGCTGCAAAGACCAGACGGATATTCGACGTGTCCGTTGCTTGTGTGANGGCTGCGAACGAGTCAGTACGGTCGGACGTTGGGATACCAATGATATCGACTCACTGAGGGTATAGGTTGAGATGCGCTCTGTTGACCTGGTTGAACCTCCAGAGTAGATATTTTGCTGCGCGATTCACGTCGTTTCCGCCCGAGTAGTCCGGGAAGTAGTTGGAGAGCGGCGATTTACCCAGCTTTTGCCTGAACAGATCGACCTTGTTGAGGAAAAGGATGATGGATGTTCTCATAAACCATCTCGAGTTAACGACCGAGTCGAAAAGGACCAAACTTTCCATCATGCGGTTCTGNNTCGCAAGTGGTAAGCAGCTGGATAGATGAGTGATTGTAGAACCACGTACCTGATCACTGGCCTCTAAGAGCACCTGATCGTACTCGCTGAGAGCGACACAGAAGATGATGGATGTAACATTCTCGAAACAATGGATCCATTTCTTGCGCTCACTTCGTTGACCGCCGACATCAAACATGCTGCAAGCTGGTCAGAATCAAGGCTGAGGATATAATCTTGACCACGGTACTTACTGAATGCTGAGTTGACCCATCTGGAATCGCGTTTCGTAGATACCTGTGGTCTTTGTTCTCGCTCTTAACACGTCTGCTTCCGTCGGGCAGTAATCATCCTGAGTTATTCTGTGGACCTCGTCAAAGAANNGCTGTTGACAGTCAGCGCTGGGCTACAAGAGTCACATACGGCGTGCTCACTATGACGCCGAGTCCATCATATAGAACTCGCTCGAGTGATCGAGGACTTTGGGTATACACGGATCTTTCCAGATTGCAGTTATGGCGGTAGCGCATCTGGCGTCCAGGTGGGCATTCGGGTCTGGGTCGACTGTGAATTGCATGATCATCTCGCAATGCTGAGCATTCTCTGGGTTCTCTGGGGCGATGTCGAATTGTTGCATTGCGCCGATAAGAGCTTTGGCGCAGTCGATGACATTTTTATAGATGGTATGCCTGTACAGGCGCAGTTCGTCGACACTGTAGCCGTTTTGGTGGATGATCTTCATCTGTTTGACAATGGTCGACTTGCCGCTTTCGCCAGAGCCNNTTCACGTGAGACAGGTTAGCAGGCGCTGTGGAGAGGACAGCTTCATGGCCAACGTACCCAGCAGTAGGATCTTGCACTCGCGCCGTAACTTCTTGGAATCTTCTTCGAGGCCACGATCGATTGCTTGACTCTTCTTCTTCTGGCCTTCGTCGTCCCCTCCCCTCGAACTCATGCAGTTACCCATGGTGACAGCTCCGAGTGCTTGGACCGGCCTCGGCCGGATGTCGCAAGCTCGATCAAGATGTCCGAGCGAGATGCGCGGGTGTTGGTACAGCTCGGCGTTGAGTTAATGGGTGCGTGTTTGGCTGCAAACAATAACGCAGAACAATGGCGAGGTGGATGGATGAGGGTGGCTGGGCGGGTGGAGAGGGCTTTGTATGGCTCGTTGGTTGCCGGATTCCGAAAGCGACGAAGCGACGGCAGACAAACAAGGGCGATGCAGATGCGGCTGCGGACTTGCAGGCGTGGATGCTGCAGAGATGGACGAGCAAGACTGAGCTGGGTACGAGATGGCGGCGGATCGAGTGGATGTGTGTGTAGGATGACGGACGGCGGATGTGCTGTTGATAGAGTTGATGATGTGTCTGGGACCGTCGACTCTCTGGGACGCTGCCGCTGTCGAGTCGCGTCCGTGCCTTGTCTGCCACAGGGCCCCCGCAATTAGATCGCTTTGAGCCTTCCTTTGATTGCTCCAGGCGCTTGCGATGCTGTAATCCTGCAATGCGAAATGGATGCTGCTGAAACACTCGACGGAGAGACGCTCTAGGAAAGGAGAGAGCAAGGTAAATCAAAAGAAAAAAACAGAGAGTAGCCACCAAGCGACTGGTCATGTCTGCTGTATCCACCCTGTATCACGACCGCCATCGTGCTGTTAGCTACACCGTACCTGCCGTTTCCTATTGGAATTGCGCCACACAATCGCCCGCCGTTGTGCCCTGCCATGGGCGCACTATCTACACGGCGACAGCCAACTCTTGGACATCCTGTGCACAACCTGTCCGAACTCTCTGCATAAACATGTCGTTACGAAACGTCAATCGCTCACGGTTACCGTCACACTGGTGCACCAGCGTTGTCGCTGTCCTGAAGCTAGCAAAACGTCCTATATCTGTCCTTCGCAATCTTCCCAATCCGGTCCTTGACCACTGTCTCGGCCTTCGCACTGTCAATTCCCGTTGTCGATTTCCTTCCTCCCTCGTGGAAACGTTGCTATCGAGATTTTGGTTGCTGTTCATTTTGTTAAGAGAAATCAATAATGCAGCGCCGCAACCTGTTTGTCGCTGCTCGTGAGATGCTCTGGCCACTGAAGACAACATTGACCTTGGTTCGTAACCAGCTCCGAAGCGAAACTTCCACTGTCGCTGCTCTGGTGTAGCAGCTTTAACCGGTGTCCTCGCTCGCGAACGAACCGGCTGGTGGAGCACTACTGGCTTGACTGCTTTTCCCTGGCCGCAATCAAGCGATCGCTTTATTGACAGAGTGACTTCTCGGCCGAGAGGTTATCAATACCAGGATCACCTCCATTGTCCCCCGTGTGCTCCCGGTATCTTGTTCTCCTTTCGAACTATGTTGGCTAACCAATACACACACTCCACCTGTTGCCTTTTCATGAACCCACCTCGTATCAAAGCAATCTTCGGGTCGGGCGTTGCCTGCTGTCCAGCGTCCTCTCAACATAGATGCTTGGAGGCCAACCTCGACTCGGTTTGCCCGTGAAGCAGCTCTGCAATGCACGTGGTTAGGTCGAAGGAAGGCGTCGTGTGTAGTGGGTGACGCTGCAACAACGCGCAGTGTTTCGAGATTGTGAGATTTGTCGATTGACCCTCCCATGTTCATGGAACTTGCTTAACACATATCTAGACCTTGAAAATGCTAAGTGTTGTTGTACGCTACCAATTGAAGAAAGGGTCGAAGTTGGAGCTTGTGATCATACGTGACTGCGGAGACTAGGTGCTGCTAGGCACATTGTAGTTTTGCTGATGGCTGCCAGGATGTATGGAGATTATACGAGTACTGCCAATGAGTTGAGCCTTGTTCATCATATATATTATACCCATGAGAAAGAAGACGCAACAGACGGCTACAGAAGAGTCACACAGACCTTACCGTGACTGACTTACACCACTCTGCACTCACCACATCAAATGCTATCCGGATGGGCCTGTCCGTGATTTGACCAGAGGATAACTACGCCGTGCGCTCGTTCGGTCTTGAAAATAATATGGTGCAAGCGAGAACGACAGCTCTTAGTAGTTATGCATCAGAGCCTCCGAAGTGGTGGCAGCCTTTTTGCATGAGAGACAGGGTGACCGCAGGCCTTGATCTTTCAAAGGACACTTCAAAAAGAGCCGCACCTCATGTTGTGGAATTGACAGGATCGAGGACAGAGCTCACGCATTTGAGCCTCTCTTGCTTGGCGGTCCCGATAGATCTCCGTAATCCCGCATCTGGGGAGCAACCAATAGCGGAGGGAAAAGCCAGAAGCCCATGAGGAGCAGGACATGAACTCCGTCGCGGTGATCCACGCTGTACGTATCCCGATCCGCAACCACAAGCCGCATCTTGTTTCTGGTAGATGTTGGTGACCGAGAGATGGGCCATCTCAAATAATGCTTGCCGACGACTACCGCGTGGTCAAAGGTCGAAGCTTGATCAGGGCAGCCACTTACGCGCAGCTGGGAGTTGGCAAGTCGCGATCGATCGATCTGGGTGCGTGCGTGTGAACAAACATGGAAGTTACGAACAGTGCTGTTGTCGGTTCTCCTGAGTGAGGACTTTCCTCTTTTCTTCCCTCCATCCTCCTTGACTTCTCTTGTTCTCTCAGGTACAATATCCAGTCAGCCGGCAGACAGCGACGATCCCAAGCACCTTTGGACGATCCCGCACACGCTTCCCTCGACAAGCGTTTTAGCACTTTCCCAGTCGCCACGCTCTAGCGCGCCCTCTGCAGTCTCTGTATTGCTCTCCGGTTGCTGTCTATCTCTGCAAACCAGCGAAAGCACACGGCGTAGAAATTGTATCTCTGGCTTGACTACTAGTTGCACTTTGACAATCCTTGATTTGTCCAGCCACAAAAACGCCCACGTCATTATTGGTTCGCTCGGCTGCCCCACGCTCCACGGTCCATAACATCGATCCGCTTTCTCGACCTCCACCTCTTCAACCAAAACACTCCTGAGCCACCACCCCATCAACACCGTCGCCATGGCAGAATTCGTACGCGCGCAGATCTTCGGAACCACCTTCGAGATCACCAGCCGGTAAATACCACTCCGCGCCCGACTCCCTGGCCGGGCCCCTCCGCGAGCGCCAATGCTAACACTGTCTACAAAGNNTTATACGGAACTGGCTCCCGTAGGAATGGTGAGTCTCTGCGATTATCATTGACGCGCATGTGTGCTAACGACGGCTCAGGGAGCATTCGGTCTTGTCTGGTGAGCGGATATCATGATTGCAAGCAAAATTGGCCCTAACGAATCCCCAGCNTCGGCAAAGGACCAGCTCACAAACCAGGCTGTTGCTGTCAAGAAGATCATGAAGCCTTTCAGCACACCTGTCCTCTCCAAACGCACCTACCGCGAGTTGAAGCTTTTGAAGCATCTGAGGCATGAGAATGTGTGTATCGAAAAACTTTTTCTTGCCCGGCCAATTCGTCTGACTGGTTCCCACAGNGTCATCAGTCTCAGCGACATCTTCATCTCTCCTCTGGAAGACATGTTCGTACATTTCGTCCGCAAACTCTCCACCATATCAACTAACGTCCATTCAGCNTACTTTGTCACCGAGCTGTTGGGCACCGATCTTCACCGCCTGCTCACCTCGAGACCGCTCGAGAAGCAATTCATCCAATACTTCCTCTACCAGATCCTGGTTCGTTCTACCCGACAACGACGTACCCAAAAACACGGCTGACGAGGTCTCTAGCGAGGACTGAAATATGTCCACTCGGCCGGCGTTGTCCACCGTGACCTGAAGCCCAGCAACATCCTGGTCAACGAGAACTGCGACTTGAAGATTTGCGACTTTGGTCTGGCCCGTATTCAAGACCCTCAAATGACCGGTTACGTTTCGACGAGATACTACAGAGCTCCCGAAATCATGCTCACCTGGCAAAAGTACGATGTTGAAGTTGATATCTGGAGTGTCGGATGTATCTTCGCCGAGATGCTCGAGGGCAAGCCTCTGTTCCCTGGAAAGGACCACGTCAACCAGTTCTCCATCATCACCGAGTTGCTCGGAACCCCACCGGATGATGTTATCCAAACCATCTGCAGCGAGAACGTAAGACACGATCAGCCGGATCCATCTATGGGCTATGAGCTGACATAACACCTTGTCTAGACCCTTAGATTCGTTCAGTCCCTGCCCAAGCGTGAGCGTCAACCCTTGACCAAGAAGTTCAAGAACGCCGACCCTCAAGGTACGTCAACATTCAAGATAACCAGCAACATGAACTGACGTCTACGTNNAGCTATTGAGTTGCTTGAGCGTATGCTCGTCTTCGACCCTCGCACACGTATCAGAGCTGGCGACGCCCTGGCTGACCCTTACCTCGCCCCCTACCACGACCCCACCGATGAGCCCGAGGCTGAGGAGAAGTTCGATTGGTCATTCAACGATGCCGACTTGCCTGTTGATACTTGGAAGATCATGATGTACGTGCACATTCCAAGACAAGCGCCAAATCAATCTTGACTAACATGATTTTCTAGGTACTCTGAGATTCTGGACTACCACAATGTGGACGCTCAGAACGGTGAGGAAGTCGGTGTTCCTCAATAGGAGATAGGCAGATGTGCGTGATCCGGCATACTGCGATGATACAGAAAGAGCAAGCGCATACAGCGGAATCCCAAGGACATGCAAGCTTGGGTTCGCAATGATGGAACTGGTTTATTGTTTTGATTTTGAGAGCACTGGCACAACCCTTCAACTCATGGATATACAAAGCGAAGGCGCATTGCACCACTCGGGCTGGCTCAGACACGTTCGGACAAACCCACATTCACAAGAAGAACAGTGACTGAGAAGTCAGGCCTGGTGCACATAAGGCGCCGCGTCAGCGTGGGAGAGATGAGCAAGCATAGCTGCGGAGCTTTGGGGACACAACATAGAAAGAAACAGGCAGATCAACAAAGAGAAGCATCATGCAGCACAATAAGAAACAGATTATGTCGATTGCAAATCCCGATGATCAGTACAGGTACTTACGATGTCCTCAAGAGCCTCGTGGTCTGCCAAGCCAAATAGGTTGGAGCGCGTGAAGATGTCATACAGAATGTGACCAGTGGGTGATTGGCCTAGACCGACACATGACTGTGGCATTGGCATAGCAGTGTTTATTCGTGGGCCACGAAATGACTGTTTGGCGATAGCATAGCACCATGGCCGACACATACCGCCCTGTAGTAGCAGTGGTCGACTTCCACCACCAGCGGTAGAGCTTCCCTGTAGCCGGCAGACCAAGCAGACATCAGCTCACGTTCAGTCTAGTNGGTCCAGAAGTAGAGCGCTGGGTAGGAGTAGACCAAGGTTACGATCCCGCCATTGACAACGACTGGCAACTGCTGCCCTTCCTCGCCTTGTCTGACGGAGCCCACGCGTAAACCAACCACCTTCTCTGGCTGCCGCCGTCTTGACCCAAGAATGGGGCTAATCAGTCGTCTCGATACAGTGCCACAGAAGACTTTTCGTACTTTACCCTCGTCTTGAAGAGCACGCCCGAACGCTCGCTCTTCGGTATAAGCTGCACGCGTCAGCTCGACTCGAGGGAGCTGCTCAACAGGCCCGCCGATGTCACCCGCAGCACCGTCCAGAAAGCAGTCGTAGTCATTACCGAGAACCCGCAAACATTCACCGCCATACGGGAGAAGCTCAGTGTAGTGACAAAGGCTTGGTTTGCACANAAAGTAGGCCCCTCCCTGGAAAGAGTACTTGGACAAAAGTGGAATACAAAACGCAGGGGCTGATTCTCGTCTAGAGACTTTGAGGATGTCGAAATTCTTGAGGTTAGCTAGACTCCTGTCCTCATTGGGGTGCAACATAGCTGACCCTTGTCCCAGCGATTTCAAGAGAGTCTGAACAAAGGCTTCGGCAGCCAGGAAGATGATAGAGACCTCTACTTTGGTAAGCCTGTTGCTTGACGATACCTGCTGCTCTGTCTGCTGACACGCTTCACATANGGCCTGTCTATGCGCGAGCTGATTCACCAATTCAAATGGCAGACCCTGGTACTTTTCAAATGTCTGCTGTTGCAGCCAAAGGTGAGCTCTACCGATGTGCAAGCTAATGGCAGTACTAACTCGGCCCTANNGATGCTCTTCTTCGGCTCGAATTGCGAAAAGATGTGCCTCGTCCAGTTCTCCCTCATCTCTCTCATACCGACCCTCATGCGCCATCTTCGCGATTGCGCAGATCCTCGTATGGATTACTATGCTACACATGTAGAGAAGCCGACTTCGTTGAAGACCAGCGAGCGAGCTTCACTCCTTGCCTACATGGGAGTGCCCCTACAAGTCTTTGGAAAGGGCAGTTTGTTCGGTCCATATACGCCACTACAACAGTTGGACACGTTGGCCGACCAAGACACGAAATCGTACGTTGTCGGCTCTACCAACCAACTACTCCTCCAACAGAAGGATCGCTATGCAGATATCTTGGTGAACCTCGATGATAACACCATCAATATATACTCGCCATCTCTGCGCAATGCTTTGGCTCTGTCGACAGCAGACAGACGATGGATCGATTTTCTCACTCAGTCTGTACACGACACCTGGGACGAAAACATCCCAAGCCGGCCCAAGGATATGGGCTACGCCGGCAGCGAAGAATTTATTCGTCTACAATTCGAGGAATACCTGCTCTCTTTACTCTCGGCCTCGAAATACAGCCGTTTCGTCTCTAGCCACAAGGGAGACCCCAAAGCCCTGCTCTCGGAAGTCGAGGGCGATCCTGCTGTCGAGTTTGGCAGCGAGTTTATGATCCAGTGGGCTTTGACTGAGAATTTCGCGCTCTTTGAGCGCACGACGGATTCGCATCTTTTCGATGTCGTTGAGCCGCGACACCCGTGTGCTGGTGGCTTGACCATTGAAGATGTGCAACGTAGACTTGCTGCTCAAGTCTCTGAACTGCATCTAGATGAGCGTTGGAGAGGCAGCAAAGAAGCCATGGGCAAGCATATATCGACTGGCCGTGAGCGTGTCGCTGGCGCCATTAACACACTATGGGCCGATATCGAGGTCATGAGAGAAGCTCAGCGTAGGCGTGCTGAAGAACAGAAAGCTGCTGCTGCGAACAACCCAACAGCTTCCGAGGAGAAGAGTGCTCCAAAAGGTAGGTTTCATGTTTACGCTTTGCCAAAAGATCATTATCGCTAATCTTTTCGCACTCCAGTAGCTCAAGCTCAAGCATCGGTTCAAGCGGCCTCTTCCCGCGCCGGTGCCTATCTCTCCTCATGGGGTGCTTGGGCATCCGAAAAGCGCAAGAACTGGCAAAAGCCCGAGAACAGTAATACCGCTGCTGTCCCCAATGCACCGATGTCGCCTTCTACCGAGATTTGGGCTGCAGAGGAGTCCAGACCTGCTGTTACGACTGTATCAGAGTTGGGCAAGGAACGAGCGACCCAACCTGCCGCACCAATCACAAATGAGAGAAGTAACAATCTCAAAGATGTTACTAAGGAGGAGGATGCAGAGGAAGATGTGCAGAAAATACAACAAGAGGATATTGCGAGTCAAGTCGCGGCAGAGGACCCATGGGCGCAAGAGAAGATTTAAGTGGTAATGAATCTAGCAAGCAAGTACAATAACCAAATCTCGAACAGACTCGTGAATGTGAGAAGGAAGATTTGTACATGTTGAGCATCTGACGATCATCTGGTTCTCCAAAAAAGAAAGAAAAAAAGGAAACTGCCACTCAAGAGTGCCAAAAGAATAGAAAGGAGGAAAGAATGACACCGAAGCCAGCAAGGAGAAACCCCCATCCTATAACTTGATCTCCCAATTCGCCCGCCCTTCGACAAACCCTCCAGCATCCAATTCATACCTCGTCGGATTCGGAAACTCAATCCTCAACATATCTTCCAAGCCCAGCATTTCCTCTTCCTTGTCTTCCTCCATTCGTCCGCACTCAACCTCCTCCTCCTCATCTCTTTGTCCCTTGTCAATCTCTGCTTCTGCATCTTCATGCCGTACAATCTTTTCGTCTTGCATCGAGTCTTTGCGGATGCTTGTCGTGGTGGTTATGGCTTTGGAGTGTCGACGCAACGCGATGTCGAAACAAGATCTGCGTTTTCTGAATAGGGGGATGAAGATTGCGGCGAGGATGAGGAGGAGGAAGAGTGTGCCACCTATTGCTCCGCCGATGATTGCTGTGTGTGAGTGGTGGGTGGATTCTGTGGCGAGGTTTGGGGATGTTGGTATGGGTGTGTTTGATTGTGTGGCCATTGTAGTTGGACTTGAGGGTAGAGATGGTATTGAGAAGTAATGTGAAACTGCTCTTCCCTCTTGCCTTCTGAGGTGTTGTAATGACAGAGCAAGTGAAAAGGTAAAAGGGAAAAGAACATACACGAGGGTAATCATGATACATACATGAGTCCTCTTCCTTCCTTTACCCCTCCTGATCTGTAGCACAAAGGCTTGCTGCAGAAGGAAGCATATATTGAAATACGAAACTGCGACTTCTCAAACCCAGCATCTCTTTGCGGTGTGTTGGGCCAAGGGTAACGACATATCCAAACCCCGAACCAAGAATTCGCTGTCACAGAATCAAATCTGGTCGAAATGTGCTTTTGCATAGACGACCTGGGAGAGCAATTTCTGCTGCAGAGAGGTCTGCATGTGACATGTCTGGATTTCATGTTGTGTATGCTGCGAGAGAAGCTGCTGACATGCTGATTACCTGACTTGCTGTGGCGGGCTTTTCTGTTGAGTCCGATACATGGAAAAGGATTTCGAGGCGTCTGCAATATACATCGGTATGCACCTACCCGTCTGCAAAGCAGGGGTTTCTTTGGTTCGAACGTTTTACGACCAACATATGCAGGAAGGAAGCTCTCTTTATATCGGGCGCTTGTGGGGGATATTAGCGAGCACGTGCTTGCTTTGTGTAACACAATGGTAGTGATGGATATTCAGTAATGAATTGCCATGGCTGTTCTCTCAATATGCTAAGGTGTGTCGTCACATTGCACCTGTAGGACTACACAACGCTCTATGGATAGAACCTCCGGTATCAAGATTGTCGTGTACCTGTGAAGCTCACAATATTGCCATTTGTTGTTGTGAGGGTGGAATCGTTCAAGATGTAGCAGAGAAGGTCTTCACACTCGTGCAGTAGTCGTTAGATGTAGTCTTTGTACGAAGCGATGACAGGCAACCATGCAAATGTACATCGTGCAAGCCAGAAGAAACAGAAGGACCATGACCACGATGGTCCAGATGGAGATGGGAACTACAAGACCAGCGAAGACGGTTGAAGAGACCATATTTCCAAGGCAGTCGTATCAGAACCCGGAAAGAGTCGAGATAGGTATCCATCAGACCAATCAACCATACACCGTCGACATCTGTTGCGCACCACTTCCATCTTGCGCACCACCTTCGCCTTGCCCACTGCTTCCTTCTTGCGCACGACTTTGCGCTCTCTTTCTCAGTCTCCTCTTCATCAAATACCAAAGACCAACTCCACATAGCACGAAGAACGCTATCAGCCCAATGATGAATCCCACTGTATTGCCGACAAACCAATGTTCCTCGGGTTGGTCATTGCCTTTCGGTATCGTAACATCTGACTTTGATTGTGATGTTGGCGATGCTGTCACGGTCGCGGTTACCACGACTGCTGGAGTTGAATCTGTTGCCGAGGCGGTTTCTGTTGCTACTATCGAGGTGACTATGGCGGTTGATGTTGCTGGTTGCGCAGTGACTACTTCTGTCACAACTATTGTGCTTGTAGGAGATGTCGTAGATGATGGAGGTGTTGTAGAGAGATTGTCAATTGCTGAAGACATGGTACTGCGAAAAGAATTTTGACGTTATGCAGGCGACAGTGTTTTGTCTACGAGAGAGAATGGAAAGACATCACAATGTAGAAATAGGCGGTGAGAAGGATAAAGAAGGTTGCGATGTGAATCAGAGCTACCTTTGTTGAAGTACGTACGTAAGGAGCAGCCACTTTCGTTTGCCGATATGAGCGTTAATCTTTTGGTGGGTGTGGCTTTTTAGGAACCGTCCAGGCACAAGCACCAAGCAATGTGCCTATTTAACCAGGCAGCCATATTGCTAGGTGGTTCAATCAAGAAAAACGATCAAGGTTAGAGGGCGATGTAAGTGATTGATAAAGTGGAGCGCAATATTTATCGTAAGTTGAGTATGGTCACCCTTTAGTGAGATGATGTACTAAAGCTTGCCAATGCTGTCGCACAAGCTTTCTACGGCGAGACCTGCTCGTCAACAGTAACATCAACCTGTACAGGAGCCTGGCTTTGTTGTTGGTGTTGTTGCATTTGCAGACCAAGACTCCCCAGAGCAGAGAGGGTTGCGCCAGCAGCACCATAGTCGACAAACCTCCTTCGGCCAAAGAAGTGGACTGCTTCTCCGTGCGGCCATGTGAGGTTGTTGTAGGCCCAGAATGCTAGCAAAGTGAGCGAAGTAGAAGTCAGACCAAGTACTGCGGGAAGATATCTCTGGAGAAAGCTAGGTTGACGTCTGATGGGCAGATGTTCCAGGCCAGAGTTGTTCTTCGGTAATGGTAGCTGACTGAAGAGGCTCTGTCCAATGTAGCTGACCACAGCGAGAGGACTGAAGGTTTGCGGCGAGACCCAAGGGAGCTCAGCGGCGCCCTTTTCTGACTGCGAAACAGCATCCAAGGCTTCGTTGGGGTGAGCATCAACGCGGAAGGTGTCTCTCAGAGAGCCGAGGTGGACGACAAGTTTCTGGTACTTGAGGCGCATGGTAGATGCAAGCCAATTCTGAGGCATCTTGGGGTAGAACATCAAGCTCAAGTATCCAAAGGCCAGGCAGTCGACGATGGCGGGTTGATCGGTGCCCAGGAGGTTGGACTGGTTCTTCAAGAGGTCTTGCAGCGGCTCAAAGAAGTTGTCGGCCAATGCGTTCAGCTTGAAGGCAGCAGCGTGCTCTGGCTTTTGTAGCAAGGTGCGGACCGTGTCTCTGCGACCCAGCAGTCTCCTGGCGTGCTTCTCCGTTTCGTGCTCGAAAGGCTTCTTCTGCTGCTCAGACTGCATGCTTGACGGCTTGTCAATGACGTCCTCGTGTATATCATCAACATCGAGACTGGATACTCCCAAGTGCTGAGTGCGTTGTCTAGCTTCATGGCGGCGCTGGGGAGGAATGACGAAGTTGGCGTACCACGGGAGGATCTTTGTGAAAGCGGAGCGAGTGCGGTTGCGGTAGTTTTCGAAAGACACGTACAGCGAGATGTCGAGCAGCAGTTGGCCTTCGGATTTGATAAAGGTCGAAAGNNTCTGTATGAGGGTCAATGTCTGCTTGGCTGATGGAGTTTGCGCAGAGTCTCACGCTGTCGCATCCGCTTGTTGCTGTGGCGTCAGCTTGGTGGCCAGACCAGGGACGGAGCTACCAGATGTATCGATGAGGTACTGGGCTATCCTGTCAAAGCCAGAGTATGTGTCGTCGCCGACTTGGAGAAAAGGGAGTCGAGTGCCTGGCGCGGCTTCATGGCTGGCGACCAGAGCCCATGCCTGACTGCTTCCCTGTGTGTAGCGTTCGATCAGCGCTACGGCAGCGATACATTCTGCATCTATCGATGGCAGCCCAAACGCTGGTCCTAGGATGTGTAACTTCATCTTGGAAACTTTGTCACAGTCTGCGAGATCAAGGTGATTGTGAATGTTATGCCAAGCCCCGCCATGACATCCATTTCACCCTCTTACAGCCACCGCTCTGAAAATCTGTTTGCTGATCATCAATTGGGCACATGATGAAAGCACTCTATCAGGGCTTGACAAGTGCTACATAGGTAGGTACGTTCGATCGCAGAAAGACCGTGACACGTTGGCACAAGGAAGGTGTACTTTCTCCATCCATGGATCCTCATTTACGAATTTGATATTATCTTATATAACCACTCACATGACAACCTAATGATACTAGAGCCCCCTCCATACGGATCAGATCATATATGAGCGTCAGTTCATGCAAGCGCAGAGTAAGTGAGGTCAGTCATGGTCGTCGAAAGGAATCTTCGAAAAGTGAACCATGGTTCAAGGTATGACCCTGACCCTGGTTTACGTAAGCAAGCGCCTCGCAGCTTTAGTATAAGTACTCGAGCTCTCCCACACCCTCTTCACCAACCATCCAAGGTTCGTCCTACCAAATCTGACTCATACTGTCTGTCCATACTAACACTCTACAGTGCACGGGCTTAACGCGGTATTTATCACTCTCGCTCTTCTGATCCAAGACAAGAACTGACATGTGCTCTAGTATCAGTGAGGATTCGTCCGAGATCGTGTTTTTGCTAGTTGAAAACTATCAACTGACTGCTCTTGATGGTCTCACGATCGTCAAGGAATTTTTGGAACCAATAACAGTTTTTGTTATCTCTCTTTTTCATTGATGCTCTGGCTGCTGGCCGGGGGTTGAAGAAGAATGAGCATGGTTGCCTTTGAGGTGAAGATGGAGCGCGTATGTGAGGACTGGAGGCGGACTACTTTGCTTCATATTGGACAGTGATGAGTGAAACGTGAAGCCATCCAACTGAGACGGTGTCGATAGCTAGCAAGTGATAATGGCAATCTTGTCGACTGTGATGCTGTCAGTGACGTCCAAGTCAAGAAGCGTGACGTTGATGTGTTGATCGACGCGTCTTCCGCAGCTTCTTCGCGCTTGCCAGCTTTGTGGAAAACGTCTCACCCAACTGAAACCTCGACACCAAAACAGTCGCATCTCTCGTCTCCCACTGCCTCTGTCTATCCTCGAGCATACTCATACACACACACACACACACACACACACAACACCTCAGCAATGTCCGTACCCGCCCCGGACTCGCAGATCGACACCTCGGCCGCCCTCACATACTGGAACTCATGCGACCCCTCAGTAACAGGCATGCTAGGCGGCTTCCCTCAAGTCTCCCGTATCGATCTCCAACAATCCACTACCTTTCTTGCCAAACTGCGCCGTGCCTCCAAAACACACCCGACCTCAGCCCCACTCTCGCGCATTGTCGACTGCGGCGCCGGGATCGGTCGCATCACCCTAGGCCTGCTTTCAAAAGTCGCAACCGTCGTGGATATTGTCGAGCCTGTGCAAAAATTCACGAGACAAGTTTCAGAAGGTGATGACTTCAAGCAGCTGAGAGACCAAGGCAAGATTGGTACGATATACAACGTGGGACTTGAAGCTTGGGAGCCCGAGCACACCTACGATGTCATCTGGATTCAGTGGTGTCTAGGACAATGCACAGATGCACAAGTCAATGCTCTCTTCACTCGCGCGCAAAATCACCTGTCACCAGGAGGTTGGATCGTGTTAAAGGAGAACTTATCAAACAACCCATTCGGTGAAGATGTCTATGATGAGACAGATTCAAGTGTTACACGAACAGATGACAAGTTCAGAGCCTTGTTCAAGGAGGCTGGCCTGAAAGTTGTGGCTACCGAGTTGCAGAGAGGCTTCCCTAAGGACCTGTATCCTGTGAGGATCTATGCTGCTCAACCTGAAGCTTGATTGAAAAAATGGTCAGTCTTCTACAACGCGAACACCATTTGCTTCAAGAAATAACATCCTCCAACACGGGAATGTTCTCTCATGTTATCATAAGTGCTGCTCTGGAGGACAAGGAAATATATCACCACAAGGCAAGAATTCTTTAGCATGAGTCGCCATGCACAATGACACTCCACATGAACCACTCCTACAAAGAAACAGTCCAGCTGAAGATAAAACACGTTTAGCTTGCTGAGATTATCGTGTAACTTGTTGGCTGCTTGCAACCATACTGTGCGCTTGGCAAGGACTCAAAAGTATGCACCTGCCAGTTCAACATTGAACTCTCTCAATCTGATCGAGAAATAGTAAAGAGACTCGGGTACGAGAATTGAGATATGACAGTTGACTTTCTTAACGAAGGGTCTAATGAGAGTGTTCCATGACTAAACCACAACTTTTGCTTCCGGCTCTGGAGTACCATGAATGCCCCTCTCAGTCACGTTCGCTTTCTTTCTCATAATCTCATCCGCAGCTTCCTTGTATTCGGCGATGAATTGCGCGCCGAGGCCATTGTCGGCAAAGTGGTCTTCTGCGACTACCTCGAGAGTCTTTGATCTAACGATGCGGATCTGAACAGTACCGTCGATCAAGTTGTATGAAGACATGGTGTTGCCATGGGCATGCTGTTTCATGAAGCTGTCGTAACGTGCGTGGTCTGAAGGAGTAATGGTGTCTCTTATGCTGATCATGGTGATGGCTGTGGTTGATGGATTTGGGCGTGTATGTGTTTACTGGAGAAGTAGTATTGGTTCTAGTGAATGCTATGCCTGGTATGCGGCAGAATGTATGGTCAAGCTCCAACACGGGAGAGTACTATCTTTTGTAGAACCCCATGAGTCTTGTATAGAATCTGTTGAGCTTTGAAGGATTGAACAAGGACATGTGAGGCAGTCATCTGACTTGCTGTCCTGCATGGGATCTTCATGCTTGAGATTGAAGATGGCTGGAATGGCCACCACGGTTGGTCGGTGACCAACACATACGCGATGCAATTGATCCATTGATAGCTTTCTGCAAGATTATAAAGCACTTGTTTGGATGACAATATCAACAGCGTTGAGAAGATGGCTCTCACGAAGGACGTTGATGGATAGACCTCGGGCGGACTTCGTTGGATGGTCCGGGGGCGAGTCGGGGCCCTTCACACGCCGATGATGCTGCACGAAGCTTGTTGCTCGGAGGGTTTGTTGCTCCTTGCGTCGAGCTCCAGATAGGTAGGACTGGTAACCTCAGGTATAAGCAGTCCAGTGTCTGAATTAGCTATAAAAGACTGTAAGATCCCATTGTAAAACGTCATCATCACAACCAGAAACATCAATCGTCTCGCACCAAGAACATTCATCTTCTACCAACCAAGAACGTCTATCTTCATACTCCACAACAAACATCCATCTCCATCAACCAAGAACATCCATCAGAAACAATCATGTCCAAAGCTCTCCTCATCACTGGTGCAACCGGCAAGCAAGGCGGAGCCACCATCGACGCCCTCATCAGCTCTCCCTCCCACAGCTCAGACTTTACAATCCTAGCCGTAACCCGCAACCCCTCGTCCGCCTCAGCACAAGCACTGCAAAAGAAATCCCCCAGCATCAAACTCGTAACCGGCGACCTCAAAGACGTCCCCGGCATCTTCAACGCCGCAGAAGCAATCCAAAAACCCATCCATGGAGTCTTTAGCGTGCAAGCCTTTGTAGGTCAAGGCCAAAGCGTCGAGACGGAAGAACAACAAGGCAAAGCACTGGTGGACGAAGCTCTCAAACGCGGTGTCAATCATTTCGTCTACACATCCGTCGACCGCGGCGGCGACAAGTCCCTCGACAACCCAACCACGATCCCGCATTTCGTAAGCAAGCATAATATCGAACGCCACTTGGTCGATAGCACAAACGACTCGGAAATGTCTTATACCATCCTCCGCCCTGTTGCTTTCATGGACAACTGGGTCCCCGGCATGATGGGCAAAATGTTTGGCGCAATGTGGAGCTCCGCAATAAAACCAGACCGCAAACTCCAACTCATCAGTTGCAGAGACATTGGTTACTTTGCCGCCGAAGCCTTCCGCAATCCTGCCAGATACAACAACCGCGCCATTAGTATCGCAGGCGACGAGCTCACCCTCAAGGAAGCAGATAGAGTGTGGAAGCAAGCGATCGGTCAGGGAGCCCCAAACACCTTCAGCTTCATGGGCAGTGGCTTGCTGTGGGCGAGCAAGGAGTTGGGTTCCATGTTTAGATGGTTCGAGACTGATGGCTACGAGGTCGATATTCCTGCCCTCAAGAAGGAACATCCTGGTCTGCAGACCCTGAGCGATTGGATTGTCAAGGACAGTGCTTTCAAGAAGGAGTAGTTGGGTTTGTCGTGACTGATGTTTAGAATCAACCTTTGAGTGGAACAGAGTAGTAATAGAAATGCAAGATTAACGTCTTTTATGCAACGTGTGCTCTTTCATTTGCAAGTGAGATGGAGAGTCTTTCTGGCATCTATGTGCCAGAGCATGTAACGCGCGTGGCTACAAGAATGCTGAATACTGACAGGGTGTCATACACGGAGAGGAATGACGCCTGAAGAAAAGAGAACCTAAACCGCACAATCGAGCTGGGGAGATTGAACATGATGAGAACAATGAAGTTTATCATCAGCAGTACTAATCACTAAGGGCTTGCGCCTGTAGCAGTTTGCCCAGCTTCTTTTCCAAAGCAATCATCTATTTACTGGTTCGTATCTGGTCTCCCTAGGTGTACTACTCTATTGAAAGCCAAGCCGTATCCGCCACGACCAGCTGTTACATCAGGGGAACGCAAGAGTCATGTGGTCGAGTAAACAGACCCTTGGATGACCCTTGGATGAAGAACACAAAAAGGCAATGTGGCTCTCTCACTGAGTAGTGCCGTTGCTTCCCGGAGAGTCGGCCTTCATTCTCATCTCGTCCGCTATCTTCATCTCACCAGCAATGTAATCAAAGGCGAGGTGGCCGAAGGCGTAGGGCTGATAGCCACGAGGGCGTGGCGGAGCTTGTACGCGGGCTGGAATACCAGAGCCAGCTGGTTCATCTGAAGGAATGCTCAAGCCAGTAGGCGGGTTTGTGGAAATGCTCAAACCAGGAGGAGGACGAGTTGTGGAAGAAGTAGCTGAACGCATGGGAGTCGACCATGAGGAGGCATAGGGGTCTGGTCCAAAGGATGAAGGGCTTGACTGAGCGTCGTTGGTGGGAAAGCCAGACGGACGAGGTATGGGATAGGCAGCGGGGCGGACGTGAGTTGACACTGGAGTACCAACAGAAGAAAGGTTGCGGGTGTTGGAAGTGGAGCGCGCAGTGAGGGCGACTGGGTGAACATTGGAATTCGAAGCGGTCTGCAGAACACTTTCCTAAAGTGCAGCCGGGGGCTGGGTGGCGCCGTGTCTCTGGTCCAGATGATCGTAGTTGAGAACAAACTCTCTGCGCTCGCGTCTCCAGTTGTTGGCGTCGAAGAAGATGTAGACGCCACGTTCACTGCGCTCGCTGACGCGGAGAGGAGCAGCCATCTGACTGTCTTTCATCATCCACTGCTGCAACTCCTTGTGCCAACGCCAGTCGCGGCTGTACAGCTCACCGGCAGCGAGCTCCTGCACGACGTCTCTGGGGTTCTGGTAGAAGACGAAGAAGAGTGTCTCGTCAGAGAAGGCACTCATGCGCGAAGCCAGCGCTGGAACGTTAGTCACCGTGTAGCCACCAGGCAGCGTGAACTCGGGGATGACGGGGCGTGATCGATTGTCGGCAAAAGGGGTTGAGAAGGTAGCGAACAGCGGTTCCGGGCTGTCCAAATCAAGACCTAATGAGTTGATATCGACGCCCATGGTGAAGGCAGACGATGCATCATTACTGCGGATCTTGGCCAGCAGACCAGGTAGACCCCACTTCTCAGCCTCAGTCATGTCGTCGTAGGGCTTCAACTGTTGTGGGGCGGCTTGATTGGTGACGGGAGCGTCGACCATCTGGGGCGCAAAGCTGGACGAGTGTTGTGAGGGCTGTTGTTGTGTGCTAGCTTGGCCGATGGGTGGCTGTTGCTGCATCAAGCCCAACTGGTGGTCGATGCCCGGCGGGTTGGCGGGTCTGGGACGTGATGCTTCCGAGCCGAATGCGCCGTCGTCGTGGGAGTAGCCGTTGACACGTCCGTTCAATTGAGCCTGGTTGTTAAGAGGTGGGAATTCGTCTGCGGGTTGTTCGCTACCGGCGCGGGCTGAAGTCGGTGACTGGCCATCATACTGCGTCTCTAGGTTTGGAGGATCGTGCTGCTGCGACTCGTGGGTTTGAGCAGACACGGAGCGCTGCTGTTGCGGTTGCTGTTGCGGTTGCTGTTGCTGTTGCTGTTGCTGGGGTTGGGGTTGGGGTTGAGGTTGGGATTGGGGTTGGGGCTGCGACTGCTGGGACTGCTGGACAGGCTGCTGTTGCGACGGAGTTGCGCGCTGAGCAGGGGCTTGTTGGGGGGTGCGCAGGGCGGTGGTGTTCCAAGCTTGTGAGACATTGGCCTGCTGCGGCTGGGGGCCGAGCGATGGGAACTCGCTGTTGTATGCATGGTCAGCCATGGTGCTCTCAGAGAGGCCGGATGGAGTGCGATGAGCGATGCCCAGCATGCGAGCATTGTAGTCGGCATCGTTCTGCAGGTCGAGACTCATATATCTGCGATTCTTGTTGCCCTTGCGACCCGTACCCCTCCTGAGCGATCCGCCTCTTTCTGCNNAGACATGAGAATACAAGGTAATGATGGGGTTGGGCAATGGATAGCTGGGATGGGATAGACGCAATGCAAGGTGGTGGACGTACGAGAGATCGAGCGGAGCTTGCGAGGCGGACGCGCCTATGGCTTGTGCAAAACCGGCAAGCGGTGTACGTGAAGAGGCACTGAGGCCCGGAGCTCCTGCCCCCATGGGCATGCCAAAAGCCCAACTTGATGCTGCTGCTCCTCCTCCTCCCAGCTTCGCCGTCTGTCCTCCTCTTTGCGACGTGAGCGGCGGGTTGCGCGTTGCGCTTGGTTGCGTCTGGAATACGTTGCCTGCCATTGGGCGCAGTGCTTGTTGTCCGCTTGCTGGAGAGTCGTCAGTCCCTGGTACTGTCTCTTAGGATGTGTACTGCTTCGACTGTGCGTCCATGCGTGTGGCTTTGGCTCATGTTGAGTCTGACGCGCATTGTCCACCAAACATGCGCAGACCTGACGACACGGCACACTTCTGTACCAGAGGGAACCCACATACCTGTTCTATTCATGCCAATGATATTGAAGGGGTATTTCTCGACTCGATATCGAAAAGTGCTTGTCGAGAATTGTTATGCCAGCTCTGTGAAGGTCTACAAGTGTCGGCGTCGGTCTTGGTCTCGTCTCCAGTATCCCATACCGCCGGGCCGATACGGCGCTAACTCCAATGGGATATATCCGTGTCAATCAACATCCGTGTGCCTGCTGCTATCAACTTTCTCACTCACGCGATCATACAAAGACAACACCATGTCAACAGCGAGACACCCTTGAATGTCGCAATTGAAGAGCAGCATCTATATCTGGTGTTGGGAAAGGCATCTGTTCACAAGACAAGGACTCTTGCTGATTATTGCAGGAATCACGGAAGCACTGGCTGGCTGCATGTCCAAAGTCTTCCGATCTCGCTCATTCGGAACTTCTGCTTGGCAAAAGAGTGGGTATATGTACAGGACGGCCTATCGATCATGCGAGACTTGTACTATGCGGCCTTGGTCTGATCCTTCTCCTGCATCTTTCTTCTCGCGGCAAGCACCATCTCCTCCCTTCTTCGTCTCAAGATTTCAGATCTTTCTGTCTTGTTCTGAGACCATCCTTTGGTGCCGGTCGCTTCTGACTCCTGTGTGCCTTCTGAAGTGTTGAGACGAGACGAGAGATTGTAGCGGGTGATAAGGTCGGGGTTGACTTTGACTTCAGCTACAGGTCTGCTGGCGGTAGGCGGGGCTGCAGCTCGGGGTATCGGGGGCTGGAAAGATGGTGGAGNGCTGTATTTGCTGTCAGTTGCTGCTTCCCACAGACGAGCAAAGCGGCGTGAACGTACTGTCTCCAAGCTTCTTCCACCAAGCAGTCTCTCGACAGTGGCCTGTACGCTTCCTCCGTTCCGGTGCAAGTCCCAGATGATTGCTCGTCTGTCCAACTGCGGGTACATCTGGGCTACTGCTTCGACGTGTTCGGGGTTGACTTGACGTCCTCCATTGCGACCAGAAGATTGTGATGATGGTGGGCTGGGTCCAGAGAACCAGCGGTATAAGAGGAAGCCAACGACAGCGACAGCGAATATCTGACCAAAGTTTATCGTTTCCGAGGCCATGCTGGAAGGGGTAGGCGGTCACGCTGGATGCGCCGGGAATGATAGTGTGGTGAGTTCTCCGAGAAGGGGGGGCTTCGGAAGCTTTTAGGGAAGAGGGGGCCAGTGAATTCTTTGAAGACAAGTGTTGCGACAACGAGACAGTGGTGATGTACAACAAAGAGGAAGCGTCACCGGCGTCGCTACGTCGAATGGGCGAGAGACGGCTGTGTCTCGGCCAGGGCAGGGCTGAGCCGCCCAAGCCGTCGGAAGAGCCTCCAACCCCGTCCCAATCGATAAGCCCGCCCAAAGATGCAGGGCAAGCACCTACCTCTTCTGCCCGTCACTCATTCGCTGCTGCTGCTGTCTTTGGCCAAACAACCTTAGCCAGATCGTACCTGGAGTCTGCTGTCAACGCGATCCAAGGTCTTCGTAGCCCTCTTGACTCATCCCCAAGGGTGGTTTCTGACGTGGGCTGTGAGCAGCTCCACGTGATTCGGTCACGACTGATCGTTCCTGCCTCGTCTCTGCTGCCCCGCGTTGCAAACGACCTCTCTCTCGATACCTTGACTCTCTCAGCTGAATATAACCTCGTCTTCCACCGCATCTTCACAGCCTGATTAGCGCCGTGGTCACCTGTCCAGACACTGTCGTATCCTCGTCCACCACTGCTATCTCGTCTCCTTCTGCCACGCTTTAAACTTCGCCTACCGCCGCTTCCCGCCATCCAGGGTCTGGCCACACTCTTTCCATTCATCAGTCATCGTAGCACTCTACCACTTGCTCTGAAAACGCTCAGAGTGACGACTATCTATACTCCCTCTCCAAGAGCTTGGTCTCGTATCGCAGTGCTCTGTCCATTCCCAATTCTAGCTGCCCACTGCCACCCCGTCTCGTACCTCCCACCTGCCGCCGGCCCACTCGAAACTTAGATACACCCCGAGAAGCCCTCGTCCTTCGCCCACCATACGGTTCAAGTCACGCAGCCGCCCAGCCGACAGCGACATGGGCTTGGCATACAACGTTTACCTCAACTGCAAGCGAATCTACGGCTGCAAGACTTGCAAGACCCATCTGGCCGACCACGATGACATAGTGAGCAGAGTACGTCCCACGAATTGCAACTCGTTTTGGCTTCCACCAAGCTTACGTTTGCAGAACTTCCGAGGCCAACACGGCAAGGCTTTCCTGTTCAACAGCGTCGTCAACATTGTTGCCGGCGAGGCTGGCGAGCGCAACATGACCACCGGCAGACACATCGTGCGAGACATTACCTGCAGACAATGTAAAGAGACTGTCGGCTGGAAGTATGACAAGGCCTACGAAAACGCCGAGAAGTACAAGGAGGGCAAATACATCCTCGAAGCAGAACTGCTATGCAGCGTCAATTGACCATGTCACTTCGTCGCTTTACGAATGCCGACGAATGCCGACAAGAAGTTTTGCTATGCACTGAGCTTATGAGAACAACGCAAGGAGTTATGGTGTCAGGCCTGGGGGTCGGTACGGAGTTTTGTTTTCTTTTGCTGTATGGTGTCGTGGAAGGTTGGTCTCCTTTGCTGCTTGAAATGATACGAATTTACCATCCTATTATCTGCTATCCAATCAACAATAAATGATGGATGAATACACTGGTGTGATTTGCTGAAAGTAAACGCCAAAGTCTGTTATACAAGGGGCTTTCCAAATGCCCAAGCTGTCAAGTATTCATGTCCAAAATATCTGTTCGGATCGAGCGAGCTCTTCCATTTAGTGGTCAAGCTCAAACACGACTTTCTGCACCTTCATCTTGTCAAAGAGATCGTAGCCTTCCAAGGCTTGAGAGAGCGGCATGACTTTTTCAAACATGAAGCCGAGCAGATGTTGCTTTTGCTTGAGCTTCTCCAACGCTTCTGCGAAGATCGAGCGGACAGGGCAACGACCCATTTGAACACGCAAGTTCTTGTTGTATGCTTGGTTGCCTGTCCAGGGGATCTGAAATGTAGCAGTTAGCCAACCATGAACGAACACGACCGTTGGTCTACTCCAATATATGCCTACCTCTGCGTTGTGCACACCAACACTAGAAATAATACCCCAAGGTCTGAGAAGATCGTAACCGAGCTTGAGCGCAGGCGACAAACCGACAACCTCGATGACAACATCTGCACCTCTGCCGTTGGTAAGCTCCTTGACTCTCTTGTCCAAGCCTTCTCTGTCGGTTTGGAAGTTCCAGGTTTCGGCTCCGAGATCCTTGGCTTGCTTCAACCTGCTATCCACGCTGTCGATGGCAAGAAGGTGCTTGGGCTTGTAGTCCAGAGCATTGACCAGTGCACACAGTCCCACGGGTCCGAGGCCAAGCAAGACGACTGTGCTTTCCTGAGCCTCTTCCTTGCTCAACTCCTTGAATGCATTCTTGGCTGCAAACATGCCGGTGGGGAAAATGTCTGCCATGAGGACCAGGGCTTCCTTCTCGAGACCTTCGGGTGCCTTCATGACTGTTCCCTCAGCTGTGGGAATACGAACGTACTCGGCTTGACCACCATCAAGCTTGGGGCATCCGAACAGCAGAGACTTTTCGCAACGAGACGAAAATCCGTGCTTGCAGTAGAAGCATTCGCCGCAGGATGTGGTGAAGGGGGAGACGACAAGATCGCCTTCTTTGAGGGTGGTCACGCCCTTGCCAACTTCGGTGATTCTGCCTGTGAATTCGTGGCCCATGATGAAACCAGTGTCTGAAGCCTGGTGGCCACGGAAGACGTGCAACTCACNTTCAACATGGTTAGAAGATTGTAGGCAAACCCAGAGTTCACACACGTACCTGCCGCAGAGTGCCGTGTACTCGACCTTGACGATGATATCTCCATCTTCTTGAATCTTGGGGATAGNGGCCTTTAAATCTTATGTGTAAGCTTGTGGTATACACGCTTCTCGAGAGATTCAAAACATACGGTCCTCAATCTCAACCTTGTGAGGTCCCTTGAACACGACAGCCTTCATTGTTTGCGACATGATTGATGAATATTTCCTTGGTATATGCCTTTTCAAACAATCAACCTCTTGCTTGATCGAAAGGGAACAGCTCTAGCTTTTGTAGTCATGTCCCGAGGCTCGGTGTCTTGGTGGGGCAAGCAATAATAGCGGGGTCAGAGGCCAGGCCAGCGGAGCGTCATCGGGGTTGTTAGGGAACCATCTTTCGCCGAGAAGTTCACGTTTGGACCGTGATGTGATCAACACTTTCGACCTTTGCTGGACCTCGACTCACACCGTAATCGGGCCTTGTTGGAGTTTCGGAAGGCTCACAGGGCGCAAGGAGTGTGAACGCCCATCGTATCGGTGGTTCAACGGTGGTTGTGACTGTACGACCATTGACATTTTCCGCACAACGAGGATGAGTAAGAGCTTCCTCCTACCCGAAACCTAGCATGTCGAGGTTCTCGCAACTGAGAAAATCCAATCCAACATGAGCCTCGACACATAGACGTGAGAAGACAAGACTCGTGGACTCATGGTGAGAACGACTGTCAAGGTTGCGTCGTGCATCCATTGATTAAGGACAGAGCAATGCTTTGGTATAGCAGGACTTGAGAGAATTGCGACAGCTAGCGACACTCCTTCGACGACCTGCAAATGTTCTCAGAAAGCCGTGAGATAGATGTCGCACACAAGTCTAACGCACCAATGTGCGACATGCCTTATAGCAAGGAATTCAGAGGTGCGTTACGGGCTTTGAGCAATGGCTGCCAAACATTTCTCTTTAACCTCATGTTTCTTTTTCGTGTGCTTTTGAATGTTTCTCTCTATTTCAACATACAATGTAACCTTTGTTCTTGATTCAGAAGATGTTCCAGAAAAGACTCGACAAGATACCTATCTATTTCCAAAAAGCGTCTTAGACAAAGTCTTTGTTGCAAAGTCCTAAGTCGAGCGATGAATCGGTCCATGTCTTCACTCTTTTAGTGAGAGGCATCATGATGGTATTTATTCTCCCGTCTGGTCACCCACCATATACTTGTGCAACATTTCCACACTCCTCTNCCCAGGTCACTCCTCAGGATGGCCTTTCTCTTTGAGCCAAAGAATTCAAATCTAGCCAATCTCGCCATTCGTCTCCAACGCGAAGACATCGAAGCACTCAAAACTGACAATGAGGACATCGACTTCGCTCTCAACCTACAACTCCAAGAACTGAGCATAGCAGAGACCCTCATCGCCGACCACAGATTCGCCGTCGACTGCCAATTAGAACCCGACCGAGACCGCGAAATTGCTCTTGCCCTTGCCGTGACTCGCCACGAAGCAATCGCCGCACTCCTCACTTGCACGGGTTGCGGATCACTATTCACCAGACATCAAAGTTTCAAAGCACCTTGTGATCACCACTTCTACTGTTTCGAGTGTCTGGCCAACTTTTTCGAGTACACGATCGGTGACGAATCGCTATATCCGCCTAAATGCTGTGATCGCGAGATTGTCTTTGACAATATAAAGACGCTACTCGACGACAAGCTTGTGGCGAGATACGCCGAGAAGAAGATTGAGTACGACACCGAGCCCACGAAAAGGACATATTGCTGTGGTTCCAACTGTAAGGCTTTTGTTCCGGAGACTGGCATCGAGGATGAAGTCGCAACTTGTAGTGATTGCGGTAAAAGGACTTGCACGATTTGCAAGGAAGCAGCTCACCGTGGTGACTGCCCCAAAGATGAGGACACGCAAAGTCTGCTTGAGCTGGCCGGAAACGAGGGCTGGCAGCGCTGCTACAATACAAAGTGCCATCGTGTGGTTGCCCTGACGGTTGGATGCAATCATATAACGTGAGTTTTTCCTAATTCTGAATTTTGGATGAAGAGGCTAACTAGCTCTGCAGGNTGTGTCTGTGGTGCACAGTTCTGCTATGTCTGTGGTGCTCGCTGGAGGACCTGCGACTGTCCTCACTTTAATGAAGCATGGCTATTGGAAGGAGTCGACAGACCTCGTCATGCTGGTCATCGTCTCTTCCAACTACCTCAGGATTGAAGACACTCAATCACAATGGGAATCGGTGATGACAAGCGTATTCGTGAGGTGTGGTTTATCGAAATCTTCGATACATGCAACAATAGTGCGATCAATGGAGAACATGGTCAACAATGAAACTTTTGTATGTCACAACTATACCGCAAGCGCTATATGACATTTCTATGTGTTATAGGCTATCATGATGTAGCTGTAGAGATGCATAATATTTTCCGGATCAGAACCATGACCATGAGAAGATGTCTAACTAGATCAATCACTCTAGGAACAGCCCACAGTGCGCGACCTTCTAGAAGTTCTCCTTGCTTTTACAGAAATTACCTTGCTGCCACAGTTCAGTTGCATCGACTGACTGCGTCATTGCTGAACCGATATGCCAATTAGCAAGTCTCAACAAGGTTCAGAGGGGAAGTTGAATTGAAGGAAAGAAAAATCGGACTGAAGAGATATAAGTCATTAACGACAAGGCCGTAGCTCGAGGCAAAGCACTACTGTATCTTTTCGACATGTTCAGCGATCCCAGAAGTCGCATGAGCGTCAAATCAATTGTCAGAACATCGTTTGTCAATCTCCGGTGGATGAAGACACCAGTATTGTATCCTGAGTGGAGCAAAAATCAGGTTATGGACAAAACATACAGCAGCAGGGATTCCCACGTGGTCACCCACCGTAGTACTAATCTGCCGTTCAACTGCTTATGTATGGCAGAGCGGACGGGATGCCCAGTTTTCAGCTGACTGTGGCCGTATGTGCTTGAGGATCAATTATAATCCCAATTATACTCAAACACATATTCAATAGACAGCGCATTGGATCTCGAAACTTTCGGTTGGCGCGTTTCAACTTCCAATCAATGTCATCATCAACTCCAGGAACGGTTTCCATGGCACAAGTTTGTATCGTTAGGACGGTGATAGATAAACATTCGTTATGCGCCATGTCTTTGTGTGCACATTCTTTGTGTGCACATTCTTTGTGTGCACATTCTTTGTGTGCACATTCTTTGTGTTGATGTGATCGTAAGGTACCTTACAGTACAAGCTACGAACAAACAATCCTTTCCCACCACCTTGAACAATGTCGCAAGCTCCACGTGTGATATACTGGTTCCGTACGGACCTGCGCCTCCACGACTCCCCGGCGCTGGCGGCAGCACTTGATCTGAAACCAGAATGCCTTTATCCCATCTGGACCTGGGATCCGCACTATGTGTACCGCGCCAGGGTTGGCGTCAACCGCTGGCAATTTCTCATCGACTGTCAGAACGACCTTTCTCAAGGCATCACCAAAATCAACAAGAAATCAAAACTCTTCGTACTGCGCGAGGCTCCCCAGACTTTGTTGCCAAAGTTGTTCAAAGAGTGGCAAATCACACATCTGGTGTTTGAGAAGGATACAGATGCGTATGCGCGAGAGCGCGATGACAAGATTTGCGAGATTGCGAATGAGATGGGCGTCAGAGTGATCACGAAGAGCGGCCGTACGCTCTATGACAGTGATCTGCTGGTGAAGACGAATCACGGCAAGCCAACGATGACCATATCGCAGGTGCAGGCGGCTGCAGCGAAAATAGGAAAGGTTGCGGAGCCGTTGCCTGCTCCGACGAGTCTACCTGATCCGGGAAATCTTACCTTGGGATTCGAGCAGGAGAAGCCTGAATCTGAGCCCGACTTCAATCGGACGCATCGAACCAGCGATGAGGGCTCCTACGAGGTTGGCATCGCAGGACCACAAGGCGACTTCTCTGTCCCGACCCTGAAAGAGCTGGGATTACAAGATGCGACTACGCCTCATCGAGGAGGCGAATCTCTGGCTTTGAAAGTACTCGACGATGTCATCTCTAATGAGACGTTCACGGCGACATTCAGTAAGCCCTCCACTGCGCCAACAGCATTCGAGCCACAATCCACTTGTCTTACCTCACCTCATCTGCACTTCGGCTCCTTGTCCTGCAGACTATTCTGGTACAAAGTACAAGAAGTCCTTGATAGGTACAAGGGCAAGGCTTCTGAGCCACCTACCTCTCTGCATGGGCAACTGCTTTTCAGAGACATGTACTTCGGCGCTCAAGCAGCAATAGGTTATCCGTTTGCCCAAACTGTAAAGAACGATCACTGCCGATTCGTGCCTTGGCATCTACCGTCAAAGGTTGACAAGAAGACCGGCCTGATCACTGGAGAGTATGAAGTAGATGATCCCGAGAAAGAGGTGTGGTTCAAACGCTGGCGTAACGGCAAGACCGGATTCCCTTGGATTGACGCCTTGATGCGACAGCTAGCACTCGAGGGCTGGATACACCATCTCGGCCGACATGCTGTGGCTTGCTTTTTGACACGCGGTACGTATACGAGGGTACATATAGCACAGGTCAAACACCTACCATGTGAATCTCTGCTTCCGAGAGCATCCAAATTCACCTATCGCATTGCAGAGTATTGTTCAGGGATTTGCAATTTCCATCGAGGTCCTGTTGCCTTCATGAGAAGCCGGGCTTCTCGATGGATATTTGCTCGCTTTTGGATAGTACCCTGCATTTCGACAAGTCAAGATCTTGGTGTTCCACGACCTTATGGTACTGTGCAAATGACATATGGGAAAGATGCTAACGCTATCTCCAGGTGGCTGCTACATCCACTGGGAGCGCGGCGCAGAAGTATTCGAAGAACTACTCATCGACCACGAAACTGCCTGCAACGTCGGAAACTGGCAATGGCTAGCCTGTGTCGCATTCTACTCTCAATACTATCGGTGTTATTCACCCATTGCCTTCCCCCCAGAAATGGGACAAAGAAGGCGCATTCGTCAGAAGATATGTACCCGAACTCAAGGATATGCCGACCAAGTACATCTACGAACCATGGAAAGCACCCATTCAGGATCAAAAGAAGGCTGGTGTACTGATCAAAGGCGATGGCGGGCAAGAGAAAGAGGGCGATCTGAATCTATATCCCAAACCTATCTTTGAGTTTGCAAAGCAGAGAGAAATCTGTATCAACGGTCTCAAGGGCGCATACAGTGTCGGGCTGTATGGTGATTCGCCCAAGGTTCTAGACGGCACCTGGAAGGAACTGTTTGGTGACGATGCTGAGGGACCAACCGAAGGCCATCAAGGAGGGCCAGCTGGATCTTTAGGCAAAAAAGACACTCACGGTACAGAGAATCTCAAGGCAGACGGCAAGTCGACGCCGTCCAGAAAAAGAGGTGGCCAAAGTACGCTCGAGAACGCGTTCAAGAAGGCGAAGACATGAAGGCACGACAGTATATAGTAGGCTGTGTGAAAGTAGAATAATGAAATTAAAGTTACTAGTAGAGGAAGATGCAGACAGCGACGGGGTATATAGATGCCTACTGCCCGCGTCTTCGTACCAGACTAGAAAAAATAGAAGCAAGAAAGAATCACATTGCTGCCAAAAAAAACAGCCATCCCATTTCACCGATGCCACCACCATCAACGCCCACTTCAAGCTCGTCTGTAAGCAGAGCGAGCGAGTCTAACGCCATCGACCTGATCCATTCCGTTTACTCGTGATCTGCCATATGAGAAAGTAACACAACCGTACACGTGGTGTGTGATAATGACGAAGCTCCTTACTCTTCAACCTTCAGAACAGGATAGGCAACATCAGCTTCGCCTTCCTGTGCGGCTTGTTGATCGTGCTGTGCGAGCTGCTGTTCGAGCTGCTGCTCATGATCCTGGTGATGGACCTGCTCGTAGTGGGGCTCGAGAGTCTTCTCATCGGTAGGCTGGTGGTGATCCATGTGCATGTCATGATCGACATGGTGTTGAGGTTCAGGGTACTCCGCCTCGGTTTCGAACTCTTGGTTGTTGATTCTCTCACTGACCCATCTGCGGAGAGCCTCAATGACTCTGACGTTCTCGACCCAGGTGGCCTGCTTCTCGTCGGTATCACTGCCTGCACCGGTGCTAGGGCTTTGGACAGCAGTCGATGTTTGGGAGGCAGCACGGAGAGCGGGGTCAAGAGAAGACGAGTCTTCGGGCTGCTTGGTACTTGCGCGGGGAGTCTTGGCACCCTCGGACTCGGTGTCCATGGCATCAGAATCCATGTCGTGAGAGCGAGGAGCAGGAGCCTCGCGTTGGAGACGGCCGCCACTGTAGCGACGACCCTCGAAGCCCTCAAAGCCGGATGCAAGACCGGATGCGGGTGCGGAAGTGGTTGCAGGGTAACCAGCACCCATGTCAGAGATGGCTGTAACGGATGGGAGGCTGGGGTACATGGAGCTACCGTGAGCACTGCTCATGCTAGAGCGAGAGTGAGTCGACATGGGAGACTGGCCGGCTGAAGTGTAGGATGACACGGAAGCAGGTGTGAGAGCAGGAGTCTCCATAGCGCTGCTAGAAGGCATGTTGGAGAGCGATCCGATTCCGGGGGTGGAGACGGAGCCAGAGTGCTGCATGCTGGGAGGGCTGTCGCTGTTGCGGTACTGGCTGCCGAAACCAGGGTAGTTGGTGTACTGAGCATGAGATCCAGGCTGCTGGACACCGGCGGCAGCGGCACTGTTGCTGCTCTCGTAGACAGTAGCTTGGAGCTGCTCGAGGAACTTATCGATCTCAACCAGGTCTTGCTTGGTGCGGGCGTTGGAGGGCAGAGGCAACGAGTATGACTGGGTGAGAGGACCCTGTGACAGGCTACCACCACCGTTGGCAGACATGCCCAAGTTGCCCGCGTTGTTAAAGCTGTCAAGCAACGAGCTGGCTGCGCTGTACGACGAGTTGTTGTTGTTGCTGGCGTAGTTGTTGCCAGTCGAGTAGCCGTAGCCAGTGCTGATAGGAAGGGGCAGATTGGCCGACTGGAGACGCTGGCCAACGTCATAGTAGTTGCCAGGGTCGATGGCGCGACGCTTGATGTCACCAAGGAAGTCGTTCAATGCTTCGATAGCACGTCTACGGGTGTCCATGCTCTGGATGTCGGCAAGGCTGTTGCTAGCAGGGTAGTTGACCTGACCATAGCCAGCATACTGGGGCTGCTGCTGAGGCTGCTGGAAGAAGTTGTTGCTGTTCAAGCCATGGCTGGGGTGAGGGTAACCACTGGGGGTTCCCAAGTCATGGCCGTAGTAGCCATTGGATGCTGAAATTAATGTCAGTATAGATTCTGATAGGTGGGCTGTGAAGAGCTTACCGGGCTGACCTTGTTGGTAGTTGTTGCCAGGAGGTCTGTTCTGACCCATGTTCGGGTCGGGGGAACGAAGGAGTACCGAGTCATCGGCGTGAGTCTTGACATGCTTCTTGAGATCCTGAGGTCTCTTGAAGGCCTTGCCACAGAAGTCGCACTTATGAGGCTTCAGGGGGACATGGACACGGATGTGGGATGTAATGTGATCGCGCTTGACGGTTGTGACACGGCAAGAACCCCAGTGACAAGTCAAGTTAAGGTTGTTTGTGCTCTTGCGACCGACGTGACGCTCGCATACGTGCTNCCTATTCAGACGTTAGAACATGCGTATACTTTGCAGTACAAGGTGACTTACGTAGAGAGCTTCGGCGGACTGATGGCGTTCACCACAGTTCAGCCACTGGCAAGTGAGTGAGTCGACAGTGGTGCTTTGGCCAAGGGAAGGGGTGCCGATGGCATGCTGTACGGGTTGAGGCGATGCATGCTGTTGCATAGGTGACTGAAGAGCATGTTGGATGGTAGGAGACTGTTGAAGTGACTGTTGTGCCAGCGTCTGCTGCTGGAGAGGCTGGTGCTGAAGGCTTTGCAACTGTTGGTGCTGCTGAGTGGGCGATGCCTGTTGGAGTTGCTGAGCAGCAGCAGCGGCTGCGGCGGCGGCGGCTGGGTCAGGGTGGTTTGCCTGAGGTGCCATGGCCCCAGGGGCGGCGTCTGATGACATTTTTTATCTTGGTATTGAGAGGAGAATCTTGGTTGTGCCAAGAGAGAGAGCGACGCTTTGGAGAGAACGCGTCGAGATGCGCGATGCAACACAGACAGAAGTCTGGATAGATATGTGAATCTGGAATTACACGTGAAAAGTGTAGGAAAACGACACGTGAGATGTATGTCGAAAGATTGAGTCAAAAGACGTGTAACCCAGAGGAACAAAAAGCCAAGGAAGACTTGGAAAGAAAGAGCGCGCAACTTAACTTAAGGCAGGAGCGGAGGTCCCAAGGGATCCGAAGCACGGGCCATAAAAATCGGCGCGCGGGGCGGCCGGCCAAGTTGTCCCAGGCTCGATTCGTGAGCGCTAAGTACTCGCGCACCCACTACCACAACATTCGCTGTCAGTCACATCGCCAGCACTCGCTATTTGCTGCTGGGCAAGAGCCGGAGTCGACCGCCCAGTGCTTGGCTGCGATTTGCCTTCTGAAGAGCCCGATTTCTCTGGATCCATGCAGTACCCCGAGTCCTTTACTGCCTCCTCATGGCCTCCATGGGATGGGCTTGAGAACCGGAGATGAACGACGCCAAGGTGCGCCAAGATAGGCAGTGCCAATCCTTCTGGTTCATTGGTCTGTCTTGGTGCTGAGACTGATTTTGGGCAGCTTTAGCGAGTCACTTGCAGTCCGATGTCCAGTGTCGAATCTCTACCACCATGAAGCCCGCTGTATCACAGACGCGTACTGATGAACAGTTGTCCTGAACATGGTGTCCATGGAGATCGATCTGGGTAGAGGTTTCGCATGTTTCTCAGCGCTCGACGCCATCGGCAGTTGGAAAGGAGGCGACATCATTTCTCCGCGATCCATGGCATACCAAGTACTTGGCCTTTCCGCGGTCTTGGGTGGTTGGCAAAATCCTGTGTGAGGAGGGTAGCCAAGTCCGGTGTTGGTTGAGAAACGACAAGGCTATGCAGTGATGAGGGGGTGTCTGATGCCCTGGCATTGCTCACGACACTGTGGTACGTGTCTCATACTTGGCCGTGTCATCGTTTCTGATTGGCATGTCAGTACTCGCACTTCAACCCTCGGGTAAGGCATGACGCTCATACAGTACTTACCTGTCTGGGTGCCTCTCCCAGCGTAACAAGACACCAAGACCCAGTGGTGTCGATAACTTAAGTCGAGTGCCGGCAAACATGTCGGGGTATGCGCATCTGACAAAGCTGTGGTATTGATTTTGGTTGGAGCAAGCAGAAAGTGCGCGCAAGCTGGGAGTCTTGGCTGAGACCGCTATGGCAAATGGATGCCAAGATGTCGATTACCGGTGACACTCGATTTGACTGATAGCATGCTAGGTTCTAGACTAAGGCATCATCGCCTTTGATTTTGCCTCTGTGATTCCAAGGCTTGGATGTTATCAGTTCTCAGAACCATATCATTCTCCACTAGACTGACTTTGTGGCTGCACAGTACACACTTGCTTCTTGGATGGAGAACATGCTTCTATAGGACAAGACAGTGAGGTAAGATTAACAAAGAAGTCGTTAACCACAAGATCAGAACCGTTAGCGTAGGTAAGTCTCGAGTATCTGAGAGGTATGGTTGATACCGAGTTTGGTCAACAAGATATGCGTCCCGATGTTCACTACACTATCTCACGAGTCATACAGTAGCAGCTTAATCACCAAGTCATCTCGCTGACTTGAGAAATTGAACTCTCTTCCCGGGTAACGTTCCTACGTATATCCTGCTTCATGCTGAAATATCATCTCTTTCTGATTGCCGCGGTATCGTTATATGCATTCATTTCTTTCTCTCATCCGGTCACTATGGCAATATCTGACGGAAATGCCTTAGCACACAAGGAATGTATTTCAATAGATTCCTTGAGGACATATCCACTTTCGAAGAGATCGTCCAGTTTTCTGGTTTTTTCTTATGCAGCATGTCTTGCTGATTTCATCAATGGACCTCGACCAGACGAATAGACGCCATGGCACCACGAAATCCATGACCGAAATGGGTAGTGTACGGCTAACGAGTATCCCATCGGAAACTCAGAAACAGGTTGGCCAAGCAAGTTCTGCCATGCCTGTCCAGGAAAGTTAAAAAAAAAAAGTCAGTAACAATTCCTTCCCTTGTTAGCAAAATAGCAATATCTGAAGTTATAGAAATGCATAGGGTTTTAGCGTCAGGCGTGTGTTCGTAGAGAGCCCTCGAGGTGACATCTCTCTCCTTGGGCATCCTTTTGTTGATTGAAGCTATTGTGTATCTCTATAGCCATACTTGCAAGACTGACTGGCACAGGGAAAGGGGAACGGCAGTTGGTGAAGGAAACCCCATAGCCACAATATTTTATATGATGCTCTAAGAGTCCCAAGAACATACTTGTCACACAACTTATCGACTACAAAACAGTCACATTCAGCGAGGTAATGTGCAAAGTAATTGTGATCAAAGAGCATTGGTGTTCGAAAGCTGAGGCTACAAATTTCCATCGCGGTCCCGGTACAGAATGCCTCGTCCATTTCTGGAAGATGCTATCTCTCTGATACAAAGTTTCTCATAACATTCGTGATCCGTTGATCATATTGTCCTCCAAACATAAAAGCTCAAGCCGGGTGAAAAGCTTCCAGAGCAAACACATTGCGGCCTCAAGCAAAACACAAGTTGCTTTGGTCCATCAAAGAGGAGCTCTGGAGGGTATTATGCCTTGTCCGACATCGAGGTGGTGATGAATGGCGGTGATGAAAAGGTGGTGTTGGGAGAAAGGATCAAAGCGACGAGCTTAGATGGACTCCTTGTTGGCCTTGGCCTGGGCCTCGTGGGAGTGCTGGTCGATCTTGTCGGAGGCAGCGCCCATGGCACCAGAGACACGGCCGGAGATGGAGTCGTCGGCGGTGTTACCCTTGGCCTGCTGCTTGTTGGCCTCCTTGGAAGCCTCAGCGGTGTTGCCCTGGATAGTCTCGGAGACGTAGTTGGCGGCGTTGGCAATGGAGTTGGAGATCTGGCCAACGATACCCTCGTTAGGCTTGTCGACGTTAGGGGCAGACATTTTGATAAAAGTGTGGTGGTGGGTTTGAGTTGGTAAAAGGTGGAAGATTGGTTTGAGTGTGATGATGAGAGAAGAGGAAAAGGAAACAAAGGTCGTGGCTCTTCTTATATGTTTGTGTGTCATTCCAATGATCGAATGTGTACCCACTCCAGTCTCTTTCACTCGCCAACTGACATCAAAACGTTTCCCCTTGCTAACGACATCGAGCCATGGTCTGACGCTATAGCAACCCAAGGGCCTGGAATGGATGGACGGCCCCGCCAATTCTTGCTTGCGAAACAAAAGTCCCTCTGCCGATTTGGTCACGCACCCCTCATCTGGCTACGTCATCTCATGGGCTTTCAAACGGCTCTCTCCAAAGCAATACAAAGGGAAATTGCCATTGCTCTGAACGACTCGATGCGCTTGTTTCGAACAGCCTTCGTAGACTGCAGTGACATGTCTCTCTATATAACGTAGCTACAGAGAACATCACTGTTTACTCTCCTGTCCTCGACTTGCAAAAACAACAGCGGGGCCCAAGAAGCAGGGTGCGTCTAGGCCTGCGGCGGGAAGCGGGGAAGCTTGAGGAGCTGCCCTGAACATCATTCCCGTTTGCGGTAGCTGCTAGCCACCGACATCATCGCCGTGCCCTTTGCTTTCTCTCCTGTTCGATGCCAGATGTGATCGCGATCTCGGTGCTTCCAAAGAAGCTCGATTTGGCATGTGAGAAAGACGGTGAAGCCGCGGATGAGCCACACGGCAAGGTACGGAAAAGAGAGATACGACGCTCTCGTAAAAGCGTCTGGTAAAGGCAAGCAGAGTTCAGAGCCGCTGGAGGACACGTATTGGGACAGCTATTGGATTGAAGCTACAACCCTAGTTTTTGCTGCAGGGGAGGATGTATTCGAAAGCTTCGCGATGATCTAGCTGCGAATCCCCCTCAGAGGGGCTGTGTCGCCCATGGAAACAAGGTCGGCCCAGGTCACGGTGCAATTACATCAGAGTAAACACAAGGGTCCACTTCCGGTAGCAAGCTACATACGTATGGCTCTGTGGATGAGGACAGATCGTAGTAGAATAGGACGAGTAGTACGGTACAGACACTGCTCCGGCACACGAAGATGCCGGAACCGAGTCGTACAGCAGGCTGTGCGAGTGGTGAGGATACGGACTAGCGGAAGGTCGTCTCGCGTCCATTCATCCCAATGCTTGAACAAATTTGAGGCAGGAGGAGTCGACTGGAAAGTACTCAACAATGTAGCCAGTACCACCATGCACCGTGAGCTGACCGGGGAGGTAGAAGATGATGTCCTCGGGACTGGCCCAACCGCTGAGCTGGCCTACGAGTCTGACACCGAGGACTTTGGGACAGAGAAAGAAAGAAGAAAGAGAAGAACTTTGAACAACACCCTCTGGGAAACCAGAAAAGACAAGGACAACTACCTAGAAAGGCTCCCCACCAGGCAAGCGAGCCTTCTCAGGACGAGACAGCACATCATCAACACCCTTCTCAATCTGCTGCTTCAGCTCCTCCTGCTTCCGCGCCTCATCCTCCTGCTTCTTTCTCAATTTATTCGCCATATCCTCGTCCCCGCCAAAGAAGTTGCCCATTCCTCCTCTACCATGGCGCACGCCTGTCGTTTCCTTGTCCTTGTTCGTCTCCGTCTTGGGCGCAGGCGTTCCATCGCCTAAAACGTGACTTGTGCCTGCGCCTTCGAACTTGCCAGTCGCATTGAGCTCGCGAGGAGAGTAGTAGTTTCCCGCACCGCCTCTTCCTGTGTGCGCGTATTCCTGATTGTGAAGTGCTGGATGCGCGGTGCCGGCGTATTCTTCGGCGTTTTGCTGGTTGCGCTCGAGGTCTGCGGATATCTTTTCGTTTGTCGCGTTGGTTGTCTTTGTCGCGTTGAGTGCTTCAATGTTTCCCGCTCCGCCACGGCCGAATGCAGGCATCTTGAGTGTCTTTAATAGTGTAGATGTTTGGGTGTGATGGAATCAAGAGTCGTGGTGAGCGGAGAGCTGTCGCGTGGGTGATGGATTGGAGTCAGATGATCTCAGATGGATGTAGTATGATCTATACAGAGTGGGAAATCTTGTCGGCTTCTGAAGAGTCATACAATCAAATATCACAAGTAGAATGGTAGATTGAGAAGCAATGATCGTTATCAGACAGATGAAGGAGCATGACAAGTACCGATGACGCAAAGATTGATCGTTTCTGAGAGGATGACCCTGCTCTGATATTCAGAGCAACATTCTCAATTCTTCAGGGCAGCATAGGTCTCGATACTCGGCCTGCACCGATTGCCAAACTCTTGGGGAAGCTTCTAGTACGTACAGATGATATCTGTGAGTCTCTGTTGGCTCTGTTTCGCATTCCCGAAGAAGAGCGTGAATCATTGACTTTCGTCACAACATGCATCATGGAAGTGATGTGATTGAATGCTGCGAAACCCTCACCAGATGGACAAGAATACAAAATAGGCAGGGGTTTATTCTCTAATATACAATCGGTGCTATTGATCTGCCGTTAACCCATATTCCAATGCCTCGCTACGCTTTTTATGCTCAAAAAACCGCAATGCGGCTATCGACAAAAGCTCCCAGCCAGATATTAGCAATAGGCACGAGAACCCACTCTCAAGCGCTTCTGTTCCTTCTCCGATGCTTGATCTGCGTACGACGTGACTAGAATTGACGCGAACCGTGCTCTGTAGGACTGATGATTTTCTCTGCTCTGGAGTCCGAGCCAGAGCTGGAGAAGCCAGGGTTGTTGAATTGAGGAGTGACAGTTGCTCCCGAGGTCGAAGATGAAGCATTGCCTTGGTTAGTGTTGGCTTGAGAACTAGAAGGCGCAGTCTCTTTATTATAGAAAGCCGGTGCGGTCGATGGCATTGCGCGGCTGGGCATTTTCTTTTCGGGCATCTTCAAGTCAAGCGGTGTGTTGATAGAGCCACGTCTCAGCTCTTCAAGTTTCTCCTCGGGGTTCTACAAGTCAAGTCAGCATAGGCAAAGAACAAGAATGGCATGTAAGCAGGGGTACATACCCAATCTGCCTGCTCAGGAACACCCTCTGCGGATGGAAGTTGTCCAATGTTGTTGCGTTCGCTACCCCAGAAGTTTGATCTGCGGATGGGAGCTGGGGTGACTGGAAGGCTAGGACGGTCTACCTCGGAGGGGAAGTCGGTAAGTATCAAACTCTCTCTGCGTTCGAATGGCGTGTTTGTCGCGGGAGACTTTCCATGAACCGAGCTCTTACGACGACTTGCTTGAGAATCGTTGAGAAAACGAATATAAGAGTCGATGCCCACAACGTCGTCCCAAGCGTTCTTACTGCTTTGGGAGTAGTTTTCCCAGGGATTATCGGTTGTGACCTTGATGACGGGGGTGACGGGGCTGATGGAACTGGCAGTGAAGTCGGCAGAGGGAATGGTGACTCCGGGTTGAGGAGTCGAATCAGGAGAATCAAGATCTTCGATAAACCTCCTGGTAGGGGCAGAGGTCTGTCTTTCTTCCCAGGGAAAGACTGGCTTGGGTTTTGCGGTGGGCGGATCGGGCTTTGACTTGGGTACTTCATACCACATGTCCTTGGGAGGTTCAGGGTAGGTCTTGGGTGGGCGGAAGAAGTCCTTATCTTGGTTGAAGTCGTAGGTGGTGGTAGGGAAGTTGGCGGCCTCAGGTCTCGAGCCCGAAGGTGGTTCCANTGCTAGCTTAAGTCAGAAAGTAGTCATGCAGGTGCCTGTGGATTTCACTTACCGAGTCGCGTCCCATTCTGCCTGTGGTGCTGAGAATCTTCTTTGTTCTGCTGTTGGGGTGGGCTCAACACGACCTTGAGCCAACTCTTCTCCCAGCTCTCTCTCCTCGGCAGGATCGGCCTCGGTAGTAAGGATGGGTGCTTCTGGCTGCGCGGTAGGAGAGGATGCAGGCGAGTAGCGGCCTGATGTATACTCCACGACNNCTGCCGTGTGTTAGCAACGAGCAACCCTAAGTTCGCGAACAGCGTTTCTCACCGGCTCCTTGAAGTGCCTGTCATAGACTGCCCACCAACGGAAGAGAAGTTCGTTGTATGCTCCGGGAGTCGCACTTTGCGATCTGGCTGTGTTCCATGGCTTGTTCTTTCCAATGAAATGGACAACGGCAATTCTTGACTTGTGGTAGCGATAAGCGGGCTCGTATTGGTAGTTTGCACTCGGGGTGCAGTTGTAGATGAAACTCAGACGGTGCCAGCTCTTGTGTTCAAAGTACTGGTTCAGGAGACCTTGGTCTGCTCCATCGAAACTGTCGCCCGTAGCAGCTAGTGTCTTCAATGCCCAGTAGTCGCCCATGTGTGGTGAGATGACCATGACTCCAGTGTTGAAGGCATCGGGCCAGCCAACGTCGGGCGCACCAGCAAAGGATGCCTCGAGATCGAAGAGCTCGTCAGGAGCGCGGAGGGCGACAGTGTCTGCGTCAAGGTAGACGATCTTGCGAAATTGCGTCTGGCGCCAGATGTTGATCTTGGTAAAGGCATCGCGTAGATCGCCGCGGCCCATCAGGTAGAGATTGGCAAGGTTGGGCGAGGTGATGCGTTCCACGGGGATAACATAGTCGTACAATGANNCTAGGCGGAGTCAGTCTCGAAGCATTGAGCTGGCTTTGTTGCGCCGTACCTTTAGTTCGGTAATAGTAGCAGAACGTAGGGAGTCTGCAGTAATAAGTACGGCCAGCTTCTTCTTAGTGCCGTTATCTCTTAGGGAATGCGCCAGCACGGCAGCTCCTATTCTTGGTTAGATCGCTGCGCATACGAGGCTTCGCATACATCAGGACATACCGGCAACGTACGAGTCGCTCGTAACCAGCTACAAGACAAACATGTCAGCATGTTCCGGGAATGAGAGATCGTGACCAGAAGCGGGATCATAGTAGCATCGAATAGAGAGATCGTAGTACTCACCGTGCAGTAAACATCTTCTTTACTAGTAACCATCTTGACAGACGGCGGAGCGGTGGCCTGAAAGTATGAAAGTATGAAAGTAATGTCGAGATTGAATGAGGAGGTGAGGATTTGTTGGGAGTTGGGAGATGGTAACAAGACAGCAACGCTCAGACAAAACACCGCTTTATACAGCTCAATTGATGCAGAAATACAATCCCTCGTCACTTCCAAACAATGCGGTGTGAAAGAAGAGAGTTATGTGCAGTATAGAACACAACTTGGTGAGGCCAAGGAAGGAATATAACCCCGAGGGATCAGGGAAAATACTCACGTCCGATGATGCTTTGGCGCAAATGGCTTCGACTGTCGTTCCCCCGGTCCTCCACAATCCCCACTCTGAACTACGACATCGAGCAACGATCTTCACACGACCATGCACTGCGGAACAAGCGACCCATTCAGCTCCCTGCCTCATCCTGTCACGTCAATCACGAGCACTCTTCTCCGCAACCGTCACCTGTGTCTGAGCCGTATTGCTATCTGGTCCAGTACCACGTGAGGCGACTGCATATTCATTCTCCGCACAATCCACGGCCGAGTCCGACTTGAACTGGGGTGAGCATGCGAACTGAACCATGTTCTGACCCTCGAAAGATAGGCAAGCCACCCCTTTTGCTTTGTAGGCGCGCCGTTGGCCTAGTCGTGCTCCCCGATGCAGACCTACGTAGCACCATTATCACAATCAGAGAAACGATAGTCAGGAAAGAATGTTTGGGAACACTTCATTGAACGCTTGATGAAGTTGGAAGAAATTTGTTTTTTGGACGACGAGCTTTTGACTCCCTGGCGATAGCGCCGACTCCTGTACGTGCCGCCATAACAAGTGCATTGAAAAACACCCTAACCGTGGCTATCATTTGCTCCAATCATGCATCACCGCACATTTATTGCTGCTCCTGCTGCTGCTCGGCAGCGGGCTGCTCGCCCTGCTGCTCACCCTGCTCAGCAGCACGCTGGGCCTCGGCGGCCTGCTGGGCAGCGGCGGCCTTGGCACCGTAGTCCTGGGACATGGGCTGGACGACGCTCTGCTCCTCCTTGGGCTCGATGATGGTGACCGAGTCGGGGAGGGCCTTCTGGGGACCAGCCTTGCCCTCGGGGTCGGCACCGCGCATGATCTTGACCTTGATGCCGAGAACACCCTGGCGGAGGAGGACGTGGCGAGTGGCAGAGTCGATGAAGTCCTTGGCGGGCTGACCGGAGTGGATCATGAAGCCGTNCCTGAAGAGAACTGTTAGTATCGAGGCATGTCGCGCTATTGACACAGAAGGACATACAGTGAACTTCATGGACTTGGCACGGGCGGCGCGCAGCTTGCCGGAAACGACAACCTCGCAACCCTTGGCACCAGACTCCATGATGAAACGGAGGACACCGTAGCATGCTCTGCGGACGGCAAGACCGTTGAGGAGCTTGTATCTGAGGGACTCGCACTGGGCGACAGCGGAGAGACCACGGTTCTGGACCTTGGCGGCGTAGAGCGAGACAGAGTTCTCGGGGAACTTGAAGCGCTTCTGGATCAGCGAGGTGAGCTCGCGGATGCGGCGGCCCTGCTCGCCGAGGACATCTTGGGTGTGGGTGGCGCGGATGATGATGTCGGTAACGGTAGGGGTAACGCGGACCTCAACACCGGAGTAACCCTCCTCAGCAAGCTCGCGTTGGAAGAACTCGTTGAGCTCGGCGTAGAAGACACCGTCTGCGCGTCTGTTTTAGTGATTGTCCTAACATGTGTACGTGTGTGCGTGTCTGTGTGCGGTTTCTGGAGGTGGAAATGGATGCGACAAGAGAGCGATCGAATGCGAATTGTAGAGTCGGCGAGAGAGTGGAAAATGCGAAAGTAGCGAATCTAGCAGAGGGGAGGCATACCGGCGACGAACTTTCTTCTCTTGGAGCTGCAGAGGGCAATTAGCAACCGGTCGCGAGCGCATTTTCTGGGCAGCGGGCAATACTCACATAGCACCTGCTTGCTGAACGGCGGCCATGTTTGCGATCTGTGTTAATTGATCGAAAAGGGAGAGGGTGTCTGGTCGCTGGGCGAGTTGTCGTTAAAGTCGTCGATTTCGTCCGCACGGTGCAAATGCCAGGCGCGCGAAATCGAAGTGCGCTCGACGGGCTTGGCACTGCGCTAATGTCCGTCTCCGAGCCCTGATCGATCTAATCACACGTGACGCCGCATCTTATCTCGTGCACGGCACATCGGCAGAAGAGGCCGACGGCATGACGCGTGCCTGTCGAGTCTCTGCTGCTGCTGGATTGAGGGGCAGCGACAGCGAGAAAGGCGCAGTATTGCAAACATTTACACACACAAACCCCAACAACACCAAGCTCCGCGCGCAATCTCGCCGGATGCTGACATTCTATAGCGTGCTATGGACAAGATCAAAATCTCAAAGGTGCGTCTCTACGACAGAAAGCACGACGGCGCACACGCCTTTCAACCACGACAAGGCCTGGACTGACGGCGCTACCAACAGGTCGAGAATGTGACGCTTCACAAGAAGAATGTCCAGGTCATAGGCACCCTCCATATCTCCACCCACCACTTGATCTTCGAGCATCGTCCAGATGCGTCCGCCAACTCCCAAGCCCCGGCCAAATCGCAAGGCCGCGTCAAAGAGATGTGGATCACATACCCCATGATCGCGTCCTGCGTCTATAGACCCATGCCCGCCGTCCTCCGACAAGACCATGCCATTCGCATACGCTGTAGAGACTTTACCTTTGTCGCCTTCCATTTCTCCCAAGAAACTCAGGCCCGCAGCGTCTACGACAGCATCAAGGCCTTGACCTGTGGGCTCGGTTCTTTCAGCAAGCTGTACGCTTTCACCTATGATCCTCCTCCAACTGAGAAGAACATCAATGGTTGGCAAATCTACGATGCTCGCAAGGAGTTCAAGCGCATGGGCATCTCTCCCAAGGGTGCCGACCGAGGCTGGCGCTTGACTGATATCAACCGTGACTACGAAGTACGCGGCCAACCCTTTTACTTTGCCGTTTCATCTACTGATACCCTACAGTATTCGCCCACTTACCCTTCGCTATTGGTTGTTCCGTCTTCAGTGTCCGACAACGTCCTCAAACATGGAAGGGAATACCGTTCGCGCTACCGTATACCTGCTTTAACCTACTTGCACCCTGTCAACAACTGCTCCATCACGCGAAGCTCACAACCAAAGTGTGGCATTTTTCAGAAAGAGAGAAACCCCCAGGATGAACGACTGGTCGCTGCCATCTTCTCCACTTCAAGACCTATGGCTGGCGCCGGCATGCCCATCCTCGACGATGACGGCCAACAATTTGATCCGGACATGCAGGAAAGCCCAGATCCTCCACGGGTCAAGCCCCAGGCCAGTGCAGATAATGTTGCCAATCAGCCCACCGACAAGATCTATGGAGCTCAGCAAAGAAACTTCATTGTGGATGCCCGCCCACAGGTCAACGCTGTTGCCAACCAAGCTACGGGAATGGGCTCAGAAAACATGGAATTTTACAAAGACGCGACCAAGGAGTATCTTGGTATCGCCAATATCCATGTCATGAGAGACTCTCTCAACAAAGTGGTCGAGGCTTTTGCCCACACCGACTACACCGAATTTGGCCCAAACGAAGATCTCCTCGCCAAGAGCAAGTGGCTCGATTACATCTCCCTAGTCTTGCGCGGCTCCAGTCTAGTAGCTCGGCAGGTGGGCATCAACCATTCCCACGTCCTCATTCACTGCTCGGATGGCTGGGACCGCACCAGTCAGATCAGCGCTCTGAGCCAGCTTTGCTTGGATCCATATTACCGCACCCTTGAAGGCTTTATCGTCTTGGTGGAGAAGGACTGGGTGTCTTTCGGACACATGTTCCGTCACCGATCAGGTTTTTTGAGCAGTGAGAAGTGGTTCGAGATTGAAAATGAGCGTGTCGGAGGCAATCGCAAGGCTGATAATCCCACTGCAAACAGCGGCAATGGTAACGCCTTTGGTAACGCGTTTTCCACCGCTAGAGGTTTCTTCACCAAGAAGAATGACAGTAGGGAGTCTTTCGATGTAAACGATGCTGGTGATGGTACATCTGTTCCAGCTCCAACTTCAAAAGCTGCCAAACACGCTACCACCAACGTCAAGGAAACGAGTCCGATCTTCCATCAGTTCTTGGATGCAACTTATCAAATGCTTCGACAATATCCTACCAGGTTCGAGTTCAACGAACGATTCCTGCGCCGCTTATTCTACCAGCTGTACTCATGCCAGTATGGCACTTTCCTTTGGGACAGCGAGCGCGATAGAGTTGAGGACAAAGCTTACGAGAGGACGAGAAGCGTATGGGATTACTTCCTCTCTCGTCGAGACATGTTCATCAACGAACAGTACGATCCCACCATTGACGACAATACCTCTGGAAGGGAGCGCATCATTCTTCCTGACACCACCCAAGTCAAGTGGTGGCACGAATTGTTTGGCCGTACAGACACTGAGATGAATGGGACCGCCTACGCACCCACTGCCAGCCTGCCGAAAGAACCGAGAGATCCGATCGTGACAGGTATAGAGAACTCGGAGATTTCTATAGGGTCTGCTGCAAATGGTGGCAGTCTTTCTGGCCAGACCGCAAGCGCTTTTACTAATGGCGCCGCACGTCTGACTGCTGGATTGGGCAACCTAAGTTTGGGAAGGAACAGCGCAAGCGCACCCAGCAGCCGGCCTCAATCTCCACCGACCAACGAATTCCCGCCTGCGCATAACATCGACGAGAAGACAAAACCGGCGGCATCCAACGAGTCAGACACAACTACAACCGGTCGACTCTCATTTTCAGCGTTTGCACGAGACAATGCTTTTAGGGACAACTAGATGTGGATTTCTACATAGCGTGGCGTTTTGGGATCATGATTTGATGATAAGGATGGAAGGTATTACGACTTATCAGAAACTGTGCATAAGAAGGAGGTTTGCATGTCAGAGGGACTCATATGGAAGCTTGAGATATAGGTCGAAATCCAAGGACAGAGGCATGAGACCGAAGCCTACAATAAAAGTACATGAGAACATATGCATCCGTGAATCGCTCGACTATAATCATGTGCATTTGGACGTTGGTATAGGACAGCCAAGACATGTACGCGTACGTCATGCCGTTCTGGTTAATCAACTTCCAAGACATGGGCCACTTCGTTCCCTGTTCGTTGTTGCATTGTGCATGCTGTTCCGAAAAGAAGGTGGAGATCCACACTTGACAAAGCGCTTCGGACCTCGTAGACATCCTGGTTGTTTACCTATCTATGACCCTTCCCTGCGTTTTCTCCATACCTCAACCTTTTCCGAACAACCAAAGCTGAAGCCGAAACATCGCTTCTACGTACCATGGGATTCTTAAAGAAGTTCAAAACTGAAATGAAGTCGACCTTTGGTGACGACCGGCCCTCGTATCCTTCACAGCAACAGCAGCAATCCCAGATGCCCATGACGGATCAGCCGGCCAGCATCCAGGAGCCTTCTCCCTTGGACGTTCTCCGCTATCGTTATCAACACGGCACCAACTTTGGCTCCATTTTTGTGCTTGAGAAATGGCTCACTCCTAGCATGTATCAAGACAACGCCGACTCAGCTGAGCTTGCGGCTGTGACTGGCAACATCAAAGCGATGGGTCTCGATGCAGCCAAGCAAAAGTTTGAAAAACATTGGGAGACTTATATCAGTGATTCCGATCTGGACTGGCTTGCTAACCAGGCTCATTGTATGTTGCTTATATGGGTGTCTATATTCGTGAGCTGATTTAATAGGNNTACATCCGTTCGTCTGCCCATCGGTTACTTCACGCTGGGTCCAGCTTATTGCGCAAACACGCCTTTCGAACCTTCTTCCGCAGTGTATGAGAATGCATGGCCAGCTGTAAAGCGCCTTGTCAGCCGTCTGACTGCTAGAGGCATTGGCACTCTTCTTGACTTGCATGCGTTGCCTGGTGGTGCGAACGGAGGTGATCATTCGGGTACCAACAGCGGCAAAGCCGAACTTTGGAAGTCGAAGAAGAATCTGGACCTTGCTACACGTTGTCTACTATTTATTGCTCATGAAGCTAGATCAATGGACGGTGTTGTTGGTCTACAGCTGATCAATGAGGCCGAGTGGGATGCTCCCGGTATGTATGGCTGGTACGACTCGGTCATTGGTCAGATCGGTGGCATTGACAACACTGTTCCTCTCTACATTTCGGACGCATGGAACCTAGGTCCTGCAATTGGCTACGTCAATGGCAAGAATAGTCTGCATGCTGGTCGGGCTAATCCAATCGTCATCGACACTCATCTGTACTGGGCGTTCTCGAATGACGACAAGAAGAAGCATCCTGGTGAGATCACAAATGAAGCCAGGTCAAAGCTCGGTGAGCTAGATGGTCATGAAGGCAACGTCGTGGACAATGGTGCCGCGCAGGTGGTCATTGGTGAATACAGCTGTGTTTTGACCGAAGACTCTTGGAACAAGGCTGGCGCTCACGAGAAGGAGAACCTGGTACGCGAGTTTGGGCAAGCACAGACGCAGAGATACCAGCAAAGGACGGGTGGAAGCTTCTTCTGGACATACCGCATGGTTCGTAACATTCTTCCTCCTCTCGCAAAGATCAATACTAACTGTGTATCANNGGACTGGATGGATGGCGGAGAGTGGGGCTTCAAGCAGCAAACCAACAACGGCGCCATCACAGCTCCTAACAATCTCGCCCTCTCAAATGACGATGTTCAATCTCGTATTGGACATGCACAGTCTCAAGCAGATGCAAAGTTCGGACAGACTTTTGGTAATCATTGCAATTACTGGGATTCCAATCACCCTGGCGAATATGAGCACTGGCGATTTGAGAGCGGCTGGAAGCTCGGTTTCAACGATGCAGTGACTTTCTTCGGCGCAAGAGTCAACGGTCGTCTTCCTGGCACTGGAGGTGACAAGATTGGTATGCTGGACATCTGGACCAAGAAGAGAATCGTCGAGAGTGGTCAGGCAGGCAAGTTGTTGTGGGAGTTTGAGCAAGGATTCAGACAAGGAATCCGCGACTTTTATGAACTTGCCGGAATTTGAATGTTGATGATGTTGCACCTACAACTGGCGGACTTGGGCACTTCCTTCATGATACATAGAAATGATATACACTTTGTTTTTTATCTTTGCTTATGATGAGCAGACAAACACAATTGCTCAATCCTACATGCTGATCAAAAGAACATGGTATATCTGAATTGGAGTTCGCCTGTTTTGAGAGCGTGACACTAAGAAGGGTAGACAGGAATTGTAGTTCGAATTAATTGCAATGTGCGACCCTGACTTGATGACATCACACACAACTCACCTTCCACAACTTGATTGTCACATCTTCTCGACCCTTGACCAACACTCACTGTAATTTCGAAACGCCCAGCGTCTTGATCTGTAGTTGACGAGGCACAAAAACTGAACTGCAATGTTCTTCACACAGCTTCTCCATACCGGCCAGGTCGCCCTGTGCGCGTATGGCGCATACGTGTCCTATATCGCTATCAGCAACCTCCAGCAATATGAAGAGACGAGCAAGAAGGCAGCCAAGTACTCGACTGAGGCAGAGCGTCAGCTTCATAAGACAAGAACCACCCAAAGCAGTGGCGCTATTTGCGTCAGTCGCCTCTGATACCCAACAACTTGCTCTCGCACGCATTAATGTACTGATTGTTCGTATCAGATCTTGGCCTCACTCGTTGCAGCTACTACATTGTCGCTGGTCCCTAATTCTCTGCCTTCGTTTGTGAGATTCGGTATCTCACCTGCTGCTCTGGTTTTGACGCTGTTCGTACGCGCCCACGTGTCCAACTTCTGGAAGGCCAAGGCCAAGGTTCCTTTCGTCGACGGCTATGTGAGCTAAACTCTCCGATTATATGTACTAGCATTGAGCGCTGACGGATCCACANNGAACGAGGCAATTTCCAAGACCGGCGAGCTTTTGCAAATTCTCGAGTATCTCGAATACACTTGGGCCGGAACTGCGCTCGCCAGCGGACTTGTTGGCTATTGAAATGGGGATCTACCTGACACTGTAAAGCAGGCATAGTGGCCCGATACAACCACTTCAAGGATTGTTCGGCTGAATCTTGATGCACTGTATACACAGCAGTCTTAGCATGGGTTCTGAGACCTTCAAGGATTGCTTCCTTTCAGCTCAACATCTCAACAAGACACCACGACAATGTCCGGACCGAACAAGATTGACCACTCTCCAGTTGAGGTATACCTTGGAGTCATACCGAATGTCGCCGAACACCCATCGAGTTTGTCCAAGCCATGCTATCACTGTTCAATTGACGGTGGAGTTTGGGAATCTCAACAAGATGCTACCATTGTTCATGGTCTTACGACTGTTGATTAGTACATATGTTGGCGAAGAGCATTGAATTACATATGCTTGATGCAGCCAAAAGCATGAGTTTGTCTTGACATAACTGCTCTTCCCCAGCCTTGTGTGTTTCTCAATTAGAAGCGTCAGTGAACTGTTTATACAATGAGTGCTGAAACGTGATGCCTTGGAACCAATGCTGGACCGTTATCTAAATCCTCAAAGACGCTACAGAGCTCAGAATACCAAGCATTGGTTCACTAGTAGGTTGGACGTTCGAAGTTTACAACCTTGATGCAAAACCCTTGTGCTCTCAACAAACGTTCTTGGATATGAGCTTCTGAGCCCATGTCAATCCTTCGCAACCAGTGTGGACTCCTTGTAACGCCTTGACAGGGATTAAGCACTCCAAGACGCATGTTTGCCGAGCACCACCATACTGACTTGACTGTATTTAACCTTTTTGACATGCCAGCACCCGGCACCGGAGGCAATTGAGTTTTGGGACATAACGACAAACTTTAGTGTCTCGGCCCTCATTTGCAACAGCTCGTAATTACAGGCACGGAGGATTCTCAATGTATGTTCCCATGGATTTATTAAATCGAAGTGGAGTATGTTGGGAATATCAAGGTGTTTTTACGAAGACAAACAGGATGTCATCATAGGCTCCAAGCGCATACCGGAAGAAATGCTTGGAAGAATAGGGCCGGTCAAGTCAAAGAGACGTGCTTCAGGTGGTCTGTTGATTGTTCTAGCGAACGCGGAAGTCCACGATCGAATGCTTATCGCACGCGAGCCGCCTCGGATAGCCAATCAGAATGCCGGAATCTATGACGCTTGCCGGCTAAAGTTCGTTAGGGCAGATCAGTAAAAACTCGGTGCATATGTGCCCATCAAGGTGTTTTCCCACCTCAGGCCGCGGACAGCTTCGTCCCTCGCTCCCTCGTCCCTATGTAACGCTCAAATACCTCTCCCTGTCGCCTCCCGTCCCACTGCCCATCATCTTGAGCTTGCTATCTCGCAGCGTCAGCGTTCTGCCTCTTACACGCAGGAGTTGTAGCTCACTAGTGCAGAGCGATACAAAGACAGCGGGCCTCAACGCTTTATCGCCAATTCACCAGAGCCACCATGTCTACCTGCAAACCAGAAAACGACTACGATGGTCGCATGGGCGTCCGCATTTCGGCCATCTTCGTCATTGGTGTTTGTTCACTGTTTGGTATGTCTGTAAAAGATAAACAGTCGAGGAGTGTTATACTGATATCGACAATCNNAGCAACCTGGTTCCCCGTCTTCGCTGCTAGGCACAGAGGTGTCGGCGTTCCCGATTGGGCCTTTTTCATCGCCAAGTACTTTGGCTCAGGTGTCATCATAGCCACTGCCTTTATTCATGTGAGTGTCCAATCTTCTCGTGACATTATCCGACTTTGATACTGATGGACAAAGTTACTCGCGCCTGCCAATGATGCCTTGACCGATGAGTGCTTGACAGGCCCTATCACAGAGTACGATTGGGTCGAAGGCATTGTTTTGATGACCATATTTGTCCTGTTCTTCGTCGAGCTCATGACCATGCGTTATGCCAAATTCGGCCACAGTCACGAGCATGAAGATCTGGAGCCACAGGACGACTTGGGTATCAAGCCCGAGCCCTTCACTGATGGCAAGAAGCCCGATATCCACGATGAGACCGACCCTGTCTACGAGATGCACCCCGGACGTGTCAGCACGAGTACTGCTCACTGCCCCACCACTCCTCATGCTCGTGGCGATGACCACCTTGGCCATGCTCGCTCTCACGTCGACAATGAGATTTCTGCCGGGTGGACCGAGGCGCAAAGGGAAGCGGCCGGCATCGTCACTGAATCTTATGCCGCTCAGATGACCGCCCTCTTCATCCTCGAGTTCGGTGTCATCTTCCACTCCATTTTTATCGGCTTGACCTTGGCTGTCTCTGGTTCCGAGTTCCCCACCCTCTATGTCGTCCTCGTCTTCCATCAGTCCTTTGAAGGTCTCGGTCTGGGTACTCGTCTCGCTGCTATCCCTTGGCCCGAGTCGAAGCGCTGGTCTCCTTACCTTCTCGGTGCCGCCTACGCCATCAGTACTCCCATCGCCATTGCCATCGGTCTTGGTGTTCGTCAGTCCTTTGCCCCTGGCAGTCAGACAACTCTGATTGCCAACGGCGTCTTTGACAGTATCAGTGCAGGCATTCTGATCTATACCGGCTTGGTTGAGCTCATGGCACATGAATTCATGTTCTCTACATACATGCAAAAAGCCAGCATCAAGACTGTTCTGACTGCATTCTTGTTCATGTGCCTTGGTGCTGGTTTGATGGCTCTTCTCGGCAAGTGGGCTTAAAGGTGTCTGGATGCGGACCTTTCCAACGACTACTCAACGATTTTTTTCCTATTCATGACTGTACAAAAAGATTTCCAACGATTAGACTAAAAGCATGGTTCTCATGACCAAATGCAGCAAGGAAGCGAAACCCGCTGCTCGTATTCAACATTCAAATCATCTGCAATAACAATGACTTTTCAAAGCACATGCATCCTTTTTATTTCATCGATTTCCGCTTTATTGGCCAACGCTATTCCACATGTGACTTTTCCAAATCTCACGAACGGATCTGGAATTAAGAACAAGGTATGTCGTTGTAAGCATGACACCAAGATGGGGCACCTATAGCAGGGCGTTGATATAGCAAGCTCTCTTCGACCATCAGCGTCGGACTTTCAAGATTTAGCAAAAGTCCAACACAAGAATGCCAAACCAAGCAAACCCATACCACATAAAACCACACACCTCGACATGCAAAAAAAAAAAACCTACAAACCTTCCACAAGCAGACAAAAAGCACAGCAAAACCCCAATTCTTCACCATCTATCTACCACTTACCATCCCTCCCACACAGCTCTTCAATCAACTAAAAGCATCCCCTCCCACATTTCCACTCTCCACACACACATTCTCCACATCTTGACACACACACGAAGAACATCTCCAACAGAGCAAATGTGTCGCTGGCACTGGCAATACCACATCCCCTGCCACCACCACGACAAGAAACGCATCCCTTGCGACATGTCCAGACGTCTGCACTGGAAATGCCAAGATTGGAGAGATGCCGATCGCGAGAAACGCATCAGGACCAGCAGCGGTGAGATTTATGTGCCTGCAGTCACTAAATCGTGTTCGGTGTGCAGACGTTGAGACTGAAAAGCATTGAGGAATGGAGGGGTTTGGAGTATCACGAGGTGTTTTTTTGGGGAGAGTTGCTGTGGGTTTTCAAGGATGAGGAAGATGATCTCTTTTTTTTTTTTTTTGAAAGGGTTGTGTTTGCGGAGGAGAGTATTGTCTGGAGAAAAATGTTTTTGGCATGTGTGGTTTTTGGGTAAAAGGGGAAACCCTTGCGCTATAACCAAAGGATCCTTTGAAAAAGTCAGGATGCTAACGATGATGAATGATGAATGATGAAAGACCCAAAAAGGACAAGCAAATAATGACTTGAGGAGGGGTTTTCTTTTCTTGGACAGGAAAGTCTGCCAGAAGTATGTTATCGAAATGGAAGATCTGTTAGCCAAATCATCATGTTTTCTCCTTGAATTATGACTTGTGCTCACGAATAAATGTCCACTGACTATTAGGTACTAGTGTAAGTTGACATAAAGCACTTTTCACGTGAGCACATCTTGCACTGCTGGCAAACAAAGTGACGGGACATATAAAAGACACTATCCTCTATTTGACGGTGGTGGATGGAAAAAAAAAGAACGATGGCCGTCTGCTGCGTGGCTGCAAAGATATATAGAATAATGTGGAGTAAAGGAGCAACAAGGCATAGTTTCAGAAGTAGCGACGTACGCATATCACCAACCTGATCGACGTAGACAATCTTTCGATGCAAGATATTTAGGCACGATCTGAGCTGACGGCTACTATTCATAGTGTACAGCCTATGATCTCTAATTGCAAATCATCTTGTCATGTCACTGGTCTGTAGGGGAAAAAAAACAATTCTTTCATAAAAACAATACTGTGGAATCGATCGGGAAAACAAAATGCTAAACTTCTACTCTTGTCATCTTCCTTGCTCTACACCACCTTCTTTCACCATCAGACCCTTCTTACACAGGGGTAGCCTTGCTCATAGCCACCAATCTCTTGACTCCAACCATCCAGTGAGCTCCCTCAGACTCCAACTTGGCCTTCATCATATCCGTCAACACGGCTCCAGCACGGTCAAAGTCTCTGGCTTGCAATGCTTGTGCAATCTCGACCAGCATGGCTACAGTATCCGGCTTAACCAGAGTCTCGTTGTTGAGGTGGTCAAACAGGATATTGAGGCGCTTTTCGGCATCGTTGACTGGTTGGAGGAAAGAGGCAGGCGCGCGCGACTTTACGCGTGCCATGTCTGCGGACAGAATTTCGTAGACTGACATGGCGTTGCTGGGGATGTGTGTGCGGTCGCCGGNGGGCTGGGATTGGGCGTTAGCATGACTGAACGGGATGAAGAGGGAAAACGCAAACTTACGATATTTGGCGGCTGCGGGTGCGGATCGCTGAGACTGTGCAGTGGTGGGTCGCGAAGGCATTTGTTGAGGGGCAGCTGCAGGCGGAGGGGTAGCCTGAGAGGGCGTAGGCTGAAGAGGTGTCGCCTGAGGTGGAGGTGCAGCTCTGGGAGGGCCTTGAGGAGGACCACGAGGTGGCCCTTGTGGTGGAGGCGGAATGGCTTGAGGAGCAGGAGGCTGTGGTTGCGCAGATGGTTGACCATAAGGTGTTGCTGCTACCCTCGGTGCATATGCTGAAGCTGCTGGTGCGTATGGTGAGGGTGCTGCAGCACCGTATGGGTTAGGTGGTGGAGCAACATTACGTGGTGGTGGCAAGCCGCCAGCTACGGGTGTCGGTTGCGATCCGGGCGCCGGTACATAACGATTGCTTACTGGCCCAGTCGCAGTCGCGGTAGTAGGAGGAGGGTTGTAAGGCGAAGGGCCACGGCCGAGGGGAGGAGCTTGAGGCGGAGGAGGCATCATCGAGGAAGGTGCTTGCTGTACTGAGGCTGGAGTGTAGGCGTTGGATGCAGCAGAGATGGGACGCTGGATTTGCTGAGGACCTGACAGTGGCGACATGACGCGAGGAGGCATCTGTCCTGCCTTTGGTGGTGGAGGCAAAGCGGCAGCAGGCTGTTGGCCATATGCGCTGCCAGGAGCAGGTGGAGGTGACATGACAGGAGCATTGGGGAAAGGAGAGGACATAGCGGCCAAACCAGGAGTGTTTCTTCTTGCAGGTTGGACAGGCTTGGAGAAGCCTTCTGGAAGGTCATTCCACTGTTGTGTCTCTCCCTTCTTGGGTGGTGNGGGTACAGCACTAGGTGTCATACCACGAGGATGTGCCATAGGAGCNNAGCTGGTGCGCCGTAAGGTCCTGGTTGACCATATGCTGAAGGCTGCGGAGGCTGATAACCCTGAGGGGCATAAGCTTGCGTAGGAGGTGCGTATGGGTTTGACACAGCAGGAGGNCTGAGCAGCGCCTGGAGGAGCATNAGCGTTTGCGCCACCAGCAGGAGCAGGCGTCGACATGATACCTCCACTTGGTGCGTAGGGGTTTCCAGCAGCAAGTGGTGCTGGAGTGGAAGCAGCAGTGTAGGGTGCCATTGGTGCAGCACGAGCAGCGGCAGCGGGCTGTCTCTGGACCTGAGGAACCACGGGCTTTGTTCTGTTGGCAAGCTTGACTCTCTGCTGAGCGACCTCTGCTGCAGGGTACTTGGAAGGCAGCAGATCCAGGTATTTTTCAGCGACTTGCAACTGGCCATGACTAGCTAGGATATCAGCGTACTCGGCGTATTTGGTGTACAGCGGAGCAAGCTTCCAGTTCTCGGTAGCCTGACGGTCAGGATCTTGAAAACCAACAACCTGGCGGAAAACAGTGACCTTCTCGATAAAGTCTTGCAGGGTTCTGGCGTGAACAGAGAAGCTGGTCTCTCCATCGGCGGCTTCCAACCCAGCGCTTTCCTTCTCCTGCAGTTCTTGAGCCCAGATGGTGACAACCTTTTCGAGTTTTGAGCCAGCAAGGAAACAGAATGATGCATCTCTTCTCAAGGTACCCTTATCGGTAGCATCCGACAACGACTCTTCAAGACGGTCACCAAGAGCCTCACACAAGTCCGAGAACTCGGTCTCGTCGGCGAAAGTGCATAGGGTCGCCATGACCTCCTTCCAGTTCGACAGATCAGCATTGTGAACAACATCCCAGAGATTCTTGCCAACAATAGAGGCAAGAAGACGCAAGTAGTTGGGTCCCTTGGCCTTTTGCTTCAGGTAGGCAGTTTGCACCTTGTCCATGCATTTCTGTCCACCGCAGATGGCGATCATGAAGGCATCTGACATACGACCATCCTTCAGGCAAACATCAAGAGCAGACTCAAAGTTGCCCAGCATGAGAGCGCGTGTGATGTTCTTGTCTGCGTCAGATTCTTCACCACTGAAGATATGGAAAGGCTGGTTAGTCTTGGCACCCTTGGTCGCTGCAAGATCGGCCAGGAAGTTATCGCCATCTTCTCCATCAGCGTTGGCGTCGCCAAAGAAGTTGCTGTCGTCCTCTTCCTTGGGCTTCTCGACATCACCGTTGACGTTGAGGTCGGCCGTCTNTTGTGCCACCTCAGTCTCGTCGGCAAAGCCGAGGTATTCTCTCAGCTTCTTCCTCGACTTTCCAGCGTTCAGTGTCTCAATGACTTGCCAGTCGGCCTTCTCTTCCTCGTTGGTTGCGGCGGAGATCTTGGATTCGCAGATGCTGGCAAGGTCGCCGCTCTTGAGGGAATCTTCGAACTTCTGGGATTCGTCGGTAACGGCCGAGTCGACAGCGAAAGTCTCGATGCTGACAGTCGATTTTCTTGAAGTCGAGTCGGTAGCGAGTCTGACAAGCTTTCCACCAAAACCAAAAGACACACCAGCGGGGCGTTGCATCCACTTGGGAGCCTTGGGCAAGGAGAAAGAGACGTGCTGTGGTTGGTCTTGGACCTGGTTGAAGAAGTCCTCACCCTCCAAAGCCTGCTGGGCAGTCGTCTTTTCTTCACTCTTTGAGTTCGTGTTTTGAATAGTCTGGACAGCGATCTTGCCATCGAACGAGGCAGTCGCAAGAAGGCCGGGGTTGTGAGGATTCCAGCGAGTCTGGAAGGTACAATTGGTGACGACAGGGAAGTCACCGTATGATTCGCCAGTGTGAGGATTCCAGGCGACGGTGCGATTGTCCTTGCCGCAAGAAAGCAACAGGCTCGAGTCCTGCAGACACCATGACAGAGAAAGAACACCGAGCTCGTGACCACGGAGAACGCGCTCGGGAGCACTGGAGTTACGCAAGTCCCACATGAGGATCAGAGGATCTTGATCGTTGGGGATGGCGGTCATGAGCTTGGTCGCAACATCTGGGTCCCAGGCAACAGCGCTGACGGGCTTGCGACCAAAGTTGTTCAGCGTCAAGTTCTCCTTCTTTTGTCTAACGTCCCAGATGGTGACGAAGCCTCCACTTGAACCAGTAGCCAGGATGTGAGGGACCTTTGAGCCCTTGTTCCAGTCCAAACACTCGTAATCATCAGCTCTTGCGGCACCTCCGCCCAGTCTGAAGGGGTTGGCAATGTTGTTCAGGTCGTAGATGAACAGCTCTCCCTTGGCGCCTGCTGTCGCGAGGAGGTCGTGCTTTGTGTGGTTGAATTGGACAGTCTTTATTGCTCCAGAGTGCTTTGTTGTTCTAGACATGAACGAGTCGGACGGACTGGAACGGAGCTTCTCGGCGTCCCATAGGTCGAGGGAGCCATTCTCGAGGGCACCAGCAATGATACCACGAGAGCGATCGGCGGTAGGTTGGCTCCATGCAATGTCGTAGAATCNTACAATGGTGTCAGCGCGATAGCGTGTCAAGTTGTGGGGTACGCACCTTGAGTCTGTGGAGATGGTGCCAACAGGCGACAGCTCGGGAGAGGCATCGACCCGGTCTAGTTGCAAGTCCCACAACTCCAGGTTCGTGTCATTGGAAAAGTCGTCGTCGACGGCGCCAGCACGGGTTCCAGTAGCGAGCAATGGCGGAGCTGAGCCAGGCGACCATGCGAAGGCCGCAGTGCGAGGAATCTCGCGCAATCGTACCATTGTCGGGTGTTTGTCAGCAATACACCTAGGTCGGTCCAAGCATACAGCAGACAAGAGAGAAGTGCGGGTGGTGTGTGAGAAAGGGGGTGGATATGGGATAATTATTGGCCAGCGTTACAGGGCGGGAGCTACGACTTGCCCTTCGTCACACCTCCAGCTGGCCTTCCGCCGCACCAGACGTCCCAAAACCTGGGGCGCCCATCGCAGCAAAAGCCTTGGCATCAGACATCCGCTCTAGCCTTTTTCCAAACCACCGTCTCCGAACATACACATAGAACAACCAACACAAGACCAAATCATGTCAGACGCTCCGAGACCAAAGGCCACAGTCTACGTCGGAGGCTTGACCTCTGCCGTCGACAGCCATACCCTGCACAACGCCTTCATTCCCTTTGGCCCCATTGTCAACATTTCACTGCCAAAGCCAGAATTACCATCAAATCCCGAACCTCACCGCGGATTCGGTTATGTCGAATTTGAAAGCCCTCAGGATGCCCAGGAGTCAATCGACAACATGGATCAAAGTGAACTNTTTGGCCGTGTAATCAAGGTCAATCTAGCCAAGGAACAGAAAGCCGAAGGAGAAGGCCTGGGAAGCAAGACTGCTGTTTGGGAGCAAGTGAGTATTCTGAATGGCTTCTTCCGTGCCAAGATACTGACTGTTCTGTAGGAAGGATATCTCGCAAAGCATGCAGTCAGCGATGAAGATCGCATGGCTGCACGAGGCGATGAGGATGGTCAAGACGGCCCGATGGATCCTATGCAAGGCCTGGAGAGTCTTGATGTTGCTGGCCCTCAACAAGCCTAAAAGTCTTTGTGCTTTCTGTTCAATTCATAGCGAGGCGTTTTGGTTATGCGACTGAGGCTGGGTATTGCAATTTGCAGCATCACGGGAAGACGGGGGTAACAATGGCGTGTACAGATTCAATTTTGTTGAAGTGTTTCAATTTGTTATATTGCAATGCATGTCGATACTGGAGCCATTGCCGTGTTGTATTTCTTCTAGAGTTACCAGCTACACACTAGGCCCCAGCAGTCCAATTGCATCAAGTTGATCTCCCCCAATCGTAATCTCGTATTCTACTGCGCGCCCTATTGGGCAGTCCTGACCATCTCTACAAAGGTGAGAATACATGAGGCCAAGGATACGAGACCACAAGCGCATTGTCCACACGATATGCAATGGCCAGCTCCGATACTAGAAGTTTGTTGTGCATCGCATCATGCTTGAACAAGATAGTAGGTAGTGTAGGAGACCGCTTTCGGGATGCCGTGGTTTGTGGGAGCGAGAAAATGCCGTATATCAGACATCAATGCTCTGACGTGTGGAAAGGAAGACACTTCCAGATGGTGTTTGACGAAGTACTACAAGAAAACTGGAAACACGAGCCGGCGCACTGGTACACACTGTAATATGAAGTTTTTCAAATATGCATTGCTTCTGTCGACAATCTAGTGGGAGGGCTTGGTGTCGGAAGGAGACGAAGCCTGGTTGTGACCTCTGGATCTGTACAGACGGAGGGTGCCGTCGGTGAAGAGCTTGCGGAAGAGCGAGTAGGCGGCAAAGCCAATGGCGACGCTGTCAAGGGGTTAGGCGAGTGGGGAGGTAGTTGGTGACTCGAACGTGGACTTACGCAAGGACGATACCTGGAGATTGGTTAGTTTTGGACTATGAAGATTAGGCAGGATAGACGTACCGATGGGGATCAACTCTGGGGGAATCTTCTTCAGGGTACGGATACGCTGAGAGATGGTGTGTGCNNTAAAGTGAGTTGGTGTTAGGGTCGTGTCTTTTTGATTGTAATGTTGGGTTCAGGGTGGCGTACCAGAGTGCTCCTCCTTCTGCAATTGAAGTTAGCATTGAATTGACAGGACAAGGGCATGCGCATAGCAACGTACGGGAACGGGCTCTCTGAACTTGGGAGTGTTCTTGAAGCCACGGGTCTGCTGGAAGACGCGGGCGGCGGGGCGGGCCTTGACTGCCTGCAGAGCAGGAGCCTGAGCGCGCAGGGCAGAGGCAAAGACACGACTCGAGATCATGCTGGATTGGGGTATGGACAAGACGACGAAGGAACAGATTATAGCACCGCGTGAGGTCAGCAGAGCTTCAATCTCGCGGATGCAAACTGGAGACGGGGCCGAGCAGCCAATCACAGGGCGGCAGGCACTTGACTCTGCGAAACCTCGCCAAGTCCACGACCGATTGGAAGACGACCACGATCACGACTTCTGCTTGAGCTCTCCTACAGACCATCTCCCCTCAATTCCCCCTCTCATCTAATCACAACACCGCAAAAATGGCCGATGATGAGGACAGAGTTACCATGCCCTTCAAGTTCGTGACTGGTACGCATGAGCCCGCCCGCAACAAACTCGAGTTCCAATGCTGACTGACGTGATTGATTGTAGCGGGTACGTCGTTCCCTATACCATGCGCCGCCCCCACCACCGCCTGTTCCACCCTCCTCCGCACATGATACTTTACCTCTCCCTCCCTTCGCCGGCCATACACGCCTTCTGCCAGACACACTCAATTGACACGCCACCCAGGCTTCGATGCGCGCTTCCCCAACCAGAACCAGACCAAGCACTGCTGGCAGAACTACGTCGACTACCACAAGTGCATCCTCGCCAAGGGTGAGGACTTCAAGCCTTGCCGTCAGGTGCGCACCCCTTTCTAGCCGACAACACTCGTCACTCTGTCTGACGCACACNNACAGTTCTTCCTCGCCTACAGATCCCTCTGCCCCAGTGGTTGGGCCGCAAGATGGGACGACCAGCGCGGTGAGTCTCCAGTCAATCTAGCATCCAAGAACGATTCACTCATCATACAATGCNNAGAGAACGGCACTTTCCCCATGAAGCTGGACGAGTAAACGTTACCTCATGCGTGACGAATCAATCCAGTTTTGGCGTTTTGGGCAGCAGATGCTCGTTTCTCCTGTCGATAGCATCCATTATTGAGGACATAATCTCATTGCCCAATTTCTTACTGACTCGAGCTTCCTGTGGCTCACTCGTCTTTGACATGGCCGTTTCACGTCTATGGGTGCGACTTTTTGCAGCAGCGCTCTTCGTAAGAGCTCTTTTCTAATCAATATAGTAACGAGAGCTCTCGGTTTGTGTATCGTCTCCTTTAATCTCTCATTTCTCAACTTCCCTACCCACCCCCTACTCCACACACCCCAAGGGCAGCTATCAGGACGGCGCACAAGTTGATTCACTATAACTAAAATGCGTATCAATTCTCTGCCCGAGAACAACCCGGTCGTCTGTTGGCACTTCCGACGGGCGACATGGATGTAGCTATCTTTGTCCGCTTGCCTTGCACTCTGAGCTCGTCTGCCATGCAGGGGTTCTATTTCCATGGGTGCAAGGTTCGAGACTTTGGAGCTGACACGTCTCTAACCATGTTCTTATCCTAAATATGATCGTCAATCGAATTTCTCTCACCCATTGTTCATTCTCCGAAACACTCGTCTACTGCAACCTCCCAATCAGATCGCTTTTCGAAGGCAATAAACCAAGGCAAACAGCGACCTCAAGTTTAGATTTCTGGCACAAAGTTGCATCGAGAAAATAGTCAAGTGTGCTTCCTTGTAATGTTGTTGCTTTGCTTGATGCAGGTTACAGAAGAAGAAAAATCAAGGAATGCGTTTTTCCAGAGAGTAGAGGAAGAATCGAGAGGCTCACGGTGGTTTCTCAACAAATCATACAACTCGTTCCATCTCCAAACAACTGACCAAAACATAGATAAATACTGGCTGTAATGGGAAACAAGCGTACTGGAGAAATACAGTTGGTCATACTTTTCGAAATCACCAGAACATTAAAATATGCCCGTGCTGCTATAACAGCTAGAAGCCAATGCCCCAACCCTGATACACACAAACTCACAACAACTCAACCACCCCGACCGCCTCTAGCGCTCCAAGGCTTAAAACTACGTCCCATGCCCAATCTGCGTGCAGTGCCAACTCTATTGCCCACTTGCGCGACACTGGTTGCATGAAATGTAGTCGCTGGTTGAAAAGTCTCTTTCATCCCTCCTCCAACTCCACCATTTCCCACTTTGTCCTCTTCAGGTGGTGAAGACGGCGGTTCTGGGGGTGGAGGGCTGGATAAGAATGTATATGGTTTTGAAGCTGTGGGTGCATTGTCGCTGCTTTTTGCAGAAACGGGCTTTGTTGTTAGAGGTGTGGTGCGGAGTTTGAAGTTTGAGACTTGAGCTGGATTTGCTGACGGTATGATGGAGTGTTGTGGGTAGGATGATGGTCGTGAGGAGGATAGATTTGAGATATCGTTGAGAGGGTTGGACACGTGACGAGGCATGGAGGCTGGAAGTTTGGCCGGTGCATGTGTTTCTAGGACACTGGATGTGCGTGTCAACTCTAGCGATTGTGATGTTGTAGTGGCGGATTTTGGTTTGCCGAAGAAGGACATGATGTTGGCGGAGCCTTCGGCAGCTTTGTTTTTCTTGACTGGCGCTTTTCGGGCATCAATGTCGCGAAGTCTGGCTTGCTCTTGTGCAGAGTTCAGCTCTTGCATGCGAGACGCGGCTGTCATAGTCTTTGGCGGGATGGACATGGAAGCAGTCGAGAAGCCTGCTGGGTTCTGCATCGTGACTTTGGAAGCCGGCATGAATCCAGCTACGGGCACCGTCGGTCCGCTCTGTTGCTCAGTATCTGTCCTGCGTCGCTTGTTTGCGTAGATGCCTTCTTTAAATTCGATCTCGCGTCCTTGGTCCCATCTTGCATTTTCGCTCTTAGGGAAAGTGCCATCCACCGGCCAATGGGTGTCTTCGGGGGTCTCATATGTGCTACGTGCTTCGATGAGTTGTTTCAAAGCAGGCTTGTCTCTTCTCAACGTTCTTGCCAGCTCGACCACCGCATCGTCATAAAGCTTGGGTCCTTGAGTTTCGAAGAATGTTTCTATTCCCCTTTGTGTGAGAAAGTGAGACAATGCCGTTTCTCCAGATTGACTGTTTTTGTTGGGACAGCTCAAGTACAGCAAAGCTTGAGCTCTGGTCATGCCGACATACAATAATCTTCGTTCTTCGTCAATGTCGTCGGCTCTCGAATGTGGTATTGAGCCTTCGTAACAAGCGGGGATGAAGACGACAGGCCATTCGAGACCTTTCGCTGCATGTATCGTGGATATGGTGACGTACTGTTCAGTTTCGTCAGGATCTTCGTCCTGCTTCCTCTGAACTTCGCTAGACAGCGCGATGTTCGCCAGGAATAAGGTCAAGGCATCCTCATTCGCATTGATGAGACGCTGCTCCAAGCCCTCAATGCTTGGAAGAATTTCCTCTTCGACAAACTCCTCTCCTTGTGCCATAGCTGCTGTCAAGTCTGCCGTTTGTGCCTTGAGTTCTTCAATGTTGGCCCATCGAGTCTCATAATCGTCAGGATACTTCTTTTGCAAGAACTTAGAGAGTTCTAGTTTCTTGATCAGATATTCGACCAGATCGAATGGAGATGCTTGTTGATCTCCTGTACCTGTGATTTTCTTCTGTCCAGTCAAAACAAGATTGACCAGATCTGTCAAGCCCTTCAGAGCCTGATTGGAGAGCTTCGTGTCTGATCGTGCTTTTCCTTGAACAGCATTGAGGACTACCTTCCATAGAGTACTGCCTTTTCTCTCGGCTTCGTCTATCAAACCTTTCACCGTGACGTCGCCCACGCCGCGTGTGGGAACGTTGATGATTCGTAATAATGCATCGTTGTGATCCGGTTGGTTGATGACGCGAAGATAGTCCAGCACCATCTTGACTTCGAGACGGTCAAAGAACTTGGTTCCTCCAACCATACGATAGGGTATGCCAGAGTTGCCGAGTGCTGACTCAATGTGTCTGGAAACAGCTGCGGACCTGAGTAAAATCGCAAAATCGTTTGGCTTAAGCAAATCTGCGCTCAGAGCCTGTGTTCTCCTGATCTCAGAAACGAGCCATTTTGCCTCCGCGTCAGCTGTGGGAAGTTTACGAAGGACTGGTCGGTCTCCAATGCCAAACGTCGGCTTGAGAGCCTTGGAAGGTCTGCTCTCGTCTTGCTCAATGATTTGTTGGGCTGACTGAAGGATCGCCCCTGCTGATCTGTAGTTCTCTTCCAGGTGTATTACGTCCGTGTCAGGGAATCGTTTCTCCATACGTTCAAGGTTTTTGATTTCTGCGTTTCGCCAACCATAGATACTCTGATCAGGATCGCCGACGATAGTGACATTCTTCTTGAATTGAGAGAACAAACACATCAGCTCAAACTGTACGCTGTTCGTGTCTTGAAACTCGTCAATGAGGACGGCCTCGATGTTTGAGACGCACTTGGGGTGTTGACGAAGAAGCAAAGCACAACGTAACAGTAAATCATCGTAGTCCAGCAAATTTGACGTTCGTAGAGCTTCCTCATATTCGGCGTAGACGATACTGAACTCTTGCTCAGCGGCTTTGCGAGTGCTACCATACTGCTCAGCGCTGATGCTCTTGGCCTTGAGACTAGATATTCTGGCTCCGGCGCTTCCAGGTTCGATTGAGAAGCCTTGGCGTTTGATGATACGAGTGATGATGGCTCTGCTGTCCGACATGTCGGCAATACCGAAGTTCTTCTCAATACCGATCAGATTGCCATATGATACGAGAAATCGTCGAGCAACCGAGTGAAAGGTACCCAAGATGAGTTTTTTCTCCAGACCATCACCAACGAGATCTTTGATTCGCTCTTTCATCTCCCTTGCCGCTTTCACAGTGAATGTGCAGACAACGATGTTCCATGGCTTCAGTCCTCGTTCGGCGATCAGGTACGAGACTCGAGCAGTGAGTGTCTTTGTTTTGCCAGATCCCGGAGGCGCCAGCACCTGTAGGGCCAGTGAAGGCGAAGTCACAGCAAGCCTTTGAGCGCGATTTAGCCCATCTAGTAATTTGTCCATGGGTGTTGGTTATTCCATTCGTCGGCTTTAGTGGAAGACGCGATGGAGGCGAATTTGGTGACGCGCATTCACGTGCACTTCGGCCACGAGATTGGAAAGAGATTCATCAGAATTCTGCAAGCGCGACAAGTTTGCAAGGACTACGAAGGTTTCGGGCAGAACAACACAAAACAAGGCCTGTGTTACGTCCAGTCAGAGCAAAAACATCAATGATTCGGAGAGGGGAGGCCAAAGGCAAAAGAGATGCCTCGAGGGAGAATCGAACTCCCATCTAAGGATTACCCAAGCCATGCTTGGTCATTTCGATGACCGATATGAGACCTTCGTACTAGCCGTTATACTATCGAGGCGGGTTATGCTGTAGACCGTCATCCTGTAAACTATTACTGTTGCTCAAGAATGCTCAAGCTACATTTTACGAACGACTTTCCCAGACCGAGCTTCGACATGCTCTTTTTCAACCACATCGAGCTTCGTTGCTTTTTTGCCAACCCTGGCAATGGTCGCGACATTGTTGGTGTGGGAAGCAAGCGAGATCCCAAAGTTGATCACATGCGATGACGTGGGTGCCTGCCGCATTCGATACAAGCGTTGTTCGGTCAACTCTTCCCCGCGATAGGCAGTCACATCTGACTACGAGGTGTCTCTGCTCTTCTTACCTCTGATCATCTATCATCAACATGAAGACATCATCTATCCTCGCTGCGTGCGCGTCTGGCATTGCTGTACAGGCTTTCAGTGTCCCGAGAATCGCTCAGAATGCAGCCCAGCAAGTGCAGGGCTTCATGTCGCCTGAGCAGTACCTGATCGAGCTTGCTCCTGGCGAGACCAAGTGGGTGACGGACGCAGAGAAGTGGGCACTGAGAAGGGTATGCTTTGTCAAAATTCCTATCCAAGAGGCTGGACTGACGCATTAATAGGAGGGTATCTCGTTCTTCGACATCACCGACACACCCGACTTGGGCTCCGTGCCAAAGTCCAATGCCGCCGTCAAGTTCCCAGCTCATACTGAGTACAATTCGACTGTCAAGGGCCTCGCCGGCAACCTGACCAAGTCGAACATGCACGATCACCTCGAGACCTTCACCGCCTTCCACACACGCTACTACAAGAGTGAATACGGCGCCAAATCATCCTTCTGGCTGCTTGGCCAGGTCAACGACACACTGGCACATGCCGGAGCTCTGAAGCACGGCGCAAGTGTCAAGCACTTTGAGCATGCTTGGGGACAAAACTCCATCATTGCCACCCTTCCCGGCAAGACAAACAAGACGGTTGTCATTGGCGCCCATCAGGACAGCATCAACCTCTTCTTCCCTTCGCTGCTTGCCGCTCCTGGTGCTGATGATGACGGTTCCGGTACTGTCACCATCCTCGAAGCTTTGCGTGTCCTGCTCCTCAACCAGGACATCATTCATGGCAAGCAAGAGAACACCGTCGAATTTCACTGGTACAGTGCCGAAGAAGGTGGTCTGCTGGGATCTCAAGCCATCTTCCAGACCTATGAGAAGGCTGGTCGTGACGTCAAGGCTATGCTTCAGCAAGACATGACTGGCTACGTCCAGAAGACCTTGGATGCAGGCGAGCCTGAGAGCGTTGGCGTCATTACCGATTTTGTCGACCCTGGCCTCACCGAGTTCATCAAGAAGGTTGTCACCACGTACTGCGACATCCCTTACGTCCTGACCAAGTGTGGCTACGCATGCTCTGATCACGCCAGCGCTAGCAAGGCTGGTTATCCCAGTGCCTTTGTGATTGAGAGTGACTTCAAATACAGCGATAACAAGATCCACACGACTGAGGACAAGATCGAGTACCTGAACTTCGACCACATGCTCCAGCACGCAAAGCTTACTCTTGGCCTTGCTTTTGAGCTCGCCTTTGCTCATTTCTGATCGAATTGACTATGTCATTGCCAACCACATGTCTGCATAATTTAGGCGTTTGTCGCGTATCATAAATATCTATCTGTATCTAATCAACATTCTGGTCTTGTTCGCCTTGAGGCAATGGTTATATCTATATACTTCTGCCGCGCGATACTAAACCACAGAGATGAGTTGATACACCCTGCTGACATATTCCAATTCTCCAAGAAGACCAGAAGTGGCCCGCCGCTTCAAGAAAACATTGTTCGCCGAGAGAAAGAAAGATCGATTTTCGAGGCGATATTCTAACAGCCGACTACTCATGCCCTGAAGGTACACGGCAGGAATCAACTGCACTCAGCCCTGTTCAGCTCGACGGAAGAATTGAAAGGCTCAAGAGCTGAGGGCTCCTTTGTCCCGCCATCAGCTATCCGTATGGACGTTCGGGAGATCATGGAGCCTTGTAGCCGGGACCAGGCGTCCCGAAACGTTCTCTCTGATCAATCCGAGATCTTTGACTTCGTCTTGATACGAACACAATCCCGTCTTTCACTCCACTCGAAGGTCCGGCATCCAAGGCCGACAGATTCAGTGCCACACCGAGACTCCATTTTGTAACGGCTGCTATCAGCGGCAGCTAGGGAAGCGATTAGATCACTGGAACAAAGGGTGATTCAACCGACAGTTCTTCTGATCCAACGAACAGACATCGACTTTGATACACCTAATCATGTGTCTCAAGATCGCATTCCCTTGTATCCCAGTAGCAGCCGCCTGATCCAGGGGCATGGGTACGTGAATGCTTGTCTTTGTCTTGGTCCTGAGCTTGTTGGGCAGGCTGCATGTAGGATGATTGACAACAGCGGGCTATCCCGAGATGCCTGTACGTACATGCACTATCGTCACTGTACCACGTCCTGACTTGTGGATTTCTTCCGTTTCTGCCGTGCTGGGTCTCTTTCTTTTCCTGGAACCGAACATGTATGCCCGTTTGTGTTGCCCTCGTTCCTGGATCCCCGGCGGCTCTGCTGAACATCGCTTTCGCATATGATGAAGTACCTGTACGTATGTACTATGATGCATGCTGGTTCATGGCCCATGCAGATCCATCTGATTCAGCAAGGATGCCGAACCTTCCGCATGACCCCGTGATGCGGAGGATTGTCTCCATCCCGAGCTGCTGGGCAGACTGATTTTGGCAGCTGTCAGCTTCGAGTCAGGAAGGCTTCTTTCCCGAAGACCCTGTACAGGTCTGATTCAAACGTGCAAAAATAGTCTTCGCGTCCAATTCGACAATGCTGCTGACAGACAAGCTGAAGATGCAACAGGAATCGCCTCCCATCTTTCACCGCATATCTCTCTCGACTTCAGCTGCTCTGTATCCCGTTGGACCATGCTTCAGATCTCAACGACTATTTTGGGGAAATTGTGGGTCCTCCAAACGTTCTCGCCCATGTCAAGTTTGGACTTGGCGAATTTCTCCGGCGGCACGTTAAGCGATATCTGAAGCTTTCCCGAATCCTTCACCACATGCGCCACGAGTTTCTACACCCTTCGCATCCACCTGAGTGGTGGGTTTCAGAATCTATAACTCCGTCTGGAATCTGCCAGATGATGTCTTTGCAAGCCCTCAAAGCCACCGAAAGTTTGTGAATCTCTCATGAGCCACTTCGCTAGGCATCCTGTCGCCCCATGTTATTAGACATACAAGGGCCGAGACATTTGCGAATCGATATTCTTGCATGGATCCAAAGACCAGAGCTGAGTTGTGGTTCGGGCATGCACGCTGTGGATCGACTTAGGGCGCAGCACCTCTGCATGCTGGAAAATCATGCTGCAGACAACCCGCATGCTCGCTAAACAACCAAAGCTGTAGAACCTTATCGTTGCCCTTAAACTATTGAGGAAAGGCCTGTACTTTGCCCAGAGTATCGGCAAATATCGAGAAATGAATAGACAGCCTAAATCTTGCTAGTTAATGCGCACAGAGAATCCTTCAACATGTCATGGACACAGTGCCGTATCTTGAGACTGACAAAGCTATTCATTGAGACTGATTGTTTCCAGTCGACTCAATGAACGGCATCGTAAGTTCAACATCTAATAGGCGATACATCTTTACAGATTTCGGTTTCGGGATTCCCGTAGCCCTACGTCTGTTTTCTCCCTGCTGGTATCACTATATTCTTGTTAGTGCCATGCATGGCTTGACGCTTGTTTGCCTCCACGTCGGAGCATACACGTGCACCTGGCCGTCTGCCGCAGCAGGAACAGCCCTCTGTACCTTCCTGGTACTCGACTAGACTCGGTCCAAGGCCCATCCAGCTAGCCGGCTCTTCAGGCCCATGGCTACCTATCGTTCGGCTCTGCCGAAAGGCATAAAATATTGGGATCTCTACATGCTCTCATTGATGAGATAAATTAAGTGCATCGCCCATCTCTTACTAGAATTCCTCTCTCAGACATTTCCTCACTATAGCACTACATTCGCTCATTCTTACCCCTCTTTGAGAGGTGGCCACCATCGTTATGAAGGCCTCAATCTTGTCCGCTGTGGCTAGCTTTGTTGCTATTGCGGCTTGTCAGAACTCGACCATCACTTCTTCTACCACTTCGCATGCTGCATCGGTCTCGTCGAGTTCTCCTTTTATTCCATCGACATCATCCACTCCCGCCTCTTCTAGCATATCCTCTTCGGGTACCGCAATCACAGTCGCTCTCGATGGTTCGGCTCAGTTCACCGCTATCAATGCTGCCGTCAACGCTGCTCAGAATAGCGGCATTCCTACAGTCGTTGTCAAAGCTGGCACCTACTCTGAGTCTATTGCTATCAGTGGAACTCAGACTGTGACTATAATCGGCCCAACCGCTAGTTCCGTCGCACAAAATCAGGTCAACATTGTTGCAAACAACGCCGTTGGAGTTGTGAGCATTGCTACAGCCAATACTCAGGGCATCACCTTGAGGAACTTGAACTTGACCAACCCTGCGACAAGTGGACTTGCTCCTGCTGTATCTATCAGAGGCTCTAAGCATGGGTTTTACACCTGCGCCTTTGTTTCCAGCAGTTCCGGTGTTTACTACTCTTCTCTCGGAACTTCTTTGATTGCCAACAGCTACCTGGAGGGCACAGACAAGCTCTTCTACAACTATCTTACTGCATACGTCTATGGATCCACGATTGTTCCCACCGCCAGCAGCGCGTCTATCATGTACGCCCAAGGTGTGGCCGCTGGTCTGTCCAACGCCGGTAACTCCACTCTCGTGGTTGACTCTAGCTCTGTGATTCAGAAGGCTGGCAACACTAACACATACGTCTATCTTGCGGCACCCAATACGAGTGGCAACTTTACCCAAGCTATCTACCGCAACAGCAATCTCGGAAGCTTGATTGCACCAAGTGGATTCAAGGGCACCACTTGCAGCTCTGCCGCTTTCTATGGAGAGTTTTCTAACTTTGGCCCAGGGGCTTATTCGGCCAATGCACAGAGTAGGCCGGGGGCTGCGATGTCCAATTGTCTGTCGATCAGGTATCTGCTTTTACTATCGATAAGGTTTTCGGAAACGCATTTGCTGGATACAGTTCCGATACCACCTGGATAGATTCTAATGTCTTGGGCGCGATTCAAAAGTCCGACTCCGCTCAGATTGCTACTGTCTCAGGCTCCTCCTCTGTCTCAAGCTCCTCGTCTGCCTCGAGCTCCTCTGCCTCGAGCTCGTCTGCCTCGAGTTCCTCCATCTTGAGCTCCTCTGCCGTGAGCTCCTCCAACAGTTCTTCAGCATCATCAACTATGTCGTCTGCATTGTCTGTATCGACAATCAGCAGCACTGTTTCAGTCTCCAGTTCGAGCGTTTGTGCTACACCTACTCCTTCAGCAACTCTGGTGGTGTCTCAAAATGCTACCGCATGCCAGTACAACAACATTTCTGCTGCTATTGCCGCTATTCCCAACGACAGCAAGCCTTACACCATCTATATCAAACCTGGCGTATACAACGAGCAGATTAGCATTACCAGAAATGGTAAGGTCACGCTTGTTGGTGAGACTAGTTTCAAGAACGACTATAGCCAAAACCAGGTCAAGATACAATTCTCAAGTGGTCGCGGTACAAACTTGGGCCAGAACGAACAGACTCCTGTAATCAATTCAAAAAGACCAACGACAACTCTGGTCTGGCTTTGTACAATATTGATTTCGCCAACACCTTTCCCCAAACTGCCAATACCGCCGCTCTTGCAGCTGATTTCTATGGCAACAATATGGCCGCTTATGGTTGTTCCTTCGTTGGTTTTCAAGATACTCTTCTTGCCAACAAGGGCACCCAGGTTTTCTCGAACTCATACGTTGAGGGCTCGATCGATTTCATCTGGGGATTCGGCACAGCATACTTCTATCGATCTGTTATCGCTTCGAACACTAAGGGCGCATGTATCGCTGCTCAAGGCCGTGTTGTGACGACTCCAGCTGCCTACATCTTCGATGAATGTTTGGTCACATACACCTCTACTTACGGAAGCACGTTTGCCGCTAGTTATCTTGGTCGTCCTTATAGCAATTACTCGACAGTTGTCTACAAGAACAGCTACCTCGACAAGCACATTAACGCTGCTGGCTGGCAGGTCTGGCAAACTGGAAATCCTCAGACTTCCAACGTCGTATTTGGAGAGTATAACAACACTGGTCCCGGAGCATGGGTCTCAGGAACTGCCCGTGTCTCCTTTGCAACCAACATGACCGACGATCAGGCCGCGGGCTACAGTCTCTCAACTTGGGTTGGCGACACCAGCTTCATTGATCAGGCTGCATGGAATTACGAGCCGTCTTGGAGCTTCCCTGCATCCACGACCACCGGCAGCGCTAGCAGCACTTCCTCAGGTGTTCCTGGACCTACTAGTACTTCATCGATCAATATCCATCCTAACAGTGGTAGCGTTCCTCCTCAGTACGCAGTGATCGTTTCGGCTGATGGTCAATACAATGCTTCGTTCACAAACTTGACCGCTGCTCTCGCTTCTCTGCCTAATGATAGTACCAACCAGACCATCTTCCTCTATGCAGGCTCTTACAACGAGCAGATCCCTTCAATCAATCGCCCAGGTGCCGTTCGTGTTATCGGCTACACTTCTGGTAGCCCCGGACAGAGCTACAAGGATAACTCTGTCACCGTGACATTTGCACGTGGTCTTTCGGTGTCCCCTCTACCCGCCGGCCACAACGATGCGGAAACTGCGACCGTCGCTACTGCCTCCAATAGAATCTCATTCTACAACATCAACTTCATCAACTCTGATAATCTTGATGGACTGGAGCCGAACTACGTAACATTGGCCGCCTCGATCTATGGCAACGACATTGGTTTCTACGGATGCTCCTTCCAAGGCTGGCAGGATACTCTCCTTACTGGTGCAACTGCTGGCTACCAGTATTATGAATCCTGCTACATCTCTGGAGCCATTGACTTCATCTGGGGTTATTCGAAGAGTTTCTTTAAGGGGTGCACTATCGGCGCTAAAAGACAAAAGTCTGCTATGACTGCTCAGAGCCGTGCTTCTGCTTCCGCCATTGGTGGTTATATCTTCGACCAGTGCTTGTTCACGGCTGCCACTGACGCAACGGTTGACCTTACCGGTACAGTCTACCTCGGTCGTCCTTACTCCGCTTATGCACTTGTTGTTGTCAAGAATTCTTACCTTGATGACTTGATCAACCCATCAGGATGGAAAACTTGGTCGGCTACCGACCCTCGCACTGACCATATCACCTTTGCCGAGTACAACAATGTCGGTCCTGGCTCTTGGGCAAACAATGTCGCTGCACGTCAAGCTTTCGGCAATGCCACTCTTTTGACATCTGATACCTATTCTCTGGAGGCAGTCATGGATGACACTGCTTGGATCGACAAGACTTACTGGAATTCGATCGTTACACCTGAACCTGCCGTAGTCAATACCACCACCCCTACCAACGTCACAGTCTCCGGATCGAGCTCTTACAACGGTACTGTGCCTCCTACTGGTGCTCTCATCGTTTCTAAGAACGCGATTGATGGTGTTACTACTTACGATACAATTCAAGGCGCTCTTAATGCTGCACCCACCTCGAGCAAGACCAACGCTACCATCTTCATCTACCCCGGTGTCTACCAAGAACAGCTGATCGTCAACAAGAGCGGCACTACCATCTTCATGGGCTATTCTGACTCGACCGATGATTACAACAAGAACCAGGTCACCATCCAGCAGTCTTATGGCGAAGATACCCAGGGCACTGGAAGCGATGTGGACGCTGCTACTGTCTACGCCACTGGAAACTATTTCTATGCCTACAATGTCAACTTTAGAAACAACAATGGCACACAGCAAAATATCGCCTCTCTCGGTTTTGCGGTCAAGAGCAGCAAGTATGCCTTCATGCACGGCTGTCAGATCTATGGTAACCAAGATACTCTGTACATTTCCGGAAACATGTTTACATTCAAGAGTTACATCGAGGGTAACGTTGATTTCATCTTCGGTGCTGGATCTGGTTACTTCCTCAACTCGACCATTTCACCCAATGAGGATGGTGATTCCATTACTGCTGCTAAGCGTGCAACCAACACTACATCTGCTGGCTTCGTCTTTGACCAGTGTTCTATAGTGCCTGCTGCAGGCTCTTCTGGATTTAAGAATGTTTCACTAGGACGTCCCTGGAACAACTTCGCTCGTGTGCTCTATGCTGGCTGTTATCTCGATGGTTCAGTTGGCTCGGCAGGTTGGACTCAGTGGAGCAAGTCTTCGCCTCAGACTGATGGTGTTACCTTTGCCGAATACCACAACTTTGGCCCTGGAAGCAATACTTGCAACCGTGCCAGCTTCTCGCAGCAGCTATCTGATGCCGATGCCGCTCAATTCCAGTTGGCTAACTTCTTCCCCACCACTTCATGGATTGATTTCTCTGTCGTCGATGTTCAACCTTTCACCGCTGGCTTCGGCTCTGCTCCCGCTGGATGCATTAGTTCCACATCTTCCTCCATCCTTCCAACATTGTCAAGCACCAGCTCTATAACATTGCCTTTGGCCACGACCCAGATCACCACAACCATCATCCAGAAAGCAACCACCTATACCACAGTGGTGCAAGGAGATGTCACATCGACCGCCGTGACCTACGTCACCGAGAATGATGGCACTACAGTGACCCCCGACCCTATTCTCAAAACCTCAATCGTCAAGTCGACTAGTGTTGTGACTTCTACAACAACCAAGGCAGGCAAGACGACTACAGTCAAGTCTACCTCGGTTCTTCTGGCTACTGCTACCGCCTCTGCGAAGGATGTTACCGTCAAGCAGACCTCGGTCGTCTCGAGCGAAACAACCATTGCAGGCAAGGATACCACCATCAAGAGTACGGAGATCGATTACTTTACGACTACTGTTGCTGGTAAAACTTCGACCGTCAAGGCAACTAGCACCGTCCTTGTCACCTCAACATCCTCCCCAAAGCCAATCACTGTTACTGAGAACATCGGCGCTCTGGTGACGATTTACCAAACTTCGACCATGAAGGGTTCAACTATCAGCAGTGTCACTACGATTCAAGCGCCGGACGTCACATCTTCAACAACTCTCAAGCCATCGACTATAACCGTCTCGAGCTTCTCGATCAAAACAACCACGAAGGGAACAACCATTACCGCTTCGTGTGTACCTACTGCAGATGCTGCCAGACTTTTCAAGAGAGGGCTTGAGGCTCGTGCTGCTGGAACTACTACAATCTATGTCAGCACTACAGTGACCTCATACGTCAAGACCTCAGTCTTCACCAGTGCAGGATCAACCATCTACACTAGTGTGACAAGTACTAGCACTATTGCAGCGACCAGCACACTCAAAGCGGCTACTTCAACAGTTCTGAGCACTTCGCTTGCAACGTCGATTCAAGTCATCACTGAGAGTGCTGACGCCGCAACCTCGACCTCGGTGATTCTGTCAACTTCGGTCACCACAGAAACCATTGCAGGATCTACCCTAACCAGTCTTGCATACAGTACTACATTCGATACTGTTTCTCCGCCTGGAAGCACTTACTACAGCGTTGCAACCGTCAGCTCAACTGAGAGTATCTCTGCATCAGCGACCACCGTGACAAGCTTCAAGCTCGTTTCTAGCACCACTGTCATCACTGCCGAGCAGTCCACATTGACAATTACCAATTCCGCAGATTCGACGACTACGATTCAGACCACGCTCCCAGCGTCTACTACGACGGTCTTCAAGACTAGCTCGCTGAAGGGCAGCACGGTCAAGGTTTCTGTGACACCTGAGCCTACAACCAAGACGACGGTTGTGAAGAGCACATCTACAGTCTTTACCACCGTCACAAAGACTGCAAAGAATGCACCTGCTTGTACAGATTAGAAGGATTTGATGTTCATTGTATGAAGGAGGAGTTCTCCAGCATCATAACACCTTGACGAGATTCATGTTTTTATTATATACGATTACAAGCTTTTAATGTACATACTTTCATCCATTAGTTGCTTGTTCAGCACTTGTGTTTATCTTCGTGTGCTGGATCGTGCCATGTACAGCTTTGTGGATACACTGTATCAAGAGATAGGACAAGATCCAACCGGCGTCGTTATCGTGTCGGCTCTCTGTAGAAAGACTTTGATCCTGACAACATGTACATCCTCTTTTAGATCACATGTCGTTTCTGGTGATCATGAGACACCACAGACATAATGTAGCGCGTGGGAAGAAGCTGTATGCGACCGATTTGTAGTGGCGGCAATAAGTCCACAATTCCGTCAATTGACTACCGCATCCTCGTTGATGATCTTGGTTATCCTCGAATGTGGCAGACAAAACTACCGCTCAGGATGATTTGTGAATGTGTCTTGAGATATCCATCTTCAGTTCTGGGAACAGTCGACTGGAGCACCCCGGGTGATCCTTTCTCGACTTTCGCCCTGAACTTCCTTACTAAGTGCCAGGAACAAGTCTATCTTTCAACAAAGCACGAAAGAGGTATTGCCTATCTGTTTATGGAAGCGGGAATTTGTTCAGCTGGCGTTATCGGTGATCGCAGAGAGAAAATGTGTCCGAGCGAAGCCTAAGAACCCATCCTTGGATATATCAACCAAACCTTGAGACATACCTTCGTAACGTCGATGGTGGATGTAGCCGGGGTCTCTTTGTTTGTTCCGAGAGTAATGGACGCATAGGACATCGTTGTCGGCTGTCAGGGGTAGACATACCAAACTGAAACCTCAACACTCATCCCTGGATATCTCAACCAAAACAACAGCTATTCTTCTGAAGCTTGGATAGCATATGCAGCGAGGGTCCTTCTATCACATGTATAAGCCTTGTTTGATAGGGAGTTGTGTGGCGCTTGATATCCTGGAGTGAAGCCAAAAACTACAAAATTTTCCCTCGCCACGACCACACCATCTATCCTCACTTCCAGTAGGCCAAAAGAAACCTGGAATGACAGGGAATCGAACCCTGGATCTCCCCCCATGCGAAGGGGGCGCATTACCCCTGTGCCATCATCCCGACGATTTTGGTATGTTGAGAATCTGGTTGGTAAATATATAGTCCAATTCGGAGTTTTTCCTCACTCAAAGGCCACGAGCAAAAAGAACGAACTCATAGCTTTCCACGGCTGTGCACGGCTTTATCGTACGTCGAGGTTTGAACAAGATGACATCGTCGCAAGTTGTGAAGCCTGGATTTTGAAGAATTGGCTGTCAAAGCACTTTTAGCAGTGTTTTAAAAAGGCTCATTGTGTCCTTTGGCAATCAGACATGCGACAACATCATAGAACGATGCTCTATGAGCTCGTTGACCGAGGATTCGAGTCCTCGAGGGTGGTGGGGGTCCGTGAGATATAGGCGATCTCCGAATCTCAACCCGTCGAATTCCAGGCTTCACCCTAAATCGGCCTAAAACGTCTGCACTAAGAGAGAAACACTTGCTCCGTGTGTGTAGATATCATGATTTGGGACATAGTACATGCCGAGATCGTCTGAACATTCCAGCTCGGAGTATACAGTCTCTCATCTTGGGCTTCCTCGGGCCTGCAACCCGGCCGGAACGTAGAACACTTGTAAGCCTCTCCAGAGCCTGTGGGGTAGTCTATATTGCTATCCGGTAAGCTCGAGTATGTCATGTGGTGAATAATTACCATCAGGCTGGTCGGTTAGCTCAGTTGGTTAGAGCGTGGTGCTAATATCCTCTTGATATATGGCACGCCAAGGTCGCGGGTTCGACCGTGAGTACACTCGATCTTTGCACCTCATATCATGATTACTAATTATCTCTTAGCCCGTACTGACCATCAAATCTCTTTTTTGTTGCTTTGCAAGAGACACTAGGTCATAGAGCACGGTCGAGTCGCTTCGCGATGGACACTAGGTCATACTCGTGCACTTTGTTGCTTCGCAAAAGATACTGGTCCATGACCCCCACACCTCGCTAACGCTCGGGGCTGGGGGGGATAACGAACTCGCGGGAAGTTAAAAGGCCGCGGGTTCGACCCCCGTACCGACCATCGTTTTGCTCGTGGAAGGGCGGGAAAGACTGGTATAGGTTGACGGAAGATGGTGGTAGAGAAGGGGGTGGTGATTTTTGGAGAATTTGGTCCAAGAAGTAAAGAAACTGGGACCGCACTTGTTCTTTTTCTTATTGTCTGAGCACTGACAACACTTAAACAGATTCCTACCTTTAAAAAAAGACTTGCCTATGTTTTTTTGAGTCGAGTGGATCAGAAATGTTGCGCTGGGGGAAGCTGGCTGAGAGCGTCTCAGACGAAATAGTTCCACACCTTGGACCAACAAACAATGCTTGACTTACCGCGGACATCATCCTAAAATGCAACAGAAGTCCGAAAATGTCGTGTAAGAGTAGCCTGGAAAGTGGTTGGAAATTTGGCTGCGCTTTCGGTAAAAATAAATCATCTTGCCGAACAAAGTCCACAGTCAATCAACCTTCGGATCTTACCAAGATCTGTAACAACAAAACGAGGGAATTCATGTTTTGATTCAAGAGAAGTGACAAAGTCCACCAAGGCACTCCAATTGTACCTAAGCTACGTTATCTCTGTACATTCTCTGCCCCAGAGATCACGACACCAAAACCATACGCGAGAGTGGTTGGAACCTCTGGAACTATGTAACGTGCAAAGACATGTATAATCAGGTCATAGTCTTTCTCAGTATCCTTGATCTTGTGGTCTGTAGCGATAATATAGTCTCACTGCCCGTTGCCATCACCTCGGCAAAACGGAGCATTACACCGAAGCGGAGTCATTCGCGACAAACGAAGTTGTCGTCCCTCTCCCATCTTCTCGACATTCAGCCCGGCAAGACAGATCTTATGTTATATATTTGAAGAATGGAGACAGCGCGGATCTCGAAGTCCGCTGAGCACAAAGTGTCCAAAAAGCCGAGAAAGAGCATCGCGTATGTTGCTGTCTGCCTTTGATCGAAGCCTCGGTAAACTGATCAACTATACCGACCATAGNNCTGCCAACGATGCCACTCACACAAGATCAAGTGTGATGGTCAAAAGCCTTGCAAGAATTGTAAAATTGCCAATGATGCTTTATGCGAGTATCCTGTCAAAGACCGTAAGACTACAGTCCGAGAAAGGTAGCGTACATGCAGTGAAACGAAACATATATTGCGACTAACATCCTCCNNAAGCTACATCAACGACCTATTGAAAGAGATCGAACGTCTCAAGCAACAAGCTTCCACACCGCGAAGCGAAGATCAACAGCAGAGTCACAGTAATTCACCCGAGCCTTCTGCCACCACAGATCCAGGAAACCCATTGGTTCGAGATGACGCTTGGTTCGTTCCACTTGATGAAAGTACCATCTTCATTGGCGAGGCAGCATGTACTGCATTCTCATCACGTTTGCGCCAGCTCCTTCTGCACACGCAAGCAGAAATTCACATGCCTAGAACTCACTATGTTCAAGACAGTCAAATCTTGCAAGCCGCAGACGAAAATGCACCATGGCCAAGTAGACCACAAGCATACCTCCTTGTGGAATCTGTCATTGCAACAGTGGGGCAATGCTACCATCTTTCTTCCTTGTCTAGCGTTCGGGGCATACTAGAGACGGCATATACTGATCGATCATCCCTCAATCAAATGCAGGAGTGCAAGCTGTTTGCCCTGTTCGCACTTGCTCAGGTTTATTCACCTAGATTGGCTGAATCTCAAGCCTCTGTGTTTCCTGGATTACCATATTTCACGAAGGCTAGGGCGCTCCTTCCTGTGTTGCCTGAACGCGCTACAGCGGACCATGTGGAAGTGCTAACCTGCATTGTAAGTTGGGAAACCGCGACATGATAGAGCGACTGCTGATGCCAGAACAGNACGATTTACTCATTGGCAATGAATAGACGCCATTCAGCTTACTGGTATATAGGGTCTGCAATGCGGCTTTCCATGACTCTGGGTCTGCACAACAACATTGCAAAGTCGCAATTGCCGGATCTAGCTGCAAGACAAAAGAGAGCACGTCTGTGGTGGACGGTTTATGCGCTTGATCGTTTTATTGCCAGCAAGATTGGACATTCTGCATTCATCCAAAACGACGATATAGAAGTCAGTCCACCTTCAGATACTGGCCTTACCGATGCGCANAAGGGCGATGTGGTCAGCGCCGATTATCTCTGCGCGAGTATGCGGCTGGCGAGCATCGCTGGTGAAACGATTTCTACCTTGTACAGTCGCAAGAAGAATGATCGACCATTTGTTCAGAAGGTGCAAGCCATCTTCAAAAGCCTTCGAGATTGGTCGGCGACACTACCGGAAAGTGTCAAGATGTGGCCAGACAAGCCCGCAAGCTGGCATATTGTCGCTCTACATCTCTCCTTCAATCAAGTATGTCGAGACCATGGACGCTTCTTGCTATAACTAACAGTANNTCAGTGTGTCATCCTCGCCACAAGACCAACCTTGCTCCAAGTCTTTCATGTCACCAACCGCACGAATCGAAGAGATGAGATTCCTCAAGCTACATTCATGCTGGCCGAGACCTGTGTGCATACTGCGAGGCATACCTGCCGTCTCATAACCCAAGCCTGGACAGCACTTCCAGCTCTAGATTATTCGTCGGCGCAGTATCTCTATGCTGCTGCGACCATTCTTGCGGTCTCTAGCCTCTGTCTCGGGTGTAGTGGTGCACAGGCAGACAAGGAGACATTCCAATCTGCACACCATCTCATGAAGCAACTCGATCGGCTAGGAAACATTGCTGCAAGAGAATTCTGCCAGCACCTGGACGCTGTTCTCGAGTGCATCTCGAAATTCGAGGCCGAGAAGTCTGAGCAGTTGCTGGGAGTCGCGCCGCAACAACTGTCAAGCATTGATCCGCTACGAATGGACGAGATGACGAGCGAGATGGCAATTTTTCAGAATGTGCAGGACTTCTTGTCGTATGATAACGCTGATCTGGAAGCGCTCTTTCCTTTTGACGCGACCGATATCTGGCCGTATGTGTCGATGCCGGACTTTGAGGCGTGAGGTAGCTAGAGCATGAGTATTAACTAGCTTCAAGATGCTGTTGGCCTTGTGAAACAGTACGAGTCAAGCACTATGGACTGGAAGGTCTTGCTGCATAGTATCTCTGCAAAGTCGCAAGACACTGAATGCACCATTAATGGTTGGAACATATCTGATATCAAATATGAATGGGGATGAAGGATTCCGAAAGCACTTTCGAGTTGGCGGCGCGCCAAGCGTTGTCTGCAGTCTGTCATCATCGCGTCCCGTCTCATCAGAAACGGGGATACCTTTGACCATCCAGCTTGACTTGAGCTTAGGCAATCCATAACCACATTTTAGCAGGTGAGTGAAAGTCGGTGGGACATGATGTTCGAGCTCGGACGTCGCTAACTGAGTAAAGTCGCTGCAGAAATAAAACATTCCCCCTTCTCTCCTGACTTCTGCCTATCATCCAACCAACTCCTCACAAACCACACACAAGATGCGTTTCGCCCCGGTCGTTCTGGCCCTGCCTGCCATGGCAGCTGCCCAGCAGCAAGTCCCTCTCTTCGAACAGGCCAAGGGCTGGTTCAACAACTTTGTCGGCGCCGCTACCTCGAACGTCAACTCTGCCAGCTCGGCAGCAGCCTCGGCCGCATCTGGCGTCCCCAACCCCGTCCACGCCGCCGCCGGCCAGGTCGAGCAGCTCGCCGTCACCGACCTGACCAAGGAGAACTACAACCAGGTCCTGAAGCCTGGCGCCGCAACCGCCAGCCCTGGAATCGAGGACTGGATGATCTACACCACTGGCGGCAACCGCACTTGCTTTGGCATGTGTGCCCGCGCTGACGTCGAGTGGTCCAAGGCGGTCTCGCTTCTGTCTGCTGTCCCCAGCGCTCCCCAGCTCGGTCGTCTTGACTGCGAGAAGGAGCCTCAGTTGTGCAATGCATGGGGTGCCGGTGCCCCCAGTGTCATCTACATGCAGCTTCCCCAGCCTCTTCCCGATCAAACCACCCCTGCCACCACCGTCCACTTTATCGCCTTGAACCGCACCACCGTCTCCGCTCAAGATATCGTCGAGATTGCCACCGAGAAGGCTTTCAAGCAGCGTACTCCCTACGAGGGCTTCTTCCACCCCTTTGACGGTGTGCTCGCCAAGACTGGCCTTGGTATTCCTTTCGGTTGGGTCGTCTACGGTTTCTCCGTCATGCCCAGCTGGGCTTTGATGATTGGCATTTCCTTCTTCTCCAGAACTTTCATGTAAGTTGCTTTTGTTTCTTTTTGCGAAAAGAAAAAAACAGAACTGCACGATACTGACCCTTCATAAAAGNNGAGCAAGAGAATGGGTCCCCAGGGTGGTGCTGCCGCCAGACCCGCCGCCGCTGCCCCTGCCGGTCGCACTCAGTAAACGACAGAATCCACTGCCCTCGAGTGAGCGATTCTTCAGTGCGGAAAGATTTGCAAGAAACAACAGGATATACAAAGCACAGCCCCGAGCCGAGGAAGCAAAAGTGTAATAAGATGCAGGGTTCTGAACATTTAGTCGTTCTTGTTCTTTTGGAAGAGGGAATATGCTCTAGTTCTTTTTTTCTGGCGAACAAGCGCTTTTTGTTTCTCACGACACGCTTTGTGAAGTTTTCTATCATAGTGGATATATCGTCTCCTTGTTCAAAAGTCACTTGAATCGATTGAGTTTGCTGTGAGGACTCTTGCATGTATGTGTCGCAACACGGCCAAACCCCGTGACAGCAACAGCTACCCACACACAGAGAGGTGAGAAGGACGAAAGATTCAGGTTGATTGATGGTGTTTTGGTTTTCATTTGCTGAAGACTGCTTCTTTGAATAATATAGAAAGATGAAATTTGTCGCTTGTTTCGAGTAACGCCTGACCAAATGCTTGCTTTACGCCCCGTGTCCACCCAACCCTGAAACAGCCATGAACCCAAAAAGAGACGCCATGAAATAGAGTACAGAAAAGTAGCAAAGCCGAGAAGGATTCACTCCTCCATGAGCTCGACGGGAGGACGAGCGGTGTGGACCAAGGGCTTCTGTACATCCATGCCAAAAGTCTCGTCTACAGGTGATGCCTCACAGCTAGTGTCTTCGACAGCGATGGCAGGGAGATGAGGCGAGTGGCCCTGCTCAACAGGTGAATAGACAATAGTCCTCGAATCGGCCCTGCTTCTTTGCACCGCGGGAACAGAAACGGGCGCAGTCTTTTCCTCGACTTGCTCGATATGTTGCACCTGCTCATCTTCCGGCACAGACGACAATCTGTGCAATGCATCTGCCAGATCCTCAGCGTGAACCTCCTTGTTAGGAGGGTCCTCGTGCCTAGACTCCCAACCATGGGGTGGCGAAGGAGGAGGCGAGATGAAGAACAACTTTCCCGTCGACGGAGCCTTCAAGTGTTGATCTTCTTGTGTGGTAATCTTCGTCTCTGCGCCAAAGTAGACACGGATGCGCTGACCGAGCACGTTCTCGCCATCCAACTTTGTGCGAATGTCGATTGCGGCGTCGACATTGTAGAAGGAGGCGATGATGCGGCGGAAGGATTTCAGGGGTGAGAAGGAGTAGGTTGTTGCGTGGCTGTCGAGGGCGGCCTTGATGGTTGCGAGGTTGGTGGCGCCGAAGATGGCAGGGTCGTTGAGGCCGGTGATGATGAGTGTGTTTGAAGGTACGGGGATTGTTGTGAGTTGAGGTAGGTTGCTAAGATCGATGGAGAGAGAGGGCGAGTGCTTGCGCTTTGTGGGCGAGGCCGAAGGTGACGAGGCGTGAGGAGACATTGGTGTTGTTTGGAGCGAAGTCACTGCTGCCATTGTGGATGGAGATGTGGAAGTCGATGTCCGGGCTTTGTCGTGCTATGTCCGTTTGAAGGAAGAGAGAGAGAGATGACCAAGTTTTGTCTGTTATCTCTTTGGATTGCTTTTGCTTGTAGTGGAAGGTGCTGCTGATAAGGTCTTTGTGCTCTCTGGCCTTGCCCGATAGGCGGGCCTTGTAGCATTTACATATGCCATGATGGTCTTGCACTGCCTCATCCGACCATGGCCGTTTGCGCCGTCATGCTCGCGCCGCACGGACTTCATACGGAATGGCTCAGCCGCCGACGCTTCGGGGCCTCCTGCCACCAGCTGCTTTGTTCCCCCCGTTGGCGCCATGGCTGTTGCTGTTTGACCATTTGTCTCTCACTACACAGGCCGGCCGCCGCAGCACTCTCGCTCCGACTGTTTCTGCCCTCAAAGACACACCGAGTCGAGACAGCCTAGAGACAAGTGTCACCTAAAACCTGCATCGCTTAAATGGAATTGCATACACGGACCTGCTCCCCTTGTGCTCTCTAAGCCTCACGACTTGCCACTTCCACATCATTCACTGCACAGCTTTTGCTTCTCACAGACCACTCTCTGGGCATTTGCTTGGAGAGCAGTGAGGAGAAGACAAAAGAAAACTCTCCCGACTACATCCATTCTGTACACAGCCCTCTTTTCTTTGTGTCCGCCCTTCTTTCCGCTGCGTGCCGAGACGATACTGTAAACCAAAACTCAGCCCCAATAGCTGTAACTCCACTTGGCAGAATAAGGAAGGTCAAGTAGCAACACCAGCTCTGCTATCAGTGTCCCGCAACGACTCACGGCGATGTACCAAGCTATCGTAACACACGATGCATGCAAACCCATCAATCAATCCCACGCGCCTTCTTTGGACACTTCTTTGTTATAAAACCAGTTGTATGGTCTTGTAGCTACACGGATGACCGACTTTACACACACAGAGGTCACCTCACCGGTCCACTAACCTCCGTTCTGTTCGTAGGGGCCTATGCGAATCCGCTCGGTCTCACACTGCTTCGCCTTGCTGGTTGGTCCTATTAATCGGGGCTATAGCAAGGCAACAAGATTCTTCATTGCTTCATGCATTCCTCTAGGATCACCACGAAGACGCGTACATAACGTAGCTCACGTAACAGCCTTACGACTCTGCTTCGCCTTCTGTTCAGTGCTTCCGTGCTCGAACCGATCCTTAGGAAACAACTTTGCACTGTGACAGTTCAATACCAACATTGTCTTACTCAGGGACTCTCATCCGTGATATACACCCTGTTGCTTTGTGTGTTCATGCCTCCAACATCCACCATCTCATCTGCCGATTAATCTCTTCTTAGACGTCTCTCGTGCAATGATTCCGTTCCCAAGTTCTTCTCCTCCGCATTTGTCCGGGACAAGCAAGAGTTCTCTAGTCAATTCATCGACCTGATATGTGAAGTTGCTGTTCGTGTGCGGGCTTGCTTCCATCATATAAACCACACAGAAACAGACAAAACAAGTGCACTCTCGGCTGACTTTACCGAGAAGTATTCAACACGGTAGCAAGGGGTTATGGTTTCGATTTTGTATACTCCACTATCGTGTATACCAAGCCAAAGAAGCTTCTTCCAAAGGTAACAAGGTATCTCTGCATCTCATAACAGTATACTACACAGCTATTGTAATGCTCCCCAACCAAAAAGGCAAACCAAGTAGCATGATTAGCTAGCATTGGCGACATCAGTCGTTCAGTTCAGACCACCAATCTTTCTTGCCACTCGAAACGTCGCTCTCCTTGATTATGCTGAGAGGGAACTCGTGGCCAATTGCTGCAATAGATCAGTGTCTGTGCGTATAGCGTCAAAGGTGGAACAAATCACCTTTTAGACGTTCCTTGAACTCGACAATGGTCGCATCGGTAGGATTGGCATCAACGAACTCTAGGACAGCGTTGCCCCGGTAAAACGCAAAGTCGAACGAAATTGTAGTATACCACATGTCGTGAGGAGAACTTGTGAAGTCCGAATTGATGAAGGTGAATCGAAGTGATTTGAGCCACCTACCTCGACCCGAACAATTGCTCAAGATCTGAACCGCCCATGTGTGCACGATCTTCCTGAAGAGAATACGGATATGTTTGACACGCTCAAGAACAACTTTGGCCAGGCCGCGAGCTAATTTATCTCTCCCAGACGTCAACTGAAGCTGGTATCCAGTGCGGAATGGGTTTTTGATGGCACCGTTGAGATAAAACCCGATATCGAAGCGAGTTTGGTTGTAGAGAATTGGAAGAACTTCTTGCGAGATCAATCTGCAAGTCCGTAGAAGATTATGTGAGCGATGGCGATGATCGATGTTGCGTTTGTCGTCTGTGACGTGTAGATCACCTAATTCAAGCATGAATCCTGCCTCGGACTCGTAGGTCACAGTCCAAGAAACATTCTGGTGTCCAACCGCATAGCCGTAGATCATGAGTCTGATCTCAATGGGAAGGTCCAGCAAGCGGAACGGTCGACGTTTCCGGCGAACAACGCGAGGTGGTGGATCGGGACGCGGACGTTTGCCGCTACGAAGATGCATATTGCATAGACGCACTGCTTGCTACAATCAGCCATCGAAAGTTATGTTGGCAGACAGGATCTTCGCACATGCTTCAGGACAGCCGATCAGAGCTTGTTGGAAGAGTACACAGTCAGTTGGAGTGATCGAGATGAGGGAAAGTCGTGGTTGATATGCGTCGCGGGAAATCTGTCAGATGAGTAACAGAGTGCGTAGTTGGTGGGATGCGTTGACAAGTCGAAGATGGAGACAGGTGAATGAGCATGTCAACAACATAGAAAGGAAGCAGCGACGCGAAGGGAAGTGGCCGACGAGCAAGTCGGAACTCATAAGCCGACCTTGACTATGATCACTTGATCAGGCAAGAGCGATTGTGAATAACTTTTCTTCAAATTGCATCCTACAAAAGAGCGTAGGACTAACGGCGATCTGGCCAAATCAAATACACCTGCGATGAAAGTGTCTGGCCTCAACAATCTACAAAGCTCTTTTTGGAGGCTGGCTTTTAATACAAGCAAGATTCTTCCAAGATCGCCTGTAGCATACCTCTCTTCCCCTGATGATAAAATATACAGTGTAGAAGATTCTTAAATCTGGCATTTTCAGGCTTTTAACCCATGACCATACCCTTGAGGCCGGACATGTCACCTTCCTTGGCGGCAATCTCGAAGTAAGAGTAGATGANTGCTGATGTTGTTGTTAGTTGGGACCTTCTGCGCGGAAAAAATTCGAGAACTTACGTGACAGCCATGAGGATACCAGTACCGCTGCCGAGAGCGCCAACAAGATCACTGACAATGGAGAGAGCACCAATGCAAGCACCACCAAAGGCGGCAGCAGTGGGAATGACACGCTTGAGCTCACGGTACATGGACTCATCACGATGACCGGCCATAACAAGACCCTGCTCCTTGAGCTGCTTGGCAACATCGCGAGGGCTGGAACCGGAGACCTCGATCCAGGTCTTGGAGAAGGCGGCGCATGCAGTGAGCATGTAGACGATGAAGAGGGCTGTGTGGACGGGGTCAAGAAGGGCATCCTTGAAGTTGAGGGGAGGGGANNCCTGCGTGGGGGATGATTAGCAATTGCGCTTGAAGCAAAAAGGAAAGCAGGTTTCAACTCACATGTAGTAGACAAGACCAGAGATGGGGAGCATCTGAGAAGATCCCTCGCGAGCCTCCCAGACTCCGATCATCTTAACCAAAAGGTTGTCGCTGAAGCGAGAGTAGAGCATCTGGCTGACAAGGAAGACGTTGGATGAGAGGGCCGACTGGAGCATGATGGGCATGTTGGAGGTGTAGAAGAGACGGACGGGGTAAGAACCGCGCATACCACGCTGGCGCGAAGACTTGACAGGGATCTCGACGCGGAAACCCTGGAGGTAGATGACGGCGCTGAAAACGGCAATGGTAGCGATCAGGTTCATGACGTTGGGCAGGTTCTGGCGGTAAAAGGCCTCCTTGAGGGCAAGCTGCTTGTTGGGCCAGGTGACCAAAAGGTGGACAAGGGCAATGATGGCACCCTCGAACTCAGGACCTCTGCCCGTGTTGATGGTGGTGGGCGAGAAAGCCTTCCAGACGATCGACTCGCAAATGTTGGTAGCGATGAAGAGCGAAATACCACTGCCGAGACCGTAGCCCTTCTGGAGGAGCTCATCGAGGAGGATGACGATCAGAGCGGCAGTAAGAAGCTGGACAACGAGGAGGACGCAGATACCAGCACCGAGGTCGGAAGGCTGGCCGTAGAGACCAGTCAGGACGTAAACGCAGGCTTGGCCGAAAGACAGGATGATGGCGAGGANGCTAGGAAGGTCAGTACTGGCTCCTCTTGACGCGTAGTTTTTCTGGGAGCTCACCTTCTGAGCAGTCTGGTAGAGCTCACGGTCGGCCTTGAGGTCAAGGTTGACGTCGATGAGGTGGGTACCAGCAAGAAGCTACCAAGTTTGTTAGAGCCACTTGTTCATGGGTATTGTAGCTTCTGAGCATCTTTTGCGCACCTGGAAGACCATGCCGGAAGAAATAATGGGAGTAATACCCAACTCCATGAGGGTACCTCTGTTACTGGCCATCATCATTCTGAGCCAGTAGAGCGGGTCCGAGGTGTNCTGGGCCGCGTCAGTACCGCAGTCGCGTATGAGATGGTGCATGTGCAGCTCACCAGAGGACACAATGCCGTAGAGGGGCATCTGTGACATGACCAGGAAAATCAGGAGAGTGACACCGGTCCATATCAGGCGCTGCTGGAAGGGAGTCTTGGTCTCGGGGACTGCGATCTCAGGGATGAGGGNGGTGAAGGGCTTCACCAGGTCGAGGAAGCGTACTGTGAGCAGCAGTTGTTAGTCGTCATGCGACAGACGTGTCAATTGACGTGTTGCACTGCGCCAGCATTGTGCTTGTTGCGGCACTGCAAGGCACAGCTGCGGCGCACGTCGCAGGGTGTAGACTCACGGCCGCTCATGTTGACAATCTCTCTATCGAACCGGAGGGAGTGACGACGTATGGAGATGGATCAATGGGAGAGGGGAGTCGACTACCAACTGCTTCTCCTAAAGCTACAGAGTGAGGCCAGCTGGCGACCGATTGCGGCTGGACCCGACATGGAATCTTGGCGACCATCTCCGCCATTTCACCCCCTTGAACAAACTTGCAGTACGTTTCAAAGCTGAAGCCTCTGAGCACTGGGACCACGCTGTTACTATGTCTGCTCGGCTCATGAACTTGGTCCACAGGTCATATCGTCTATCTAGGAATGAACCGCCTTGTTTTTTGCTCCAATCTCCAAGAGTGTCTATCAATATCTCAGCATGACTACCAAACCACTCTCTAATCCGCATAGTGGTTTCTGTAGTACTTCTTGTGCTGCTCCAGGAAGAGAAACGTCGCAACAGTGTGAGGTCCCAACCGGACAAAAGCTGGAAGCTATCCACGGAACATCCATGCTGGTCCCTCCAGCTTGTGCACTGCCTTGATGGTATTCCACATGCCGAGGCGTTCGTCTTTAGCCATGATTCGCGTCTTCAACACATCGAAGGGATTGCAAAGTGTCGTCGCAACCAGACCTGCGAGAGTACTGGCTGCGATATGCGTCATTGTGCCATCGTGCATCTCGGTTTGAGCCAGAATCTCCATCTTGAACACGTCGTATCCAGCCAGCTGCCCAGCAGTCATCAACACTCCTCTTCCAAGGTTGGGCACCATGCCTCTGAAAACACTCTGCTTCCACCCTTCCTCACGTACGATGGTGATGAACCCATGAATCGCGTTTCCGTAGTTGCGGCGCTCTGCAGGCGGCAAAGCAGCATCGTTCTGCATTCGGACATTCAGAATGTCGGCTGGGTTTCCAACAACACTACCCACAAGTCCAGATATGGCTGCGAGTCCGACAAGAAGGGTGTGTGGAGCTTTAATGCCATCGTCCTCGGCCATGTATTTGAGTTTTTCGTAGGTTGCGAAGCGCGCAGTTGAGTAGGTGAGTTGACGTAGGATGGATGCCGAGATGCCACGATACAAGCCAGCTACGCCTTCGCTAGAATAGACATGCTTGAAGGTTTCGGCCATGTCGAGTGCTCCCTTGTGATGTTGTGCTTGTAGCCGAACCTTGACTGGATGATATCAGTAACAGTATAGTGGTGCATTCGTCGTTGTCAAGTGCATACCCAGATCCAGCGGGTGAGAGAAGAGGGCAGCCATGGCTGAGGATGTACCACCGAACTACAGCGGGTATTGAATTGGACCATCGCCGTAATCATTGCTTTTGGCAATCGCTTTAATGATACCCTGGTTGTCAGTTGCCGGGAAGATAGTCATGGTTGGAGTGGCTGTTGAGGGAAGACAGATGCTCAAAAATGAAAGATGAGTTTAGCTGAAGGTGCGACGAGAGTTAGAGACTCTGACTCAAGATACAGTATCTAGGAACTTGACTAGCATCAAAGAGGATGGAACTAGCATCGTACCTGCCGTCGCTGTTACGATATCAGTCGGTCATGCCGAAAACCAATGTACGGAGGAGCACCCTGACATGGCCACGCACTGACCACCAAAGCTTTCTTCCAGCCTCCGTTCCAGAATTGAGCATCGCATACAAGCAGGTCGGCAATTGGATTTCGTAAAATTCCGCTGGAAAGGATGATGAATATGATGTCCATTCGAGCATCTGTCTCGCTATGTGGCAGATGCTCAAAGGTTACCAAACACGCCTCAATCACATCGTTGACAGTTTCGCGACGACACAATAGCTCAGGTCAGTGAATAACAATATCATGATTCAAGGATGGACGACGTAGAGAGTGTACCTAGAAGACACTAGTTCCAAAGCGAGTTCGTGGCTGGGAGCACATTCGAAAGTTGCTGCCTCAACTATCGGCATCTGGTCGCGAGCGAGCAAGTCCACATGGAGACAGATCACGTATAAAGTCATGTAGTATTATGCTAACAGCAGAATAGATTCTAAGCAAATGAATTTGACGATAAATGGCAAAGCATACCCATCTGACTCGTGGACAAATGTGCCGGGTACTATTCTAGAAAATGTATCACGAAAGTTGCACCAGCAGGACAATCACCCAATCACTATTACAAGGAAATTGATCGAGTCTCGCTTCCCAGGATATCAACACCATAATGAGTTCTCCCCTGTGGTGACTGTTGGTCAGAACTTCGACTCCTTGGGCTTCCCACTTGATCATCCTGGACGTAGTCGAACAGATACCTACTACATCAACAAGGATACCGTACTCCGAACACACACATCTGCACACCAAGCCGATGTCTTTCGCGCAAATACAAGCGACGGCTTCACCATCTCAGCCGATGTCTACCGTAGAGATGCCATCGATCGCTCGCACTACCCTGTTTTCCACCAAATGGAGGGTGCAATGACATGGGATCGCAATGCTGTGCCCGAAGGAAAAAGTTTCGCACAACAGATCTGGGAAGATGTGGAAAAGCTACCAAAGCCCGATATTGTCGTTGAGGACCCAAACCCTACTACTCATCCTGAGCGCAATCCTCTGCAAAAGCCTCATACTCAGGAAGAAGCCGAAGCTGTTGCTGCTCACTTGAAGCGCTCTCTGGAGAATGTCGTTGTTGAGATCTTCTCAAAGGCCAAGGAGGCAGCGGCTGCATCCACCATTGATGAAGTCCGCAACCAAGCTCAATCTCAAGAACCACTCAAAGTCCGCTGGATCGAGGCATACTTCCCCTTCACCTCACCCTCATGGGAGCTTGAAATCTTCTGGCAGGGCGACTGGCTTGAGGTCCTCGGCTGCGGTGTTATCTCTCAACCACTCCTCGACAACGCCGATGCACCATCAAGAGTCGGCTGGGCTTTCGGCATCGGTCTCGAGAGAATCGCCATGCTACTCTACGAAATACCCGACATCCGTCTCTTCTGGAGCAAAGACTCTCGTTTCCTGTCTCAGTTTGACGAGAAGAAGATTCGTCGTTTTGTGCCCTTCTCAAAGTACCCCGCTGCACCCCGCGACGTCGCTTTCTGGCTGCCCAAGAGCGTCGCTCAGGACGATGTAATTACTGCCACCGCCTCGAATACATCATCATCGCCTTCTCCTGCCGGTGGTCTCGCATCCGAGGCAGCTGCACCTGCTCTTGCGTTCCATGAGAACGATATTATGGAGATTGTGCGCAGTGCTGCTGGAGATTCTGTGGAAGATGTCACTCTGGTTGATGAGTTCACCCACCCAAAGACTGGCCGCAGAAGTCTGTGCTACAGAATCAACTACCGCAGCCTTGAGAGCACACTGACCAAGGAGCAAGCAAATGACATGCATGAGAAGATTCGACAAGAGCTGGTAAGCAAGTTTGGCGTCGAATTGAGATAGCGCGATGGACTGTTCTTGAAAGAAAACGTGCCGCCTGAAGTTGCGGGATGTCTTGTAAATTAGTTGTATCACATATATGGGTTGCTTTCGGTCGTAATGCTTGTGCAGTAGGAATCAGCCAAGGCAGAAAACTCGTTTGCGGAAAACGAGGCGAGGATGTATCTTTGATCCTTTTTTTTTTTTTCTATTTTCGCATTACAATTGGTTGATCTAGCGAGAAAGATCCGCAAGAGTTGAAGCCGAAGTATTTCTCAGAGATGAGCCATCTTTTCATCTCTAGTCCGTGGTTCTCTTCGTCGAGATGCTGATTATCTTTCGTTTCTCTCCAAAATCCGAAATCAACAAAGGGCATGGCATGATGTGCGCCCTTTCTCTCTTTTGTGTACGATCGCACCATCTCGATCGTCAAGACTCAAGTGAGTCATGGGAGTTGTGTTTGTAAACGAACGAGGGCAGCGGTCAAAGCTGCTTGTCGATGCTGCTTCGGTTGAGGGCTTCTGACAGTTCAGGTCTGTCCTTCAACAAGCCGATGGCCTCCTGATAGCCCATCCACCTTCTCTTGCGCTTGTGCTTTTCCGGCCACTCCTCCTTGACCTCGTCGACGGTGGCCTCGAAAAAGTGGTATGCAGCCTTGGGGGCCTTCTCGGTGAGTTGATCTGGCTTCCTCTTCTCTGGAATCTTGCCCAGGTCGGCGTGGATTTTGCAGACGGCACCGGCTTCTTCCCAGGCCTCGCGGCAGGCGGCTTCTTCGACAGTCTCATCGACTTCCCAACCACCCTTGGGTAGAACCCAACCACCACGGCGCATTGACTGGATGAGGAGGACGGATTTGCGGTCGTTGGAGAGGGGCACGATGCCGGCGACAAGACGTTCTCCTTGAGAGCCATATCCTTTGTGAACTAGTCAGCACACAGCGGATAGCTGGCTTCACTGCGGTCGGACGCACTNCTGGTTCTCTCTGCCGACACGAGCCTCCATGGGGCGCTCGACACTCAAGTCTTGAGTCATCTTGGTGGACGAGGCTTCTTCTGGGACGTTGAGGGGATAGACGAGTAGAGATGGTCTGTCGAGAGTCGATGTTTGTGGCTCACGTGTCCAGCCAAATAAAGTCTGAGGCGTTCAACAGAGGCGGAGTTGACTCAGAAGTGAGAGTGAGGGTGAGTCGGCTGTAAGGGGAGAATCTAGAGGAGGATCCGAAGGTCAGAGCCGTTCGCGGCGGGTGACTGCTATCGGAGTGAGGAAGTCATGTAGAGTTGCGGCCGTCTTGTTGTGTAGTCAATTAGAGCGTCTGGGGCTGGAGAATTCGAGATCAGCGGAGGCCTTTGCCGAAGACCAAACACATGCCTGCCTGCTGAACCCACTCAACGTTGAACACTACTACTCTACATCACTGCCATTCTCTCACTTCTTCAATACTTTGTCGAGTACTTTGCACGTGAACATGTACCATTGAACATCTATTGAGTCTTCATAAGCCAACACGAACTGTCATGGACTGCCGACGTACAAACAGCGGCTCATATGCTGCCTTCGTCACCCAGAATTTTGCAGTCTCCACGTATCACTACCTACACTACTTTATCATCACCTACTGTCTCAATTTATATATTCGGACCCCAATACCTAACTCTTCCACCGCCATCTCCCCTGAGACCGTCTTGATTCTTGACTGACAGACACCCCACTGTCACGCGTCTCCTCGTCTTGACCTCTGTTAGCCACCGACGCGGCCGCAAATCACAATGCCCGCACCCGCGACCTTGCTCACACCAATTGGTAGGTTCAAACCAACAATCCAATAGAAAGAGCGCATCAAAACATGTGCTTTGCCAGCTTCCAACAACCCGGCCGTGCAGCATGTAGGCTCCACTTCTGTAATTGTATTGGGCTGACATAGAGACCACTCCAGGATATCAGCCAGGTGATGCCTCTCAAGCCTTGAAATCTTGTGTACAGTGTTGACATTACTAAAAAAAAAAAAAAGGCGACTGTGGCTACTGCAAAGGCGATGATTCAAGTCAGAGAACCCCAAAGTCTCGTGTGTATCGATTACTTGATGGATGACCCCTTTCATCAATCATCGTCGCCTTTCACATTGTCACATGCAGACATTCTGACACTTTGCAGGTNGGTTCGTACTACGTGATCACAAGATCTCTGAGCGCCAAAGTTTACCAAGACTTGGTTGATCGCGGCTGGAGAAGGTAAGCAGTCTTGTGTGTTCACAGTACAGAAAAGCTACAGCTCGAGGGCACGAAGCTTAATACCAATCTCGCTTGCTAGGATATTCTGTGTATTCAGGAGTAGAGTACACAGGCTGACAGTTGTATNAGATCCGGCAACCTCATCTACAAACCCGATGTATATCGATCATGCTGCCCTCACTACACCATCAGGTCAGCAAGACAATATCGACCTCAGCCAAGCCTTGCTGACGAGCTACATAGACTGCTTGCCAAATCTCTCGCCACGAACAGCAATCAGAGAAAGGCTCTGAACAGCTGGAACAGGTTTGTGCTTGGGGAAGAGTATCTCAAAGAGACCACCAAGCGCTTTCCCAAGACAAAGGAGTAAGTTCGAGATGCTTCTAGGTTGGTTACTCCAGTGGACTGAGTATAGTTATTCAGAGAGAAAGCTCGACAGAGAAACGGCTTCGATCTGTTGCATACGTTGCATGAAGCGGAAGTCGTCCAACTGAAGCCTGTTGCGCCAGCTCATCGTTTTGAGGTCACCCTAGAGCCCGACAATTGTACCGAGGAGAAGTTCCAGGTATACAAAAACTACCAGATCCACGTCCACCACGACGAGCCTGGGGAAGTCACAAAGAAAGGCTTTGAGCGCTTCCTCTGCAAGTCTCCCATAACCAGAGAGACAGCNAAAAAGGACGGCAAGGATCTTGCCCTTGGATCATATCATCAATGCTATCGACTCGATGGCCGACTCATTGCTATTGGCGTACTTGATCTCTTACCACATGCAGTCAGTGGAGTCTACTTCATCTACCACCAAGACTTCGAGAAGTGGAGTTTCGGCCGGCTCAGTGCAATGAGAGAGGCTGCACTCGCGCTCGAAGGTGGCTACGAGTTCTACTACATGGGCTACTATATTCACAATTGCATCAAGATGCGCTACAAGGGCGACTATAAGCCGCAATATGTGCTGGATCCCGAGACTCACGAGTGGAATCCGCTGGATGGAGAGGTGCGCGAGCTCATGACAGAGCAAAAGTATGTCTCTTTGTCACGCGAGCGTAAGCACAAGGATGGCGAGGAAGGAACTTCTTATCTGCTGGATACGCCAACTGAAGTCGCTGCAAGCCCGGAGGATCTCTTTGAATGGGGTATGCCCGGTATGATGAGTGCTACAGATGTTGAAGCACAAGTGGACCTCGACAAGATGCGCATCCACATCAGCAAAGGAATGACGGTACATACAGAGGTGAGCCGACACCATCCATGTATTTTGCCCAAGATGCTGACACAATACAGNGACCTTGTGGCGTGGGAAACTGGTAATATCGAAGACCCAAGCTCGATCAAAGGTGTTGTGGGCAGATATGTTGCTATGGTAGGACCCGAGGTTGCTAAGGCGGCCATCCTGGACTTTTCTGGCCACTAAATCGACCGACTCACTGTTTGGGAAATAGTGATTGTAGAGCACTTGATAATTCCAACAGACACCATGATTTTCAATATCAAGTGAGGCTCCGGAGTCTCAATCAAGGGACCAAGGAAACACACGAGCATCGAGTGTGGGGAAGCGGAGTTAAAAACTAAAGGCGGAGAGAAATCAGCATCACACACAGGATGATAGCATGGCTCGCAGGGCCAAGGACTTAATGCATTGCTGTATCATACAGCAAGTCTATCTCAACGAAATGGATGTGTAAAGTCAGTGATAGAATGCAGAGGGCTGATGGCTGGACAACGAGGGCTGAGGAAATGGGTCGTGAGTGCCGTTTGGTCAACGCCGAACGGCAGTCTCCGTACATGACGCCGGCTCAACTTCTTTTGCTGGTCGGAGCGGTGATCATTAGGGATTGATAAGACTGAGAGCTGCAAAAGACAGCAGACTGCAAGACGGATGTGAGAGGCGAGTGATTCACTGTCATCAGAAACCTCTTGATAGACTCCTTGAAAGGATAATACCCAGTGAAAGAATTATTTTTGATTTGTACGTGGAGTGCTGCTGACCTTTTCTCCAAGAAGCAGAGGGCAGAGGGCGATGTCGGGGGTGGTAGGTGCATATTTGCAAGCGATGTCATGGTTCCCCACCCGAATTTGTGGCCGTGGCCGTGGCTCGCAGTGACTCAAGCAGCTGTTCATAAAACTTCGTCGGCTTTCACTTTCCCTCCTCCTCCATCATACCCTCCCACACCCATCTATACCACAATGTGTCCCACAGTCGACGACGGCGCTCCTGCCACCAACGGCGTTCAAGCCAATGGCTGTAAGACCCCCAGCTACCCTGCAAACCATTCTCTTCCTAACACGGTGCAACANGCTCACGATGGCTTCACCAAGTTCGAGAGCGACTTCGAGAAGAAGGGCAAGTCCCACACCGTCAACAAGAACCCCTACCAGCCCGTAGGCGACTTCCTGTCCAACGTGTCCAACTTCAAGATCATCGAGTCGACGCTGCGTGAGGGCGAGCAGTTTGCCAATGCCTACTTTGACACCGAGACCAAGATCAAGATCGCCAAGGCTCTCGACGACTTCGGTGTTGACTGCATCGAGCTCACCTCGCCGTGTGCCTCGGAGCAGTCGCGCCTCGACTGCGAGGCCATCTGCAAGCTCGGTCTCAAGGCTAAGATCCTGACCCACGTCCGCTGCCACATGGACGACGTCAAGGTTGCTGTCGAGACTGGTGTTGACGGTGTTGACGTCGTCATTGGCACCAGCTCTTTCCTGAGAGAGCACTCGCACGGCAAGGACATGACCTACATCAAGGTATGAGTCACTGTCCAAGTCACAATTCCTCGCCCAGACACTAACCCAGCCCTCAGNAACGCCGCCATCGAGGTCATTCAGTTCGTCAAGTCCAAGGGTCTCGAAATCAGATTCTCGTCAGAAGACTCTTTCAGATCGGACCTGGTCGACCTTCTCTCCCTCTACGCTGCCGTCGACAAGGTCGGTGTCAACAGAGTCGGTATCGCTGACACAGTCGGCTGTGCTTCCCCCAGACAGGTCTACGACCTCGTGAGAACTCTCCGCGGTGTCGTCAGCTGCGACATCGAGTGCCACTTCCACAACGACTCTGGCTGTGCCATTGCCAACGCATACTGTGCCCTCGAGGCCGGTGCTACTCACATTGACACGTCGGTCATCGGTATCGGTGAGCGCAATGGTATCACCCCTCTGGGTGGTCTCATGGCCCGCATGATCGTCGCCGACCGCGACTACGTCAAGGGCAAGTACGACCTGCACAAGCTCAAGGCCATCGAGGACTTGGTCGCCGACTCGGTCGAGATCAACATCCCCTTCAACAACTACATTACCGGTTTCTCGGCCTTTACCCACAAGGCTGGTATCCACGCCAAGGCCATTCTTGCCAACCCTTCTACTTACGAGATCATCGACCCTGCCGACGTATGTTTTCCTCCTCTACGTGTTCACTGAAGCCTGTACTGACATCTCCACCAGTTCGGCATGAAGCGCTACGTCCACTTCGCCTCCCGCCTGACCGGATGGAACGCCATCAAGTCGCGTGTCGAGCAACTCTCCCTCACAATGACCGACGCCCAGGTCAAGCTCTGCACAGCCAAGATCAAGGCCCTCGCCGACGTGCGCCCCATCGCCATCGACGACGCCGACTCCATCATCCGTACCTTCTACAGCAACCTGCACAAGGAGACCGAAGAGCCCCTCCTGCCCAACATGACCGAAGAGGAGAAGAAGAAGTTTGAGCAGAAGCAAAGGGAACTCAACGGTGTTGCCGAGAAGCGCGAGCTCGAAGACCAGGTCGACCAAGAGGCCGAGGTTCCCCAGGCCAAGAAGACCAAGACTGAGGCTGGTGCATAGATGTGCCCTGTCTTTCTCTAATCTGGTTTCTTTCATCTTGGAATCCCAAGTCTAGTTTGGAAACAAAAGAAAAAAGGCGTTTTGCTTGCTTGCTTGCTTGCTTGCTGCTGCTGCTTCTTTTTTCTCTCTCATATATTATCACGAAGGTCATGGGACATCACGGAGGGAGTTTATCTGTTGTTTTTACCATATCACGCCCCCAGCTTGTACTTTTTAGTCTTTTTTTTTTCTTTTGCCTGCATCTAGATTATTTTCATCCCCGTCACAGCCTGTGTATGCAGCATAGAGGGATTGAATAAGAAAAGAATGATTTGCAATGAACCTTCATCTTGCTTCAAAAGTGTTGAGAGCGAACAACTTTAGGATCGATTGATGTGCGGCTGTCTAGGAGTGAAGTGACAAGAAAAAGAAGAAAGAAAAATTGAAACCGCAATCCATGCTTCTTCCAAGCACTCATCCTCCCGAGCAGCAAAGAACACAAAGAAGCCTACCGAATCACCGGAGTGCCCTCCTTCTCCACCCCATGCAACGACTCGAGGATATCACTTCCTCCAAGACAGCCCATGAGACCCATGCTCGTCCCCATGGGTGTCACTGGTCCACTGCGATATGACGTCGGCTCCTCGCTCCAGACCTCGTGGAACTTGATGCTCGAATCGCTGGAGGCCACAACCAGACAGCCTTCTGCACGGGTTCGTCTCGCATACCATGGTGTCCCTTCTCTTGCCGATGATCTGCCCGAGCCTTCGCCAGGGGGGGAACTATCAGGGCCGCCAGGAAATCCGATAGCCCAGAGAGCACGCTCTTCACCGTACTAAGGGAGTCGGACAATACACTCACATGCCGGCCACGAGAAGACGGCCACACGGATAGGATGATCCGGTTGTGTGAACCCAAATGTAGCAGCAATCTCGCGGCGAGTTCTGCTCCAGACCAAGCTCGTGACCTGAGACGAACAGTCGATGGTTGCAAGCTTCGCTCCAGATACGGTATGGTAGAAGTGGATGCAGCGGTCATTGCTACCTCCACCCGCTGCTAGCAGAGACGGCTGCCACGGACAGAAAGCAAGGGCCTTGACCGCCGCATTCAGCATGTAATGATGACTTTCTTGGCCTGGCAAGATCCACAGTGCTTCTTCTTGACCAGCGGGTGGATAGTAAACAAAGTCATTCCTCACCATGATCAAGTGGTGTGCCGTTATATTTTCGAGCTGCAGAACCCGTCGTGTTTCGAAGACGCACAGCGCATTGTCATTACCGCCTGAAGCGAAGAATTGACCGTCGGGGCTCCAGGCCAGACCGCAGATCTGCTGCGTGTGGAGATCTAGACGTGCAAGAACTGTCATACTGCCAGGCCATGCGAAGATGTCCACGTTTTCCTTGTCCGGCCATTCGACCGAGTAGAGGTAGATATGGCCAGCTTCATCGCCGACCAATAGACACTCTACCTGCACTTTGACTCCAGGGTGTTGGATAGATGCTCTGCGAAAGGTTCGGGGACCAAAGCAGACACAACAGACTGAAGAGCGATGTGTGTAGCTGAATCGCGGAGCCTCTTCCGAGGGAGACCAGAGTGTTATGGATCCATCAGATCGCCCAACAGCAAGAATGGACCTTTCAGCTTCTGTCGATGAGAACGAAAGCGATGTAACGTGTCCAGAAAAAGGTTGACCAAGACTCTCAGGACTTTCAACTCCTCGAGTCTCAGACCACGTATAAACTTGTGGCCCAAGGCCGACTGCGAGACACTTTGCTGTATCCGAGTATGCCAGAAGAGAACAGTAGTAGTCGTCACGAAGAGCAGGTGCATCCAGAACTGTGCGAAAGGTTAGTGTTGGCAGAGTGGTGCACGNTCTAGATGAGCTTATCTGAAGGGGATGACGGGAACAGTCTTCCTTGGTTTGTACTGTATGCGTTGCACTAGACGTAGACGAAGTTCTGGTCAGATATGGATTGCATAAGATGGAGGTTTACTCACGTGGAGGAGAACCGGGTTTTGTCCATTCATTGTTTCGCCAGATAGTAGGGCTGAAACCAACGGCAGCATCGGCGTCGGGCGATCGTCCTGGAGTAAGCAGACCAGAACCTTGGTCCAGGACCCTGTTGGCTTGATCAAGTTCCATAGCGGCACTCAGACGCTTTCCATGGATGTGCACATAGTCGGTATCGTCGTGGACGTGATTGGAGAAGTCCGATCTGAACATTGGAGCGTTTGTGCCGCTGGTGATGTGGCCGCCTCGACCATTGCTTATGCTTCGAACACCATCGGTAGGGCTAACAGGGGACGAGCCTCCGACATTCCATACAGCGCCTTGACTTACCTCTCGAGGACTGTCAGGAGTAATCAGGCCGAGAGGGTTGACACGACTACTCATGAATGAGCTCGGAGTCCTGGAAGTGCGGGTTACGACTGGAGGTTTTGCAAGTCTCGGACCTCGGGTGACCTTTGTGCTGGATCCAAAGGCATCGTGGGCATAAGATTGCCGACGACTCCATCTGTCGTTAGCAGTCAGTTCCTGGGGAGGACTGGATAGCATGAATCTCTCTCGAGGTTGCACGTCAAGGTTCCTGTTGAACACGAAGCGATCAGGTGTTCTCGATGGTCTAGGCCTAGAGCTGATATGGTTTCTGAGTAGAGAGGGCCGACGAGAAGGCGGAGTGATCGGAGGAAATGAGCCGAGATTCTCAGAGTATTCGATACCTTCCATAGGCTCTGGCTCATCATCCTCTGTGGCCTCTGGCTCATCATCGGTGTCCATATCAGATGTGCCAAGGTCGTTGTGGTCTATGTCCATATCATCGTTGCAACCGTCCAAGTTGAACGAGTTGATCAGGTGGCAGACTGTTGATGCAGGAGTTGGCTTGACAGGGGTTGGAGAGAGGGGACACACCCATCGATGGTATGAAGGCGGTTGCTTCGAGAGACGGACGTCCAGCCACGAACCAGGAGCTGGCTTCGAAGCTTGCTATGTCTTCGAAGATGACTGAGTATCGAGACGGTCATTCTCGCTAGATCTCTGCTGAGAGTGCATCTTGTGTCCTGGATGGATGTCCTTGCATCCAAGGAGGGGACAGAGTCAGAGGGCAATCAATCAGAATCGAACCAACGGTGTTTGGGGATAGGCACGGAATGAATAGTGCGGTGCGAGGTTGAGCTCCCACGTCGCCTTGAAGAATGGTTGATGTGGTGAGAAGGGATGTGGAAAGACTTTGATTTGCGGGTGGATTTACGATGTAGGGAAAAGTGCAATGACAGGTGCTTGAAGAAGGTGCGAACAGGGTAGCGTGCTTTCAGAGTCAAAGAGAAAGGGCCGACATTGATGTCTTGGTTTGATTCGAAGAAGCGACGATGTCGCATGCGGTGCTTTCTAGGGAGTTTGTGGGAAGGTCGCAGGTGCTGTCTCCAGCTCAAAGCATGGTCGGGCTGCGGCATGAAACAAGCCAGACTCTAGATGCACTCAAAGCAACCATCAAACAAACATATAGACCACTAGGAAGATGAGTGTAAGTGTCTAGTAGCAAGGTAGACGACGGCGGGCCAAAGTTGACCTCAGAGCAGCACGGCGTGCCCCGCGTCGCGGTCGGCGAGAAGACGGACGCCTCGCGCAGAAAGGAGCTCAAGCAGATTGACGCATACCAAGCCCTGGTCGACAGTGTGCAGGCNAAAGGTATGCTTTTCTGATCACATGTTCCAGTATCAAGTCGCTAAGACGACGAGTAGATCAAAGCAGAAGAGTACACGGCCGAAACACTCAGCCTGACGTCCGCCCTGCTCACTCAGAACCCCGAATACTACACCGTCTGGAATCACCGTCGACTGGTCCTCCAACATGTCTTTGCCAAAGAAATCGACTCTCCGCCAGCCGAAGACGCCGAATCAAAGCCCGCGCCCGGTCTGAATCCAGCACAGCATGAGATTACCCTCTTGATCCGCGAAGACCTGGCTTTCCTGCTGCCTCTGCTCAAGCAGTTCCCCAAGTGCTACTGGGTCTGGAACCACCGCGCATGGCTCTTGCAGCAAGCCTCGAAATACCTACCCGTCACATCTGCCAAGCGTCTATGGCAGGAAGAGATGGCTTTGGTCAGCAAGATGCTCTCCTACGACTCGCGCAACTTCCATGGCTGGAGCTACCGAAGAGAAGTCGTCAAGTCCATTGAACACCTCTCAACCCTCGAGCAAGAAGAAAAGACCCAGACCGACGAAGGAAAGAAACCTGAAGAGTCTATGACCGAGTCCGAGTTTGCATACACAACCAAGATGATCAAGACCAACCTGTCAAACTTCTCTGCCTGGCACAACAGACTGCAGCTCATACCCAAACTCTTGGAGGAGAGACACTCCGATGCCGCTGCTCGCAAGAAGCTTCTCGACGACGAGTTTGAACTCATCATCACCGCTCTCTACACTGATCCATATGACCAAAGTCTGTGGTTCTACCACAACTACCTCATGATCAACTTGTCGCCCAAGACATCCTCAGAGCTCAGAATAGTGCCTGACATGACGAATCAAGATCGTATCGAATACTTCGACACACAGTTTGATTTACTGAAGGACATGCTCGAAGACACCAAGGACTGCAAGTGGATCTACCTAGCTTTGGTGACCTACACTCCGGAGTACCTCGAGATCGATGCTGGCAACAAGAAGATCACCACACTCGAGTTGACAGCATGGTTGGATCAACTCGAATTGCTCGACCCGTTACGCAAAGGCAGATGGTTGGATTTGAGAAAGTCTCTGAATCTATAATGCCTCTAAAATGCCAATTCTCAACCAACTACTTATATACATGAAATGCTTTGCTTTGTGGTGCCGTTGATTCAAGCCTTCCATCTGAGCATAGTGACCGAGTGCTTGGGAAAAGTGAACTTGCCCTTGCCGTCCCACTTGGTCTCCTTGATGACAACCTCCTCCTCGTTGCCATTTGTGTTGACAACCATAGGGTTGTCACCAGTAACAGTGTAGACTGTGACCGAATCACTGCCAACACCCTCAAGCTTGGTGGACAAGTCTTTGCTGTCTGAAACGTTGACAACAGCCATGCTGACAATACCCTCCTCGTTGATGGTGGCCGAGACGTCCAACCACGGAGTCTCAATAGTGCCTCTGATCCATTTGGGCTCGGTCTCGCCCTCGTACTCGCCACAGCGTACATTGACTGCCACGGTCCAGCCGCGCATGTACTTGGAAAACAACAGCAGTGGCCACCATGTTGTTTGCTTGAGGATACCATCCTTGGTTGTCATCAGGGGGGAGATGACATTGACGCTCTGAGCGATGTTTGCCATGCCGATGTACTTGGCTTGACGGATGAAGACGTTCAGCCAGACTCCAACAGCAAGTGCATCTGATAGAGTGTACTTCTCCTCTGCACCAATGTCACCGGGAGCACGTACGGGGTCCCAGACGTTCCATTCGTCAAAGCAAATTGTGGGTGCGGGTACTGTATAAGGTACCTTGTTCTCGATACGCACGAGATCGATCAAACCTCCAGTGATTTCGATAGCACGCTCAGCACTACGAGGCGCTGTTGCATTCTTCAAGTGGTCGTTTGAGGCTGTGTAGATGTGGATACTGTGCATGTCGATGAGCGAGGCGGTTGTGCTGCCACCCAAAGTGTGAGTGTCCCATTTCACGCACTCCTTCAGGACGTAGCTGTCCCAAGTGCTGTAGCCAGTCTCGCCGCAGAGGATTAGAACGACGCTGGGGTCTAGCAATTTCATGGCCTTGGCCCATTGATAGGCCTTGTCTGCGTATGCCTCCTTGGTCATCTGGCCAACTTGCCATGGTCCCCACATCTCGTTTCCGAGAGCCCAGTATTTGACNNCTGTCAAAGCGTCAATGATACTCCTCTACTCTGTAGACCAAGTTTGACTCACGTTGTATGGCTTGTCACGGCCGTTCTTACGTCTCAAATTAGCATAGTAAGTGTTCTTGTCAGAATTGCAGTACTCCAACCAGCCCAAGGCCTCGCCCAATGTGCCAGTGCCAAAGTTTAGAGCAAAGTAAGGTTCGGTGCCAACGACCTCGCACCACTTCAGGAACTCATCAGTGCCGAATTGATTGCTCTCCTCGCCGAGCCAAGCAAGTTCTGGTCTNNGGGGAATGTTAGCATAAGTCCACGTTTCCGAAATGCAGACCAAAACTCACCTTACGGGCCTCTGATCCTTGGGTCCAACACCATCCAGCCAGTGATAAGTAGCTACAAAGTTGCCGCCAGGATATCTGACAACAGGGCAGTTGAGATCCTTGAAGGCTTCGATCACGTCTTTGCGGAAACCGTTCTCATCTGATAGGGGGTTGCCAGGATCGTAGATACCGCCGTAGATACAGCGTCCCATGTNGTCTTTCACCATGTCAATTTATAGGTGATGGACGGTACAAGTTACATTGACATACTCGGTGAAGCCTCCATAGACATTATCGTTGATCTTTGCGATCTTGTTAAGGTGGTTGATCGAGACCACAGGGGTCTCAGAATCCGGTATCTTGGTAAAAGTGGCCATGGTTGTGCTCGGGCAGTGATGATCAGACAGTTTGCAGTACTCCTTCCCTTTACAAAAACAAAGCAGCCAAAGAGGTACGAAGAGAAGATACCTGTTCAGCACCAGGAAAGCTTCAGTCCTAAAGTGTCGTTTCTATCTACCACATGATCACACTTCGGTGGAGGAGCAATTCAATGGTGGCCCACAGTTTCATCTCAGGGTTTCGGCATCTCTGTATTTAGGCGTGTAGCGAAAGGCCCGAGTCACAGCAAGAGTCTTGGGATGCAGCCCTTGTGCAGGATCTCGCCAATAGAGTTGCTTCTTTACTCGTAATTATCCGCGAGGGCGTCCACTCTGCGGTTGAAGGTCTGGTGATCGACATATATCCAAACGGCAGCGACGATCAGATGTTCAGTCGTTCGCCAAGGTACAAGATCCTTCACGAATCCTTCCACGACGAGATGCACAACTTGGCAGGAACAAGGTGCCGAAAGAGAACGGAAAAACTGCTTCCTGGTCGGTAGATGTGGTTGATATGAGCAGCTTGACCGAAAACAGGTCTGATTGCGAACATCTCAGCCTCTTGAAGTTGATATGGTGGTTAGGGTTTGCGATTTAGAGGCATCCTGGCCGAGGGTTTCTCCGGACGCCTTTACCGACTCCATGTTTTCTCCGCCACTCTCCACGCTACCTGCATCGACCCCACAAGCATCTCACCGAGTACCGCGCCAAGTACCTTGCAAATATCTAATCCGTTTCGAATGCCCTGGTGCAAATAGGCGACCGCAATGACAAGGAAGTATCTATGAGATCCCACCGGGGAGGCGTCTCCACGATGCTGGAAGCGCCACCCACGAGACTTACCGCTGCATCGAGCTGATGATATGTGAGTCTTGTAGCACATGCGGCATCATTATCTGCCGTAGCAAGGAATAGGCCCGGTTGGACGGAACCAAACTCTACTGTTGTGATCGTCCTTGTATATATAACTGTTCAAGTGGCTCCCCATAGGAACTTGTTTTCTGATCATTCTCCATCTTCATTATACTATCTGCTCACCATGGCATTGCCTCCGAAGTGGTATCAGTTCCTCGTTTCAGTCTTTGCCTCGTTGGGCTCTGTACTCTACGGTTATGATCTCGGTGTTATTGCTGGAGCCATCGGCTCCAAGTCCTTCAACAACGAATTCAATCCTAATTCAAACGAGACTGGTGCTGTCGTCAGTGTGTTTACTGGTGGTGCTTTCTTTGGTGCTTTCTTCGCCGGACCATGCGGTGACAAGCTCGGTAGAAAGATGACTATCCTGATCGGTTCGATTGTCTTCGTAGTTGGTGGAGCCCTCCAAACTGCTGCTCAGAATCTGCACTACCTCTATGCTGGCCGTGCCATCGCTGGTNNCTTGGGTACGTTTGATCAAGCTCTAAATCTGGCTTGTATTTCTTACTGACTCTCATACAGTGTTGGCATGCTGGTCATGATTATCCCTCTATACCAGGCTGAACTGGCGCATCCCTCTATTCGTGGTCGTGTCACTTCTCTGCAACAATTCATGTTGGGTATCGGTGCTTTTGTCGCATCTTGGGCAGCCTATGGTTGCTACACCTCATATGGAGACCACGACAGCAGACAATGGAGAATCCCTCTGGGTATTCAAATGCTTCCTGCCGTGCTTCTCGGTGCTCTGATCTTGTTCTTCCCCGAGTCTCCCAGAGTATGTATTTGTCTATTACCGATATATGACGACCTAGCTGACATTGGACCANNGTGGCTCATGACAAATGGACAGACTGAGAAGGGTCTTCAAACTCTCGCCAGACTACACTCTCACGGCAACACCCAAGACGCCTGGGTTGTCGCCGAATTCGAATCCATTCAAGATGCCGTCACTTACGAGAAAGAGCACGAAGCAAAGTCCTACATGGAACTTTTCACAAACAAGTCAAGCTTCCGTCGCTTGTTTATCGCTGTTGCTCTCCAGGCTTCCGTTCAGATGACTGGTGTATCGGTTATCCAGTATTACTCTGTTGAGATCTTTGCTCAGATTGGTATCTCTGGAGACGACACTCTGAAGTACCAGGCCATCTCTTCTCTTATTGCTCTTCTGGCACAGTTCTGCTGTTTGATGCTTATCGACAAGTTCGGTCGTAGATGGCCTCTCATCCTCGGTAACATTGGCAACNNGCTCTTTTGCTTCATCGTGGCAACTGTTCTGCTCGCAAAGTTCCCTCCAGATGCCAATGATCCTTCAAAGTCGAACAAGGGTGCTGGTTGGGGCTTCATCGTCGTCGGCTGCTGGCTATACAACTTCTCCTTCTCGGCCACATGTGGTCCCTTGAGTTGGATCATCCCTGCCGAGATCTTCGACACCAGAACCCGTTCCAAGGGTGTCTCGATCGCCACCATGGTTTCATTCGCTTTCAACACCATGATCGGCCAGACCACATCTGTTGCTATTGACGCCATTGGTTGGAGGTGGTACATTGTCTTTATCGTCTGCAACTTCACCAATGCCCTCTTCTTCTGGGCCATTCTGCCTGAGACTGCCGGTCGTCCACTGGAAGAGATGAACTATCTCTTTACCCAAGCGCCTCTGTTTGTGCCTGGAACTGCCGCTGCTGGTCGCAAGGGCTTTGCCACCGGCGAGCTCGAGAGACGTGTCGAGGAGGTCGAGAGAAAGGGGTCGATTACCATTCATCAGGAGGAGAGGACTACCGTTTAAATGGCCTCTGCTACTATCGCATGTCTGGACGATTTTTGCAACTAGTATATATACTAGATAATGTTATGCACGTACGTATGGATGAGATGAGATATAAGATGTAACTTTTGCATGACTTCGACTGCCTATCTGGCGAAGTGCGAGGAGTAACTTTGATTTTGCATGTCCGTGCAGATCTAGTGACGTGAAGAAGACATGCCTGCTGCAATGGTGAACCACACGATTGAGATTGTAAAAGTAACTCTCACTCTTGTATAGTGCGATTGCATAAGAGATCGTGATCCATAAGCTGGAAATATCATAACTTCGAAAACCCATCCTCGTTCCTTCCCTAACCAGTCCAATATGTAATCTAGAACAGCCAAGACAGGAAGGTTCTGTAGAACCAGCTTCCATCACGCTTGGCATCCTTCTCATGCTCAACAGCCTTCCAGTACTCTTCATCACGATCAAAGACATCCTTGCCAGTGAACAGATCAGCCTCAAGAGGCTTAACACCCTTGCTCTTCTTGATGAACTTGTATCCAAAGATAAGGATCAAGTACAGAGGAATACCCAAGTATCCGGTGATGAAGTTCTTGTAGTCAAAGTTGCCATACTTCTTGTTGTGGGTGAAGACGGAGAAGTTCTTGGTCAGGGCGATGAGACAGCACCAGAAGAGAGAGAAGTAGGACCCCCAGATACCGAGGGGCGCGGCGTAGGGCAGCTGCTTGGGGGTAACGCCTTGAGCCTTGCAAGCGCGACGGAAGTAAATGTGGGTGACGAGGATGGAAATCCAGGTCAGCAGACCGAAGATGGTGGTCAAGTTGACAAAGTAGCCGAAAATCTCCTTGCTGCTGGATGAGACGTTCATGTATGCCAACAGACAGAAGCAAGTCGAGAGGCCGAGAGAGTAGTAAGGGACACCACGCTTGTCGGTCTTGGCCAGGATTTTGGGTGCTTGACCACGGAGAGCAAGACCGTGGAGAGTACGACTGGCGATGTAAAGATCAGAGTTACAAGCACTAAAGACAAAGATCAGGATGCAAGCGTTCAAGAAGCCGGGGAGCCCTTTGATGCCAGCAAGCTGGATAGCGACAACGAAAGGCGATGCAGCAGCAGAGTTCGACTGCTTGGTGGCAAAAGCGAGCTTGTCACTGTTGTAAGGCACGATCATGCCGACGAGGAGGACCGACAGGATGTAGAAGAAGACGATACGGAAGAAGGTCAATCTGATGGNCCTGTGATACGGATATGGTTAGTACGGTGTCTTCCAGAGTATGCATCGGATCTCTCTCACTCTGGGAATGGTCTTGCGAGGATTCTCAGCTTCGCCGACGGTTACACCAACCAACTCGGTTCCAAGGTAGGCAAACACAGCGGTGACCATTGAGCTCCACAGTCCATAGAAGCGGCCAGCTGCGCCCTCGCCTTTGTACTCTTTGAAAGCTCNCCTACAATATTCTGTTAGTGCCCGTCCCCTGCAAAAATAATCCGAGGTACTCACAGGATTGTTCCAGTAGCGGAAGCCTTTTCTATCGCCATCAGGGCCACCTCCAAGTGCGAGGACAAGAGAGAGGATAATCATGCCGCAGACCACGAGAACCTTGATCGAAGAGAGCCAAAACTCAAATTCTCCAAAGAAACGGATACCCAGGTAGTTGATGGCGACAATCGCGATCAAGAAAATCGTGATCCAGACACCAGGATTGACTTTGTCCGCGTCGACCCAGTACGATATGACTAACGCCGCAGCCGTCAACTGATTAGGCGTGACAATGATGTATTTGAACCAATAAGTCCATCCGAGAGCAAAACCAAGAGCAGGGTCGCAGAAGCGCGTAGCGAAGGGTGAGAAACCGCCAGCAACAGGGATCCAAGCAGCCATCTCACCGACGGCAGCCATGACAATCCAGACGAGAAGACCAACGAAACTGTATGCGATCAAGATAGATCCGGGACCAGCTTGAGCAAGAGCTTTGCCGGTTCCGATGATCAGTCCAGTACCAAGTGCACCGCCTAAGGCTGGTTAGCATCTTATAACTCTCTCTACACACCGATCCAACTTACCAATGGCAATCATAGAAACCTGTCGCGAGTGCAGACCACGCTGGAGCTGCTCTCCGGGAAGGTCATTCGAAGTTCCTTCCTTGATAGCAGTAATATCCTGGTTTTCATAATCGTATGAGGCCGTCTTTGCGATCTCAGGATCGGGCCCTCCCTTTTCGTAGGAAGCCATAACGAAGGAAGTTGCACCACGAGGTCAAGACGTGGGGGATTGTGGGGAATCTGGAGAAAAAGATGCGATCAGCTCTGGGGATCTTTAAAGAAAACTGCTCCCCAAGACTAGAGGGGCATATTACGTACAGGTAAGGGTAGAAAAGAGGTTGCCCAGCAATAGGTCAACGTGGAGACCGAGATGCTTGCCAAAAGGAGCAATCTCTCACTAATGAGAAATCCCTAGTGCGTTGGAAGGATGGGAGAGGAGGTTGCAAGAGAGAAAGGAAAAGGAATGCAACGATGTTATGAAAGACCACACATTCGTTGATATCGCTGCCCAGAACGCCATGGCCATAGTTGCAGGAATATTTTCTTCTTATCAGCCAAAGGAGAGGTCACCCGGTGGACTATTGGAGGTGTTCCTTTTCCATGACCCCAAGGTGTTATCACATTATTACTAGTAAGCGCCAAGGATACTTCCCCAACCAACATCGAACTCGCGGGCTGAGAAGGTTTGCACGGTTCAAAGAATGTGACCCTGAAAGGCAACCATCTGCTCGAAGAAGCGACCGAGGCTCACACAACCGTGCCAGCTTATCAGGCCGAACTCGCAGGCGAATACCAGATGGCGCAGCGGTGCTGTCCAGAGAACCGATACTATGGATGATTTGCACTTGGCAGTCTGCGCCAAGGTCTTGGTAAGATAAGAGGGTTTTCAAGGTAGCCGACCAGGAGGGAAGAGTTTGCCATGCTCTTGGTGCCCAAGCAAAGAAGCGCAAGCATCATTTGAGAATACGGTGTTGCAAGGTGAAGTTCAAGAGATGTAGTCGTGCATTCACAGTCACTTCCAGGAAAGTTCAGCCAGAAGACCTCCCACCAACTTGAGCGTGGTCGGATCTCCGCCTTTTATACCCCGCATTTTCGCGGCTGTCATTACCTAAGCGCTTGCGCATGAAGAAACCTCAGCCGCTAGGAAATGGGGTCAGTTTGAATGGTTTCGACACACCATCTGACGGGCACATTCCTGAAGATGGGGAGAGCACGTGACCATTTGCTGGCTGACCAGGACTCTATGGCTCGGGGATGAAGCTGTTCTGACGCTGGTCTCCACTAAGCAAGAAGGTACTGACAGGAAAGCTCTAGTCGAGTTTGTCTTTTCAGGTTTAGGACAACATAAGTACAAGTACAGCCATCACTATATTAGATTCGACGCGTGTGTGCACGAATGCGATCCTCTGAATGTTGCTGTTGAAACAGCCAATGCCAAAACCATGCCTTGCCAGCCCAAACTACGATATTCTCTGCTACCTGGAGGAAGTCTTCGTGATCACGGGCATTCGGCTTTTCGATAGATATCCAAAGGGAAAGGCTGTGGAACTTCGCGAGTCGCGACAGGAAGACCGATCCATCGCAAACATTGCGATTGAGCTGTCGTTTCCAACAATGGGGGTGTCCACCTTGTCATGAATCTGTCGCTGGGATTACAACAGAAGACAATCCTTCGTCCTACCAAAGCCACCACCGCTGTCAAGGACGTCAAGAAGCATCACGGCCCTCCGAAGCAGCTTGCCCACACCACACCAGATGTGACTCCAGTCGCCAGCGACGATGATGATCTGGTCATGCTGCTTCCAAAGAAGCAGGGCATCAAGCGCAGTCGACCAGATTTGTCACAGCCCTAGGATGGTTGAGGATACAACCTTACAGAAGGACCGATGCTTTTCTTCTAGGGAGCAGTTGAGTTATCTCAAGAATCCTGCACGCATGTCTGCAGTGGTTGATGCTCGAATTCTTCACGCGTTCTTCAGTGAAAAGACCCCTGTCATTGTATCCAATGGTCTGACTGCGTTCTCGAGCGACTTTGCCTGCCTTGAGTGCTACATGGCGGCCATTACAAGACTATATGGCGAGACATCGCTCGTCATCCGTCTACAGACCAAAGCTACCACAGCTGACGAGCAGGAAGTGTGACCAAAAGTGAACATTGGCTGCTCATATAGTTCCTACATGTCAGAGAGAGCGCAAGGAAGATATTATGGTGTTGCAACACTCGAGAGGTGGTCAGATGTCTTGTGCAGTGCGGGCGACCAAGCCGTGGTGATTCGTAGAAAAGACACGCGTATGAGGAGGCGCGACCCAACTATCCTCCACTTTGGCAGATATTACAATCTGATTCGTAAACGATATTGGATCTCCTCCATCAAAACACTACGATGAGTCGGAAATGACTATGCCGTATAATGTTCATAAAATTCAGGCAGTCTTAAGAGGTGAATTTGAGAATACTTGTAATCGAAAGTGAAGATATGAGTGAACATTCATCAAGAATCGGATATGCAAGTCATGGTCGAGCTCAAGTGAAGTTGGTTGTTGCTGAAAGTCGCTTCGAAGCCCGGATCACGTGTCGCGACGCACCCACGGATGACTAAGCGGGAGCGAAAATCAGCGAGCAAAGTTCGAATCTCAATTTTGACCGAATAGCGCAGCGACCACCGACGACGACAATCCTCGACAATAGTAAGAATCACCCCTCATGCTGTTGGTATGAGCGACGGGCAATGTGGCTTGGGCATATGGCTTGCAATCATCTTCTGGATATCGACGGCTACGACGACAATCGCGGCGCCTGCAGACACGTCTCGCACACGACTTTTCTATCATCCGTTGCTGTGCGCACCACGCGCGCAATCACCAGAGACACGACCGCCGTCAACACGGAAAGATGAGCGCTCAAGAGACGCCCTCGATGGCTTGCAAAATTCTCTGCGCATTAAACACGACGCAGTCGACAACGATTGCGGACCCCCAACAAGAACATCATCAACTCGCACGCATACACCAGCCAGCCATCTAGAAGATCATCGCAGCCATATTGCACAACCTACAGCCCAGCCGACTGCCACACAGCCTTCACCAGACTGAAGTCCCCTTACTGACCAGACTCCCAGAGCCACCATGAAGCTTAACATTTCGTACCCCGCCAACGGCTCCCAGAAGCTCATCGAGGTTGAGGATGAGCGCCGTCTCCGCGTCTTCATGGACCGCCGCATGGGTCAGGAGGTTCCCGCCGAGTCCCTCGGTGACGAGTGGAAGGGTTACGTCTTCAAGATCACCGGTGGCAACGACAAGCAGGGTTTCCCCATGAAGCAGGGTGTCATGCACCCCACCCGTGTCCGTCTGCTTCTTGCTGAGGGCCACTCGTGCTACCGCCCCCGCCGTACCGGTGAGCGCAAGCGCAAGTCCGTCCGCGGCTGCATCGTTGCCATGGACCTGTCCGTCCTTGCCCTCGCTATTGTCAAGCAGGGTGAGAACGACATCCCCGGCCTGACCGACGTTGTCCACCCCAAGCGTCTCGGCCCCAAGCGTGCTACCAAGATCCGCCGCTTCTTCGGTCTCAGCAAGGATGATGATGTGGGTACCCCCTTTCCATCGTCGCCAGTCCAGAGATTAATCATCTCCATGGACTGAGTCTGAGTGTACAAGTATACTGACTGTGATGTGAAATAGGTCCGCAAGTTCGTCATCCGCCGTGAGGTCCAGCCCAAGAAGGAGGGTGCCAAGCCCTACACCAAGGCTCCTCGCATCCAGCGCCTGGTCACTCCCCAGCGTCTCCAGCACAAGCGTCACCGCATGGCCCTCAAGCGCCGCAACGCCGAGGCCTCCAAGGACGCCGCCGTACGTCTTCTCCGCTCTTCATTCTATCCTTCTCACAGTTCCACTAACACAATCACANNGACCGAGTACGCCAACATCCTCCACAAGCGTGTTGCCGAGGCCAAGAGCCAGCAGCAGGAGATGAAGAAGCGTCGTGCTTCCTCCATGCGCAAGTAAACTTGCCATCTCAACGCAGAGTAGGATGGGTCAAGCTACGAGGCTGGCTGGCTAAGACACAAGACATGCAAGTCGTGTCTACAGGTCAAGAGTCATGTGCCATGCAAAAACGGCTTCGTGGGAGTCGGGATATGGTTGTCACTGGAATGTCCAATGAATCAAAAGCGTTTGGGAGTTTTCGTTTTTCGAACAATGCTCTTCAACATTCCATCAAGGTCACCAAAAAAACTTCTTCAAAATTTTCATGTTTACAAAACTTTCGCTCTGGGATTATGTCGTTTATGATACCCATCAACTGGATTTCTTTTGTGTTATTACTCTTCGTTGCTGTCCCTCGTGATTGTGTGTCTTCAGCTTTGCTATTGCTCATTCTGTCCTCACTGTCCATCTCTTTTGATCACACGCCCTCTGTAAAATCATACCAACTCTATCCACACCAATCTCTAGAACGTCTCAGCATCCTCCTCAATGGGCACCAAGTCCCCCTTGCCCTTGAACTTCTCCTTGATATCCGCCTGCTCACTCAACATGAACCTCTCGACCTGCGACCCTTGCTTTGCCAACCNCCTCCACCTCTCAAACACCTCTTGCTCCCTCTTGTCTCCTCTCGCCTGCTCAGGATTCTCCCAATGGCCCTTTGAAAACGCAATCAGCGTGGTGATCTTTTCATTCTTGATGTCATAGACCAGAGAGCATATCGTGCCTGTTTCCTCCAACCAATTGCATTGCCAGAGTTCGTTGGGACGGATGCATTGGTAAGTGCAGGTTTGGTAGTTTATGCGGCCGGCCATGGGACCGCCGTGTATGGCATCTGCATGTTTGATGTTTTAGTATTTTGGATTGGGGGGACTTTTTGGGTGTTGGATGGGTAAGGGGAAGGGAAAGACTTACANCACTATGCGGGTGGAGGAAAAGAACCACATCTCGTAGCGCCATTTTTCGGGTGTGCCGTCTGGGGCTTGAGCGGCGTAGTCGTAGATTAAATGGGTGTCTTTGATGTCTTTATCGAAGGATGGATGAAGAGAGGTGTTTGTGAGGAAGGTAGGTAGGTTCTTGGAGTCTGCCATGGTTCTCTGAGATGTTGATATGTCCGACTGACAGCTTGGATAGGTTTAATGATAGGTAAATTGATGCTGTTATACAATCTTCTCAGAAGAGATCTTGTCGTGACTACTTATATTCAGCAAGCTCGACGAACTACCGACTGCTTATGCCTTGGAGCTCTTTGAGTTTTCGATCGCTCTCATGACGTCTCGTTCCTTTCCTATGTATTCATGTTCGGATGCTTCGGCAACGGCAACGGCGTGAGGACGAAGCATGCTTCCCAGCAGCTCGGGCCGAGGGTCCTCACCTCACTCACCAAGCAGATTGCACATTCGTTCACGGTTCTCGAGAACACGAAGATGGAAATCTTCTACATATTGTGGACTCGCCAACTCTCTTTGCTTTCGGGATGGCCGCCTGATAGTACCAATATTCGATCTACATGATAGTAACGGTCTCATAGATTTACCATTATTCGTAAGAGACCTGAAGTAAACTGAAAGACATATGGAGTTGTCTTATCGAGCTGTTTTTGATAAGGATGGTCTATCAAACTTGCCTGGGCATGTTGCCCTCAGGATTCTTAGTTGGCGAGTGCTCACGATATTCGAAAGTCAGCAATATCACACTCGATCGTTTCCGATCTTTGATGCGAATATCCACAAAATCGGTCTTGTGACCTCGAATTTATCCAATTCAATAGTATGCAGTACAGTTTTGACGACATGTGTTCAAAAGTGATGGAAAACAGGATGTGACTAGGCAACTCGATTGAAGTATGAAACAGTATTACGAGCATCTCCTCCTCCACCGTGCTACCCGCTGCTTGAGCTGCTCGAAGAACTGCTGCTGGACGAGGAAGAAGAAGAAGACGAGCTGGACGAGGAAGAAGAAGAAGACGAGCTGGACGAGGAAGAACTCGAACTTGAACTCGAAGAACTACTGCTTGATGATGAACTCGAAGATGATGAACTCGAAGATGATGAGCCCGATGACGAAGAGGAACTTGAGTTCGATGAATTGGACGACGAAACCGTGCTCCAACTGCTGGATGATGAAGAACTGTTGACGCTGGTGCTGCTGTTGCTACTTTTGAGTGCCGACGAAGAGCCACCTGCGTTTATCGATGTTTCAATGTTTGCAGAGGACGAACCACCAGTGTGTCCTGACGAAGCATTGTTTGTCAAGGATGATCCACTTCCAAATTGCGAAGCTGCGTTGTTTGAGGAGGAAGAGCCACCCGACGACACATTGTTTAAAGAGGATACGTTGCTTGAAGAAAACGTGTTGGAGGAGGAGGACGCATTTTCTCCTTTATGAACATCTACAGCCGCCAATATAGCGCCACCGACATTCAGAGTTAGAAGACTCAACAAGAGCGTTGCCAGAACTCTTGGAGTATCGGCACCAGCCAAGGCGCTCGAAGCAGCAGGAGCGAATGGTAAGAGCATCCAAGCTAATCGTAGATCTTGAGGAGAGAGTGTTGGTCCATTGCTCTGGTCGGATGGCGGCATCGATCTGACTCTGCCTTTTCCAGGCAAGCTCTTAGTGACAGATGGTGCCTTGGACGAGGATTTGCTGGATGATGGCCCTGCAGAAGGATTTCGCTGCACCGGTCTCTTGTCCAAGGCATTCTTGAGAACCGTTTTCCATGGCTGTGCTCTGGGGGACAGGTTCGGAGGCTGTGGCTTCTCATCAGGTGGTGTTGTCTTAGTCGGCGTTGGCTTTGGGTTAGGTGATGGCTTTTTTGCAGAAGGTGGATTCTGACCGGTGGCTGGCGTCTTGTCGGGCGTTGACTTGTCGTCTGGCGGTGCCTTGCCGCCGGGACCTTGCTTCTTGTTAAAGGGGTTCTTGAGCGCTGACTTCCAGGGCGGTATCACAGGAGAGGGGTCGGATGGCTTTGGCTTTCCGTCTGGTGTTGGCTTCTTGTCGGGCAATGAATTCTTGTTGTCTGGCAGTGGTTTCTTATCAGGTGAGAGCTGCTTGTTAGCTGGCGGTGGTTTCTTGTCAGGATCCGGCTTTTTGTCAGATGATGGCTTCTTCTTGAGAGGATTCTTGAGAATTGACTTCCACGAGGGCTTTGGGGGCCCCGGCTTCTTGTTGGGCGGTGTCTTCTTGTCGGGTTTTTTGTTAGGCAACTTGACAGACCGTGGTTTGCTGTCGGGCTTCTTGTCAGGCTTGTCAGATTTCTTTTCAGGTTTCTTGACTGGCGCTGGCTTATTGTCTGGCTTCTTGTCAGGCTTCTTCACAGGCGGTGGCTTTTGGTCGGGCTTCTTGACGGGTGGTGGCTTCTTGCTAGGCTTCTTGTCAGGCTTCTTGGATGGCGACGGCTTTTTGCCAGAAGGCTTCTTTGCTGGTGCTTTCTTGACTGGCGGCTTCTTTGTAGATGGTTTGGTAGCGGGCTTTTTCGTAGCAGGCTTCTTGACTGGCTTCTTGACTGGCTTATTCGCTGCTGGCTTCTTCGGTGGAGGCTTCTTCTTTGTAGGCGGCTTCTTTGTAGGCGGTTTCTTGGTAGGCGGCTTCTTCTTTGCAGGCGATTTCTTCTTCGCGGGTGGCTTCTTCTTTGCAGGCGGTTTCTTTTTCGCAGGTGGCTTCTTCTTTGCGGATGGCTTCTTCTTTGCAGGAGGTTTCTTAAGAGGCAGCTTCTTGATAGGCTTCTTACTCGGCATCCGGACACCCTTCTTGCCAGGCTTTTTGACGGGCTTCTTGACAAGCGGCCTTGGCTTCTTGGGTGGCTTCTTCTTGATGGCTTTCTTGGGAGGCTTCTTGGGTACCATGGCGCTTGCTCTGGTAATTTGATGATGTATCTAGGGTTGTATGAATGGATAAGCGATTGATGTTCGAGCACAATAGGTCGATGAAGCTTTCCAGACTGTTTCGAGATGACGAAGCTTGGACATTGTTGTTGAGGAAGGAGCGACTGACTGACTGCACCAAAGATGCGTCTGCGCATACTTGAAACCGTGTGCATCTTTTGAGATCATGTTTCATCACAGCAATCTTTGATTGGCAAACTCAAGACGTGATCCTCAGAAAGCCAAAGGTAAGGTTAACCAGTAACCCACTGAGTACAGATATTTGCATGCGTCTTGTCCAAATGCCTTCCTCACGCATCAACCAGCACGCAGCAGCGATGGGCCAGAAGAAGCCCATGAGATTTCCCCAGAGCATATCTTCCAGTCCACCTTCTTCGTCTGTGCCTGCCGCACCACCGTTTGCAGCATTTACAGGGTCATTCTCGAGCCATCTTTCTTCCAGCGAGCGAAGTTCGTCTCCTGTCGGCATCGTGTCGGGAGTATGGGTGTGTGCTTGAATGGCCATGAACTGTGCACGGAGGTTGGCTACGTCTCCAGGGGAGAAGCCAGCAGAAAGAAGGCGGTCAAACCCTCGAGGACCAGGTGTGGACGATGTCGTTGAAGCAGTTTGACTCTGCGCTGGAGCGGTTTTGACCTGAGCATCTGTCAAGAGTGCTTTGTCGGCATTCTCGGCGGCCTCTGCTTCGGAAGCAATATCTCCTGGGGAAAGAGTGTCGCCAATTGAGCAGTGGATGTAAACCCTCGAGACGGTGCTTTCTGCAGGAGCCTTGCCTTTTACATTATCTTTTACTCCAGCTGAGTCGTTCTTCGAGCGAGGAGGTGGTGGAGGGATGTTGATACACTTCGAAAGTGCCGTCGCATCGGGGAGGACCTTTCCTGCCGAGATGAGACGTAGACGACTTGCGGCGTACGAGGCAGGTAACTGTGATCTGATCTGCTGTCGCAGACNCAACGGGGTAGTGAGTTTCGCAGAGGGCACCCTTATCACAACATCTGGTATAGCAGCAGTGAATCGGATGACCAGATCGACTGGCTGGTCGTGTGACGAGCCACTCATCGTGTCGTCTGATGTATGCCGTGTCGATGTTTGGCAAAGGTCGTGTCTACAGTATATTGCGCATGCCAAAGACGCGCTAACCTAGCTTTCTAGCATGGCCGAAGGTCAGTATCGAGTCACTCTGTGTCTTGCGACAAGATATTTGGTGTCGGAGGTGAATTGAGGAGATGCATCTCGGGACTTCTCAGTCCGAGAGCCAAACGTCATCGTCAGATGGATCACTCACATGTTGCAACTCCTCCTTCTACTCATTCATACAAGGAAACACACTTCGAAGACCTTCCAACATCTTCTCAGAATGCCAATCGTACACATTGTCCTGTTCAAGTTCAAGGAAGACACTGAGCCGGCAGTGGTTAAGGATGTATGNTCAAGCTTCCATCAGAATTCGGACCATATAATGAGCGAGCACTCACACCAACCTTGACAGATCTGTGACCGCATGATTGGACTCAAAGATACTTGCATACACCCTGATACACAACAAACATACATGAAATCATATGGAGGCGGAAAGAATAACAGCCCCGAGGGAGCCGCAGTAAGAGCATCGACAGGAGTCAGGGTTGCCCTGCTGACTAGTATANNGCACGGCCTTCAGTATGGATTTGTCTCTGAATTTCAGTCAGAGGCCGATAGAGATTACTATCTGAACACGGATCCTTCTCATCTCAAGTTTGTGGAAGATGTCGGAAAGATTGTTGACATGGCTACTGTGTTTGACTTTGAGCCTGGCGTTTTGTCGTGAAGGGCACAACTAGGGTGATCATGATGTATGTCGGACGGACTTTGATACAGACAAATTCCAAGCAAAGTATTCGATGTTTAGTCGGTCATATGGTGCAAGGAAATGACATATGCAAAAATGCTCTACTCGAATGTGTAGTTAGTGAAACTAAAGCAGTATATCGTTGACCACAATCGTTGGCAACGGGATTTGTTCCCTGCCAAGACCAAAGTCCAGAAATCGTTATGCACTTTTGGTAATCGGAGACGGCGACTTGGTGTGTGTATTGTCTTTGGCCAACCACTCTTGAGGCCTAATTCAACAGGCAGTCCGCTGTTTCTCGATCTAGTACACATCACAATCGCCATAATGTTCGCCTCGCTCCGGCCTCAGTGCCTCCACTCTGCGCCCGCCGCTCGCACCTTCACAACCAGCGCAAGCCTCGCCTGGAAGTCACACAAGAACGCACTCGCCGAAGTGCATGCCAACGTACCGCCATACCCATACGGACCCGCGCGGTGGTTCAAGCAATCCGACAAGGGCCTGTACGGCGGCCAGCGCATCCAATTCGGCAACAACGTATCACGCAAGACCGAGATCAAGACACGAAGGAGCTGGTACCCCAACATCAAGCGCAAGGCTCTCTTTTCCAATGCGTTGAACCGTCGCATTCGTGTTCGCGTTAGCACCAGAGTCATGCGCACAATCGACAAGGTCGGAGGACTGGACGAGTACCTACTGGGCGACAAGTCGGCACGCATCAAGACGCTAGGCATGGAGGGCTGGAGGTTGCGTTGCATGATCATGGCCACAAAGTCGGTACAGGAGCGCTTCAACCAGCAGAGACGTGCGCTGGGTCTGCCCGAGTTGGATTACGAATTCTTGGCTACCGAGCTCAACCAGCTGCCCGACGAGTTGCTTGATGCCGAAATGTCAGGGGAGCCTCTAGAATTTGGAGTCGAGGAAGAGCAGCCAGTAGAGGGAGCATTCGAGTCGGTCGATGTCCTTGGTGGTGAAGCAACAAGCAGCAGACCAGAACAATTCCAACAAAGGGTGGACGAGGCTCTCTCCAAGAACTGGGAGCAGGCAAGATAAAGGCTTTATGGACTGATGTTCCTTTTCATGTACATTAGGGTTGGAGCAAAGACTGTACAATTTGATCGTTCTGGGAGCAAGTAAGCCCGAGAGAATACAAAACCACATCACCGGCCCTCTCTAGTACTTGTGATTGAGGTGACAACGACGGTCAGAAATACGAGTACCTATCTGCATACGAATCATCAAGCAATATGATTTAAATATAATATCAAGGCCAGGACAGGGTGACTGCGGAGAAGAGTTGGGCACCTCCGAACAGCTCGGCCAAGCTCTCAGCCCATGACGCGCGGTTAATCACAAGGAGGCCGTCAATTTCTCTACAAAGACAAAGCGAACGACTGGACGAGGAGTCGCAAAGGACGACGCATGACTTGACACGAATTGAACGAATCGTCCTGCTCATAATGGCACCGCGCACATACAACCCGTGCTCGTACCTGCCACGGCGCCTGCAGATAGTGACCAGCCTGGCCCTATTCATCCTGTTCTGCATTGTCCTGTTTGGTCAGTCGACCGTCGATGTACCGTATCGCGATGAAGTCAACGAAGGCGCGCGAAGAGTATCCTCGTACCTCCCCAAGACACCAAGTCTCCCACAAGGTCTCAACCCATTCAGGACGCCGGCACATTCACCACCACCCGAGCAGGCCAACAGTACCAGCGGCGAGGCAAGATGGTTCTCCGACTGGAAGTGGATGAATCCCTTTTCCTCGTCCATCACACTCGACGAGAACAGGGCGGTGCTACCCCCTNNGTTGGAAAAAAGACCACCAGTATACACATATTTCGACGCCGAGTGGTACAAGGACGAGACGGCGCTTGAGTCTGTCCATCACCTTCTCCTGATCTGGAGACGCGCTTGGTGGGCTCAAGGCTTCAAGCCTGTCGTTCTGGGCCGCCCCGAAGCCATGAACAACCCTCTGTACACGAAATTGATTCCGCTGGAATTGGGAGACGAGCTCAAGACAGACGTGATGCGCTGGCTCGCATGGGGCAACATGGGCACCGGTGTCATGGCCAACTATGTCGCATTGCCTATGGCGCCATACAACGATCCTCTGCTTTCCTACTTGCGTCGCGGTGATTACCCGCAGCTCACGCGATATGAAGGTCTGGAGAGTGGCTTGTTCGACGGTCCCAAAGATCAGATCAACAAGGCCATCGAACAGGTCCTCAATGCTAAGAAGCCCGTCATGGTCAAGTCCGTCATCGAAATGCTATCCAAGGATACCATCCACGTCGACAACAACCAAAAGGCCATCGCCTTCTATTCGAGCAAGAACATCAACAAATACTACAAGACCATTGCCGAAAAGTTGGGATCGGATGACAAGGATGTGAGCCGTGAAGGTCTGCGTCTGCTTCCTCAGCTCATCATCTCGCATCTGCACACGACCTGGCAGAACTCATTCAGCAGCGGCATCGCCGTCTTGAAACCCCTGCCAGATCACATGTTCACTCTTGTCAAGCCAGCCATCGATCTTGCTCGCAATCTGTCACAATGCACCGAGTCGCCGCAACCCTCGTCTTGCCCACCAAACCAACAGAAATGTGTTCCCTGTGTGAGCAGCCACCCACTTCGCATCAGCCAACCTATGTTCTTCCGCAACACCTCGGATCTCTTCACCATCGGCACTGTACCCCACCCCTACACCATGGCATCCCTCCAACACCAAACCGAATCCCTAACCGTGCGCTTCATCCGCCGCACAACCAAACGCGACGAATGGCTCCTGGCCGCAACAAAAGACTTCCTGGGCACAGGCATGAGCAGTTTCGCCCGTATCCCCCACCTCAAAGACGCCGTCGCCTCCGACTACGGCAGCGCCCGCTCCCTCTGGCTAACACCCGAAAACCTGTCCGAGGAAAACAACGCTCTACTCCGTCGCGATCTCGCTTGGTCACTGGGCTTCCCCGTGCCAACCATTGAATCCACACTCGACTCTGGCCGCTCGGAAACACCAGTACCGGGTCCTGAACGTCGCCCTCCAGCACCAAAACCTGAAGGCAGAATCCCTGACCCCGTGGAACTTGTGCGCGAGGGCACGCTCCTCGACAAAGCGAGATTGGTGCTCAAGGGCAAGGGTCCCCGTGACAGTGTTCGCATCCGCGATGCAGTGGAAGCCTGGAACTTGGCTGATACCGAGTTGTGGCGGTTCGTGCGCGCGTGGAATGCGAGGAGGAGTGTCGAGAGGAGAAAGTGGGAGGATGAAGAGAAGGCTTTTGCGGGTACTGAGGGCAGCAAGGGTAGTTGGAGCCGTTGGTTCGATCGTGATTGAAGAATGATCAAGGCATATTTAGCGTTGTGAGCAGTTGTATATCTGGTTTTTCGAGTTTGTATAGATTTTCTTTTCACATGAGCTTTCTTGTCTTCTTGTCCGTCTCATCGTGTCGGGTGAAAGTTCACTTGCGATGCAATACTAGGAAACATGCGTGAATCAAGATTTTGAACTTTTTGATTGACTCTTATCTGGACTGGGTTAGAATGAGAGTATTTCATATTTGCCTGGCTTCTTTGCCCTTCATCTCGGGACGCTCTTTCTCCCACTCGTCTCTGATAATGGCGTAGAGTATGTCAGCCAGAATGACGGACAAAGCCAGACTCCAGACCAGAGTGATGGCATAGAAGAAGTTGGCGTTACCGCTACCGGCATACACCCAGAGGTAGTAGAAGGCAGGACCGAGCAACGTCGTGTATATAAGTGCACTGATGGCAGGGAAAGCATATCGTGAAACTAAGATTGTAGTGTCAGCTTCCTATATGGGTTACAGTGATGACAGAGGGACTGAGGGGGACTCACGTTCGTGAACATGGCCATACATGGAGAGCATGGAAAGCCAGAAACCAGCATCACCGACGTTGGCATATGGCTGGAAGATGGCAAATATACCACACAGAAGCACAACGGCGGCTAGTGGTTGTTCGCGGAGACGGATTGTAAGGGCAGGCGAATACGAGGCCATGTGCAGCCAAAAGACGCCCAAGAAGAAGTTGCGGAACGAGTCGAAAATTTCGATGAAGAAATACCACCACAGGCCGACATTGGGAGTCAAGTCTGGTAGTAGAAGACGAGAGGCGTAGACGGATGAGATGAATGACCAGTCACCAATCAGTGTAAAAGACAAGGCGAACAAGATGGCAACGGCAGCCACAAGTACTAGCGCATAGCGTGCAGCGAAAGAGATCAAGGTGGGAGTCGGTGTACTTTGGGCGGTGTTTTTGCGACGGAGAAGGCACGAGTCGTAGCACAGGATGGCGAGTGGTGGAAGCAGAAGCAGAGGGTGCAAAGACATGTATGAGGCAATGGCCAGAGCTAAAGCGGAGCTCATGAAGGCACCACGACAGGCCTTGAGTGTAGCGATGAGGATGAAGAGGTTGCCAAAGACATTGGTGGAGCGAGCCAGGCATGTCAAGATGATAAAGGGGTTGAAGAGGTATGTGGCAGCGACGGCAGAAGACGACCAGCGCTTCGACTCGCGCGACGACGTAAAGAATCGGGTAGCGTAGGATTGGCCCGAAGCAAAGATTTGCATGAGAGCGTATGCGCTCGCGAGATCAACCAGTGTGTACAGCAAGACGGTGACCAGAGGGTAGCGCGTGGGATCAGGGAGGAGCGAGAAGAGCGGCAGGAGCAGAGGGGCCTGGTGGAAGACACCACCGTCGTAAGGCGATAGACCATGGTTGTATAGAAAGAGGCCTTCTTGCACTGTGAGAGAATGTGAGTCTTCCTAGCTCCAAGGGTTTGGTGAGCGCATACATCTCTTGAAGCCCGTCACGGGCGTGGACAACTCGACACGCCCACTGAGGAGGTCGGGCAGACCAGGAAAGGCCCATGGCAGCAGCAGCCGGACAGCGGCTGCCGAGCCGAAGAGGGCGAGGTCGTACGTCGCCGTCGACATGGCCGAGTGTCTGTTTGAATGTCGGCAGCTGCTCGTAAATGGCAACAGCTACCAACAAGTAATCGCAAATGGTCGAGGCTCTCGGGGAAGCCGCTGCCTCTCCGCAACCGTCCAAGCAGCCAATCGGGAAGGTCGGCCGAAGGCGGTGAATCGCGACGCTTCCCGCTTCGAAAGTTCCATCAAGGGAAATTTTGGTTCTCGCGCCTCAGAAAGCGCTTGACCATCCATTTGTGTATTTCGAGTCGCATTCATCATGGCCAAAATTCAGAGAAGAGGTACGCTGAACTGCCGTCGCTGCTTTCCGTATTCGACATACTGACTCCGTTTCCAGGCCAGAAGGGCGCGGCCAAAAACTACATTACCCGTACCCAGGCTGTGCGCAAACTGCAGATTTCCCTGCCCGACTTCCGTCGCCTGTGTATCTTCAAGGGTACGATTACTTCTTAAGTTTTCGAGACACTGTTATCTAAGCTATCCCACNNAGGAATCTACCCTCGCGAGCCCCGTAACAAGAAGAAGGCAGCCAAGAACTCAAACTCGACCCAGGCCACTACCTTCTACTACACACGCGATATCCAATACCTGCTCCATGAGCCCCTCCTCAACAAGTTCCGCGACCACAAGGCTCTGGCCAAGAAGATTGGCCGTGCTTTGGGTCGCAATGAAATCTCCGACGCAAACCGCATGGAGAAGAACCTCACTCCCAAGATGACCCTCGACCACATCATCAAGGAGCGTTACCCTACCTTTGTCGACGCCCTTCGCGATCTGGACGACTGTCTCTCCATGCTCTTCCTCTTCGCCAACCTCCCCTCCACCGAGACCGTTCCCCCAAAGACCATTCAGCTCTGCCAGCGTCTCACTCACGAGTTCGAGCACTACCTGATCCGCAGCAACAGCCTGCGCAAGAGTTTCCTCTCCATCAAGGGTATCTACTACCAGGCCACCATCCAGGGCCAGGACATCCTTTGGCTCGTTCCCTACAAGTTCGTCCAGCGCGTTACCGGCGATGTCGACTTCCGTATCATGGGCACCTTTGTCCAATTTTACACAACTCTCCTCGGCTTTGTCAACTACAGACTTTACACCAGTCTCGGTCTGGTCTACCCTCCTAAGTTCGACGCCAAGGCCGACGAGCACGGTGCTGAGTTGGCCGCTTTCGCCATCGAGGGTCGCAACGTTGCTGGTGCTCTGGACAACAAAGTTGAGCAGCCCGCTGCTGCTCCCAAGCAAGTCTCGGCCACCGCTCAGGCCGAGGCTGACAAGCTTCTGGAAATGCCATCCGGCGAGGAACCCACCAGCTCATACGCCACAGCCCAGGAGAACCCCTCATCAAACCCCAAGGATCAAGAAGAGGAGGACAGACAAGATGGAGAGCTCGATGCTTTCCCTGCACCCATCGACCCCGAGTCGGATGTTCTGCACCAACCTACCGTTTCCGCTTCAACCGCCGCCAACCTTTTCGAGCCATTCACCATCTATCTGTCGCGCGAGACTCCCCGTCATCCTCTGGAGTTCATTCTCCGTGCCTTTGGTTGCAAGCGTGTAGCATGGGACACCGTTCTGGGCGAGGGCGCCTATACTTCTGACGAGGCCGACCGTCGCATTACTCACCAGATTGTCGACAGACCTAACCTACCTCTTCCCGCCATGCCTGTTGAGGATGAGGAGACTGCTGCAGCTAACGCATCGAAGCGTTTGAGACCTGGCGAGCGTGTTCCTGGACGTATCTACATTCAGCCCCAGTGGGTTTGGGACTGCATCAACGCAGGCAAGCTGTTGAGAGCCGATCTGTACGCTCCTGGCGCTACTCTGCCTCCTCATCTTTCGCCGTGGGTCAAGCCCAAGCAAGGCGAATACGACCCTACCAAGTCTTTGGCCGAGCAGGAGAACGATGGCGAGGCTTTGGCTGCCGAGGCAGAGTCCGACGAGGAAATGGCCGACGAGGACGCCGGTTCAGATGGTGAGGAGGTTGACGGTGTCCGTGGAGATGACGAGGCTCGCAACTTGGAGTCAAAACTCTTGCAGCAAGGTGGCAAAGAGGTCGTTAGCGGCGAAGGCATGGACATCGAGCTTGCCGAATCAGACGATGACGAGGATGAAGAGGAGGAGGTCAAAAAGGATGAGGAGTTCGGTGGTTTCACCGAGGACGAAGAGGAGGATGAGTCTGAGGACGAGGCCGCTCGCCACCAGCGTGAGCTTGCCGCCGAGGCAGAGGGCCGCTCATTGACCGCTGATGCCGGTGCTACACCCGCCAAGGCTCTGCGCAAGAAGGAGGCCGAGAAGGCACAGAAGGCCATCTCGCGCCAACGCAAGGAGGCTCAAGAAGAGACAGACCGCCAAAAGATGATGATGAGTCGTCGCAAGCGCAAGATCTTCGAGAAGATGCAGTACTCAAACGCAAAGAAGGACGCAGAGGCCGAGAAGCTGAGAGGCAAGAGAAGANNAAAGATCGAGAAGGGACAGGCCAAGAACTAGTTTTGTGCATAAGCAAGGTGTTTTGGTGTGGCTATATCGGTTGTCTTTTTTCTTCTTGGGCAAAGGTCTTTGTACTGTGATCAGATATCCGGCGTTTGTATAGGCAAAAGTGGAACTAAAGTGCTATCTATTGAGCAGAACAATCTTCAAGTCTTAATATGAACAATGTGCATTCACACTCAAAGACAAATGCTGCAACTGCTTGTTGGTCGTTCGCGCCTGCCAGACTCGCTCGGACTTTGCGGCGTTTCTCCGTCGAGCATTGTTTGCCTGCAAAAACATTTTGCACCTCGACCTTTGGTACGCCATCTTCACAACTATTTGAAAACTTGCGACGTTTCTCTGTTGCTCCATCTATTACAGAACCTAGTCTGGTGTCTTAGACCATACACTAGTTGTCCGATCTACAAGGACAAGAATATAGCTCTGTCAAGAAGCTTCTCTGACCATGGCCGACTTCCAAGCAAAATCCGATGTTTTCCTGAACTGGTTCAAATCTCAATCTGGAGCCACGTTCGATTCGCGTCTCCAACTTACCGATCTGAGAGATAGAGGCGCAGGACGAGGTATCATCGCCACCTCGGACATCCCAGCCGAAACAGATCTCTTTACCATTCCTAGAAACAGCGTCATCAGTGTCGAGAACTCGGATCTGTCGAAGAAATTGCCGAGAATCTTTACTGGATTGAAGAATCTCGATGCTGATGGTGATGATGGCATGGCTGATGGAGATGACGATGACGAGGACGAGAATTTGAATATGCCTGATCCTTGGTTGGATCTGATCATGGTTATGGTGTATGAGTATTTGCAGGGCGAGAACTCTGCTTGGAAGACTTATTTCGAAGTTCTGCCTCAGACTTTCGACACCCTGATGTTCTGGGGACAGAGTGAACTCAATGAGTTGCAGGCTAGTGCAGTGAAAGACAAGGTTGGCAAAGAGTCTGCCGATGAGATGTTCAAAACAAAGGTCTTGCCTGTCGTCAAGGCCCACGAGGATATCTTCTACGCTGGCGGTGCTCAGAAGCTTTCTGATGAGCAGGTTGTCGAGCTCGCACACCGTATGGGCAGTATCATCATGGCCTACGCTTTCGACTTGGAGAACAATGAGGAAGACGAAGACGATGAGCAGGAAGGCTGGGTCCAAGACTTGGAGGGCACTCAAGCAATGGGCATGGTGCCCATGGCCGATATGCTCAACGCTGACGCAGAGTTCAACGCGCATCTCAACCATGGTGAGGATTCATTGACAATGACCTCGTTGAGAGAAATCAAGGCTGGAGAGGAGGTTCTCAACTACTACGGTCCTCTACCAAACTGCGACCTCCTGCGTCGTTATGGCTACACTTCAGCCAAACACTCGAGATACGACGTTGTCGAAGTGCCTTGGGAGATCATCGCCAGCACTATCGACAAGAGATACACTGGCAAGAAAGGTGCGCTAGATGAGGAAGACATGGAAGAAGGCTTTGTGCTGGAGCGCGACTCTGGCGAGCCTGACGATACTGGCATCAACACTCACCCAGCAAAGTTCGTCGCTTTCCCCGAGGAACTTGAGGAGCAAGTTTGTCAAGTCATCGGTCCGGCAATGGGCATTGACGTGAACCGCGGACCGAACAAGGCACAGCGTAAACAACTCAAGTCGGCATATTACGAGATCTTGGATGCGGTCATCCCAGCAAGGTTAGCACAATACGGCACCACCGTGGAGCAAGACGAACAACTGCTCAAGAATCCCGATCTTGAGGGTAGACACAGAATGGCCGTGTTCGTTCGTCTCGGGGAGAAGAAGCTGTTGAAGGAAGCCAAAGAGTTCGTCCCTGCACAGCTGGAGAAGTACAAGCCTGTACAAGAAGAGGATGAGGGACGCAGTGCCAAGAGACAAAAGAGATAAATGGATGTCGGTGGATCATAAAAGTCCTTTTTGTCATTGATGTTGGCCCCATACTATAATACAAATTCTCGGCTAGTTTTCAATTTGCTACCGTTTTCACTTTCTTGCTCGCATAAAACCCTCAAAGAAATTTTCCAACCCATCACGGTCACCTAGAGGCAGAATGTTGGCGACGTATTGATCAGGTCTGACGACAACCACACAGCCCTTCTCCCGATCGACCTCCCTAGCGGTGAAGATGTCCTTGTGGCCAACCACAGCCTCTGCACAAAACGCCTTTTCATAATCCCTGAGCCCAAACTTTCCTTTCTGTGGCCACACGATGGCGGGCATATCGTTGATATTCAACGACGCATGTCCCTGCTGCAGAACACCGCGGACGTCAATGACGGAATCAACATCTGCCCCTTTAGGTGTGAACTTGTCCACCACCTCTGCGATGGCCTTGCAAGCGAGTTGGAAAGGTGAAGTAGGCACTGCAGGGTCTTGGGCAGAAGCAAAGACAAAGACTCTCCATCTGCCGTCTGCTTTGACGATGTGGCCTAGTTGGATAGGCTTTGCATCTGCGAGACGGATCACTGGTGCCGAGTGTAGACGCTCACCGATCGGAAAGCCTTTAGCTAGTTCTTGGTGGCCCGAATTGGCAGTGATGAGGGAAGGAGCATATGCCGTTCCCAAGCCTGCCATAAACAACCCCTGTTTCTCGAAGAACTTTTGAAATTCGGCAGGGTCTATTCCCTCTTCATCGTCGTTGGTTTTCTTGGGGCGAGCACTGAACATGGATGCAATTTCGCGGTCAAAGTTTATCAAGTCTTGCGCCACTTTTTGACGTTCGGCCGAGTAGGTGTGCAGGATGGAGGGGGATGCTGTGGTGTCGAGCACAGAGGCTAGTTTCCAGGCTAGATTGAAGCCGTCTTGCATGCTTACGTTCATGCCCTGGCCGGCTTTGGGGCTGTGGGTGTGGCAAGCATCGCCGGCGATGAAGATGTTTGGGTATCTGGATTCTGCTTCCTGGGCAGTGAGATTGTCGAATCTGCTGCAAAGGCGTTGACCGATTTCGTAGACGGAGTGCCAGACCACTTCCTTGACATCGAGAGTGTATGGGTGGAAGATACGCTTTGCAGTTTCGATGAGCTGGTCTGCCGATATGTTTTTGCTGGAGACGCGCTCGTTGGCGGATAGTTTGTCGAGTTCGATATAGAGACGTACGAGGTATCCGCCTTCTCTGGGGATGATCAAGATACTGCCTTGGCTTGCTGAATGGATGGCGACTTTGGTTCTCCAGTCTGGAAAGTCTGATACGGCGAGTATGTCCATGACACCCCATGCTTGGTTTGCAGAGTCGCCTTCGAGTTTGAGGCCGAGGGATTGACGGACAGCGCTGCGTGCTCCGTCGCAACCGACCACGTACTTGGCACGTACGTTCTCGAGTTGTCCTTCGTGGCCGGGGTCTGTTCTCTCAAGCTGCACCTGCACGGCAGATGTGTCTTGTGGAGAGCCATCTTTTGCTGGTTGGAGGATAAGTTGCTTGAGCTTGCGCGAGTAAGAAGGTTGCAATCTCGTCGGCGATCTGAGCATGACATTGAGGAAAAAGTCATGCACCCTCGCTTGATTGAGAATGACATGCGGGAACTCGGACAGGTCATCACCCGTATCCTTGATCCTGCCACTTCTCACAATACACTCTGGATTCTTCTCGTCAGGCTTCCAGAATGTGGTTTCGTTGATGTAATAGGCTTCCTTGAGTATCCTCTCACTGAACCCGTACGCCTCGAACATTTCAATGCTGCGGACTTGGAGGCCATCTGCTTGACCTAGAGTGAGCCGTTCGGCTTTTTGCTCGACGAGTCGGGTGGTGATGTTTGGGAAGAGTGAAAGCTGTGCTGCGAGTGCGAGTCCTGCTGGGCCTGAACCGACGATTAGGACATCGACTTCTTCTGGAACGTCGTTTTGGATTGCATTGCTTCCTCGTTCGTGTGCTCGGTAGAGATCGTAAGGGTCGCCTGGCCTGAAGCCATTGAGATTGAATTGTAAGACAGACATTGTGCAGAGACCGCCAGCGTTGATTAATAGATGCTGAGTCGGCAGCTCTACTGTGTGATGATGTTTTGAGGTGGGATCTCTGGTGTAAGCGACTTGAGCTGGTGTTGTCTGCTTTAAATACCTCACTCCGACTTGTTTGATTTATGTGAACACTCACTCACGGTATTTCTCTACGGTACCTCTCCCATTCACTTTCCTAATAATCACCCACGGTATCTCTCCACGGTATCTCTTCTACTCACTCTCTCAACTATCTGACTTCCGATGTTGCTGGTTGGATTGGTCGATCTCGGATCTGGTCCATCTCCTCTCTGGTCCCCGCTTCGGCTTCCTCGGTACAGTTGTTTGTGCTCTGTCGGATGTCCCTTACTTGTACAATCTGTGACTAAAATGAGCGCCGGCTACACGATACGGCTTGTCTGAATTCTGCGGCGAGTTTGTACAACATCGAGAATGGACCTGATGATCGCGTGAAGATGAGCCGTCGCAAGGTCGTCGACGTCACGCGTTGCACCAGCCTCCTCAACTACATTGACGCGTTCTCATTTGCATCTACAGACTTCAAGACTGAAACTCGCTATTCTGATTCTGACTTGTTTGATTTGTGATCAGCTCAAACCTCGTGCTGGGGTCTGATCGCCGTACACAATAGGGATGCTGCTGTCGAGAAAGTGCGCTCGTGTTACTGGTGTCTGACCACTCTTACTGCCAAACAAGCATCAGATCCATCAGAGCTGGCGGGTCTGTAGGCGACCCAATATCACTCTTCATCTGTTGCAGCATCGGGCAAGGACGTTCCTTATTCTTGATGCTTTCCGCCTCATTTATGACCTTCACAGAGCGGCAACCACAACATATCTTATGTCACTATAGTCATTGACTATGTGTGAACTCAACTACCTAGCTCATATGTTCCGGCGACCGAAACATGCTTTTGGCCACCAAATCCTTTGCGCCTCCATCCCGAACTTTGCAATTCAACAGGGTCGGCACTTCCAGATAATTCGGAGAATCCATGTTGCGATTGCAGCATAATTGGGCTCGTACGTTTCGAGTTGCTCCTGAACGGGGGAGCTATTGGAGTTGTTGGCATCGCGAACTTCTTCCGCCTGGATCGACTACGTCGACGCAGCAGCCATGCCAACGCGACCAAGAGCAGAACCCCGCCAGCTGAAGCAACTACGATTCCTACAATTTCGCTGGTCGTGAGCAGCACACCCGGCGAGCCCGGTAGAGCATTTCCAGAGGGCTCTGCTTTGGGCAGTGCGTTTGGAGTGGGTGTCGTAATTGTCGAGGATGTTTCGGAAGAAATTGCTGTTGATGACGATGCTGATGCTGACGCAGAAGCCACGCTCGACGTGCTTGCAGATGAGGAACTAGCGGCGGTTGTGGTGCTGGAAGTGCTTGTTCTCGTCGAAGCATCGCTCAATGCTGTTGAAGATGCTGCAATTTCTGCGAGTGACGTGAACCGAATATCACATCTGACAAAGGATTCGGTTGCATTGTAGCCTTTCGCGCAAGTGGTATATCTCGGGCAACATGCCTCATCAACTCCCGCTCCTAGCTCAGTACAGCTTACTGCTCCAGGTTGTCCGCACGAAGAGTTCAAGTCGGCATAGCAGCCCCCTCTATTATGCCATCAGTTTCTATCTGAGCTCCCAGACTTGTGGGAACACTCTTACTCTGCGGTACAGCACCAGCCGATTCCTAGATATTGAGAGCACGTTGGAAATGATGCGTTGTTTTTGACNNACCTGCGATACCGTCAGACAAGTGCTCAGTCTTGGGATGAATGACGTGGCGAACAGCAAAGTGTGTTTCCAGGTGTACAGGTGTTCGCCAGCCATCCTGCTCCGAAGGCATCCATGCAAACGTCTCTTCGCAATATGCTTGGTTGGTCGACTATGTTCACAGCATGTGTTGGCTGTGGGTCGTGCTGGCCACCTTCGCAACTTCCATGGAACAACTTGTCGAGAAGAGACTCTGCTAAGCCGAAGGTACCGTGAAGCATATCCATCTTTGGTCCTCACGAGGTTAGAATGTTGGTCGGAGGTTTATGTTTTGCATCACCTTAAGAGAGCACCAGCAGGCGCTTAACATTGCCGATCAACATTTGTTCCCGAATGCATCGATACTGTGGTGGTAATAAGTCTAGCAAAGGCCTCCAACATGTCGGGACATACAGGTTAGATTTGTTATCCTTTGAAGACAACCGCTGCACCCAGCTGCAGGAAGTGTTGGAAAACACTAAATGTGGTTAAAATGGTATATTGACTTAATATGCGTGTTGCGCCATCGGCGCTTGGATGAACACAACTCACCCCAGCGGCAGGTCTCCACTGGGCGCGTAACAAGCGAAACACGTCGTACGGCGCTTGTGGATGCAGCGACCTGACTCGACAGATACGGACAACAGAATACATGTTCGATAATTGCCGGGTGCAACCAGTCGCATGATTTTTCCAAGTGACACGAACGACACTTTCCGCAGCGCTGGGACGCGATGGGTTGACTAAACATGCAAGAGCTGTGCCTCATGATTGTGGCTTTTCCATACGAACAGGACCTGAGTCTGAACCTGGGACTTGAAGTGAGCTCTAAGCTATATGCTCTTTCCTCCAACTGATCCGGGTTTTCATGTTCTTGATCTCGCTATGAAGCCTCGATACCGTTTGTTTGCTGCGAGCATTTGCCTTATCACCTTGACTTGTTACCTTTACCACATTCATGTACCACCGTTATTACCCGACAAGTCTCTCGAATACAACAGGAGTCGCAACGATTTTCCTCAGAACGCAACAGACCCAAGCATTGGCACAGTAGTCGCCTCGCAAAGTCGCGACAACACAACATGGCTGCCAACACTCTTTCCGGATTGGAAACACAACATCTTCGTCGCTGACCAAACTGACGCTGCCCTTTCAGTACCTCGGAACAAGGGCAGAGAGGGTATGACCTACTTGACTTTTATCATCGATGATTATTCGTCTTTACCCGATATTGTCATCTTCTTACATGCTGAACGATATCAATGGCATAACGACGATCCATTGTACGATGGGGCACGTACACTATCGCGTCTCCAAATACTTTATGTCCTTGAACAAGGATACGTGAATCTTCGCTGCGTATGGACCTTGGGATGCCCTCACGAGATACGTCCATTGGAACATCCGGTTGACGAGATCACGAGCGAAACTTCTGCCGACCAAGTCTTCGCTGCTGCTTTCCGGGATCTTTTTCCAGAAATTCCGATTCCTGAGAGTATTGGTGTGAGCTGCTGCGCGCAGTTTGCAGTAACGAAGGAGATTATATTGAAACGGCCTAGAGAGGATTATGAAAGGTATAGGCGTTGGCTTCTCGAAACCGAGCTAGAAGATGGCCTGAGCGGACGGGTCCTGGAATACTCGTGGCATAGTGAGCATGCTCTCTTCATGTAGATGCGAAACTGTGCACTATGCTGACCCTAGCACGCAGTCATATTCGGTAAAGAGGCCGTCTTTTGTCCAAGAGCAGAGGACTGTTACTGCAAGGTCTACGGGCTTTGCACCCTACACTGTGACGACGAAGGCAAGTGTCGTGAGCAGTATACATTACCACCATACTCGAGTCTCCCTCAAGGTTGGCCATGGTATGGCTGGGATGGCCAGTGGCAAAATGCGAGCGCAAGGTGATATGTATGCCAACGACATAATATCCAACGCTACTCTACATGATCAGATGATAAACCCCTCGAGCTGCTCTTTGGTACGCTGATCGACATTGTGATGTCTATTCTCCTCCCACTTTTGACCTCCTTCACCGAACGCGCTGCTCAGTTGACCAAGGAAGAAATCAAGATTCTTGTCTGCCTTGGGAAAGGCTTCCTTGAACTTTTGATACAGCTCATCGACTTTGTGCTTCTCGGAAGCATTCTGAATAAGGTCGTCGAAAAGCTGGAGATACTTACGAGTATGTGCCAGATCAGCTTGACCATCCATCTCCCAACCACTCTCTAAATGGCCCGGTATGATTTTGGTAGCATCCAGCGATGCAATGAGGTCCAGAGATTTCTGCCAAGCGTGCAGAATCTGAGGTGTCTCTATTTCGGCGGCCCTTGATCATTGTCAGAACAATATTTACCATCGAGTGTGGACGAGGTGTTGCTTGTAAGCTTACCAGACATGGGTGCTCCGTGCATATATCACGTCGCCGCAAACAACAGTCTTCTCGGTCGGCAACCAGAATAACGTCTGATCAATCGAGTCACCTTGGACGGGACCAAGCAGACATATGGGCGATTGTTCGTCCCCATCAAGCACAAAGAAACTGTGCTCAAAAACATCGGGCTTCCTTGGCTTCTCCGGGACCATCTCCTTCCCCATTACTGATGGCCAATACTTGACTTTNNTCTCCTCGTACTCGCGATCGATGCCCGCGCGAACATATGGTGCAGTCAAGAATCTCACTCCCTTGAAGGCTTCTAAGATGGGATTGGCGGAGAAGAAGTGGTCGGGATGGTGGTGAGTTACAAACATTGCCTTCAATGGCAGAGATGTGGTGTCCTTGATCCATTCGACAACAGATTTGGCATCCGGAACCAGGAAGGGAGGATCGATGAGGGCTGCACTTTTACTGCCCACGATCAGCGTGGTAATACTGGACAAGCCCTGCTCGCTGGAGATATGGATGTGCGTCTGCAATGGCATAGTGGTCAAATCTTGACTGTAGTTGCAGGTCGTTCAAAACAATAAGCAACTGCGTAGTATATGCGGTTGGATCATGATTAGCTGACTAGTTATATACACTAGTTCATTGACCCCACATGAGACGATCAACAACATCAGGGCGGGGTTACGGCCCTTCGGCAAGTATATCACCACTTTGTCGGTATATTGATCAATCAAGTGGGGTAAATTCATGTCAAGAGCTCAATGCACATTGTATGCAAACAATATATTTGGTGAAGATGCAAAAATGAGCATTCGATAACGGACTATTATCATCCAAAGTGGTCGACCTCCAATAACGCCATTCCCATCCAAGCCGTCATGATGCATGTAACTAAATCGAATTACACCTTGACATCCGCAGCGATCTCTCTGACAGATACATGTGAGTCTGCTCGTTTCTTGTCTGCTGGCACATTGAGCGTAACAGGCTCAGGGAAGGGCCGTAGTCTGCTCTCAATGTTGCCCCACCAGTTCGAGCCAAATCTCTGGTACCATTGCACGGTGAGTTGCAAGCCTTCATTGAAGCGAGTCTTCTGTTCCCAACCCAGTTGACGTAGCTTGTCTCCATTGACGGCATAGCGATGGTCGTTGAAGGGGCGGTCTTGGGTGTGGACGACATGTTTGTAGAGGTCCTCGGTTGTGGCGTGAGGTAGTCCGAACAAGCGTAGTAGGTGGGCACAGAGGTCGATGGTCGCGACTTCGTCATGCGAGTCGACATTGTAGATGTGGCCAATCTCACCCTTGTGCAAGATGGTATCGAATGCATCTGCAGCGTCGCCTGCGTACAGATAGCGGCGTGTGTTGTCTCCGCTACCGTGTAGAGGAAGCTTCAACCCGCGCTGCAGCATCAACGAGAACTTCGGGATGACCTTCTCGGGGAATTGATGCGGCCCATAGACGTTGTTGCTACGCACAATGATGACCGGTACCTTGAAGCTCTTGTAGTAGGCGTGTACCATCATCTCTGCTGCGGCCTTGGATGCGGCATAGGGGTTTGTAGGAGCAAGAATGGCATCTTCGAGAAGGTCGTCGGCACCGTCTTTGACTTCACCATAGACCTCGTCCGTAGAGACATGAATGAATTTCTTGATTCCATACGTCTTGATACACTCTAGCAACACGTGAGTGCCGTAGACGTTGGCGTATGTAAAGTCGTAAGAGTTTCCGAAGGAGAGATCGACGTGAGATTGCGCTGCAAAGTGCATCACTGTATCGATCTTGTGTTTTCGAAGGCAACCCAAGACTTCATCCGCCTTCATGATATCTCCATGATAGAACGAGAAGTTGTCGAGGTGATTCAATTGGTTTGTGTTGTTCAGAGACGCACAGTAATCCAGCTTGTCGAAGGAGACGATGTTATAGTGGCCACCATATGTAGTTGTGAGGTGGCGGACCACCCATGAAGCGATGAAGCCAGCTCCACCAGTGATCATAATGTTGCGGATCTCAGGGTCTGGCTCGTGGCGTGAAGAGCCTGTGAGGAGAGGTGCTTCCGACCATGTCCAGGGAGGGAAACTCTCATTCTGCGGTGTCTTGACGTACGGCATGTTTGAGAAATCAGATTGAAGCTGGAGAAGAAAAAGGATGCAAAGAGCGTCTGGATAAAGATGTGCAGGGGAGTGCTGAACGATTCAATAGCAAAGTTATATACAGCCACCAACTCATCTTTAGGTTCGAGACCTGCAAAGCCGCGTTTCGCCAGGCGCAATCCTCCTAGAAAGCAGGAGCAGACTCCTGAGCATTTTTTGAGACCGACAATCTCCGCTAGGTCTCGAGGATGTAGGGCGAGCGGTAGATGCGCCACATCGGTGCGAGCTGGATCAGCACCTGAACGTGGAGCCTAAGCAGTAAAGACACTCATGAGAATGATCGCTGGTACCGAAGCCACCGTTGGCCTGAACAGACCGTCCGGGCTTACGTATATGTTCCAGAGGCGAACTTCAGTCGATAACGGTCGTGTATACTGACAGCTGAAGTGCATTGATCTGAGCACGTTGGAAGTAGGAATCGATTGTGGCAAAGAAATTATATCTACTGTTTCAGAACCAGGAGATCTTGCGACTGTACCTTCTGCAGGGGCTCCTGCGATATCTTAGATGGCGACAACTGTTTCTTTCAACACATGTGGACAACTGGTCTGCCGTATTCACGATAAGATACAGCTTCTGGAACATGAACTCCGTGGTGACATTAGTTCGAAAGCTATTCTCCGGCTGAGTATCTCGTGCCTGGCATTGTCACTGTACTGGCATTAGACCTCGGTATCGAAGGCGACTCAACATGGTGTGAAGGAAGTCAAGAGGATCGTGGCTTGTGACACGCATGAGCTGAAGTGAGCAATGCCGTTAGCGCCGATCCACTAGTAGATAAGGTTAGGGGCTCGAATGGGGAACCCTCTGTCAACGGCGCGCGCGAACGCTTCCAGCGTGGGGGTCTTTACTGTAACGCTGGCTGGGGTCCAGCTGTCACAATCCCTGAACGGTGCTAATATTGGAGTCCGAAAAACGGACCCAGCTGGATCGAGGTACAATGTGCGCGAATAAAGTTGAGCATGTGAAAGAAGGGAAGGGACTGGATCTCCAACATCTCCCCTTCAATCAACTCTCCCAGTCTTGCACAGAAAATCATGAAGGATAGAGATTCAAAGGTAATGGTCACAGAGATGGGCAATCACAACTACGAACGCGCGCCGTCAAGCGACCACTCGGACGATGAGAATGCCAGACTATCTCTCGAGAACCATGAAGCGAAGTTGGACGTCGATCTTGAAGAGCAGAACCACGAGAAACCAAAGAGACCGTCAAGCAGTCTCATGGTTTGGATAACTATCAATGTTCTGGCAACAATTGGAATTGTAGGCTCAACGAACTGATATCTACCACATCAAAACTGACTAGATATGAATAGNGTCTTCACGAACAAACGCATTTTCTCTGACCCGTCTCTCCGAGGGGCACAACTCTCGTTCGCCTGCTTCCACTTCTTTGTCACCTTCGCGACTTTACACATCGTCTCCAGCCCACGATTCGGCTACTTCGCACGACGAAAGACGACTATGAGAGAAGTACTACCACTTGGCGCTGCTATGTGCTTCAACGTCGTACTGCCAAACCTCTCCCTCGCATTCTCTTCCGTCATGTTCTACCAGACTAGTCGGATCCTTCTTACACCAGTCACGGCTGTTCTGAACTATGCCTTCTATGGCAAGACAATTGCGAAACAGGCGGCATACACTCTGATCCCTATCTGTTTGGGCGTCGGCATCGTTTCTTACTACGATATCAAGCCGGGAGCCAACACGCAGAGCACTAGCTTCATGGGCGTCGTGTTCGCGATGACCGGCGTGGTCGCCAGTTCGATCTACACTGTTTGGATCGGGTACTTCCACAAGAAGCTCGAATTGACCAGTCACCAGCTCTTGCACAACCAGAGTCTCTGCGGTGCGGTGATGCTGCTTTACTTCATACCATTCATTGACTCATTCCCGGTCTGGTCTGAAGTACCAATCAATCGATGGATTCTGATTCTTTTCGTAAGTCCGTCGTCGCCTATTTCAGTCATTCAGATCACTAATTTCGTCGTCATANNGAGCGGACTCTGTGCCTCTGCGATCAATCTGTCGCAATTCGTCATCATTGATGGAGCTGGGCCTGTTGCTAGCACTGTGGTTGGCCATTCAAAGACTTTATCAATTGTCGCATTGGGGTGGATTACAAGTGGACATGGTGCTAATGACAAAAGCCTCTTTGGTGTTGTCATTGCGGTGGGAGGCATTGTTCTTTACTCTGTCGCTACGACACTCTTCAAATAGACAGTCAGTAGTAGATCTCAAGAAAGATATAGTTTGATGATGGAAATTGTGCGAAAGGAAAAGCAAAAGGCAGTCGTAATATAGCGCTGATAACCACCTAACAATTCGCAAAACTATGTTTTACATATCGCTGTATTCGGGAATAAATCATTGATGTATAGCTCTTCGATGATGACGGATGTAGCAGTGATCAGATTGTACAAGAATAGAAATGAATCATACTGTATATCTAGTTGCTGCAAAAGACCTTTCTAGAATGCAATGAGTTCAAAGTCTTCGCCCTCCGTTCTCTTCCAATTGGCCTTGCAGTCACCAGGCAACCATTGTTTGCCATCCATGCTCAAGATCATCTTGACTTCTGGACACCACTCATAAATACGTTCTCTCTTCTCTGGTGTGCCCCAGCTACCACCATGCAAAATTTTGCCAGAACCTCCGAGATGGTAACCCATGGGACTTGACGAAGAGATCATCTCACCAGAGAATTTGTTCTCCGTAGTACCATTGGCAACTTTTGCCCCCACTCGCTGGTTTAGACGGTTACTGAGCCAAACATCCTCAGGCTCGCTCTTAGGCAAGCGTACCTGGTGCTTGAGGACTTCGATGATACTGCTGACCTTGCGGAGTGAAAGGCCACCATTACCGCCACCCTTGTCGTTCAGGCTCCAGGGAGCACCAACGTAGTCGTAGTCGAGCCAGTCATTCAAGCTTTGCTCCGAGTTTGCACAAAGCATGCTGTCGGTTTGAAAGACGAGCAGCCATTCTGCAGGCGCTAGAAGAGTCTCGTAAACCCAAAGGTTCGTCAAGAATGTACTGATTTGCTCTGTACCGGCAACACTCATGTTGCTAGGGATATAGGTAATGTCCATCTTCCCGATGTTCACTTGGTCTTGGACAGCCACCGAGCTGTTCACTGAAGCCACTGATTCATCCGAGCCCATGAATCTGACTCGCCAATCGCTTGGAACGACTGCCGTGAAGTGCAGCAGTAGCGGGATGAGTTGCGGTGACGGTCGGTTTTCGATAAGGAGTGCAACCTTTCTTGGATTGTATGGCGAAGTCTCCTTGTATCTCAATCTAATGGCAGGTGCTGCTGGGAGGAGTTGATGTCCTAGGTTGACGACTGCAACGATCAACCTGGATGCATTAGTATGTATGATATATAACTCCTGTATAATGACTTACACAAAGACGGCGAAAAATGCAGCATAAGCGTAGGCAAGCAATCTGTTCTTTCTGTCCATCCTAGCGAGAGGTGCCATCGAAAGTCGTGAGAGCTTCTCGAACGTACTTCCACTGGTGGGAGACATGCTGTCAAACGAGGTTCAGAAGGCGAGTTCTGCTGCGATCAGGGATTCAAGAGCGAAGCAGGAGAAAGCAGAAATCTGATCTGCCCGGCATGGTGAGGGGTTCTGTGTCTGACAGTGGTTTCTTAGATTAGAGGTGCGCATGCATTCCTGAACGTTGGCCAGAACGACTTGCTACCTTGGAGCTGAATTACTAGAGCACTTTGAGTTCAGTCTCACAACGGTGTGCTGAAAGTATATATTAACGGCGTTCCTTCAACGGTTGCTGACGCGAGCTGAGAAGCAAACTGACAGGGGCGATCGCCCCGTGCTGCACCTCATGCTGGAATAGGAAAGAACGAACAACACAAAAATTATTGGTCCCAGATGTCCCCATTCATCAACATCATCCACAACTCTGATTGCACACAGGTCAACAAAACATCCAGCAAGCACAGTATGGTCTGGTTGTCCAGCGTTCAAGATGTACGCAGTGGTGGGTTCATCAGACTCGTATCGTCTTTGATAGTCGTGTAGGAACTAATCCAGATCTTTTTGGCCGACCAAGCTGACCTTCTGCATAGCTGGACAATTGCTTTCCTTGGACCGTCCAAGAAATCGTTGTCTGATGCAGTCGCAAATCAACTCGCAAGGTTGCCTTCGATGCAGCTTGACTGGGAGGACGCCGAAGCACCATGGGCACATTACAACAAGACAAAACTCGCCGTCATCATTGATTCACGGCCACTGACAACTCTTGCGCCTCTTATCCTGCAGATGATAGTTACTGTTCCACACGACTGGCCCTTCTTGTTCCTTGGATCAACACAAAGTATTGCCGTGGTCAACAGCAGCCGAGCTATTCAAGAGAGAGAAGTCTCGGGTAGACTTCGATTCCAGACGATCGAGTCAGACTATCATTCTGTAGAGGGTAGCCACCGTCTGCTTGCAAGTCCTCAGTTTTACGACGAGATGCTTCCTAAGAGCGTGGAACATCTTTTCGTCTTCAGTCGCGATTCGATCATTTGTGCAAACGCACTGCGAAGTCTTGACGACTGGTTGGGCTATGATTGGATCAGTGGACCNAAGGTGCCCGGTTCTCTTCGCTCTGCTTAACACGCACACGGCTAACGACAGACCAGGTCCGAGTCAGAATCACAGGCTTTCAAAGGCAGTGGAGGATTTTCGCTTCGTCGCGTTTCTACCGTTCGCCGTATCCTCTCTTTCCAACAACGAGACAACAATACAGATGCAGAAGACGAATTCTTGAGCTATCGTATGAAGACAATTCCGGATGCAATTGTTCCAAACGCGACAGAGGCATCGCAGTTTGTCACCGATCATGTCTACCATAACCAGTCGTTTGGCATCCATGTTGGAGACATGTCAAAGAGCATGCTGGAAGTCTGGGACAATCATGATAGACGCATGGAGATCTACCAGCATTGTCCAGAGGTGAAGATGGCCATGTCACCCCTGAAGTTGACCAGAGAGAAGTGCGACGAGCCCGAAGCAGAGAACTCATAGTATAATTCATCATTTTCCTGGCGAGTATGCCTTTGATCTTCTTAAGACCGTTCTTCAGTCCGCGTTGATACAATGTACTCTGCTAGACGGCTCAACAAGTGCAGAATGCCTCTGCTCTTCCCTTGCGCCTCGCTCATGACCGACCATAGTCCCTGTTGCGACAAGATGTGAGACCACACGCGTCCATAAGAGTATCGATTCAGAGTCTAGAGACAACGTCGTCGGACAACGCGGGGCAGGTGAATCTCGTATGATGGTCCATCACAGTAACGATTCGATGTTCGGTCTTCTGGTTGTTCGAGCCACGTAACGTCTGCGGGATACTCAGCTTGCCCTCTCCCTGCATATTCATAGCTGCGGACTCTGCAACGTGTAGGATGTAAGTCCCTTGATGGGATCTGATGGTGTGCCTTCTAGGTGAAGTCTGAAAAACGGTCCGGAGTGCCCCGCATCGAGCTGAGTTCAACAGCACTCAGCTCCAACGTTTAGAGTTCGTTGCAATAATCCTTACACCATTCACCCCCACGCTTTTGTGTCTGAGGCTGATGCCAAACGCAGGAGTCGTGCAGCTACTTTGGGTCAATGGTTATCTACACTAACCAAGTGCTGAGAATCAAACCGCTTTGCAGCCTTCACCGATGGTGTCAACGTCTCGCACATGAATCCTGTACGTAGATTTAGTCCCGTGCAGCGCTCGATAGTCGAGCTTCTGTATCGCTCAGGGAGCCTGGCCACCTTGATCGGTGTACATTCCATTTCTGCTGCCCCCTTGCCGTCTCTCTCTTTCTCCTACATCACTTGCTTCTCCCTTGCCTTGTGTCCAACATTTCCATCGCCTCACACCTTGCAACCGATTCTCTTCTCTTGACTCTACGATTTTCAGCATCTCCTCTTGAACTTTACTTTGACAACACTATCAAGATGATTTCTTCAACCAACCAGAGCGTTTTCCTGATCTGGGGTGGTAAGGGATGGGTCGCTGGTCATCTCGAGTCGTTACTCAAGGATCAAGGCAAGACTGTTCATACCACCACTGTCCGCATGGAGGACAGAGAAGCAGTCATTGCTGAGCTAGAGAAAGTCAAGCCTACACATGTCCTGAACTGTGCAGGCTGTACCGGACGTCCCAATGTCGACTGGTGTGAAGACAACAAGGCTGCCACCATTCGTAGCAATGTCATTGGCACTTTGAATTTGGCCGATGCTTGCGAGCAGCGCGGCATCCACATCAGTGTTTTTGCTACAGGATGTATCTACACTTACGATGAGGCGCACCCCATCGGTGGAGCAGGCTTCAAGGAGACCGACCCTGCCAACTTCTCTGGATCTTTCTATTCGGCTACCAAGTCGAAGGTTGAGGAAGTGAGTATATCATAATATCGAGTACTGGGATGTGTTTGTTGACCATCTTCGCAGATCATGATGAACTATGAAAATGTCCTGTGCCTGCGCCTTCGCATGCCAGTATCCGATGACCTGCACCCTCGCAACTTTGTCACCAAGATCACAAAGTACGAACGCGTCGTCGACGTACCAAACAGCAACACCATCCTGCACGATTTGCTCCCCGCCGCCATCGTCCTCGCCGAGAACAACGAGACTGGCGTGTACAACTTTACCAACCCCGGTGCCATCTCGCACAACGAGGTGCTCGGGCTATTCCAGAAGATTGTCCGTCCCAGCTTCACATGGAAGAACTTTTCGTTGGAAGAGCAGAGCAAGGTTATCAAGGCAGGACGTTCGAACTGCGAGCTTGATACTGACAAGTTAGTCAACAAGCTTCGAGAATATGGAGTGGAGATTCCCGAGGTTCATGATGCATACGAGCAGTGCTTCAAGCGTATGGTCAAGAATGGCGGAAGCTAAAGGGAACATCAAATTTTGCTTAGAGAATTCAAGAATGCAAGTGCTTTCCAGATATCCTTGCAACGAGAGTAGCTTTGGAGAGGTTTCACTATGCGTTATGATGATACATATCTACTGTGCGCACATATCAACCTCGTTGTCAGGTAGGGGCATTGTGCTTAGGCAGTGTTTTGTGCGAGCACTCAACAAATTTGCGACTGCGTGTCAAAACTTGTAAATCGGCTCGAAAAAACGCAGTGTGCTATCTGAGATAGAAATGGAAACAGTATATTACCACCAGAGGTGTCATGTTGATGCAAAAAGTGCTTGCGAGACTGTTTATGGTAGACCAGGGTTGCCCACTCTGCAATACTCCAGGAGTAAATTCCGTGCCTCGAGTCCGGGTGCGAAGATTGGTAGAGCAGATCGTTGTTATCTCTGATATGCTTCACATACAGCCTCAAACGTTACTGAACTCGAGCTTGTCTGACAGTGCTACATCACCGTTTGTGACGTCTTGCACGAATTCTTTGTCCGGAGAAAACAACATGATATGGAAGTGCTCGACAGCATGAATGGACTTCAAACTAGCCCAATTCTTGAACCAGATGCAGTTCTCGGATCCGATGTGATTTCGAAAGTTTCGGTCCACGTACGAATCAATCTGTTGCCTGGCTGCATCCGTCAAGTCCCCACTGACGGCGTCTTCCTCCACTTGGAACTTCACCCAGACGACAAGATGGACAATTCTTGTATCAATCCCGTAAGGCCAGTCATTCAACAAGATTTTTATGTCGCCTGTNNAGTTGGGGTTAACAATCAAGTAAGGGCTGAGTATTTCAGATGCTGTACCTGTGTTACTGAAAGGCTCGCCTCGAGGTACAAGATCTTGCCAATTCAATCTTTCGGTCATGACGAAATTCATGACTGAGCCATATTGGTTCCTTATCCTCGCAGTGTAAGCCTTGTATCGGCGAAGGTCGCTTGGCACACGTTGGAACAGATCGATGCGGTTCGTCCGTATGAGTTCCTGGACTTCTGACCACGACAGACGACGAAAGTCAGAGTCTGGAGTGGCTAGGATCTGTTGGTCTTTCTCATTGGCATCTTTCAGAAAATCCGGACACTCGGTAGACCTTTGGTCCGCGGGAACGTTGACCTGCCAGTAGGGCAATGATTCTTCTTGATCGGACGGCATGCAATAAACGTGAGCAGAGGCTGCTTGGTTGGCAGGATTAGTCGAGTGCAGAAAGGTTCTCTGAGCCTCACCCCTATAACTTGTGGGAGCAAGTTGGCAAGGAGGACTTTCTAAGGAATACCGTCCACTCTCGTTAGATAATAGATAGCAATTGGACAGCCGAGCCGTCGGCTATGCAATATGTCGGACGTGGCGTCGCTGCAAACGACCCCTGTGCGCGAAACGCCCTTGGTCGACGCGTTTTTCTAGAAATGATCAATCTCACGCGGCGACTCGTGGCCAACTATGATAGAAGAAGCACATGTCGTTGGATGCATGACAGGCGGAGAGCTACATGAGGGCAAATCGTATGAAGATCGTATACAGGCGTATGTGTAGATACGCGCGGCACGGAGCGTGCTTTGTCTTGTTCATTTGAGGGACGGCGGATGGAAGAAGTCCTCAAAGCTTCCAGGAATCTGCCCAGCTTTGGCAGGGTCGACGCCGGAGCCACGCTTCGACCCTGGCGCTCGAGGGCAGCGAATCAACTCGGTCGATCCAACGGCGTTAAATGTCTAACTTTACGGTATCAGGGGGAGGCTCGCTCGACTCGACTCGCGCGTGAGCAATTCCCACTGCCACACTCTCTTTCATCTGCCGTCTTGCCCTGGCTGTTCACTGTTGGCCTGTCTCTCTTCTTTCCTCTTTCCTTTTAGGCCGATTTTCTTCTCGTGTCTTGGACAACACTCCTTACAGCTCCGATGTGCGAGTCAAGCGCATGATTGCAAAATAGAAACAATCTACAGTTATACGACGTCCATGCCATCCTAGAAGCTCGTATCCACTCCACCAACATCCATCCTAGCACCATGATGCACGCTCCGAACCTCAGTCGCGACGAGATCTTGTCTGGTCGCGGCTACCANGGCCCTCCTCTGGGCAACGATCCATATGCTGCCGCAGCCAGCAGAACTGCTGTCCCTATCCAGAATTCTCCACCATTGTCACAAGGCTCGACCGACAACAGCCTCTCTAGTCGCGCTCGCTCCCACCGCTCACCCAGCGCGACCAACAGCCACCTTTCCTCCTCGAGCTCAGTCAGCGGCGGTCCTGGTGTCTACTCGCCAGCCGATAGCGACTTCAGATCATCTGTCAAGTCGAACAACCAGGAAGCCGCATTGGCTCACCACTACTCGGTCCTGAAGGTCTACCTTGCGCCATACCTGAGAGACGAGCAGGGAAACACACGTCCCACTCGGGCAAGGGACAAGTTGCTCCGTTTGTCGCCTACGCAATTCAATGAGCTGAGCACCGACGTCTTCGACGAGCTGCAGAGACGTGAAGACGATCGCCGACGACCAGGAGGCATTGTACCTCCGTCTCTTCCGCCCAGAAACATTTTTCACCCCAAACGGAACCAGGCACGCCAGAAATTGTCGACTCTTCCTCCCGAGAGGTTCCGCCAACTCGCGACTGATGTGTTTTTCGAATTGGGAAGCCGAATGCCCGCTCTTATGGGCGCCGATGGGGATAGACCTACCAGTCCTACAGGCAGTGTAGCAAGCAGAACCAGCGCTAGAACATCCAGCCGACAAGGACAGGGCCCTCCATACGCCATGCGCCGTCCGTCAGGCCAACAAAATGGCATGCGCGGGCCTCCTCCACCAGGCGTCCGGCCTGGACCGCCCAGCAACGGCCCCTATTCGCCATATTCACCCTCCGACGAAAGCATGCCTCCTCCACGCACCGATTCTCGTGGTGGCCCTATAAGCCCGAACAGCAGTTTCGGAAGACCGCTTCCCCAGACATTCCAAAGCAACACTATGGTTCCCAACAAAAGCACCATGGTGGAAGACGATGAGACCGACGAAGATGATGATGAGACATATGGTTTGGGACAAGTGTCGGGTACCAGCGAGAGAGATGCCGAAACAATGAAAGCCTTTGAACTTCAGGTATCAGAGCTCGAGGCCAAGATTGCGGACCTGGAAGCGAAGCTACACGACAAGGACACGGAAATCGACACGCACAAACAGGGCCACAGCAAAGACAAAGACGAGTGGTCACAAACACGGGAAGAGCTCGACATGAAGATAGCAGATTCTCAGAAGACGCTAGACACATTGCATGCTGAACTCGAGCACTCTAGAGCAGATCGAGACCAATCCGAGTCTGATTTGCGTGCACGTACTGAACAGGCGGTGTCAGACCTGCACCTTGAGCTGGACGAGATGAGGAAGGAGAACGACATGCTTAGAGCCAATGCTCCATCGTCCAAATCGGTGGAGCACGACAGCGATTGGCAGCATCGCTACGAAGAGCTGGAGCAAGAGCTTGCACAGCAACAAAGGATCACAGACGAGGTACGCCGCAATGCCGAACAGCACCTGCAGGAAATGCGCCTGTTGTCAGAGCAAAGCGAGTCGGCCTTGGAGAAGGAAGAACAACTGCAGTCTCGCATTGCGTCGCTACAGGCAGAGAACGAGCAGTGGAAGATTCGCTATGCCAAGACTAGGACACAGTTGAGGACACTAAAAGCATCCTCAACTGGCCTCTCGATCCAACACATGGCTCCTGGAGCGTTGTCTTCCAAGCATGAGCATATCAAGCCAAACGGCTTGGTAAAAGATATGGATGTGACCAATTTCCAAATCTCAATCGACGAACTACTACAAGCAGCCCGCAATATGTCAACTGCGCCACACTCAGCACTTGACAAGGCCAAGGACGTTGTTCAAAGCGTGCGAAACATGACATCTGGTGTCGAGGGCTCCTTCTCGAACCTCAACTCTCCTCACTCTTCCACAACCCATCTCTCACAAAGCACCGTGGGCCCGACCCCAGAGACGCTCAAGATTCGCGTGTCTCGTGACGCAAATAACCTTGTCTCAGTAACTCGCAACCACGCAGCGGCCAACGGACTTGCACCTATATCACTTGTCGACGCAGCAGCCAGCAATCTTACCACATCGGTGGTTGAGTTTGTAAAGATCGTTGGTGTACGCGATACCCACAACGAGAGCGACGACGACGACTCCTCTGTGGATGGTGAAGACATTGAGATTGAAGAGATTGCACCGCTGTCAATGTCGGGAAATAAGCCAGTACTTGTAAAGACACCTGTCGCGCCCCAAAAGCAACAGGCGGGTACTGGGTGGTTCTCGATGCTCAAGGGAGCAAAGAGCGACCACAGCGACGACGAAGACGAATACGACTACAGCTAGATCTCAGACTAGCACAGTCGAGGCATATATTGCAGGATACGAGCATATCACAGGCGTTGGGAATCATGGGACGACGAGCAATGGTATTGAGTAATGTTTTCTTTCTTTCCCTCATTCTGCCGGGTTGAGCGACAGCGGCTGGGTTGGATCCTATTAGCTTGGTTGTCTAGTGGGACGAATTAGGGCATCGGGTTTGGATACGCAAGCTTGTTGTTATAGTCCTTCCACTCTTTGGAGACAATCCACATCACTTTTCACCTTGGATCAGGTGCATTTGTCGAGACGTGAAGTTGAAACTGCCATGTACTTACTCAAGCGTGGAAGATTATCTTCTCCATTCCATCTTATCCATCTTATCTGATGAGAGCCACGAGCGGGCCGAGGGAGTGCCACAGTGGTACGAGCGCGCGGTGTGTTTCTAAAGAAGGCTGGGAGCGCCTGCCAAGGTGGTACGATTTGCGCATGGTAGATCAACTTCTGGAGCGTCATCTCGCAGCCATTTTTGAGTTGCAGAAACGGCGTTGCGCGTCCGGTACACGAGAAAAAAAGCTGGTCGTTCACAACGTGCTGTTTGAGAGAGAAACATGTGGTTGTGCAGCTTGAAACATGTGGAAGGACAAAGGAGAGACAAAGCAATTCGATCGGAACCAACGACGACAGAGGCGTCGTGGAATTTGGTTGAGGGAAATGAGTGATTTGGGGGAGGGTCTTGAGAGTTATGCTTTTTGTCACTCAGGGGTTATGAATGGTAAATCTGGGGATGGTCGAAATCTGCGGCAGAGGAATTCAAGCGTGAGGCGGCTGCAGGAGACGGCATGGTGCATGATGGAAGAGAGGCACAGCGTCCCGGTTCCCGAATCCTTTGTTTGCGGCAGAATGGAATCGTAAGAGAAGAGAGGCGCAGACTCGTACGAGGAACGGCAAGGTATAAAGTGACTTATGGCAAAGTTATGGCGATTCATCCGGCAATCTCAGAGCTTGTCGCGTGTGTTTCCAAACGGCAGCAGCGTCCCGCTTGTGAGGGCACCGTGCGCCTGACCGCCTTTGATCAAGCAGGTCCTCAACTTTTGGAGCGATGCGCCGTGGATCTGCCTAGTCTTCTTGTTCGTCCCTATTGTTCTCGTCGTCTTTCGCAGCGTGTCAATTGCTTTGTAGCCTGCGAGGAGATGCGCCTGTGATCGATTGCTCAACCATCGACTCATTCTATCCCGGACCATATATACGACACAGACAACAATGCTGGGTGCTTCGTTGATCCCGGCGCGCTGGAGAGGCTTCTACAGCCCCCAGGACCCGGCCAAACCAGGGCCCTACAGCAAGCATGTCACGCCTCTGTTGCAGAGCATCACTCGCAGAACTTGCACCCACCCTATCCACTCGATTGTCTTTTGCGCCTTGATCGCCAGCACCACCTACATTGGTCTCCTCGAGACTGGCCTGTTTGAGCCCTCCACAAAGTTCAGCAACAACCAAGTCGATGTCTCTGCTCTTTCTCAGGGAAGCCGTACCTTGAGTGTCGGTCCCGAGACTGCCTGGGAGTGGCAACCAGAAGCTGTCTCCAACCACGCAGAAGCAGAGGTTCGTCTAGGCACTTTTTGCTCGCCCCTGAAGTCTACTAACTTTTTGGCANNGCACCTCTCCCTGATCACCCTCGCCTTCGCAGACTCGTACGCCGATGCTCCCTCAGTCGTCATTCCCAATGACAGCAAGGCCGAGCTGCTTCCTTCTTCAGCCAGCCGCCTGTCTCTGACTCAAGACTCGACACTTGCCTTCTCGCTTCCTTCCGACGAGACTCCTGCCTTTTTGGCCTCAATCAAGGAGATCTCAGCTCAAGAAACCGCCGAGGACGACGATGAGCAAAAGAGATGGATCATGAGAGCAGCAAGAGGTTCGGCGCGTCGTTTCTCTCTGCGTGAATGGGTCCGCAACTCGTGGATTGCCTTCACCGACTTGATCCGTAATGCCGAAACTCTCGACATCATCATCATGGCTCTCGGATACCTCTCGATGCATCTGACTTTTGCCTCGCTCTTCGTCTCGATGCGTCGCATGGGCTCTAATGCTTGGCTGGCAACCAGTGTGCTCTTCTCGTCAGCCTTTGCACTGCTTTTTGGTCTCGTTGTTACCATGAAGCTGGGTGTTCCTGTCAATGTTGTCCTGCTCTCGGAAGGCTTGCCTTTCTTGGTTGTCACGGTAGGATTCGAGAAGCCCATCATCTTGACCCAGGCGGTGCTTTCGGCTGCTCTCAATCCCCCTAGACGCGAGAACAGCGACCAGGCTCCTTTGACCATCCAGAACGCCGTGCAAACAGCTGTTCACGAGCGTGGCTGGGGCATCGTGCGTGACTACATGGTCGAGATTACTCTGCTGATCGCCGGTGCCATGTCGGGTATCCANGGGGGTCTCCGCCAATTCTGTTTCTTGGCTGCATGGGTCTTGTTCTTCGACTGCATTCTGCTTTTCACTTTCTACACGGCTGTCCTTACCATCAAGCTCGAAGTCAACCGCATCAAGCGCCATGTCGCCCTGCGCAAGGCTCTCGAGGAAGATGGCGTTAGCCGCACTGTCGCCGAGAGCGTCGCTTCCAGCAACGACGGCCTGAAGCCTGACGCTGTGAACGGCGAGACCTCAATCTTTGGACGCAAGGTCCGCGACAGCAGCATTCCCAGATTCAAGGTCCTGATGGTCTCTGGTTTCATCATCATCAACGTCCTCAACTTCTGCACTATTCCCTTCCGTACCGGCGCCGCCAACAACTCTCCCTCGCTGTCTAGCTCTATGGACCCTTTCAAGGTTGCTGGAAACGCCCTCGACCACATCTTGGCTCAGGCGAAGATCCGCAACCAATCGACCGCCGTCACCGTTCTGTCTCCCATCAAGTACGAGCTTCAGTATCCTTCTGTTCATTATTCTTCCGACAGACCTGAATGGTCTCTCTTTGACGGCCCTTATGCCGACGGTATTTTTTCCAGCATGGGTGGAAGAGTTGTCGAAGGCGTTCTCAAGAGCTTCGAAGACCCCGTTCTGAGCAAGTGGATCATTATTGCCCTCGCCATGAGCTTGGTTCTCAACGGCTACCTGTTCAATGCTGCTCGCTGGAGTATCAAAGAGCCTGGCCACAGTGAATCTGCTGCTCGTGAGGCTGCACCCAAGGCTGCTCCCTTGCCTCCTGTCGCCGAGTATGATCCCAATATGAACATTGATGCTGCAGGTCTTGAGAATGGGCATGCCGCCAACGGTGCAGTTCAGAAACGCTCCAAGGAAGAATGTGAACTCCTGCTTGCCGAGAAGAAAACTTCCGAGTTGAACGATGAAGAACTCACAGAACTGTCCCTTCGTGGCAAGATCCCTGGTTACGCCCTCGAGAAGACCCTGGGTGACAAGACTCGCGCTGTCAAGATTCGTCGCTCTCTTATTTCTCGCACTCCCGCAACCAAGCACGTCACCGCTGATTTGGAACGTTCCAAGTTGCCTTACCTGAGCTACGACTACGACCGCGTCTTTGGCGCTTGCTGTGAGAATGTCGTTGGTTACATGCCTCTCCCTCTTGGTGTTGCCGGTCCCATTGATATCGATGGCCGCAGCTATTATCTTCCCATGGCTACTACTGAAGGTGTGCTTGTCGCAAGTACCAGCAGAGGTGCAAAGGCTATCAATGCTGGCGGTGGTGCCGTCACTGTTCTCACTGGTGATGGTATGACCCGTGGACCTTGTGTTGGTNNTTTCGAAACTCTTGCGCGTGCCGCCCAAGCAAAGGTGTGGCTGGACTCCGAAGCTGGCGAGAAGACCATGAAGGACGCTTTCAATTCGACGTCCAGATTTGCCAGACTGCAACATCTCAAGGCCGCCCTCGCAGGCACATATCTTTACATCCGTTTCAAGACAACCACTGGTGACGCCATGGGTATGAACATGATTTCGAAGGGTGTTGAGCAGGCACTTAGTGTCATGAAGGATAGTGGTTTCGAAGACATGGCTGTTATTTCCGTCTCGGGCAACTACTGTACTGACAAGAAGCCTGCCGCTATCAACTGGATTGATGGACGTGGTAAGAGTGTTGTTGCCGAGGCCATCATTCCTGGTGACGTCGTCCGTTCCGTTCTCAAGAGTGACGTTGATGCTCTTGTCGAGCTCAACATCTCCAAGAACCTGATCGGTAGTGCTATGGCAGGAAGCATTGGTGGTTTCAACGCACACGCTGCCAACATTGTCACTGCAATCTTCCTCGCCACTGGCCAAGATCCCGCTCAGAACGTCGAGAGCAGTAATTGTATCACTGTCATGAAGAAGTAAGTTCTCTGTCCATGTTTTGTTGTGAAACATATGCTAACGCGTCGANNCAGTCTTCATGGCAACCTTCAGATCTCGGTTTCTATGCCTTGTATCGAGGTTGGTACCATCGGTGGTGGTACAGTTCTCGAGCCACAGGCGGCCATGCTCGATCTGCTCGGCGTCCGTGGTGCTCACCCTACAAGTCCTGGCAACAACGCTCGCCAGCTCGCGCGTATTGTCGCTGCTGGTGTCCTTGCTGGTGAGCTGTCTCTCTGTGCAGCACTTGCTGCAGGTCACCTTGTTAGAGCTCACATGGCACACAACCGTTCGGCGGCACCTTCAGCCGCACCCAGCAGAGTGCAAAGCCCTAGCCCTGCACAAGGAAAGCCATTGCCTCAGGGATTGACGATGACTGGAATGGCATCCAAGAGATGATGATCTGATGACCCTTCTTCCGCACCAACCGGTTGCACGTTATGGGGGCATTTATCTTCATCACTTTCCGCCCCCTCCAAGATTTACTGTTTCAGGTCTTTTCTGTTCAGCCCAGATACACCCTACGCTACCATCACGTCCAAACGAGAGTTAGAGGAGTAAAGAAAGTCATTGTTTTGCTTATAGGGTGTGGTATTACGATCAGGACTCAGGAAAGAAAGCATGCGCATAGCAGAGAATGGCGTTTATACCTTGATTGTTTGGTTTCATTGGCCGCTTGTATTCCTAATCCAAACATTTGTCTAATTGTTCACACCTGTCTAATCACCCACTCACGGGTTGTCGCTTCGTTTTCGCCTACAGGATTTCACCATACTCATGATTTATTCAATGTAACCCAAAGCCCTGAATGCATTCCTCAATATCTGGCGAATTGTATCCTCCTTGAGCAAGTTGTAGTCCTGCAGATTGCCGCTGTGCTCTCGAGTTTGAGAAGCTGCTAACTCCTTGGCTCTAAGATACATTGCCTTGTCCTCTGGGCAATCAAGTAGTCGCTGTCGAAAAATCAAATGACGCTCCACCTCTGGAGAATCGGGACTCCACACGTGAAGATTGACGGCATGAGGCACATAAGCATAGAAAAAGCGATGTTCATGCCAATGCGGCTCCCGCAACAGAAACTTGAAGCCAGCGTTTTCGAGCTTGTCCACGTATTCGGCTTCGTTGGTGGCGTCGCGGACGACCAGATCAATGTCGATGGTATCTTTTGCTGGCAAGCCTGGCACGCTTGTGGAGCCGGTGTGATGTATAGCGACGGCTACATCGCCGAGTGCGGTGGTTATTTGCTCTTTCGATGCGGCGAAAAGATTAGGCCATGTTGGGTTATAGGGGACGACCTCTAGAGCTGCCGGAGCCGAGCGGAAAGTGATGCGTTGGACAAGCTCTGGGCGGAACACGGAGTCTTGGAGGATGTCTGCGAGTTGTGGTGCCATTATTGTGTTTGAGATAATGGTGAAAATGTGCGTGAAACACACATACGCCTTAGGAAGTAGTGAAAGTTTGGAGGGAGCGATGGACGGTGGCTTGTTCTGGACACCGCTTGCTGATGCGAGACACACGAAAGGATCACGGACGTGTCTCCGCGAAGGAAGACCGATCCCCACTCGTTGTTGACCACCAAACATAGCAGATACAGTCAAGCAAATGACCTATCAGCTTGCTGCAACATGGACACTCACTTCCTTGGGGAGTCACAATCAAGGCGCCGACCGGTCACCGAACATGTCACGATATACATGCATTCCGACAAACATGGGCCGATATAAAGCTGCAGCTCCAGCCCCGACAGTCTGAGACTCAACACACCTGCTGATACACTATCATTGACAATCGATACAACTTCTGATAATCATGACCATGTCTATTCCCCTTCGCCAACTTGGTGCGAATGGCCCTGAAGTGCCTGCCTTGGGATATGGCATGATGGGTCTTTCTCAGCCCGTCTACGGCAGTGTCCCCAGCGAACAAGACAAGTTCACTATGCTAGACCGAGCTTACGAACTAGGAGCCAGACATTGGGACTCTTCTGAGTATGTTCCCAACCTCTCGCCGTTGATCACAACCAAAGTTCATCACTGATGCGAGTCACGAAATCTTGCAGCNCTCTACAACGACAACGAAGAGACATTGGGCAAATGGTTCAAGCGTACCGGCAAACGAGCCGATATCTTCCTCGCCACAAAGTTCGGTTTCGTCAAGGGCAAGTTTCCTCAACTGGATAGCACTGGCGAGTATGCGAAGAAGGCCTGTGAGGAGAGTTTGAAGCTGCTCGGTGTAGAGTATATCGATCTCTACTACCTACACCACCCAAACCCAAAGACGCCCATCGAAGACACAATGAGAGGACTGAAAGAACTCCAAGATAAAGGCAAGATCAAGTACATCGGTCTCTCCTCCGTGTCATCAAAGACACTGCTTCGAGCCTCCAAGATCGCAAAAGTCTCAGCTGTTCAAGTGGGCTACTCTGCTTTCGAACTCGACATTGAGAACGACAAAGGAACAAAGCTTCTGGAAACCTGTCGTTCCCTGGATGTTGCCATCATTGCTGCCATGCGATTGGGCAGAGGTGTTTTGACCGCCACTTTCGCTGACAACACACCTCTGGACCCAAAAGACATGAGACCATCTTTTATGCCTAGATTTCAGAAAGGCAACAAGGAGAAGAATGTCGAGATAGCCAAGCGATGGAGACAATTGGCTGAGACTAAGGGGTGCACGAGTGCTCAACTTGCGATCGCATGGCTGCTCAAGCAAGGTGACGACATCTTTGTCATTCCCGGAACCAAGAGAGTCAAGTACCTGGAAGAGAACTGCGCTGCTGCAGACGTTGAGCTCAGCGAACAGGATGTGACAGAGATTAGGGAGTTTGCAGAGACTTGTGAGATTGCTGGAGGATGTCTTCCGCCTAACTTTGAGAGCTTTACCTTTTCTGATACGGTGGAGGAGGAAAAGGAGGGATTTCACATGTGAAAATGCTTGCTGGGTGATCAGAGTCAATTTTGTTGTTCACTGAGTGAGCTCGACAAGTCAAAAGATTGACAAGAAGTCTACAACCGCAGTCATCGAACGCGCCATGTTCCAAAAGTGAAAGCACCCGCTACCTCCAAACATAGACGGGTGTTTTTGTTCAAGTTAGTCTTGCTTTCTCATCTAGCCAATATATCAAACCTCGTTACGCGTTCTGTTCTCTTGATAGCCTCTTTTGCTAGTGTGTTTATCTGCACGCTCGTGCATTGATGCTTGAAATTCAAGCTTCATAGGAAGCGCTCACTCGTATGTGCCGCTTGGTCATGCCTTTCCAAGTCATCTTCCACGTGAGAAGCTCTCCCATTGATTGCAGTTCTGCAAAAAGACAGAAGTGACCAGATTTGACTTTTACGACTTGAGTTATATCCCGCAACGGTCCAGAGTGCCTTGCGGACTATAGAACTACACAGAGGCTCACAAGATTAGTGACGTACCTGCATGCGTGACACATTCTGGCACATGGCAAACAAAGACAGCTGAAGGGTAAAACGGTGAGCAGATAGAGGACTGATAGCAACAATAAAACGTGAAAAGAAGACATGAAATGTAAATTCAGAGCGTTACTCGTACAGTATTATTTATCTGATAGGAAGAAAAAAGAAAGTGGTCCTCTTCTTTGGCTCCAATTTTCACATTCACCGGGGATTGGGAAGACGCAAGCTTTTGATGCAGTAGTTGCAGGGGCAGACGAAGAAGAAGGCTTAGTGGGTTCGGAAGACGGGGTCGTCTCAGAGGACGATGCGACGCTCGAGGGCGCTGGAGTAGCAGTAATCGAGACAGTGACTGAAGTGCTTTCTGGCGAAGCAGCGGATGTGCTAGGAGCAACCTCAGAAGTGGGAGTGGGACAGTGATAATCAGTCACGGTAATGAGGATCGGATATGGCATGGCCTCGGTCTCGGTTACAGTGATGGTGAGCCGAGTCGAATGAGAAGGCGAAGCATCGCTGAAACTACTGAGTGTAGTAAGGATAGAGTTGGCTTCGGGCGAGAAACCAGCTGGAGTAGCAGCGTTTGAAGGGTTGAGGCCAGCGGCTTCGGTTGTGGCAGGGACTACTGTCGTGCTGGTTATAGTGCTGTGGATTGTGATTGTAGTGGCAGGGAGTGCTGCCGCATTGAGGGCCTGGCCAGCCAGGAAGATTGCGGGTATTATTTTGTTGTACATGTTGAAGTATGTGTTATATGTGAGATTAATGCGGGACGCCCAAAGGGAAGCAAAGATATATATACAGACTTTGTTCGCCTATAGAAGGATCTGGTTTCCAGACGATCAAAGGAAACACTTGTTCAGTATCGTGTCATTCTTTGTAACACGTTCGTGGTCTGCTTTGTTTGAATGCCAGTTGCGCCAAAGGAAGCAGACTCGGATGTTTGTACTTTCCTTTGTATGACAACAAAGAAATGCAAGTTGTCACAATTCATAGACACTGTGCTACTCCGCACAAACGATGGCCAACACATGCAATTCGTAGACTGCTGATCAAGAATATACAACTGGAGAGTGTTTCTCGTGTAATGAAGTGCGGCTCTCGAGATGTCGAGGCAAATCTTGGATGGGCGTTTGTTCTTCACGGCCATCTTGATCCTCTGCAGGGACTGTACGCTCGCCATCGCCGAATGTTGGTTTGAAGAAGCCATCATAGGTCCTCCAACATGCCCTAAAGATGGATTCCGAAAGAATGCGTAGCCAAGGCGGCGTGCGACCATGCTCATCTGCAAACTTTCCGTTGAGGCTGAATATGAGCAGGATGAAAGGCAGCCATAGAGTCAGAAAGATGAACTGGCCCATCTGTTGCTTGTTTGAGGTGATCGTGTATGGTCGAAGGTTGTTCAAATAGTCTTGATACTCATATGGCAGTCTGCACTCAGCGGCTCCGTCGGTGATGAGTTTCAGATAGCGGGCCGAGGCTTGAGCATACGAGGTGTCTGGTCGCTGAATTCTCCCTCCTTCTCTGGGAGGTTGAGAGCCAGGTGGCACAGCAGGGGCGAACAAGGTATGGGCCTTGAAAGGCTTGGTGGTAGGATAGACGGGTACTGGGCGGGCTGGGTCCGAGTTCTCGAAAGGATAGCAGTCGATAAGGATGTCCTGGTATGAAGCACCACCTCCTTCAGTGGCAATGATGTGGGCATAGTCAGTGGCTGTGACTTCATATACTACGCCAATCAAGCCCTTGTGCCATCTGTTCTTGTGGTAGTCGTTGGGGCCCTCTTTCTCCGACAGACTTGGTATGTCCTTTTCAGGATCGCGACGGTCGGTGTTTGCAAAGCATGGCTCCGAGTAGGCTATACCAGGTAGATCGAAGGTGAGGCGTAGTTCTGGTATCTGCACATTGATCTGCGATAGAGGCTTGATTCCACGCTTGCCTCGGAAGGTTTCGTTGCACAGGTTGGAGCCATAGGCGAGATAGAGGAAGGTGTCGGACTTGGATTCGGCAGCAGCAGATATAGATCGGTCCCTTCGTTCGAGGCTTGTTTCTGGCAATGTCGGATAGGTCGAGAGAGCGAGGGTTCGAGGGCGGATCGTCTGTCGTGCCACGTCGCACAGGCTGGTGTAAGCCCTAGCCAATCGGCACGTGTTTTCTGGCGAGTCTGCCATGGCTGTCGATTGATATAATGCGGCGGTACATGAATGGACGAGCACAAGTATTTGACCTTCACCACGAAGGTGTTTGGACAACTTTGTCGTTCCGAGATTGGTAATACGATGACGCTGGTGATCTGTGCTCAACCATGTCCCTCGGCTTCGGACCAACACTCACTTCCGTCCTTGTTTGTCCTGCGCAGGAGATTTCTCTCGCGCTGATTGTGTGTCTTGTCATGGGCGACACACGGTCGAGACCCTCTGCAGAACATTGTCGGCAGTTTAGCTGGTTGCCTTGGATTGCTTCATGCTCCCAAGAGCTGGACTGGCATAGATAGACGAGGATGAAGAAAGACACTTGAGCGGATGGAAGCAGATCAAGAATAGCTGGGAAACCACGCTGCACTACCTGGTAGTAGTTTGACATTGCGATTAGAAAGGGCGTCTGAAGAGTCAAAGTGACAGATCAGGTAGGTGCATCCAGGCAAGCATGTGCTAGAACTCGACCGGCACGCGACTTCCCTCGCAGTCCAAAACAACATCAACCAGGCGAATGCGCAAACATGAACCGACTCGCCCACTTCTGCAGCTATGGCCTCGGCGACATCCACTGAACTCAAATCGGCCATCTACCATTGTCCCATCAACGCTAGTTCTGATCCAACACCCGTGAAGCCGCCGTCACAGGAAGCTCAGTACATTACGCAGGTGCCTAGGTCGCCTTGCATCTCGCAGAGAGTCGACCACGGCACTCTTTCGCAAACGAACTCTGACGAATTTGTCCAAGATTCTCTTGACTCTCAACGTCCAGCGCCTGTCCGTCGGGCCAGCACTCTACTCGACTTCCTACAGCCTAGTGCGCCCGTTCACAACCAGCCTGTCAAAGACTCATGTGAGGAAGGGAGTATTGCTTTGAGCCAGCCAGCTCCAGTTGTCTTGCAGAGCTCCAACAGAGTGTCTTCACATGAGCAGCCACATTCAAGAAACCACACTATCGAACAGGATTCGGTCCAGATTGCGCCGCCGGAGGACCTACCACCTCAAAGCAACCATCAGGAAGACTCAGACCAACCACAACCTCTGATTCCATCTCANAAAACCGCTATCACAGAAGCTCCGACGCAAGCACACGGTCTTGTACACGTTGAGGCAGCAGCAGACGACGACGAAGACACAGCAGACTGTATCACAGTCCGTCCTCGACCTGCCACCCCACCTGCAAAGCTAGACACCAGAAAGAACAGCTCTGCTAGAATACCATCTGCTTCTCTTGGGGCTCAACATATCAATAGCGCAACACCACTGAATCGTACCGGATCTTCCAACCTCATCGTTTCCGCAACCACAGGTCCTTCTACACCCAGCATGCCACCCAAATCTTCGACCAACAAGAGCACCACCTCCGCGAGTCAAGCCCGAAAAGCAGCCAGCACAGCTTCCAAGAAGATATCCAAACCTGCCCCGCCTCTCCCTGATATCGTCAACCACGGCGAAACATCGTCCATTGCTCTTCTTCGACAGAAGAAAGCCGGAGAGAACAGCCAAACAAACACCACACGACAAATATCAGAGGCTGTGCCAAAGGCTGTCCCTAGAACTAAGAATTCNCCAGAAGACTTCAGCGCGGCCTTCTCAAGCCCCTGCAAGTAAGCCTGCTCCCAAGCCTGCACAACAACGCCAAAGTCAGTCTCAAAACTTCCCATCAAACAACCGTCGCGGTCAATCCAAGCCCCTGAAGGTCGCGGTGAGTATGACTTCCCACCAGATCCAGATGTCGATGCACAGCCTACCGTACTCCAGCGTCCTCAGAAAGGAGTTCCCACATCGATCAGGGCCACAAAACCAACGGCTGCATCCATAGCCCCCAGCAAGAAGGACATCAAAAGCCAGCCTAAGCAAAAGCCTGCCAAGGTTCCAGCCAGTGATATAAATGATGACGATGAGGAATATGACGCACCCAAAACGTACAGATCAAGATCAGCCACCACGACACGAGCAAGTACACGTGCTCAGACGCAAAAGGTCACCAAGAACGATGGGCTCAACGTTTCCACTCGAAATGCTACAGCAAATGAGATCTCGAAGAAGGAGAAATATGTGTCACAAAAGACCGTACCACCGGATAGAGGAGAAGAGATCGAAGACTTCGAGAACAGTGTGACTCACATTAATTCGGAAGGTGCTGCTGGTCCACAAGTCACAACTCAAGCCCAGCCAGCGAAGTTTCTCGTAATCGAGAAAGCGAAACCTCGACGCAGGACAGAAAAGGAGGCACAGCTCATGCAACCCATTTCCAGTCCTGATCAGTAAGAATCTACCTTTGTCACACGGTTCCTTTGCTTACTGATGTGTACAGTNGCCGCAACTCCAGCCGTTTCGCCGCCTAGGGCAAGGAAGGAAGCCCCCATCCAAAAGAAACCTTCGAGTCCAGCGTATGAACCCATAACCCAGCAAGGCACCACGCAACGACATCCTGTAGATATTGTTGACGAGGATCTGAATCAAGACGATGAAGATGCCATAAATCAAAGCCTTGATGCCAGCTACAGTGAGATCGTTAACGACGTGATGAAACCACGTGAGGAGCAAAAACGCCTTCAATCAAGAATNCGGCCTTCTGAGTCTCAATTCAGAATTGCTCATGGATCACCGGCCCGGCCATCAGTAGCCCACACGGATGACAACTACCTCAACATTGATTCCTTGACGCAGGAGCGTGCCCAGCGCAAGCCAAACATCGTAAGCTTCGGGGTCAGCGGTCCCAGAAATCAGGGTTCACGACACAGCAAGAGATCTTCTATCCATGATCCACCATCCGGAGGATCCTCTTTCTTAGGTTTCCGTCAGCACCTTGCAGAAGTACTACCACCAGCTACCTTGAACCAAATGTCTGGTTCAAAAGTGCAGTCAAACAAGGGACTCGACTTCGATGCCCCTTCGATCCCAGCTTATGTTGACACTATTGCTTCTTTATCCTATGCTACATCCGATCAGAATCTTACAGTTGAAACAAAAGAAGCAAGTGGCCGTACTCGCAAAACTGCAGTGAGTGTTGAGGTCTCTGCAGGCAAAAGCACGAGATCGGCAGGATCTGGCTTATCAACGAACCCAGTTCTTGATGATCACGACCGTCCGGACAATCAATCGTTGAGAGCCCCTAGGAACGAACCGCCTCTGAACGAGAAGCAGACCACTGTCCAACCCACGGATGAGTCTGGATCCTTGGTCGAAAATGTTCCTCAACAAACATCCGAGGAGCCTAACAATCCGAACGAGAGGCTGCACAGAAACAAGGTCACGACCAAGTCTTCGGGACCGCTGGTAGATGAGAGTGCAGAAACCGAGTCTGATGTTGCAAGAGAATCGACTCCCGTCCCCTTGAAGAAGTCGAATACCAAACCATACATCCATGCTTTGTCTACCCGAGATGATGCAGCAGGGTCCTCCGAGATTATCCAGCCGCCACGTATCGACAGACCGTCTAAGACAAGTGGCAGCAAAACGTCAATGCCCCCAGCGGAAGATGGTCACGGGAAGGTGTCAAGAAGGAGTCTGCAAGCCATCCAGATGGTACCCCTTGAACTCGATCGAAAGCGGCCGTCTACTGAGATGACTGGAGAGCCTGCCAAACGTTCGAGAGCAGGCACTCTAGATCCCCACATCCGATCGGTACAACCACTAGCAGGAACAAATCCTGTCGTGCGAAGACTCTCTCAGGTCAATGACAATGGATCTCCTATACCGTACGGAGAGGATGTACCTCGAGGGTCACCAATGATGCCCAAAGTTAAGCAGAAGAGGACTTCCGCTGCTTTACTCCCACCTTCTTTCCCAAGGCATCAAAATACAGACGACTCGTTCACTCAAGCCATGTCATCGAGGCGTAAGGAAGTGATCAGATCACAAAGTCCCTTGGAGGAGGCGGCGCACGCTCTACAACAAGACTTCCCGGGTCAAGTCTCGCAGGCCGTCGCGCACACTGGGTTTGACGAAGAAACTCTGGTGACTGCTGAGTACACACCCATATTAGGAGTTCAGAAAACCCCTGTGGAAGATTTCGCGGGACCACAAGGAAGTCCACCAAGAAGAGTTCACACTACGCAAAGAACGCTTGGCCTGGTGGAAGCTCTGCAATCAAAGGTAGTCTCTGGAAAAATTGCGCAAGGAGTCAGAGCAGATGACGGGAAAGAGTCCGAAGGCGACGAACCAATGGAAGAAGATGATCCGGACAAGACACTTGTGAATGAAAGCTCGGATAATGGAGATGATGATGCTGACGATGGCTCTGAATCACGAGATTCATCGGATACAGATGGCGAAGACGAACCGAAGAGCGGTATATCAATGTGGAGAGATGCGCTGAAATCACATCAGGGAGATGTCTACGATCAGCTGATCCGTATTGCTCATCGGTTGACGAACCATCTGAAGGATCATGAGTCTGCTATCAAAGACATCAGCAACGACTACGAGAAAGATGGAGTGAGACTTATTGAGCGTCTCGAGAAGGACAACGAAGCGAGACTCGAGCAGTATTGCATCGAACGGATCAGATTGCAAGAAGCTTTTGCCAGAGGTTACGAGCACGCGCGTAGTGGACTCCGCAAAGACATGAAAGACATCGAGGCTAGCAGTGGGAGATATGTCAAGATGCTGTCGAAGCAAATGGATGCCAAGGGAAGACTGGAACAGATTTCACAAGCTTATCACCAGTGATGAATGACACGAGGGAGGAGACTTTGCTGTTTTGACAGGTTTGAAATGGGGAATTGAGCATTTTAGACAGTAGCTATTAGTCTTGATATTTGCTAGATGGTGGTTGCTGCATAAATTTATGAAAGAGTTATGCTTGTCGCGGTGTTATCGTTGCAACCGAGCCGAGGCGCGCGGCACGTCGTCATAGCTTCCTACGTGATAGGCGTTGCGCAATGGCATTGACTTTCTTTTCCTACGACGAGGACGCTGTGTTTCCCTGATTCTTCCTACTAGGACCCTCATACTCTTGTCTCTGATTGTCACTTTCCTACTCAAACACTTAACCGAGAAAGAGATTCGACGAAACACTCGCTCGAGAGACACACCTTCACAAGCAACCATGTCATCAGGATTCCACCCATTCGGAGGGCGAGTGAGTAGGCGCTTCGGCGACAAGGTACGTTGTAGATCTGAGTCCTACGCAGCCGTGGTTGTAAGAGATGACGCTGACAGAGAGATGGTACAGTCTCTGCAACCCGACGACGCATATCTCAGCTGTGAGTAGACTCCCATGCTACTACTGAGCGGCACAAGCTGACTGGCCCTAGATCACGACATTCGATGTACGCCCCATCCCTTCCAGATCCTCTCCGAACCGTACACCACATACTGACCGACCGATTCAGTGACGGTCGAAGACGTCGACTGCATCAAGAACGACTGGCTCACCGACAACGTACTTGCCCATCCTGCCTTTTCCTCCCAGCCACTTTCAACTAACCACTGCAAACACCCACCANNGGCCATTGCCTTTTGGGAAGAATACCTCGAACACGAAAAACTAAACGCCTACCCCAAAGCCCGCATCGTCCTGCTCCGCCCCAGCATGGCCTTCATGCTCCTCCAAACCAACGACCCCATGAGCCTGAAATCCGCCCTCCCGAGCTTCGAAAACACAACCCACATCTTCCTCCCCGTAAACGACTGCCGCGACGTCGAAACCGCAGAAGGCGGATCCCACTGGAGTTTGTTGCTCGTCAGTGTCGTCGACGGTGTAGCCTTCCACTACGATTCACTCTGCCCATCCAACATGGAAGAAGCCAAAATGCTGTCCCACCATATCTCGCAATTACTCCAAAAGCCGCTGAAGTTTGTGAATCTGGACGACTCGCCGCAGCAGGAGAATGGGAGTGATTGTGGTGTGTTTGTGTGTTTGTTGATGCAGCATCTCTTGCTTGGAAGGTTGTTGCAGGCGCACGCCCAAGACAAGGTTAGCATGAGTATGAAGGGTAAGAATGTGGATGCGACGGGAGGAAGGAAAGAAATGTTGAGGGTGATTGAGATGTTCAGGAAAGAGGGAGAAAGGAGACGCTCGTGAGTTGTTTTCTTGCTGCCCTGCGAAGAAACTATTGCTGATTGAATGTCACAGTGGATCCCATCATCGCGGCGAACACAGCCCCTTCTCACTCAACTCGCCCAAATCAAAATCACCACCACGTATCGGAGACGACTAGAAGTCGTGGACGAGACTATGGAACTAAGTGTATCGTTTCTCTGAAACGACGCCTTTTTTTCTTTCGTTCTTTTTTTTTTCCTTTCCCACCTACGAAAAAGAGAGCACGAACGGCATGAGGGAAACGCAGAGATGGGCATGCATGAACGAGACATGATGCTGCTATTGAAGACGCAAAGCTTTTGATGCATACATGAAACCTTTTGGGGGGGGGGGGGGGGCGGAATCAAGAACTGTAAAACTTTTTCATGATACTTTTGCGCGTTACAAGCAATCCGTTCGACAAAGTAGGAGGTGCCCTCGCACATGCTTCGAGGTTCAATGGATCTGTGTACTATAGAGGGTTTTCCGTTTTTGCTTATGATCGGCCCAAATATCAAAAGAGCCAAAGTCCACCCCCTTCTCAACTTTTGAAAGAGAGAACCACCTAGATGGAGAAAAGCTGGTGGTCCAAGATTACCAAATTCTATTCTTTTGCTCAAAAGTCTCGTTTTTTTACATGACAATACACCCGATACCATACATGGCCCTCTCGACATCTCTCTTGACGGCATACCAATCCGCCCTCCGCTCTGCAAACTCGTAAACCTCTTCTGCGCGGAAGATGCCATGATATCTGTCATTGTCCGCGATGATGGTTGCCAATTCCTTGCAGCGCGCCATTCGCGTTGTCGAAGAAGCAGAGGTTGAGAAGATGGATGTTGACGTCTTGTCATTGCCGCCACCGCAGTCGACGAGGTAGATCTGAGAGAGTTCGCGGAGGGCAGAGTAATAAGGTAACAGGGATTTTTGGCGCAGGGAAGTGATGAAGGAGCTGTAGAGGTTGATGTCACTNNGGTAAAGTGTTAGGAGATGATGGGGTGCAGAGAACAAAAGGAGCAAAACATACCTGATCAGCTTTATCGCTCCGTCGGCACTGATGCGTTGACGTTTGATGTGCTTGCACAGCACACCGAACAATCTCAGCCCGACTTCCTGGTTGAACACATCCAGCATGTTCTTATCCGTACTTCCGACTAGCATGCCGGTGTGTTGTTGAATGGTATCGACCACACGTTTAGCCGTTTCCGTAGGCCCAATGTCGACAAGACCCATCATGCTTGCGCGTTTGTCGATTGCTGTCAGGTTTTTGGCATCCACAGCATCGGTGTTGAAATCGGAGGTGAGTTGGAGGGTCGCACACATGTATTCGACTTCATCCATGAGGACGTCGATGCCTTTGCCCATGCCTGCTGCCACACGCTCGTCTAACATCTGTTCGAAGCGTTTCTTCTCCTTGACGGCAGGGTTGAGGAAATCATCACGGTCGGTCAGGCCAGGTGTGACCAGCTCTTGCATGTAAAAGACATCGACCATTTGCTGAATCAAATCTCCGACGTTTACAAGTTCGAGGAAAGTGACTAGTGGCTCAACTCCACCAATCGCTCCTTCCTTTTCTGTCTGCCCCGAGCGGAACTCCTTGACGGCGCGGGNGTTGTAGCTGCTCAAATGGCCTACTGCCTTGTCAAAGCCAGTTTGGATGTGTCGTCGACCAAGGATTTCCAAAAGATTGACGAAGATCTTGTCGCACTGCTCCTTCGTTAACGTGGCGTATTTGTCACCCATGCGGATGAAAATTGCGGCTCGCTCGATAGAAGCTTTGGCATGGTGGATCAAGCTCAACGCTACCTCTATGCTGAACAAAGACTTGATACCCTCGAGTCGTGAGTTCATAATGGCAGTCTTGGCTGCCAGCTCTGTTGTCGGTGCCGGTCTGGGTGTTGCTGGAGTATCTGGTGTCTCTGGTCGCGAGGTCTGTTCTGTGCCAGGGGTCGCAACAACAGGTGTGGCCTTGTTTGCAGATGGGAAGGTCGGCAAGGCGTTGACCGGCATCATCACCACTTTTCTGAACGAAGACAAGAAATCGCGCTTCGCTGCTTGTCTGTTCACGCCAGACATGAAGAAGGATTCAGTCTCTGCCTCTTGGTCCGAGAGTTGCTTCTCCCAGGCACCAACTTCGTCATTGCACTTGGACGTAAAGTATTCCAGCTCCTCTGTAAGGTAGCGATCCACATGTGGCTCAAAGATGTGTGAGATGACTTTTTNTATTTGGTCGTGAAAATCTGTGCCGGACGCTTTTGGTGGTTGAATAGAGACTGCAAAGCGCATGGCTTGCTCGAATATCCCTGATACAGCCTTGAGATATGTTTCTATATTATTCTCGTGGGCTTCGATGAACAGGGTCGTGATATAGTCTGAGACTATATCCTCGCAGACACGGGTCGTGAACGGAAGGAGGACGTTGATCGAGCTCGGGAAAATTTGGTCAATGAGAGATGATTGCATCGACAACATGGAGGCCAGCTTCTCGAAGAATCTCTGTGATGGATTTAGATCCACATGTCCAGGAGCAACATCTTGCAAACAATCCAAGGGACTTCCGACTTGGTCCTTCCGGCGCATATAAGGGTGGTTTGATATGAAGATGTCGACACCAGCGGCTCCTCCGTTAAGAGAGACCAAGACATGCGCATAGCGCCTCATGCGGTCGACGTCTTGAGCTTGGTATGCTTGTTCAAAATCGTTGATTCTGGCATTTTCGAAGATACCGAGCATAGATTCAAGCTTATCTTGACGTTGTCGCCACTTTTGGGCACCGTCACTTCGTGCAAAGACTCTCAGGTCGGCAAGGATACGCGCTTGTTGTTCGGGATCTTGAACAAGACGAAAGACAGCTGGATCGGCCGAGTTTTCCGCGCGGACCAGATCGTAGTAGAAAGGAGCCAAAGCACCGTGGACCTTGCCATACTCTTGTCTAGCCTGACCTCGGATAGAACGAACCCTACGCAGAGCAGTAGTGGCAGCTTTTGCGTCGAAAGTAGGATTTTGTGATATGGTCATATCATCAAAGCCGTCAGTCACACTACTGTGCCTCGGCCGCCTGGGAGTCGCAGCTTGTTCCAGTGATTTCCGTACTTTTTCTTCCTCATCGTGGGCGTCAANAAGTGTATGGCTCCGGTCGGGCTGTGGGCGGCCACTGAGTCTCTTCTTCTTTGACTCCTCGTATCGTTGTCGTGCTTCCGTCTCGTTCCACACACTCATGTCCTTTAGTCTGGCAACCCATCGTGTGTCATCATATACCATCTCCTGCAAGCGTTTGGATACTCTTGCGCATGTTATCAAGTCGGACACAGGGAGGTAATCGAGGATGGTCGCAATGAGTTNCTGGTCATGGTCAGCATGACTGTGAAGTGAGAGAAAGGTTCTTCGGGAGGTACGACCAGCAGGGAGGACAGGCTTCAGGGTGAGAATCTGAGTGGCCTTGAGGGACGCAAAGACATTGCTTGGTGTGTTGGGTCGGCGAGGCGCATCGATACTTGTCAGACCGGCCCTTTGTTTGGGAAGGCCATTTGGACCAGCAGCAGCCCGGGGCAGAGGCTTGCTACTCATCTTGTTGCTATTCTATGCGATATGACACGACTGGAGGCAGCAGACGACATGCTTGCATGTACTGTCTGTTCTTGGCTCTTTCCACTTTACACCGTCAACAACAATGACCCTTGGTGCGCGTCAGTCTGGAGAAGAAGCTCCGCACGCTCCATCGAACGGAAGTCGCTCAATCCGAGTCTCTCACTCTTTCCCATCTTGTTGCATCCTAGACCATCACAGTCTTCTTTTCTCCCTCCGCCGAGCAATGCCCAGGTCGAGGACTCGCATAGCCTTGTCACACCAGCAGACATCAGCTTGTCTTCACGACACAATGTTTGCTTGTATCTTGGTCACGATTGTGTCGTAGTGGGACTGGGGCTCCGCAATATTCACCCAAGCCCAATCGCAATCTCGGCCAACCAGCCACACACCTCGATCGTCAAGCAGGTTTGTTGCAACCCTGCTTGTACTTGATCCCGTATATATCTTTCAATCGTAGGTCCTTCCACCTCCCTTGTCTTGCTCTTTTCATTTGCAACCATCATGTGTCTCGTCAGCGTAAAAGAGGACAACGACGACTATGCAGTCCCAGCCCGTGTAGTGCGACGAGACCGCCGTCGCTCTCCTCCTCGCACCACACGAGTCTCGCGCGCATACTACGAGGAGCCTCCGCGCCCTCAGGAACGAACATACATCATACAGCAACCTCCGCAACCTCCTCCCGTCATAGCATATGCCCCGCCATCTGAGCACCACGATCACCACGACCACCATAGCCATTACGACCCACCTCCTCCACCTCCAGCACCTGCGTCAGAAAGACACTCCCACGCCGGTCCTCAATATGTCGAGGTGACGCCATCCTCGCGATCCAGCAGTAGCAGCAGCAGTAGCTCCAGCGAAGACCGACGTTCCAAAACCACATCTCGCTCCAGAGCCACTGGCCCTCAGAGTGAATACCACCTTCGCGAAAAGGAGTATCTGCGAGAACGTAGGAGCCCGCATCAGCATGCGCCGAAAGAAGATTACGACACATATCGTTATGTACAACCTCCTCGCAGCTCGGGTCACCGCAGCAGTGGGAACCTTGGACCAAGGAACAGCCAAATCGAAGACCCTCGTGCCAGTCGCTCGAGCTACAATACAAGAGAAATTGTCATTGAGAGCGGTAGAGAGCGAGAATATCGTCGTTGATGCATTTGTCTTTCGAAGCCTGACAGTTGCCGTTTGGTTCAGGCTGGACTTTCTTATCTCCACTTTGAGCATACCTTTCTTCTAGCATGGCTGGCCATGACTTTTCTTTGATTCCTGTAAAAAGTAATTGTTTGTGCATATATCGTTCAATTCGAAAGACACCTAAGCCGAGAATGATCTGTGTTTCTCTCAGTTGGCGGATCTAGGAGACTGCCTCTTCTCATGCATACTCGACGTACAGCATCGAGTATATTAAGCTTGTTCATACATATTCAACGTATGCTCAGATATAGACGTTTAGCGATTTGATCTAGCCCGTCTTGACACCATCATTGTCAACAATCTTCTCCTTCTCAGCCAATATGCGTTTGTAGTCNNCTGCGGAGACGCAATAAAGTCAGCCCATCACATGATCGAAGACAGCAAATGTACTCACCTCACAGGCCAATCTGACGGCATCCACAAAGTCAACTCGTGGATAGTATCCCAACACCCGTCTCGCCTTTTCATTACTGGCATACCTAGTCCCCACAGCATCCCTAACACTCCCTCGACTCAACGTACTAGCTTTTGAGCCAGACACCCACGTCTTTACTTCTGCCACCAACCCAGCAACCCAAGCCAAAGACGTAGGCACAACAACCTGAAACGGCGGCACATGACCAAACTGCCTCCACACCGCCAGCATAAAGTCGCGAAAGTACACGGGTTGCTGGTTGGAAACAAACATGGCATGACCAGCAGCCGACTCGGGAAAACGCTTGGTCGCAAGCAAGTTTTCGAGTGCGAGCAGATGGGCATCTGCGATGTTGGTAATGTACACAAAGTCGTAGATGTTGTCGCCTGTGCCGATTATCCATGGTGTTTCGCCCTTGGCGATGCAGGTGTGCATTGTGGCAATCACGCCGTAGGTGTCTCCGGGTCCGATGATGGTTGCCGGGCGCAAAGCACAGGTCTTGAAGGCGGTGGTGTTTGCAGCCAGGACTGCTAGTTCTGCTGGTGCTTTGCTTGCTCCATAGGCTAGAGTGGCATGCCCGATCGGCAAATCCTCTTTCATGTTTGGAAAATCGTGGTCTTGATCGTCCGATATCACGGTACAGCTAGATGTCTGCACAAAAGCTTTGCATTTTGTCTTTTGGGCTGCAGATAGAACGTTTAGGGTTCCGAGATGGTTTATGGCAAAGGTTTTGTCTCGCAAGGCTTTGGAGTTGCTGTATCGTAAAGAGCCATTGGGCACCCAGCCAGCCACGTTGACCATGGCATCTGGATTGGCTTTGCGTATCGCATTATCCACTTCGGTGGCTTGCGTTATATCTGCTTGGATGTAGGTGACTTTGGGTTGACGAACCGGCGGTGGCCGTAGATCCAAATTCGTCAATGTCCAGTCTGGATGTATATCTTGTATCGCCGTCACAACTGCTTGTCCTAGAAAGCCGGAAGCACCGGTGACGAGTATATGAGGCATTCCAAGTAGAGTCTCACGGCCTTGGTTATACAGAGTGTCGCCTCAAAGACAAAGTGTTAAATTGAAAACAAGTTTGATGTCGCCGACCTCCAAGTGCATGGGAGAACATGGTGAATTGTAGCATGTCGAAGTGTACAGGATGACGCCACGAGATCAGATCATGATCGAGGAGGATGCGACACGCCAGCTGAGGTTCACATGCAGAAACAACAGACTTGTTGTATACTCACAAATTCGAACCTGTCCTTGACGCTGGAGCTTGCACAAGAAATAAAGGTAGATGAGGGTTTACGGTCGTTTCTGATGATGAACTCTGAACGACGGCTCTCGTTCGAGCTGTCTTGCGACTAGCAGCGGAATGCTGCATAGGTTATATATTTCCAAAACCAAGGCATTGTCATGAATTGGGCGTCTGGCGCAGTGGTAGCGCGTCTGCTTTGCATGCTGAAGGTCTAGGGTTCGATCCCCTAGTCGTCCAAACCTTTTTATCTTTTGTGCTGTCTAGCAGATCTAGACTTTTTCACTTCCAAGCTGTGAATAGTTGTGATCGAGATGTGTGCTGCACGACAGACTCTTAGTGTAAAGCCTAATAATTCTGAACAAGTTTGAATCATTGTGTAGCATGATTAACAAGTGGAAATCGACTTTGAATTGATTCAAATTCGTAACGAAATTGCTGAAAGCGATTTTCTTGTAATCGATGCTCATTAGAAAGTGTAAGGATGTAGTACCAAAATGCAACTCCATCAAGCTCTAAGCGGCAGAATATGCTGGGCCATGACCCCCTGTCTACACAACGGACATTCTGGCTTCTCCCTCACCCAATCCGCGATGCAGGTCCAGCAAAACACATGACCGCAGGTGGTGGCACTAGGGTCGCGCATAGGTTCAAGACATAATGTGCACTTTCGCTGTTGACTGCTCTCTATCCACGCGAGCTTTTCTTCGTCTTCGAGATTGAGGATAGCAGCTTCCGAGTCTGAGGGCGGTAGAGGTGTATGTGTCATTCTGGAGATCTTGCTGTGTAGACTGGATGTGTCAAGTTGGGCACCACCTTCTTCGAGCAATAGGGCATTGTTTGAGCTGTATGCGTTTGGGTCGAGAGAGACTTCGACACCATTGTCAAGCACAGCACTTCCTCCACTCAAGCTTGCGGGATTGCTGATGACAGGAACTGACGAATAAGTCTCATGAGCGTGTAGGTAGGCCTGAACACAAAGTTGTAGGACCAACAGTACACCCAGAACTTCATAGCCGATACGCTGCTCGCTAGGATCTAGACGTCTGGCGAAGATGTAGCGGAGTCCGCTGAGGCGCTTTGCGAGGTGGTAGTAAGCGCCGGTAAAGTAGAAGGCGGTCAGACTAAGGGCGTGTATGGGTGAGGGAGAAGTGATGGTGTCCAGATTTCGGAGAATGTAAGATTGCAGGCGGCTTAGCCACGAGGGTGACTGGTCGGATTTGGTGTCTCGTCGTCGCAGCGAAGCTTCCAACTTTGCGCGCAGCTTTCTTCGAAAGGCTGGTAGAAGTCTAGTAAGACCGTATGGCAGCAGGACGCTGGCGAGTATGTATCCTCCTCTTCTGTATGCACTTGGCTGGCGCAGCGTGTCGTCTTCTACTTGGACAATGTCGCAGTATTCCTCTCCTAGCGTGCGATTCCCCACCAGAGTGGTCAGAGAAAGGTATAGTAGGTCAGCGAATGTGCGTGTGCCCGTCATGTGTGTTTGGGCAAAGCGAGCGCCATAGAGGTTCCGTAGCACAGACGAGAGGCGCTCCAGCAGCACGCCCTGGAAGTAGGCATCTTTTTGATGTGATCGGATTATGTCTGGCGCCGAGGCGAACGGATACTGGAAAGTTGTGTTGTTGCTGCTCGGAGCTCCATCATAAACAAAGTCAGACATTGTGTATGCTGATAGACGAGCTGTGCGCAACTGGAGCTGAGTGATGATAGAATGCGGGATACGGTCAATACGGACGTGAATGCGGTCAACACGGTCGTCGGCCGAGGCATCCTCGGACTTTTGCTTAACCGACGACCTCGCCAACTCCACCCTCTTCATATGCCTCTCATCCAGCAACGTGCTGAGATGCTGTGGGTTGGAAGACCTGCTTCCCTGTCCTAGTGAATGTCGAGGCTTCTCATCCGCTCCCGTCTACTAGTTGGTACTTCTTGCTGTTTCTGAATGTTGCATGCTCAGCTCATTCTGCTCTACGGACCACGGAATCTCGGCTTTCGGCACCATCGCCAAATGTGGCAGGTCAATCAAGGACAGATGATTGGTGCAAGTCGCGGGAGTCGCATCCTCTATCGTTCAGCTTTGAACTATTGATCCTTCGTCGTCAAATTGTTTTTCGAGACTTGACATGCTCGAAGCCATGCTTGGATGGATTTGTAAGATTGTAAGACGAGACTGCGGCGGTCAGTGTCACGGCGAAACTACACCCCGGCTGCCATTGATTCTTGAGGCAAAGACAAGAAGACACAAGCCTTAGGAGGCCGAACCTTATTGCTGCCCATCTGCAAGTCAGATCTGCCGTGTTTTGATTCATCTGCAGTCGGAAATGTGGAGGACATCGTTTCGCCGACCTGCCGACTTTTCCAGCCCCTCGGTAGTTCATGCTAGAGAACGTTTCAATGCTTACCAATACAGTATCATTCGCATATTAGGCAGTTGCATCAAGCAACAGCAGTTCGAGATGTGCAAACACACTCAGTTGTTGATGAGACACTGCTGGAAAAGGTTGACTTTAGATCTGATATGATCGGATAACGTGTACAACCTTCACGTTTAATACAGGTGGGCCCTGAGGTTCCATGTGCGATGTATGGCAGCAGCGTGAACGGATTACCAACGTTCGCTATCCAAAGCTGGTGTTCCTCTAGCGCATCGCCTCCATCGAAGATGCATCAAAGACGGCACAAGCGGAGGCCGACTCGGGACGATACACAGAGATGGAGGCGTCATGAACAATGGGTTGCTGCCTGCCGCTTCGTATGTTATCGTTGTCGCCCGCTCCTCTTCCTGATCTCGTTCCCCTACGAATCTGAGCCCGCGACCCCCAACACGCTTCCCGGAACATGTCTGCCCCAGTGCCAGACACGGTCTGGACATCAGGCGACGCCAATAATCCGCCGCCGGCTGCCGATACTGCACAACATGGATCTGTGGCCACCGAGCCTTTGGAAAGAGTCGGAACAGCAAAAGAATTGAATGACGAAAAAGTACTGGACCCGGAATATGTGCAACAAAAGAACGCAGAGAAGCATGATCGCTCTCCACTTCATCGCCATCAAAGCGACTGGACATCTTCCTCGGGCAGTGACACGCCGGACGACAAGAGTCAGAGAAGCATAGAGACCGAAAAGCAGACATGGAGTGAGAAAATCAACCCATTCAAGAGGAAACACAAGCCGCAGATACCAGCCGAACAGGGAGAATCGCGAGAATACAAAGCCAACTTCTTCAGTCACCTTACCTTCCAATGGATGGCTCCCATGATGAGCGTTGGATACCAACGACCACTCGAGCTCAATGATCTTTGGAAAGTCAACCCCGATCGTAGTGTAGATGTCTTGTCTGCAAGACTGAAGGCTGCTTTCAAGAAGAGAGTCGATAACGGAACCGAAAATCCTCTAAAATGGGCCCTTTACGATACCTTCAGAAACGAATTCCTTCTTGGAGGATTATGTGAATTGATTGCCGCCGTGGTCCAAGTTTTGGCCCCCTTCGTTCTCCGTTATCTGATCAATTTCTCTACCGACGTTTGGGTGGCTGAGAGAACAGGGACACCTAGACCTGATATTGGCCATGGTATTGGCTTGGTCATTGGAGTCACTGTCTTGCAAGTCATTCAGAGTGTCTGTACAAACCACTTCTTGTACCGAGGTATGACGGTCGGTGGCCAAGCTCGAGCTGTCACTATCGCTCTCATCTTCGAAAAGGCCATGAGACTTTCTGGAAGAGCAAGAGCCGGAGGCAAATCAAACACAGAGCCAGTTGGTCTGCCNCCCGGCATCACTCCCGGCAGTAAGGAAGAGAAGAAATGGCTGAAAGCAAAGCTCAAGAAGGAAAAGTCAAGCCCAAAAGACAAGAAGGGCGTTTCTGGCAGCGGAGAGGGCTGGTCTAACGGCAGAATCGTCAATCTAATGTCCACCGATACATATCGCATCGATCAAGCTTCTGGAATGTTTCACATGATCTGGGCTTCACCAATCTCGATTGTGTTGACTCTCGTCTTACTTCTCATCAACATCACCTACAGTGCATTGGCTGGATTCGCTCTTCTCGTTGTGGCTATGCCCTTGCTTGGACGATCGATCAAAAGCTTGTTCGTTCGCAGAAAGGCCATCAACAAGGTCACTGACCAGAGAGTTGGACTTACTCAGGAAATTCTCGCTGGTGTCAGATTCGTCAAGTACTTTGGTTGGGAGAGCAGTTTCCTTGATCGTCTGAAGGAGATTCGACGAAGAGAGATCGGCAAGATCCAGTTCCTGTTGAACATTCGCAATGGTATCATGGCTGTGTCCATGTCTATGCCTGTGTTCGCTTCCATGCTGGCCTTCATTACCTACAGTCTTACAGACCACGGCCTTCAGGCAGGAAAGATTTTCTCATCTTTGGCGCTTTTTAACGGTCTCAGACTGCCACTCAACTTGCTGCCACTTGTGATTGGCCAGACTGTCGACGCTACTGCATCTATCCGCAGAATCGAGGATTTCTTGCTGGCCGAAGAGGCACTGGATGAAGCAGCATGGGACTACGAAGGCAAGAACGCCATTGTCATGAAGGACGCTAATTTCACTTGGGAAAGAACTCCAACCCAGGAGAAAGAAAAGAAAACAGTCGGAGCTCCTGGTTCTAAAGAAGCCAAGGCTGCTCGGAAAGCCGACAAGAAAGCCGATCACAAGGCTGACAAACAGGCGAAGAAGGATGCGAAGAAGGCTACCAAGGAGGCGCTGAAGAATGCTGATAAGGGCGATGGCCTCGAAGCTTCTGACAGCAGTACAACCTTGGCAGAAGACAGCGAGCATCCGTTTGAGATCAAGGGTCTCAACATCTCAATTGCCCGTGACGAACTTGTCGCAGTCATCGGAAGTGTTGGCTCCGGTAAAACTTCCATTCTGGCTGCACTTGGAGGAGAAATGCGCAGGACTTCGGGCGAGGTTACCTTTGGAGCTTCACGATCGTACTGTCCTCAGTATGCCTGGATCCAGAATGCCACCGTCAAGGAGAATATCACGTTCGGAAAACCCTTCGATCAGGATTGGTATGACGCCGTGGTAGATGCATGCGCTCTCCGACCCGATCTCGACATGCTTCCTAACGGTGATCTTACCGAGATTGGAGAGCGAGGTATCACTGTATCTGGTGGGCAGAAGCAACGTCTGAACATTGCCAGAGCCATTTACTTCAACGCCGACATTGTCCTGATGGATGACCCGCTTTCAGCTGTCGACGCTCACGTCGGACGACACATCATGGACAACGCTATCTGTGGTCTTCTCAGAAATAAGGCTCGTGTGCTTGCAACTCACCAACTTCACGTTCTACATCGCTGCGACCGCATCATCTGGGTGCAAGACGGCACTGCATACAAAATCGACACATTCGACAACCTCATGGCGACCGACGCAGACTTCCAAAAACTCATGGCTACCACTGCCAAAGAGGAGAAGAAGGAGGAAGAAGACGAAGAGGTCGACGGTGATGAGGTTGAGGTAAAGAAGAAGGACGTCCAAAAGAAGAGTGGTGGCAAGAAGCCAGCCGCAGCACTCATGCAAACCGAAGAGCGTGCAGTCAAGAGTGTCTCTTTCGGCATCTACAAGGCTTACATCAAGGCTTCCGGTTCTCTTGCTGTTGCTCCCCTGATTCTTCTTACCCTCATCTTGTCACAGGGTGCCAACATTGCAACCAGCTTGTGGCTGTCGTGGTGGACTTCGCATAAGTTTGGCTACGACAGAGGAACATACATCGGAGTCTACGCGGGACTCGGAGTCTCGCAGGCTGTGCTTATGTTCACCTTCTCCAGTACTCTGACCATCTGTGGTACTCGAGCCAGTGCCACTCTGCTCCACAACGCAGTCACCCGAGTTCTCCGCGCACCAATGTCTTTCTTTGATACGACACCGCTTGGACGTATTACCAACCGCTTCTCTAAGGATGTCGATACTATGGACAACGCTTTGACCGATGCCTTCCGCATGTTCTTCATGACAATGGCCCAAATTATCGCTGTCTTCATCCTGATCATCGCCTATTACTACTACTTCGCTGCCGCTCTGGGTCCACTGTTCATCATGTTCTTGTTCGCTGCAAGCTATTATCGCTCTTCAGCACGCGAGATCAAACGTCACGAAGCCGTGCTTCGTAGCAGCGTCTTCTCTCGCTTCAGCGAAGCCGTGTCTGGTGTCGCTACTATCCGTGCCTACGGACTGCAAGACCAGTTCTCGAGATCGGTCCGTGATGCGATCGACAACATGAACTCTGCTTACTATCTCACCTTCTCAAACCAACGTTGGTTGTCTGTTCGGCTTGACGCCATCGGTACCCTTCTTGTGTTTGTCACTGGTATTCTCGTTGTCACAGCCAGTTTCTCGGTCAACCCCAGCAGTGGCGGTTTGGTTTTGTCTTACATTCTCTCGGTGGTGCAGATGATCCAGTTCACTGTCCGCCAGCTTGCTGAAGTCGAGAACAACATGAACTCTACTGAGCGCATCTACTACTACGGCAACAATCTCGAAGAGGAAGCTCCTCTACATACTGTTGATGTTCGCCCCTCATGGCCTGAGAAGGGTGAGATTGTCTTTGACAACGTTCAAATGCGCTACCGTGAAGGACTTCCTCTTGTCCTCAAGGGTCTCAACATGCACGTCAACGCAGGTGAACGCATTGGTGTTGTGGGTCGTACAGGTGCAGGAAAGTCGACAATCATGTCCACCCTGTTCCGTCTGGTGGAGCTCAGTGGCGGAAGCATCACCGTCGATGGTCTCGACATTGCCAAGATTGGTCTCAAAGATTTGCGATCACGCCTTTCCATCATCCCACAGGATCCTACTCTGTTCAAGGGCACTATTCGCAGTAATCTTGATCCTTTCAACGAGCATACGGACATGGCGCTGTGGGGTGCACTTCGTCAAGCCGATCTCGTCGGTGAGGAGCAAGACATCGCTGATTCGTCCTCGCGTATTCATCTCGATGCCCCTGTGGAGGAAGAGGGGTTGAACTTCTCTCTTGGTCAGCGCCAGCTCATGGCTCTTGCCCGGGCTCTTGTACGTGGTAGTCGCATTATCGTTTGCGATGAAGCAACCTCTTCAGTCGACTTCGACACCGACCAGAAAATTCAGCGCACGATTGTCAAGGGATTCCAGGGCAAAACTCTTTTGTGTATTGCCCATCGTCTGAAGACCATCATCGGTTACGACCGTATCTGTGTCATGGACAAGGGACAGATTGCTGAGCTTGACCGCCCCATCACTCTCTATGACCAGGGAGGCATCTTCCGCAGCATGTGTGATCGAAGTGGTATCCGCAGGGAGGACTTTTTCGCCAGCCCTGAAGCCAACTTCTCCGAGTGAGTTGGTTGAGTCGCGTCTTTGTGTTTTTGGAATTAAACGGCATGGTTTTGCATAGATGCGTAACTTGAAAAGGGTTTTTCTGGCGAAGAGGATTTCATTTGCTGAGATTGGTTTGGTGTATATACGAAGACTCATGAACATATTTTTCTTTTCAATTGTTGCTCTGCCCGGAGGCTTTGTGAAACCATGTCAAACATAGGTTACCAGTATCTGCACACGACAGTAGTGATGGCCACCCGCGTGTAGCTAGTCGAGCAGCAGAGTTTTTGAGATAGTATCTATCCATATGTCGTCGGGTACTCGGTAAGCGATGTTCTCAACCATAATCCCAGGGCTCTGAGAGTCTCTACCTCAACAATGACATAGGAGGCAGGCACGCAGTAGAGTACCAGTAATCCTTTGGTATACCAACATGCTCTGCCTGTCAGCCGTTTACACGAAACCACCGACTCCCACACAAGAAAGCACAAAAGTTAAACGTCGGTGATGTTTCGCCCCCTTGCAGTTGGCAGAGATAGCAAAAGAAATGGATGGAAGTGATTGGAGAGAAAGCACGACGCTAGACAGAGTCAGGGTCTCGTCGACGCGCGCCAAGAAAAGTGACTGGCAGCCGTGGCGGACAGAGAATTCGTCTGCTGCGGGTGCCTTCACGTCTTCAACTCGTTCACTCCCTTCTACAACACAAGAAACCTCACTCGTAAAAGTTCTGTTGTTTTCTTATTTGCTTCGTCTTCTGTGCAGTTGTTTCCCTGCGCATCCGATACAAGTCTCTGGTCCATTCTCCGCCAGACTCCTTTCATATAATCAACCACGCCCGTTGGACTTTTTCCAGTCATCACACGCCTTATCTCAACAATCGACATACCATAACCCGACCACTTTTCCAATCCGAAGAAAAGATATCGCAAACATGGCCGATCAACTCAACATGAACAACCTCTCGCTGAGCGAGTCTCAGCACGCCCCTAGACAAAATGGCAACGGTGGATTCGTCCGCTCTGCTTACATCCCTCCTCACGCCAGAGGCAGCACCAGAGGCCCTGCTCCTGGTCCCGCTGCTATGGATGGCGCACCTCCCATGAACGGTAACTTCGACGGNCCCCAGGTGAGTATCCTCGTATCTTTACTGCAAGCGTGCAACTGGCTGACGAAAATTTTCAGACCCGGCTTCGGTGCTGGTCGCGGCGGCGGCGGCGGCTGGGGCGGTGCTCCCACTTTCACCCCCAGAGGCGGCAACGGCTTCGACAGAAACGCCTACGGCAACCCCGGCCAGGGCGGTGGTCAACAAGCCCGCGGTTCTGGTGACGGTCAGTGGAAGGACGGCAAGCACATCCCTGGTCCCTCCAACCCCCGCGTTGAGCGCGAGCTGTTCGGTGTCCCCAACGACCCCAACGTGCAGCACAGCGGTATCAATTTCGAGAAGTACGACGACATCCCCGTCGAAGCCAGCGGTCAAGGCGTTCCCGATCCCGTCACCACCTTCTCCAACCCTCCTCTCGACGACCACCTTATCAGCAACATCGAGCTCTCCGGTTACAAGGTCCCCACTCCTGTCCAGAAGTACTCAATCCCCATTGTCATGGGTGGCCGTGACTTGATGGCTTGTGCCCAGACCGGTTCCGGAAAGACTGGTGGTTTCCTCTTCCCCATCCTCGCCCAGGCCTTTGTGAATGGCCCCAGCGCTACCCCCGTCCAGACCGGCATGGCCCGCCAGCGCAAGGCTTACCCTACCTCGCTCGTCCTCGCCCCTACCCGTGAGCTTGTCTCTCAGATCTACGAGGAGGCACGCAAATTCGCCTACCGTTCATGGGTCCGCCCCTGTGTCGTCTACGGTGGTGCCGATATTGGTCACCAGCTCCGCCAGATCGAGCGCGGCTGCGATCTCCTTGTTGCTACCCCTGGTCGTCTTGTTGACCTCATAGAACGTGGTCGCATCTCGCTCCAGAACATCAAGTACCTCGTTCTCGACGAGGCTGACCGCATGTTGGACATGGGTTTCGAACCTCAGATCCGTCGCATTGTCGAGGGTGAGGATATGCCTCCTACCACCGGCCGCCAGACTCTCATGTTTTCGGCCACCTTNCCCCGTGATATCCAGCTGCTGGCCCGTGACTTCCTCAAGGAGTATATCTTCCTCTCTGTCGGTCGTGTCGGTTCCACCTCTGAGAACATCACCCAGAAGATTGAGTACGTCGAGGACGTCGACAAGCGCTCCGTCCTGCTCGACATCCTCCACACTCACGGCGCTGGTCTTACTTTGATCTTCGTCGAGACTAAGCGCATGGCTGATTCGCTCTCCGATTTCCTCATCAACCAGGGCTTCCCCGCTACCTCGATTCACGGTGACCGCACACAGCGCGAGCGTGAACGCGCCCTCGAGATGTTCCGCTCTGCTCGTTGCCCCATCCTCGTTGCCACTGCTGTCGCAGCCCGTGGTCTCGATATCCCCAACGTCAAGCACGTCGTCAACTACGATCTTCCCACTGACATTGACGACTACGTCCACCGTATCGGTCGTACTGGTCGTGCCGGAAACACTGGTGTCGCCACTGCTTTCTTTAACCGCGGCAATAGAGGTGTCGTTCGTGACCTTCTCGAGCTCCTCAAGGAGGCCAACCAAGAGGTTCCCGCTTTCCTCGAGACTGTCGCTCGTGAGGGCAGCGGCTTTGGTGGTGGTCGCGGTGGCCGTGGCGGTGGTCGTGGCCGTGGTGCTACTGCTACTCGCGATGTCCGTAGCTTCGGCGGCGGTTCGCGTCCTGCCTACGCTGGCTCTCAGTGGGGCGGCAGCAGCGGCGGCGCCGGCTTCGGTGGAGCTGCTGCGGGTGGTTACGGCGGCGGCATGGGCGGTGGCTACGGTGGTGGCATGGGAGGTGGCAGCTACGGCAACCCCTCTGGTCCCTCCGGCCCTGGTGCCAACTCTTGGTGGTAGACTCCCCAAGCGCGCTGATGACCGACCCGCTTTTCTCGGGCAATTGACCTTCTGGTCATCTTTTTCTTTCAGTCTTTGATTTTAGCTTTCTCGTTTCGCGGTCCCTCTCTCTGGACGCCATAACACCTACGGATCGATGGACGCGGTCCTTGCTCATACCCCCAGTCAGCATGATAGACAGCGTTGATTTTTCTTCATTCTCAGCACGGAGACGGCGCTCATCACGGTTTACGACTTTCTTCACGGCCTTGAGCGTTCTTACATGAAACGCTCGATGCACTCGACGAGCGTGGTATCCGGTCTGGGCAGATGAGGCTTCCAGAGGACTCGGACATCTTTCGATACCAGTTGTGTTTTCTTCAGTTTTTCCTTTCAAATAATGATCCTGGCATTTCATTGCATCACGAGGCTCTAGGGCATCTGGAAAGGCGTTCTCATGGGACGCTGGGCCAGGCTGGGCTTTCAACGATGTTTGGGGCTGTCGCATATGGCATGGGCAGCTTTCTTTTTTCGCTTTCGGATGGATACCCCAAACTTTATAGACTTTTTTTCATCTGGAGGCAGGAAGAGATAGGCATGGCAAAATGGCTGCCTGCAAGGGGATATGCTGGTCGCTCGGCAGGATCAATCCCAAAAAAAAAGTTACTTCTATCTTCTCTTTCTGTGCGTTTCGAGTCTCTGATATAGATGCGCAAATCGAGGCATTTCTTGTACCTTGCTGAATCTGTGTGTGTCTGTCATGAATGTGATCTTCAGATGTGCTAGAGTTGTGAGATCTCAAGGCATATTGTGTGAGTTGCACTTCAGAGGGGGTTGTTGCCATGTGTCAATGGTATGGCGAGATTCGTCGAGATTCGCGGTGGATCTGAAGCTTGCCCCAGACGCTCCGCGTCGTCACAGGGAAACAGCGAACGGGAGCAGCCGCAATCTGTAGGTAGACGTGGGCAGGAGCGTGATGAAGGGGAATCTGTTCTTCCCACCATCACATCCACACGAGACATCAAAACACGAGTGCGCCATGGTGGAGCAGGACTCGCGCAGCAGCTTGCGACACATCCTCGCCGACGAGCCCGCTGGACAAGAATCCCGACCAGCACCGCCAACAACTCCAGCATCCGCACCAGCGATACGAGCCACATCGGCAGCGGCTACGGGCGACCACGAAGCATCGCCAGCACCTAAGGGCGACAAGGACGACGAAAATGAGGCAGAGACTCCATTGTACACATCGACGACGCAGACAACGCGGCGCAATGCGAATGGCAGCGTGTCGTCAGTCTACTCGGGAAACAAGATCCGCCATCTGAAAAAGGAGGACGGCGTACCGCTATGGCGCAAAGACATCCAGTACGACTTCCTCGACATCGTCTTCAAGGATGACCACCGCGTCTTTACCCGCTACTCGGACAACACAAAGGGCCACACGTTTGCCGAAATCTACGTCGACGCCATGGCAAAGAGCAGCAAGTGCAGCAAGATCCTCAAGGAGAAGCTGAAGGAAGACTTCGACTCGGCCATCACCATGGCCATGGTCTGCCTGCTGGTCAACGTTGGCCGTATGAACACAACTCTGAACTTCTTCCCCGAGATGCGCGCTCAACTACGTACCTACCATTCGATTCCTGCCCTACAGGCACATCAAGATCCCAACGCCTACAAGCAACTGCAAGACGCGCCACGTTTGAAGTCCATCCTCAAAGGTGCTACCGAAGACACGCCACAGCCAGGTACAATCGAAGACATTAGACAGGCTCCGATACCACGGACCAACCCTGTCAATCTGATCTTCGTCCTGTCACAATATGCGCCCAAGATCTCGGAACTCCACTTCAATCATCCTCGCGACTTCTTCGACCTCGTCATGCGACCCAGCCTGAGCAGCAGAAGCAGAGCAACGGCATTCCTCTGGCTCATGTGGTGGTACCTCGAGAGCGACTTCTCCAATGAGTCTGCTCTCAGTAACCCATTCGGAGCAGGCTGCGAGCCAGAAGGCGGTGGTCAGCCAATCAAAGTCCCCTCGCTTGAGAGTTTGACAGAGGAACAGGCTGCTCTGGAGAATGTTGACAGTCAAGAAGAGAAGGAGTACGGGGAACAGAAGCGCAAGGAACGAATTGCAATTGTGGCAAGCGAACCGAGTCCTGCCATGACAGCTCTCAAACGCGCGCGAAAAGGTATGTTGTCCTGGCACAACTAATGGCTAGACACTAACTTGGGAGAACAAAAAGAACGCAGCTTGTTTGCGGCGGGTCTCGGTGATGCAAACTCAGATGCTGGAACCAAGACCCCCAGCCGCGACTTTGACTCACCAGCACCACATGGTTCGACTCCTCTCAGATGGCCTCTGCGAGTCCACAGCTGACACTGAATCCANGACTCTATGCGCCGGGCCTATGCTGGTAGTGACTACACACGTTCCCCTACACCTCCCACAAGCTCTTTCCAGGCTGTCAACACTATTTCGAAACCATTGGCAACCAAATCATTCTTGGCTGAGATCGATGAAAAAGAACACGAGATTCGTCACTTGGCTTCACCATCCGTGGGCACACCACAAGCTGCAGCACTGCCCAAAAAAGGCGCTGGACGAGGTAACCGGAACACCAACTTACACCACCCTTTCTTGCTACCCAACCCTGTTCACACATCCCCTCCTGCCCCTCCTACCGTGCCGGATGGCGTCTATCTGCAGGCCCAACGAGGCCACGTCCCGACATCTCCGTACCAACTCCAGACTCGGAACCGTCCGCTGACATCACACCAAAAAGCAGTCAGCGATTACCGCCGTGTGCGAATCAACCAGATCCTCGATACCGGTATCAGGCGACGCCACATAGCAGCCAAACGTCAACGTCAAGAAGAGGGTATACTACTACGGGCCTGGAAGCGCATTCGCATGCTGCCTTCAGGCTGGGACAGTGAAGATGAAGGCACAGCCGACAAAGGTAAAGAAGACGCCAAAGATAAGGACAAGGATGATGGCGGCTCCGGCAAAGGAAAGTCAAAAGAGGAAGAGAAGGCTGCCGCTGCGCTTCGTCGTGCTGCTGGCGGTGTGCGTATTCTTGGAGGATTCGCTCTGCCACTCACCGACAAGGAGCTCGAGCAAGAGAAGCAGCGTCCGCTAAACAGCATTGCCAACGTGGCAAGAGACGATGTAGGCGAGGAGGCACTGTTCTTCTCTCGAGCCTTCTCGCTTGGAATGGTTTCACTCGACCGCGAAGAAAATGCAGATGCCGAGGGCAGTCTGTTACTCCCATCACCGCCACTCAAGCCTGTTGACGACATGGAAGACGAACGAGAGTTGCAAGCCATGGACGAACTAGCTGCCACGATTGTCAAACCCAGACAAGGCAGGAAGAGTCGTGGCGGAGGTGGAGGTGCGAGCAGGAAATCCAAAGGTGGCGCGAGTAAGCTGGCGGAAGAAGCGAAGGATGAAACACCAGGCGGCTCGAGGCTCTCTACCGCACGAGCAGACAACGAAGCAGAAGATGAAGATATGCATGACGAGGGCAATGTCACCATTGGCCCTAGTGCAGAGTTGGACGATGATGAAAGAGAGCTGCTCGGCGAGGCGGACACGGAAGATGAAGAGGAAGACGAGGATAACATGGATGAGGACTGAGGAACGTTGCATGAAGGTGTGTATGAGATTATCTTGCTATGGGGCTGGCTGCTAGCTTCATTGAGGTTGCTGTTGCTGTAATACCACTGCCAAACATTGTTGTAGGCTAGAAACACTTCTGCCAAACCAACAAATATTGCATCCTCATGGCAACACAGTTTTAAACCAGTAACTTGATTCGCTTCACTCAAATCTGAATCGGGTCCCCTTGGCCCAATCTCTTTACTCGACAACACGTACCAACCGTCACATTGAATTTCCGTTACTACGACTCGTTCCTCTTCTCACACACCTATCATTCGTACTGCCAGTACGCATCAACGGCAGAGAGCTTTCATCATGTCTGCTCAATCTCGGACCTCTGCTGCCGACCAGCCTCGCAAACCCAGCAGCGCGTCACCATCTGCAAGTCCTCCGCGCACATTGTCCAAAGCTGTCTCGATCCCATCCCAAAGACCATCGAAGTAAGTTTTGCTCCACGTGTACGATGATGTGTTTCCTGACATAGAGAANAGTGAACACTTCGACACCGTCGTCACGATTGAAGTCGGACCCGAGAAGAAGGTCTTTGTTGTTCACAAAGAGTTACTCTGCTTCTACTCTGACTACTTTCGTGCTCCTTTCGATGGATCGTTCAAGGAGGCGATCGAGGGAAAGTTGACACTTCCTGACGAGAACATCGACACTTTCTACCTCTTCGATGGCTTCCTCTATACCAACCAACTACGCAACCAAGAACGTGCATCTGGCTCTAACATCAGGTGTTATAATTTGTCTAGACTCTGGGTCTTTGGAGACAAGTATCTGGTGCCTGCTCTCCAGAACATGGCTATGGATTGCTTAGTCGAGAGACTTCACATAGTCAAGAAGAGACTGGGCTCCGAACCAACTATGAGCTTTATCTACGATAACACAGTGCATGACTCGCCTTTAAGGAGGATGGCAATCGACTGGCAAGTCTACGGCATCTGCGTCACGGATAGAGAACAACTTTGTTCGTGGCCCCGCGAGGCTGTGGTCGATCTCGCCATGGCTCAGTCGACCAAGGAGACTATGCACTACGCGGGCAAGCAATTACCAGAAAGTGGCAAGTGTCACTATCATCTCCATGCCGAAGGAGAATTCTGCGAAGTCTGAGGAACAGGAACAACGTGCAGAAGGCGAGAGAGTCGAATTAAAAATGTTATGGACAGACCATGATGCATAATCGCTATGTGGCTACGATTACAGACTGGGATTTTCGCAATGGAGTAAGCAGAAGAAGCACATTTAGCTCAATTCAAAGTCTTGCTGGGACCTTGAGCCTAACAGGGTTGAGATGTGATGAGTATTTGTTGCATGTAGTTGGTGTGACCCTGTCTATAGCTTGAAGGCATCAACCACGACGCCAACATCGATTCACATTCCCCAACACAACAACTCATCAGAACAATCAAAGGATGACTTACTGACACTTATAATACCTTCTGATATCAGCTCCCACTCCCATCATCGAACATGGCGACTCCACCGGCGATAATCGCAACCATACAGAAGAAAGTGTGGGCGGGCAGTTTACCGCTAGAAATCCGACTGGCGAGTGCAGACTGCAGAACCTACGACGAAACAGATCCCTATCTGGTATGTTTTGTTTTCCTCATACCATCAACGTTGAATGGAAAACTGATCATGCACAATCAAAAACCGCATCTCCTGACTGCATTCACANNGATAAACCTGCCCCGCCTATCCTACCTGGCCTCTCTACTTCCCCGTCTACACGCCTTCTTCACTCCTCATCTCATCGACCCCTCCATCCCCTTCCAAAACGCCTGGTTGTCGTTCGAAAACGTGGCGCTAAAGTACCATTACCCCATCGGTTTGCTCCATGACTTGTTTTCTGGCGCTGCACCTTCCAATCCCGAGGATGACGGCACTGAAGAACCAGAATCACTGCCTTGGAGACTGGTTTTACGGTATTCAGAGTTTCCGGATGAGCAGTTGATGGGCTTGGATGCGGAGGGCAAGGTATTGAGGGATTGTTATGTTAATGGGGTCAAAGAGGTGAGTGTGTTTTACTTTCTTCTCTGTCCTCCTAACAATGGGTTCGCTTGGAGTGATGGCGATGTTTGGGAAAAATAGCTTTACTGACTTGACACGCACACACAAAATAGNGCAGATGTGATTCGCAATGGCAAGGGAAATGTGTATATGGGGTTGAGCAATGATGACTCTGATATTCTGTGGCAAGCAGTGCAGGAGCGTAAGTCCTTCTCTGTTTCATGTCCATCACANTACTTTGTGAACAACATCAAGCTAATCAAGAGATTGGTGAGTATAGATGACCTTGTCAAATTCAACACGATAAACAATAAACTGCTCAATCCACCAGGCACACCTTTGCGCAACATCCCGATCAAAATTTACCTCCCTACAACGGCACCGACATCGAGCTCTGGCGAGGAGACACAAACAGTGCAAGCTAGTATAAGGACAGTGCAAGGTCTTGTTGCTCTCTCTTCTGCAACGCGTAAGTTTATTCCTCTCTTCTCCTGCAAAGTCTGTGCTTTCTATATGCTGATTGCGATGGCATAACAGGTNCAACCGAATACACTGGGCATGGCTTTGAATCAGATACTGCCGACCGTGTTCCCTAGTAGGCGTAACCCGGTGCTGGCGGCGCCTGTGTTGCATGGTGCGGTTGTGCCGATGGATGCACCTGTCGAGGACCTTATGAGAGCTGCTGCATTTACGGACGGATTCTTGCATATCGTGGTTGTCATGTTGTGAGAAACAGAAGATATGAACGGGCAAAGAGGATAGCTGGAAATGATACCCCCTTATAGAGTGCACCCTTTGATCGTATAAAATACTCTTCAACATCAAATATACGTTACTTGACGTTTGGTCAGACCGTTGACGATGTCTTCCAATTCATCCCTCTTGCGTTTCCTTTCCATGGCATCTTCCCCTCTTTCTTCGTCATCATCATCTTCGCCATCTTCATCGAGCGCGTCTTCCCAGGTCCTTGGTTTCCAACAGCGAATCGTACCGTCAGAGTGGCCTGAGTAGAGCTCAATGTGGTGGGCTCGCCAGGCCAGACTTGTTGTCTTGTTGACGACATTTCGTGTGCCTGATCCTGCCGCGACTTGTATCCGTGTGGAAGCGTAGGAAGGCGTTCTCAGGCGTGTGATGAGTTTGCCTGTGTGCATTTCGTACACAAGCAGTTCGCGAGGATTGGGGTAGACGAGAATCTCTTTTGTCGGACCGGTGAGATGACTTGGACTAAGCAGGGGCAGCAGAGTCGATGTGGTGGAGCTCTTGACAGCAGGACCGAAATTGGTCAAGGTGTTTGCGCCCGTATTCGCGTTCCAGACGCGAATCTTGTCGTCTTGTCCGCAGGAAACGAGAAAGTCTCCTGCTTCGTCCCATGTTATACCGTTGACGGCGCCTGAGTGAGCTTTGCCGCGCTCGCGCCGCAATGTGTTGCCATTCACGCCGACACCTCTGCTATCTTCCATATCGAGAACGCCCAAACTGCTTGCGCTGCGGCGAATGTCCCAAAGCCGTACTAGTCCATCAGAGCCACCACTTGCTAGTACGTGTTCACGTTTGGGGTGCCAGGCGGTCGAGAGCACGGCACCACTGTGGCCAGCAAGTGAATGTGTGCTGGCGCCAGAACGGAGATCGACGAGTCGTACGGCAGGGTGTTGTGTAGCACAGGCAACCAGCAGGTGAGAGGCAATGGGTGAAAGGGCGTGCGAATAGACGACGGCTTCGAGGTCAAAGGCGGCCGAGGTCTCGAGCGTCTCGGACGAGTAGAGCTTCAGCGAGTGATCATAGCTGCTAGACAGGAAAGCTAGCGAGTCAAAAGGATAGAAGGAGACGTGAGTGATGCCAAAGTTTGCCGTTTTGGCCGTCTTGGAGGCATATCCGAGCGGCTGGATGAGGCGAGTCTCATCAGACTGGCTTGTGGGAGCCTCGAGGTCCCAGATACCAATCGACGAGTCCGCACCACCAGAGAGAAGCCAACGCCCTTCGAACTTGTCGACGGTGATGGAGTTCACACCGGCCGGATGTGCGACGCCATTTCGCAGGGCGTCTTCCTCGTTGGTGGTGTCCGGAGGGTTGATGCTCAGTGATACATGGCTGGCTGGCTGAATTGAGTAGACGAGACGGGTGTTTTGCGACCGCGCAAGAGCGGCGGGACTGACGCTACCAAGAGCGCGGTTGAGTAAGAACGAGTTCATCCGGCGACTGATTCATCTTTGAACATGCTTGGTCTTGCTTGAAAGAGCAGGAACAATAGAGGAGCGTGACGTATTGGGAAACCGCGACTCCAATTTCGCGCCAAGCCATCGTGCTCTCCTCTGACCATACAAAATTCAGAAGACCACCAACAAATCTTCACATAAATTACAAGACTATACGCTGGATATGGAGATCCGTACAGAGCGCTTGGAGCGCTACAAGCATCCCGAGGATACGGTTGAGCCCGAGGTGGTCGCTCGTAAACGTCGTAAGATCACTGTCTACGAGGCCGTCGCTGGTAAAGCTGGCTATGAGAGCCTCCTCCCGAGCGAGAAGCGCACTGCTACAAAGTATCGAGACACCCAAACAAATTCCTTGCAGTCTGTACCGCCAGACGAAGTCTTATTCCGCCGTCAAGGAGCCCCTGAGCGATATGAAGAATCCGACGTCTACAAGGCTCCCCACCCGACCACTCCTTTACCAGATTCTGACCTACTCAAATTCCTACATCGGTATGCATCTGACTTTTACTCAAAAGCCACTCCGGACAAGGGCCAGATCGATTTCCAATCACTGGACGAGACTGCTTTGCTTGCTTTGGGCATACTGCTGGAAGAAACAGCCGCCCTTCACCTTGGCGAGACTGGTCACTCTGCCTTCATCGAAGACGAGAACGAGGACATCATGACTGGAAAGCGGGAGTACTGGGATGGTGTGAGGTGGCTGAGGAGTGTCATCGAAAAGAAGCCTGCCGGCTCCTGAAGTGCCCTTCTCAGCTTCGTTCTGCGACGGTTTACACCCACACGACACATGTGACAAATACACGCAATGTGCCCTCTCGCTGTCACAACGACTACAGCTCATCACACAGCTATTGTCGCAACCCGTATCGAGATCATCAAAAACAATTGCTTTGATCCATCGCTGATACCAATATATTGTTGGTATCACGAGCGGTCTCGAGATCATCTCTCGCCACTGTCTTTACTGAGATCGGCAACACCGGGCCTTCGAACCGCATGGCATGCATCCTTCACATTCGGGCACATCCTGCGACCCGTGTCTCCAGACTCGACCCATGTCGGGCGACCCCAAAACTCCTTTCAGAACCACCCCAGAGCTCCAGAATGGGCCTGATCGCGACGCTACTGCGACCCGGTAGATCATGAAGAGATCTAACGGTCCAGCCCTTGCCTGAGCCGCTCGTCTGTAGTGGTAATCTTCGATATTCTGCATTGCTAGGTACTGCTTTAGCCGCCAGAAGCGCCAACAATAGCCTATCGTCGTCGAGACGCTTGTCCTGCGTCCGACACTGGCCAACCGACGATAGGAGAGAGGTCTAAGCGCCCTTGTGATTGGTCCATAGCTACAGTGTGGACCCAGTTGTTCGTGTCTGGTCAGTGTCTGTCGAGAAATGAAGACCCTGAGATGTGTTTTGGCGTACTGTACGCAAGCTGCCGCGCATATCATCAATATGCAGCCTTGATAGATTTAGAGATCTCTCACACGCGAAAAGGAAGCAGAGGCTGTCCTAATCATATCACCATGGTGAGGTTGACACCACAAGCTTGTGGTACATCTTCTCTACAGTGATCTAGGGACAGACGTCTCGATTCCTCGACCACCGACAATGCTTGGCAGACAAGAGGTCCAGGGACAACAGCACACACGCACATGCGACAATTGGCTAAAGACTCATGTCAATGGTCCATAATTTTTCTGTACGGCTTCTTTGTTGTACGAAAATGCTTAACTTCTTCCCAAGCAGCCCTAACATCAATCTGCCTATACGTTAAACATACCACCTACGTCCACGACTGTTTGTCGCCGTCACCGTTCTGAAATCTGGTTTCAATAATGGCGTCTCAAGGCGTGCCACGAAGCTTGTTAGAGCCAACTTTGGTTTTGATGTTGTCCACCAGTTTGACATGGGTACAGGCAAAATCCGCCGGCTAAATACAGTATCTTGTGACCAATGCAGCCTGTATAGCGAACTATACCTCTTTCGGCAATGCACCCTCCTTCTCCGGACGTTCTCACACCTCTTTGTGGAGCTGTGGGGAGGTCCACCGCCCTGCGTGCCGGATCTCCAATCTCCAGACTCCTCCACATTTTCGAGCGATGATCCCTTCGAATTTGTAGAACTTGACTCCATACTGGATATCTCGACATTCAATAATTGTCTGAACGCTCAAGGACATTGAACCCATGTACAAGCTCATGGCAATGGACCCGCTCCCGTCTCTCAAGACGCCACCTTCCGCTAGCTTGCTCGCAACCTAATAACGATGTCGATCCTTCGTGTGGCTAGTCCCAGTTCTCTAGGCGAGGCATCTTGGCTGCCAAACCACGAACCACGCGATCACCCTTTCCCATTCATGCGGAGCCCCGCGTGGCTAAAAGACATTGTCGTGGGGTAAACGAGACTCGATAGCGGCCAAGACCACTCTGGCCTTCACTCTGCATGTGCCATGCCGCCGGGTCGACACAAGCGAGCCTCAATCGTCTTTGTCGCCTCAGAATGGAGGTCTGCTGGTGCTCGTGCCTGGCGGCTAAATGAGATGGCATGCTTTGAGCTGCAAGACTCATTTGAGATATATAGCTTCTTTGTCCTCCCCATATGACTTGATCAGCCAGGCACTCGACTCCACTGTCTTTCGGGCATCAATTGCACTCGCTGATCTCTTCTCTCTTTCCATACTCAACAATCGTTCTCCATAACACAGAGTCGACATGGAGGCCGCTACCAAAGGCCACTTCCGCCTTGCGGGACGTGAATTNCCCAAGGTCAACTGGCTTACCGACCCTGGTTTGAGAAGAAACTACATCTGCTTGATGTTCGTCGTCATCACCAGTGCCACCAACGGTTACGATGGTTCCATGATGAATGGTCTTCAGGCCCTTACTATCTGGCAAGATGGTATGTCTGCACGCACTTCGAGTCTTAAACACATGCTAATTGTCTACNNAGATTTCCACCACCCCTCTGCATCATCATTGGGACTGCTCAACGCTATCATGTCTGTTGGTTCTCTGGTCGCTCTCCCCATCGTTCCCTACATCGCCGATGGTCTGGGTCGTCGCGCTGGTATCCTCACTGGTTGTATTCTCATGATCATCGGAGTCGTCATTCAATCTGCCGCCATGAAATTTGGCATGTTCGTCGGCGCTCGTTTCCTTATTGGATTCGGTGTTGCTATCGCTCACGGTGCATCACCTCTGCTTCTTACTGAGCTCACCCACCCTCAACACCGTGCTCTATTCACCACAATCTACAACACTACTTGGTACCTTGGTTCCATTGTGGCTGCATGGCTCACCTTCGGAACTTTCCACATCTCCAACCACTGGGCCTGGAGAATTCCCTCGATCGTGCAAGCGTTCCCCTCGGTGCTGCAGCTCATCTTCATCTGGTTCGTTCCCGAGTCTCCCAGATTCCTCATCTCCAAGGGCAAGGTTGAGGAAGCACACAAGGTTTTGGCCGATGTCCACGCCAACGGAAACCTCAATGATGAGGTTGTCATGCTCGAGATGACAGAGATCAGAGATACCATCAAGATGGAGCAGGAGTTCGAAGCCAACGGTTGGCTCCAGCTCTTCAAGACCCCCGGTAACCGCCACCGTCTGATCATTCTCTGCTCGGTTGGTTTCTTCTCTCAGTGGTCTGGCAACGGTCTTGTCTCTTACTACCTCACCCTCGTCCTCGACCAGATCGGTATCACCGACACCAACACTCAGCTCATTATCAACGGTGTTTTGCAAATCGTCAACCTCATTGTTGCTGTCGGACAATGCTTCTTCGTGGACAAGGTTGGCAGACGTACTTTGTTCCTGATCAGTACTACAGGTATGATGGTGTCCTTCATCGTTCAGACAATCTGCTCTGCTCGTTTCAAGATTTCTGGAGGCGAGGCTTCTGCAAACTCGGTCGTTGCCTTCATCTTCATCTACTACGTCTTCTACAACATCGCCTTCTCTGGTCTTCTGGTCGGTTACTCTGTTGAAATTCTGCCTTACAACATCCGTGCAAAGGGTATGACTCTCATGTTCTTGTGCGTTGATCTTGCTCTCTTCTTCAACCAATACGTCAACCCCGTCGCTCTCAAGCACATCGAGTGGAAGTACTACATTGTCTACTGTGTCTGGCTTGGATTCGAGCTCTTCATCGTCTGGAAGTTCTACATCGAGACTCGCAACACCCCTCTCGAGGAGATTGCCAAGTACTTCGATGGCGAGGACGCTGTCGTCGGTGGTGCCGCCGCTACCGAGAAGGGCAAGGTTCTTGCAGCCGAAATGGGTGGTCTTGGTGAAAAGGATGGCATGACTGTCGAGCACAGAGAGCTGTAGAGAAGGATAACTACTATGGCTGGGATACATGTGGTTGGCGGTTTTATGTGAATAATGGGTTACTACGATGCTTGAATGTCTGAATACACATTCGCTTTCAATTTATGATTATTTCATCTCATCTCATGTTCATTTGGATTTGTTTTCTGTGACTCTGTTCTATCGCTCAGTATGTCCGCACCCGGCTGCCAAATCCGAAAAAACACAGCATCTCTTGGATAAAATCAAAGTTTGGGGGCGATCAGGAGGCGTTCGTCGCTGATGACCCACCTTCACGAACAAGCTTGACCTCCACAAGCCGACCTCCTTCCTCTTTAACCAAACTTCTCCACCCATTATCCAAAACAACAGCAACTCTCAAGGCTCAAGCCTGCCCATTTTTTGCACCTATCATCTTCAAGAATTCCATCATCATGCCCGAGACCAAGCATTTTTCGCATACCATAAAGTTGTCTCTTGGCTCTTCCCATGCCGGGCAGGATTTCGAAGGCAGATTAGCCTACTGGAGCCTCGGCGACGTGTCCAAGCCCACGGTCTTGATGCCGACGTGTTTTGCCGGCAAGCTCGAGACAACGACGCCTTTTCTCTACGACTCTGATTCTGCCGCGCTGCCATTGTCTGACTACCATGTTGTGGTTGTTGGACAATTGGGCGGCGGTGAGAGTTCCTCGCCTTCGAACCAGGCTGCTCCATTTTCTGGTGTTGACTTTCCGAGGGTGACGTATGAGGATAACATTCGTCTTCAATATGCTCTGTGTCAGAGTTTGGGGGTTAAGCATTTGGAGGCTTATATTGGATTCTCGATGGCTGGGCAGCAGGCTTACTATATGAGTGTGCTGTACCCCGATTTCGTGTCCCATGTTGTGATGCTGGCGACCTCAGCACGCACCTCGTGGCACAACTACAACTTCCTGGAAGGACCTAAAGCTGCTCTAGAGTCAGCTGTCGACTTTGAGGATGGCAGATACAANAAAGAGCCCATCAGAGGCCTTCGCGCTTTCGGCAGAGTCTACTCTACCTGGGCGCTCAGCCAGGCCTGGTACAGAGAGCAATGCTGGAAAGTCCTCGGCTACGATACGCTAGAGCAATACCTCCAGAACAACTGGGACAAGAGGTCAAACGATGCAAATGACTTGCTATCCATGCTATGGACATGGCAGAATGGCAACATTGCTGCTTGCTTCCCCGAAGACAAGGGAGACTTGCCTACAGCTTTGGGAAGAATCAAGGCCAAGTCCCTGATCATGCCTTCAAGGACTGACTGTTACTTCCCACCCGAGGACAGCGAAGAGGAGGTCAAGCACGTCAAGAATGGGAAGCTAGCTGTCATTGAGAGTATCTGGGGTCATCTCGCTGGCGGTGGCGCCGGCACAGCCGAGGATAAGAAGTTCATCAACGAGCAGGTCTCACAGCTCATGAAGTAGGTGTCTAGCTACCTCTACAAGTATTCCAACATTCGAGATATCAATCGCGTCATCATGCCCCATCACAAGGTTAGGCATATCAAGGTCGCGTCAATTGAACATGTTGCAAATTTAACACGAAGCGAAGCCCATCTCAATCATGTTCTTTATAAGCATGAAGGTCTCTCATTACCACCCGATAGCAGCTTGGCATCAAGAACCAAGCCTTGTTTTCTGCTTCCGGTTCCTTTGTTCTGCAACTCAATACTTCAGTATCTGGCTATAGAGCAGGGTGGTATGCTCAACTACCGATCCTCGAGTAGATCTCCGGAGATACAAATATCTTGCCCGATGATGCATTGGTATTTGATGAACGGCAAGAGGGTTTCCGAGACATTTTGAGCTTTGTACTAGGGTCAGTAGATCATAAAGCATGTTCTCCATGGAGAACATGCAGAGTTTGGATTGCACATCGCAGGCTTCTAGATGCGAGAAGCAGCAACGCAGTGCGTGTTCGTATATCCTTTCAGTGATGATTGTCATGGGACTAGCTCATGATAAGATTATCTATCCAATGGCGTGGGAGTTGGCGGTCGACTGCATTGAACACAATATATCTGTGTGCCGAATACCTGTAACACTGTTACAAATGACCTTACCTGGAAGATTACACAATTGTTACTAGCTGACAACACTATGGAAACGCACAGCTGCTTTAGAAAACCAGCAGCGTGGCCAAAGAGGAGCTCCAAGGCCAGGTTTCTCCGTGGGATCTGCTGTCGTATATAAAGCATTGACTACAGCCACACTGTAGTCGACATGGGACGAAAGAAGGGGTCCTCCGTCGAAGCAGTTGATACACTGCGAGATGACATATGCTACTCCTCCAATCACTAACAAGGCATGTAAGGAATACGCGCATGTATGACATTCAAGAAGACAGATTGAGCACGATAGTAAAAAATATAATAATTACAAAAAAAAAGAACTTAGTGATTACGAGTTACAATCTTGATTTGTCGTTTCATCATGGTTAGGCCTAGTCCTGCTCATATCCATCAAGCGGTGCATAGGGCTCACGATTCCAGTCCCATGGGTCCCCGCCAGGCACGCACAATCCGAGACGCCAGAAGTAATCGCGATGGGAAAAGAACAACTGCCACAACTTGTAGCGAGAAGGCACGACCCAGGAACCAATACCTCGCTTCTCCAGCTCGCGCTCCTCGGCGAGATCGGACACCGAGCGTTTCACCTGAGCTCTGAGGTCATCACGCCTGGACAGCGTTGACTCTGCTGACAGACTACCATCTTGTCCAGCGATGCACCCATGGTCTTCATCACCAATACAGTGCCGAAGGTCTTGAATATCCGGGGTCAATGCAGACTTGGAGATGTATATCTCGCCGGCGTGCATACGGTATCCCCATTCTGTAAGTGGCAGCAGAGGAACCGGGTCGTCTATGTGGGTGACACGACGATAGCGCAGTTGACGCTCGTCAAAAGTGTTTGTCCAGACTTCGCGTGTGGAGCTGAGTAAGTTGAATCGCTGGTCGAGGTATTGGTTCAATGCAGCGTTTCCAATTCTAGGTTCTCCAAAGGTGGTGACGGTCGGGTTCCAACCACGCGAGACGAAATCTAGTCCAGCGAGTGCAGCGACAGCTCCTCCGAGTGAATGACCCACAAGAGTCAGGGCATAGTTGGGGTAAGCTGTGATGGCAGCCTCCAAGTCAGGCAGGATGGCAGACGAAGCCACTTTCCAAGAACTGGAGAAACCCGTGTGCACCGTACAGTTATTGCAGCGTGGGGTATCTGACTTCTCATGGTCTGTCTCTGAAGCTTCCGAGTCCGGATCACCAGGATAAGGAATGTATTCTTGAGGTACGGTGGAGAGATCGACAACAGTATTTGCGATCGAGTAAGTGCCACGAAACGCCACGATAATGCGAGGGTTCGTCTGCGAGTGAGACAGGGCGATATAGCCGCAAGAGTCGGACATGAGCTGACCGGTATTCCATGTNNCTAGGTAACATGTCGGCGCATGGTCAAAGCACGGTCAACACAAACACTCTCTTACCTTGATAAGTTCGAAGTCTGGGAACTCGGAGCACCGACCGAGACATTTGAAGGGCTTTGATATGCCTATACCAGTGAGACCTACGCAATATGATATGTCGACAACACGTGCGAGTTCTTCCAGATCGGAGAACAGCTCGGGAGAGACTGTGCGATTGTCTGCAGCATGGCGGAGCAGAGGAACTTGTTGAGCTGGAAGAGCGTTTGTAACAACCGATAGCGCACCCAGGAGGAGTAGCAGAAGGAAGCGCATCTTGATTGTGATGATTTTATGTCATGGGGTGCGTAAGTGATGTGCGGAGGGACGTACGTAGGTGATATATCGCCATGCTTTTTGATGACCGCCGGGGCTTGAACGATTTGATACATAGCGTGCAAGCTTTGTTATCCAACGCCCGCCTGCCTTCTTGGACGCTCTTGTCTGAAACAAGCTATCAGGATACAGGAAGTCTACTCGCTTGAGTGAGGAAAGACGTAGAGGAGATTGTGACTTCACTCTTGATGGAAGCTATACAGATCTCGAGTTATCCAGTCAGGCAGTATATTGGAAACTCATGGAGGGAAACAAGAGTTTGTTCGATAACATTTGATGTGTGATTCATAGGCACTCCTGATTGCGGGCTACACCTTGGCGTTCAGCCTCACGCCGGCACCTATGACGACTTTTGCAATATGAGGGCGCGGCAGACGTCACGCTCCTGGCCAGGGTCTCGATTTCGAAGCGCGTGCAGAGGTGGATAACACTCGAGATCCGCCGGTCTCTGGTCTTGAGCTTGTTGCATGTATTGCGAGTGTTGAGCACCTACTTTTGCTCTACTTTTGAATACACAGCCTCGTCCTGATTCTACTTGTACTTCCATCTTTCAAGCCCGTCTGCTCTTTGTTTCGGTCCAATCTCTACCCGCGGCCCGGAACCACAAAGCCAGTGGGAAAACGCTCTCCAACAATCGCCCTGTTTCACACTTTGACAATACGTGCGTCGCCCACGCCTCGAATCTGCGACTTTACCACTTACTGACAACAATTGGTAGTATAATCATTACTGCCTCGCCACACACCCAAACACACGATCCGCCATGCCGACATCTCCGGCAGTCGAATTCGCGCCCTCGCTAGCATCTCCGGCGGCCGATGATGCACGCTCACCACCAATGTCGCCAGCCGCCGACCGTGTGCAATCACCTGCCGGTGGTGCTGTACGCTCGCCCACGGGAGAACGTAGATCGTCCAACCCATTCGGCCCTCGACGATCCCTGGCCCTGCCCAGAACCAGTCTTGCAGCACCCGCCAGAGACCCCGGAGCCATGAACCCATATGCACCGCCATCGCTGGAATACGACTTGCGCCAGAGAAAGCGTAGCATCTTCATCTTCTGGTTTCTTATCTTGTTCGATTCCATTGTCATGCCCTTGGCTCTCTACTTCGGTCTCTGGTACGGCACCGATCTCTCGCCGAATACCGTCTTCTCCATCGTCACGGCCGCTCTGGGTGGTATCAGCATCTTCGAATACGCACTACGTTTCTGGCATCTGTGGAAGAAAGGCAGCAAGTGCCGTGTAATTGGTGGTCGCAGATCATACGTAAGATGTACCACTTGCAAGCTCAACATTTCACTGTGCTGACTTTTCGCCTAGCTCGACTGGTTCCACTGGAACTTCAGTTTCGCTTGGGTTATCATCATCGTTGAACTCATCGTGTAAGTGATAAATTCAAATTTATTTCGAACGCGATACTGACTGCTCATTAGTGGTACGATTCCCGAGAATCCGCCTATCCGCTTGTTGGCAATGCCTGTTGCTTCTCTCATGTTTGCCTTTGGTTCGGAATTGATCATTCAAGACGGCATGCGCCTCCTCAAAATTCCATCTCCCTTCCGCATCTCTTCAATGCCCGCCGGCTCTCAGATCCGCCCTGGAATCTACTGGATCATCGAAGACGTCATTGCAGTCGATGGCGCCGGTAACATCGAATTCCGCGAGAGACTCAACACGAGATACGAAGCCTCTCACTACTTCAGACAGATGCTTCACCGTCTGACATTGTTCTGGGGTATCGGTGCCGAAGTGGCAGCTGCCGTGGTCACTGCCCTAATCTTCACTCTCCAGAAAGATGCTGCCTATGTGGTCGGCTGGACCGTCCCTTTCATCTGGGCTGGTATCTGGACACTGGCCACTTTCTGGTATGCTAAGCGCTGCCTCAAGCACGAGGCCGAGATGTGGGCCATTGAGCACGGAAAGCCCGAGGTCTAGATGTACCACCAGGATTGTGCTCCTCTTTTCTTCGACAAACAAAATTGTATAATTACGACCACAGAATGACACTTTAGCGTGGTGGACTCGGGCATCGGATGGGGAGTTTTGTTCTTTTGATAGCATAGATGTTTCTGCCAAGAATACAGTGTAGACGAGTCAACGAAGACATTTGTTTTGAAATTGCTGTTTCAAGTGCCTGAGCGAAGCCTACACTTCTAATCACGACTGAACGAATAAACTTGATGTATATCCACTGACCACGACCGTTTCCTCGACGCTTCAAAAGAACATGCATGAGAGAGAAAAACAGATGAGGTGTCATGATCAGTTTCGATGGTGAACTTTGAACGACCAGTCTTGGCAAAGTGGGAGAGAAATCTAGCGGGTGTTGTGCTGCTACCTATCCATTTGTTTTTCGCAAGCACAACTTCAATATGTTACTCAACGAGCATATAGGTAAGCGGAAATGGTCTGTTTGAGAGTCACTATGGTGTAATCTGAACGTACATACTTGCAGCACTGGTGACACCTCAAATCTTGCTGTGTCCTTACAGCGAGCATCATGTGCCTACATATCATGAATGGATGAAAGACGAGGTATGTCAAAGACAATCATATTTACTTCTTTTATCATACATATTCCCGTTTTCTCTCTTCACCTTGAACCCCTTGTACCCGCTCCATTTCCAACCGCAAATTCCAAGAAAGAGAAAAGAGAAAAAAAAACATATACCAACCAACAGTAANAAGGAACTCCAAGAGCTCACGGCTTCTGAACCTCTGAGCCTCCCCGAGGAATACGATATGCAACGGTCCTGGCGCCAGGACTCGGACAAACTCACTTTTATCGCCTGTCTGCCTTACTGCTCTTCTCCAACCTCAAACACAACCATCACGCCCAATCAAGACGACACACCCTCCCGCATGATCGGCGACATAAATCTCTTCCTCGTGGACGACGACGACGATGAACCCAACCCCACCACCACCACTACCGCCCCAAAATCCGTCCTCGGCGAAATCGAACTCATGATAGCAGTAAAATCCCAGCACCGCAAAGGACACGGCCGCGCATCTCTTCTCGCCTTTATGCACTATATTCTCACAAACACTGCCTCTATCCTGCAGGAATATAGTAAGAGTCAAACAGCAATCCTACGCCATCTCCGAGTCAAAATCTCAAAGGATAATGTCAAGAGTATTGCTTTGTTTGAGAGTGTGGGGTTTGTGAGGACGAGTGCAGAGGCCAATTACTTTGGAGAGGTGGAGTTGAGGTTGCAGGTCCAGGATAAGGAGGACGTTGTTCTGGCTGATTTGGAGAGGGTCAAGGGGTGGAATGGAAAGCCTTTTGTTGTTGATTATCGCGAGGTGTAGGCTTGTGTAGTCGGTATGAGAAACATATCCCTCCTACGTCGAGAAGGCACATGACCTGAGTTAACATATCACGGCTGTGAAAAGACGCAGACCGAAGAGAGAAAAATGACAACTTTTGGTTGTTTTGGTATTCTGTCCGTGCCTGGTCACACTCATTATACTTCGTTATAGATCATATCAGAAATGTCCGTAAACAATTTCTCTATGCCGAGCCGTTGGTAGCGGCGTGCTTTCTTCTCTTCTGGACGGCATCGGCCAACTCGGCGAGTACGGTCTCGGTGTCTTCCCAGCCGATGCAGGCGTCGGTAATGGAGACTGCGTACTTGAGACCCGACTTTCCCTCCTTGGGCACCTTCTGGTTACCCTCATTGATGTGCGATTCGATCATGACGCTCATGATGGCGTCTTCGCCGGCGGCGATCTGGGTAGCGAGTTCGTGGGCGACCTTGGGCTGGTTCTTGTGGTTCTTTTCTGAGTTGCCGTGGCTGTTTTAGAGGTTAGTATTGCTCTTGTCTTCTGCTCTCGGTTGTTGAGTCAAGACGTACCTGCAGTCGACCATGAGTCTGGGCTTGGTGTAGCCAATCTTCTGGAGCTTCTCCTTTGACTCTTGAATGTCCTTGGGGTGGTAGTTGGTTCCCTTCTTTCCTCCTCTGAGAATGACAAAGCAGTCGTCGTTACCAGCAGTGCCGACGATGGCGACGTTGCCGGGCTTAGTAACAGACAAGAAGTGGTGGGNGTTCTTGACTGCGCCAATGGCGTCGATGGCAACGTCCAGAGTACCGTCGGTGCCGTTCTTGAAGCCGACAGGGAAAGACAGACCCGAGGCCAATTCACGGTGGACCTGTGACTCTGTTGTGCGAGCGCCAATGGCGCCGAGAGACAAAAGATCGGCAGTGTACTGAGGGGTGATGGTATCCAGCATTTCGCTGGCAATGGGCATGCCTCTCTCGGTCAGGTCGAGGTAGAGCTGTCTCGAGACACGAAGGCCTCTGTTGATGTTGAAGCTGTCGTCAAGATCGGGGTCGTTGATCAAACCCTTCCAGCCAACAGTGGTGCGAGGCTTCTCGAGGTAGGCGCGCATGATGATGACTAACTCATCCTCGTACTTCTCCTTCAAGGTGGACAGCTTGTCGCAGTACTCAAGAGCGGCCTTGGGGTCGTGCAGCGAACAAGGGCCAATAACGACGAGGAGTCTGTTTCTCTCGTCCTTGCCTTGGACGACGTCGGAAGCTTCGTTGCGACCCTTGAGGACAGTGTCTTTTGACTTTTGCGATTGTCTGATTTCGTGCTGGAGGAGATCGGGAGCGGTCAAAGGAGTCATGCCACGGATGCGCCAGTTCTCGCTGCTGCTGCGGTCACCAACGGAGGCGTTCTCCATGAAGAACTGTATACCGCGTCAGTCATGGCTTCTGCTCGCTTCAATGCGGCGCTGGGGAAAGTCGCGGGGCAACTTTTTCTGGAGAAAGCGCGAAATTCTTACTTCGGTCGACATGATGTGTGGTTGTCAAATATATCAACGAGAAACTCGGGTTGATCTAAAGCAAGAACGAATTGGGGTATCAAGACGATTGAAGGAAGGAAACAATGATGGAAGGGAAGGAACAAAGGACAGCATCATGTTCGTGAGTCAACCGTCACTCTGCTGCTATCCCAAGCCTTCGGCCCGACAAGCCTTTTGCTCAGCTTGTGATTCGCTCGGTCTAGATTTGATGACCACCGGTATCGCTGCTTCAGTTCTCTTGCTTGTACACCACTTGCTTCCAGGCATGCACTCCCACGTCGCCGTGGATCTGTGTGCTGAGGCTCGGTACAGAGCTCAGAGCAGATGCTTTGTTGGCTGTTCGTTTTCTGCTCTCTCCAGTTTGAGAAAAAAACATATTATGACATCACTGACGTGATGCGGGGTGTTCGATGAATGACCTGGCCTCGAGCTCAACATGATGAATAGAAAAATAACAGCGGGTCACTCGGAATAGTTGAGTATATCACTTGTAGTTTTCCTCGTTCTCTTGCCTCCTGTTTTCACTCGGTTTTCACAACCAACCTCTAAACATGTCACTCACAGCAGGCAACCTCAGAAACATCCCCACTTGTTACGCCAGTGTCTCGATTGGGTGCAGAGATGAACACACTCTCCCCAAGAAGCTGGAAGCAATTTCCAGCGCAGGCTTCAGTGCCATCGAGCTCGGTTTCCCGGACCTCCTGGCTTTTGCATCGACTTACATGAAGAAGGAGGTTGGCGCATACGACTACGATGATCTCGTCATCTCGGCCAAGGTTGTCAAGGCCATGTGTGACGCAAAGAAACTAAAGGTTCTTATTCTACAGCCATTCGCCAACTTCGAGGGCTGGCAAGAAGGCAGTGACGAGAGAAAGGATGCTTTTACTCGTGCCGAAGGCTGGATTAGGATTATGGAGGCCGTTGGAACAGACATGCTGCAGGTATGGAGGTCTTGTATCCATGCTCATATCAGCAAATCTAATTGTATCNNGCAGGTCGGTTCCTCAGATACACCCGTCGAAAAGATTGGCACAGACCGCAACCGCTTCGTCAGCGACCTGCAACAACTCGCCGACATGCTCGCGAAAAAGAACTTCCGCATGGCGTACGAGAACTGGTGCTGGTCAACTCACGCTCCCACGTGGAAGGACGTATGGGATATTGTACAAAAGGTCGACCGCCCCAATGTCGGTCTCTGCCTGGATACCTTCCAGTCTGCTGGCTACGAGTGGGCAGATCCCACTACCGAGTCAGGCTTGGTAGATAAGCCCAAGGATCAACTCGAGAGGGAATGGAAAGAATCGCTCGACGAACTCGCTCGTACCGTCCCAGCAGACAAAATCTTCTTCCTCCAAATTAGCGACGCATACAAGCCCAAGCAGCCATTCAGCAAAGACGTCGATGAGTCTGGTACCCGCCCCAGAGGTCGCTGGAGCCATGACTTCAGACCACTTCCCTTCCAAGGCTATCTGCCTCTTGTCGACTTTACCCAAGCGGTCTTGAAGACAGGCTTCCGCGGGTACTTCTCATACGAGGTATTCGACGGGGGTGAGGATGGCAAGGGCAAGGACTATGAGCTGCAGGACTTTGCGAACGAGGCAATGGCCACTCAGTGGAAGCTTATACAAGCTTGTATCGAGGCTTAGAAGTATCTGCAGTCTTCCCGCTCCAGTCGGCTAATGATGTCTATGAATGATGTATTAATCACAACCCCCGATTCTGCTGTATTATAGCACCTGCCAAACACACTCCTCTTTGTCAAATGCGAAGATTGAGGCCTTTACCGTAGTTGCACCTTACGTCGATACATTGTTAGCTTCTCTGTGCGGATGTTCGTTCATCTTATTACAGCTATGGGCCTGCGATCATTGGTGGTAGAGTAGCGATCTCCCGGTAGATGATGAGAACATGATGGTAACGAATAACGAGTCTGGAGCCATCAACTACCCGATGCAACTCGACAAGCGGCTAACGCGCAGTGGCAGATGCATGACTCAGACCGAAGTTGTTGCCGGAGGTGCTCCTTAGCCGGCTAGGCTCGGGAAAGGAGACAGCGACCGATGCTTCGATGAGATCGTAGATGCAACAAACATATCTTGCGATGTCGTGTCTGCCATCGCGATGCACCAGAAAACAAAAGATGGTGTTGATTCACTATCTTCCTTCGGGGGTTCGACCTCTTCTGCCAACACACTTCCAAACACTGCAGGCATTTTCTTCGTGCTTGAGGTCGAATGTCTTTAACACAGAGTCGCGTTTATCCTGTCAGCTCTCTCGTCTCAATTGATTCAGTACCTATCACTCTATCCGCGCGTCGCCGAACCAAGAACAACAGTCCGCCTGAGCAATTTGCCCCTCTTCGCACTCGGTCTGCTTCGTCGTCGCATGAAAATAACCCGCCAAAGACACCCATAAAGGCCTCCGTACCTACCGCTGAAGCATATCTCAAGCCATGCGTCTCTAATAGCATCCAGAGCTTTGGCGCTGCGATAGGCCTAGAGAAAGGTGACAATGGCACCCTCCTCGTGTCTATGGCCAGTGATAACTCGAAAGCTATCCTTGGCCACTCACCGGAGGACCTTTTCGCTCTACGTGACTTTGTTGACCTTCTGAATTATCACGAGGCAGATGCATTTCACGAACACATCGCGTCTGCGCACGATCGTGCCAGCTACTCTAGCACTCTCAACGTCTCTGATGTGACTATCCGGGACCAGGATGGCTTAACAAGATCTCTCTCGTGCGTCATTCACGCTGGTTCTTGCACACCTACTTTGATTCTTTGCGAGTTCGTCCCATTACCTCCTGCTTCCCTCGCTTCTCATCAAAGTCAGAGGACACAATCCCGGAAGACAAGAACCGTTGTCCGACCTACGCTTTCTAGAAGAGGCAGTGGCAATGCGACAGACACCCTTAATACAATGTCCAGAGCACATCACACCATCTCGATTGCTTCAACGGTCGAGGGTCTGCTCGAAAACCTTGTCGCTTCTATCAAAATTGCTACAGGACACTCAAACATAAGTGTTCATCGTTTCGATGGCCACTGCCATGGCCGACTGGTTGCACAGAGTGATGGCGATAAAAACTTCGCATGTTTCCCCCACTCATCTGGGCCAGAGTCTTGTAATTTGTCACCTGAAAGTCGGTCAATGTTTGAGACTCTGGAAATACAGGAACATTCTAACCAGGATCAGGAGACCGCCAATCTGGTATTCCGTCCTGGAAGCACGCTTGAACATGCCTTTGACAGCAATCCACTCTATCTTCGGACCTTACCCGACTTTCCTGTACATGGCTCAGATGGTCTAGATGAAGAATGTGCCAAGTCTCGCGTTCTGATCCCTTTGCGGGTATCTGGAAAGCTATGGGGCGTCGTCGTCAGTAAATCTGCTCCAAGCCATGCCGCGATCACATTTCTCACTCGTGGTCTGTGTCGTATTATCGCAGATTCAGCCTCGACAAAATTGGAAAACATAAATGCTTCTCAGATCCTAGATGCCCAAGGACCTTTCTCACGCAACTCAAATCTTAACAAAGAGTCTGCAGTCGCCTTTGCAGGCCCGCGAGATTTGGTCAGAAGACTCAGAGCAGATTTCGCCATGTCCTTCATCGATGGTATCAAGAGTCTAGTTGGTCCTGCGCGAGAGCCGCAAGAAGCGCTCGCATTGATCGAATACCTCCGATTGCGTAAACACACCAACATTCTTAATTCCAATGATTTTGTAGAGGACTTCCCAGGTCTACACTATCGGCCAGGATTTCAATCTGTCAAGGGCCTATTGTTTGTCCCACTCTCACTGGACGGAGAAGATTTCATCGTATACTTCCGGGAAGCGCCCTCTAGTGGCTCTCTCGACCAAGGCGTCGACACATGGAGCGAGGTTGACCTTCGAAACGCAGCAATGATGCGCGTAGTCTATATCAAATTCAGCGCCATCTGGAAAGAGAGAAACAGCGCAATCCAAGAGAGTCATATGTACAAGCTTCTGGTGTCCAACTCCAGTCACGAGTTTCGAACGCTGCTTAATGCCATATCAAACTACCTGGAATTTGCGGAAGAAGGGCGGCTCAGCATTAAGATCCATGAGGTCTTGAAGAGCGCCAAGAGTACGTCTCGATCACTGTTGTTTGCTGTCACGAAGCTGCTAGATTGTGTTGAACAAGGGTTGGGAACATGAAAAATGTATGGAGAAGACATTCTTGCAACCATCACTGAGCTATATCACAAGATTGGCTAGATCGTCTTCGAGCACACAGAACATGCCGCTTCTGGCTGTACCAATCATCGCCCCAACTGCACTTGGGTATGGCACCCGGGTTCCACTAAGCTTAGCAGCGCGTAGACAGTGATGTCACGAATGTACGAGCATGGTTCTGAGGCCAAGAGAGGCTCCAGTATCTCAGGCCACGGTTGGTCAGTAGGATTCTGGTGACCACCACGGATTTGCATGTCTACACACAGGCTTCTGTTCTTCTTGCATAGCAGAACCGGCTTTTGTCCATGGTAACGACCCAGAGATCAGGGTGCCTCTTTCTTCTCTGGGAATCCGTACTCACGGCGAGGCCGACACCTTTTGGTGTCGCGGATTTGGTCTAGAAGCTAGAGTCTGTTCACCTGACAAAAGATATGTATGATAAGATGTTTAGGCTACTTCGTACGATAAGGAGAAAAGACAAAGTACTCCTACCTGAATTAAGATACTCTTAGTCGACAATGTATTTCAATATGAATCAAAGTCTGGTTGGTCCTCCCACTGGTTAGCAGGCCAACAAGTAAAACCAAAAGATGAGACAACCAATTTGACCCTGCGCGAGCCGCATCCTACAGCGAGAAAAAGCCGACACAATCCCTGATCTGCCCGATGTTCCAGAGGCGAACTACTTCTACCTCTCAAACAACTCTCAATCAACGCCAACCAGAGCAGCTCTAGTCGTGAAGCAAAAATGTCCATGGACTCACTACCACCAGAGCTCTTCGCCAGCATAATCTCTCTAGTCGTCGCCAAGCAGAAACAACTGACTAAATATGTCACAATATCTCGAGCATGGCAGAGGGCTACAGAAGAACGTACATTTTCGCATCTGTCTTTCTTCAATGACGAGTTAGACAAGTTCAGGTCGTTTGTCCTCGAGCTATCATACATACATCGTCGTTCAGCTGTCAGACGAGTGGACTTCAGCATCGATCTCCCAGAATTTGACGACAACACCTGCGTGCGGACGCTTCGAGAGACAAGCAGATAAACACATCAATGACAGAGCTTTCACCAAAGCAATTGACGGTCTTTTACCGCACTGAAAACCATTGACCCTGGCGACAGCTCTAGACCACTCAATCTCCATCTACTACACTTCTATTCTTATTCATGATCAAACCTTGAGAAACGACTTCGACTGCACCGTAATTGCGTGTTCTCATGGTCTGTCTTGGCCAGGAGCGAATATTTCTATCACATAGGAAGAACGAGATTACTCCCTGTCCGAGAAGTCGCACATCGCGAGCCCACCTTCCCGCTCTCCCAAAGATAACCAAGCTACAATTCCAGTCAACTATATTCCTGAGCCGAAATTTCCTCGAACACTTGATAACAAACTTGCAAAAAATAAATCATAATTTCGTCAACAATGCTATCATGGCACCAATCTACCATTCTAATCTATCGTCACACACAAGACTGAGATCATATCTCTCTTCCGCCTTCCAAACTCTTGCTCCATCATTGGCTTTTGCTACAATGCTTCTCAACTCTGAAATCATGCGTCCGGGTCCACTGGCATATACACTTGTTCTTCCGCAAATGGTCTCGTCGATGAAGTCTTTGACCACAATACTCAGATCTGGATGTCTGTGGATAGGTTGGTCTCTAGGATCAGAAGCTGGAATTGCGGTCTTCTGAACGGCGAAGGAGTCAGAGGGTGGGCCGCAGCAAGGATAAGCTGCTGAAGTCGAGGCGGCGGATGAAGAATCGGGGGTTTGGTCGGATGTAAATTTGACTATGGGTTCCGAGACTGATTTGAAGTCTTCTGTGTACTTGGCTTTTTCGGTGATGGGGGAGTTTCCTTCTGCTTCTCGGGTTACGTAGATGCGGATGGTCAGGTCGATTGATTTGGCTAGTTGTCTGAGGCGATCGAGTTCTGGTTGTACCCATGTCATGTCTGCTTTTTGGCGGATGGCCCAGATGAGGGTGGTTTTTCTCTTTATGGAGCGAGATTGGTGTGCGAGGCCGAGGAGCACGGGGAGGACGTAGGTGATTCCTGTGCCGCCAGCAATGCAGAGTATGTTGACGTCTTGAGTAAGATTGGTAGTGATTTCTTCACCATAAGGTCCAGTCAGAATCACAGATGTCAAGGGAGTTACTCCACCAGCGTGTTGCAACTTCTTTGCTGCTAGTTGCGCGATCTTCTTGGTTTCACCACCTTTGGCACGGAAAATGTAAGAGTGCTGAACACCACAACTTATGTCGTCGTGAATAGGAAGACTAAGCGGCGTAAAAGGATGAGATTGCCAAATACTGCTTTCCGGGAAGCAAAGATAGAAATGCTGACCAACAGCCCACGCGTCGTGTGGGTGAACAAAGTCCAGACGAACGACATCGCCGTTAAAATCAGAGAAGAGCGTGGTCGAAGCTTTGGCAGGACCAAAGGCGACTTCACCACCAGGCAGGACGGTGTAATGTAGAATGGCAGTACGCACGAGGCGAGCACCACGATCCAAGAGCCATACAATCAACGCAGGGACAAGGTAACAAGACAACTTGTCCCAGTGACCGATGCAAGCGCCAATGTAAACCATGGCCAGAACATAGTGAGACTTGCGGAAGAACTCGTAGCCAGTAAGACGAATGGCCCAAGGTGTGCTGAGGGCAAAGAGAAGGAACAACAGGATCATGGCGACACACCCCCAGATCATGTATAGTTGCTTAATCCAGTCCTGAGCAACGGTAGGCTGTGGTTGATAGAGCTTTGCCTCGATGATGGTCCAGCCGATGGTGTGGAGGACAGATTGTACTACAATGATGTAGCCCAGCCATCGATGGAGGAAGTTGAAGCTCTGGTATGGCAGCCCGGTGAGAAGTGAGAGGATTGACTCACGACTTGAGAGAAGGATGGACAACGGTGTCAATGCATATGCGAGTACACCGACACGATCTGCCCAAGGTCCAAGACTGGTGCGAGTGTTGTAGACACCAGGCATCTTCTTCACGGGTGTGACCCATTTGCCATAGACAATGCCAACAAAGGACCACACGGCGAGATATCCCGTAAGGACGAGGAGAACAAGAACTTGTAGCCTTGTAGTACGTCCAAACACAGGCCGTGCAAAGTCAGGNNGAAGAAGATATCGTCGAGCGTGTGCCGATAACGAACGTTGAAGTCGTTCAATGCCACCTAGAGATGGAGATGAAGATGCTCGTAGAGGCACAAGAACCTCCTCGTCTGCACGTCTCGAGGGAAATAAACGACGGCCTAATGTCCATATGAACAAAATACCAGCAACAGTCGCCCAGAAGATACCAGAGTATAGCATTCCCAAGTCGTGAGAATGATAGACGACATCGAGATACTTGCAAGATCCTGGATCGTTCGTGCAAGGGACCACGCGACTTGCGTAGCCCCAATGAGGCACTAGCGTGCTAGCATCCGTAAAGTTCTGAATATGTACCATTGCTGCCGAGTACAAGAGATAAAAGACAACGAGCAATAAATGAACCCAGAGAAGGGCAATAGAAAGGAAGAGATGTACGTACAGAATCACAGCAACACTCGCGAGGATGTGGTTATATTAAGTACCAGAGCAGAACACGTTCATGCCACGATTATACTCCCACGCCATGAATACCCACCTGGCTCTAGCATGCAACAGTATGGTTCCAAAGCCTAAATCAGCGGAGCCCAGAGTCAGCTAGTGCATCGTCGGAAGGGAATTGAGCAAGTATTCGGATTGGCACGGATGATCATTGCGGCTGTATGATACGAGGCATGGTACGGACTTCCATGGCATTTATTGATTCAACGCCTAGAACGAACATTGGACTGTATGCTTGCAGGAGTCAAGACGGAGTGATGTTTGGCAAGCGGAGAGTATTTTGCTTGGCAGCCAATCAGAGCGGTCTATTTCTCGGTTAGCCAAGGAAAGAGGCTTGCTATAGTGTCGGAGTTGAGCAAGTTTGAGGTGGCTGCACGTTTGATCTCCGACTGTCATGGCTCGAGCATGTGGAAGACGAAAAAGGTCTGTCGAACTGATATAATATCAATGGAAACACATGGGTTCCAGCACTTACCGAACAGCTCTTCGTACGGTCCACCAAGACCATCTTCCACCGTATCATCTATCCAGACCATAGCTCTTCCTTGAGCGAACGAACTTCGAGACATCAAGCATGTCTCATTCAATGTCCATGGGCGGTGGTGCAGGCGCAGAGTGCAAGATTTCGGTATGCCTCCCAACTCAACACACCTTGTTCAACACCTGACAGAATCACAGNATGCTCTGGAATTGGTACACGATAGATGCATGTTTCCTCGCATCCACCTGGCACATCAAGACCCACGGCATGTTCGCCGCCTCATGCATTGGAGTCGCTCTTCTTGTAGTCTGCCTCGAATGCCTTCGACGACTCGGCAAAGAATACGACGCCTATATTCTTCGTCAGTTCCATCGCAAGGCTACGAGTCTCCAATACCGGCCCAGAGTATCGTATGTCGCTCCCAAGTTTGATGATAGCCGAGCTTCGGGTGGCTGTGGCCCTGATGCTTCTTGTGCTCCTCCTCTGCCTGAGCAAAGGTTCATCACCTTTCGTGCAACCCCTGCTCAGCAGATTGCAAGAGGTGTCATTCATGCTGCAACATTTGGAGTCGGATATATTGTCATGTTGCTGGCCATGTACTTCAACGGGTATATCATCATCTCGATCATCCTGGGTGCGTTCTTGGGCAAGGTTCTGTGCGATTGGATGGTCGTGAGATTACCCCTGGTGGCGGGAGAAAGCTTCGAAGAGTCGCAAGACGAAGCACCTGGTCTCTCGGAGCCTACTGTGTGTTGTGGATGATTTGGAGTTTGTATCATGTTAGCGCCAGCCTACGATTTTATGACGGTAGAGGGCTCAACCATATAACAGAAATGTCATGACTGTCTCCACTCCTATTGTCGTCAACCAAAAATCACTGTCGTGTCGTTGCCAATTTCATTCCGTCACCGCAGTCAACTTCACCCACAAATCAGGTCTGTACCACAGAGTATGGTGCTCAAGCCTCTTCTCCCACCCAACGCTTCTTGGGTCCAGCTCGATGTCGAAGTTGAACAGCATCTTTGCAAGCACCAATCTCAACTCTGCATACGCGAGGTTCTTGCCCAAGCAGCNTGGTAGTCGTTTTAGCAAAACCGTCTCGGGTGACTGTGAAGGATGTACTGGAACTCACTTTCTGGGACCGAAAGAAAATGGTTGCACAATTGCGAGGTTGTCATTAGCATACCTTTGTGGCGGAGATGCAAGCCAGCGCTCAGGGACAAACAGTGTTGGGTCAGTGAAGTTCAGAGTAGAGCGGTTGGCGACGTATTGGCTGACGGAGATGGAGGCCTAGGATATAGATTAGTGGAATATCACAACCGAAAGGCACGATGATGAGTGACGTACGTTGCTCTTGCCTGAGAAATGTAGACCAGCAACATCTGCACCTGTATCTGGCACCTTCCTCAAGAAACCTGCAGGAACGGGAGGATAACATCGCAAGACTTCGTGGATGACGGCGTTCAAGTACTCGAGGTGGGTGACGGAGTCGACGGTAATCTCAGCATTACACTTGTAGCGACTTCGGATCTCTTGCTTGAGTTTCTCCATTGTGCTTTGGTTTTCAAGTAGAAGATAGCTGCCGATCGATAATGTTGTCGCTGTTGTCTCTGTACCGGCTACCATGAAGATACCAAGGTTGCTTTCCAGCTCGCCTTTGCGCAAGCCCTCGCCTTTCTTGCCGTGTCCTTCTGAGTTTTGCAAGATGGAAGTCACAAAATCCGGTCGTTGTGTCTCTGAAGCAACTCTAGCCGCGGTTCTGGCTTTGATCCACTTGAAGAGTTCGACGCGTTTGTCGAGCTGCGATTTCTTGATAATGAGAGAACCCATGTTCCTGACAACGGGAAAGTAGTGAGTGACATAGGCGAATTTGGCAGACTTGAGACTCTCGAGGATGTTGCCAACCCATGGGTGTTGTTTCATGTCAGCAAGCGAACCAAAGGATTGCCCGAAGCTCAGATCTGCAACCACATCAAAGGTAAAGCCATTGTACCATTTACAAAGCTCAATCTTGCCGGTTGAGTCCCAGCCATCACCACCAGAAGCGTAGTCTGGGTTGCGGTCTGCAATATCGCGGAACCTCGAGATGAGTAGATCGACATAAGATTGAAGCAAGCTTTCTTGCTCCCGAAGAGCCCTGTCAGAGAAGGCATGGCTGATGACACGTCGTTGACGGCCATGGTTCTCTCCTCGTGCAGCGATGAGGTGCGGGATACCATCCATGGGTGTAGGGTACCACACAGGATCTTTCTCGAAACTTCCAGTGTGCTTCTGCTTGCCGGTGCGGAAGCCATAGATTTCTTGCCATGGGTTATCCTTGCCCGAGATGACAGAAANCCTAAGCTAGAGGTCAGTCCTGTCGGTGTGGCTCTCTTCGCGTGTGTAAATGGAGTTGTACAAGACAGCTGTTACTACTGCCAGGAGCGTTCATTCTCAAACACTTACCTCATTCGGACTGTACCGAACCATCTCGCCATACTTCTCATGCAGCTCTTGCATCCATGAGAGAAGCGTACCGTTCAGACTGTGACGTATGTATGGGATACGAGAGGCGGCGAGATACCAAGGACCAGGAACATTGCTCAACGGATGGAAGAAGACGGTATATATTGCACTGAACGATTGATACGCAAAATNACTATAGGTCGTCAGCTTTGTTGCTTGTCAGTCGGCAAAGCAGGCAGGTGATACTAGAGCGGCGAAGCTACTGGCGACGGCCAGGACGTGGCTAGACGAGTTGACTAGAGTGTCCATAACATCGGTTAGAAGGACCAATGTAGGTTATAAGACACAGACTGTGGAATGGCGCGAAGACAATTCTGTTCAGCTTGAGGGTCAAGGCCATACTTATAATCACACTGATAGACAGGGTATCACACATTGGTGCCTTGAGCCGACTACAACGGAGCTAATGGTGGGGATCCAGACGGTAAGCGCCAGGTGGGTCGTACAATTATCACCTCGTCTTCTGACAAGATGAATCACAAGCAGATTACGAGTAGGACTGTCCACGGAGGATGATCGAGACACCGTCGCGATCCTTGTCTAGGTCCGACTTGCGCATTTACGCACGCAAGTCGAGTCGCCGGTTGGTGCATATCCAATTCTCCACGTTTCGAGGTGGGGTCGTGTCGCTGTGTGCTCTCTTAGCAGGCGTGTCCCGCAGTGTCCATGCTTTCTTGTAGGCGAAGTGTTGAAGATCTGCAAACGCGGTCTCGCATCGCTCGGTTGTGACAAGCCCGAGCGTGGTAGTTGAGAACGAGTTGCCTTCTGTTGCTTAACTTACCCTTCTAGCTATTGTACTTATGTAGTGCCTAAGGTTAAAGACATACTCCTTCATGATGCCTTTCATGAGTATACACGGTTGGGGACACGCAAACGCAAAGGTATTGCTGGTGTTAAGTGAAACAGGACGCGTAGGTCACAAGGTGACCCAAGCCGAGGTTGTTTTTCGTGGCCTGCATAAGTTGCAAGTTAGCAATGCTTGGTCGTAGTGCTTAGATTAGAAGGCACACGCAGTCACGTTCGTCGTACAATATTAACGGCAAGACCATCCGGTCGATATTGCAGAAGTTCGACGGCATCTTTCTTTTCCGAAATTTCATTGGATCGGATAGTCCTGGCATCCGAGAAGACTTGATTTCTTGATCATCCATTTCCATCAATTTGAGCTAGGTTCATATCCTCCATAAGCACCTGTGATGTCTAGTTGCATAAACCATCGTCTCACAACACCCCGCTAAAGGCCCCTAACGTGTGTGTCCTCTCAAGACCCTGCAAAGACTAACTCACACCCACCCCAAAGACATTTTCATTCCTGTGCTCCCACGACCCCCTCAGTCCTCACTAACAGGCTCCGGTCGACTCCCAAACAAAATCTTATACCTCACAATCTCCACCACCTCGACCTTACCTCCCTCCTCACCCTCAGTTTTCCTCAACACCGCCAACGGCTTGGCAAGTTTCTTGACTTCGCCAGTCATACGCTGATGCCTTCCAATATACAAGTAGACTTTTTTCATCCAAGCACCTCCTTTAGGGTCTGAAATGCCTTCTGTGTAGTGAGGAAATACCAAGCGACCCACTTCTGTTGCTGGTGAGGGCGTTGAAGAGTCTTCGGTAGCAGGGAGGACGGGAAAATTGATGGTTCCTTGGAGTTCGAGAATTGCGAGGCCGGAGGGTGTGTGCAGGAGTTGTGGAAGTGGATTGTTGGGAGATGGAGTTGTTTGCGGTGTCGAGATGGTTTTTGATATGTGCACTGGTGTGACTGAAGGCCATGATTGTGTTGACATTGTTTATGTGTGACTTTGTTGTTGGCGATTATTGACAGTTTCCATAACAAGGCTTTGGTGAGAGGCGGTGATCTGATCGTGATTGACTGGTTGTGGTGTTGATTCGATGTTGATGGTTGATTGACAAAGGTTTCGTGGTGAATTCTGAGGAAGACGCGTCGCAAACAAATCGCCTTTTCGGGACCGTGGATTGGCTTTGTTTCCACAACTCGGTCAAGGAAAACATTCAGAGTATCTCAATCACAACTCGAGTGGCAAGCACATCTTTCGATAAAGTATACAGATAATACATTTTATTGCAGGAAAAGACTGGAATATATATCCTTTCCAATTTTCCACAATAGAATCCACCAAGAACGCCTAATGCCATGCGTCGTCGTAAGAACAAAAAGAAAAAAGGTGGAAGTTGAAACGCATAATGTGCAACACAAGCGCTTCCCTTTGAATATGCCGTAGCGAGGTAGCAGCATATACCATCACATACCCTCTTCCATACTAACATGTCTCCACCAGGGTGAGGCGTTGTCCTGAGGACCATTGACCATCTCTTCGGCGTCTCCAACTTGTCGGCGTTCGCTGACTTCTCTAGTCGCGACACGCTTCAACTTCATAGCGCGAGATGCCATGGCCAGACTTATGTTCTGCATAGAGGGCTTCTTTGATGGGGCTCTCTGTGGCTGGCGCGTCAATCCTTGGGATGGGAAATCTGATGGTGAGCCTTCGTCAACCATCGGTCTGTCGATGACTGGCTGGAACCATTCATCCCTCATGACTGGTCGTTGTCACTGGAGTGGCTCGGAAGAGGAAGACAGACGATTCAGGTGGAGATAGACATCAGTGCCGTAGCTACGGGTCGTGTCAGCGAATTGTCACATGCTGCAGGTTATCACTTGGCACTTACCNNCCTCCATACTGATTAGCTTCAAGTCTCCACCGAAGTAACGGGCGTATAATCTGGAGATGGGCAATCCATAACCGAAACCTGCCATTGGAGCCTTGAAGTCGCTCTTATTGAAGTCAGGGTCAAGTGTAGGCGTTTGGTCGACAGTGGTGTACATGTAGGTCCAGACAAGTGGGATGGCGCTTCTTGGAATACCACCACCCTCGTCCGAGATCTTGATTGTGATGTCTTCCTTTCCTTCGGCGACGACGACTTTGGTGACGGGGAATTCTTCCTTGTCTTGGCCGTGGGTCTCGACGACGGCACGAAGAGAGTTCTTGAGCGTCTCGAAAAGCATGTGCGACAGATGGCCAGGGACGTACATGAAGTTGAGGTCGGGGTTGCAGACGAGTTGGACTTTGGGGGCATCGAATAGACCGTAGTGATCCTCACATACAAAGCGAGCGTTCTCGATAGCTTCTTGGGCCAGGTCGCGCACGTTTGTCTTTGTACAGATGATTCCGACGTAGTTGGGGTCCGAGTGGGCTCTTTGATCGGTCAAGGCGATGTGTTGTCCGATCAGCATACGGATGCCGATACGGGACATGTAGAAGCGGTCGAGGAAAGCCTGGATGTTGTGGTCTATTTGCATTCGTTGACGCTTGCGCTTGTACTCGAGGATGCCTTGTGCGACGGTGGTCACGACGCTATCGTGACGGCGCTTGATCTTCTCGAGAGTCTTTGAAAAGCGAGTGTTGTAGTCATTCAACTCTGGCGGCCATTCGCTGGTATCGTCACCAGCACTATAGTAACGCTTGAGCGAGTTCTTCCTCTCGGCATGGTCGTGGTTGTTGTGATGGAGCTGAGAGCGGTACTGGCCCTGATTGACGCTTGGATTCTTGGTAGCCTCACTCAAGATGCGCGAGTTCTTGCCATTCTGGGGTTTGAGGAGGCGTTCGCGGATTTCGGACGAGAGGGTAGGCTTCGATAGGGTGGTGATTTCCTCGAAGGACTGTGCGTACCAGTCTCGTACTCGGCCGATCGAGGGCATGTCGCCCAGTCCGTCGGGCAACTCTTGGAGCTCTTGCACGCGGTGCGCCAAACGTATGGGCAGCTCTTCTGACATGAATTGGGAGGCTCGAAACAGAGTGCNCTGCGTGGGTCGTCAGTGAGGGGGTCTCGAGCGGTCGAGTCGTGTGGTCTTGTTCTTACCAACTGACGGGCGCTCGCCAAACTGGACCATCTGGCGTAGACTCACGCCAGTAGCAGGGAANNAGTTTGCATAATGGCGGATCGTGTCCATGAGCTCGGTCGACTTTTTCCACGACATGGCTGCGCTTGTCGAGGCCTTGCGGCCAGAAGTCCTTGGGGGAGTGACAAGCTCGCGAGCTCAGGCTACGTGCTGCCGAGTGGTCAGCAGAGGGCAGGGTTGGCGTCGACGTCGCGTGCTGTATGGCAGGTAGAGACAGGAACAGAGAGCGGCCGTGAGTCAACGGTGCGCTCACAGCGTGTGCACCAGGCCCGCCGTCATTGAATGTGGAGAAGCTGAGCGTCCCCAGTCGACCGCCGCTGCTGCTTCCATAGCACCGAAAATCAACACACACGTGCCTCGGTTGTTGCGGCTGCCGATTCTTTTTCGTAACCACATCTCTCCTCGCTACACGGACAATTGCAGTCCGTCCTCTTGATCTATCCTCTATCGACTAGCCTCATGTCATGCGCTGCTTCAGTGGCTGCGGTCCTCAAAAGTTGTCTATTGTGCCGCTTCAGACATGGCCGAAGCCGGACGCCCTTCCTACAAGCGCGGACCATGTCTCTTCTAGGGCACGCTTTGCAGACATAGGTAGTATTATGACTATCACCAACCTTGGACTAAAGATACTGTCCTCAAGAAGAACAATGTACCTCCCTCTTCTATTACCCATGCCTCTTCTGTGCTGTGATTCCCAAATAACAACGACCCAACTCTTACTCTGATCCTCCAAAGAAGTATAGGGGTGCACTTGTAGCGCTGTTGACACTCCTCATTCTAACCACCGCATATTCAATCGGTCTTCCTGCCTGATCTTGTATCCCTGCTTGCAAGGACTGGCCTCGACCTTTGCCCCTTTCCCTTTTACGAGCAGCCGTCTTCAGATCTGACAAGCTTTTCACACCTCTCAACGAGCGTGCACGACTTAGTAAAGACTCTCTTCGACTAGGCCTCGTAAGTGTAATCTCATGACCATCTGACTGCATTATAATGCTTTCTTCCTCGACCACCGGTATGGGAGTCGAGTGCCGACGACGCTGAAGCACTGTCGGTGCGCCCATCGTCGTGGATCGGCCTAGCAATTTCGAAGCCATGCGGTGCAGACGCCCGCGACGCAAAAACGTTCTGCGTCGCTCCTGGTTACCACCAGAGAGCCCGTCATCGTAAATCCTAACACGTCCAGGGACTTCGTACTAGAAGTCACGTCGAAAGACATCGACAGAGATGTCAGTATCCATCTCGGTCTCGATGACTTTATTCGACATGTTCGTGACGTTTTTCTGGCCGTTCGAAGCATTTATGCTGGGAAAGCGACAGGATTCTGGTGGTGCTGACGAGCCCGGAAAGTGCAATAGAGGAGCGGAGTGGATGCGTGTCCTGTATCAAGAAAACAACAGAAATAAGTAAAAGCAAACAAATTGAGTCGAAAAGCCATAGGCGTTGTTATTAGGAAGAGCAATAGATCTGTCTCTTCATGACAAAGAATTCGTGGAAATCGGGTACAGACACCTGAATACAGGGCCGACGGAGAAAAAGAGACAAGCCCAGAGATACGCAATCCCAAATCCTGCAAGTGGTTCTTCTTATTCGTCAAGACATGAAGCGGCCCCATGTGTAGCATGTAGAAGGGAGGAGAAAGAGGGAGGAAAGGAAGGGGAGGCACAGAGAAGTGAATAGAAAGAGGCAAAGGGACAAGGAGATTTTCATGGTCACCTTCTCCCTATACTGCCGTCCCTGCTCGACACTGCGCTCCTAGATCCAGTACTCTGTCTCTTGATCAATCGACTGTCGCGATCGTTAGGACTGTGCTTCTCACTGGGCAATGCTGAAAGCACATCGCCCGCAGAGTCTTTGACGCCCAGTCCCAAGTGTCTTCCAGTTTTCTGGTCAATCTTGAACTCAATGTACTGTTGTGCGGCTCGTGACAACGGTATAGGCGCAGGTTGTGTCGGAATCTCTGCTCCGTTCTGGAGCAAAAGTTCGGCAACGGGGAAGGGCTTTCTGAGAGGGGTGGGTGTGGTTGGACGTGAAGGTGGTGCTAATGGACTCAACGCTGATGACGATAGCGTTGACGAGCCAGTGCGTTGCTGCGCAAACGAGCTGGATGGAGATGCTGGATCTGCGGCCGCTAGAGCGAGAAACACTGCGTGCGTTCCCCTCGAGCGGTCTGCAGCATTGGGATTTGCACGCAATGCGAGAGCGTACAACACTTGCTGTATGTTGTTCTGCTTGATGCTGACTAGTAATGTATCTTCTGGGCTCTTGAAGTGTGCCATGGCATCGGTGGAGCCTTGGACATACAGTCGGTCGCTGTACTTGCCTGTGATAAAGTGTAGACGTTGCTCTCTGGTCACGTTAGGACCTGGCTTGAGGAACGTATCGAGCTTGGCCTCCCAAACCATGTTGCTAACACGATTGCCAACGAGCATGAGTAGCTCAATAATGTCTGGTGTGAATGCCGAGGTATCGAGTGTCAGAGATCGCACCTTGGAGATGTGCGTGCCCAAAGATCTGTGAATACCACTGCACTCGATACACAGGATGATGCCAAGGTTGATTGATACCCATTCGACCTTCTGGTCGGAATTACAATCAGCGCAATATTTGTTACCGGCATCAGCTTCCCGTATCTGATTCAAAAGTGCTGACGGTGTCTCGTTGTCGGGCTTCATGTAAGTAGGCTTATCACCCGTGGTTGCATGACGCGAGACGATCTTGCTCGAAGAACTAATGTACGATGAGGTTGCGTTGGTGGACGCTCGTTGAGAGGAGAACGGTGTAGTCTTTCCGGTCAAGACTGCAGCAATGGTGTTCCGTGTAGAGGTGACCTTTTCGGCGCTTGGTGCGCTAGTAGATGGTCTAGATTCGAAAGCACTCTGAAGGGCATTGTTGATCGAGCCAATCCACGACTTCATATCCTCCTCCGAGGGAGCTTGATAGACGCGAGTATATTGTGGTGTGATGACCTCAAAACAGAACCGCCTGTCGGCGTTGCGTGCTTCTCTCACAGATGCGACTCGCAAGTCGATGGGATCCATGTGGAGATCCAGCCTATCTTTCCAGTTGGCATATTCGGACAGCTTACCCTGATCAAGCACTATCCAGANATCTATCTTCGTTAGTGATTGTGTGTCAAGCGATGCACAGAGTACTCACTTGTGCCACCCAGCTTTGTTCATGATAGGATCCACATGACTGCCAGGTCGGCTCAGAGACCACAACAATCCTTCCTTCTTGATTTGGCCTGCACCAGCAACGGCAGAGGCGGAATTGTCTTTCTCTTCTAGATCCCTGATACCCTTGAACTTGTTGCTCGTGTTCCTAACAGGCAACGGGCCGTTGGAGCTAGAGTTTGGGGGAGAGGTGATGCTAGAGGGGAAGCCATTGGGTGCTGAGGGAGATGTCGACATGGTAGAATTACGCGGTGCTGATATGATGCTCATTGCACGATCGATATGTGTTGCAGTCGAGCTGTTGAAGATCGAGGGCGGACTCTCAACTTCAGGTGATTTGGCACTGTTGGTCTCCAGTGCTCGTCGCTTTTCCTCACGTTCCGTACGTTGCATCTGGAACTCCATATCGGCATTCGAAACTTCGCGCGTCAGGGCTTCCAACTGTGGCAGCATCTCTTCGACTTTTTTGGCTGTGGTAAGGTATCCTCGAGCCTGTGCAGATGCGTATTTCGTGAGCTGAGATAGCACTTCTTGCTCTTTGCGACCACCATTCAGATCGTGCATGAAGGAAGAATAATCGAAACGCTTCAGCTCAAAGGTCCGTCGCTTGGCTTGGTATTTGGCGTCACTCTCAACCCGCTTCTTCTCCTTGAGTGATTCAGAGCGCTGACCAAGGTATTTGCTAACATAGGCGTAGTAGTCCTTACTCTCTTCGTCAAAGTCTCGTCTTTTGGACTCTGCTTGTTTGATGTCGAGACTATAGAGCTTGTTAATGGGTTCAATGATGAGTTTCTGGAGATTTGCGTTGTTTTGGCGTTCGTAAAGCAAAATCTCTCTAGCAATAGAGTCAAAGTAATGCTCGAGGGCGGGACGGACGGCATTGGCGTTCGAATTGGAAGCCTCCCTAAGCGCATCCATAAAAGCAGAGTGGGCGTCGTTACATGCGGTTTGTGCGGCTTGTGCGGCTTCGGCGGCTCTCAAGACTCTCTTCATACGGGATCTCATGGTGCCGGTTTNTTGCTCTAGTGCTCGCATTGTGGCTCTGAAGACAGGCCCGTCCTCGCTGGTACTAGCATCCTCGGCTGGACGACCGACACAGCTGATGTCAACTTTGGGAGTAGGCAAGGATGCTCCATTTGAAGGGACCAGTCCAAGACCGTACTCTGGAATGGCTTCGATCATGGGTGACGAAGGCTCGCGGAAGTCGCGGTAGTCTCGAGAATCCTTAGGATCGCCGCCATCAGAATCACTGACGGCGCTAACTCTGGACTCGATGGATTGGGCAGATGGCACTCTAAGCCTAGGAGGGGACAAGGTGGGTGAGTTCAACCAGCGCTGTGTATNCTGGAGGGGAGTTAGAATGAACACAGCTAAGGGCAGGAAAGAGGATGGCGTACTCGTGACCCAAAAAGAGAAGCTGGCTAGCGTCTCGAGCCGATGAGCGCGCGAGTTGTACTCGACGAANNCTAGCACAATCTGTTAGCAGCTGGTCGCAGATGGTAGTCGCAGGATGATTCGTACACTGCAGGTATTGCGCCAGCCTCCGCCGTGGTCTTCAGATTGCTTTGGGGGCCTCCACTTCCAAGACCACTGAAACTGTACGGATGCTACACCACCTGTGTTGTAGTCGCCCACAAGTTCGACGTTGGGGTTCTTGTGCAGATTGGGGTCGGCGTGGAACTCGCGTGTGACGAGCTGATCGATCTCTTTTGTACTCGAACCAAAGACGTAGGTCAGGCCGCACAACTGGGTATCTGAGGATGGTATACCGGTAGGAGCAACAATATGATCGCCGATTAAGTTGATTGGAGCCGAGTTTGACTGACGCAGGACGCATGTGAAGTTGAAAGTAAGTTCCTCATCGTTGGCCAGACGCAATAGGAAGGACGGAGAGAGGACGGAAGGGGGTTCAGGGTNCCTTTGCAGGGTCAGCGCATGTCTGAAGAAGTTACGGAGAGAAGATAGAAGTACCTGGACGTAATCAACAGGAGTGCTGTCGCCAGTGTCGCGCCTTGCGTGGTAGCGCGTGGCCGGGAACGAGTTGGGACTGAGCGAGACGAGGGTGCGACCACGCGAGTTTGTGATGTTGACGTTTGCGATCGAGACTGTCGGAAAGAGGAGGTCAGAGGCAGATTATGGCGCAGGAGGCAGCTCGTACGCACATCTAGTCTGGTCCTTGAAGTAGACGGGAGCACCATCGTCAGGTCGGCTTCCTACGTTGCCCATGCTGCGAGCAGGGCGGACGCGCCCCAGCGCCGATGGTGAGAGTCAAGAGGTCGAGAATCTTGTCTTTTGGACTAGCGGTATATGTCGAGTACTATGGGCGAACGATGCGACTGCGCGGGCGCGGGTTGCTATGTATATGTGGTTGGGATGCGGATGAGAGATGGCGACGTGATTGGCGAAGAATTGCACGAGAGAGGGCGCGCAGGCAGAGGCAGCAATCGTGGATGGTCGGGCGCAGACGACAAGACGAATCCAAAATCCAACCAACGCTATGGTTATGGCTATGAATGACGGGGATGCGAATTTGGGATTGCAATCGGTCCTCTGCTGGCTAAAGGCAACCTACTCCACAGCCAAAGCACGGTATACAAATACGGCCGTCATGCTCTGCGAACTCCTGAACGAACGTTGGCAAACTCTATTTATCTGATGCCATCTTTAGAGCCTTCGCGACAGCGCCATGGCACCATGACACGACCGCGTGCACCTCGTCTGATCCAACATGCACAACCATCGACCACGTCGCTTCTGTCGTCTTTATCCTCGACGATGCGTGCAGCGTGACAGAGGCAGTGCTCGGTAATAATGCTTTGACCATCTATCTGAATCTTGAGAAATCTCTCTGCCTTTGCTGCGCATCCCCAAGCATCCTGTCATTATCACCCTTGTTTTTATCATTCTTTCCCTTCTTGCTGACTGCCCGGCCCGCTTCCAACCGATCGTGTTTCAGCTTGTTGCTGATGCCTCGCGCCCGTGCCGCACCTGCTGTGGCCCCTGGCCGCCCACTCCTTGTGCACTCCCTACCTTCTCGCTTGCATCTATTGGACCTTTTAACCAACATGACGTTTGCCAGACGACTGTAGGATCCCTCTTTGACGTGCATGGCCTTTCAACGAGATCACAAAAGTAGATCGTCTTCTCAATCGCAAGCCGAGGTTCGCAATTCCTCGGCCAAGCATGGCGGGGACCATCCAACCAACCTGACACCTTCTGTGTGAACCACCTCTTTGACCTTGATCTTCCCTGCCTCCCTTCTCGCAATTGTCAAACATCATTAATCATCATGTATCCATTTTCTGATGCCACCACCATCACCTCAACAGGTACTCACACGTATACCGCAAACTTTCCAAAAGATTATTGCATTGGCTCAGGTACCATCTCTCTGGCTTGTCATTCATAACCATCCCGTGTTTCTCACGACATCGTTGCGTANGTTCCTCATGGCGGATACATCACGTCTTGCTTCATGCGTGTAGCACAGCTACACTTTGCCACTACCTTGGCCAAGCAGAATCAGCCTCATACCATGTCAATGCATTTGGAGTTCCTCAGACGTACTAGCATTGGACATGCTCTGTTCAATGTCAGAGATGTGAAGATAGGCCGGGGCACTTCGGTCATCCATGTTACTCTTTTCCAAGAAGGGGGCGACCGCGAAGAAGTGGCTGCCTACATTACAAATAGCAATCTGGCTACAGAAGAGGGCACTTCTTTCCCTACAGGCTGGAAATTGGAGCCCGCGCCCCCTCCCGCCAATGTCTCCGCGCTGAAAGCCGGTTCCGACGATACTTGGAAAGAGCAAAAATCAATGCCGTTCGCCATCTTCCGCCGTGCCAGCCAACACGTCAACTTCTACTTCCCCAAGCAAGGTCAACGTATGCGCAGTCTAGCGGATCAATGGATGTGCTTCAGCAATGGCGAGCGTTTTACCAACACCAGCCTAGGCTATGTATCCGACATGTTCCCTCAAATCCTCGAGAGCTATCGTACAGGCAGCGACCCATATGCTGTTGAGCCCCTACGCGACGCCAAGGAGATCAATGAGCTGGCCGCCCAGCANAAAGGCTTCTCTTCCGCCTGGTATCCTACTCTGCTGCTGAATCTTGACATCAAGAAAGTTCTACCCGAAGAGGGTGTCGAGTTCTTGTTCCTCAGAGTTCGCGCAAAGCAGATCAAGAATGGAAGGTACGATCTGGAAGTTATCATCATGGACGATACTGGAGATATCGTTGCGCTTAGTCACCACGTCTGCATGGTCATGTCGGCCCAGAGGAACTTGCAAGCAAGATCGAAGCCAGCGGAAAAGCCGAGCAAACTCTGATCGATAGCAATGAATGTATGAAGTATTGTACAGAGTAATACACTTGTGTCACGACATGTATTTGATGATTGATAAGGGGGACAACTTTATTTTTGTTTGTGCCCATGTACGATGTGATATTGGGGCTCAGCTTAATAGCACTCATCCGAAGCTGCACAGCTTCTTTACAACTTTTCACGATTCCTTGGCAGCACAATAATATCGAAGTCTAACATGGCAGGGACAATCAAAATGGTCTTCCAATCGACTTGTAAACAACGGTGCTGTCTCCAAGAGCGCCGCGCTTGTTGTATTGCATTATCAAATTCGGATCAGGGTCGTGCATTCGGCAGTATCTGGCAGAATTTCACCGCCCGGAAGAAACAAAGCCTCTAATCATGGACTCTGGAGTGATTGTCCTTGGGTGCTTGTATGAACATGCTTCAACACAATACATGTTTCCTTCTTGCATATCAAGAGCTACCCTGCAACCAGACATAGCAGTGCATTATGCGAGAAGGCGGAAGGTGCGCGTACCACTCCTAATTTCAACCGTACCTGCGTCTGGCGAGCTTGGTAGGCCGATTGCACGATGCGCTTCAATCCCCTCTTCACGAGATCACGCTCAGAAAAGCACCCTTTCATTGACCAAAACAGATGGAGACTTTGACTGTTGCCATGAGTGCCAGGTGGGCTCATGGATGCCGATATGACTGGATAGTCGAAGGATAGTTCTGTCCATGAGTGGTCGGATTACAAGGGCCCTCTCTTCCGATCTCGTCCATGTCGTCCGCACGGCTCCAAGGCGAAATTGTTCAAGTCGGCAACTGTGTACTTAAACTCTATGAAGAGGTGGCTTGCTCTCGTGCTCCATGCATGCACTCGGCAAGACATATCTCTGGAAGTCGGTATATGGGCAGCTTTAGGCGTTTGGCCAAGAAACACATGCTCCTCCTATCGAATCCCTCAGACGCAACAGTCATTCGACGTGATTGGAGGAACTTATCGACCGGATGCCGAGAACACCCACTCAAGTATGGAGTCCTCATCAACACTCTTTGCAACTGTCACACAGAACCAAGCATGTCTGGTATGATGTGTTGTGTTTCTCTGAACAGCACTATCTATGCATGAACGATCGCCAATCACCAAAGATGGCAAGCACCAATCTGCTCTCTGGGCATATCTTGACAAAGGTTGGCTCGTGCCCAGAAAAGCCTCCTTGACGCCACCAATGCGGGATAGCGACGACACAGCAGTCCCCGAGTAATGGGGCCAATTAACGTTTGATCGTCGCACACATTTGTCCACGATTCTGACCGTACTCCGCACGTGTCATGAGCATTCCTCGCAGGAGGATTTTAGCCACATATAGCCGACGGAAAGTTATAATTCCGTCAAAGACAAAGATAGGTATAAACAATCCACTCCCCCAGACATTGTGGGGACCCCAGTTGCAACCCCCAGACCAGATCCACCTCCACACTTCTATCCGCCTATCTCATTTCGGGACTTATCTCCTACCGCAATGGACTCGACGGTCGAGAAGGGCAACGCCCAGCACCTAGAGCATGCCTCTGACACACCGAAAGGTCTTGCCGTTGCTTTCGAGNNGGAGGGCAAGGACGCCGGCCTGAGCGACGCCCACCTTTGTAGCGACGAGGACAACAAGCGCATTCTACGGAAGACCGATCTGTGGATGCTCTCGCTGCTCTGTATGGTATATTTCCTGCAATCAGCAGATAAGGGGTAAGCCATACTTGGTAGACCACAAAAACAGCTACTGACTCTGAGAAACAGTATCATCGGTCTCACAGCCGTCTATGGTCTTAAGAAAGATGCCAAACTCAAGGGCAACGACTACTCCAACATCGGAAACATTGGTTACTACGCACAACTCGCTGTCCAACCCATAGCTGCATGGGTACTTGTGAAACTGCGATACCGACAAGTTTTGCCCGTCATCATTACCTGCTGGGGTATCTCAGTCGCTGCCGGACTTGCTGGTTCTCGCAACTATGCTGGTCTCCTTGCCTCGAGATTCTTGCTTGGAGCCTTCGAAGCCGCTGTGGTCCCTTTGTTCTCCATGATCACTATTGCTTTCTACAGACGCTCGGAACAGCCATTCCGCGTTGCCTGCTGGTACAGCTGCTACGGTTTGAGCACTCTCATTAGCGCGCCCATCGTCTATGGCTTCGGACGTGTTCACTCTTCCACACTGTACCGCTACCAAGTGGTTTACCTCTTCTTCGGCCTCTTGACCATCTGCGTTGGACTCATCACTTACTGGTGGGCACACGACAGCCCTGGAGAGGCCCGCTACCTCTCTCCAGAAGACCGCCTGAAGGCTGTCGACCGTGTCAAGGCCAATCAGCAAGGTATCGTCTCGCACAAGTTCAACTGGAAGCAAGTCGCCGAGGCTTTCACCGAATTGAAGTACTGGCTCTTCATGATAATGGTTATTTCGGTTAATGGTACGTTCATAGTTCATGGCGGAAGTGTAAAATTCAGATTTGTGTGTACAGCTAACACTGCCATTATCNNAGCCGGTGCTTCCGTATCGTCAGTCTTCGGCTCTATCATCCTTCAGAACCTGGCTGGTTTCACACCTGATCAAGCCGTCCTGCTCAACATGCCATCTGGCGCACTCCAATTTGTTTCAATCCTCGGCGCCTCTTACCTCGCATACCGCTTCAAGCGCAAGTCACCATTCCTGCTCGCCCTTGTGTCAATTGTCATCGTAGGAGTTGCTTTGATGGTCGCCCTTCCAAAGACCAAGAACAACAAGGGTGGTCTGCTTGCCGGGTACTACCTTATCGCTTTCGTGTATGCCATCAACCCTCTGCTCATCTCATGGATGGGAGGCAACTGCGCTGGACAGACCAAGAAAGCCATCTACTACACCTCTTTCAACGCTGGAAACGCCATTGGCAATATCATCACTCCCTATATTTTTGACTCCAAATTTGCCCCCAATACGTAAGTTAACTCCCAAACATCATCCTGGCATTCAGACTAACGACATGTTCAGGTCAACGCTCTCAAGGGTATACTGGTGATCTGGATTATTCTCTGGATCGTTGTGGTTCTTCAGATCCTAAACATCACCTGGATCCAGAAGAAGAAGGGCAACCAGCGCGAAGCAGCAGGACTTCCCAGAGACTTCGAGGACTTTTCCATGAGCGACAAGTTCCACGAGGCCGGCGCCGAAATCCATGGCGAGAACGGTTTGCAGGATATGACGGACAAGCAGAATCTCTACTTCTCGTACCTTCTGTAGAAGCTCACGGAAGCTGTGTTCTTGGCCTTGTATATTTGTCTGCCAGCTATCATGTAGACGATTGTTTATGATTACGACTATTTACAACGTTTTCTTGTGATCGGTGATTGCCTTCATGCTGCCCAGTCGCTCCTTCTCTGTGGTATCGATAATCAAAACATACTTTTCCCGTACGAACGACTTTTGATGAGTCTGATGAGAATGATTAGTATGTATCTACATTGGAACATCATCTTGTCCTAGAGCAGCTTTCCCTAAAGGGTCAACACTAGAAGGCTGTTCTCGTTGACTGTATTACATAATAATGATCGTAAAGATGGAGAGGACAAGCATCCTAACACTCGGCTTCAGCATGAGCAGCCCTCTGTCCAGCAATAGCTCCCGAAAAGCCCGAAACCGTGCAGTAGCTACCCTTGACAGCAATAATATAGGAAGTGCTGCCATCAGTCACAGTAGAAGTAGTTCCATCACAAGTAACAGTAGCAGAAACCCCGCTGACACTTGCCTGACTGCCAGAAGAGCTGCTTCCACTATCCCCAGTCGAAGGTGCCACGACACCAGCCGAACATGCCGCATACGCAACACTGTCGAAGCGAAGTCCGTCGGCAGAGGTAAAAGTGACCGAGTTGATCTCATCGGCAGAGGCACTGGCACCGTCATTGTCTGCTGCNNACAGCTTGTTGCTGCAGCGGCTTGCCTCTCATTTTGCACGGATTGTGCATTTGATGCATCTGCCACTGTTGCGTTTGTCACGATCGTGACCTGGCCGGCTGCATTGGCAATGGCGGTGGAGTTTGCATTGCCAGTCGAAGCAGTGGAGGAATCGCTCGTGGTGTCTTGGGCAGCACCCGCTGCGCTAGATGATATGTTAGTCATTGTTTCCTCCGAGACGGAAACACAATTCTTCTTACCTTGCCGCATTACCACTTGCAAAAGTCGTTGAAACAACCGTGGTTCCATTAGCAGATCCACTAGCACTGCTCATTGAGCTGCCATCGGGAACCTGAGTGGAGTTTGTCACAGTTGTGATTTGAGAAGACGTGGTCTGGTTTTTGTGGAAGTTGCCAAAGAAGGAGACGAGGTTGCCTTCTACAGCAGCCTTTGGAATGTTCCACTTGTAGCCGGCGAAATTGATCGGAGGGAGCTTGGTCGAGCCGTGTGGGACATTGAGTTGGAAGGAAGTGTCCAGAGGGTAGCACTTCTCAGCAGTTGCCTTCTTGGTTGCCGGAACGGCTAAAACTTGTGATAGAGATGCAAAGGCAATGGTGGTAGCGAGTGTGAACTTCATATTGTCTGGAGTATGATGCTTACGATAGATGGTTTTCTTTCGTCGAGCAAGTGGACGTGCAGAATATATAGCCACCTACCTTGCTCTCTTCTCAACACGGCACATGCGGAAACATACTGCCTCGTTCCAAATCACAAGGTTCGTGCAGCCAACGTGCTGGCTCCGTGGAGGGCTGCCGTCCTACAATAGTGTTGCTTTCCATAGTCCGAGATGGTCATTAGCTTTAGATCTGCAGGGATGACGATGCAGCTGCTTGAATTCAGGAGTCTTGTCGATTTGGTTAGGCTACTGTGGAAACCAACAAGCACACATATGAGACTTGCAAGATAGTAAGATGTCCTACTAAAACCAAAGCAGACATAGCAGAACACCTTGAAGAGAGTGATGTAAGAACGGCAGCGACCTGCCTGCAAGTCAACGACAAGTACACTGCTATTATCGGCGATAATGCGCCTAAGTGGATACTCAGTAGCGAGTTAAGCTTTCTTCTCATTTAAGCCTCGGAGGTGTGTATTGAGTCGGGACAAGAACTTGTGATTCGCATCGTATATATTGTTGGCTGACTTCCTATTTCTAGAGTATAGTAGACTGACTGGACTGTGTATTAGTATGAAGGCAGTCGTGACCTCTTCTGCAGAGGTCCAGGCAGAGTTGTTGCGTGTACCGGAGCTGGGGATACCGAAGTGAAGTCTGACGAGTGTCACTGCGCACTGTCCACTCCGGCCGTTGTTGATCTTTGGAGGCAAACAGCCGCGGGAGCAGGCACGTTGGAAGCATTGATGTGAACAGAGAGCTCCTAGGGCTGTGTTTTCACACATTCTTATGTTCTCAATGCGATGAACGACGAAGTGTTCTTGAGACGGCTGACGAACAATGGCAATGAGGAAGTGCCGATGATTAACCGATCACGAAACATAATTGTTATGCTTTTCCAGATGACAGGCATATATCCATCTGTTCTTCTGTGGCTCGCTGAACCTCGGCCATCCCTGCTTCTAGCAATTGTGTTAACGAAAGCTTCGATGCGTTGAGCTCGAGGTGTGTCTGGAAGTCTTCCAGTATCAGTTTATTCACATTGATCTTGGATACACCAGCGGCGACGCACTGGCGTATCAGATCTGTTTTGAACCCATTTGTCCCATGCAAAACGACCCTTACATTCCTCATTTGTGCGGAATCGCGAATGCTCTTTAAGCGCTTGAAATCAAGTTGTGGACCTCTGGAGCCGTATTCGCCATGCACATTGCCGATTGCAGGAGCAAGGAAGTCAACTCCTGTATCGATAAACTCGGCCACTTCTTCCGGAGTTGTCAACATGCTCTCCAGATCTGCTGTGTCCGCGATGCCATCTTCGCCGCCTTCGATACGACCTGGTTCTGCTTCGGTCGCGATACCCCTGGCATGACAGTACTCGACAAGCATAGCTGTCTTCGACAAGTTTTCGGCCTTTTCGTAGTGTGACATGTCCACCATGATCGAATCGAAGGGCAAAGTGTCAGCGGCCAGTTGGATAAGCTTTTCATCTTGTGCATGATCGAGGTGGACAGAGATTGGCACGCTGGCACGGCTGGCAGCATCAGCAGCTGCTCGAACTAGCAGCCCATCACTCGCAGTGATAGCCCATGGAAACACTTGAATGATCAAAGGTGATCGCTTGAGCTCTGCAGCGCGCACCATGGCGACGATGTGCTCAGCAGTATANNGCTGTGACAACTAGTATCAGCATCCTGATCCTATAAATACAGATTGGTTCTATTACACTATCGCCGCCAAGACGCCATATCCTCCTCGTTCAGCATCGCTGAGTATTTTGACCGTTTTGTTATCTTTTAGTAGGTCTTTTGAAGGTATTGTGGTTCTTGGATGTAGGATGCTTTGGGCGTAAGAGCAATGGAGGCCTACTCACGGTGGCTTATGACCAAGACTATATGTCGATGGAAGGCACGAGACGAAGGCACGAAGAGCTATTCATTACCGAGACGAGGCCTGCACAACTGAGAGGTGGCCGTTCCGATTGCCGACCCCGCGTTGGAGCTCGCCTCGAGCTATCTCCACGGCTCGCTGCCGCTCGCGTCGGGATGGACCACCGAGTCGGGGCACGTCTTTCCTCTTCTGTTCTTTGGTACCACGACACTGAGGAACATGCAAGCTATGCACAGTTTTCTTTCTAGACTAGAAGAAATCCCTCCAGACTCTCTCTCAACACGACATAAATCCGAGGACAACCATATCTGTACGACTAGACAGGAACGTGTGGCCAACTTCTGCAGGAACAACTGTCGCGGAGCCTCAGACATCCGATGGGAGATTGTTCGGATACAACACCGAGCGACATGGATTTGACCAATTGCTCTCATGGTAATGCACGCCGTCTAATGGCTGATATCAAGCAACGAATGCATTGAATATCAGGCAACTGAGAAAAGAGTAAATACATCAGATGCCCAAAATGGCACCTTTCGTGGTACTGGCTGTCTTCATGAATTCACTGGTCACCAAATCCTCGTGGTTCCCCGCGGTACAACGTGCCTGGAGGAGCTCGTCTCGAGATCTATGACATTGAATCTTCGACGTACTCACAACCCCCCGAGACGATCACCCCATGGGGTGAAACTACAGAGGGGCTGTGGTAGTTTTGTGGAGGCATCTACACTCAACGGCAGACTGTCCTTCGCAGCATATATCATCCACTACCTGATCTACATTTATATCCCACTCCTCAGGCGACTTTCTCACACTCACGACATATCACCTAGCCTTCGACTTTCATCATCTTCACCCCGAAACCTGCACCATCCATCCATTGACGATATTTGCTAGCCATCAAGAGCTACGATGGACGTCAAAGATGTCAAGTACGAGGAGACGGACTATGTCGAAGACTTCCAGGACACCTCTGACCTTCAATTCGAACCGGGAGAGGAACAGAGGCTAGTCCGAAAGATTGACCTGTTCCTCATGCCCACGATATGGCTCATGTACCTCCTGTCCTACATGGATAGAACCAATATCGGCAACGCAAAGATAGCCGGCATGAATGCGGACCTCCACCTCAGCAGCAGCCAATACTCGATGGCCCTCGTCATCTTTTTCATCAGTTATGTCTTCTTCGAAGTACCGAGCAACCTTATCCTCGCCAAAACCAGACCTTCGATCTTCCTACCTACGATCATGGCCCTCTGGGGAATAGTCACCTGCTGTATGGCTGTCATTCAGGATTATTCGCACCTCCTAGCGCTGAGGTTTGTCGTGGGTGTCCTTGAGAGCGGATTCGCCCCTGGCATCCTGCTCATCATATCTTCTTGGTACAAGAGAAAAGAGCAGTCGAAACGTTTTGCAGTCTACATTTCTGCCGCAGTTCTGTCAGGAGCATTTGGTGGCCTCTTAGCTGGCAGTATCACCAGCAATCTCAACGGTGCACATGGCTTAGAAGGCTGGAGGTTGGTCGTATCTGTCTTTTAGTCCTCAATTTCATTGCTAACCTGCTTNAGATGGCTTTTCATTGTCGAAGGCGCCGCCACCGTCGGTTGGGCAATCTGCGCGCACTTCCTCTTACTCGACTTCCCGTCACAATCAAGTAAAAAATTCACGGAACGCGAATTGCTACTAGCAAGCAAGAGACTAGCTTTGGACAACGCATCGACTACGAATGCAGAGGGCGACAGACCCAAGATCTCCAGCTTTAAAGCTCTCATCAAGGCCGTGTCAGACTGGCGTACCTGGATCATGGTGTTTGGTTACATGGTCATTGTAGGTTCGTCAACGTTAAGCTACTTCTACCCAACTCTGGTACAAGGCTTGGGATACAAGAGCACAAAGGCTCAGTACATGGTCATCCCCATTTACGCTGTGTCATTTGTCACAGTCGTTGCTTCTGGCATAATCATGGACAGATACCACCAATACCGCGGACTTGCGATCGCAGCATGGCTTGGGCTATCTACCATCTGCTGTATTGCAGTGTGCGTGGTCTACGACTTCACTGCACGTTACGTGCTCCTCATCTTTATGGCTAGTGGCCTATGGGCTAGCAACGCGCTTGGTCTATCGTTTGCTAGCAGCACGTTTGGAGACATGGAACAAGAGACCAAGGGTGTTGCTCTTGCCCTGGTCAACGCTCTTGGTAACCTTGCCCAGATCTATGGCGCGTATCTGTTCCCCAAGGACGATGCCCCAAAGTATCTACTGGGCTTTGGTGTTATTGCAGGAATGTGTGGGCTTGGTATTATGATTTATATCAGTGCGCATGTGCTACTTCGCAGGAAGTAGATTTCACTGGGGACCTTTCGTGTACAAAAGACCAATTATATGCTACGCAGATATACATCATGCTTTATGAAAACACGGAATACAAGAGCAATGTCTAAAGAGCCAGCATTACGAATATTTATGTCCCTTTAGTGATATCGTACGTGGTGTCTAGCTGAGTTTATGTTCTGAATGGACCCTGCCTTATGCTGAGCTTCTGTTATCTCTGACTTCTCCCTCCATCGTCGTAGAGTTTTCTTCATCAATGTGGATCTTGAACATCTTCGAAGCCATGCCATAGCTCTTTGCTACAGCTTCACTTCCGTAAACTCTCATTTCCTTTTCGTAATCTGCTGTTGCTCCTTCGTAGTATCCGTTTTGGAGCAGTCTACCAAGGAGAGCAGAGTCACGTACGGCGGTGTTTGCTCCCAGACCTCCTGCGGGCGTCATGGAATGTGCTGCATCGCCTATAACAGTGACGCGAGGTTGATTCGGCCATACAGGAACACCTGATGGTGTTGAGATGGTGATCTTCCAGAAGGCTCCCTCAGATGTGTTGGATTCAGTGAATAGGGGCTTCAATGTGGGATGCCAGTTTTTCGTGAGTTCGCGAGCGATGTTGGATGCAGTCTCGCCAACGATAGTGTAGTCATCGTTCGGAGCCTTGATGACACCAGGTTCGCCAACCATAGTCCACCCAAATTGAACATCAGCATCGTCCATATCTCCAGCGCGGACATTTGTGATGACAGTGAAGGAGCCGTTGGGTCTGCTATTGTCGACAATGCGGAAGACGCCTTCGCCAAGGCCCTTGAAAGCTGTTGTGGGAGCTTGACCATGTATACCACGAGCTCCAGTGTCGTAGACCTTTAGTTTGCCGTTCGACAACTGCCTGGCGACATAGGAGTTGATGCCCTCGCCTCCGATGAGCATGCTTCCCTCCTCTGATTTGGTGCCATCGCTGAAGATAGCTCGCACGCCATCGTTTGTCAACTCATATCCCTTGACATGCTTGTTGAACTGAACAAAATCCTCACAGCCTTCCATGAACAGATTGCGCATGTCTCCACGCGCTATACCCACAACTTTGCCCTCTCGCGAGTTCAAGCTTTCGTTGCTACCACCACCACTATTGCTGTTGCCAGCAGGTGCTGCAGGTGGCTGCTCAATGGGCTCGCCGGTAAGAGCATCTAGTGCTTTCATACCACCGCCGCCAGTCTTGCCACATCTGTCGTAGAATTTCCTCCACGCTGTTGGGTCCAGAGCTGATTCAATGGCGTCAAGACCTTCCGAGGAGAGCCGAAGCCGGTATCCTTGGCCTCGAGATGCCAGGGAAGCATCGCGTTCGAAGACACGGAACGGAATCTTGCATCGCAGTAGGGAACGAGCAAGTAACAGCGATGCGAGTCCAGCGCCAGAAATCAAGATGGGTTTTTGTGTCATGGTTGATGGTTGTTGCTTGAGGGCGCGATCAAGTGGGGAAGATTGACGACGTCGACATGCCCCGTTTTTCCTTCCTTTCGTCATCGACTGAAGCGACACCGTTCTGACGACAAGCTATGTGTCTCACACTCACGACGCAGAGAACTACGTGGAAATACAAGAACTGTGAACTAGTATACTGACGGACGAGTAAGGAAAGGACGTTATGTCTCCCATCAGGACTGAGGCTGCTCACCTTCTAAGCTCGATCAGACGCCTCGAGAGATGAGCAGGCCATAAAAACAATAACGACAGAATAAAACCAAAACCCATTAATGAGCGAGCGGAAGTATTGTGAGCTGTGTTGCACGCACCTCGAAGGCATCGAGTCCAGCTCAAGCACAGTCAACGCTTCAACCACGACTCGTTAGCCTGCCGTCTTCATCGTCCTCAAACAGTCTCCAAACCCACCCACAGTCTCACCCAAGATTGCGTTACTCGACCATCATACGCATTGCAATATCCAAATCGACGTGCGATTCCGTGGCTGACAGAGCTCAACATGAGAGCAGCTATGACCACCCAAGACACAATTCCGAGGACTGTCGTCTGCATGTCATAACCGAGTCCTAACCCGGAGAGACTACTTGTCGAAAGCGCCAATAGTATGATATGATCTTGCCAGCGGTCTCCGCGACGTCGCTGCGAGTATACTGTCATTGCAGTCGAATACACGCCCAATGCCAGCACGAACTCGGTCGAGCTTGGATTCATGATACCCAGGCGAAACTGGACAGCTTGTTAGTTGTTGGCTCTCTCAATGGTGGAATTGCGTACGCCTTCATGTGCCTGACTCTCTATGGCTGGATGCTGCGACCTGACAATGGCGCTGTTGTTTGCATGGTTCCAGGACGTCATGACAGTCCCAGAACCCGAGGCCAACAAGAGAAATACCACAGATTCCCAGGATGATCTGACTGCTACTTCTAGGGCACCCATACCAGTCCGGATCTGTCTGCCTCCCATGAAAGCGCCATGATTCAGGTCAGGCCAGGCGTCTTTCTCCAGATCATGTAGCCTTCTGAACCTTTGTCCTTCTGAAGCACTCATTCGAGCAATTTCCGAGAACATGCTGGCGGGTAGCACACAACGGCCATGGGCAGGAATACCACTGCTCCAAAGAACTCTGGACTTTCCGTCAAAGAACGGCTTGAAAGCCTCCCATGACGATTCACTTGCCAATACCACCCTTCTGGGGGGTTTCGGGTGTGGATTGACAAAGCTGTCTTCGCTGTATTCTAGATGAGGTGTCAATCGGTCGGTTTCTGTCTCTTGACCAAATTCTTCATGACTGACCCTTTGTGTCATCATCGAATCTCTGTGCTGTAGCCGATGTTGGAGGCTCCGTCATGCGATGCCCAAGCTGAATATCACTTCCGTCACCCTTTCCCTCGAAGAGTTCTGTGTTTTGTTTCTTTTCAACTTCGCTGCAATCAGAGTTCTCTCTGCGATTCAATGATAACTGGGTCGTCTGGCGTTCGAAAGGCAGGGTGCTAATCCATACGACCGCGCAGTTATTCTTGGACTCTGACACGCCCATCGAATCAGTATGCTGGATGTCGTTTGTTGAAGAAAATGCCCTGTAATGTTTAGTTGTTCAAGGTGTTTGACAACAAGAAGATCCAGGACAGCGACGGAGAAGATGACAAGAAGACACGGATGTACGTGGCTCAGCTGAATTCAGCTCATGCATGTATTAGTAGTTGCATGACTTGAGGCCGTGCCATTGGTTTACACAGGCCCGGTTAGCGCTTTCGGCTACGGGGATGCAGTGGAAACAGTACATGTTACAATGTCACAATCAAGGCACGACCTATCGACCAACATTCATCATCTCAGGAACAAGGCATGATCCGCGTTTCTTCTGTTGACACCGGCAATCTATACTTCTATCGCTCTAGTCTTAGGTGCCTAATATTCCAATCCCGGGTTTGCTCTGCTGTTGACATCATAAGTCCCTCACTAAACAAGCTCGACTCTGAATTCGATGAGACCTGCTTAGATGTCTTTGAGGATTGAGGCTGAGTATTCTGGCGCGGAGTACGGAGGATGGATGTTTGCGGTGCCAGTAGCAGAATCGCGTGTCTTTCTTCGACTCGAGACCCATCATTCCTCTCATCTACTCCTTCGACTCGCTGTTAGGGCAGATCAAACAGCGGCAATGTTTCTGGTAAAATTACCATGTGGTCGCGATTGGTTTGTAAACCAAAACCAAGAAGGCAGCTGTTCGCGATTTATCTCCTCTTTACTGAATGAAACAGCGGCCCCCACCTCCAGAGGCAGCGGACGAGCATCGATAATCGGTTTCGAATCCCAGGCATCTGTTCCATCTTTCGAGGATTTAATCAACGAGCCGATCAACGTGCTCATCGACGCTTTATGTGATCCATTCTATCGGAAATTTGTGCCAGCAAGGTGGAGAGAAACAGGCTCCTTGGTCTCACAGGTCCTGATGTCTACTCGAGGTCTGGCTCCGAACACCGAGTCACCCAGCCATCGAAACATTGAACAAGACACAAGAGAGTGTTTACAGCCATCGACCAAAACCCTAGTTTGTGAGTGTAGCGAATAGTACCACCATCTGGGTACACATGCTGACAACAGATAGCAGCCGGCAGCTCGCTTCACCGAACACTGCGGAGAGCCAGGTCGTACACTAAGCCTCATCTGAGTGCTATGCTCACCTTTCTACACACCCTTCCGACCGCCCAAGCACGTCCGACCGATCTGTCTGACGGAGACAAGACTGCACCACAGTATCCTGATGTCCCCACTATCATTGTGGTAGGGCTCAGTGGCTTCACCCTGGCGATCGCCGCCTCTGTCTGCTTCGCACGACTAAGAGTATCTTCAACAACCATACTGATATCGAGAATCTTCTCCATGTTACTGTCAATGGCCGTGCTCAACGATTTGAGCGGGTTTCCAGTATTCGCGTAGGTCGGCGTTCTGGTCCAAGTCTCAAGAGCGTTGAAGCTGACAGAGCTAAATTAGGCCTCTCATAATCAACTCTGCTCACTTTTGCTTATTCGTGGCCGTGATGCGACGTCAGGCAAGAAAACAAACAGAGGATCAAAGGTACGATAGGGCCCATATTGTTTTCCATGTGACTGACATTCCTCAGAGACGGTTTCACCAAGCGATGCATCGGGTTTCTTGTGTCACTTACGCTTGTAGCAGCAATGGCTCAGGCATCTTGGTCCTTCCTCATTACCGCTCTACCACTTCTGTTCTATTTCAGCATACTCGCGGTGTACTGTTGGTATAAGTTGTGGCCTGGTATCGAACCATCGGTGCATGCGTTGCTTGGATCTCTTCAGAGGGCGTCAAATATGCCATTGCACACCTCTTGAATATTGATAGTGACCAGTGCTAGACTGCGAAGATACAGCATACATACACGTGGAGAGGGTATTGTTCTCATATGCATCTGGGTCCGTAGTCGAGGAGTTAGGTTGTTTGTCGAATTATGTTTGGTGGGCGCATGGCAGGTTGTCTTCCTTTCTTTCCTCCGATTCATACCGAATCTTTGCAGTGTTGTTTCATCTCCAGACCTTCGCCTAGTAACCAGCGTTGCTTCGTGTCTAAAGAGAATCATCAGATCGTCCACCATCTCATGTGCTCAGCAATTGCAGATCGTACCAGTAACGATAGCTGCAACATCTAATTGCCGAGGGATAGTATCCTAGCTTGTCCTCGATTTCGTTTTCAAGCGAGATCAGCTGCTCGGGGTGGGCCAGGATCTGACGAGTATGTCGTTGGTACTGGCAACCCATATTCCGATCTCCTGGTGCATCTCGGAGTTTGCAGAGGGCTGGAGTCAAGACAAGGATGAGCATGGTTTCGCATGTGTTGATTAACAGCATATACGTGAGCATAACAAAGTAACTGGGCTAGTGAGCGGAAAGCGGCAGTTTTACAGAGAGGTTCGAACAGAGATCATGACATGAATAAGATTGTCGATCATGGATCACGATCAGTCGTCTTCGAAACGTGCGAATCGTTCGGCAGACGGCAGACAGCATCTGCCCGGCGATCGCGGTGTCGTGCTTCGCGGCTTGGATCGGAACGTAACCCTGTTACTCGACGATGTACATAAGATGTCAGAAGGGCGTAGTGTCAGCGATGGCTGTCTTTGAGCAAAGCTTCAAAAACATTCTGTTAAGCTGAAAAATGCAGATAGGAGAGGTTCAAGCCAAGCAAAGACACGAAGCGAGTACGGGATGTCGGAGGGGAGGTCCGCGATGTACGAGCCAATCGCATACTTTTGCGCGCCTACTGGTTTGAGTTTGGTGACAGCCCCGGATGGATCGACAACCGAGGGCTTCCTAATTGTTGTAAGTTGGTGAAACCGTAAACCCTCTCGCTCATTTCCTTCGGTCCTTACCACTTTGATATCCGAGTGCGACTGATGCGAAAAGGCGACTGCAACTAAGGGACGAGTCTCTCCGAATCTCAAGCAGTAATAGCCAAGATGGCGTCCAGACAAGAGAGACAGCACAAGGCGCGGGAGAGGGCGCTGACCCTGCAAGAGCGTGAAATGCACCGGTGCGACACTCGACCTCTTCGACGAGAGGTAACCCACACTCATGCCACCATAACAGTNTTCTACCAACCTTGGCTTGACGCCCAGGGCACCGCCGCCAATGTCGCCGCCCATGTCCAGGACCTTGCTCACGTCGACGACTTTGCCATCAACACCCTGTCCGACAAGGGGTTCCGTCCCCTGGCCTCGCGCGACACCACCTTGACCGCTTTTGCCCAACTCGCTGCCCTCCGCCTCAATGTACGCCGTGCTATGGTCAGCTTGATTGACTCGAAACACCAATACATTCTTGCCGAAGCCACGCGGACCCTGTCTTTGGTCGACGACACACGACATGCCGACGGCGATGCCTTGTGGCTCGGAACCACCTCGTTGGCCAGGGAAGATGCTGTGTGCCAATGTGCCTTTACAAGACAATACGCCGTCAAGGATGACGAAGGTCGCTCCATTACCGCAACTGCCGCTGTCATGCCCGACTGCCGTCTGGACGATGACTTCAAGGACAAACCCTATGTCATTCAGGAACCTGGTGTTCGGTTCTATGCTGGTGTACCCATCAGATCAAGATCTGGTCACAACATTGGTGTTTATGCTGTCAGTCACGACGCTCCGAGGGACCCGCTGACCTATGATGAGTTGCGTTTCATGCAAGATATTGCCGTTGCTGTCATGGACCATCTGGAATGGGCGAGAGATCGTGTAGATCGTTACAAGGGCGAACGCATAGTCCGTGGCATGGCCGACTTTATCGAAGGCGCTCCATCCATGCGTGCTATGAAGGAAGATATGGACAAAGAAGATCAATCTGCCGCGACCCCCAAGAAACCTGATTCAGCATCGGTCACAAATAAAAGTTCTAAAGATGATGCTGAAGCGCGACTAACCCCTAAGAAAACAGACAGCAGTAGGCCTGCTCGTCGGCCCACGCTGGAATCCAGGTCCGAATCCTTCTCTAGACGCCGGGAAGTCAAAACCGACAACATGTCCAAATTGCTCGATCGTGCCTCCCGCATATTGCGGGAATCTACCCTNGCCGAAGGCGTTGTATTNTTTGGTCCATCTGGAAACAATCCTATGAAGTCTACCCTGAGATCTGCCATGGCAGCCCGTGACAGAATGTCGGGTACTGACGATGAGTCCGCGAAACACCTCTCAGTCGACTCGGTTGATGTCGACAATTCAACAGACTCCGATGCTAATCACCACGTTCGCACCTCCAAGATTCTCGGCCTCTCTTTGACAAACAAGAAGGACAGTTCTCTTTTCCACAATACAGCGCTGGATGCTCTAACTCTCGAAAACTACTTCAAGCTCTACCCCACCGGGAAGAGCTTCCATTTCTCTGAGGCTGGCTCAGGTCTTTCATCTGAGGACGACAGTGCTAGTGAGAGTCAGAAATCTGCCAGTGATAGATCCAAAGCAGTTCCTGAGACTACATCACAGAAGGTCATCGGCAAAAAGAAAAAGATTCGCATGAGCCACCAGGAGCTCCTCAAGAATTTTTTACCGGGAGTCAAGAATGTTATATTCCTCCCACTCTGGGACTATGTTGAAGAAAAGATATTTTCGGGTCTGTTTCTATGGACCAGCAGCTCCGGGAGGATGATGAATTTGGACGACGATCTATCATTCCTAAGGGCTTTCGGCAATACCATCATGTCCGAGGTCGCACGTATGAACACGCTCAAGGACGACCGAGCGAAAACAACATTCATCGCGTCTATGAGCCACGAGTTACGCTCTCCGCTACATGGTATTCTTGGGTCTGTCGAGTTCCTGGAGGAAACGGCTGCCGATGCCTATCAGTCTAGTTTGGTACGTATAACCAGATGCCCCGGTCGCTCGCCAATTCTGTCAATATTGCCCAGTTGGGTTTTGCTGACTGTGATGTTCTAGATCCACTCGATCTCGACTTGCGGCAAAACTCTGCTAGATACTCTAGATCATGTTCTCGACTATGCCAAGATCAACAAGCTTGGCCGGAATCGCATGAAGAAAGATGCTAGGTCAAATCGACTTGCTTCCGCTACAGATTCACCTTCCGAGAGTCTGAGTATCTCAGCCGATATCGACCTCGGCTTAGTTGTAGAAGAGGTTGTTGAAGCTGTTTGTGCTGGTCATGCATTCAAAAAGATGCATACTGGGGATCTCAAGTCGCGTGAGGGACCTGTGATCACCATGTCTCGCCACGCATCGGCTGGCAAGCTTTCCACAGCTGACGGTGGGAACATTAACGAGGGCGAAGTTGCGGTCTTGCTTGATGTCAGCCCAAGAGCTAGCTGGATGGTGCGAACGCAGCCGGGAGCATTGAGAAGGATTATCATGAACTTGTTAGGTGAGTTTTTCTGCAGAGTGACGCGGCATATCCATGACTGACATCGGCGATANGGTAATGCTTTGAAGTACACTCCTAAAGGTTGGGTAGCAGTATCTCTGCGAGCCCAGGAAAGCACGCATCCGCACAAGATGGATGTGGTATTCCGAGTCGTCGATTCTGGCAAGGGAATGTCGGACGACTTCATGAAGAACAGGCTGTTCGTTCCTTTCAGTCAAGAAGATACCTTCCAGCCTGGAACTGGATTGGGTCTGAGCATCGTGAGACAGATCGTAGACTCACTAGGTGGGAGCATCGACATCAAAAGTGTGCAAAACGTTGGTACAGAAATAGACGTGCGTCTGAGCCTAGCAGATGCTTCTACAAACAAGGTCTTAGACAACGAGATCACCTCGGTAGCTGCCAAAACCAAGGGACTAAGACTGTGTCTTCTCGATCCCAATGGTGAGAAGGAGAGAGATCAGAACGACAATATCAGCCGACTCGACACGACATTGTCTGAAGTGTGCTGGGGCTGGTTCGAGATGGAGGTCACCAAAGCAAGCAGCCTCAGGGAAGTCGACGCAGACATGTACATGTACACTGAGCCACCCTCGGTTGAGTATCTACTGGAACACCACGGCGTCAACAAAAAGGGCAGCGCTAAAGGCCGAGGCAAAGAGGTTCCTTTGATTATAGTCTGCCTCAATGCATCGGAGGCTGTTGGAATCACGGCCAACCACATCAAGGTACGCCCTCAAAACGTTGTGGAATACTTCTCCAGCTGACATGTGTTACAGGCTTTATCGGATCTCGGCCGTATCGTGGAAGTGATCTCGCAACCCTGTGGGCCTCGCAAGCTGGCCAAGGTATTAAGCCAATGTGTCAGACGCATGGAAGAGACCTTCAACAAGCCCATGAAACCCGACCGACAACCACAACCACAAGGGCTACCTCATCGATCACGACTTGAGGATATGGGTGCGGCCACTATGCTTGGATTGCCGAGCATGACTCTACCACGCCTCAACACTTCGGAAGAAAGGACCGAATCTGTTCGGGCCCGAGACTTTATCCGCAACACGGCTCTGGAGATTCCTCCCAGCACAGCAGTCTCGTTCCCCAGCATCAATCGCGGCGAAGGCAATGCCCGAGAACCACAAGCACAATCACAATCAACCTTGGCACCACACGTCCTCCTCGTCGACGACAACCCCATCAACCTCCAACTCCTAGTCATGTTTATGAAAAAGCACAAACTGCCCTACCAAGAAGCTGTCAATGGTCAAGAAGCCCTGGACAAGTACATCGAACATGGCAGCGGCAACCCAAGCAAACTCCCTTTCGACTTTGTGCTGATGGACATTTCCATGCCTGTAATGAATGGTCTAGAATCCACACGACGGATCCGTGAATTCGAAATCGAACAGAATACCGGCAAGAAAGCGACCATCATCGCTTTGACAGGTTTGGCGAGTGCAGAGGCACAAGCTGATGCTGAAGCTTCGGGTGTTGACATCTACATGGCCAAACCAGTCAAATTTCAGGCGTTGAGACCGCTGCTGGTGAGTAAGAAGCCTGAGAAGAAGACAGAGGAGCAGTTGCTCTCTTGATTTGACAGAGGTGTTTGTCAGCTGCTATTCTGCAGTTGCATTTTTGTTTCTCTCTTTCGATTCTTTCACGGGCTCTTTGGATATTTCCTTTGAGGGTTGGTTTGTTGCATCATGGCGTTTTCCTCTTCTGCATAGCACTTGCATCACTGAACGACAACGGCGTTTGCTTCTTATCTTGGATACAGTACATACAAGCATTGCGGTGGATCTCTTGTTTTTGATTAGACATGTCACATGCGCACTACGATTGCCCTTTCGGGGCTGTAAGACGACCGAAGGTTATACTTCTTTGATCTTGAATTTCTCGTTGCTCGTTAATGGATGTCTACTCTGAAGGTCTCTCAGGGATTGATTACATGAAAAAGGGAGCTTGTGGAAAAAAAAAAAGGGATATGCTTTGCTTGCGCCCCTGTCCCCACCCACGAAAAGCCAAAGTGCGGTGATGGTAGGAAATTTTATGCACAACAAGTACATAGAGTGTCGTCGGACTGTTTCTGACCATAGGCCCTCATCATGGAGACGAGTTCATCTGTGGTGCTGGTGAGGGAGAAGGGGCTGATGCTGCAGCTGCACCTGCTGTTGCTGGAGCAGGAGTAGTGGCCACGACGTCCTCTGCTGCGTACAAGTTCTGGTTCAAGATCTTGTTCATGGTGAACATGTGGACGCGATCTGTCTTGAAGACTGCGCGCATGGCGTCGTCGCAGACGATCTGGCGCTTGTCGGCAGGGTCCTGAAGGTCTCTTGATTTGACGTATTCCCAGATCTTTTTGACGGTCTGAGGTCGTGATAGCTGTGTCTCACCAAGCAAGGCGGATAGGGGTTCTGACAGGTTCATGGGTTNTCTGCGTCGCTTCGTGTGAGTCTTCTGTCACACGAACAGAGAAGAGTTGAGACTTACGTGGAAGCCACCCGTCTTCGGCTTTGCCTCTCCGTTGGTTTCGACATCACTCCCGTCCTTCACTTTGGCGGACGACTTTTTCTTTCTCTTGACGGGTGCTGCTTTTCTGGTTGCGCCGGCTCTGGTGGGTCTGGCTCTGCTGTTCTCCTCGCGTTGTAAACGGGCGGCGTAGGCGGCATCGTCTTCCGCGGCGTCCTGCTTGCGGACTCTTTTCTTAGGTCTCTCGTCTACTACATCGGACAAGTCTGATTCATCAGAGGGTTCTTTGCGCTTCTGGGGGAGGAGTCTGAGGGGGATGGAGAAGCGCCNATTGGTACCATTCGCGTTCTCTGAGGTCACTCTATCGAAGCAAGCCTCGATTAGGCGCTGGATCTCTTTNNCTATGGCGATGTGTTAGACTACGAACAACGAGGGGTGGACGGCAAGAGAAGGTCGACTAACCTTGTGTTCGCTGACATCGTAGCCGAGTCTCTCAGAGAGAGCATTGCGAATCTTCTTTGCAGAGACGGTCTCGAGGTCACTTTGGCGCAAGATGTCGTAGATCAGGTCGGAGAAGCGTTTCTCATCGTAGGACATGGTTGCGACAGATGACGTCGGTCGTGTTGGACGGAGATGGTGGAGGAGGTCAGGTTGGAATTGGGAAGAACCACGACTCTAGAAAACAAGTCGCCTGGCAAGATCTTATGTAGCGATGGGCGGACAACAGAGAGGTCAATTGCGAGATGTTTGTGAAGGTGGATTGATTTCTTTGTAGACGACGCGCATAGACGCGCTGGAGGACCACTTTCGGTATATATGGAGAGCAGCAACCACTAAACCGCTAAGTAGGCTTGGCGTCGACAAGAGCTGTCCAGCGCACACAATGACTGGGCTCGATGGGAAGACGGCAGCAGGTCAGAGAAGCACTAGCTTGAGGGAAAGAGTCTTTGACATGTTGTTTGTTAAGATTCCTAGAAGCAGAGTTTGAGAAAGAGCGGCTCTTGGTTGCAGCTCCCACCTTTACAGAAATCGGGAAGCCGCCTGTGGTGGACGGAGCACGTGACCCGCCCGCGCCTGCACTTTTTGCACATCGAAATCGAATGGCGGCAGCCACGACCACTACATAATACACAACCGCCAACATGGCTCCAAGCTTTGATAATCTCGACAATGACGAGAACTTCGACGATGTCGAAATCGACTACTCCGGTACGCCGCTCCGAACGAGAAGAGACTGGGACAGGCGCGCGCGCGCCTCAGCATTCAACGAGGGGAGAAATTCAAGAGGCCGACGCTGACTGGTGCCTTACNNAGATCTGCGCGAGCAGTTCGACGTGCGCATGGAGGAGGGCCTCGACTCTTTCGTAGTCGTCGACGGCCTNCCCAAGGTCCCCGAGGAGAGCAAGGGAAAGCTGATCAAGTTCATCCTCCGCAAGCTCACCACCGCCGGCAAGACCAGCGAGGACCTCGTCCTTATGCCCATTAGCGACGAGACCAAGATGACTGAGGGATACGCCTTTGTCGAGTATGAGTCACCCGCACAGGCCCAGGCCGCCGTCAAGGCTTTGAACGGCACCCCTCTGGACAAGAAGCACACCATGGCCGTCAACAAGCTTACCGACATCGAGCGCTTTGGCCGCGAGGGCCGCATCGACGAGGACTACTCGCCCCCCGAGGTTGAGCCTTTCCAGGAGAAGGAGCACTTGCGCTGGTGGTTGGGCGACAACGACGGTCGTGACCAGTTTGTCATGTACCGCGGCGACAGTGTCGGTGTGTTCTGGAACGAGAGAGACGAGCAGCCCGACTCGATTGTTGACCGTGCTCACTGGACCGAATCCTTTGTGCAGTGGTCGCCCAAGGGAACCTACCTTACCTCGATGCACGCCCAGGGTGTCCAGCTGTGGGGAGGCAAGTCGTGGAGTAGACAGATGCGTTTCGCCCACCCTGGAGTCAATCTTGTCGACTTCTCGCCCGACGAGAGATACCTCACCACCTGGTCTCACCGCCCCATGCAGGTCGAAGAAGGCCACCCCGTTCTCTCGCTCGACGAGGACGGCAAGAACTACATCATCTGGGATCTCGAGACTGGCCTTCCTCTGCGCTCCTTTGTCACCCTCGACTCGGCCGGCCCCAACGTCGACGAGGCTGGAAACCCCATCAAGAAGAAGCTGCAATGGCCCGCCTTCAAGTGGTCTGCCGACTCCAAGTACGTTGCCCGTATGAACCCCGAACAAGGTATCTCCGTCTACGAGCTGCCCCGCATGAACCTCCTCGACAAGGTGTCAATCAAGATCGAGAAGATCCAGGACTTCGAATGGTGCCCCGCTACCCCCAACCGTGAGGGCATCAAGACCTACGAGCAACTCTTCTGTTACTGGACCCCCGAGGTGGGTAGCAACCCCGCGAAGGTCGGTCTCATGAGCGTTCCCTCCAAGGAGGTTGTCCGTACCCGTAACCTGTTCAACGTTTCCGACGCAAAGCTGCACTGGCAGAGCGACAGCTCCTTCCTCTGTGTCAAGGTCGACCGCCACAGCAAGAGCAAGAAATCCATGGCCACCAACCTCGAGATCTTCCGTGTCAGAGAAAAGGGTGTGCCCGTCGAGGTCGTTGACGCCATCAAGGATACCGTCATCAACTTTGCCTGGGAGCCCAAGGGTGACCGTTTCGTCCTCATCACCGCCGGTGAGGTGCCCGTTAGTGCCGCCGTGCCTCCCAAGACTTCCGTCTCCTTCTTCTGCCCGGAAAAGGCAAAGGGCAACCAGGTTGGTAACTTCAAGCTGATTCGCACTGTCGACAAGAAGAACAACAACGCCATTCACTGGTCTCCCAACGGTCGCTTTGTCGTCGTCGCCACTGTCCTGTCACAACAGAGCTTCGATCTCGACTTCTACGACTTTGACTACGAGGGCGAGAAGGATGAGAAGGACAAGGATCTGACCGCCAACCTGGCATTGATGAACACGGCTGAGCACTACGGTGTTACTGACATTGACTGGGACCCCTCAGGCCGCTTCGTCGCTACCAGTGCCTCTGTCTGGAAGCACCGCGTAAGTTTTTCGATCGTCGTCCAACGAAAACACACCACTAACGAACACAGNATGGAAAACGGTTACCACCTTTACGACTTCCGCGGTCAACTCCTTCGCGAAGACCCTATCGACCAATTCAAGCAGTTCGCATGGCGCCCACGTCCCGAACGTCTCTTGTCAAAGGAGGAGCAAAAGACCGTCCGCAAGAACCTCCGCGAATGGAGCAAGCAGTTCGAGGAGGAGGACGTTGCCCGCAAGAACACCGCCAACCGCGCTGTTGTCGAGCAACGTCGTCGTCTCCTCGACGAGTGGCTCGCCTGGCGCGAACGCACTGCCGCCGAGCTTCGCCAAGAACGCGAGGAGGACGGCCTTCCTGCCATCAGCCCCGAAGAGGCTGTCGCCCAGGACGAACCCTCCGAGGAGGGCGAGCGCGAGGGCAAGTTCGTCGAGGAGATCCTCGAGGAGATTTTGGAGGAGACCGAGGAGATCATCGACTAAATCGCTTAGACGGTCTGACGAGAAACGCTTCTATATTTCTGCCTCGTGTTTTTGTCAAGCAATGTGTACAGCACATTGTGGGGGAGCGGGAAATACAAAAATCTGGTGTTGTTTTGTTCCATGTTACATACTTCTTTCCACCCTCTCAGTTTGCCTGACCCCCTAGCCCCCACTCGTGATTATATGCTCCGTCTTGTGCGTAGGACGTTTTGACGATCATGACCTGAAAAGAAATACAAGATATCAGGGACACACTGTCTCTACAAGTTTTCTGATCCCGTTCGCTCTGCCAAAGACAACAAAACAGAAGGAAGAAGAAAATGAAGTGCGACTACCCTTATGAACGAGAATGAAGACGGATCAGACTGTCAAAATGGGGGGAAACACAAAGAGACAGCGCAAGGTAGACACATTGTGTGAAGATGGGGAAAGAGCAAGTGACGAGGAGAGAGGGAATATGTGACAAACAAGGAAAGAGCAGAGGATTTGGCATTAAGGGAAAGAGCGACCGATTGCATATGAATCAAGCAGGTTGTAGGAAGGAGCGAAGGAGGGCGATAGAAGCGGCGAGTGCGATGAGTTTATCAATTCGTTATCTGATCTCTTGAATGTAGCGATGACAGAAGACCATCATGATTCATGTTTCATAATCCCTAAGGGTCGCCATGTTCTGATGGTGGATGATGAGCATCTCGCCAATTACATGCCTGCCTTACTCCTATTACGTCCTTTGTCTACTTGGAAAGACCTTTCCTATTTGTTTCCATGACCTGCCCGTGTTGTCTTGTAGCCCAAACGCCTCGTAGCCTAGCATTACAGTCGCATCCAACGCCATTAACAGAGATGCCATGTTTCATCATTCGCTGGAGTGGTTTGTGGCAAACAGATAACAAAGAACTCTGCCAAGGACAAAGAGATACAGGAGTCAGATGACGATGCAGCCATGACGGGTAGGTCGTAGCGTGGAAACGCAGATGAAACCCAGGACGAGGACCATGCGTTGTCGTGCATGGATGGTGAAAGTCCAACGACGATAAGATGCAACTTAGCCCGCTGTGTGTACTCTGAGAGGCAGATGACAGTGAGGGTCGGAGCTGCAGATGTGTGTTGCTCATGTATGGACTTGTTCGTAAATCGGTGTCGTAAATGTCGTTTCGGATGTTGATATCGTACATGTGCGTGGAATGAACAACGGCACAGCTCTATCTCGATTAGTCCATATAAAAGTCTCCCTTAAGGATTCTCTCCTGGAACTGGTCGGGGACGTTGACGGGTTTGGGGTTGTCTCTGACAGGAGTGTCCATGACGGCGATACTCTTGGAGCGAGCATGAGTCCAGCCGCCGGTAGGAGGAGAGGCAGAGAGGCCCGAGATAGAGCCTCTCTCGGCGCGGGAACGCATGTTGTCGGCCCAGTTGAAGCCCTCTGCGGAAGAAAAAGACAAGTCAGCATAATGATCAGAAAAAGATAAGGTCAAGCACGTCGGCGGCACCAGAAGAAGACACAAACCTCGACGACCCAGTGAGGAGGAGGTCGGGGCCAAAGTCTTCTTCTCCCCGTCTACGACATCTTCTTCTGGTATAGTAACGGTGGCGGTGGGCCTACCTGCTGGCACCGATGCCGAACCACCCTTCATGTCCTTGAGAGCACGAGCTCCGAAGCTGACTCTACGAGCAAAGGGGCCGCTGTTGCCAGGCGTGGCCGAAGAAGGTTCGTCGTCGATGGCCGACTCGTCGACCGTAGAGCTGGAGACACTCTCACCTCGCATTCTAGCCGACATGGGCGAGCCCTGGTTGGGGGAAGCACCCATTCCGAGGGTGCTGACTGAGAGACGACGTCGGCTGGCCTCAGCAGCTGCTGTTGTGATGGGGCCTTGGGCCGGAGGGCTGGTGCCGGACGATTCGGACGGGCGGCTGCTGCGGCTAAACATGTCGCTGAATGCCTGGCCGACAAAGGATGAGCGGCGACGTTGGTTGTAGGTTGAGTTGGGGGNAGATTGATCGTTCTGGTCTGCCATTGTTGACGAAGGAGGGACTGCTGGTCTTTAAGGGGCGAGTGAGGTGGAACGTTAGGTAATCTTAGAAAGAGATGGTAGATTGTAGGTTGAGGAACCACGTGCTCTAGACGTGACTTCTTTGATGTCTAGAATGGCGTGATGATGTCAGCCTTCTCCGGCTTCGGCGGTCTCTCGGACAGGCAAAGTTCGACCGCTTGTTGGATCAATTGTTGTGCTTGAGTCGTAGGGAATTGGAGTCTGGCTGGAGATGAAGAGTGGAGGAGGAAGAGTGAAGATAACGAGGGGCAGGGGGAAGGAAGAGGTAAACATATAACCTTGCACAATTCATGGCGTGGCCCTTGCGAGGACCCTAGTCTCGAAAGTCCCCAGTCGTCCCCGCCAATTAAGATATGCGGGGTAACCAAGCCACAGTCCGTCAGTGCCCGCCCAATCACGGCTACCTTTGCCAACGACGATCGCATACCTTGCCAACCGCCGTCTCGTCCAGATGCATCACGCATGTCCCAACTCAAACTCAAAGGACATAACTCGAAACGCTTCGGTCCGATTCGTCTCGCTCTCTCAAGAACGACGTCCGTAGTCACCACATCTCACGCTACCTCTTGCGTCAGATCCCTGGCGGCCAGCGCTCCGGCTACTCTACCTCCATGTAGCAATGTTTACAAAAGTTGCTTATCTTGGTGCTGTGTCACATGCCTCTTTGTGTACTTTTTGGTCCTGAAGCTTCTGAGCTCCAATCAGCAGGGGGTGATAGGCATGTTTTGATACGCCGGGTACGGAGATCATCCTCTCCGTCTCACGGCGTTGGAGCTTAGCTTTGTCTTGTGTCATGGCACCACCACCCTCGCACCTTCCGCACCTGCCATGCATACCCAATAGGCATGCTCAATGCACAACTGCCAAGTACCCTAGTGTTCGCAATCGACTATTATTGTGGCTGTTTTGAAGAGTGTGGTATATGTTATCATTATGTACAATGTATAGCTTTTGATTCAACCGCTGTTGCATTGAATCGAATTCATGAGGTTCATATCTCAGACCGAGTCTTCTGTATCAGGCTCTTGTACCTCCAGTGTGCTACCGAGGGTAACACATCCAGTGCCTCCTGCAACCTCGCGGACTCGTAGGGAAGGCGTTCCGATTTCACGACTTCAAGAACATAGGAAGCCACTGTGCCTAGCGCGAGAGGCGGCTCCCTCATCACTTCAGCCACTTGTTGGAGCTCGAGACCTTGAACGTGCCATAGACTGTAGGCACGGATGCTGGTCGACGGTGTGCTCTTGCCCTTCTTTCCTTGCGGCAAATTGCTCTCCCACTCACCGAGCCAGCGTTCGGCAGCTTTATGTTTTATAATTGCTGCTGAATCGTCCTCATAACTTTCGAGTTCGTCTTGAGCATTGTCATCTTCCATGTCGTCTGCACCTGCTTCGGCCTGAGCTTCCTCTTCTTCGTCGTTGAGAGCTTGCTCTTCTTCTACACTAAGAGTGGGCGGTTGGCTTTCGACCTCTGTAGTCTTCTTTGGGACAGTCTTGCGCTTTGGACGTGTCTCGCCAGCCCGCTCGCCATTGCCGAGAATGATAGGCTGATCAAGTTCCCAGAATGCCGGTCTCGGCGGCATGGGGTTCATCATGCTCCTCGCTTTGTCAAGCTCTCGAAAAAGCCTGAAACCTGCATAAGCATCTGTAGCGGCGTACGCGACTTGCTCCATCGACAATCTGCTTGACCAGGCACTCGTTCGAACATTTCCCTTGTCGAGGGGNNGGAGAAACAAGACATTTTGTACCTGCTCAGCTAGTGCCAACGGCTTCTTGTTCACCTTTGCTGGCTCGTTTTCAGAGAACTTCACAAGCTTGTAGAGATGACTCAACTCGAAGATTCCCTGTCCCTCAACCCCCAGGCATTTGCGTAGCCGAGTAAAGTCTCCTGCAATGTTGACACCAGTCTTGAAAATGTCCGGAGACTCGAGAATGGCTTTAAGGGATGGAGGCATGAGAGTTTCTTTACTCTCTCCCGCGAACAAGGCAACCTGGAAGAGAGCAATCCTGTTTTCGCACGCAATCTGAATCAACGATACGTTGTTCTTGATGCTGCCTGACGCGACAGTGCTGCCCATTTCCCACTCAACATCAAAGCCTATTATTGGCTCCTCCGAGAAAAACTTCGCAACTTGCTCGGCTTGTTCGAACTTGGTGCAATAGTGAAGAAGAGGCTTTTCGCCATTGGCCGTTTTGTACAGAGAGTATCTCCAGAAGGCAGCCTGGCTTGTTTTCGATGCCATCAATGCATTTCGCAACTCCTGAGGAGGTATGTGGTACAACAATGGTGGTAGCTGTGTATAACGATCGAGTTCTTCCTTGTCAAAGTAGTCAGCAGAGCTAGTACTCATAGCCTGACCCCTACGCCTTGTCTCTTTGAACATTGGCTTTGGAGGCTTGAATCTGGCTCTACTACGAGCTCTGGGATAGACTGTCGTGGTCTTTGGTGCAACAGATTTTGTGAACGTGAACAGCTTGAAAGAAGGACCGTGCGGCTTGGTCTCTTCTTGAGAGTTTATTGCCGAGTCTCCGCTCGAGTCCTCAAGTACTGTTGGTTCTTGTTCGATTGACTGGTTCCTCTCGGGATTGTGATCGGTTTCTTGTTGGGCTGCTTCGCTCTTTTCGACGTCTGCCTTGCTTCCTGAGCTAATGTCTTTTGACGTCATATCTGCATCCGGTGCTGATCTTGAATTGTCCTCCGTCGTACTAGTCTCTTCACCTACTGGCGTTGCGTGGTCCTCGACCTCGCTCTCATCAAGTCTTGTCTTTGCAAGAGCAGATTTTCTCAGACTATCTCTGCGTCTGGCTCTGGTGGGTAGCAAGAGACGTTTACCCAAAGCTTCTGAAAAGCGAGCGTCAGTGATATCAGCAGATGCTTTCGTAACTTGTCCGAGTCGTCGCATGTAGCGCTTGGAATCATTTATGTTCTCTTGACGATAATTAGCAAAGACTTCCCTGATCTCTGCTTGGTCATCCTGCGTGAGGGCGTTCTTCTTGTATTTGACGTAGGCATGTGCAAATGCAGCCCGTTCGTGGAGTCTCGATGAGGGAACAATGTTTTGAACATCTTTTTCGACAGGATCTTGTGACGAGGCGTCATGCCCTGGCCTCTCAGGTCCTTTGTAACCATATCTATCTTGGTCCTGAGATGATTGTAACGTCTTGTGATGCGCAATGAGGTTTGCCAGAAGAGCTGTTGATATGCTGGCTGTTCCGAGATCCAATCGGCTTCAAGGGCCTCCAACTGCAAAGCAGAGAATGTGCGAAGCATTGCCAGAACGGATTTGTATGTGAGAAGAGCCGTCAACTGGGTTGTGTAAAAGTTCATCAATGACTCTGTCTCAGACGCGCGGGTCGTCGGTTGCTCCCTAAGCGCCTTGATTTTGCGTCTCCAGAAGTCCAACCGCGCACCGAGCGCCGTATTGATGTCGGCAATAGGGCGATCCAATTCGTACAGATCAATCGCAGAGGCTCTCGATGCCGACCCGAGCTCTGGGGAGAGTAATCGATAATCCATCCCAAAACGGGTCTCTCGTAGAATTCTTCGCCAATCGTGTTGACCATGCGAGATTATCGCAAGTTTTTCTGTCAGTCCTTCGAGTCGACTGACATACTCCGAACTTGCTCTATCAGCTTCGAGCCTGGAGTTTTGCAGGTACCCCTTGACTTGGCCAAAAACACTGTCCCGGTGTTGCAGACGCTGTTCCAGTCGGTGAACCGTTTGCTGGCGTAAAACTTCACGCTCCTGAAGATTCTGAGTTTCCCTTTGAACCTGCTCACCCGCTTCCCAGAATCGAAACTGGTCTCCACCCTTGGTCGCTGCTTCGAAAGACTGCACGCCCTGCAGAGCTTTGTTCCAGTAGGCAATCTCACGATCGTACCAAGCGATTTGGCGTGGGAAAAGGTCCGACGCTGCCACGATTTTGCCAGCCTTCTGAGCACCATCGAAAACACTACTTCTGAAAGTCGTGTAGTCCTTGCGCAACAGTTTCCGAGCGACCTTTGATTTGTCCTCTTGTTCGCGTAGACGTATAGTGGTTTCAAAGTGACGATCAGACTGGCGCTGTCGCTGCTTGGTGGTGTCTCTCTCGACCGCCAGCTGTTTTTCTAGCTCACGCAGCTGTTGGGAGAGCTCGATTCGCGCGGCCCCCTGCTTAGTGATGGTTGACAGTAGATCATATCTTTCCTCGTCGAACTTCTTAGATGCTGCTTGTAACTTCTCCCGTGCCTGTACTTCCAAGCGCTGAGCGTCTTGAATGATACGGGTGGATGACTCCTGTAACTCAAGATGAGCCGTATGCAGCTCTTGGTAGTCTCTTCTGTGTTGTGCCAGAGCAGAAACCAACTTGGTATTTTTCTGTTCAATGCGTAGCACCTCATCAAAGATTGAGACACGACTCTCTGTAGATCCAACTGGCTGGTATTTGCTGTTGAGTTGCGACTCGGACGACTGCGACACAGGAGGTCTCTCAGCAGCTGTGACGCCTTCCGGAACAGCCACATCATCCACTGCATGCGCAGATTGACGGTTTGGTGCCAGGCGAAGCGGGGCTTCTGATGAAGTAGGCGGTGTCGTGGGAGGAGGGCTGTCTTGCGATTCGCGTTGCGAAGGCGGAAAAGGCGCAGCTGCAGCAGGACGTTGGTCCAGTGTAGAGCGATCCCGGCTTAGAACTGAAGCTGGTGGTGCTACAGTCGGTACAGCAGCGGGTTCTGGAGGAGCAGATGGACTGGGTGGTGGTCTGGTGACAATGGAAGGTCTGCGTATCTCTGGGTCGAAGATTGCATTGGGAGAGCCCGAGGGAGATGTGGTCTTGCCGCGCTGGTATGGATTCGGACTCAAGAGTTTGCCAAAGTCAATCTTGGCGGAAGAACCAGTATCCCTGCCCTTGTAGGCCAGCGGCTTTGCAGCAGTCGGCCTGCTCTCGTTCGGCTTGGGACGGACGGGGGCTTGCTTCTCAGGTTGCCCAGGCCTGGACTTGGACGAGGCATTGCGCTTGTGGACGGCGGTTCGCGAGAAGACGAGGGTCGAGGCACTGCGCCAGTTGGGATGATAGCGTGCACGAGGAGTGGCGAAGACTATGGATGAGGCGGGATTCCGAGTATGGTCGAGGGTGGATGAGGGCGAATGGGCGAGGAGGCAAGTGGTGGTCGAGACAACAGGCTGCGCGAGAGCATGGCGAGACGAAGGGTAGAGCGAGGTTTGGTGAGAATGAGTTACGGCCCGTCCTGCGGATTGCATTTCACCTCCATGTCCAAACAGCTGATTGCCGTGTCGAAGAACTATGTGCATTCGCCGCCCATGACTTTGTCGTAATAGAAGCTCAAAATGTCGGCCACATCGTCCGAGCTTTGTCGAGAGCCTCACTCTCCCGCAAGCATGTGAACATCGGCCGACTTGCGTCTGCAAAACACCCTCCCAAAGGACCCAAAAATCACCAAACATGGCTTCCCAATTGCTGCCTCTAGAGCTCATCGACAAGTGTGTCGGCTCCCGGATCTGGGTCATTATGAAGGGCGACAAGGGTGAGTTGAATGTTGCGCCTGACCATGTCTGCATCACTTATTGACCATGTCTGCGCNNAGAGTTCAGTGGCACATTACTCGGCTTTGACGACTTCGTCAGTAAGCCTATTATCCTTTCCTGCATCAATGCTGCAATACTGATGTTTGTGCCAGACATGGTTCTTGAGGATGTCACCGANGTAGTATGCCAATATCCACTCAACCTCGTCTATCTTGTCAAAATCTGACCTAATCCAAGCGACTACACCGGCACTTCAACCAAGATGTCCAAGATTCTGCTAAACGGAAACAACATCTGCATGGTGAGTTCGCCCTTTCAGAGGACTTGTCGGAATGAACTTGCTAACGATCATGTCTAGCTCATCCCTGGCGGCATGCCTGAGCAATGAACTTTATGACAACGTATTGACTATCGTGCCATCTCGGAGGTTGGATAGTAAAACACGCTGTGTGCCCGAATTCTCCGACCAGGGACAAAATTACTCCTAGTTAGGCAGGAAAGCTGGCCATGATGGTGGATCAGAACGCATTGCTCCATCTACATCTAGATTGGAAGGAGCTGTTATCTAAAAAGCAGCGAAAAGCAAGTAGGCGCTGGCTCCTATGCGCACTGAACCACGTACATTACAGCCGCGTGCTCCAGCATACGAGAAGCACGGTAAACTACTTATTATACATGACTTTCTTCAATTTACATGTCCCATCTCTTGTTTTTCCTCTATCAATGAGACTCATTGCTTCTTCTTCTCCTTTTGCAGAGCTTTCTTCACATCATGCTTTTTATCCATCTCTTCAATTTCGTCGGCTTCCTTCTTGTTGGCATACCACTGGCCGGCCTGCAGGATCAAAACACCAACGAGCAAGAGAGCCAAGATGGTGTCGCTGGCAGCCAGGACCTTGAGCGAGTCTTCTCTTCCAAGGTAGTCGCCAGAGTCGTCGACCTGGCCCTCAACAAGGGCAGGGTTGCCATAGACACCCGAAGTGACGACGCGCATGCCCTTGACAATGTTGGCAATGTAGACAGTGACGCCGCACATGTAGAGCACGAGACTGGCGCCGTCGAAGAGGAGGTTGGCTTCAGAAGGTCTGTACAGCTTGGTGATGAAGCCAAGGAGACCGGTACCGATGACGATATGGAGGATACGCGAGATCAGAGGAGGAGACGCGTGGATGAACTTGAGGTGGTTCTCCAGCATTTGGTAGTAGGGCTCGCGCGAGTCCACACCGGGGACGAGCGACGGGGGAGTGGTCCACAGAATGTTGTAGTCGTAAGGGAACGATGCGAAGAGGACTCCCAGGAAGAAGCATGTCGCNNTTTTTGGTAATGTCAGTCGCAATCTTTTACATAAGGTAGCTCTCTTGTTCTTACGTCCGACGATGAGGAAAGTCGCAAAAGGCGACGACATTGCAGGCATGTTGAACAGCTTCGCGCGATGTGCGTATACGAGACGGTTACGTGCGACTGGCAGCAGGTGGGACAAGACAAACAGCTAACGATATCGAGGAGCTGCTCCGTACTTGTACCTAAATTCATCACCAACCCCATCGCAATCAATCAATTCTTGCCAAGCCGCCCCGCGATAGGCCAAAGCCCAGGCCTCTTGTTTTCATGTGATTGACTAATTGATTGCTCTTCTCTCGTCCTCACCACACAAGCCACATGGGATTTCTGTCTGAGGCAAGACGGGTAATCATGCTTGGTTCTCGCTCGATATACACTCACTCGATTCAGCACCTCCAGAGCCTCAGATCTTGATGTAGATGCTCTTCATCTGTGTCCAAATATCAAGGGCTGCCTTGCTGAGGTCAACTCCGTCACCCGAGGCCTTCCATCCTCCAAACGGCATATCAAGAGCATTCGCCATTGGAGAGGTTGTGTTGACACCCACCATACCGCTCTCGAACCTTTTGGCGATACGTAAAGCCCTCGAGAGGTCTTTGGTATACACACTCGCAAACAGACCGTACTCAGTATCGTTGGCTCTCTGCATGACTTCATCCTCGTCTTCAAACGTGTTGAAGCAAAGTACAGGTCCAAAGATCTCTTCCTTTGAGATACGACTGTTGTGGTCGGGATTGCGGACGATCGTGGGTTCGATGAAGTAGCCCTTGTCGGTCTGTTTCTTGCCTCCAAGGACAATCTCACCACCACTCTCTTTGGCCAGTTCGAGATATCGCAAGATGTTATCGAATTGCGCCTTGTCAACTTGAGGACTATGCTTGGCCTCGGGCGAGAGGGGATTGATTCCTTCGGGTGGGTTTGCAGACATTGCCTTGATGCACTCGGTGAGCTTCTCCTGGAACACGTCCGCAATTGACGATTGAACGTAAAGTCTGGAAGATGCGATGCAGACCTGTCCAGACATATACAGGATGCTTATAGCAGCGCTAGGGACCGCTTGTTCTAGATCTGCGTCTTCAAAGACGACGAGTGGGGACTTTCCACCTAGCTCCAGAGATACTCTCTTGAGGTTGGATTTGGCTGCAGCCTCTTTGATGAGACGACCAGTCCTCCCAGAGCCTGTGAAGCCGATCTTGGATATGCGAAGATGCGACGCCATGGCTGCACCAGCAGGATTTCCAAATCCACTTAGGAGATTGAAGACACCAGGTGGGAAGCCTGCCTCTTTGACCAGTCTCGCCAGCACAAGAGCAGTAAGAGGCGACTTTTCAGATGACTTGACCACGAGCGTGTTTCCTGTAACCAATGCTGGAGCCATCTTGGTTACCACAGCCAAGACGGGGATATTCCAGGGCACGATCGCGCCACAAACACCGTATGGCTGACGGATGACCATATTGACATGACCTGGTGTAGCCAAAGAAGTGCCACCTTGAAGGTCCAATGCAAGACCAGCAAATTGTCTTAGTAATTTTGCTCCGAAGATATGCTNCCTCTGCTCTCTTTGTCAGCTTCACTCGATAACTATCGAGAGCCGGAGATCGTACTCACGGTACATGGCAGCAATCTTGCCAGTCTCTTTAGCCTCCAATTCCGCCAGCTCTGGGCCTGAAGCTTCTAGCAGATCTGCCAACTTATAGTAGTAGGCGGATCGAGCAAATGCACCCATCTCTGACCAGGCAGGTAGAGCAGCCTCGGCAGCTTCGACAGCTCTATCGACATCTTCTGGCAGTGCTTCGTAGACCGAGCAGATGACCTCCTCACTGTAAGGATTGACAACATCGAATTTCTGGCCTTTGATCGACTCGACGAATTCATTGTTGATGAAAAGGCGTGTTTCTATCTTATCCTCGTCTTTGCCTTCGCCGTGGGCGGGCATTGCTGTAGGAGACATGGTGCAAAAGTTGAGTATCTTGACTAAAAATGTGTAAGCTGAGGGAACTGCTCATCCTTTTATACCACATCTGCCGTACTCTGCAGCCTAAACGTCGCTGCAAGATCATCTATTCGTGTAAGCACCTTTGGTTCTTACAGCTACATTGAGGAAGTGGACAATATTGATAACGCAGATCTCTGTCAGCACTATGCTTGACCCCGCTTGCGAGACACGTAGACCCATGCTGGCCGTGATCCTTCATGGATGTGCATGTCCTGATATTGCGCGTTGACAGGCTTACATATCGCGAGCGGAAGGATTCCTTGGGCTAAGCTGCATGAAGATTGCTTACCTCTTCCATCTTGATTCAAGATGTAGAGGTGTAACAGTGGAGGCAAAGTTGCATGTGATTCATGTGTGGAATAAGAAGAATTCATACGCTTTCGTGAATAAAACTAAGATAGAGATGATGCAAAATTTTACAGCTGCTCGTTGACAAATAATCCCGCCATGCCCATGCCAGTACCAATGCACATACTCGTGAGCAGAATCTTCTTCTTTTGTCTCCTGCACTCGCTGAGTCCGGTGACGATCTGTCTCGTACCGGTGGCGCCCAGAGGATGTCCGAGGGCAATGGCACCGCCACGAATGTTCATCTTGCTCCAGTCGATCTTGAGAGTGTCACGGCAGTATACAGCCATGGAAGCAAAAGCCTCGTTGAGCTCAATGACATCGATGTCGTCGAGGGAGAGTTGGTACTTGGAAAGCAGTTTGGGGATAGCGATCGAAGGGCCGATACCCATGATTCTAGGAGCGAGACCAGCGACGGTGGCACCGACGAACTTGGCTACGATAGGTTGGCCAAGTTCGAGGGCCTTTGAGCGCTTCATGAGGAGGACGGCGGCGGCACCGTCGGTGACTTGAGAGCTGTTTCCACCGGTGCTGCGGTCGCCGTAGTCGGGGAAAGCAGGGCGAATCTTGCCGAGAGCCTCAGCGGTAGTGCCGTAGCGTGGACCCTCGTCTCTGGTCAATTTGACGTCCTTGACCTCGCCAGTCTTGGGGTCCTTGACCTTGACGGTAATGGGGGTGATTTCGTCGTCAAACCAGCCAGCCTTTTGAGCCTCCTCGGCACGGCGGTATGATTCTGCGGCATATTTGTCCTGCTCTTGACGCGAGATGTCGAAGTCCTTGCCGACGTTCTCGGAAGTCTGACCCATGGGTTGCAGGCAGTCGGCGGCGTCCTGGTTGGCATTGACAATCTCGTCGACGAAGGGGCGGGTGAGGCGGTCACCGCCGTCTGTCATGGACTCGGCACCGATGGCGACACCGATCTCGATGGCACCGGCCATGATCTGGTTGGCGATATCTTGGGTGGCCTTGAGGCCGGAGCTGCAGAAGCGGTTGGTCGAGTATGCGGCGGTGGTGTTGGGGAAGCCGGCGGCCAGACAGGCGGCGCGGATGTAGTAGGCGGCTTTGGCGTCCGAGACATTGCCCAAGCAGATGTCCTCTACCAGCTGAGGGTCGATTCTTGATTTCTNGCGGCGGATGTCAGCAGCTGTGGCGGGTTCTAAGGTGTGTATGGAGGAGCTTACCTGGACAACCTGCTCGAGCAGCTTGAAGACGAGGCCATCAAGATGGGTGTCTTTGAAACCTCCCTTGCCAGCCTTGGTCAGAGGTGTGCGGATGGCGAGAGTAATGACAATGTCGTCGGGGTTCTTCTGTGTGCTGTCGTCCTTGTCAGTCTTCTCCACGGGGTAGTCGATGGTGGGGCAGGGAAGGGCCTACATGGTGTCGAGGGGGCTCTTGCCGGGGGTGATGTGGCGGAGCACTGAGCTTAGTCTTTCGGTTGCCATTGCGTGTGTGAGTGTGTGATATCAGTTGTTATACTGAGTTTGAATGATCTCTTTGCAACAAAAGGGTGGCAGACGGGCACATGTAAATAGTTGGCGCCCATCACCTCGGCAATCGCTTTTTGTGGAGAAGCCTCGGTGCTCGGCCTGGCAGCCCTCACAGACCACACCCTTCCCGAACACACCACTTCACTGGATGCTCTTGTCAATGTCCTTGTGCTTGACTCGCATGAGAACGGGATATCGCCCCTCAAGAAGACCAGCAGCATTTGCGTCTGTCGCTATACACCGAAGGAAGTCATTATCCCGCATATGCTAAACACTGTCTCAATGTGCTATAAAAATGCACAAACCTTTCCACGAAATGACAATGTCCATGGAGAGAGCCTGCTCGTCTTTGGACATCTCCATGGTCACACCTCTGTTTGACTAATTACTGTGCATTCTTATAGCATGAAATGGGATCATATGTCGGTATGAGAGTCCTCCAAGGCCTGCCCAAGGCCAAGATGCAACAGACAAGGCAGTCGCAATATGCATCGTGACTCTCCAGAACGCACTTCCTCTGTTCTGACCTCTTGAACTCATCTTTCAGAACATCAACAACTACCATTCATCATCATCATCAATTCTACTGACTCAGCATCATCATCATCATCAGTCAGCAAACATGTCGAAAATCAAGGAGGTGCCGAAGGAGATCTTGCAAAGTATCGAAACACACATGTCACGCAGAACGATCAGAATGTACAGAAGTGCCAGCAAGTGGCTACGCGATCAACTGGAACGCCAACCTTGGGATGGCCATGCTCGCTATATCCTGACCCAGTCTAGTCTCGAAGACCTGGTCGAAATGTCAAAGAACCTTCCGGGCACAGACAGGGTTCGCTCAATCAGCTTCGGTGCCTTGATCATGGATATCAGGGATGTCTCATCTCGCAGAAATGAGCCCTTCCAGCACGCCGAAGACTTTGACAAGCTGAAAGCGCGCATAGCCGAACAAGAACGCTTTCTCAGCTCAGGCCATCCTCAAAGACTTCTGACCGAAGCTTTCCAGCATCTTGCCTTGCGAAACCGGAAGCTCCATCTAATCGTTCAAGATGACACCGATGGAGCTCATTTCAACCATCTAACAAGAGGAGTTGGTTTTGATGCTCACTACGGACGCTGGGGTGCCGATCCCGATACGAAGTAGCATTCCATCGCCGTCCGGATCGTCAACCTCCTCTTTGACGCCCTTTGGACGAATCCTCTGATATGGTCTCTGAAAATTAAAGCCTTCGAAGACCAGTCTTATCCTATGAATACTCGTCCCAGCTCTGGACAAATGGATTTGAATCCTCCATTTCGCGGTTTAAATTCCCTTTCGCCGCCAACCTCCTACTGTGTTCTCTGGGACACGAGCGCCCACTTATACCACAAGATTTCCGTCAAATTTCAGGCGCTTTCTCCCTCTCGGCAGATTTGTACAGAGATCTCGATTATGCCCATTCTCAATGGACATCGCTTGAGGTTCGAGATGCGCTCGGTAATATCGGAGACATACCCTTTGATCACATGGCCTGAGAGCAATTTTAAGACATGGTGCTTCGAAATAGAGAAAATCTTTCCATTCAGTCATGTCGCATCAGTGGTTATCGAGGACTGCAAGGTCACCGCAAGGCTTGCTCACCTGAATCTTGGCCACTTTCAGCAAGCGACGACATTTCTGTATTTGTCCAATGTTGAGATCATCGTCGCAGATCGAAATGATTATGGAGAACTGGCCGCGTTCCTTGAGTTCTTGAAGCTATGGCCAGTGCTTGTCCACGTCAAGTTCAAGAACGTCACCATATGGTACGACCACGAAGTAAATGATGGCTTTGAATGGCGGAAGACACCACTGCAGTTTGAGAAGGACAAGTACGAGTGGAACTCGAGAGCAGAATTTCATCTGGGACTTGACAAGTTCATCCGCAGGTTCTCCCGCTAGATTGGTGTAGACAGTCATTCTTCCAGAAATCAATGAACAGACCGTCTCTCCTCACACCCTTCAGAGAACAATAGTATACTATAGAAAAACACACTTACTTACTAAAATCATACGTAACCACTGAAACAGCCCTCGACTCTTGTCTCTCCTTTGACATTACTCTGTTCTAGAAACTATTGTGCACTTTTATAGCTATTCGTAAAGCATCTTTATACCTAGTTGGAGTCAAGAGTGATTAGGCAATTAGCAGCGAGTGCTTAAGTAGTACCGATCGAAAATCAGATGTCTACTAAATGCACCCATTTGTATCATCTACTCTAACATCTCTCTTCTTTCTGTTTTTTTTTCTAATAGAATATTCCCTTATAGTTTTGCTTTTACTTCCTATATACTCTAGTAATAGTTATAACAATGTAGATGTAAGATTATAGACATAGTGATAATGTATATATATGTATGTATATGTGTTTACAGTAGAGCATTACTTTTAGTTTTCTTGCTCGGACCCAGACTTTTTTTCGGCAAGGGTGTAACCCTGTCTTTCTTTTATCAACTCTGATATGATTCTTGCATATAGCTACAGTAAGACTATCCATGGCTAATAGTACGAAAAAAGTATGATTATTGAGTGTATATTCTCGAGATTGATAAAGCAGAGGTCTAGGTATGGTGTCGTGCTAATGTCGACAAAGCTAGTCGCTTTCGAGAAGAACCAACGACACCAAAAGCAAATCACCGCAAGAACAGCGATACGACAGCAGTTGGCAATGTGAGAGTCGGGAACGCAAAATGATGCACACAGCCTCTCGTGAGAGCACAAGCTAAATAAATTTGTACGAGATGACAGTCGCGCGTCGCCTAGCTGGCTATGGTGGCAGCAAAGACCAAGTCAGACAACAGATGCCCTTTCCCTCACAAACGCCATCTGTGATTGTACATACACCCCAAAACAGAGGCCAGTTGTTCCTCTCAAAAACAGAATACAAAGACTGTACAAAAATATGCCATCCCTATCCCTGCCATCCTTCCCCTAACACCCCAAATGCACAGCCAACGCATCCTTCAACCCACCCAAACTCAATGGCTTGGCCAAGAAGTCATCAGCTCCTGCCTCCTTGAATTTAGCCCTGGACTCTGTGTTCACGACAGCGGTCAATGCAACAATGATGTGTTTTCGTTGCAACTTTCCCGACGTCTCCAATGCGCGAATCTCGGAGGTGGCGGTTATGCCGTCTTNTTTGGGCATGGATTGATCCTATGTTTGCGTCAGTAAGAAGCAAAAGGAGGAATGAGGAGATGGAGGAGGGAGAGAGCGCGGAAGACTTACCATGAAGATCATATCAATAGCAGTATCGTGTGTCAGTGTTTGAGTCACGGCTGCTTCGCCATCAGGGGCAAGAATGACTTTATGCCCCAGTGAGACCAGCATTTTCTGGAAGAGTTTTGCGTTGATGATGTTGTCTTCTACCAGCAACACAGTCTGTGGTTGTGCTTGCACTGGAGAACCTGCTTTTTGCTGTTGTTCGCCTTCAACGCTGAAGGAGGGAGCTTTTTGTTGGTTTTGCTGGTGTTGGCGTGTTTCTTGTTCAGAGGAGGAGTGGACTAGAGAAGAGGTTGGAATGTCTTGCATGACTTCTACCGTAGGAGCAAAGCGCAAGGTGCGTGAGACGGCGGCACTGCGGCTGCGGCGGTTCGCGGCGTCGACACGAGTGGCGAAGGAGTGCCAGACTAGTGGGCGTGGGAGGAGAACCACGTGGGGCGCTGCTACGATGCCAGGAAGTCCCGAAAGAGAGTTTTGCGTATCGTAAGGCACTAACACCAGCCAATCTTGTCGCTTCATGAGGCGGCGAAATTGGTCTTTGTTATTGAGGAGGAAAGGCATATCAGCCCAGATGTATTTCCACTCTTTTTCCGGGAGGTCAGATATGTTGCTTGCAACCGTGACTTCATGAGCAAACATTTCCCAGGCTGTTTTTATGCCTTGAAGAGATCTGGTGTCCGACTCGGACAGTATTGCTACATGCCTTTCATCTCGTTGGTCTGACGGTTGTGGGGGCAAAGAAGAAGGCTGCAGAGGCACGGTGACAGTGAATGTGCTTCCGCTCTGATTAGGTCCCACATCTTGCGAGTACGCAAACTTCGACTCCACGGTGATGGTACCGTTCATGGCTTGCAGAAGTTGTTTGATAATGCTGAGACCAAGACCCGTACCTCGTTGGTTTCCCTTCTGCTCGCCTTGTTTGTATGGCTCAAACATTTGAGGAATGAAGGTCGGATCAAGGCCAATACCAGTATCTCTGACTGATGCTATCAGTCTGTCGCCACTGACTTCGATGGAGAGTATGATGTAGCCTGATCTCGTGAACTTGCAAGCATTGGAGAGCAAATTCATCAGAATACGGTGGATATACGTCTCATCCAGGAATATCGAGATTGGAACATCTGGAGCCACCACAACGCAAAGTTCAACATCTGCTTCATCGTCCTTGTTGGGAAGCAGGATGATGATAGACTCGCAGACTGTGCGGATGTCCAGTGACACGGGTTTACAGACCGCTTTGGCGTCCTTCTCCAGTTTTGACCAATCCAGTACGTTGTTAGTGATCAACGAGAGTGTCTTGGTCGCTCTTTGAATGGCGGCCAGATGAGCTCGACCTTCCTCAGTCAACGGTGTCTGCGAGAGCAAATCACTATAACCTTGCAGATGATGCAATGGTGTTCTGATTTCGTGACTCGCAGCTGCAATGAATTCACTTCTTGCCAAAGCAGCCGCCTCTGCATTCTCTTTCTGAGCAATTGTTCGCCACAACTCTCGACGCGTCCATATGATCTCAGCAAGCTTATTGCGAGAAACAGTTGCGCTATGCGCTAGCAACCCGTTGGCCGCAATGCATGTTGTGAATGCAATCAGCACCACTGCGGCTGCGATTATAGGTGGATACCCTCTGAGCTCTGATGGCGGGGATGTGGACCAGAAAGTAGCAGCTCTCATGCCAGTAAAGTGCATTGCAGACACTCCCGTTGTCGCGACAACTGAGAAGAGTAGTTGCTGAGATAGCATGGCCTCCATTTCGGCCATGCATATGCAACCGACTGTACACACTAGCCAGGATATGAGAGCAGATGCTATGACAATCCAGGGGTTTAAGACGACCTTTCCATTGGGAATCTTCAACCCATGTATTCCGGTGTAGTGCATGCTGGTGATCGCGATCGACCATAGAAATCCTTTAAGTATATTCCTTGGTGTCATGCCGAAGTACAGAATTTTCGCCGTAGCCACGAACGCGTTTACTGTGGATGCTGGAGCTCGACGATATGCAAGCCCCATGGCACTACTGAGACCATGGCTTGTACTCGATCCAGAAGACGACTCGCGACGTAAAGTAGACCCATCACTAGAGGATTGGCCCAAGGACCCAGAGCTGATCGTAGATGCGTCATCCCTGAATCCAGTGGAGGTGTCATCACGAAGACTCTGCGTTGTGACCCTCCTCAGACTGGGTATACTACGCCCAGAGGCACTTCGTTCTACGATAGGTCGTATGCTGTCGCGTGGCTGTATCTTGGGGGATATGACAATTCCTGGAGATGGTGGTAGCAGACTCTGATCGAATGAAGCACCTGGTCCATCTTGCGAAGATCTGAAGAAGTCTGTCCTCGGCCCACTCCAGCTTTGACTTTCCGGATTCCGAGCAGGCGATTGACGAGGTCTGGATAGTAATGGCTGGTCAGGAGCAATTTCTTCGTCCTGGTAGTCGTCATCACCCTCTTCATCTTCCTCCTCCTCCGCCACTGCACGAAGCGACATAGATGGCTGAAAGCTGGTCCTGTTCTTGTTCATAGGACTCAGCGTAGTAGTCTTCTGCCGTGTCTTTCTACCTCTACGTCTCTTCCTCCCTCGGCCGTGATGCCAGCGCTCCCAGAGCAATTCACATCCTAAGGCCCAGAATGTGAAAAAGACCGGCAGAAAGGCGCTCAACACCGTGAGTGGCGTATTGATACCCATCTTCACATCAAATTCGCACGCCAACATTGCAACCATGTGTAGACACCAAACAGAACAACCTCCAAACACAAAACTGCCAAACAGCACCCACAGCAAAACACTGTGGAATCGTAATGACATCCTTGCATGGCACATGAGTTGTGTCGAGGTAAAAGCTCCTAGAAAGGAGATGGCAATGGATGCCACGATCAAGATGGGATTCCATTGCGGCTCCAATTGACGATACATGCCGCCCCCTCCACCGTCCGGGAATACATGTGACTTTAGGTGTCCAGTAGTTGACGCTCGCTAGATGTTGTCGACGACCATGAGTATATTTCCACGCCTGGCGCGTATAGAATGCAGAGTGAAAAGGGCTCCAGTCCTGTGGCAATATTGTGTGGTTTTGCAAGTCCAGGGCAAGAGCGGGAGGTGCAAGCGTCGTGGCCTTCGTGATGCGCAACTGCCGTCAATTCCACTACAACTTCACTGCTGCACCGCACCAAATTGTTGCAGACTTGCAGTCGTTACAGGAGGTGACAAGAACGAAAACCCGGTGGTTCGGTCTCTGGCACAGTTGCTTCAGAACTTGTGAGCAGCCACAGCTCCAAATTAGGTTCCATAGCTTACCAGCACGTCGCGTGCGAAAGAAACGGGTTAGTGCCAGAGTGACATCCAGGGCTTCTGCAGCCTTCTACGATACATCGTGCTGACATGCAACAGTTTACAAGTGCTCAAAACGGGCATGCCAGATGTCTGCTCTCGATTCAAAGATGTTTGGAACAGTTGAGCCTCAAGATGTGTCATTGCGCGATGCAACGATGATCAACGCAAGCTTGGTGGGTTGAACCAAATTTCTCGTGTTTGCTCTCCAGATCGAGCTTCAGCTCTTTTGTGGCGCTATTCGTCATCATAGTATAACAGAATAGCACGGAGATGACCGGTGAGGCATTTGCACGCGATGAGAAGACTCGAGCACAGAGAGACATTTCCTTTCTTTCTCAAAATATACAATGCAATTGTTTTTACATGCCCATGTGCCACGCTTGCACGCCTTGCCTTCCACCTCTATGTCGGAAGATGCCTATATGTACAGCTATTGTTGTTACAAGAAAAAGTTACAGCACAAAATACCGCTGCGCTATCCATACGATGCGATCATAAACACAAAAACTCCTGAGAAATAGCAGCTCTATCGTTCGTATATCATTGCTCCCAAGCTTGGCCTTGCCCACGTTCCACGACTACGTGCGGAGCAAGATCTCTTGAAGCCTGTCAACAACCCTGGGCATGCTGTTTATAGCATGCAATGTCCTGGGTGCCTGATCTTGAATCTCAGAAATCGTACCAATCTGTTGTCTCAGCTCTGCCGAGCTGATGCCCGGTTCCTTGTGATAGTCGCCTAGACCGCGACTAGTAAGACCACGTACTTCTAACAATGCACTGGCCAGATGGACCATCGTACGATACTGCGGAATGACTTGATCTCTGTTGATGTATCGCGCACTGATGTATTGCAATGCTTCCTTGTGAGTTTGCTTCTTGAGATAGACGACATCGGGTCTTCTTATCGCGCCATGTCTATAAGAAATCCAGCCAGGCCAGTCTCGCATCATGTACTTCTCGACCAGTGTGTAGGCGAGCAATGCACGTGGAGGGCTTGTCCGGCAAAGTTGTACAATGAGCTCGTTCCAAGTATTGTTAGCGAACCGGAAGCCCTGTGAAAGCAATTTCATCATCATCGGAACAAGCTTCCTGATTGAAGATTGTGCGAATTGAGAGCGGATGTAGTACTGTAGTGGTCGCGATAGCACAAAGCGGTAGTATGAGGGCACTCGCGCGGTCTCCGCTTCTCGTGGGCCTCGAGTGGTCTGACCCTGTCGAATAGACTGTACCAATTTCGATGCTGGGACGTGCGTAAGACGTATGTCGTCTACCCGGGACTTGATAAGATCCCAGTACTTGTCGACCTCGCTCCACTCTTGAGCTTGGCTGTGTACGAACATGAGATTCGTGAGCAGAAGCACGATTGGTACTTGATTGTGATCAGTGTCCACTTCTGCAAGCTTTCCTTGAAACATCTGGAACAGATGCTGAACTGCCTCGAATGTCCTACGTCGGCCATGGATATAAATCAAATGACCTATGTCCATGACTTCATGGCCAAGCGGTTCAGGCTGGAATCCATGACGGAAAATTCGATTGTCGTTTAACACCTGTTGGAAATCTTCGATTGCAAGGTCCAAAGGCGACAAATGGCCAGCTTCGTCTGTTTGGTCGCGTGTGATGCTGTCTTGTCTGACAGCTTTCGCCTTGCGCGCAATGGCTCGAGCGCTAGACGTCTGTCGGACTCGTGCCAGCTTCATCTCGTCCTCGACTTGACACGCTTCCGAATACATTTCTTGGCCAATGTAGCCACTTGTGAGAATGGCATAATGGAAGGCCAAAGGCCGTATGCCGTTTGCGGGCATGACCGATTTTAGGATTTTGTGCGCTGATGGTGATTGACGAACGAGACAGAGAACCAGCATCAATGCTCCATACGATCGCTCGTCGAGAGGCACATCCTCTTCCTTCATGCGATGGTAGACCGCCATGGTACCCTTGAGGTCGCGTTTCCATGCCAAGGCAGTAAGTATGGTGTTGAAACACGGGGTGAGAGAACCATCCGCTCTATCTTGCCGGACAGCCTGAACAGTCTGATCCAATGCTTCCAGAGCACCGTTTATTTCATAATTGGTAGTCAAAGCAATAATCATGCAGTTCAACATGTGGGCGGTAGGTCTTGCCGCGCCATTCGACTTTGCAAAATTCAACAGGTCAATCACCCCATCAACGTCTCCTCGCTTAGCGTATAGGTTAAGCAGCGAGGTATATGTGTACTCGTCAGGCTCAGTCCCGGAGTCCAACATCTTACGGAAGAGTTGCAAAGCTCCTGGTAAATCGTCATTCCGCGTGTAGGCATGCAGAACAATATTCCAACATCTCAAATCTGGCGAGACGCCGAATTCTTTCTTCATGTCATGAAGCTGTTGAGCAGCAAGTGAAGGCTTGCGGTTGACTGCATGGACAGTGAGAAGAGGCCAAAGAACCTCAACATCTAAGCCGTTCTTAGCATAGAGAGATTTGTACAGATAGGCGTGCTCTCTGACAGGTCCTTCAACGCCACGTTGAGCAAAAGCAACCATGATGTTGAGAAGAGCTCTATCACTGGGGGTTTGATGGTATTTGTAGAAGTCTTCCAAAATCTTCTCCTTGCCGATGAAGTCGCTTTTGGCCCTTTTTGGAGAATAAGCAAGGTAGTGATCCTTCCAGAAACTGGTCATTTGCAAAAGCAATTTCTCAGTAGGCGCGTAAAAATCGGACTGCCGATAGAGCAAGTAGGTAGCACCGACGACTGCAGTGCAGGCAGGGTTCTCGGCGCAGCGGGATAGAGTCAACAACGACATGAGTACGTTTTCATATAGCTCAGCCGAGGCCAAACCACGCGCATGTGTCCTCAAGATTAGCGTCTTCACAGATTCACGAACCTTTTCAGCAGCAGAATCGTGTTGTCTCATGAAGAGAGGATCTCTTGATTGTGCGTGAATCCATCGACCCATCATGAGACCATAGAGACGCAGTGACTCTTGAGCAAGTTCATCGTTTTCCTCGTGTTTTGGCCTTTGGTAGCACAGCCTACGGAGATCGTGCAGCCGTGTAAGAATCAATGGGAAAGGGCGGACGACAGTTTTCCAAAGAATTGCAGCCTCCTTCGTGGAGGGCGCCGAGGCATTATATGTTTCCCACTCTTTTAGAACAGATATAGCCAAGGGCCAGTCTCCTTCATGGACCGCAGAGGCCATCAGATGGCCAGAAGCGATGAGACCTTCTTTTGGCAGTAGAGATGCTTCCTTGTGCAAGGCAGCGGCGGTAGGTTGACGACCAAGTCTTAGATTTGAACGAATTGCATCTTGATAAACGGAGGGCGATTTCGATTCATTGGGCAGGTTGGAAAAGAGGTCAGCAGCGTGTCGATCGGCGGTCTTGTCATGTGTCTCGGAGAACCAGTGGATGGCACGACAGACCAAGACAGGAGTGGGCTCAGAGATTTGAGAGAGGAGGTTCCAGGCACGGTCGACGTCCAAAGAGAGAAAAGACGGATCAGACATAGGNNGGGAGTCTAATAAGGCAAGAAGCTCGTGGTGAGCACGGGAAGGGGAGATCGAGGAGGTGGGAGGGGCGTTCCGGCCGGTCAAGGAGGAATAGCCTCTCAAGACATTGGGTCGAGCGTGTCTACGAGACCATCTTTCCCACTGAGACAGGCGTGTCATGAAGGCCTGGGTCGGGGCGGGGTAGAGGAAGTCGAGGAAGGGAGGAGCATCGTAAGGGTCGGGTGAGGCAGGAGCGGTGGAACAGGCAGCAGGAGCGGGAGCAGGGGGCGCGAGACTCGAGTATAGGCAGAGGTGATCGACATCAGGAGCGTTGGTTGCCCAAAAGGACGAGTGGAGCAGTCGGCGACTTTTGGGGAACAGACTCTTCTGGCGCAAAGAGAAGCGAACTCCAGTGTCGAGACATGCCGACGTGCGCTCTAGCATGCCACGACTGGTCTCAGTGTGGTACAGGCACAGGCGACGGCGCTACCACAAGCAGCCGAGAGAAGTATGGTTCATACCAGGACCCGAGAGGAAGCGAGAAGGTTGCTGCTGCTGTGGCGTGATGCGAGAAGGCTGCACGGATATGTCGAAGGGAATGAGACGGTAGGACGGCGACTCAAGACGGTGATGAGGATTGGGGTGCGAGCGAGGGCGGGAGCACAGGAGAGGGGCGGCGGCGGAGGTGGAGGGCGGCGAACGAAGGCGACTTCTGTATGTTTCTCTCGGGCAGCTGCACGCTGTTGACTGCGGGAGACTTTTCGTCGACATCAGCACTGGAGATCGCCAAGCCTCGGAATGCCCTGCCCTGCCCATCGCCGGCCGGCAAGACTCGCTCGCAGCTCGCAGCGTGCAGCGTGCAGCGTGCCCTAGACGACGCAACCCCACCAATTGGACACTTCGACAGCTCGACACCAGAATTATCCCAGCTTCCTCTCCGAAGGGCACACGACACGCCAGCATGGACATCACCGCCTTTACCGTGGGCAACCGCGACGCCGCCCTGCTCATCGCCGACTACAACGCATACCGCAAGCAACTCTCGCGACAACTGCTCGCTCTGCGCAAGCGTCTGGGCCGCTCTACCAACAAGGGCCAAAAGTACTCCAACAAGTCGACCGTCACCGCCGAAGATGTCGCCCAGAACCCTCAGTACCACTAGTCTATCCACACAAACCATGCACCGCCCAGCTGACCCTCTTGAAGGACCGTCCGTCTCCTGCTGCTCAGCTGCGAACGCGCTTGGGCCCACGCCATGCACATCAAGTCAATCCACTCCGAGGACAACCAAGGAAACGGCATAACCGGAACCACTCGTTCGCACATCATCTCACGCTTCCACAAGGCTGCTCGTTTCGCCCAGAACCTGACCGATATCCTGAAAGACTACCAAGCTTCAAAGACAACCCACCAGGATCTGCTCGAGGCTGAAGCCTACCGCGCCTCTCTTTCCGGAGCCGAACACTTCGAGAAGCAGTCCGAGGGTCGCGTCAACACGGAGAATCCCTCGAGATGGGATTTGTGCCTGCGCGAGTATTCTACTGCCCGTATCATCTATGCAACCCTGTTTGCTCAAGGGAACAAGGACCTCTTCCGTGAGATCCTCGCCAGCGCCGTCGATCCTGCCATCCGTTATGCTGCCTATCAAGCCCGCCTTCCTCGTTCAATTCCCGTATCTACTGTCGCTCTGCGCTACTTCCCCAAGGATGACTCTACTCTGGTCGACCTGTTACAACAGCTCGACTCCAACGCCCTCAGCGAGACCACTACGGAAATCAGTACGTCAAGCAAGCCATCTAGTCTTGTGCACCAGAGTCACTAACGAAGCATGCTAGCTCCCCAAAATCTCGGCACGACCAACATTCCCAACACGATCAACTGGCGGTCCATGACTGCCAACATCGTAGACGCCTCAATTGGTCAAGCTCTTGCTGCTGTCGAGTCTGCCGAACCCGAACTAAGCTCATACCTCAAGTCCAATGCCTCTGCCCTCACCAGAGACCGCGCCGGTGCCTACGACAATGTCCTTATTGCCAGCCAGGACGCTGCAGATGCCACTAGAAGAGCCATCGAAGAATTGGAGAAGGAAAAGGTAGACGAGGGCGACAACAGAATGCAAGATTTGCGCATCACCAGTCTTGCGGTCAACTACGCGCTTGTCAGCTGGCGTGTGGGCAGAAATCGTGTTCTCATTGGATCCGAAGATGGCAGACTGTTTGAAGAAAAGAAGACCAAATCCAGCAAACGCACTCGTGACCAGCACAAGTCGGAGCCCAGAGGAAGCCAACTTGCTCGTCTGCGCGAGAGAGTTGTGCTTTACGATTCGACTATTCAAAGCATTGACTCCATCAAGGAGTTGAGAGGTGCCATGAGAGACGAGAGCTTTGTGCGTGAGGTGGACGGCAAGCGTGCCTACTTCCAGGCTCTGAGATGCCTCAACATTGCAGTCTCGCACGCTCTCTTGTCGGAGCATGTCAACGCTCTTGCTCTTCTAGCCCGCGCACTTGAACTTGCAAAGCAATGCGCGAGCTCATTACCATTGACTTCATCCGACTCAAACTCTGCGCCTACCCTCGACATCCACAAGTCTCAAGCCGATGCACTTCAGACTCAGCTCCAGCAACTCGTGTACAGACATCAAGCACTGGTGGACCTGCACAAGTTCCACGACAATACATCGATCGCAGCAGCCAAGCACATGTCCACAGCTGCCCCTCTTGTCCAACGCCTCAGCGACTTCCCCACACCAGGCGTCAATGTCAATCTCAAAAACCTGGTCACTTATCCTCCCAAGATCGAGCCGATCCCTGTCAAACCATTATTCTTTGACGTCGCATGGAACTACATTGATTATCCGACCATGGGCAAGCAAGTGGTGGAAGCAAAGGCGGCTGTGAGCAACGTGATAGCCGAAGAGAAGCCCAAGGAGGAAAAGAAAAAGGGCTGGTTTGGATTTGGACGATGAGCAGTTTATATGTTTTTCACAAAAGCACGTAGATTAGTGTATATTCCGACATCGAGATAGACGATGAGACAATGAGATCTAAGTCAATCTACGCGAAACTCGATGGTCGGCTTTCTTGCTTGGTTGGTGGTACTCATATTCTTTTGGAGTGAGTGAGTGGGATGAAATGCGTCAGTCGAAAATCCGAGCACCGAGCGGATAGGCTTTCCCTCTTGTTCGCCGCACACCCACCTCGACGTGCGCCAACTGATTTGACTCTTCGCCGTCACATGCCACCACCAGTCACACGACTTTACTGACCGTGCGACTGCCCATACCTCGACCACAGTCGCCACACAATCTCTCGAGTCGCCCCACCGACAAGACATCATGGCGCCCAAGAAGAAGGGAAACAAGAAGGCCCAGCAGGACGACTGGGAGGCCGAGCTCGGCGAGACCGTCGACCCCATAGCTCAGGCCGAGCAAGAGGCAAAGGCCCAGGAAGCCGCCCAGGATGCTGAGGAAGACGCAGCTCCCGCCGGCGGTCTGATGGCTGCTCTCAAGCGCAGACAGAACAAGAAGGGAAAGAAGGGCAAGCAGCAGGACAACGACTGGGAAGCCGAGCTCGGTGAAGACCCTACTGCCGCCGAAGATGGAACTTCTACTCCTCCTGTCGACCTCTCCGCCAAGGCTCCCGAGGAGGGCACCATGGACGACGAGGACCTCTACCCGGAACCCGCTAAGAAAGGAAAGGGTGGCAAGGGCGGCAAGCAGCAACCCGAGCCCGCACAGGACGACGATGATGANCGACGACGACGAGAAGGACTCCAGTGGTCGCGTTTTGACCAAGAAGGAGAAGGAAAAGCTGAAGAAGGAGCGCGAGAAGCAGAGAAAGAAGGAACAGGTGAGCAGTATTGTGCTATACTGGGAAAATACAGGAGCTAATCACTCATTTACCAACAGGCCGCAGCCAAGAAGAAGGCAGGTGGTGCTGTACCCGCTGCACCCAAACCCCAGCCCATCAGAGACACCCCTTCGCCGAGCGCTATCGAGCCTGTTGCAGCAGCTCCCGAGCCTGCAGCTGGTGGCAAGAAGAAGAAGCTCAACCCCGCCCTCGCCGCCCTTCAGAGACAACAAGCCGAGCTGAAGGCCAGAGAGGAGGAGGCCGCTCGCCTCGAGGCCGAGGAGCGTGCCAGAGCCGAGGAAGAGGAGAAGATGGCTGTTGAGGAAGCAAAGGCCAGAGAAGAAGCCAAGGCCCTCAAGAAGCAAAAGGAAAAGGAGAAGATCGAGCAGCTCAAGAAAGAGGGCAAGTACAAGACAAAGGCTCAGAAGGAAGCCGAGGCCCGCCAGCAAGCTCGTCTCCAACAAATGCTCGAGAGTGGTGCCATTGTTGCTGGTATCTCCGGCGAAGCGGACGACGCTAAGAAGGCACAGAAGGAGAAGGACCGTAGAAAGAAGAACCCTCGCAAGGCCGCCGAAGAGCGTGCTGCTGCCGAGGCCGCAAAGGCTGAGGAGGAGGCCGCCCGCAAGAAGCTCGAGGAGCTACGTCTCGTCGAAGAGCAGAAGAAGGCCGCTGAGGAGGCAGCCGAGAAGGCCAAGGCTGACGCTCTCGAGAAGAAGGCCGAAGAGTCGGACGAGCTCGAAGACTGGGAGGCCGAGGCCGAGAAGTTGGAGACCGAGGGTGTCAAGGACAGCTGGGACGCTGCATCAGACGACGATGAGGATGGCCCCAAGACCGTCAAGTCCGTTGTCAATGGCAAGCCCGTCCAGGACGGCGCAGCCGGCAAGAAGGCCAACATCAAGGACGACTCCGACTCCGACTCCGAATCAGACTCTGAAGACGATTCCGACTCAGACTCGTCTTCTGACGAGGAAGCGAGCGCAAACGCCCGTGCCCTCGCTCAGCGTAAGCGTGAGGCTGCCGAGAGACGTCAAAAGACCATCGCAGATGCCAGAGCTGCTGCTTCCAAGGACAACCTCCGTTCGCCTATTTGCTGTATTCTTGGTCACGTCGACACCGGAAAGACCAAGCTTCTGGACAAGATTCGTCAAACTAACGTCCAGGAAGGTGAAGCTGGTGGTATCACTCAGCAGATTGGTGCTACCTACTTCCCTGTCGAGGCCTTGGAGAAGAAGACTGCTGTCGTGAACACTGATGGCTCTTTCAACTTCAAGATTCCCGGTCTTCTTGTCATCGATACCCCTGGTCACGAGTCTTTCACCAACCTCCGTTCCCGTGGTTCTTCGCTTTGTAACATTGCTATCCTGGTCGTCGATATCATGCACGGTCTTGAACCTCAAACTCTCGAGTCGATGAGATTGCTCAGAGACCGCAAGACCCCTTTCATTGTCGCCCTCAACAAGATCGATCGTCTCTACGGCTGGAAGCAGATTGCCAACAATGGTTTCCGCGAGTCGCTCGCCATGCAGAACAAGGGTGTCCAGAACGAGTTTGCCGACAGACTCGAGAAGACCAAGATCGCCTTTGCTGAGCAAGGTTTCAACTCTGAAGTCTTCTACGAGAACAAGTCGATGGCTCGTAACGTCTCTCTCGTCCCCACGTCCGCTCACACTGGTGAGGGTATCCCCGATATGCTGAAGCTCATCACTCAGCTCACTCAGGAGAGAATGGCTGGCCAGCTCATGTACATCACCGAAGTCGAATGTACCGTTCTGGAAGTCAAGGTTATCGAGGGTCTTGGTACCACCATCGACGTTGTCATCACTAACGGTCGTCTGAAGGAGGGTGACCGTATTGTGCTGTGCGGTACAGAAGGACCTATTGCCACCAACATCAGAGCTCTGCTCACACCTGCTGAGATGAAGGAGTTGCGTGTCAAGTCTGCCTACGTTCACAACAAGGAGGTCAAGGCTGCTTTGGGTGTCAAGATTACTGCCAACGGTTTGGAGAACGCCATTGCTGGATCTCGTCTGCTCTTGGTCAAGGAGGACGACGATGAGGAGGAGCTCATGGACGACGTCATGTCCGATCTCGAGAACCTGCTCAGCAAGATTTCCACATCCGGACGTGGTGTTACCGTGCAAGCATCCACTCTTGGTTCGCTCGAGGCTCTGCTCGAATTCTTGAAGCAGATGAAGATTCCCGTGGGTTCGATCTCGATCGGTAACGTTCACAGAAGAGATGTCATCACAGCATCAACCATGCTGGAGAAGCACAAACAATACGCCGTCATGCTCTGTTTCGACGTGAAGGTCGACAAGGAAGCTCAAGCCTACGCCGACGAGGTTGGCGTCAAGATTTTCACCGCCGACATCATTTACCATTTGTTCGACCAGTTCACCAAGCACATGGCCGAGATTGCCGCACAAAAGAAGGAAGAGTCCAAGATGTTGGCAGTCTTCCCCTGCATCCTCAACCCCATCCAAGTCTTCAACAAGACCAACCCCATCGTCGTCGGTGTCGATGTCATGGACGGCGCCCTGCGCGTAAACACCCCCATCGCAGCCGTCAAGATCAACTCGGTCACCGGCGCAAAGGAAGTCATCCCCATGGGCCGCGTCACCTCCATCGAGCGCGAGCACAAGCAAATCCCCCTCTGCAANAAGGGACAACCCGCCGTCGCCGTCAAGATCGAGGGCAACAACCAACCCACCTATGGTCGTCAACTCGAAGACAAGATGATCCTGTACTCGCACATCAGCAGAGCTTCTATCGATACACTCAAGGAGTTTTACCGTGATGAGGTTACCAAGGAGGAGTGGAACCTTATTGCCAAGCACCTCAAGGGTCTGTTTGATGTCGTGTAGGGAAAAAATGCATATGATGCATAAAAAGTTGTTTAGCAAAGGGAGGTGTTCTTTATCTTTGTGTAGCTTAGGCAATGAAGAAATCTTTTTACATGTTCATTGATCTGAGAGTTCAAGAATTCACAGGATGGTTACGGATAACTTGTGTAGCTGTTTCTCTGTTCCTCTTTGCCTAGTCGTTGCTCATTCTCTGATCGGACATGTTGGTTGGATGCTCTCGAGCTTGTCGATGCTTCCTTCTCCCTGATGATGTGCCCGGCTTTGCCCTCGCCCAATACCAAAGCCGTCAGGAAGCCACACGCGGACTGTTGCTTCCTTTTCTGGTAAGCCAGCATCACGCTTTGTGTTCTCTTTGCCAGGTCACGATATACATATAAACCACTACTTGGTGTAAGCGTACTCGATGGTTGCTGGTCCATCCCCGAGTCATACGCCAGCGAGATTTAATGAGTGCCAAGCTCACAGAATAGATAATAGGTATAAGATTAGGAATCTGTTCACCACCTACTTCGAGTCCCTCAAGTTGCGTTCTTAGGATCGATGTCACGGCTTGATCTGGCATACTGAAACAGCAACCATTTCCTCCAAATATCCGGCATTTGGCTCATGTTCGAGAGCAGGAGTGAGAGGCCAGAGGTCCATCACGAGCCTTTTCTGCTGTGTCATTTACGAACCGGAAAGAAGTCGCATCAAGTGTTAGATGACGTTCAGAACTCTTGGTATTTCAACAAATCATAGCGGAGAGCACATGATCAAGATCCGACACACTGCATGGGTAGAAATTGTGCATGTAGACAGGCAAAGATGGCCAAGGAAAGATTGCGTAGTCTTGTTGGTAGGTCGAGCGGCGGCAAGAGAAATGTCGGACGCGTACTCGTCAGCGTCAAAGGTGTATTGCCAAGGATAAGGTGGCCAAGCGCTTTGCAGTCCTCGGGCGCGGCAGTGCACATTGGTTTCACGCCTCCTGGTCATGTTTTGCAGGATCGTGATGTCCCCGGCTGGTCGCGGAAAGCATGACGAAGTCTGGGTAGAGAGGACACGACAGCAGGAGAGCAGGGGAGCGAGAGAGGGTGCAAGTTGTTGGTATTCCTATATGAGAGGTTGTGTTATCGAGGGATAAAAATAGAGAGAGTAATGACGATCCCACCGGACTTTACGAAGAATACGACGGAGTTTCGAGAGAGAAAACAAGGGTCTCGAGATGTTGGTTGCTAGGCCAAGGGAAAGCCATGGCTCCAAGCATTTGGTAGCGCCTCTTCGGCCGATGAACATGGTGCTCGTATTAACCAGGTCGCTCTGACATAGACCACCACTCTCGCTCATTGTTTCATACCGTTCCTTCCAGTCATCTACTCTGTGTCGCGAGCATCTATCGAGTCGTAAACAAAGACGCAGGGCAAAAACGCTCCACTGTATAAGACGCCCGCTCCTTGGAATAGGACGCTAGACCGTCTCGCCACCACGCGCGTCCATGGCCACGACTGCCTTCCGCTTCTGTCTACTCTGGGCCTTCTTTGCTGCATTCGTCGCCGCCAGTTCGACCACACGCAACCCACTGCGTGCCATATCCACAATTCAAAATGCCACAATAGACACACATACCCATCGTGTGACGGCTTTGCATCACTTCGACTTGACTTTCGCATTGCGCCCGGATTTACATGTCAAACTCTCGCTTGAGCCCAACGACGACCTTCTTCCAAACTCCGGTCTGGTCGTCTCCTACTTGAACTCCGACGGAACTATCTCTAGGACCGAGGACCTTGATCGGCTGGCCCACAAGGTCTTCCGAGGAAGCGCCTGGTACCGTCAGGAAAACGTCGACGATGAATGGATAAGAGCAGGATGGGCAAGAATCACAATTGTCAAGGACGGTCTGCAGCCTCTGTTTCAGGGTGCATTTTCGTTGAACCACGATAACCACCACATTCAACTCGCCCCGCACTTTGCCCACACACGCCATGACCTTGATCCTCATGTTGATACTGCAGATGAGAATGCCATGGTTGTCTACCGCGATTCAGACATCCTGCTGGACCAGGACGTCGACTATCATATGCAAGAGCTGAGAAGAAGTCTGGATTATAATGATGGACTCACCTGCCAGTCAGACAACCTAGGCTTCAACAGTCAACCTGATCATCCTGTCTACACCGCCATGCTACGACGATCCGACTCTGTCCTAGGTAGCGAAACTCTAGGTAATCTGTTCGGTAAGCGCCAGGTCGATAGCAGTACCTCCGGCAACTCTGCGGGCGTCGATCTCAGTTCCACTATTGGCCAGACCAAAGGTTGTCCGACCACTAGACAAGTTGCCCTTGTTGGCGTCGCTACAGACTGCACATACACTGCCCAGTTCAACTCGACCGAGTCTGTACGCATGAATGTCATTGACCAGATGAATACAGCATCCAGCATATACGAACAAACTTTTAACATCTCACTTGGTTTGGCCAACTTGACCATCTCAGACTCAAACTGTCCTGGAACGCCCAACTCTGCAAGTGCTTGGAACCAGGCCTGTAGCGATAGCGTCGAAATTCAAGATCGACTCAATTTGTTTAGTGCATGGAGAGGAAACCAAAAGGACAGCAACAGCCACTGGACCCTACTCAGCACTTGCAACACTGGTAGCGCAGTCGGTCTCGCCTGGCTTGGTCAAGCATGCGTTCAGACGGCCTATTCCACAAACAGCAGTACCACCGGCAACGGACAATCTTCTAGCGCTGGCGCCGAGACCGTGACAGGTGCAAACGTCGTCGTCCGAACCCGAGGAGCATCAGAGTGGCAGATTATCGCCCACGAGACTGGCCACACTTTCGGTGCTGTTCATGATTGTACAGATCAAACCTGCGCACAAGCTTCGACCGTCAGCAGTCAACAGTGCTGTCCCCTAAGTTCTTCTGTCTGCAACGCAGGCGCGAACTATATCATGAATCCTTCGACCAGTTCTGGTGTCAAGACCTTCAGTCCATGCAGTATCGGCAACATTTGCAGTGCTCTAGGTCGCAATAGCGTCAAATCTACCTGTCTGACTGCCAACAGAAACATCAAGACCATCGGCACACAGGAGTGTGGCAACGGCATCGTTGAGGAGGGTGAAGACTGTGATTGTGGTGGCGAGTCTGGATGTTCGGGCAATTCATGCTGTGACGCGACAACTTGCAAATTCAAGAACAGTGCCGTCTGTGATGACAGCAACGAAGGCTGCTGCCACAACTGCCAATTCGCCTCCAACGGAACCGTTTGTCGCGCTTCGACAGGGCCCTGTGATCCCGCAGAGACTTGCCCTGGAACCTCGGGCAGCTGTCCTCAAGATGCGAACGCGCCCGATGGTGATAGCTGTGGAAACAGCCTCCAGTGTGCCAGCGGCCAGTGCACAAGTCGTGATCAGCAGTGCAGAAGCGTCATGGGCGGCTACCAAGGCGTTGGAAACAACACTTCGGCTTGCGACAGCTCAACCTGCCAGATCAAATGCTCGGGCGGTCGTTCCTCTGTGTTCGGAAACAATGTCTGCTTCGAGGTGCAACAGAACTTCTTAGACGGCACACCTTGCGGAGGCGGAGGTAGATGTGACAATGTAAGTTCTGCACACGAAACAAAGACAAACAAGAGCAACTACTAACAAATATACAGNGGACGCTGCAGAGGCACAAACACCGGAGGCGAGATTCGCTCATGGATCGACGACCACAAGGCCGTTGTGATCGGTGTATGCTGTGGCGTAGGCGGTCTCCTCCTCTTCCTCATCTTCGGCTGCTGCACTCGTGCCTGCAAGAGACGCAGAGCCAAGCCTGCGAAGATGCAATCACCACCGCCTGGCTGGGGCACCCAGATGCGTCCTATGCCGCAAAACCCTTCGTACCCGCCGCCTCAGCAACATTATGGACAAGGGTATGGGCAGCAGTGGGCTCCACCGCAAGGGCCGCCTCCACCGGCGTATACACCAGGAGCGCGGTATGCATGAGTAAATCCTACATAGGTATGGGCGTTACATGGTTGTTTTTGGCGTTCTATGGGGCGATTCTTGTCTTGTCGACATGTTCATATTTAACCTTTTCGGAAATCGATTGTAGATAGTCTTCAGAAAGGAAAGATTACGTGTATGATTCTACTTGTTCCTTCCCTTCGTCACTCTCTAGTAAGCTGCTGGAAAGTATGTGCTGGTTGAAAAATGTTGGTATATACAGTACGAGGTCCGGCCTGCATAGATCTTCTCCAGTGGGATGTGATTGTATTTCGACGGGATGTGACCATATTCGGATGGCACGGGATTCCTGTCCCTCAGATGGTAGCAATAGCTTGAGGATGTGATAGACGAGATTGATTTGGGACCCGTATCCAGAGCTGTTCAGCGGCCAATGCAGTAGCTTCCGATGGGATATCTCGAATTTTGCGGCAGTCCTGTTCGGTACCAGAGTATAGGTATTCATCCTGCGAGTGTCATCGCTAAGATTGCTGTTTGGTTCAGTCGGGGTTCGGTGGTCGAGTGATAGAGAGCGAGATGCATCTCAGGAGTATAGGCCGAGGTGCAGTAGATGCAGGCAACCAGAGCATGCTCTTGGCATCTGCCGACTCATTCTGCGTGCCTAATCTTAGTTAATCTATAACTCAATTCTTCAACGTATGCAGTTCCGTTACGAGTAAAAAGACAGTGCAGAGGTTACCAGCGATGATTTTGGGTCATTTTATGAGTGATGTGACATTGTACAAGATGAGGGAAATAAAAGGCAGACTGGTCTATCTCCCAACGGAAATGTGGTTTGTGCATAAAATCATGTCCGCAAGCCCTCGTTACCTCGAAGGACGGAAGAAAACGCTCAATCGGATGAGCAAAAGAAGCCTCTTGAATAACGCCATTGACTCCGCCGCCGTGATGGAACCCTTTAGTGACCAGAACCAGAAAAACGCAGTAAAGTCGGCCATTGTCGCTACGCAATCAATCCTCTAGTCGACGGGAGCGTGCTTGAAGAGGAACGAGACAGACTCGCCGTTGTGAGTACGACGGCAGGCTTCGGCGAGCTGTGTTGGTTGTTGTCAGTATATCGTAAGCTTTTCTGGGTACATGGCAACACTCACCGTAGGCGAGATGTCAATGGTCTCGATACGGTCGCACAGAGCCTTCTTCTCCTCATGAGGAACGGTGTTGGTAACAACGAGCTTGGTCAACTTGGACTTGTTAAGCTGTTCAATAGCGTTGCCAGAGAGGATGCCGTGGGTGACGATGGCAATGGCGCTGCTGGCACCGTGCTCGATGACAACTTCGGCGGCCTTGCAGAGAGTACCGCAAGTGTCGGCCATGTCGTCGACGATGATGGCGACCTTGCCGCGAACATCACCGACCAGAACCATGCGAGAGACCTCGTTGGGACGAGCGCGCTCCTTGTGAATGAGGGCAAAGCCGAGGTCGAGGCCGTCGGCGATCGAAGTGGCTCTCTTGGCACCGCCAGCGTCGGGAGAGACAATGACACAGTCCTGGACCCTGAGGTTGTCGCGGATCCAGCGGAGGGTGCTGGGCTCAGCGTAGAGGTTGTCGACGGGGACGTTGAAGAAGCCCTGGATCTGCGAGGCGTGGAGATCCATGGTGATGACGTGGTTGCAGCCAGCGGTTTGAAGCATGTTAGCCATCAAACGAGCAGTGATGGGGGCGCGCGATTTATCCTTCTTGTCCTGGCGAGCGTAGGGGAAGTTGGGGAGGACGGCGGTGATGCGGCGGGCAGAGGCGGTCTTGCAAGCATTGATCATGATGAGCAGCTCCATGACACCGTCGTTGATGTCGCCAGGGGCAGTGGACTGCAGCACAAAGANCTGGGGACAGCAGTCAGTCTTGTGCATCTTCCTCTCGTTGCGCGTTCGGCGTCTTGATTGTGTCATACCATCCTCGTCACGGACAGACTCGCCGATGCTGATGCTGGACTCATTGTTGGAGTACTGGAGGACCATGATCTTGGCCAGCTCAATTCCCANGACTGTTGCACGCATTGTGTCAGTCCTTTGCGCGCCGTGTTGGGGCGTTTGTGCATGCGGTGAAGGATGGCCGAAAGTTTTTGTTTGCGCGAGCGCGGGGTGAAGATGTTCAAAGTAGACAGAACAAGGAAGGACCTACCGGCTAGCGACCAGCTCAGCCAGCTGAGGATGGCTGCTGCCAGTCAGGAGCTTAATCGAGTTGGTAGCCATGACCTGAATGGTGTCAACTTGTGGTTTTTTGGAAGGCGCGATGAGCTCTCTGCCAATTGAAACCTACAAGCGGACGACGAGGAAGAGACATTGCGGAGTTAGGGCTGCGTTGATGGCAGTTGCGAGGTTTAGCCGAGATCCGAAGGCGGTGATGGTGTGTCAGAAAGTGGGATGACAAGTCCAAGCGCGGCGTGCTTCAGTGAACGAAAGCTGACTTTCGTGTGCTCTGTTTGACGACTCACGACAGCGCCGAGGCAGTCCTGTCCTGCTCGACGTCTTGCTCTGATTCATCACTACACTGAACGGCTTTGTTGACCTTGGTACTGGATCTATCCTCATATCAAGAGGCAATGATCAAAGGAGAATATATCGGTGTTCAAAACATATCTATTTATGCCGTGCATTCGTATCGTACAATCTATCAAGATCCACCTCACGCTAATCTTACAATGTGAACTTTTGTCTAAAATAAGAATCTATCGACTCGGCTCATCGGGTCTGACTCTAGCACCAGTCTCATCAATAGCATTACTGGAGCCCAGACCAAAGCCATAGCCAGGCTTCTTTGTGCGAGCTCTCTTCTCACCATACTGCTCGTCAAACTTGCGGATCGCGCCCAGTGTCGCCATGTCCTCAGACACAGACGCCGAGATTTCCTGCAGAGCCTTCTCAAAGTGCGAAGGTGCGAGTGTACGACGTTCTGGTAATTTGAATTCTGTGTCACCCTTGGCGCGGGCGGCTTCCAAAGCGTTATTCTCATCACGTACCGCAGCAAGCGCGGCAGCAACACACAAGTTTTTGAGGTCCGAACCAGAATAAAGAGGTGTTTTCTTGGCAAGATCAGATAGCGAGACAGCTGGGTCAACGGTCTCACCCTTCAGGTGAATGTTGAGGATACCTTCGCGATCTTTGGCAAGGGGGAGGTCAACCAACAGACGACGAGGCAGGCGACGCAACACAGCATCGTCAAGATCGAAGGGCCGGTTGGTGGCAACCATCATGAAGACGCCGTGGTCATCCATGCCATCCCATCCACGAAGGAATTGATTGATGATCTCTCGGTGCGTGGTGCGATTGTTGGCACCGCCGCGAGACCCGAAGAGAGCGTCTGCCTCATCGATGAAGACCACACAGGGTGACAACTTCTTAGCCAGCGAAAAGACTGCATTGACCATCTTCTCGCCCTCTCCGACGTATTTCTCATAGACTTGTGCACCACTGACCTCGAGTACAGTGGCAGATGACTCCTTGGCAACAGCCTTAGCAAGCAAGGTCTTTCCGGTACCTGGAGGTCCGTATAGAAGAAGGCCAGGTAAGCGATCGGCCGCGAGAATACCATACTTGAATGCTTCCGGACGAAGCAATGTTAGCGAGGTCAAAGTCTTGAGCGATTCAATAGTGTTCGGATCAGCATGCACATCGTTGAATGTCGTCCTGAGGCTCGTAGGGTCAACGACCCCTGACAAGAGACGCGTCTCATGTTTGGAGCATGACTTTTTCAGCTTCTCCATATCCAGTTTGGCAGGAGTGGAGTCTTTGGACCCATCAGACTCGCCCTGTGATTCTCCACGCTCACGAGTTTGAGGGATCACAGAGTTGACAGACAGGCTCCTAGCTGGGGGCTCGAGGGCACTGTCAACAGTATCTACCAGCATGGCAGCAAGCGCAATGTGAGAAGTTGCGAGAGAAGCACTGGTGGTATAGAGTGATCGCAAGCTGTCTGCACAAAGCACTATTCTTTGCACCTCATCTTGGGATAAAGTCCTATCTCCTAGTCTCGAAGTCCCTGGGATATTGAGGTGTGCACGGGTAGGTCCGGAGAAGAAGTCTTCAGAGAGAGGCAGGTCTAGATGACGAACCATGGTGTGGATATGGCGCATGTTGATCTCGAATAGTCTCTGAAGAGCAGGCTCGGCCACACTACGCTCCAATCTCTGCTGATTGTGAGAGACGAGCATCAATTGGCTCGCAATGTTTTGAGTCGGAGATGACGCGGAAGGGTATCTGAAGTATCGGAAGTGAAGCTCGTCGTCGTCTTCGCCGGGAGGCGGAGGGGCCTGGTTAGAGTTGGCCGTGGTACCAACGATGACGATTTGTTCACCGTCCTTCCTTCGACGTTGCACGGCATTGACTAATAAATTGATGATGGTCTCTCCCTGTGGCGCGTTACGGATATGATCCATATCACGGACATGGATAATGGTTCGTTGCTGCAATTGACTTGATTGTGAGGGTGCAGAGTCGTTCTTGAAGGCCCAATCCATCTTGTGTGCCTGTGTGGCAGAATCAATGCGCTTTGCAAGGAAGTCAGCTAAGAAGCGTTCAAGTCCATCTTTGGAAGGCGGCGAAGAAGTAATCGTGTTTGGGGTGGAGGGGACGGCTTCGTAGAAGAAATCGCGAGCCGCGTTTTGAGCGGGCGAGTCTTTTCTGATCTGAACGCTGTCCATGACAGTATCGAGAAGAGTAGAGAGCTTTAGCTCGGCCCAGGGGCTAATGTCCGCGGCGCGGGAGCGAGCTTCTTCCGAAGACTGGTTGTTGCTCTTTGGCATCTCTGCCATCACGACGGCAGCTCCATGTTTGTGAGCTCTAGCAAGAGCCCTGCTAACTTTCTGTGAGTTCTGCTGGAGGAAATCGGCGAGATCGCCCATACTACCACCCATCATGGGAAGGTTGCCGAGGTCAATTTCAGGCATGTCGTGAGCATGTTCAGATTCACCGTCATCCTGGCCATCGTCTCTGGCGGATTCATCCATGATATTGATTTGGATATCATCCCTCCTAGAACTAGCACCCTTGAAAGTGTCATAGGCAAGAGATGAAATGGAGCCAGGGGCAGGGTCCCCTCGCTCCACGTAATCCTGAGCCAGCTCGGCAATGTCGTTTGCGTCGAGATGAATCAAGTCGGCTTGGACCAAATCGGCTATTTGCTGCACATAGACATCAAGCTCTTTGTGAGCAAAATCCCTGGTGTTCAAATCAATGTTTGATTTCGTGTAACGAGCAGCCGACGGGCCGGTCTGAGAGAATGCAGCATGTAGAAGAAGTTGTAATTGTAGCGAAAGGAGAGTACGCGGATCTGGGGTCTGGAGAGCAAAAGGAGCGGACAAGTGATTCGAGACGGCGCGAGCAACATCATCCTGAACAGCATCCTTCTCTTCTAACTGGGAACCAGGCTCCTTTGTGTCCTCCTCTTTAGACTGGGCCGAGGGTGTGAAGAAATCATTCGACTGGTCGGATGGATTGACGGTGAAGGGAAGAGTCAGGACAGTGTGGCCAGAGTCGCGATCGACCAGAGTCCAGCAGCGAGATTCCTTGTTGGCGGTAGCGTCTCCGGTAGGAGCATGAAGACGAACATTGTAACGCAGAAACCAGTCAGGAACTGTGAAGGGAGTGACTTCCTTGGGGCGACGTTGTGCTAATCGACCACGACGTGTGGAAGGAGCAGGTTTGGTCGCAGCTTCTGGAATCGCATTTTCGAGGTTGGCGGTTTCCTGATTCGGGCTGGGATAGGCTTCAAGTTGACGAGTGATGGAGTGGAAGGCGCGACGACGCTGGAAGGGAAGGCGCTGGCCTCGCTGTGAGAGGCGAGTGAGTGATTTGCGCCATACGTGAGTGCGCATAATTGGTTGATGAAGGAGCGGATCCAGACGAGAAGGCGAGTGAATGCTTCAGACATGTGAATGTGCCTTCTTGGCTGACGCTCCACAGTGCGTGTTTGCTGCTTGGCCAAACACGCTCTTTCACGCGCGCATCCAGTCCAGCCATCTACACATTAATCGACTGCTTGCTATCTACCACCGCCACCACTCTCTTCGCCGACCTCTCCACTCAATCACCGCCATCAGCATGGACTACGACTACCGGGGGATGGATGCCGACGACTCGGGTCCGCGCATCAACATTAGTGAGACCACGCCCATCTCGGCCAAGTTTGTCCTGAGCAACACGACCTTGTCGCTAGCCAACAGTATCCGCCGCACCATGCATGCCGAAGTCCCTACCCTCGCCATCGATCTCGTCGAGGTCGAGTCAAACACGTCCGTCCTAGCTGACGAGTTCCTGGCCCACCGCCTTGGTCTGATCCCGCTGTCGGCAAAGAACGTCGACGACCTGCTATACACACGCGACTGCGACTGCGATCAGTACTGCGAAAACTGCGCTGTCGTCCTGCGCCTTAGTGCTGTCAACCGCAACTCGGACGAGACCGTCAAGGTCTTTGCCAAGGATCTCTACATCGATGCATCTTTCAGCCAATACCGCCCACATGCCGATACTGATGGTCCTCAGCGCGGTGGCCCCGTCATCATGGACCCTGATGGCAACGGTCCTCTGATCTGCAAGTTGCGCCGCAACCAAGAACTCAAGCTCCGCTGTATCGCAAAGAAGGGAATCGCAAAGGAACACGCAAAGTGGATGCCGACAGCTGCCATCTCATTCGAGTACGACCCACACAACGCCCTACGCCATGCGGACCTGTGGTATGAAAGCGACAAGTTGGAGGAGTGGCCACCAAGCAAGAACGCTGAGTGGGAGGAACCGCCGCAAGAGGGCGACGTCTTTGACTATGACAAGGAGCCTGATCGTTTCTACGTCAACATCGAGGGAACTGGTGTCATGCCCCCAGACACCGTCTTCCACACCGCTATCAAGGTTTTACAACAAAAACTCGCAACTGTCATCCAGGAGTTGTCCCCTAATCTCCAACAAGCACACCAGCAAGATCTTGCCCAACCACCACAGAGCCCGGATATGATGGACATGACTGGTGCCGCCACGGCATACAACAACACAACTGCTTACGGTGCTGGTTCGGTCTACGGAGGTGGTTTCGGCGGCGGCAACACCAGTGCTTGGGGCGGTGGTGCTGGAAATGCTGTTCCGGGCGGCACTACACCTTACGGCGCAACACCTTATGGTCAAAACGGCTGGTAGTCTACGAACATCTCGACACTACAATTTTCTTGCAACATCAAAAAGTCCAGCGGGGGATCCATTTCACCATT